CTTAAAGTATACCAGACCCATGACCGAATTACTCTCCAAGGAAGAAACGTTTGAATGGACTCAGGAACAACAGAAATTATTTAAGAAAATTAAGGAATTGGTTAAGAAAGTGCTGATACTAGCATTGCACGATCCCGAGAAGCCGAATATTATTAAGCCAGACGCTTTAGGATATGCATTGGGGATGGTATTGGAATAACCAGATAAAAATAGGAAATTGCGACCCATCGCATTCCACTTAAAAAAGCTTACGACAGCCGAAAGGAACTACAATGTTCATGACCGAGAATTACTAGCAATTGTTAAAGCTTTCAGAAAATGGAGACACTACCTGCAAGGATTAAAGCACGAAGTTCTGGTACGAAGTGATTACCACAATCTTGGATACTTTACGACAACAAAGAAACTAGCTGGACGACAAATCCGCTGGGCAGAAGAATTATCCAGATTCAAATTCCGAATTAAATATATTAAAGGAAAAAAGAACGTCATCGCCGATGCACTCAGTCGACGACCAGACTACGGAATAGGAATTAAACAACCAGAAACAAATATCTTGCAGCAGGATAAAAATAGAATTCGATATAATTAATATACGACCCTAGCAGCTACTATTGCAGTAACTAAGCAAGGATTTCATGAACGATTAAAACGCGCAACAAAGAGTGATGAATATTTTAAAAAATGGAAGGGGAATACTAATTAGTTTACCTATGTAGACAAATTAGCTGTTTGGAAAGGATCCATCCTGGTACCTTAAGGAATAATTAACGAAGTGATTAGATACTGTCACGACCCACTATTAGAAGGGCACCAAGGAATTAAGAAGACAATAGAAAAAATCCAGAGGATGTACTACTTTCCGCGAATGCACTAACAAGTCAGTGATTATATTAGCCAATGTTAAGAATGCAACTAAAATAAAATATTATAACACAAACCTTATGGGAAGATGCAACTGCATTCAACGCTAATAAAACTATGGGAAAGCATTACAATGGATTTTATTCAAGGATTGCCGAAGTTAAAAAATCCTATTACAAGAATCGAATACACAGACACAATAGTAATCGTGGACAGGCTAACGAAATACACGATTATCCGGCCAGTACTTAAGGACATCAATGCCGAGCAAGCAGCAATAATAGTGTTAAAAGAAGTATTTATATAGACAGGATTGCCAAATAAAATTATCTCTAACCGAGACAAAATCTTTATGTCTATGTTTTGGAAAACGATTATGGAAAGCAGTGAAGCTAATCAAAAGCTATTTATAGCAAACCATCAACAAACAGACGGACAATTGAAAAAAATAATCCAGACAATTAAACAATACTTACAACATTATCTGGACTGGAACCAAGAAAATTGGGTTGAACTACTACCAATGGCTTAATTTGTAATTAATAATATATAAAATACATTGACAGGACAAACACTGCATTTTGCAAACTTGGGATATCACCCCAAAATAACATGGAAAGCATTGCTAATAGAAGGACGATCGGAACAAGCGTTGATAACTACCGCAAATCAATGGGTATTGCACCAAACGATTTCAAAGGATATTAACTGGGCCGAAGAAAAAATAAAATTTTACTACAACAGGAAGCGTGAGGACACGCCAGACCTTTAAGTAGGGGAGAGAGTCTACCTTCTACGTTGAACTATAGGAAAGAAAAATTTCAATATTTAAACTAAACAACCAAGTAACAAACTTAACGCCGTGAAATATGGACCATTCAAGATTTAAGAGAAACTTGCAAACAACAATTACAAATTAATGCTACTATAAAAAATGCGAGTTTATCCGATATTCCATATTTTATTACTAGAACCAACCAAGAACACTAAAAATGACAAAGATAAAGCAACCGACGATAAATATAAAGTTAAACAAGTTCTTGGAAGAAAGTTAGAAAACAGACAGATTTACTATCTAATTAAATAGAAAGGTTACCCACTAGAAGACAACACCTGGGAACCGATCAGGCACTTAAACTGCCCTGATAAGATTCAAGCGTACCATCAACGAATTGGTCGAAGAGCGAAGAATCAAAAGCAAGCTTAGAAAAAGAAAAAGGCACTGCCAAAGAGGAAAGGATCGAAGCCAGTTAACTATTAGTAATCTCTGGTATTGCGAATACCGAAGATTGCACCCGACTCTGTTCCTCCAGTTCCTTTTATTTCTTCTCTTCCTCTTCAAGTTTCTCCAATTCTTTAATTTCTTTTATATCACGAGCTATGAAATCACCAGCACGCTTGTGCAAGAGGTCTTCTTGCTTTTGCAAACGAGCAATCCGAGCCATCAGCGTTGCTACCTCCTGATAGGCCGCCCGCTCTTGTGACCGAAGCTGCTCTTAAGCCTTAACTAGCCGCCGCCACTCGCTATCTAAATATGTTAACTTAGACTTAACACAACAAACACCTCCTGCCTAAACATATTTACTACACCGATTAGAATCGTCACACTTAACACACACTTTGTTAAGACGAGCGCAACGAGCGCAAGGGATAACTATTGTAAAACCGTGATCCTTAAAACGACGAAGCAAGCTGTTCTTCTTGACATTGGATTTAGACGCTATCGCACCAGTCAGCACATAACAGCAAGGAAAAGAAAGAACGATGATTACCTCTCAAACACCACGGGGGATAGGCGCTACTTATTCTATCTTTCAGGACGAAAGCCTTAAGGAGGGGGATTGTCAGAAGTACGGAAAGCTGACAGCCAATCAACCAGCTGCGCCGCAGCCAGTGTTGTGATGTTAACAGAACAACTATGATCCAGCCTGATTATATCCCCGGATATAATGCTAACACCGATTTGGACGAAGGTCATACCCAGGGTATGATATCTTATAGCTAGGCTATGATATAGCATACCAAGGACAAGATATATCCTACCACTGGATATGATAGACACAGGTATATAAGGACAGTCATTACAAATGTAAATAGTTCTAGTTAGTGTGTCTTATTTTCGGAGTTAATAGCACTATACAGCGCTATATCTACCTTTCGGAATCAAGCACGGCATTTCACTATACCCTTCTTATCTCTCTATTGTTAACAGAATACCCTCAGATCTCCTGATCTTAGGAAGGATTGGTAGACCTGATCTGACATACACAAGGTAAGTGCTATAGTAAAGTAGTAACAGGATTTAATAATAGTATACTAACTATCTTAACTACTTAGATTTAACTACTTGCAAACGCAATTAATACCTCTCCTTAATATTGTAAACTTTTTTAAAAAATCTAATCTTGGAATCCACCACTCTACATGGTCCAGGATATTGCTACTCGCTGGAATTTAATATATAATATAGCAATCCAAGTATTACTATTACAAGGTCCTCTTACTAAGTTCCTTAATAAATGCAATAATCCTACACTTCAGGCACTTAAGCTCACCGATAATAAATAGAAACAGATTTGTTATATTATTATTATATTATTTCTATTCTGGCAATATACACAGTCACTCTCTATCTCCCATAGTATTATTATTTATCAAGTATGGCCTATCTACAACAGACTTTTTTAATATCTGGAGGCATGATATAGAGAAGCTGAGAAAAAAAGGTATTAAAAAAAACCTCTTTAAATTATATTATAAGCTGCAAAGGATAAATTATTAAGTTACTACTCACAGACTGATAATAACTTTGGTATTTATTATGCAGTTATATTAGTTTTTAATCCAACTTAACATATAAATACATTTTATAAGGATAACTAGACAAAGGATAAGCGGCGGTATTAAAAAGGCTAGATTTTTTAGTTTTACAAAAAAAACTACCTATAATTTAAGCCTCCAAAATTGCTTCCTAAGAATAAGGGAGATGTCTCTCTAATTAAAGTAACAGTATTTAGTAATAGTTTAGTTTTTATATTACTAACTTTGTTCTAGGATATTAATACCCTATTCTGCTGTTAAAGGCCAGCACAAAAGGATACTATACAACAGAATAAAATAAAACAATATCTATTTAACTAACTACTTTTATATAATTTAAAGATTAATATACTTAAGTATTGGAGATTTATCAAGTTGGTTTATCCTACTGTTGCGCGAATAGCTCGTGATATTCTTGTAATATTCCTTACAGGTGTCGCTATTAAACGCCAATTTAATATTAGTTGTAATATCTGCTAATACCGCTGTGGGAAACTTCAGGGTCTAATAATAAAAAAAATCATGATCCTTAAAGATGCCAATCCAGATCTTATAAATTAAGATCTTGCTAATAATAAGTATCTATTTGTTGAGTGGGATAATAAGAAGGCTGTGTAAAAGTATAAAAATATTATTACTTGTTAGGCTATAACTAAGGAGAAGATACTTGTACAATTATTAATGTTTAATTACTCTAATATAGAATTAAATAATTAGCCACCAGCAGCAAGAACTTGCTATTTTAAGACTTATTATTAAGCTATTAACTGTTATATTAATCTGTTACCTTTTTTTTGTTTTTAATTATATATCCTTACAATAATAATTTATCTCCCGTGTTTAAACTAGTCAAGTATTGTTACCTGAATCTGTTAAAAAATATATTTAGGAAAATCCTATAGGGAAATTCCTATTTCTATTAGGAATATCCCACTTTTTATATTCCTAATAGGAATTTCCTTTCCTCTAACTAAGCGAGAAAGGAATTTCCTTTTCTAATCCTAATTCCCAAGGGAAATTCCCATATGGGAAATGGGACGGGAAACAGGATATAATTTTTAAAATCAGAGGGAATAAGAATATCCCTTCCCGAATCCCATATAATGGGAATCCCTTCCCGAATAGCTTGGCATGGGAAGGGAATTAAAATTTGATTCCCATTGGGAATATGGGACGGGACTTGAACCCTTTCAGGATCCCGATTCCCTCCCAACGGTCAGCCTATTAATAGTATTTAGCTTTAAGTCCAGCCTATTTGAACTTAAGCCTTAACTATATTTTTGCGCATATTCGCCAGAGTATTAAGATGGGGCTAGTCAGGAGAATTCCAGAAAGCATTTATCATCATCTATGCCGATAGTCGAGATTGGAACTGGGGTTTCTGTTATCTCTAGAGCCACGCCAGCCCTCTCTGTCTCCACTGCCAGGTTCGTACACTGTGCTTTGTACAATTCATCCGCATCATCAGGGCATGTCAAGCGGATTACTGTTAAGTTCGGCGTCTGAAGTTGTTTCTGAGTGGCGAAGTCACGGAATACGAGGTCAAGAGCCTTATCATGGGGGCTCTTTCCAGGCGAGAATAATGAAAGCTGAGAGACTGAGGCAGGTACTAGGTCACCAAGTAAAGAATTAAAGTCCAATGATCTGTAATCTGCTAGTTCTGCAGCTTTAAGTCCGCAGATGACAATGCCAAGAGGCAACTCAAGACGTCGCAGACGTTGGAAGCTGCGTAAACATGGCTTGCCAGGGGATATTAAGCAGCGTAGTTCTGTTGTGACAGTAGAAAGGCTCTCTAGATGGCTTCCAACATTACGCTGAACTGCCGAGATGAATTCACAAAGGTCCCAGCCCTGGTTTTTCACGCTGTCTTTTTCTGAATGCCAGTACGTTAATGATTTGAGACATGGGGTGTGTTTGAGAAAATCCGTAATAGCTACTGCATTAATAGATGCTTCCCAAAATCCAACTGTTTCAACCGTGGAATTAAATTCAGAGCACAGATATTTAGATTCAATGCTTTTAACATCGTAGGCTTTTCCTATGCATCCACCGCCTTGAAAAGATTGGATGCGCGGGAGAGCTATAAGTAAAGTTGCCCAGGATAAGTTATAACTCCCCCTAGTCTCCTCAAATTTGGTGACCTGGGAAAGGCTAGCTCTGTTATAGGTTGGTTGCCTAGCAATGCGGATGACTGTGGCGATAAGCTTTTCGGATGCAGGAGTCGGATTCCACAACTCGGGTAGCCTGAATCTTTGTAGATTCGGTAGAAGTGTGAGAACAAAAGCAGCAGCTTGTTGTGAGTAGCAACAGTTATTAATATCCTCCATCATAGCACTATAGTATTCCTTCCAGTCGATTCCAGCCTTTCTTAAGTAGGATGAATCTGCGAAGAGTTGACGTACAGCTTTATCACGATCTTCATATGTGGTCTCCTCTCGGTTGGTCGAGGCAAATCGAGAATAGAGACGACTATCGCCCGTAAAGTCTGCTTCAAGAATATAGCGACCCACAATTGGCTCAATAGCAATCCGGGAAATCAGATTATATGCCGAGGTCGCTGTATCAGGAAACCTAAGCAACTGCTGGTTAACTCTAAAGGACCACTTTGTCTTGCAGTATCTGAAGTCCCGGAAATGCCAGCGTAGATTGTTGTGGTGCTCGAGAAATGGGATGCAAACTGTGTAGAGATATTTGCATGCTAAGGCTAGACTCTCAAATCCCTCCGGCAATGTGTATGTAATGATTTGTTCTAACAACTCTATTGGTAGTTGTGTGAATGCCATATTCATGCTTAAATTTAAACGCGAACCACATGTAAAAACTGGAATAGAGGCAGCATAGTTTATTAACAACAAAAAACCCTTGCTATGTCAGAGTCAAACCAGAACGCTATGAGAACAGCAGCTGGTTTAGTGCGACTAAATAGTCCTATGTATTTCAAAAGTGTTACTAGTTAGTATCTCTGGCCCCCAAGAAAGAGATCCACAACAGCCTGACCTGACCGCCTATGCCTTTTTTGCCAAGCTCGCCTGCTGTTAAGACACGCTAGGATAACATGTGGGATTTAGTTTGGCTTGCGGCCTCTAGAACGTCGAGTGTCGGCGATTATCAAGACAGAAGTGTAATGGCATTTCATAACTTTTCTAACGGAATGTTGTCCATGGATGTCGACCCTAGTAGGGCCAAGGGTATCAATATTTTTGCAACATCCTTATCCACTATGGGGCCAGAGGCCAAACTGCAAGTCGTAACAGCGCCTAAGGTGATATCTTGCGTCCTCCCTCTGTATCTCAGCTCACACAGAAACCGCGCCTTTGGTGGAGAATATAGCAATTATTTTTAGCCCCGCGGTCCTGCGGTGATTTTAGCATAAGGACTGAGGGGGCTGAAAAGCGGCAGCAAGACCTAAGCCCAAGGATTCCCAAACAACAGAAAGTCATACTGTAAATTATTATTTATGTATTTGTAGCAATCTAACCATGGTTAGATTAATATTATAACTTTTAAAGTATTAGTCTTGCAACCGCGATAAATTTTTAAAATTGTAATGTGCGTTATTTAAACAGTAATACTATGTATCGGATTTTTCAGACTTGCGGGTTCGGTTAAAACCGCACCGCAGAATCCGTTCCTGCGGATCCTGCCTTTAGAAACCGCAACCGCATGAGGATTCGGCGGCGATTTTTGCGGTTCCTCCGTGCAACTCTAGATAGGGTGTACTGTATAGCTAGCGCCTTGGCAAGCGCGCGGGGATTTTAACCCCCGAAACTTCCCCTTTTCCTGTATCTATTCAGGCAAGATACTGCTCAATCTACATCTTGTCTCCTTCCAGATGCTATCTTTCCCTGAATCCGCAACAATTTAAATGCAGGCGACTACCCGTCTCCTCCAGCTCACCGCCCGGCAGACCCCCTACAGGGGGTCTGCCCCAGTTCAACGCAATTCCCGGCTCAACGCAAAAAAATCAATATATTGAAATAAAAAGCTCAAAAATTGCCTACTTAAAAAACTATGAAGCCATATTTCGATCCCCATATGAATCTATATAGAAAAGACCTTCAGAACCTCCATTTTCTGCATTCAATTGAGTTGGTGTGGCAGTGGCACTTGCAATATTGGCAATACGCTCAATAATGGTGTTTGAGCTCTTATCTTGTTTTTTAGAGGTAGATTTCCAATGTCTCTCTATATCCTTTAATTTTTTCTCTTTAATATGACGTTTGACATCCCGTACGTATATTAGACCATCCATTTTGACTGTGCGGCGTGATTGGGTGGTAGAATTAGAAGGTCTTTTTCTTGACTCTAAAGCTTCATCTAACGCAACCGACGTCATTGCATTTTGTTCTGCCTGAGTCAATGCACCACGAAAGATTCGATCAATTGTGGGAGATAACTCTGTTTTTGACCTCCGAACAATCATAATCTCCTTCCTAATCGAGCGAAGTGTTGTAGGTGTTTTAATCCCTTTATCTAATAGTGGCGAAGGTGTTCTTTGCACTGTGGTAGTGGTGGTAGTGGTGGTAATAGTGCAATTCACGCAGAGATATTTCAAAATTCTCAATTATATGACATTATATATATTTTTAAAGGCTCTTCTTCATCCACCGTCCTACCAGCAATTTTTGCAAGATAAGAGAAGGATTCCATGGCCGGATTCCTACCTCCCGCCAACCGCTCGAATTGTACGCTCGGTAAGCGCTCGCTTGCGGATCTTGTCAATATCATACAAAAACTCCAATTTATCATATTTTTCACCACGGAAACGAGAGACGGAGTTGACTGCAAGACCGTGAGCTAATTTAAGCTGCTGAAAAGGGACGGAATCAAGCGGTTGAAGTCGGTGAGTTAGGTGAGGTGGAAAGGATAGTAGTAGAATCCTGTGATCTTGGCAATATTGGACAAATTCAACAGTTAGATGAGCCTCATGATTATCCATTAAAAGGAGCCGATACCGGCCTCGTTGACGTTGGGCAGAGAAATAATTAAAATGATGAAGCCAACTAAATGCAATTGCATCATTTATATAGCCTTTTTCAGATACCTCTATGATATAATCATCTGGAAGATCTGAAAGAGTATACCAATCCTGCAGGTGGACCTTGCCTGGTATAATTAACACTGGTGGAATCCTCTCACCAGTAGAATTAACACATTCAACTAATGTCACAGTTGTACGGGTTGAAGCGCTTGCAATATCATTATTTCTTGTAGGATATTGAGTCACAATCGACTCAACACGACCTTGACCGATTCGGAAGCCAGTTTCATCAAAATTCCAGATATCTTCGTCAAGAAAAGAATATATCTCCGTTTGAAGTTGAAGATAATTATACCACTGAGATACTAAGACCTCATCCTCTGCCTCAGCCCGATCAATATAATAATACGCCGTTTTCCTTTAAAATATTGCTTATTTTGTTGCAAGAAGCGGTATGGCCAATTTTTACCAACTTTTGGTGGAGCTTTTGATGAATCTTCATGGCTATTCTGCAGAATAGTGTTGGCTGCTTTTCGAATGGCAGGTATACTAATTGGAGCCCCAACGTCGTCATATGATCAATATAATCAAATAATGCTTCATATTGGGCAGGATCAAGGCGTTGGTTAGCCGGTTTCCGTGTGATTTTACTCTTTTTGCCTTGAATTCTTCTATGAAGCCGGTGATAGCTGATCCCATGATCACGCGCAATTTTGGCAATATTTGTACGCGATTTTTCCTTTTTTTGAGATTCGTACACGTGTAGAGCCTTTTGAATAATGGCCTCTTCCTCTTTATACGTTGACTTCATGGTTTCGATGGTGGGAATGGCTTCAAATACAAGGTGTTTTGAATATATTGATTTTTTTGCTTGCGTTGAGCCGGGAATTGCGTTGAACTGGGGCAGACCCCCTGTAGGGGGTCTGCCGGGCGGTGAGCTGGAGGAGACGGGTAGCTGTATAACTATTGAAATTGCTGCACAGTGATTTCGGAAGTTACTAATGCAGGACAGGGATGGTAAATTCACTAACTGATCAGGTCAGGAAATGTTATCCGCTTCCCCTAGTGGCAAGTCCTACTGTCAAGGAGTAATTTAATTACACAATCTTACAGTGTCGGCAAAGCCCGACACTTTTTGCCTTTATGTTTGCACTAAACCAGCCACCACGTAATACACAGGGACGTATTATCTCTTGTCCTAGTGGAGACTATGCATATCGCCCCAAGCAGCTAATCTCCGTGGATGCATGTTTGATAGAACATGCTACTCTGTAATAGGATTTACCTTGTTGCTGACTTTGGTCATTGGCCAGCCAGCCGCCTGACTTGCCCATCCTGCTAGGGAGTTGATATAAGGGCCCACGACCCGTATCGGACTACAGTAGATGACAGATTCCGCTCAATCCAGCCCTAGCCTTGTCTCATTTGGCTCCAACCTGGCCGTGCAGTAACGGAATCACTACCTGTTTCAACGCGTGTACTTACATACTACGCGGATCGATCTTACCTTAAAATGAGTCTCTCTCGGCAACTCATCCGCTTCGACACCTATGTGAAGTGTTATTCCCCCCTTATCTGTGGAGCAATTTCATGAGTGGGTACTCCACAACCCTACTAGGACAGCAGTTACCTATAATCGTCGCTGTTCTTTCGTTCTCCTACGTCGTGCTTTGCTACCTCGATCTCCTCAACTTGCAGATCCAAATATTAACTAATACAAATTGCCTCCACTCCAGAATATGGACAAATGAGCATGCGCAACTGCTTAAACAATGGCTTGAGCGCCACGGCGTCTATCGCTACACTTTGGTTGGTACCATCATATCCCTGTCATTGTAGTGCAGTGTACCGCCCTTGTTTGTTAATAGAGGAGAGAGTCCACACATCAACCACACTATACCTGGGAAGCAGAGAAGTCTGATGGACAATGAATCGCTGATTTGTGATCACGCAGTTTTATACCCCGCCCGCCATGGCAGCTGAGTACCTTGGTCAGCACGGTGGGGGAGACCAGGTGCTGGATTTCGACGGTCATGCCGAAGTCCTGCTGGACAACTGGGATATTTTGGACCGGTTGAGAGCAGATCCTTACTACAAAGATGTGGTGGAACCGAGCGAGGCTAAATTGATTGACAAGGGCAGTGTCAAACGGAGGGTCGGCTATGAGGAGGTCTGGGTGTCTTAGGGCAAGGCAGTTTGAATTGATCTAGATCGAGTTTATCTTGGTTAGTAGTCGAATTTTACTGTTTAGTCAAAATGGTGTCTAGTCAATATATCAAACCAATACAGTAATTTCTGGGCTGAAATTAGCTGACCAGGTGGTTCCCGCAACTGCTGGAATGTGGTTCCTTTGTGTTTTGTCTGCCGATTAAACCAATCACAAACAAACCTAGTCGCACCATCGGCCCTAATGTTGTATGACCTCATGACCGCATATCCGTTAGTGAAAACAGTTACTCTAATTAGCAGGCATCTTCCCAGTGGCTACTTGTAGTGGGCACCTATAACGGTAAGTGAATTCTGTAAGGATGTTTTAAGTAACCCTGAGCTTCGGTGGGAGCGCACGTGCTCGAGCGCACAGGCCCACAAAGCTCAGGTTTAGCTGAGACCTTGGTCCTCCCCACCTGGGACCTCACTTGTAGTCAAGGCATCATATTTATTGGGCCTCTGATTTGCTCCCCGTATGCGAGGGCGAAGTTCAGTATACCCTGGAGCCCAATCGAATTTTTTCACCAACACATACCTGATCAGCATTTGCCTGCAGCCCCGCAGGGATTGTAAGAAATTAGCGCCCTTCACGGAATGTTGAATTTTTCGGCCCTGATCAACATAAGATTGGTTACAATCTTTTTAATCCTAGTGATTTTCGGACCCACTGCACAATTATATCGCTGTTGCTTACTTGGCTCAACCGCCCGTGCATTTGTTAGACGCAAACTCAGACGAAGAATGTAAACAAGCAATCTTATTTATCTTAGTATAATTGGTTGAAGGTCGCCGGAGGATCGCAAGAACACAGCGTGATCTCCGCGATACGGCTGACATTATAGACCGATATGGTAATTCCATACTTCCATTGCTTTCAACAGCTTTGCTTCTATTAGTATCCAGCAGGGATATTGTGTTAGCACGAGGCCTAACATTACAGTGCGCTACTATATAAGTCGCTTAGGACCGTCTGATCCCATCGGGATCAGACATAGTGGCCTTTTGGTCTAGCGGTATAATTCAGATCCTGAGCTGAGTTATAACATATTGCTTCTACCCAGATAGAATAGTAAAAGTACTATTAATAATTTACCAGCCTCGGTTAATTAATGTTACATTGATCTGGTTGGGATTGCATCCTTAGTACATGCGGAAATAAAATAGTTAAATAGCTTTGTTAACAGCACATACCCGATCAGCACTGGCGGCCCTGCAAGAATAAAATAACTCGTTATATATAATTCACCTTTAGCCATAGGTAGGATGCCGATCTTTCGGCACAGACCAACTGAAGCAGCCTTAGTAGCCTTTGGCTCCGTTGCATCATCCTCCCGCTGTTTTTTATTAGCTGTGATTTGGGACCCAGCCGCCCCGTGCATTGCTTCTATTAGCGCCAAGCGGGGATGCTATTCTTGGCGAGTAAATCCGTAGGAATACTACCAACAAACCTCCGGCCACGGTTAGTATGTAGCATTGATCTTGTTCAAAAAATGTTCTTGGGAATTAAATTTTAGTGCAGCGCGGAAATAAAATACATGCGGGCTGTACTATGGTCCTGTAGTACCTACAAATTGCTCCATAGAAGCGTACATTAAGCAAGACCAGGGAGGTATCCACAATCGCACAATTATATCTATTGCCCACCCAGGGTTATGTCAATGTCAAGTTTGACGCGTGGCCCAGTTCGGTGGTGTAGCACGGTAGCTCAATGGGATAACAAACAGCAATCTTATTCTTATTCGTGTAGTTGTATGATAAGCCAAGAAGACCATAGTACAAGTTTATGGAGAAAACTGCTTACCCAACAACTTGTTTTACAGAGAAGCCTTTAAAATAGTTAAAAAACAACGGTACATATATTCCTATATTATTATAGGCACAATGTTTCCCCTCTGCTTTAAACTCTTTAGATACCTTACCCCTCGGTTATCTGTCGTTACTGCTCCGTACAGTTAGAATATCTCTCCGTGTTCCATGGGTTGGCCCTTTGTTGTAGTGTCTCGAAGTGAGGCTGGCCGTTCCTGCCGCGTAAAAGTCTGCGAGATATGGATACTTATTGGCTGCGCATTACTAGCCAATGGGACATGATCCTTAAAGGCGAGATCCCCCATTTCCACATCTCGCACACCTTTTGCAGGTCCTAGCCACTGCCAGTGATGCGCACGTTTTGATTGATTAGAGGTATACGAAGAGTTGTAGTGAGGATCGCAGTAGACTTCCTACCAGAGCCCCTGCTGTGATCACCACAGACAGTGTTTCTCGTGGGACTGTGGCTCCACAAACTTCGAGCCCAGTTGGAAAGATTGCGGCTTGCGCTGAATAAGTGCCCGTGGGTCGGGAGGCAAGCGGCAATCACGCTGGTACTGGGCTCAATCGTTCCCCATATTATGCCTGGCGTCACGACTGCGTAGCGGTTAGTCCCGGTCGAGCCCGTGGATTCATAGACCTCCGTGTAGACGTAATAGAAGCGAATAATAGAGGCAATGCAGCAACTAGATTGTATAATTAGTTTTTACTGCGCGGTTTAGCCAAAGGTCGATGCCCAGGCCCCACTTACAAGATACCAGCCAGAAGATGCCCGCGAGTTGGAGCTTTTGCCGAGTAGACATCATCAGATGATAGATTACAGGAATAGGAAAGCAAAGCACGATTACATCGAAGCACATGCTCATCACCGTAACTGCTATAGTAAAATAGTTGTAGTTGTAGCGAAGCGGATTTACAGCCAGTGGATTAAAGGCCGCGGTGACAGTGTTCCCGGCAAGAGCTTGGGCCTGCTGTTTGGTAAGTTTATCCAAAAATTCCTTTATTAGCGCTGGAAAGGGTAGCCATACTATAACACAAGCGAACCCCCACGCGAGCAAAATCATAATATAGACCCAAACGGCAATCTGGAACCACCGGGTGACAAAAATCCTCTTATAAAAGAGCAGAATAGACACTTTAACGAGAACCAAGCTTGCTATCAGTGGGAATATCTCAATCCATAGGGCCTATGGAACACTGTCAGCTATAGTCACGGCCTGGCAGATGCAGCAGGGGAATAAACGAACCCTGAGAAAGATTTTCGAGGCATCAAGGGCAGACAAGGCACTCTCATTCACACCCCCGAGCCCGGCAGCAACATAAACATCAATGGGGACCCCCCAGGCACATAGCAGAGCCAGAATAATAACATAGTCATCCGCAAACAGCTGCTTGGCCTTGTAAGTATTTGACCAGATACGAAGCACCACAGCGAGCGTAGCCAGGATAGGGAAAATAATCGCGACGATTAGTAGGGCGGTAGATATCAGCGATGGGTTTAAAGCTTGCTAAGGAGAGCTCATGCTGCCGTCTTTTCTTAGCCGGATAATAATCCAAAATAGAGAGGGGAAAGACACCAAAAAACATTAAACTCTGGAGGAATGGGCAGCAGATGCTTAGGGGTGTGGTTTTAGATATTTCCTTCCACTTAGCCCTGGCTACCAGGAGGGGGAAAGCCGGGGCCGAACTGGCTGCAATGCAACAGTTTCCATATAGTAAAAAGCCTTAAACAGTAGAAAAGAACCATTCATCGCCCTAAGAATAATAACAATACGGGAAAAAAAGCACTAGGAATTTTAGCCCCGCTGCAGATGACGTACTGACGCCGCTGGGAAGTTGGCTCTGCATGAAATAGTTGTCCGTGGCTTTAGTATTATTAGTCACAACCAAGCTTACATACATTCACTCTAGGGGTCCCTCAAGCGGAAAATTCAGCGTAAAACGTAAACGTAAATCCGAGTCTAAGAGAACAAAGAAAAAAAAAAATTGCAACCTACCTGGTAAGCATGTGCGTAACTAACGCACATGCTAGGTATATAAGATGTCCCTGTCCTGTACACACACCCCTCCCACATTACCACAGAGGGGTTTGATGATTCCACGACAGCAGGTTTATTTAAATCCTATTAATTCACCCTCCCTCTGGAAGATTTTTATCTGTATCAGCCAATGCAGATTCTTCCTATAGCCTATGGCGTTACTTTCTCCTAAAATACTAATCGCGTTGGGTATGTTCACCATCGCCTGGACAGCCTGGTGCCTGGCCACGTTGATTGCCAACGTGTCTCGGGTTCGAGCGACAGGCCTCCAGTATGTGATCGTCCCTTGTTCTATACTTAGTACTCCCTGGCTGTTAGCCCAGCCGATTCTCCTCCCTCTTCTGAAAGCCCTGCCCGAATCGTGGACGGAAAAATGGCTTCCACTGCTTCTTTTTAAGCACGGATGGCACAATGGCTATGAGCCTTTCCAACGTATTGGAGCAGACACATTTCTTGCCGTATCGCCCGGCAATGTGATTCTCTATACCTGCGACGCAGGAGTTTCCTCCCAGCTATTCCGGGATAGTCGGCTTGGAAAACCAGCTCATTTAATGAGCCTGTTAAATATATTCGGCCCGACCATGACAGGTACCGATGGAGCGGAGTCGCGGCTATACCGTCGCACCACGGCCCCCTTTTTCACCGAGGCGACGATGCGGGACGTGTTTGTCGGCTCTGTCCAGGGAGGTGCAGAATTAGCGCAGGCGTTAAGACAGCCAGCGGCCTATCATCAGCTACGAATTCTCTCCGCCAAACTTTCGCTTCATATACTCAGTCGCTTTTGCAACCGTACAGAAACCCAAGAAGACCTTGTAAATGCATTGCAATGCAAGGACAAGCCGCAAGGTACACATTGCATGACCTACAGTGAAGCTGTGTTTACCTTGCTAGAGAACTTTATAATTGTGTTTCTCTTTCCGCACGCGCTTCTCCGTATGTGATTCCCTTGTCTTTGACTTTTTTTAGATTCCTAAGAATATTGGATTAATTAGGGACTTCTCCTTTTTATACCCATCGTCAAGCAGCTACAGCATTTGCTGAAATGCGTCGCTACATGGAAGAGATGAAGGAAAGGAAGGAGATAGAACTCCAACAAAATCTCCCAACTCCATCAAATAAGCCTCAAAGTATCCTGGGTAAGTTGATAACCACAACTCCGCCAAGTGCCAAAATCTGATGTTCTGCCCCCCTCCCCCCGGGCTCCCATTCTCTAGAGCTCCTCGTTCAAGCCGGACTCCCAGTCGCGGACGGAAGTCAACCTGCTCTTAGACCGGACCAGGTAATGGGAAATATCTGGACCTTTGTGTTCGCTGGCCACGAAACAAATGCCAACACTCTTACTTTTATTATATTGCTCCTTGCCTGCCACCCTGTCGCCCAACGCGCTATGCAAGCCGACCTTGATCGAATCCTCCAGGACACCCCGCCAGACCAGTGGACGTATGACGCACACTTTAATCCATTAATAAACAGTCTTGTGGGGGCTGTGATTAACGAAGCCTTGCGTCTTTTCACTGTCCTGCCTGTGATTCCAAAATATGTGCCCCCAACAGGACCTCCAGTCTCTATCACTATCGATGGCCAAGTCCATCCCTTGCCACCGGACATGATCGCCTTCATAAATACGAGTGCCATTCATCGCCATCCGCAATATTGGCCACGTCGGGACTCCAGTACAGACATGATGACTTCTAAGAATCGCACGAAGCGACCGTTCGCAGTGTCCGACTTCGATCCTGAACGGTGGATTCAAGCCACGGATGGGGCCAAAAATGTACTTTTAAACCCAATCCCTGGTAGATTTATACCATTCTCGGAGGGCAGTCGAGCATGCCTGGGGTATCGTTTTGCTCTGGTAGAATTGTGTGCCTCCGTGGCAATTATATTCAAATTGTCGTCGGTGAGGCTGCTCACTAGAGACGAAGACAATAACAGCAGTAATTCGGGAGCTACCGCAGATACTTGGGAAGCAGCAAGGGATCGGGCCGAGCTGGCTCTTTCTGAGGGTGTTAAGTTTGATATGAGTTTGCGGGCCGTCCACAGTGTGCCCGTTCAGTTTGAGGCGCGTAAATGAGATACAAAATATAGTTAGAAACTGGATATAGAAATTATTTACGCCCAGTAGCCTACAGTGGAAAGATACCATACCATATAAATTGAACTTGACAATCGTAGATACAGCTATTGTTCGAAATTTTGAAGCCCCTTACAAAGGCTTCCGTGCTACCTGTGACGGCCAAGCAATTTGATGAAATTGGTGCTATCTCAACGAAAATTTCATGCGTAGAGAGGAGGAAGAAAGGTGGTGAGGGGGCGGTGCGGAGAAGTAAATATACTAGATATTAAAGTAGTTGGACACCGAGCGGCGCAAGACACCGAGCGGCGCGCCGCTCACCGCTCTTCCTGGAAATATTCAAACATCTCAGTATTCGAAGCCTTTTTATCTTGATTTTCATCAGTATTTTATTAATATACCAAAATGAGTGCCATACCAATGGATGAGAGAATAAAAATGGCTGTTAATGCATGGAATAATAACTAATTTTTATCCAAAACTGCCTGTGCCAAGGCATTTAATGTCTCTTCAAGAACTCTTCTTTATCGACTTAAAGGAAGAAGCAACCGCAATAATATTATTACTAATAGCTGGAAATTGTCCAATCTTAAAGAGGATATATTAAAAAGATGGATTATTAATATAGCTAACCATGGTCTGCCTTAACGGATCTCCCAAATTTAATATCTTACTGGTCTTTTAATATCTGCACGTCAAAAGACTTCGTCGTTATCCCCGGCCTCTATCCCTGATCTAGTTAGTAGTAAATAGGTTACTCGATTTATTTCCCGCTATAATAATATTAAGTTAAGATATAATCGTCGATATAACTACCAGCGGGCGAAGTGTAAAGATCCACAGGTTATTTAAGGCTGGTTTTAATTGGTTCAAAATACTATACAAAAATATGGCATTTTAAAACAAGATATCTATAATATAGACGAAACTGGCTTCCAAATAGGTGTAACATCAACAGCCAAAGTTGTCTGCGGCACAGAAACACGCAGATCTAATGCTAAATTAATCTAACCAGGTAATAGAGAATGGGTTACATTAATTGTAACTGTTAGAGTAAGTGGTTGGGTTTTACCCCCCTAGATTATCTTTGCTGGAAAAAAACATCAATCTCAGTGGTATTCTGTTCTAACTAAAGATTATCAACTAAGTCTTAGTGAGAATGGCTGGACTAATAATAATCTGGGACTTAAATAGCTACAAGAAGTTTTTAACAAGCATACAAGATCCCGCACTGTTGGTTAATATCGATTACTTATTTTAGATGGCCACGGGAGCCATGCAACTGCTGAATTTGATATACTGCATGGAAAATTTAATTATTCCACTTTATATGCCTCCTCATTCATCTCACCTTCTTCAACCACTCGATGTTAGCTGTTTTGCACCTTTAAAGCACTTTTATGGTCAAAAAGTGCAAGAAATAATGAATAGTGGTATAAAAACTATTAATAAGGTAGATTTTTTATCTATCTATTTATCGGTTCACTTAAAAGCAATGTTATCGGCAAATATATTAAGTGGATTTAAGGCTACTAGCCTTATTCCTCTTGATTCTTCGACAGTGATATCAAAGTTAAAAATCAAGTTAAAAACACCAAGTCCACTATCTTCTTCAGGCAGTAACCAGTTATTTTACTTGGGAAAAACACCTTATAATCTCTACCAATTAAATCGACAAAAAGAGCAACTTCTTGAGATTTAAAACCAAGGCTTTTTTCCATCGATTGCTGATACTTTGCTTGAGAAAGCTATAAAAGGCAATAAGATTGCTATGCAGTAAATATTTTTGTTAAAAGATAAACTTTATCGACATCAGGCAGGTAATAAGTACCAAGAGCAAAAAAAGGAAAAGCCTAGACAGTTTATTTAAGATAGAGGCAGTCTAACTGCTGATACAGCACATTAAATAATCAGCGAGAAGGAGGCAAAGATTTAGGCCGAGGCCCAGGCACCTAGGCAGCGAAGGCCTCCCACATGCAGTAATTGCAATATTCAGGGCCATAATCGATTAAAATATCCTACCAGATAGTTCTACTGCGTATTTTTTATAATACATTTCATTTGTATGGAGATAAATGGTATGAATATTATCTAAAGTAAGATGGAGGTGAGGGAGAGCCGGAGCGGTGAGCAGCGCGCCGGTGTCTTGCGCCGCTCGGTGTCCAACTACTTTAGTGCCTTACAGTGCACCACACCGTAAACCCAATTCACACCGTAAGCCCAAAATTGATGCTATTCCCAATATCTATCGCCTTTCACCCTGAATATCTATCCAAAAAGGCTCGTTTCTCTGCTGCGCTGCTACCGCTGCTTCTGATAATATAGAACTCTCCCCCGTAGGCGCCCTGGGTGGCAATTAGCCGTATAATTTTGCCCACTGCTTATCCAATCTCTTCTACTCTTGTATAGCTTCTTTTTCTCTTCTGACCTTTATTGACCGATTGGCATCTTTTGTACTGAGTATACCAGAGTCTCCAAACTTTGGAATCTCTCTTTTAGTAATTTGTCGCCTCCGGGGGGCTTGTATCTGTCTTATTCAACCAACTGTATCGCTCATTATCGCAAGTTCTTCCGCCGTACGTTTATAATGGCAGAACACACGCTGTAGGCCTCACTGGAGCTTTGGCGTAAGGCTCTTAGTAGTAAACATCTTTCAGAGCTTCTTCTGGTTCTTTTAGAGGTCTTGGGCGCTCTTCAGAGGGGAGTTTTCCACACTAGAAGAAGAGAGATTCGGAGGTGTTGATTCACCGTACACGCGAAGATCGGGCGCGGAGAGCTCTGGTATAGGCGGAAGTGCATCTTGAAGCTTTTGAATAATGGTAGAGCCATCTAGAGGGTATATACCACATTCTTTAAAAGAATTGTGAATGATTCGCTGGTTAAAGGTCTTGTTTTGTACGCCAATGATATCTGCGAGGAAATCCGCCTTCCGTGCGGGTATTCCACCCCACTGAGAAATGAAGTTATTTTGCTTCCGAAAATGCTGTTTATAGGCAAGATAAGGCTTGCCATCAAGAGGCTGGCAAATATAAGTCGTATGAGGCCGAAAACAAAAAGGAATAATACTGTAATCCTCGCAGAGTTGTAGAAATTCAACGGTTTTATGGGACTTATAGCCGTCGAATATCAACACAAGTTTTTCACCCCTTTTTGTCCGAGTTTTTGTAGCCTCATGAAATTTTTGAAGCCATCCAATGGCGAGTGAATCTTTAATATATCCCTTCAGTGAAACGGCAGTCCAAAAGTCTGGTAGATCAGGGTAATTATACCAGCTTTCCATAAACCTTCAAAATAAACAGCGGCTCCATAATCCACCCATCAGCAGCAATACACTCAATTGCTGTAATATTTTCGGCATGAACTCAGCAAGGCCAGGGCATCTTCCCTTCGTACTAATAACCTTCCGAGCTTTTCCCTGGCCAGGTTGGAAGCCGCATTCGTCGAAGTTATATACAAGGTGCGACGGGAGATCTTTAACCACATTCGCAAGCTGATTATACCAGTGCTGTAGGTATCCAACATTCTCCGCATCAAGATGATTTTATCCTTCGTTCTCTGTATCACAGGGCCTAATATAAGTGTCGTTTCTCAAACCGATACGCCCACATCTTGCTAACTTCATGATCGAACCAGCGCGTACGAGCGCCCGATTTGCCCACTCTGTGAGCATCTCAGGGGTAACAGGGAGATATAAATCGCACATACTAACAATACACTGGATCAGAGCTTTCTCCTGATACTCACCAAGTGCCTTATTTTTAGGTATACGGGCGCTGCGAGCCTGTTGTCCCCGGCGAACGGGACCGCGTAGTGTCTCGTACGAAATGCCACATTCCCGCGCAGTCTTCACTAAATTCGTTTTTTTTTCGCACTGGGTAGTTTCACAGGCCTCAGTTACACGAGATTCGTCTATTTTCGGCGCCTTTGGCATGGTGGGTGGATGGAAATAATGTCAAGAAGATAGATGGGTGGAATTTTGGGTTTATGGTGCGGTGCACCCCCAAGCCGAAGGCGGTGGGGGGGCACTGGAAGGCACCAATACCATTCTACAACCAAACATGCTTCTTAGTTGATGTGATATATGTGATGTCGCTTTCTAAGAAAATTTCTTGTGCTTGTTGGTGCATTGATGTATCTAATAATAGGAACCGGACCAGATATCGTGTATGTGGTCATGGTGTTGAGTCTCCTCATGTTATAGCCTTTCTGGGAATAAACTCCAGTTCTCACCAGGGTGGTTTTCGATAAGTCGATAAGGCTCGATACGGTATCGATTGTTACCTGTGTTTATTGATTGTCTGTCGATTGTTTTCAACAAACGACAAAAAGGCTTGGTAAAATAACATAATCAGTTGCTGAGCTGCGAATTCAAACACCATTGTATATTAAAGCATTTTGATTAATAAATTGTTATAAATCTGATTCCAAATAAAGATTTTAGTATTTATCTATATTAACTCTTTCCATCTCAAGTTCTTTAATTGTGATCCCACTATGATGCCAATTTTTTAAACACTCAACCTTTTTAATACTTTCTGGTCCAAGCTGCATTCTTTCCCATGAAATTGTACGCCGTGCTCCTGAAAATACTCTCTCTGGTTCATCGCTTATCGCTGGGATTGATAGAATATTCATTGCCATTAGCGAGAGTCTTGGCCAGCGCTTTTGTTGTCCTGAGACCACCACTCTGCCTTTTGGCCGTTCTTTCGGAGACATTGCCATTCCTGTCAGTTTGCAGATGCTTCATTTGCGGACGTAGCTCTGGTATATGTCTTTGTGCTCTGGTAGTCTTACGTCGTCCAAGCCGAGGAGTCATCGGGTCCGATTGTTCTTTGTCAGCACTGCTGGGTTCACCTGGAAAGTCAGGTCTGTGGATCATTGTTGTCTTCGCTAAATGAATATACATGTTCCTGAGGGTCAGGGCATGACGGTTCAGGAGGGACCAACACTTCAGTGCGCGCTATACTTGAACCATGGAAGCTATGCATGTTATCTTGTTAATCTTTACTAGAGAATGATATTCGCCTCATTTGGTTAGACACGGAGGATTTGCATAGGTCTTGCCTGTGAGACCGTTGAGGCTTGATGTTCGTATGCAAGACATTTTCAGTCTTACAAATAGTATTCATGTCCGCGACTTGGAAAGGGAGGTCATTCACTGATTACAAAAAGACTGTAAATACTCTGTACTCTTGCACTACCGTCAATATTAAGGGCTAGAGTAACCTACTTTTTTTCAAACTTTCCTCCTCCCATTCTTGGACAGCTAGGACCTTCGGCCTTCCGTGCTTGTCAAGTACAGGAGTGATAACCGGCACATTTCTAATATCTCCCACGCATGGCCCTTTACTCGTAAGAGGACGCGCTTTCTTTGGTCTCAGGATTAGGGTTGGAGTTAAGTGTATCTGCTCCGTGATGTGTAAACAATATCTCCGATAAGCAGGACTTTAATGGACACGTACTTTTTGATGCCCTTGAAATACCATCGACCCGTGGTTCAGACCTTACCTCCATAATGGGACTTCTCTCAACCTCCGCGACAGAATTGACGTGAGTGCTGCTGACAGCGTTTGTTTCTAACAGTCCGCCACCTGAAGGCAATAGACCATCCTGTTGAATCACAACTGGTGGCTTCCTAGGAAGAGGGTGGTTTGCAGGCTGTATGTTAGGTAAGAACATTGCTTGAGAGCCAACGCTCTCAGTTTCTCTGCTGTAGTAAGAATTAAGTGATAAAAGCTTCCTGTTGTTTGAATGAGGGGTTTGTGGTTCACGAAATCGAATCCGGGGCATGTCTGGGAAACTGAGTGTCACAGATAGCTTGAAGGGGGTTTGAAAGCAAATCTGGTAAACCAAAACGGGGAAATCCAAGGACAGGGGATAATTTGTTTTGCGTCACAGGGAGAGAAGGGTAATTCGGGAGGGAACAGTGCAAGAAAGTAAGATAAATACAGGACAAATCTGTAGCTCCACATATCCCAATAATCCTCCGAGGGATCTTTATATATCCAAAGCAGCGGGTCAATTCCCGGAAAGCCTTGGGGTTATTTGTGGCGAACTTTCATCAGGGCGGTAAACGGGATCAGTTTCTTGCCAACCACCACCGGCTACCAATCCGTATTATTACTGTCCGTAAGATGCCGCACGGCACAGTTACATGCAAAATATTCGACATTTTTTTTGAAAAGCCGTGAGAGGATTACCCACACTAGGGGACCGGAGGGGTCTAAAACCTGAAAGAATGCCGCAAGTCCGAAGGAATACTGTATGCTGCACTTCCTCCGGAAGGTGCCCCTGCAACAAAAAAGAAGGGTCATTGGTTCCACCGACAGAAGAAATGGAGTGCTGAGTGTGTCTCCGATTGGACATTTCTCTTCCAATTAGTGAAATAACCGTATTCCTTGATCGCATTTGCCTCTTTCTAACATCCCGTGAGAATTTGTGACTCGGTAATCAGTTTAACTAGCGGCCTTCCAGGAGGAAATTCCAGTAGCAGACATAGTAACGTACTATCCGTCTTGGAGAGATGTATAAGAAAGCAGAAGCAAAGGGAAAAGGCGGAAGTCAACGGTACAAACACGCAGTACAGTCTGGTCTCATATACTGCTCGGGTTCAAAGCTATGGAACTGCAGGCAATGTAATAAAGCGCCGGTCGTATTCCATGCCCCTTGCAGCAACCGGCTCCATCCTCGAGTTGGCCAGGTCGTCCGAGCCCAAGAGCATATCCCCTACAAGCCCGCGGCCCGATGAAGCCGTCCTAAGGCATATAGAATGTTTCTGGAAGGCGGTACCACAAATTCGGGGAGTGTATGTTTTGCCCTCAGGACTCCAAAGACTAATGCAGTCGGAGTAAGGGAAAGACTCACGATAAAGCAGCGAGAAGTTCCCCTCAAAGCAGCAAACGCCATTTTCCTGTTAAGGAAGGTAGTCTAACCGTATTCAGTAATTTGCCCAGTCTCAGAACCACGGTAACCCGATGGGGCACGGATGGGACGGGTCCATGGACCCAAACAGGCAGGACGACCACAAAAGCGGCACGACTGCACCGTGGGAGATTTTATAAAATATATTATCCACAGTTATATAAAGGTGTTTTGCGCGTGCCTAAAGTATTAAAAGCTTGCTTTTATAGGCCAAATAGTCGCTATCCTATAATTTAATATTAATAATTTCTCGCACTAGGTTATAGCGCTCCTGGGCCTTCGTCTAACCTATTACCTTATAGATTTGTATATATAATACAGCTGCCTTTAAGATATCTATCTCACCTAGGCGATCCTGCACTTCTCGATATATTAATTGGTAGATTTAGATAGCCAAAGCTTTATTTTTTATCTGCTAAATTACTGAATTAAGCTCGTCACTGTCTAGTAAATTAAGCTTCTTGTTAATTAAAATTAACTCCGTGTTTATAATACGGGTGTTTTTAAGTAGATCCTCTTTCTAATTAGCAAAATTGGAAATCTTTAGAGATCTTAGTTTATATTAAAGCTTTCGACTAATATCCTTCCGCATGGCGCTAACTGCTTGTATTATACTCACGCAGCCGGCGTCATCCTCGCGTGGTGGCAGTAGATCTGTTAACATGGACTTTAGATTTGGAGTAGGCGTACTTAAAAGGGGCGATTAACTATATTAAATTAGCTTTATTATTTGCTGCATTTAAGTTTGTATTTAACTCTGCAGTTGCGTTTGGAAATCCCTAAATTAATCCCTTAATATATAATCCATGCAATTATTCTCTTCCTCCTCCGACGCAGTATCTTGTGGTAATGGTCGTGTTATCGCAGGAGAGGATGGCCTAGGTGTATAGTATGGAGATTTATCCCTAGCAGGCGCTTTTCCCTTTTTCGGGCCTATTTTAATTAAAGTTATTATCAATTCCTCGAGGGGCAATTAAATAGACAAAACAGGTGGTTTAAAACCACGTAATATCAGCTCTAAAAGGAAGATATAGAGGGTCTCATAACCTGTTCGCGAGGCACAATTCTCTTCAATTCAGGAGCTCGGGCGAGCTGACTATCTAGGTGGGTGACTAAGTGAGGCCACGTGACCCTACCGAATATGGTAGGTCCCTAACAGACAGAGTTTGTTAGCAAGACTCGTACAACCGCCGCTGACGTAGCCATTTTCGGCCGCCTGCAAACCGTCACATCGTTAAATGCAGTATAAACAACAGTAAGATATAAGTAAGTCAAAGGTTTAACATAGCCTCCATGTTGCATATAATTCTAAGAAAGATCTGTCAAAGGTATGCACAGCCCTTTGGTCGAGTCGCCTAAACTTAGGGAAAAACTCAATACTCCATAATCCTGCGGCCGTGACACCAACGGCTGAACTCTTCATTGACAAATACAAGCCAAGGAAGTTGTATAAACCCACTGACTCATCAGCTACCCTATCTTCTTTCCACTTTAGCGGTTGGCAAGGCGCGTTCTATTGATATCGTCTTGGCACATGACACCATTTATACAAGGGCCTGCATGCGTAAGCCGACCAGGCAACCATGCACTTATACTTGTACATCCCGTCAACCACTTGAATGCATCAATCTGAATCGCCATGGCCCCAGGCGTTGAGTTCATAAACGGCAAAAAAACGTTCATTCCGATCGGTAGTGATCTACATACTTATATAGAATCTCAACTAACTTGTTTAGAAAACAACCCCGAGGTTCTCTCCCGACTCGCTCATAATCTTGGCATTTCCGACGCGCTGACTTTCCATGACATCTTCGACATTCAAAGCGATGAAGCACTTCATTCTCTCCCTCGCCCTGTGAATGCCCTGGTATTTCTCTGTGTCTCGCCAATATTTAATCCCGTTCGCTCCAATCTAGCATCCTCTCTACCTTGCTATACTGGACATGGCTCTTCAGAACCGATTCTCAGGGTAAAACAGACTATTGGAAATGCCTGTGGTCTTATGGCTCTTTTACATTGTTTGTTAAATCTTGATGACGGGAGATATGTTACTGCGGGATCCAAACTCGATGAATTACGAAAAACAGCCGTCCCTCTTCCCCCACCAGAGAGGGCGCAGTTACTTTACGATTCTAAATTCCTGGAGGAGGCACATATGGATGCTGCAGTAACAGGAAGCACTCATGTTCCGACTGCACAGGATAAAGTCGAGGGCCATTTCATGGCTTTTGTGAAGGATGTCCGAGGCAAGGTGTGGGAGCTGAATGGGTCTCTCCCCGGGCCGGTGGAGAGGGGCGTTCTTGTAGCGGATGAAGATTTACTCAGTCAGAATGGCATACAGATGACAATTTTGGATTTTATCGAGACATCAAAGACGGTGGAGGGGGGTTGGGGAATTTCCATAGTGGGTTTGAGTGAGTCTCGTTAAAGTACCTAGAGTTATTCTAAAATACCACGAGTTTAGTGGAAACAGGCCTTTTTATCCATCAGTTGCATAGAAAATATGGCGCCGTAGTCCATTTGTTGCCCAACGAAGTATCTTTCGTCAGCCTGGAAGCTATTCGAGAAATATACGCATCTGGGAGAAGTGGCTACGACAAAAGAATATTATGACATGTTTTGACAGGTTGGAATCAAGCGCGTCAGCCACAATAGGTTTCAACCGAATATAACGAGCTCAGAACATTCCACACCAGACAAACAAACAGTGAGTACTATACCATGGTCTAATCGATATTTAACACACGCCAGCATGGTCAACGCAAACGCGAACACTCAGATCAATATGCCATGTCCAACGCCCCACCCTAAAACCATTACTCGGCTATTCAGCAAAGCACGCAGTCTTTTGCATCCAAGTGTGCAGCTACTGGCCATACCGTCCATATCTTCGTAAGTTTTCATCCCCCTGGGCAACCTGCTCCATCCAATTATCAGGGCCGCCTCCGCTGCTACGTCCTTGACGGCGTAGCAAATTTTATGTCCAGTCCTCGCGGCCCCAAGTCTCTAGACTCAGTCGCAGACTTCGAAGTCATGGAATTAACCTGTCACCATGGCCTAAAACACATCTCACCCCCAATCCTCCTCATCAGTCCACTTCCTCTAACGTAGCCCAGAAAACCTCCTCCTCTACTACCTCCCCTCTCTATTCTCACTCTCCCCCAAAACCATTACCCCTCGTCGCACTCCAAAGTACATGCCTACGTCCGCCAAACCACCGCCCAACATCACCACGATAGGCACAGTCTCGTCGCCAAACTCTCCCCCCCCCAGCTCCCCTCTTAGCATCATGCAAGTCGCAGCAGAATGCAAAGACCACATGGCAGCGGAGATCGACACCACCGGTGACGCGCTCAGCTTTCTCATGTGGGAGCTCTCCCAGCCACAACATGCTACTCCAAAATCGTCCTCACGATGAACTCCGCTCCCCTTCATCATAAATACCGTTCCACAAATTACCATATTTAGACGCCGTATTTAAAGAATCCTTGCGATGTTCCCCGTCTATTCCCATGTCTTGTCCACGCAATGTACCTCTAGGCGGTCGAACTATCAATGGATATTATCTTCCCCAAAGGACAATCCTCAGTTGTCACTCGTACACTGTTCATCGGTTCAACGAAGTTGTGTTTCCTGATACGGAGAGATTCAACCTCGATAGATGGATGAATGAAAAGGGCGAGAATGAACGGAAGAGATTCTTTGCTTTTGAAACTGGTGGACGGGGGTATACGAGTAGGAGGTAGGTTTGGCATTATCTGCTTCATTTCTTCCATCTCTGTTTATTTCTTGGCATTACTTTGTTAAAGATGCTAATAGAATAGTTTAGCAACAATCGATGAAAATTCCCTTCGAAAAGTCTACGCTCGATTCCGAATAACTGTCGTGCGCTGCATCTGCATGGGTGCATGGATATAGATAATCAGAAAATATCTGCGCGACCGAGCGATCAGACTTGTAAGCTTGTTTTTAGGCCTTTTAATGAATAATTATTATCTCTTACTTGTTTCTGTATCTATTCTTGTTCCTTTATTTTTAGCCCACCGAAATATGTATATAAAACCTGTCAAATATAAACGACCAGAAATTCTCTATTCACTACAAGAAGCCCATATCCACTATATGAAAATATTGAGCCAAATAATAAAATTACCAAAGTAAACTATTCTATAGATTACTAATATACAATGCTGCGTTCATGCCGAGTCCGAATGTTGCATTCCGACAGTTCCGATCCTGCGATCAGTGGAGATGACCAAACAGTTCAACAACCGGTGTCTGCTTAAACTTCAGTATATCCTCCTTCCATGGTTCCGTGTATTCCGAGTTTTGGTGGATTGTGAAATCATCACATTGAGGATGAGGTCAATACAAGTATGCACTGTGTGATTTCCTTGCAGGACGATATTGTCTTCAGATAATTGACATAAATACAAAATCTGAAAGAAAGTCATATGTTCATACGCGTGTGCTAATTACGTTAACAGCCTATTAATCCGCTCCACCCTCCGGGACAGACATCAAGACACGGGCCTGGTCGCAGTGTACAGTGGATAAAAGCTCGAACATGCAGAATCCACATCCTCCGAGATCAGGCTCACCCCCGTCGGGTTCGCAGTACATCCCAAACAGCCAATATCAGTCGTGCCATTGGCATTCATGCCCCTCCATCCGGGCGCGGCCGGAGCATAAGGGTCTTTGGCAAAATTCGCCCACGAACGCTGCATGAATCGACTCAATGCGACTTCTCCAGACGTCGAATTTCCGAAGGTCGAGTAAGCATCATAGGTACCGAAAACCAACGGTATATCTGAGGCATGGTATGCGCCGATATTTGTAATATTCATGGAGGGAGGGAGTGCCGGGCTCTGGATGTTGGGGAATGTCGCGTTGAAATAGTACCGGTAGGTGGGATTGTTGGCCTGGGCGTTTGCATGAGAGACGAGATTTGTAGGACATTGGAATTGTAGGTTCGTGACAAAATCTGCAACGCTAAAGAATAAAGCAGTCGGCCCTTGTGCTAAATATGCGGCTAGAGAGTCCTGAACCCAACGAGCGTTTGCTGAGTCTACTAGAGACGACAGGAACTCGGAGAAGGCCGAAAGAGATATACTACCATTTCGCTGCATTGCCTGTGAGAGAATCGGTGATACGAACAGTGAGCCTTCATGCGAATTAGTCCCAATCACGATAGGGATATTAGCCGATTGGCCATGTTTTCGAGCCTCTAGAAGTGGTGTGGCTCGTTGTGTGACGTTATCTGACACTGGAAAGAAGTCCAGAGCGAGATTCTGGACTACGTCATGGATTTTGGAGCCATTGACACTCTTCATGCATTCCAATTCGGCAGCTGCTGTGGTGCCATTACAGCCCACAAAGCTCACCACCTGCTTCCAGTTGGGTGGACCGGCATTCTCGTTCGCACTCACTGTCGCCTGTCCGGAGTGCAGAATCGCCGCTCGGAAAGGAAGTGGATCAGGTGGTGCTGTAACCAACCGGTCCACAGACGAGGCGCCAGAGGAATCTCCAAAGATGGTGATCTTCGAAGGGTCTCCGCCGAAGGAGGCAATGTTGGACGAGGTCCATTCCAGTGCGAGGCGCTGGTCGTAGAATCCCAGATTCTGGGACATTTGGTCAATGGCAGGAGAGTTGGGGAACCCAAAAACTTGATTATATATTAGTTTCGGTCGTGATGGTTAGCGGCACTTGAACTAAATAACGTACCGTTGGTCCTATAGTTAATCGAGACCAAAATGACGTCCTGGGATGCGGCAAATTGGGAACCATCATAGACTTGCTGTCCTGAATGTCCAAACTGCAGACCACCTCCAGGAATCCAGAACAAAACTGTCTTATTCCCAGAGACGGCTGCGTTCGCAGGGGTGTAAACATTCAGATACAGGCAATCTTCGCTGGCCGAGACGGCATCATCCCCAGGCAGAGACAACGGCATCTCTGCATCTCATTAGCATGGAATGTATATACCTGGGAGTTCGGATCTTGTTACGCTTATATTCGAAGCATCTATCTTTCCAATGCGTAGCATTTGAGACATGGCGAGATTCACCCACTGGTTGTGGGGGTTCAAAGCGCCGGGGAGGAGAAACCGCATATGGGATACCTAGGTACTTGTTGACAGCAACAGTAGCAGAAGGTAGAAGTGTTGTAGTGCCAACAATCGTAGCCTGTGGAATCACCACTGTGGGGAGTACACTGGGTGCGCTATGCCCAGGTTTGCTTATCGACAATAAACATAGGAGCGATCCGACAAAGAAAGGGTATGGTTTCATAACGATTAATAGGGCTACGGTTGTTGATAAGTGGTGAAAGAAGAAGAAAAAAAAAAACCTAGAGGAGCTGGCGTTCGGTTTCTGTCAAGAGTATATACGATCCTCGGCAGGCCACGGCTACCCCGGTGGAGAAGGGGGAATAAACTATGAAATGTGGACCCAGCTTTCCAACCTGCAGATCCCATGGGATAAGTCATGAAATTGTGTCTTGAAGCAGTGGAATCGTTGACCATAGAAATATACTTTGAGGAGAGTGGACCCATGCAGCGAACTATGACGAGCCTGCCAGCTGTTGACACCACGATGTCTCTTGACTCGTTCACGAGCTATCTTGTCATCAGAGCACACGTCAGCCTGGATTGTCGCGTCCCAAAGGATAATTATTGGTCAAATAGATGTTTTCTAAACACTGGTACTATTTCTAATTCAATCTACACCGCTTTATTGGCTCACTTCTTATTCTCCGATATTATCAATAATTGGCAATAAAAAGCGGCGTGAATACCGCCATGTTATTGCTCACAAACACTAATTCGCCAGCAGAGTGATTGATCTCCATTTGGGATCAAATTCTAAAAATCGAATAGCCCTGATAATTACCAGAAGTCCAATGCTACCATGTTGTAATCGTCATTCATTTATGGAACAGGCATTGACTTTCTCGTCTCATTTTCCCATTAAACGTCCCAAAAATAAAGAATAAAAAGCAATGCTGTTTTGACTATTAATTATAGCAATTAGAAACTAGTATAATAGGAGCCAAGCCCAGAGATATGCATCGCTTTCGCTACTGGGTAATCCGTGTGCTGGCAGCCCATTTGGGAGCCTCTCCGTTGAACTCACCAAGGAATTCACAAATCCATACACAATTATTTTGCCCATTATTCCCCGTATATTAGAGCTCTACAGCAGACCAATTAATATATATAATAAATTTTAAAACACCCATAGACAGTACCACACATACAATGGAACAGCGGCGTTGTATACTTCTGCCGAGTGAGCCAATGGCGGCGGTGCGGGGTACGGTTGATTGATAGCCTCAGGCAGCTTGCCCCCTCCTCTCACTCTCTCAACTTCTCAACCTCCCTCGTCCTTCCCCCAGACTGTACATACGAAACAATCTATGAATTATGGCCCCCCAGCCAGCCAACCCTCCAAGCGACAGCCGACTTTCCACGAGGATGTCCATCCGCTGGATTCCCGAACCTGCGTCGGAAACCACCGATACGATCGTTATGTCTGTCAAGGGCTGGTATGTCGACCTGCGCGTTGACAAGAAAAGCAGTGCTATCGATTGGGCAATTGCAGGGCAGCGGATTGTGGACAGTGAAGATTCCAGTATTTCCCCAACGCTTAATCCAAGTTTACAGGATAAACAAGCAAGGCGCTGACTTCATAGGTCGAGTACAATTCACCCACGAAATTGACTCCCACAACTCCTTTGATGTGGCCGACTGTGGAACCTTCACTACTCTGCCTAATGGCGATGAACTAGAAGTCGGGTCAATGCCCCGTCCTGATCGACCTGGCGCTCCAGTTTCCGACTACGAGGAAATATGGAGAGAATTGCCATTCAGGAAAGGCGCGGAGGGTCCTGGGAGCGGCGTATCGTGGGTCCTTGAGTCGAAACATACGATCAATGCCAATGTGGGCGGTGAGGTTGAGGTGGCCAGAACATTTCTGGCCAGGGTTTGGGGCACTTATTTGGCATTGCGCCAAACTCAGGTTCTTGTACTCTCGGATCACTCCGGTACTATCACTGTGAAGGAAGGGAGAGAAGTTAGTGCAAGACGGGAAGAATGGGACACTACAGGAGGATGGGGGGAAACATACACATTTCCCCACGCAAACGAATTACCATCAATGAAAAGCCTCCAAAAAGAGGACACGGGGTCATGGCGGACAGGAGCGACAGTAGTGGTTTCTGGAGATGAATATACGGTTCGATCATTTGAAGAAGTTTTGTAAGGTACGTGGACATTGAAAGTCATTCATCATACTCTTATCCCTATGTCTGTATATAGATTTCATTCCCTGTTCTACTGCTCATTGACAAGCACATAGCGGTATCGGGCCTTGCCCACACCCATGTCCACGATAGCTTGGTTGGCATCCTTCATTGAACGTTCCTCAACCCAGGTCCGGACATTCTTCTCAGCAGCCAGCTGCAGCATTTCGCGGATCTCACTAGGACTCCCAATCAGCGAACCACCGAATTTGACTCTCTTCATAATCAGGGAAAAAGCCGGAATGGAGAGAGCACCGTCCTCCGGGGCGCCGAGTTGAACGAAAGATCCATTGGTTTTCAGGAGGGAAATGTAATCAATAATGGGCATCTGACGAGTTCATTAGCCGATATAGCACCATACAATCCACAGTACAGACCTTAGACGAGGAGACAGTCGAAACAATCAGGTCTAAGGATCGTGAGTTGTCCTTAGCCCAGTTCTTGTTATCATCGGTAGCAATATAAGCGTCTGCTCCAAGCTTAAGAGCATCTTCCCTCTTGTTGGCCTTGCGAGAGATGGCAACCACCCGATCAGCACCCAGGGCCTTGGCAAACATAATACCAAAGTGGCCTAGACCACCAACACCAATAATACCGACCGTCTTTCCGGGCCCACATCCATTGTGACGCAAAGGTGAGTAGGTAGTGATACCACCGCACAGCATGGGCGCAGCGATAGCCGGGGGGATAGTATTGGGGATCTTAATAACAAAATGCGAGGGTGCACGGTGGTACAAAGCATATCCACCATATGAGTTGCCACCATTTAAATGAACGCTATTGTACGTTCCCACCATAGTATTCGGGCAATATTGCTCGAGACCAGAGGCGCATGCCTCGCAATCACCCTTCCGACCCTGGCAAGAGTCATTCTGCGCGCCGACACCGACGCGGTCCCCAACCTTGATATTTCCTTCGGTCTTCGAGCCTACGCGCACCGCGATACCGACAATTTCGTGACCGACGCAGCAGGGGTATACGGTAGGACCCTGGTCCACACTCAGCGGATGCAGCTAGAGACTTAATCATAAGGCATAATGACATACCCATCCACTTTTGAGAGTGTGTAGGTCCGATCCGCAAATACCAGAGTGTGTTATCTTGATATCGATGTCGGTTTCTTCCCAAGGCTTAGGCTCGAATTCCTTCCACACCATGTTGCCTTCGGCAGCCTTGGCGTCAAGGCCCATCCAGCCCTCGAACTTGTAACTGGTAGCAGCCATTTTCTATTGGTGTTCAACGAGAGTCGATTGAGTATGGAGAAGGGAATAATTACCAGGATGTGCTTAGTGGCTTTATATACCAGGCCGGTTACTGCAAAAACATGATGAAGCGATCAAGTTCGAAGCGCCAAAAAAAATAAAAAGAAAAATACTGATTAGAAATTCATGGACCAAAATATCCACATCTCCCAAGTTAAGTCCATTATTTCCGTGATGACAATAGGTGTTCTGAAACTTCGCAAATAATTCGGACTTAGATTCCAGTGAACTACGGTTCTACTCTTGAAACCAAAAATCTGTATACAGAATACCAATCAATCTGATATTCTGCATTTGCTGAATTTGCCCAGCTAAACACACTGACTGTAAGAGGCTTACTGTGTACAGACGCCTGCCACTCCTGTTCGTAGCTTTGCTGAATTGGAAGGGTTTAAAAGTGGAGAACTGATGGGTCCTCATCCTTCCCGAGCCGTGGAACCGGTACCAATATTACATTTTTATTGGCCAAAAACTCATTAAGAATTCTTCGATTTTCCATCGGCCTTCGACCACAGCACTAGTGATGCAGTTGCTGACGCTGTTCCCACTTGCTGATGCTATCCCCGCTTGCTGACGCTATCCCCGCTTGCTGACAGCATGCCAAAGCCACAGCAACTTTTATAAGAACTCCTTTTTATAATCAACCCGATGACGAAATACAGCGCAGGTAAAGTATTAATGCTTGGTCTAGATTATAATAGAATTGGGGTTGGTTCGGAGAACTGGCTATTTCCGAGACTTTGAGTCAATTTAGTGTGACGATGACTGGCTTATTAACGCCTAGATTAGGAGTATTGCAGAATTAGGGAACAGTAGACAATGTCATAATTAATGTGAAAATTTAAGTCACTAACTACATGTTGAATAACTTTTTACACTACTGTATGATTCTATAGAGATTTTCATTCTCAAGCTATAATACTGACGCCCTGTTGTTAAGTACTCCGAGAGACAAGAGTTATTCAATTGGATATAATAGCTTCACATTGTAGATATAGACTTCCGTAGATTAAGAAACATATATTTGGCCAACTTAAATAATGATAATAAAAGGACCTAATTGTTCTACCTATTTAAAAAAGTTGGACATATTCTATCACAGTGTTAAGATTAACTGAAACAATCGGCTATTGTCTACGATAAGCCTAAGTCTTATAAATGGGTCTACCTATAACAGCACAATATTATGCCATAAACCACTAATATACCATGCTATCATTGTAAAATATGACTCTGATCGGTGTATAAAGCCCCGCACGCAGCTGACTGCACCTAGCGTAGTGACTCTAACGGTCTAACCTTTCATATTTGCTACTGTTTGCTTTATTTCGGAGGGGGTAAGTAAAAATATTAACATGGCCCTAGAGCTAGGCCACTTATTAAGGGATACTTCGGGGCAAACATATTTGTAAATAACACAATGATGATCTAATCCTTCTACAATACGGTTTCTGAGCTGTAGATATTAGTTAGGTGCTCGATGACTCAGCCAGAAGCTCTTCATATAACAATTATAATGGCATTGGATATAGTAGCAAAGTGCTCTAATTGTTAAAGCTTTGAAAGCAGCATCATGTGAGATAAAGAAAGAGTCAGTTTATGAAATATAGTGCATAGAATAAGGGAAACCAACGTATATAGGTCTAGACCTTATCGCCGGGAATACTAAAGACGAGATTTTCTTGTTAAACTATTAATACTAACTGCTTTCCTTTGAATGCTTATTATACAAAGTAAAGGACATATTTAACGAATATTCAATGCTAAGAAATATCATAGAATAAAATAGTTTTGTAAGACAGTCTGTTTGACAGAATTCATAGCAGAGGCACATATAATACACACTCAAGGTCCTTCGTCCTAATTAAATTGCTGAATGATACAGAGTGGACCTTATTTATAATTAAAATAATTATTACTGCCAGAATGTCATAGCAGGACCTCTCTAATAGCAAAATTGCAAATGTCATGGAGGAGTATATAATCTTACTAAGCAGCTGGCCCTTCACGGCCGGAAAAACTACACTTCCGCTGGCGGGGTTCCGCACACCTGTGGATTTTGGAGTCCGAAACCAGGAGATCACAAATATCCCACCGAGTTGATCGCGATACGCATCTCTCACGCGACCACATTTTCCTTCGTCGTACTGCGTATGAGTAAAGCCACCATGGCGGAACAAGTCACGGAAGGCCTTGCCAAGCTTCAGTTAGACCCGGAAACGGGTGAGATGGTCTCCAAGACCGAGCTGAAGAAGCGAATGCAAAAGCGAGCAAAGAAGGCTTCCAAGGCAGCTGCTAAAACGAGCAACCCGAGCAAGCCAGAGAACAAGTCTGGTACCGCCACCCCTAAATCCTCCGAGCCTACTCTTGACCCGGATGCCATGTTCAAGCAGGGCTTCCTCGCCGATGTTTACAATTTGCGACCTGCGAAACCTGTCAGAACGAGATTTCCTCCCGAGCCAAATGGATATCTTCACCTCGGCCACGCCAAGGCTATTGCGATCAATTTTGGCTTTGCGCGATACCATGGTGGCGAGACAATTCTTCGTTTCGATGACACAAACCCGGACGCCGAAGAGGAGAAGTACTTTCATGCGATAGAGGATATAGTTCGCTGGCTTGGTAATTTCTACGGTATTGACTTGGTGGTGCGTTCCGCTAATTGATCTATTAGGGTTTACTCCCAATCAAACTACCTATTCCAGCGACAACTTCCAGCGCTTGTACGACCTTGCCGAGAAGTTAATCGAGCTCGGAAAAGCCTACGTTTGCCACTGCAGCGAGATCGATCTCAAGATGCAACGTGGAGGCGAAGATGGCAAGTCACCGCGATTTCAGTGTGAGCACGCCTCCCAGAACGTGGATACCAACCTTTCCAAATTCCGCGGTATGCGCGATGGCAAATATGAGCCGCAAACCGCCTTTTTGCGTATGAAGCAACAACTTCTGGAAAATGGGAACCCGCAGATGTGGGATATTGTCGCCTATCGTATCCCCAAGAACCGCACTCCCCATATGCGCACTGGGTCGAAATGGCATATTTATCCATCCTATGACTTTGCTCAGTAAGTGTGTTCTCGCGCGCATGTGTTTAGACTTGTTTCGCGCTACTTTCCTTTGGCTACCTTTCCCTGCGAGCCTTATTCTGGCCTCTTATAGTATCCTTTAGGATATATTTTCTAATTCGGAAACAGCTGTCTTTGCGATAGCTTTGAAGGCATCACCCATAGTCTCTGCACAACCGAATTTATTACTGCCCGGGAGAGCTACGAGTGGCTGAATAAGACACTCGGTGTTTATGAGCCAATGCAGCGCGAGTATGGTGAGTCCCCGTTATTGTTGACCTTAACAAACGTCCGCTGATGAAACCCTAGGCCGCCTAAATATCACCGGAACTGTCATGAGCAAAAGAGTTTTGAAAGAGCTGGTTGAAAGGGGGCACGTCCGGGGCTGGGATGATCCTCGTCTTTACACCTTGATTGGTATTCGTCGGCGAGGCGTGCCACCTGGAGCTATTCTTTCCTTCATTAACGAACTAGGCGTTACAACATCACAGACGGTTATCCAAACTGCACGATTCGAACAGACTGTTCGCCGTTATCTCGAAACATCGGTCCCTCGCCTCTTGCTGGTCCTGGACCCTATACGTGTCGTAATTCAAGATATCGGTGATTTAGAGGGACAGGAGCTAGTGTTGCCCTTTTCGCCAAAGAAGCCCGAATTTGGCTCTTATAAGCTGCAGATGACGTCATCCGTCTACATCGACCGATCAGATTTCCGCGAGGTTCCTTCAGAGGAATTTTTCCGCCTGGCGCCAGGTCAAACCGTCGGTTTGCTACAGGTGCCCCATCCCATCAAGGCTGTTTCCTTTTCCAAGGACCCGACCACCGGCAAGGTAACAGAGATTCAAGCCATCTTAGTACGAGACGGTCCCAAGCCGAAGGCATTTATACAATGGGTTCCGGAGGGCTCGTGTAAGGTCACGGTTCGGGTTCACAATCCCCTTTTCAAATCTGAAAACCCCATGGCCGCGGAGGGTGGGTTCCTCGGCGACATCAACCCCAACAGTGAGACGATCTACCCTGAGGCGCTCGTAAATGCCGGGTTTGATGAGGTTCGCCGTCGTGCTCCTTGGCCGCAGGCTGAGGGCGAAAAAACTCATTCTGGGCCGGAAAGTGTCCGATTCCAAGCTATGCGAGTTGCATACTTTGTAAGCATATCAGTTCCTCTCAAGCCTGGAAAAAGTGGTCGCTAATATTTGATAATTGCATAGGCGATGGACTCAGATAGTACAGAAGACTCGATTGTGCTTAATCGCATCGTGCCTCTCAAAGAAGATGCCAGGAAGGATGCCTAGAGCTTTAGATAGTGTTAGATCTTGTTCTCTTACTTACCTAGGGATTAGCATGAGCGGTGGGCGTTGAAAAGAAACCCAACAGGGAATAACATACACTTGAGGTTATCGACGAAGATGATATCTTTATATCCACAACTTTGTGTTTTAATAAACACCTTCCCTGTAAGCATCTCTATACAGATGTTGAGAACATCGACTGAGCTTGGACTGAGTCAGCCTGAATAAAAACGAGGTCCATGTGACATGGAAGTGCTGGAATAAGCATAAAACGGAGGATATAATACGACTAAAAGTATGATACGGGGGTTCATTGAAGCGACATTCTTACAGAGTACTCTCTGTAGACGTTGAATTGAAGATGATCCTAGTAGGGCTGAGAAGGTCGCCGCTCCTTAGACTGGAGTCGTAATATCAGGTTGACAGTCCCCGTAGCCGGCCTAGACCCTCTCGGGCCTAACGGGAAATGACCCGGCGTTTGGAATGCATCGGGGTTCCGGTGTCTGCTGCTGAGATAAGAATTTCGGGGTTTGTGGGGCAACACTGGCATTCGATTGTGTTTACTCCTATTCGTTGGGCTAACGCAGATCCATCTTGCTCTCCCCTTAGAGCATGCAAATGTGGTTGATACGGAGAGAGGCCAGGCAAAGCTATAGTTGGTATGCAAGGAAGACCAAATAAATACTACATATGATATACGCGAGCGAATAGTACCAGTATTAAACTCAGTAGACATTAGATTGATTGTAGGGTACATCCAAGGCGGAATGATGAAACAATATACAATATACACATAAGCATCCATCCAGATATTACACCATTCAAAGCTTTTACTTCTTCTGCTTACCCCGTGGCCCGGCAACGGTTCCCATCAAAACTAAACCCATTAGCACAATGCAACACAAGAGAGATAGAGAGAGAGAGAAAGAACTCACCGTCCCAATAGCGAAAGGAGCTCGAATAATTCCCCACAAAATACCGATGATGATCATCGTGCCAATCAGCTCCGCCCCAGAACGGCACAATCCGTCTCAAACTCCAAGGGAAATCATACCCAGAGTGTGCGTCGATCGCCTGGATCTGTCGCAGCGTCATCCACACCAACACCGTCATCAGATGTACTTCGCCCGTGATGTATCCCATGAGTAATGGGGGCCCGATCGTCCCAAGTCCCAGGAGAAGCGTCTCCCATGGACTGGCATATTCGGCCGTGAGCCCGAACGGAGCGGCGTATTGGTGGTGGATGCGGTGAATGGAGCGGTATAGAGGCCCCCAGTGCATGGCGCGGTGGAGCCAGTAGTGGTATGTGTCTTCGACGATGAAGAAGGTGATGATTTGTGCGGCGATGGCGCTTAGGGTCGGGAATGGGAGGTCGTATTTGAGTCCGCAGAGCTTCATCATCGGGTGGAAGAGGATGATCAGTGGGAGCTCGATGATGAAGTGGATGGCGAGGATGTATTTGACGCAGGTCCATTGGTCCATGACCGATGGAGGGGGTCTTTTGTCTTGAATCTTGTACCTGTGGAAGAAAATGGGTAGAGCGTCGGCGATAACCCAGGGAATACATCGGCCGAAGTAAATCAGTTCGTGGGCGACGAAGGCCATGATTCCTGTTCTGTGTTAGGATGGAATACAAGGGATGAGGGATTTGAGCTGCTTATATACCTGTGGCGAGTGTGTCGTTATTCCAGTAGGAGTAGTGCGCCTGCCAGAGGCTTTCCATGGTGGACAGATTGTGCTGTTTTGCGACCTCAAAGAATTGCGTGTAGGAGACAGCTGGCTGCGCGGAGCTGGAATTGAGCAGCGACTCCATAATGAAGTATTCCCAGCCTGACATGTATCTACAATTTCTGAACTTTGTTCTTCTTGGTCTAATATATATTACAGGAGTGGCCCCTGAAGTGGAGGGTCCATCCGGATGGGCTGATCGGACACACCACTCGGATGCCCGAGCGGATCAAATGATCAGGCCAGCCCTAGCCTCAGTCAACCATTCACTCCCAATGAGATCTTCCAAAATTTCTCTTCCGAGTCTAATTTCTCCAGTTATGTGGAGTACATCATATTATTATCCTGTCAATTATCACATGCACGCACGCTTTTCTAAAGTTACAACTGCCAGACATACACAATTGGCCCTCAAAGCTGCAAAGCGGCAATACCCAACGCCAGACCAACCACTACAGACATCTCAACGCCTATCATTCCAGAACCCCCGTCCTGTACGGAGCTAGTCGAAGATGCATTGGCAGTACTGCTCGCGGAGTTCGTGGAGCTCCCGGTCCCGGCCGAATTGCTCGTCTCTCGGGGCCCATCGCAATGCCAGTGGTCGTTGTGAGGATGACATCCCACCGACTCGCTAGGACTCGGTTTCGTGGGAGTTGCCGTGGCTTCCGCGTGGTTGTGGTCGTGGTCTGCATGGTCTGAATGGCTTGCAGTAGTAGTGGCTGTGGCGTCGGCGGTAGCAGGTCCTTCACAGTGCCAGTGATCGCCATGAGGGTGACAGCCCACCGACTCAGTAGGGCTTGGCTTCGTTGGAGTCGCTGTGCTTTCATCGTTCTCATGATCGTCATGATCCGAGTGGCTCGCTGTAGCTGTAGCTATGGTCTCGGCGGAAGCAGGTCCGTCACAGTGCCTGCAGTGAAAGCCGTGAGACAGAGATATATACACACACATAGGTCAGGAAAATGGCTAACATACCAGTGATCTCCATGGGGATGACAGCCAACTGAAGCAGTCGGCGAAGGGCCTGGGTCCTGGCTCTGAGCCAAAACTGATGAAGCCAGGGCCACGATAGCAAGAAGTGAGTATCTCATTGTGTCGGAGTGTCTTGTACAGCGAAAACTCGATGCTGATCGCAAGAGAACCCCCTGACTAGCAGAAGAATGTAGGCTTTATACCCACGAGTACGGAACTAATCTCCCACAGACCCCCATTACTTCGCTCCGCTTTTCCATTTTTACCCTCCTTCCCATCGCTCTACACCTATAATGTCTGCTCGTACAACGCCAAGCGGAGTGGAATAGACTTGGCGTCTCCAAGGTTCTCAGAAGATGCTAACACCGGGGTACACGGACCAACGAAGAGGCGCGGCATGCGACGAGAAAGACAGGCTATACGAGAGTCGTCCTACTATCAAGGTGGTCGGTATCCACAATTTTCGTTGCAAGTATCCCAAAATCTGGAATTCTCAGCCAATCACGTCACCTATGCCATGTTTTATTTGGCTTCAAAATGCCAAGACTTTGACCCTACCGAGTGCCAAGAATGCTTGAGAACCTTGGGAGTCCGTGTTTCTCTTCCATATTTTTCATTCCAGGTTAGACACTGGCGGAGTTCCGTTTGTTGGATTCGTAGTTGTGTTTAACTATAGGTATTCACCGGAAGACTGGCCACTAGGTGCTGACCGGTTCACCTACAGTAGAAGACTGATCTGTTGGATTATTGCTGTTCCGGTATCTGAATCTGAATGCAGCTTATAGGCTGATCCACAGCTTTGTGGCTGGTACAGTTGGAGTCGAACCCGGTGTCATCTCCTCATACTGTTTTAACCACCCCTGTTCCACTTCGTTGTATTGTATGTCATTGTTTTCAAAGGTGGTATAGATTACATGTATCAACTTTATACAGGTTGTACCTTAGTACCCCACCTTCATATTCAGAAGGTGAATACGGGCATTTTCCCAATGATCAATCTAATTCCAGGCGCAAGTTACGATGGCACCCAACTTGGCATCTGCGCAACTCCAGATTATTCAAGATGTGATTAAATGTGATCCATCGCTGGCTAATTCTCAGATAGCTGATGCTGCAACTGCAGGAAGCGCATGATCCATCCATCTTTTTGGCACTGTCATAGCACCTTCAAATAAAGGCGGACTTCCACGAAGTATCACACCGATTATGCTGGAAACTCTCTAGTGACTATCTTCTTAAGAAGCCGGATTAGTACCTTGAGGATATGGCCATCTTCCTATGGGACGAGTTTCAAGTCCAAGCAACAACGTGCAGTATCAGGCGCGCTCTGTCTAATGGTTGGTTAAAAAAGACAGCCTAACTGAAAGCAAGCGAGCAGAACTCGAATTTGCGAGATATATATTTTCAACTTTATTTCAGATATTCATTTGGTATATCACTTTATTTACGTGGATGAATCTGGATGTGATAAAGAATAGGCTTCGCGCAAACTGGTGGCCTCCTCGGAGTAGCACCAATTTAAGTGTCCAAGTTTCATCGTAATCAGCGGTATCAGATACTTCCTGCTCAAGATGGCATTGTATTTTCGCGCATCTTCCAAGGTTCGACCGATGCCTCTGTCTTTGAGGATTTTATTGAAGAGCTTCTCCGTTATTGTGGTGAATGGCCTGGGTCGAAATCCGTCCTCTTGTAGACATTGCATCCTTTCATCATTCTGAGCGGATAGAGCAAATGTGTTTAGAAGCGGGAGTCAAGCTGGTGTACTTACCGCTATACTTACCAGACCTGAATCTAACTGAAGAGTTCCTCTAAGCTGAAAGCCTTTACTCGGCGGCACTGGAAATCATATGAAGATAGCCCTGATCAAGGATTTGATACCTTCCTTGAGTGGTGTGTTGACGCTGTGGGTGCAAGAGAACAAAGTGCGAAAGGGCATTTTCGGCATGAAGGCCTGACTGTTGTACCAAAGATACCAGCTCCATTTCTGCTAGCTGAAATGGTTTAATCTTAACACAACAGTCGCTGAGAAGGTCAGAGCCCTAGGGTCGAAAATAAGACACCATGATACGCAGGTGCGTTAGAAAATAAAAATGCATGAAGAAACAAAATGCAAAATATTTAGCCAGCCATCAGCCTATAAACTCATTATATGTCCTGAATTCTTTAACGTATCTACCATCCAATTTTCCGGCTTAAAAAATATCCTCCACATATCCACCCGCATTACTAAGGTTCATAATTTACATGCAACAGCACGATGGGCACTGAGGAGAATACTAACATTAGCGGCTGTTCCCTTATCGCATAATAAGAATTCTTCTGTGGAGAGGAGTACCCTTGGTAAGTAATGATTAGCAAGGTACATGGTATCTTCTGCAACAAGTCGCATTCTATCCCAGGATAATTCGGTCCATGATCTTATTTACGTATTTGAGTTTCTCGCTTTCTCGCTTGCCAGATGAAGAGTCATTTAGAGGGAGCAGTTAGGCAAATTAGATTAATGTTTAAGTTGGATATATGTACCTAGTGTATAAGTCTGACTATTCCTTGCATTGGCTTTGACGTCGAAGTCAAATGCTACAGTGCTGGTGTTTCCGGGCGATAAATATTGAGATATTAGATTAGTCATGCCTTCAGCTCTAACTTTTGACTAGTCAGTTAAGTCAGGTGCGAGTGTTTAGTTATATTCACACCCTCGAGGCCGGCGATTAGTTCTGAAATATAAATTAATGATCTGCATCTTAGGTGGTTGCCTAATATGCGGGGTTCACCACCCCGAGTACTTTATCCCTTCTTCTGTATTCTAGAGAGGGCGCGAGTCAACCATCCAAGTATGGTAGTTATCGTGGTCTAGGATATCAATATATCGTTCCCTATATTAGGCAATTGGTTGCTTGGCTGTCCGATGAGCTTCCTGCCTTCTTCCCCCCTGGGCCCTGAGTCACATCAATATGCGATTCCTTTTTCCTCTCCAGATTGCTCCTTATCCTTCTTTATCGCACTTAGCCTAGACCTCCTAAGCTAGAGCCTCTATCACATAATTACGCTAAGAAAATCGCACAGGTAAATTTAATTACACATTGCCAAATGAAATTTTACAAGATTACGAATTTTGTCCACATGCTCGATTCAGTCCTGGAGCGAGTACTCTGTTGTACAAATGTTTTATGTACTTACGCTATAGCCGCCCGCTAACGCTAGGCGCATATTTAACATCCATTACTGGATCATGATTTGACACTAAAAGAACTACAAGCTAGGGCTACGGCACCCCGTCCAGCCGCCCTTTAAATCTCAGCCCATTTTCCCCTCCCATTTTGCCCCCTTTTCCCTTTAGTTCCGTAATGCCCTGGGGTTTCCATAAGTAGCAAAATCATAATTTTGCACTAGTCACTGGCATGGCGAAAAGTGCTTTATTCATCATTCTTCTGCTGGTCCGAGTTCAGTGCGCAGCGGGAGCACTAGCAGATTTATCTGATGGATTCTGTCGGAGTTACAAGTTTGGAAGTAAGACATTGTATCATATTGCGTTTTGATTATTTTGGGAATCCATGGCTAATAAATCGCCCAGCTTCCGTTGCAAACGATATTCTCTATCTTATCGACCTGGATGGAGGACTTATTCCAGGCGATGGCGATGCGTCGAGTAAGGATATAACAGTAATCCCGTCGACTTTCAAAACGCGTCAGCTGATGCTGTATCCAAAGACAACTATCTCGTCCAGTTGGACCTCACTCAGGAATTCTATGTCAACAATGGGTCCCATTATAAGATGAGCTTGGTCCCGTCTAATATCCCTAAACTGAAAGACCAGGCACTATGGTCCAGTCAGGATAATGCCACCCTTTTTGCTTATGGAGGCCGTGGTATACGCAATACGTCCTCAGACAATGGGATCTGGACATATAAACCTCAAACAAGGTCATGGAGCCTTCAACAGACTGGTATTATTGCTGTGCGTCGTTTAGGAGGGGGTGCGTAAATATTTGAGCGATTCTTACAACCATGTGCAAGTAAACCTAACCGTACCAACAGCTTATGTGAATGCCCCTGCTATCCAAAGTGCCTTCTGGCTGGGTGGATATCAATCCAGTGATACAACGGAGACCATTACAGACGAATCTCTGCACTATTTAGATAAAATGATTAAACTTAATACTACCACAGGCCAAGTCACAGAAGTCAGTGCCCTATCTAACCCGGTTCAGCAGGGCGCTCTGGTATACATACCCGTTGGGGAATTGGGTATCTTGGTATTCATGGGTGGTGAAGTACCCTCTGATAAAACTGGCGTCGACCTGACGTATACACCGGTAACTCCTCACGAACCTATGGGCAAAAACACGTTCTAAATGCTGTACAGAATAGCTGGAACTATGTCCAAGTATATGATATTGCTTCAGATAAATGGCACAACCAGACAACATCTGGGGCCGTTGCAGCGGCAAGAACACAGTTCTGTGCAGTTGTACAACACGATGTATCCTCGTCTTCCTACCAGATATACGTCATAGGAGGTGCCAATTTTGAGACGCGAGAAGTTTATTCTGATGTGTAGGTATGCTCTTTCAGTGAATAATTACCTTTTTAACTCGTGCTGTAGATCCTACCTCTCTATTCCCTCGTTCAAATGGTTCCGAGCAGGAGGTCTCCATGAAGGCCGAATGACACTCTCCTGCGAAGCATACGGCAGACAGATATTCGGAGTCGGTGGACGACTGGCTTGGTCTGATACTGCAGACGCCGGGTGCTACACGATGCCTGCATTTGTTTATGATGCCCAATCGGAAAATGAGCCAACTACTTTTGACGTAAGTGCATATCCGACACAGATAAACCTATGGAATTGCTGAGTTGAGTACAGCCCTCTTTATTCACATATTCAATTCCATCTGTGACGGAAAAAGATATTGAATCCTCACCATATCCGTCAGCCTGGGTGGATCCGGCTTTGGAACATATTTTTCTCCAGAGTTTTTCACCGAGTCCGTCCCCCACGTTTTATTCGGACAGTGAACTTGGGCAGAAGAGGGACGTCGGAGCCATTGTGGGTGGAGTAGTTGGAGGTGTTACAGGTCTAGCGTTAACTGTTGTAGTCTTAGTGTATCTGTACAGGCGGAAGCTTCATGCTGCGCACAACAGCCCAGGGAGGATGAAAATTAAATATGAAAGCTCTTTGGGACGAGGAGAATTGGCAGATACACAACTGACACCAGAGTTGGCCGGGCGAGAGAGACCGCATGAACTGGGACATGATGGTAATATGCATGAACTGGACGCGAGAGAGACGTGATTCCACAAGTGACGGAGGGGTTTTAAATGAGCATCGGAGATATCAAGGCACACGAGCGGGTTTTCTCCCGGGGCAGCCATCAGTGCTATATCAAGTCGGGAGTCCCACGCGGACTTATTTTCGTACCGCTCGATCGCAGAAGGGAGTATCTTGAGGTGAACCTTAAAATTTTATCAAACTAATAGTGATGTAACTTGAATTAAAAAAGAAAGAAAGGGGGGGAGCATGCTTTTCATGCGTAGGAGAAGTCGCAGGTTTGTGAGGAGGTGCAAACATTTGGAGCAGTCTTAGCAGTAGAAGGGCGTTAATTGTATGGCACGTTTATGGGTCATGATTTTGTATATATATATTCCTACGGACCTGATTTTCTAGAGCCTCTGCGACTGTTCCCTTCTTGATGTCACCGCTTTAATGAACGTAGCGTACTTAGGGGCCCTGTAAATGCGGTAACCCCGCCCGGCATGTAACCCCAGTTGAATCTACCACAGAATTATACTACTATCTATGGCTAGATATTGCTGTCGGCTACACTTCAACGCAATATGTATATATACATATTGAAAAAAAAATCAACGAATATTGCCTAATATAAAAATGGCGAAGATATACCACGATCCTCTTGAATATCTATAAAGAGGCGCTTCAGTTGACTTATTTCCTGGCTCCTCAGAAGATTGTGTGAGCGATTTACCGATATCTTGACTAATTTGCTTCATAAGAGCTTCCGCACCCTTGCAATTTTCTTTCTGCATAGCTCTCCAACGAGACCGTATTTCCTTTGCTTTTCTCTCGTCAATTTGGCGCCGAAATTGCTAAATCTTGTTTGACCTGCCGGCGGGATCGCGTGGTTGAAATAGACGGTCGTTTTTACGTCTCTAAATTTTCGTCCCATACCGCCGTGTACGTGGCATCTTCTTCTGCATTGGATAAAGCACCACGCAAGATATGATCAATTGTAGGAGAAAGCTCCTTTTAGTGGATCGTACTAAAGTAATTTGATGACGAATTGGATGCAGTGTTTTAGGTGTTTCCACTTTATTCTGCAGTGGTGGGTTGGCCTGGGATTCCGTGGCCGACCCCTACCTCCCGCCAGCCCGCACGGATTGTACGGGGCATTAAAAGCTCGCTTCCGGATGTCATCAATATCATATAGGAATTCTAATTTGTCATATTTCTTGCCATTTATGCGGGAAATGGTGTTGACTGCGGTGGCATGCCAATCTTTAAGCTGGTGAAAGGCAACGGAATCAAGTGGTTGCAGTCAATTGCGTCAAATGCGGTGGAAAAAGTAAAAAATAATTCTATAATATTGACAGAATTGTACAAAATCCATAGTGACATGAGATTTATTGTTATCCGTAAGAAGAAGGCGATATCTCTCTTTCTGTCGCTTGCTTCCTGCAGTATGCTGGTTAAAATGATGAATCCAAAGATATGCAACTTTATCACTTGTATAGCATGATTCAGAGGCTTTAGGAATATAGTCATCTGGAAGATTGGTTTGTGTATGCCAATCCTCTAGCCGGACCTTGCCTGGCATGATCAACACCGGTGGAATTAAGTTACATGTAGAACTAACACACTTAATTGCGCTTACCAGTATCCGCAATGACGCGCTTGCAATAGCGTTATTGCGCTTTGGATACTTAGTAATGACTTATTCAATGCGTCCCTGGCCAATACGGGAAGCCCGTTTCATCAAAATTCCAGATATTTTTATCTTCAATATTGAAAGCCTCGATTTGATTTGCAACTAATTGTACCACTGCAGAATATCTTCAATGTTCTCTGCCTCGCGTCGATTCATCTCAACTACACGCCGCTTTCCTTGGTATACTGTGGATTCCGTCGTAGGAAGCGATAACCCCAGTCTTGGAGAATTTTGGTGGTGATTTTAACAGATCGGTATGGCCTCGTTTAAGAATTGCATTAGCAGCCTTTTGAGCATCAGTAATACTTAACTGAGCGCCTAGGTTATCAAACTGAGCACGATTAAGGTATAAGCTCATCATGAACCTGCAGTGAAGCAACAAAGGGGTATCACCCCATCATAATATAGTCGGCCTAGTCCTTCTAAGGACCTACTGCCCCGCTGATGCATCTGCATTGGATCGATCTCTGCTAGGCCTGTTTATTTATAAAATATAAATCTTGAGCGGCATCATGTGATAGATCTTGCCTCGAAACACTTGTAATTGGAAAGCTTCGATTTTCTAAGATAAAGCATAGAGTACAGCAAGAGACATCTGACCTCATACAAGGAAGCCTCAGATATTTATATAATTTCATTCGTCACTTAAATCAGCATATTTTGTTTGTATTCACCGATACATGGGCTCCTTGTATTTCACATTGACAGGTCTCAATGACATCACAGTAACTAACTCCTGAAAAATGCATATTATGACAGACTTGGCAGTCCCGTAAACACCCGATTCGATTCCGCTGTTAAACAAAGTTACATTATTGACCTTGGTTGGAGGCCCGATATCTATATAGTTGAAGTGACGAAATCCCTGGACCTCTCTGTGCTTTGTATGACGTTGGGGATCACATGTGGTACGAAGGCACGACGAACACATGAACCCGATGCGGACGCTCGGCCCCGGAAGCTGCGCAAACATATCCTGTCAAGACAAACCATTCGACCAACCAAAAATCCGGGCTTCAGTGAAGTTATGGGATTTTCAACATATCTTTCCTGACGCTTGGTGATGTCACGTGGTATATTCCAATTTCCCGATTGGGTAAAAGTCCGCGCAAGTCTTGTTTCATGATCATAGAATAATATATTATACACAAACTAGCGCTGGTTCGAATCCTATTATTATATGTATAGGCCGTGCCTCCCAGGGTATTGTTTTGGATCGGCCGCATAGAGCTATACGATAGCATAAAGAATGCTGTTTTCTGCAAGAAAATGAGGGTATATATGATGCAAATGTAAACCGGATATGCCAGCTGACATGAGATAACATCCAGGCTCGGATATATCCAAAAGTCAGATCGTATGCAATGCAGAAACCATGCAGAAACCGCTATATCTATTGCCTGACCGATCAGCGACTAGGATAGAAGCCTCAAGTAGATCGGCCTAGAAGCCTATACAGGATTATACTGGACGTCATCCTGTCTCGAATGGTATTTGCTGAGAGACCGGTATCCAGTGGTGGGCTTCGGCTTGGCTAGCCGTAGTGCCCAACAAACCAAATACTCGACGGGAAGCAATAGCAACAGAACCCGATTCCCAAGGAAGCATATGGCGACGGAGAACATCGCTACCAAGGCATCTGACCAGTAGTGGTTTGCAGTGGCGACAATAACACCGAGGACTAGTAGTGGATAAACGATCGCAAGCGTGATGTACAAGATCTGTTTGAAGAGGGACTTCCTCGCGGGTCGGCCACAGAACTTAGGCAGGATACCGGAATGGTAGAGAAACGTGCATCCAATGACAAAGGCGTAGGTGAAGTGAAGACTGGGCATGGCGGCGAGCTGGTTGATGGATTGCCCGCCTACCCAGACACTCTCGGCGTGGTCCTGGCGGACAGTATCGTAGAAATGATAGGCTTCGGGAAGCATTCGCGGTGGCATGCAAGGGTAGAAACAAAAGATCATAAACGCCGCAAAATTACCTAGGGTCATAGTCCGTCGTGCCACGGCGAAGGCGTTGTGGTCTTCCGCCGCGTAGTAGTACCATGAGAGAAACCTAGACTTGTATAAACGTGCCATTCATCCCGACAGACCAATGTGATTAACCTACAAAACAGTTCCGGGAATGTGGACGAGCGAATAAATGCGGTTGAAGAAAGTCATGATGGACGGGTGGTTGGTCATAAAGAACGATTGGAATTCCGACTCTTCGATGAAAAGGAAGCTGAAGAAGGACTTGTGCTCGAAGTTAAGGATATCGATGGCGTGGTTTTGCGCAACCTGAACAACGCCGATCTCAGCGGGTGATAGCCACTGTGCGATGGCTTTCGTGAAGGAATAAAATAAAAAGTTCACAGCCCAGTAGAACATTTCGACTAGGAACGGATATTTCTGGATTATCCGGCTGTGGATGTGGTGCGCCCATCGGGATGAATCTGGTGTCTTGAACGTGATCCCACATACGCTCTGCGTTCTCGAATACTGGCCGTTACCTCCATATGTATCCTCATCCTCATCGGGGTATGTGTCATTCAATCCTGACGATTTCCTCCCCAGTATGCTATAGTTTCTGCGGCGATTGACAATTAGAGACCCAATCATTATCCCCACGACAACCTGCGGACTGACGATTAGCACGTGACAGTGAAAGCGCGGTGAGGATACAGGCACACGACTTACAATTGGTTCGAGCCATGTGTGAGACGCGAACTGTGGCTTGCCTAGATCAGGCTGCTGAGCTTGCGACTCCAGTGCTGTAGTCGCCATCTTGGGATTCGTAATCGAGGTGGTCGAGGGTTGTTGAAAGAAGAAGCACCAGAAACAGATTTAAGACAAAGGGACGTTTCCCAGCCTGACCTTGGAAGGGACTAGAGGATAGGCGAGCGCAACGATGATACGTAATAATTTCGGCCCGTTTATTCGAGGAAGGATCCACTTTTAGTTTCAGTTCATTCCAGAAAGTATGTCTGCTCCAGGAGGCTGAATCTGAGGGCTTGGTCTGAGCAAATGCCAAAAAGCCTGACGGGACCGGAAGGATGTGGAAAATATACTCAAATGCCCTGTACCGTTCGACGAGGCTCCGAGGTCCCACAGTACATGTAAGTAGGTTTCGTATACAGTACGGATGAAAATGGAAATTAATATTCATCCTCGGAAGCACTTCCTTTAAGAACCATTTTGAGGAGTTCGATGTTAATATTTGTTGAGACATTCCTTTGGCTCCCCCTTGAACAGATTTTGTGGCCCCACTGTCCTCCTTTCGGCACCATTGGGATTGGTCGGATCACCACATCTATCACTTCCAGATGCGAAAGCGAATACGCAGTACGGAGGCCATCACCGCCTATTCATCTTGCCCAACCTGACTCGGTAGCTCATAATATCACTCACGGGCCACTTTCCTCCCGCCGCTGCTCACAGCTCCCAATTCAGATCGAAGCAATGTGTATCGCTTCAATACGAGCTTTTAGCCCCTGAGCGCCTGCCATGGACACCTAGGTAACCCCTTGCCTGCCTCTTTCGGTAAAAACCAGATACCAAAAAAAACGGTACATTACCGCTATACCGACCTTAGTCAGTTGTGGCCGCGTTGGGAATAGATCCGCATATCTCCATCCTGCTTTTGGAATCTGGATACGGGGCGGGCCAATAGTCTCTTGACTTGATAAAAACACGACCCTGTCAAGGGGCAGAGCCAGGATTTCAGATTCTCCGTCTTGGGTTTGATTATTCTTACAATACGTCGTACGGAGTACTAGGCGGTACACGGCCCCTCTGCGATCATTATCGGAGTATGGACGGAGCACTGACTCCACTCTGTACCACTCCGTAATACCTTGGAACATGGAAGCATATCTGCACTTGCCTGGATTCTTCCACTCTCTCCTTGTTGGAACATTGAGGGGGCGGGAAAGTACTGCTCAATTAAGTAGGAAGGTTGGGTAGCCCTGTTCTCGAACCGCCTTCTCCTATTCCATAGCCCCTCAGGATATCTTATGGATACACGAACTCGAGGTCTTCACCCCTTTCTTTCTACAGAGTACCTCTGTTATGACTTGGAAGTCTCGTTTCGTTCATGCGATGCTCTTACCTCCAGTGAAATGCTGATTTGAAGACTATAGCTCTTGGATTCATAATCAAATGCGGCAGACAGGAGACCGAAGTTTTAACCTTGAATGTCTTGATATACCCTATTTTGGAAGGCTTTGAGTTCTTGGCCCAGTTCCGTTCAGTACTTTTAAACTTTGACTCCTATCCTTTTTCATGGGCACATTTCTAAGACTGCATGCATGTATATAAACAGTTTATAATTGGGTACCATGAACTACAGATGTCAGCGTCCGTGTCCAGTCAACATATGGCGTAAATTATACCCTTCTTTCGTAAACCCCGATCGTTTACGTCAAGTAGTTATATCTTGAAATTATTTCAGTCGGGGCAAGACGGCACGTGCCTTTGGTCCGTATAGCCTCAACAAAGAACAAAGATACGACATATAATACCTCAGTTACCAGTACTCCGTACCTGAGTCCCAATTATACCCAAGAGGGGCTATCGACAGAATCGAACCTAGAAGGAGTACGTCGACATTCATTGCCTGACTGAAATGAGATTTACGGACGGTCTTAGCAATGTTAGATGCACAATTAGTGTACATTATTACTGAGTGGATAGCATAACAATTCCTCAGGGACTACGTCTGTGGCTGAATGGCACGTTATCGCATTTCTACTAGTGGACCTGGCCTGTTTATCTGGGGTGTCAAGACGATGGCGTGCTTTCTATTCCGGCAAATCCGCAAGCCTACCGGATTTGAAATAATAGCCTAACTCAACCTTGATTATGCATGTTCCCCGACTGATGGTCGAAAGAGTTCCCGTCGAACCAATCGTTGGAAACTCCAAGCCTATGACGGAAGTTCCGGAATTTTTGACACCGACTTCCGAGCACCGAGCCCGCAAAAATGGTAGAGCCGTATGATTGGTAGATAAATGGTCCACCATCAATGTCAATTCTATCTGATACGAGCCCACTGCAAATATTGGTTGAACTAAGCCCTATCTGATCCTTCAACCATCCATTTAATCTTAGAACGCGATCATTATGCAGATCTGCTTTGAATAGGCTTGTTTGTGTAGATTGAAATAATCAATTTTTTAAAGTTCTACCACCACCCAGAATTATCAGAACCCATTGTATATCTGGACAGTGTCGAAAATAAACGAGGTATTATGTTCTACGCCCACAGCGCACACCCCCCTGTGACAACGACAGGATGGACACAAAGCACGTGAGCTGTCTATTTCATGTCTTAGGCTGTCGATTATGAATGGCTCTTTCTTAAAATTATACAATCACGTGACCATTACAGAGTGTTCGCGAGGCACAATTCTCTTCAATTCAGGAGCTCGGGCGAGCTGACTATCTAGATGGGTGACTAAGTGAGGCCACGTGACCATACCGAATATGGTAGGTCCCTAACACAGAGTACCCTATTTTAAGCCGTAATTAACTATTAGTCCAAACTTGGTACAACTGTGTGACGGAGGCTGTGCACTGTGGCCGAAGCCTTCCTTGTCGTTTATTTGATTTCTCGTACAGTTTGCACCGAGGTTCAGTATTTTTTTTATTTGGTTATTTATTTTTATTTTTATATTTATTGGGTCTGTCTCAACTCAAGACCATATTTCCGCCAAGGATGCATGCATTTGAATCCCACACAAATCTAGACAAGGGAGTTGACATATTCTCATTCTTGTCATTGGACTTGGAAACATCATCCAACCTTTCAATAGTAGAAGATATAACCTGTGATCCATTGTATTTAGTGTGATAAAACAACCCTGTGACTACATCAAGAGCTACCCAGATTAGCTGTCTCAATGAAGACAGCGATTCCTCGGAGAATGAAAGGCTTCGCCCATGTTACTAATTCATGATTTTTTTTATCATATCCATCGGGTATTGGCTTGCTGTAGCATTGCAAGATGTCTCATCAATAATTGCCTGAGAAATAAATGGAGCTTCAGCTATCTTCATTATTGTCTTAGCGATAGTGTAAGGCCAATAATTCCACGTCAGGAAAGTGGAAGGTTGCCATGGCTATTATTTAATACCGCCTTGGAAGATACTACATCTATGTAGTTCCTCTTTGATATATCATCCTTGGCATCATTGACCCTGGACTTGACTTGGCAAGTACCTTGGAGTTTCATGAGGACCCTGTGGTTCCGCTGCTAATTTAACCATCTTTTAATTGATCCCACATGACTGGATATATTTCTTTCCATGCAGCATTATACTGGGATTGACATACGGTATGCTGCGCTGGATAATACTATTGCTAACGTCCCTGGTTTGGGCAAAGCACGCTATCGATTTCTCTTCTCGCCTGGAGGCAAGTGTTCTTCCATCGCTCCATCGCTCCAGTAGTACTATATTGACTTTCAATAGCAAGTTACTCAAGTGTTCGTTACAAACATTACCCTGCTGGATACTGTGTCATCACCCCGACACGAAGAGGAGCACATTCGTCTACAGCATCGCCTGCAGCGTTCCCGCGGTAAATGGGATTCAGTCCATCCTCGACAGCGGCTGTTAACAGCGCTGCATGGATTCACTAAGTACAAGGAGAGGAATTTGGTGGAGACGAAGCGATGGAGGGACTTATATAAACAAGTCTCTAAGCGACAGCGATCGGTATGTAACCAATAATCGATACCATCAAATCCAAAGGGCTGACTGAAAAATTGAAATAGTTGGTCGAATCAACGGTCCACTACACGCGGAAACTCAACGCTGTTGAACATCTCCTTGAAATAAATGAGCAACTAGCAAAGGCAATTGTCACCCAAGGCCTACAGTTTTATAACGTCTCTCGGTCAGAGTTGGATGAATTCATCCGCCAACAAGAACAAGAAGGCCAGGCCACCGACAGGACCAGCGTATCGCAGGCAATGAAACATTTTGTCCGCGACTGGGCAGAAGAGGGTTCCGAAGAGAGACAGGAGGCATTCCCGTGTGTTCTAAGCACTCTGGAACGCATCCCTCGAACGAGCGAGCAGCCGCTGCGAGTGCTAGTTCCTGGTGCCGGGGTTGGAAGACTGGCGCATGAGATTGATGGGCTTAGGGGTGGGAAGTCCCCTTGGATATCGGAGCTATCATATGCTAACAAATACAGGCTTTGAGGTCACCATGAATGAATGGTCCGCTTATATGAACCTAGTATACAGATATATGTCCAGCATTTCCACTCCAAACAGTGAGGCTTTCCACCCGTACATCGACTGGTGGTCGCATCATGCCACGACAAGAGATCTCCAGCGCTCTGTGGCATTTCCCGATCGGGTGATTGATCCATCGTCGGTTCTGCTTGTGGAAGGTGATTTTACTACGGTGTTTGCGGAGGATACTGGAAAATATGACATGATTGTCACGCTGTTTTTTATTGATACTGCGCGCAATTTGGTCTCTTACTTCGAGACCATCCACCAACTACTCCGTCCAGGAGGTCGATGGATTAATCTGGGGCCGTTGCTGTATGGCTCAGCGCCGTTTCTTCAGCTATCACTGGACGAGATAATAGCCCTGAGCGAGAAGATTGGGTTTCAATTTGAAGAAACAGACCCATCCTGCGGAGATATTACCCTCACTGACAGCCCAGTGAGAGGACTGGAAGTGGCATACGGCCGCAATGGGAGAGGATTAAGTAAGAACGCATACCAGGCACAGTTCTGGCAGGCCACAAAGCTTTAGCAAAATCCTGGGAGAGTCGATTTCTATAGATCTATTATTATTATAACTTATTTGAGAAGAAGCGAGAAGATAAATTAAAATTTTTTTTAAAATGATCTACTTATTCTACTGTCTATACTTTAAACCCTAACTTCTAAGATATCTCTTAACTATTGAGATATTGAGATTGTAAGTGCTAATTTGTATGGAGAATCAATACAGAGTTGTGTCACTCGGTGTTCTGCACCGCTCGGTGGTACGTTACGTTAGAACTACGTATATAAAGTTCCTTGCGGCTACAACAGCGTCTTCGTACGAACGCAGTCTGGTACTATAGCCCCAGTTCAAAGCTCGGTTACGATGAACTTGCTTATTGCATTTTCCCTATATATGAGTCTGGCTCATTGCACCAGCCAACCTGAACAAGTCAAAGATACATTCGAACCTAGCCATTATAACAGAGAGGATGTTATTACTCGTGATATTGTAGTGATAGGCGGTGGCGCATCTGGCACATACGCCGCCATTAATCTCCGCAGGCTTGGGCAGAGAGTCGTGCTCGTGGAGAAGGAGGCTCTCCTTGGAGGCCATACTCGCACGTATACCAACCCGGCAACCGGGAACACGATCGACTACGGCGCCCAGGCGTTCTGGAACACATCGGTAACACGCGATTACCTTGCATATTTGGACGTCCCAGTTACCCAATACACCGGTGTGCAGCTTACTGACATGTACGCCGACTTCCAAACCGGGGAGCAAGTTATTGTTCATTCCAGCCGCGACTTTACGGCCTATATCGAGCAGCTTCGGAAATACCCATACCTAAAATACAGTTGGGATCTGCCATATCCCGTCCCACCGGATCTTCTATCTCCATTCTCGGAGTTCGTTGCTAAATATAACTTGAACGATATTGGATACAATATCTACTACGGTTCTCAAGGACTATCGAACATCCTAGATCAGCCAACTGTCAATGTTTTCAAGGAGTTCCACGAGTCACTCACCGACGCCGTAAAAGGAGGAAATGTCAAAGGCCATCCAAACAACGGGGAGATCTACACAAAGGCATTAGCATATCTTGGAAAGGATATCCTCTTCTCTTCACGAGTTATTGCTGCCTACCGGCCAGAGAGCAGCACCGGAGTAAAACTAGTTGTACAGACTCCTTCTGCGTGCAAACTTATCCTAGCCTCAAAGCTACTCGTTAGCATACCGCCCCTCTTGGACAACATGGAGCCATTCGACCTGACCAAACGGGAATCCAACCTCTTTTCACGGTGGGAATACAGCGCTTACTACGTCATGCTAGTCAGCAACACTGGGCTGCCTTCTGGGTATCGATTCCGCAACGCTAATGCCTGGACGACTTCCAACATCCCTGAGCTACCCGCGCCCTACCAAGTCACCGAGACCAATGTACCAGGAATATTCCGTGTTTGGTATGGAAGTCCATACCCGTTAGAGGAGGCCGTTGTGAAGGCCGATGTCACGTCCATAATACGTCGGCTACAGTCCCTAATGCACGCAAATGCTACTACCGTGCCACGCTTCTTGGCTTTTAATAGTCATACCCCGTTTGAATTGGTGGTCCAATCAGAGGAAATCAGTAAGTATTTTTATCGGGATCTGAATGCCCTGCAGGGTTATCGTAACACTTGGTATACCGGAGCAGCTGTCAGTTCATACAATTCTGCAACAGTGTGGAACTTTACCGCAGCGTTGTTGCCATCGGTTATTGCTGCTTGATGTCAGGCATTGATGGATTAATACTATAATTATAATTCATATTTGGATGGAGTTCCATTGGTAGAAGGCTTCTATATGCCGGCTTTACGAGTATGATTGCGATGCAGCCATCATTCAGTATGAGTTAGAATGAATACCTACCCACATGCAAAGGAGGGCTAAAGGCATCCAGTGCATAGTAGAAGAAAGAGAAAAGAAAACCAGGAGCTGTAGAGGTTAGTATAGAGCTACTATGCACTTACTTGTTAGAATCCATTGGTAAGGGATGACATATAATCGAGTATTACTCACGACGTCGTAAGGATTCGTCTACAAAAAATTTAGTTATAATTATGCTTTGTCTAGACAAATACCAGAAGAGGGTGTGGAAAACAGGGCTTCCCGTCCGCTTAGCTGTACTTAAGCCACATAAATCCGGGGGCCCTACGCTCCAATATAATTGTGAAACGGGTCTTGGACTAGGTGGTGGTGATATAGGTGCTCCCTCTATAGCAAGTAGTACCAGGAGCACCAGGTGGTGCTGCGGGACATGTAGGAAAGTAGAGATCCGAAGTTAGGCTGGTTGTATTAATAATAAGTAGGTCGAGGGCCCTTGAGTCCATTCAGCCTGTGGCTGTATTTCTAACCTCGGTCTGTTCAATAGTATACTGAAGTTGAGCCTTGCCATCAATCCACACGTGATATTACATATCTATGACAACCGACGAACCGCCTCGGTATAGCCAGGAAACGATCCGCTCAACTTTGGCAGGTGTGTCACGTCAATTTCGATTAGGACTAGCGCAGGCAAAAGTCACAGTGTTCACGTCTTTTTGGCCTCATGCTGAAACTGACAAGCTTCCTAGCAAAGCCTCTTTTTTTTTGTCGCGGGTCTTATTTCATTTCACTGATACGTCTATTCGTCCATTACAGCCGACTTGATACGTTTGCCGTGTGGCCCGGCATGTCACAGCTGCCCTATCTGACTTCCAGAGCCAGCTTTTAGGCAGTCCTCATCTAGGCTTGACCAATTACTGGAATTGTTTGATACTATCTCCATCAGCGCCTTAAATATGGATGTCAACATTTGCCTCAAGATCTCAGACAAGCGGGTGGTTTCTCTGTGTTTGCTTCTTCGTTCTCGCTCATCGTATTGGCCCAATTATTGACTCCTCTGGACAGGCCCAAGACTTTTAACAGGAGCGCAGCTCATTGAACTGATTAAAAGTGAAACTGGAGGCCAAAAAATTATTCTCACCTGCATGAGAGTTCCCCTACCCTCCGACAAGAGTCTCAGAGAGTTAACGTCTGGATGTCTTCAAGGTTGACATTGATTCGGCACACCAAGTTACAAAGATCAGACAGAAAGCTGCGACAATCCCAAAGACTGCCAAATTCAACCGTGGCTATATTATTGAGCAGATCTGTCGGTTGGCAAAAAGCCAGATAGCGACACCACTTGATTTGGCTAATTTTCTATTGGGAGAGTCCAACAAGGTCTACCGAGTCGCTGGTGAAGCTGGCAGAGATGAATATTTAACCTTGAAGAGGCTGCGATACCTCATCGTCTCCAAGATGGCACTTCACCCCATTCCATCTCCGATGAAATATTGAAATATTTTAGAGCCTTAGAAGATGCTGGATACGACTGGAACAATGAACAGTACTACAGATTGAGAGCAGAGTTTGTCATGATACCTGCATTGGTTCAGGCACGGCGTAATGCAAGCGTCCCTTTGCGGTCATCCGCCAGAGGCGCTCCCAAGAAAAAACATCCTGCTTCCATGACACCGATGAGACGTGATACTGATGCTGAGCCTCCCAACAAGATCTGAAAATGTTTCACGAATATGATTTGCGAGCTGAGATCAATCTCCTAGTCTCTGGTGTTCCCTATGTGTTCACTGGTCGCGCTGACCGGACAGGCTGCCGAAAGCAGTGGAAAACTTGCCAGACTTGAGATCATGGCATTTCCCGGAAGTCATTAGCAACGGGGAGGTAATAGTTTGTTTCCCCGCAAATTTGGCGCACAGGGCAAACAGGTAGATAAAAAAAATTCGACTTTCATGAATGCCTACGGTTTGGCCAAGACATATATCCCGGATATTTCCAGCATGCTATTATAGCCACGTGGAAACTAGCAATGTTAACTGTCAGATATACGGCTAGTCCCGAAGAGGAAATAGAGTACGGTCGGTAAAAAGGTCTTATTTGAATGAATTGAGCTGGTTGGGCTCTTCTTGATTATATTCTCTTCATTATTATTTTGTTGTGCTCCGCGGGGGTTTTACCCCGATCTAGTCACATGATTCTGGTCCACCAACAGCCATATTATTTGACAATATATTGGTATTATAAGTAACTGTCAAATAATATGGCTGTTGGTGGACCAGAATCATGTGACTAGATCGGGGTAAAACCCCCGCGGAGCACACAACAAAATGATCAATCAAGAATAAGAAGAATAATCAAGAAGAGCCCAAAACCAGCTCAATTCATTCAAATAAGACCTTTTTACCAATCGTACTTTATTTCCTCTTCGGGGCTAGCCGTATATCTAACAGAAATCGGTTGGGTAATAACTGCCGCTAGAACACGTCGACAGATGTCTTCCGGTGTTTCCTCCTCCTGGTAGTGGACCACCCAATCCAGCTCTATATCCTGAAGCCCAACCTTGATGTGAGCAGGGGAGAGTTCATGAGGCGCCTTGTATTCGATAATATAAGCAGGCACCTTTTCCTCAGGACCCTGTTGTAGACACAGAACTAGTCCTCTCGAGGCCAAGGCGACTTAGTTTGTGCGGACTTTTGATTACTCCCCTTCTCTGACCGTCCGGTTGCCAAGCGGGCAGAGCGACGAGTCTGCCGCCATCTTGGATTCACCTTTTTGCCCAATCTGTCTATATTGAATTATAAATATAAAGGAGTGATGCTACAGCATTAATTAGAGTTGGATACTAAACTGCCAGTTAAACCAATCACCTTTTAGTGCCAAGTGTACTATAATAGGGTAAAAGTTGAGTAGAGCTGTTTATACAGACACCCCTATTTCTGAGTTAAGGCACATTAGCAACTGGGTGGTTAGAAAAGGCGCAAAACACACTACGATGTTTAACTATGTTTACTCTACTGCCAATATTATCAAACATTATTAAAGTGTGGCATGCTTTCTGGATAACAAATATAGCATATGAAAACTTTCGCCAGTCTTGTACGGTTTCCCGGCATTGCGAAGAAAACAAACACGAAGTAGTCCTAGAATTGAAGCAACATCCAATAGCCCTGCACTGGACTAATCACTGGATCAGGAACAAGGCAGCCTTTTCATACAGGTCATTTTCCGCTTTTGCCGGGGAGACCCTTCCACGTACGTTTTGTCAAATGCGTGTTCACAGTCCTCATACGGGTGCATCTCAAAATGCTTGGTCATTGTACCCCTAATCTTATTACAGGCTGTTCTGCTTCGAGACAAAGACCATCACAAACCCTTCCAACAAGAAACAGCAACAAAACCATCACGCATTACCACGACCTTTTGCCGTCCCAAGGACGTTGCAGCTCCTTGACAGTAGATAACATTTCACCGATAAGGTAACCTTGTTTATAATAGAAGCTGAGCCTCATAAATGGTATTATAAAAATCCTTGAGACATGGAGTTCAAACGAATTCAATTTTCTACATTATTTATTACTTCTCGGAGGCCATATGTCCCCTACCGTGAATCCATTAGGATTCGGATCGGTGGGATCAACAGCCACCTGTCGAAAGCCTGTTATCCATCCTCTCCCTGTAATTGTCGTCTTTATAGCATTAAACTCGCCAACTTGACCAGCGCTACCATTATTTTGCCCCATAAATGACGTGCCTAAGTAAGTTCGGTGGCTAAATTTTTTACCTAACTTACCCTTGGCATATAGGGCAGCCATACGAGCTGAAGTGCCGGTACCGCCTGGACTACGGTCAATTCGGCCAGGAGGTAAGATAGATGCACTAAGGGATGATGTGATATGCCCGACGCCAGATTCAACATCATCCATGTACAACATCACGATGCCAACGCCTGCAATTTTCTTATTCTGGGGATGGATAGGCTTTGGGATTATTCCTCTCTCTATTGCATCGTCTATCCCTCCCTTAAGTTCCAATCCTATTCTCACTAGGCTGGAAACAAAGATAGTTAGATAACACAGAACATTTTATCTGAAAAATAAGCGATTATCCATGCTTACTCATTTGCGTGGTTATCATCCAAAATAGCACTAATAGTACGAGCATCCACCATGGCATATATCACGCCTCCGTAAGCGATATCGACATTAACCAGTTTGTGACGAAATTGGATATTGTATTCACCGAAAGAAAATGATGGCACATTTTCAAAAGATACACTTGTGCATTTTCTGTCGTCGCAATGTGCAGTAGCTGTAATCAGACCAGCGGGCGTGTCAAGTTTTAAAGGTCGATCTCCCTTTTTAAATGGTATCATCCCAGTCTCTATCAAGACGGTCACCACGCAAGTCAAGTTGGAACCAGACATAGGCGGGTATTTTTCAGACCCTATAATAATAAAGCCAGCATCGGCCTCAGGGGCACAAGGCGGGAGAAGTACGTTAATAAACATAGTCGGCCGTCCTCGTGGCTCATATATAAGTAATTTGCGTAGTTCATCTTTGTGTTCTCTAAAGTACTCCATTTTCTCAAACATAGAGTTTTTACCCTTGACATCCAGCACTCCGCCAGTAACAACATCTCCGGTGTCACCCTCAGCGTAGGCGCCGACAATGGATATGATTCTTGGCGGGTTTGACTGGGCTGCCATTTGGTTGAACGGACGTCAAAATAGAATTAAACGAAAAGAAAGGAATATAATAAGAATAAATTGTTTAGATATTGTAGAGTAGAGACGAGAGTTCAAGAACCATATATCCCTGACTTCCGTTGCGCGGAAAGATACCCTGTGGTGCTATTACATTTTCTAGCTGTAGCTACTGATTTTCCGTACACCCATGACGGACTGCGTGGTGGATAATCTTCCGCATGACGTCTCTGAGAAGTTAGTGGATGGTGGAGAAACCTATCTATTTCCGAACACGGAATACAAATTCCCACAGCCGCAACAAATCAAGGAATCAACTTCTGTCATTCGTCCATCCGAAGCCGTAGATGGACAGATTTCTCATGAACTGGAGTTCTAAATTCATTGATCCGCGTTTAAGTATCTCTTGTGAGCTGATTGCAGATCATAATGAAATAACGCTACCCCATTATGTTGTCGGTGGCTGATGTTGCACCTAGGCGTTAGTGTGTTCGACTCTTGGACAAGGATAGCGGCGACCTAAATTTAAAATCCACACCAACCCACTCAGTCATCGATGCAAGCGCACTAAAGACTTTATAAGAATGACTTCAAATTTGTCTCATCCAACCAATGATACTGAGCTGTTTAAGTGATAGTAACGAACCTTAAATTCTGGTCCATGATGCAATAGTAGACGTTGGACTTCAATCTCGTTTCTGGAGCAAAAGAATGGAGTAGGCCTAGCTAGCTATTCTTAAGATGCATTGGATGCAATGATGAGTGTCAGGCTGAAAAGCAAGTAATTTACGCAAAATCTCCACCCACCCGCCGCTGCTTACAATAAGGTATACTTTAAAGGCTATGGCACCAATACTCCTGCCTAGAGAACCGAAAGTCGTGGAGCATGGAGATCCGATAAGTGTTAATCTCCTTTCAGGGCTTACACCGTGATTGGAACTACCGAAGTATGGTATTTGCTTGTTCTAACTGTAGATAGGTTCTTTGCTCTCCTTGGAGAGGGCTTCACAAATGAATACCTGTCCCAGTCTGTACATTTCTGCGACTGGATTGCCTTTGCTATGGTCCCAACTGGTGTACCGTATGCTGCAAAAGCACTTTATCGGCTTTATGAAATGTCCAAGTTCGCTCCAGTGCCAAAGTGTGCGGAGACTGGTGCAAGGTTCTCCTTTGGGACTGATGCGCAATTTGCCGCTTTAGAGAAGTCTTATAATCTGGTGGAAAGGGACTTCCTCGCTTCTACTTCGAAAAATGTCTGTGAGGTATGGAATGGCCGCAAGGTAGAAAAGACTATCGCAAATAGTTCACCGGTGAGAGAATATATACTTGACGACACGGGATTTTACCCTTCATCGTCCCTAAAGTGGATCTCTGGGGGTCTTCAAATAAAAGGTAAATCATGTCTTCTGTATACGAAGATTATCAATCCCGGCTACTCTGCTCATGCAGTTCTAGACAGCACACTTATAACACATGAAAAATCAACTTGCCGAAGCCAACGTGACAAAACATGGCAAGACGACACGGAGCAAAATCTTCCACCTAATCTCTTACTTAATCTGGCACAGTACAACGAAGCAACGAAAGCGGTAATACTAGCTACTCTTGGATGCATGTGCCAGTGCAGCATAGTAGCTCTGGCAGGGCTTACAAGTTTCTACCAGCCACTTTTTACTATATTTTTCCACGCAAAGCCCCTTTCTGGTCGCATAATCGCATTTGTATTTGTTGCTTTAGGAACTCTCCTCTTGGAGACTGGTATTTTTTACACAGCTTGGGTAATAAACAGAGCTGTGCATGTGGACATCTGGAAGCCTACAAAACAAGCATCGGAGAAGCCAGCCATGGCTGTATGGATACAGCGGAAAGATGACACCTTACGCACCGAGGGCCATATCATTGGTAAAAGGATCGACAAGGCACTCCTCTCTGTCCATCGGTGTCCTGGAGTATATCCATCAGCTCAACATGCATATCTTTTTATATTTATAACTGCCTGTGGGTTCATATTACAAAGTATTGGAATATCACGTATGCATTGGCCCACCCAGACATTGCAGTTCTTATCTATGATAATTATGTTCCTTAGCCGGTGGTATGTCCGAGAGAGTGACCTGCCAGACTTCATGATACGGGTACAACTCGATAGCTTTACAGACAACACCCAGCTGAACAATGCTAAACTAATCGCTGCACACGAGGCCTCGAGGCATCGCTATTGGGAAGGCATGAAGTGAGCAGAAGGGGAAACTCCCTACATGTGTGAGAATTGCACGTTATTTTCGAGTGCTGTCTTATCTTACAGCATCCACTGCACTTCAGGTTTAATGTGCCTTAATTTTTGAAAACTCCTTCATTTCCAGCTTGTCACTCCACTGCCATCTCAGGTACGGGAACTATTTCATATGAGATTTTCATAGACAAGTGTGGAACCCGACTATCTCAGACAAATCAGGGACTTACTTTCCTCTTCAAATGGTCTTCTTGGAGGCGTACTTGGATGATGTGGAAGTCACCAAAGTCCCCATTTATCCGTTTCATTGTCTCTTTAAAATGTATCTTAAGGAATAAAATTTTCAGGTCATGACCAACTTAGCCACCCAACAATATGGACACTATTCTCATGCACGCACACATATGCTCTTCCAATTAAATCACGTTCTAAGTTGAATTCTCCACACTCTATTTTTAAATTCTCTTTGGATTCCGTATCGTTTCAAAGCCATGAATTGTTATATAGACCAAGATCTGTACTTAACTTTCTGATCTACTTCAATACGCACACTAAGGCTCCAAACTACCTTTGGGCTACGTACTTATGTATACAAGGCTACAGAAGACCACCATAGCAAGCAGAAGTTGAACTATGATCACTCGCGATCTATTTGGTTTTTGCTCCCACGTCTGCTTTCTAGCCGCACTTATACCCTTTTAATAGAAGACACAGCCATAGGTGGTGCTTGACTTTCTGGACCTGTATCTGTAACACTAAGGTAAACAGCTTCTTTCATTAAGAATGATATTGGTAAGATGGTCATTCAGCCATTCAACGCTGCGCTCAACGGGCTAATACGTAGGAGCACACCTCCCTATTCTTCGACCATACTCAATCGACCATACTCAACTTACAATTCCTAGGAACCGAATTAGGATCTAACTACGACAGCTAATGGAAGATTTCATCATGAATCATGATGACTCTCATAGACTCTCATGAAAAGGTCACCTGTTGGCGGTATGCTTGCATCAATTTCACCGAGTAATACTGCATCTGTTGCCTGAGTTTATCCAAATCTCCACAAGCGGACTCTGGGGCGACTAATAACAAACATAGCGGTCATATGCTCGGTTTTTCATGAATCTTGGCATTGACGTTCATGACTTTCGTACAACCTGTGCCACACCGATATCCTCAATATGAAATATTAACTAGATAGCCTGTGGAACAAACATGACGTGGCATGTAGCGCATGGCCGCCGTCAATGACATGTTGGAATTCGAAGAATGGCAGGTATATGGTTGTTAACATGCTCTTGGGCTTGGAACTTGGATTATCTGTCAATCATATATATAACGCTGAACTGGCCTTGCTGCAGTTTACGTAGCCTCCGCCCTAAGCCTCATAAATACTGAATATCACAATTTAATTGCCTAACAGCAAGATCGTTATTTGATTTGCACTCTAGGTTACTTTACGCCACCCTTTCCTCCTAGCAGTCTCAGTGCAGATCACCACAGTAATTAGGGATGTTCGCAGTTTACTGCAGCAAATAGGTCAATGCATTATACTTGGCTACCCTCTATACTGGGGTATGTCTTCTTCTGTCTTAGGTCCCCAATGGGAGGAATTCCCTAGTGGATCCTCGTACTTCTTCCGCTATGCTAGCTGATGTATGCGTGCCTATGGAGGCGAGTAAGATGGATTTAATCGGTGGTGGAGGATAGGCAAGCGGCCAAGTCGGAGTTCAGAAATGGTGGCCGAGGCGAGGCCGAGTACATAGCCGAGCAAGGCCATATTATACGTGCTATCGGCGGTCGGGACCACAATTGCTAATTACGAGATAGCGAATGTAAAGTTGAAAAGTGGTCAGGGGTACAAGGCTTTCTATCTAACCCATGAACAGGCTGTCAGGCCCGAGGCTCGAAATAAGGGTCCTCACACGGCGGCCAAACTCATTCTCACGTCACAGGGCTTAGATCAGCATAATTTCCAATCTCTAAAGTTGACGATTCTTGCCTAGGGATAGCTAAGGGTCTTAAAAAGATCTAGAGTGTATGGGATATTGCGGGGCCTGGCTTGTACAGAGACACGAGGCTCCCTCGATAGAGCGAAAACTGTGCTCCCACTGAACTTGACCTCATACGTGGTACAGTCAGGCCTCATATTATCAGATTCCAAGACATACACTCATATCTGCGACAAGCGCGCTCCTCCGACGTATAAGCAAATGCTGGGTCCAAGTTTCCACTGCTGTATGACATCACTATGTATGCTGCTCCAATCGCAGAGCATGAGCGCCTTCGATTGAAACAGCTGTTCAGTTGGGCCGACTTTCAGCCGACGGGTTCTACCTGAACCCCAACACCTCACTCACCGTGAACTTTTCCGGCGTGAAGGAGACTGGGCCGAAACACCAGATCCTGGTCGGTACTCCGGCTTTGGTGGTCCCGTCGGACCATAATGATCTAATGCGAATTGAGCTGCAGCCGTCTAAGCCGTAGACTAACGGGAACAACGCGGTGTCAAATGCGTTCGGTGGGATCCTCTACGTCCACTACGCCAACGCCGCCTCTCAGAGCTCTCCACCTGTATAGGTTACTCTTGGTTCGGGGGATGCGGCGCAGCCATTTCCAGTTGTTCCGGTAGGGTGTGAGCAGTAAAAAGGACGGGAATGCCATACTGCGCGTAACCTGGCGGCGGACGCGAAATTCTTTGTAGAACAAAATAAATATGTCCAGGCAGCAACTGTCCGACAGGTATAAGGAAAACATCTCCGCCCAAGATAGCATCAGCGCCATTAACACCACAGCGCCCGACTTGAAAGACGGACCGAGCCGCCTGCGGCTAATGCGGCCATCCCGTCATTTTATCGTCATCATATTTGGAATAAGATTCAGCTTCGCCAGTCGTGGATAGTCTGGCACGAATTGGGCCAGCACTGCCAACATGACGACACGTGGAGCTGGGATGCACTTGACGAAGCTACAGTCAATATCTACATTCTCGCCGCCCGCAGCCTCTTTCCTGACGTCTAGAGAGAAAATTTCGGCCACGCCACTATTACGAGTGGAGCGAGGCTAAGAAGTACCCTGGTCAAGCACCAAGCGCCAATGTATTTGACAATGTAGACGAATTTGTTAAATTTGTCATGTCTAAGCAGCTCCACGTTTCATTTGGTATTATCTTCTACCATCAGCAGCACACAGCCTCCCGGCCTGAGCCAGACAAGACCAGTGATGCCGACAAAAACCACTTCTTTTTGACGAAAGCCGCCGAGATCGCTAAAGTGGCTTCAAAAAGCGGAAGTTGAACTCACACAACGCGCTAATGATGAGATGAAGAATCAACCTGGTCCGACTGAAGACTACACCGCTATACCCATCTTATGGAGGCCAGTAGATCCATAGTAAGGGATATTATGCAGGCAGTAGGATTTAAGCTCTTGGATTCCGGAGCCAGTATTGACTTACAGTTTGAGTGGCACACGGATCCAATGGCCAGATTTTGGAACCCGATGTTGAAATCCTCGGCAATATCTAGATCTCCAGCTTGTGTCCAGCATTCTGCTAATTACCTACCTTCCTTTTTTACCGTTATTAGTACGTTTGTCGGTTGTTTTTATTTTAATGATTCTGTTTCTTTTTTGTCGCTGTGTCTCTGTATATAAATCTTCACGAACATCATTCGGAAGATCATCGTGGGTCTCTAAAATGCCTCCTTCAACATATTGGATAAGCCTCCACAAATGAATGAGATTCGACATGGAGGCATAGACAAACAGGTGCGCCGTGAAATCAAGATCTAGAACAACCTGAGACACCCCAATATCCTACAGCTATTCGGCCACTTTAGTTAGCAAGTGAATATTTTTGTTACTCGAGTACGCCGGCAAAGGTGAATTATACAAGCACTTGCAGAGAGTGGATCGTTTCTCAGAGTGGAAGGTAGCACAATATATTGCATAAATGGCGAGTGCTCTACGATACCAAGCAAACGGCCATATATCGCCTCCATTTGGAGCTGTTTCTGCTATTTAATAACCTTGTGTCGCAAGTCCTAAGCGGGAAATCCTACTCAGATGAAAAGCGCATTATGAAATTGTTCAAGATGTCATGGAACAGCATGACGCATCTCAGTCAACATAGCGGATGTGCAGTGCACGGATAAACTGCAAAATAGAAACTACACGTCTCTTTTACGATAAGCCAAAAATGCGGAGAACCTGATATTTTTTCTGTAGTACATAATTTCCTAGAAAATAGGAATATTTATGATAGAGAGGGAAGTTAAGTCTCATAATAGGTGGTTGTTATGTGATGTCGATGTCTCAATGTCATCTTAATTTGATGGCATATCTACAGCAAAAGGGTATACCCCCCTAAATATCAGCGTCTGTATTCCTGAATACTTCTATGTTGAATATAAATTAGATTTTGATAGAAATTATAAATATCAGAAGCTTTCAGTTGAAAAGGTAAAATGGCTCTTAAGAATGGGGAAGTGATACAGCCACGCCCCTCTCGCTCCTACCACACCCTACTAGACCTAGTTGGTACTAGTAAACTTTATATCAGATACTCGGCTAGTCCCGAAGAGGAAATGTAGTACGATTGGTAAAAAGGGCTTATTTGAATGAATTGGGCTGGATGGGCTCTTCTTGATTATATCCTTCTTGTTGGTTTTGTTGTGTGCTCCGCAGGGGTTTTGACCCCTATCTACTCACATGATTCTGGTCCACCCACAGCCATATTACTTGACACATTATAGCCACATTACTACATATTTTTATAAAATCCTGTCCACCACTCACCTCGCGCCAGAAAGATGGGGTAAAGTAGAAATAGGCTTAGCGCAATCTGCGCACGGGCTAGTAGCCTGAGGCAGAAGTCATATGGTAATACGATTATATCACATGACTGATGTTGGCACTATACTAGTTACGGGGTGTTGATCCATGGTTATAACCAAGGATATTCGTCATATATACCTCATCATTCCCATTGATATATAGTGCTCACCCCCTCTCTTGAAAAGAAGTCTTTCTTGAGTATGGGTTTTTCATCCATTGCCTAAATTTACTGTTTGGAACATCTTAAGCCTTAACCCACCTACTAAGTCAATATGGCCTCTTCAGACCAGCAACATCTTAACATCCAAATTCAAGATGACATGAAGTATGATATTCGTATTGAAAATGCTCAGGTGGAAAGGTATTTTCTTCTCTATCAACTTTGAATCATGGTTGAGAGCAGCTTCTTCTAACATCAGCCCAGCGGAGAATTCTACAGGGAGGGTAATCGAAATGATATTCTAACCACTGACGACATTGATGATATGAGCATTCGTCACAATGGTGGCAAGCGTAATATCTGTTCCTGTGGCGAGACCGGCTCCATGTCAGGACCTCAAGGTGCGATTGATCTCGTCGACGATGTGAGAGATGCTAGAATTTGCACTCTCGCTTGGCATGCTTCTATGGAGCCCGGAAGACGAAATTCATTCACAATGCATAACCAGAACCCAAGATACAAGGTTGATATCGGGAATTGGAATGAATCTGGTACCATGGGAGATATCCCGGTTACTATCGGGGAGAAGTAACAAGTCGGTGGTGGGATGTAGTTATATCCTGTTCTTGCCTGAATTCCTCTTTTCTAAAGACACACACACACCCCCCAAAAAAAAAAAAAAAAAAAAAAAAAAAAAAAAAGGAAAAAAAAAAAAAAAATGAAAAAAAAAAAAAATTAACCGAGCCTTCCATATCAAGCTTACTTGGAGGGGTGGTCAATGCAGGGACAGGGAAGTTCATTTTAAGGCACCAGGTATACAGATGCTATTAGGCCGGGTGAAAGTGAAATATAAAAGTATAGTAATATTGAAGTATTCTATAACTAATTTTACTTGGCCTATAGTGTAATGTTATATAGTTGCAGCACGGTTCTACATGTCACTAGTCAGGGCAAGGGGATCTATTTCTGTAAAACTGGCAAAGACAGCCGCTTGTTAAGGTTGGAATGCTTGTAGGTATCTTAAATTCTAAACGTAACCTATCTCTGACTACCGGATACCATAGTCATATCTGCTAATAGCTGACATAGATAGTGTATAATTAAGCACCTCATGTGGCTACTGGTTCCTGTAATTTGACTCTTCTGCAAGTTATGATTTAGACAGGCATTACATGCAGTTGCAGGGTCCTCGCTGTGTATCTATGCACATATAGCCGTTGTCATATTGTGTTTGGTGTCTATCAGAGGTTAGGAGCATGAGTTGGGTCTAGCAAAAGAGGACTTGTTGGCTATTACAAAGTGAGTGCTGCTGATGTCACACATCTCAGGTGCTAATGTCGCTTCCATCTCGCCTTTGATGGTGTAGTTCACCATTATCCTCCGCCTGTGGTTGAGGTGTTTGTATAGTTAGCTTTTTGGCGAGAGCCGAGGTGATCAGAAATTGAAACTAGAGGGAGAGTGGTTGGGGCAGGACTTTGTCAATGTATGATGGAAGTAGGTTCATGCTATGCTTAATTAAGCTCTCCATCAGTATGCTCGATGCTCTCTTGTTTGTCATACAAAACTAGGCAAGACTTGACTTGGCTGTCAACTTGGACAGTATGAATAGTTCCTGAATGATCGAATGATCTCTAGGCTTTTGATTATCTTTCTTGGTTCTGGGAGTTAAGACCTGTCAGGATGTTACTAAGTCCAACTGCACAGTGGGCGAAGAATGGAGGCAATAAAAAGAGTATTAGGATCCATGTGTGATCACAAGGAGTCCCAACTGTTGTATGTTTTATTCTTTTAGAACTAATGCATTATATGACGTCCCTACCGATCAATAACCCTAGGAAGAAGCATAGCTAGTTATGTTGAGTTGAGGCATATACGTAGGTACCCGAAACCGACATCGACTTGTATGCGTAAATGTTAGGTATGCATAAAATATTTTCCTACCAGAGTGATTGATCAGCATAGCAGCTGCGAAAAATAAGTAATATACTATTGAGGCTGGCTTAACCTCCCTTCGCTCTTTCGAGACACTTCAGTAAGGAGGGGCCCCTCGCCCTCTACAGATCCTCTTATACTGCAAGTGATGGAACACCAAGGGGGGTCTTGTAACCCCCTTGCACTATTTTCCTTGCACTATTTTCCTTGCACTATTTTCCCTGCACTATTTTCCCTGCACTATTTTCCTTGTATTATATTCCTTACACTTGATTCCTTGTACCACTTTTTTTGAACTGCAGGGTACTCCTTGCACAGCTTTCCTTATACTACATATCGTAGTTAACTTATCATTGTGATTTAAATTAGAAGAAAAAGGGTATCTAGAAATATATAAGAATGCGTATAAAATATACTCTTAAAAGTAAATACACTATCTAGTGCTATTAAAAACTAGTTAATTTATAATTAATAGATTACTAAATACGGATAGGCAGAGAGTTCTAATAATGTTATAAGTATACCATGTGCAACTTATATAGTTTTAAATAGGTCACGGCTGTAACATGCCATAACCTAGAATGAACTTTTTCGAGCAAAAGATTTGCTTAAGGTTACTATTGTCCAGATAAATTTAATCATGTTAGAAACTAGGAGAGAATATTAAATGTTTAAGCTATATACGTACATTTATAGAGTACAGAAACCTTTAAAAAGTATCAAGTATGTATCTATCCCCTCTGGGATTAACCTAACTACGCAAGAATCAAACTTTTGTAAATTACTACCTAAGTAGTAGCGATTCCTGACTTGGTTAACAAAATCTCGACTTTGACGCGTATTTGACACTCTGTGGCGGGCTGAATTGCATAATTAGGAAGTTGCATGGATCGTCAGTGGCGTGACTTCAATCCAAGCTACGTGCATGATTCTCACACTAAAGGGATGGAAGCTTTCAGCCCTTGTGTAACAACCACTGGTGGCCTTTTTTCCATTTCTATAGCTGCTATGCTGATCAGCCACCTTATTCAGCTAAGCCATGTGTGGCTAGTATTTATCCTACTGGTGCAGACTTTAAATACTTTTACATATGCACTCTAGGTAGGCTACTACCAGCGATCTACAAATCTACTTTATACTAAAAAGGCAGCGGCTTCTTCTGAGCCTTGTGTGATAGCGAGCTTTGCAGTACATAGTTTCATTTTTTTTCTTTTTTTTTTTAATTCAGCTGCCGTGCCTATCATTTACTTTATTTAGCTGCTGAAGGCAGCTGGATATTTCTGTTGCAGGTGTGGCCTTACAAACTTCAATAAAATATAGATCATATCAAGCCACTATTAGAGAATAAGAAAGGAATGTGGAGTCCTGTAAAGCTGTTTAGGAAAGACAGCATTAGCCTGGGCTGCCTCCTAACTACCAATCCCTTAGCTGGCTGGAGTGAGGGGTAAGAACGTGATGGAAAGTTTGCAAAAGAGAATAAAACAAACATACGACAGCAGGGATTCGCTAATAACGACGCACCCAACTATGGGGACTGAGTGCCTACGTCTGACCTGAGGGGAAGGTCTGTTCTCCATAGCATGTAGCGGTATATGTTTATTTCTTGATTTGACGAACGCATCAACCTATTTAAAGCTAGCCATAGACCTAGATATATGTTAAGGCTTTGTCTTTTTTTAGGGGTCAGACAAAAAGAGATACCATTTTTCCGGGTTCTACCATAATGTGGACTCTCAACTATCTGCCTTTTGCTCTCTCAATATACTTCTCGCTTACTGCAGCCGAGCCCACTCAAACTGACTTCCTATCGCCTCGGGCAGGAAGAGCTATCGAGTTAAACCAGGGCTGGAAAAAGCTTAACGATTCAGTTCTTTCCAAACCATATGATCCAAACAGATATCCTCATGGGATGTATGTGTTCTACCTTACACATACAATAGATATATACTAAACTGGGAATATTAGCATCAATTTAGGACTCGCCGAAAATTGGCTGATTCAAAAGGAACTCAGCGAGTATCTCATGCATAATGTTAGACTCTATCCTATACTCGCCTTACACCATTCATGTCCTAATTTATTGTCATGACAGTTCACCATCGATCCGCTTTACCACTTAACCTACGGCCAGGGAGCGGCCGCCTCTCCCCATCTTCGCAAGTCTCTTGCAAAGTTCATTAATAATTATTTCCATCCTTATAAAAATGTCTCCGAATATGAAATCATCGTTGCATCGGGTGTTACTTCGCTAATTGACTCAATCGCATGGAACACGTGCAGCGACAACGAGAGCATCATTATTCCTCAACCGTTATATAACGGGTTTCCAACGGATATACGACTGCGCAGTGAAACGAAGCTGCTAAACGCATCTTTTCTTTGGGATAATCATAACTATACTTTGGACGACGTATTTGATCCGGTTATGATTAGAAAATCGCTGGATCGGGCGTGGAACGAAAAAAATGGTACTGTTCGAGGTATTGTTATTGCGAAGTACGCTTTTGCCTTTTCTGCATATTGGAATTGATAGCTGACACTACCAGCGTAGTCCGCATAACCCATTAGGACGCTGTTATGTTAGTGCACCCACCTTCAAAAACACAAAGAACCTCTGATTGCTGATGCTGCTCTAGTCCGAAGAAGCACTGAAAGAAATTGCCCACTTCTGCGGTGAACACAAAATCCACTTTATTTCAGATGAAATCTACGCCAACTCCGTCTTCGATAATGACAAAGTGTCAGACCCTACGCTTTTCACGTCAGTCCTCTCACTTAATCTGACCGACATTATTGACGAGAATTTAGTCCATGTCATGTATGGGATGAGCAAGGACTTTGGGGCAAGCGGACTTCGCCTCGGTGTTCTGCATTCACGTAATAAAAATATGACTCAGGCTGCTTATGGCGTCAAGTGAGTAACCTGCCCCAATAAATAAACCAGATCATGACTAACAAGGGATGTATTAGCCTATTCTCATGGCCCTCCTACCTCGCCCAAGACATGTGGGCCCGTCTCCTTGACGACGAGACAGCGACGCATAATTTCCTCAATAAGAACAGTGCTCGTCTTGCAGACGCCTACAGGAATGTTACCGCGTGGCTTGAGGATAAGAACATCATGTATTACCAGGGCGGGTGTGTATTGCTTTCTCCTGTTCTCTCTTGATCGCTCTACTGACACAGGATAACAGAAATGCGGGACTCTTCGTCTGGGCCAAGCTCCTTCCAAATTTAACTAGTATTACACCTGGCCAGCTTGTGGATGCTTGCCGTGCGCATGGGGTTAATATTGGAGATGGACAAAATTTCCTTCCAGAGGTTACAGAGACTGGATGGTTCCGGATTACCTTTTCGTATCCTCCGGACATGTTGTGGCTCGGATTGCAGCGGTTGGAGAAGACTTTGAAGAAGTTAGGAATAATCACTGCTTAAAGGCTGATCTTTTTTCCCGGGGGTGGGTGCTTTTCTTCGGGAATGTATTGCTCTGAAGCATTCAGGTTTCTTACTAGTCAACTAAATCCAGAAGAAATACAAGCGATCCAGTGGGCCTTGCGCCGGAGCCTTCTCCGACTGGTATTTCAACTTGGCGTTATTCATCTGGAAGTCCGGGTGCAGAAAATGATTCATACGTTATAGAGAGCCAAGAGCATCCTATATATTCGATCAGCCTTGCGGGACGGTATCTTAGGAAGTTTTCAACGGGGAGAATATATTTGGGAAATATGTAGTGGACGAGAGTATTGAGTCCCTCTCGGAGGTTCCTGGTGTGATCTTGATAATCTTCCGCGGCCTGAATCTCACATGATTCCAGTCGAAGATGCAGAAAAAACTTCCTGAGCTGTGGCCGTGGGCTAAGCGTCATACCCAGATAGATATGAGCGACGTTCTGGTACAGAAAGCGATGATACCAGTAGTCAAACACAGAGTGACGTGTTGTCACAACAAGAACTTGTCCGGACGGAACGGCCACCCCAATCAAAGGACCCGAGTGGGAGAATGACTCCTGCTTCTCCTTCCGTTCTTGGTTTTGGTGGCTGCGATCATTCCAGCACCTGGACGGCGATTGAGAGAGGTGATACCCTTCGTCCGCGAGCAAAAACTGCCAGCCTACATGGTCCCTTCCTCGTGGATGCAAGTGTCGAATCTTCCCACCAACGGCAATGGCAAGACTGACGTCCACGCCATTAAACGCTAGGCAGTTGAGATAGGATGGGAGGGCCTGGTTGAAGCCGCTGTGTCTGATGCTGGCGCCAAGGCAGCCACTGACCCCATTGAAAAGCACATCGCCAGTATTTTGCCCGACATGCTCTCCTTGCTGGAGCAGTCTAGGAGACCTGCACAGACGCGGTCTCGCCATTGATCTTGGCAATGTCCTCGACAACGCCACTCTGAAGGAGACGGTATTTTATGTGGCCGTGGTCTCTAACACCGACGATGACCTGAACCTCTTTGCGTTGGTCCACCCTTGCAGGAGAGCCTGATTACTACTAGTATTTGCGACGATCAAGGGATGTATGCATATCAATGGAAGTGGGAGGTTGCTAGTTTCGATATCTCTCAGCTACAAGATAGCTTCCGGAAGGTTTAGGTCCAGCGACATCCTCCGCACCTTGTTCATGCCTCACAGTCGCAGCTTGCTCCAAGTGGTATGCCAGGGAGACGGCTCTCGACGTCACTCAGTTGCTGGTCGTAGAGGACTTTAGCATGGCTGAAGATGTTGGCGGAGAGGAGGTCTATAGTATCGTCTCCGGTTTATAGGAATAGGGCTGGAGACGTAGAAATACGAGGACAGTGGGAGAGACAATAAAGGACCGAAATGATGGAGTCATAAAACTAAAGCTATCCTGCGAAATATTTGAATTCTGTGCAAGCGGCGCACGGTATAATCTTGACGCAGATAATTCTCGTTCGAATACATGGAAGCGGCCCAGAAGACAGAGCTCGAGAAGAGATAATTGCCGACTGCGGAATTTCTATGAAGCTGCAGTTGGGGATTGTCCTCAGCTGAATCACATAGTTCTCGAACGTCCGGCGATTGATCATAGCCACAAAATTTCCCTGGTGTCTTTTCACCGGCGTCAGTCAGCATTTCCCTTGCATTTTGACTCTAGTTGACGGTCCATAGTGTTGGTCCATGCTTTACCCACCTCTCGTCGGACTATCTAGCCTCCATGGGCAGGGCAGTTGTGTGGGCAGACTTGCTGTCGCACACCTGTGCAAGAAATTACCCTCTTTGCACAGCGGACGACATCGCCCTCGGGCTGGGTGCAGCCGCTGTCATACTTGCAAAAGTACTGGGAGCACATTATGGCAAAATTTGGTGGTTTTGGAGTTTGTGAAGGGAGGGTGCTATGTTCAAGTGGGGGTAAAGAAGAGCGAATCCGCTCAGCGAACGATTTGATAAAGCTCATTCGATAGAAGTTTTCAGGCCTCGAAGGAGATTCTAATGAAGTGAGAAGTGGGGACATGAATAAGACTCATGGTTGCGATATTGATAACTTGTAGACAAGCTCAAGCACAAAGTGATGTCTATGTAGAGTTGGATTGGTTGCGAGTGCGATTGTGTACGATTCTGATCTCTGTTGGAGTGATTATAAATTCGAAGACTTAGTGCCTCGTGCGGCTTCTTTATACCTTTTCCTTTGTGTACGCAGTTCAGGTTCTTCACCGGATGAGAACACCCTCAATTGAGGCTTGTAGACTATTTCCGTGCCATGTTTTGTGCTATGTGCTAGCACGGCTGCAGCAACTCGACTGCTGCGATCATAAATTACGCCGTGTAGGTTGTATCTTCCGGGTCCGGAAATTGGCTGCAGGGCATGGAAATCGCAGGAGCCCCCGGCCAGGAACAAAGTGGAAAATGCGCATTGTAGTATCCAGTCGGTTTGTTATCGGGGCGGTGAACCCGCAATTGGGAGAGTTGACGCTCCTCAGCTGGAGATGACCTGCAGGTATCTCGGATATTATTAAACGATGATTAGGTCTATGCGAGTGAGAGCGAGTAAGATGGAAGAGAACATAATCTAAAATGACCGAAAATGCTCGGGCTCCGGAAAACCCTCCCTGCCTAAACACTTGTCCAACTTGCAACCACCGGAACATATCATCTTCTGACTCTCACTGTCAGATGCCCCTTCTACTGCGATCAACTCTTCCCGTGTGAATTTTTGATCTTTCCGTGTCAGTAAATTGGTACAATACCACCATATAAAAGGCCCAGCGGATACCCAACCCATCAACAACTCCGACGACACTACTGTCCTCTAAAATCCACCAACCTCATGGCGTCCTGGGACAATCTCGAAGTTATCAACAGCCACCTGCTCCATTATGTTGGCTCCTCGACGGCTCCTAAGAATGTTAGCGCAGCTTTAAAACCCCTTTACTTTAAACGCAATATCTTCAAGGTAAGTTTTTAGAAGCCTTTCGTGTAATCCTACTGCAATGAAAGAAGGATAATTCTAGCAATTATATAGCTGATTGCCAATGCTCCCACCTTTTTTTCGACTTTGATGAAGCCCCTTACTTGTACCTGGTCCTTCGAATGGAGCTTCCGCTCGAAGGATTGTCAACTGGTCGTCTTGCACACCGCATCGCTCCTCGACGCGCCGTACGAATGGGATGTCAATGAGCCAGTGGCCCGTGCCTTCGGCTATACCGATGCACACCTGGACATGCTCCGTTCCGGGGACTTGAGCTCAACCGAGCTTTTCACGGATCGACAGCGACTGAGGTGGCCGGTGGTGAAGGATCTATGCCTCCGCAACCGCGTCAAGAAGGAAGCCGCGATCACGGCCAAAGAAATGCTAGGAGATTAGGCGTTGATGGACCTGTTCTACACTCAGGCTATCTACGCATCTTCCCCCGCACCATAAACAGTTACGAGATTGACTTCGATGCCGGGATTGGAGGACGTGCTTTGGAAGTACAATGCAGCAACTATTAAGAAGGAAAGCCAGTATTCGGGTTAAATTTGTTTGCCTGCCGACACTACCATGATTGAGCAATTCCGTTTCCTAAACGAAACTTTGAGCCTTTGACAATGGATATCGTTGAAAGACAAATCGACAGGGGCGTGATGATTATAAATAGCAACTGCTGTCTCTGGTAATAGGATTCATGATCACACTCAACACGAGCGCAATCAACCGTATAAGATTAGAAAGCAATCCAACAGCACAAAACCCCATAACTTCTGCTTCGCACATTGTAAACTAATATTTCTTCAATACTTGCCACAATGACTGCGGAAACTTCCTGTGATTCTTTGCGCCCCTCGTCATCCGAAACCCCTTCAGAGGTCCCCACCGCAAAACCACAGTCTCCGAGAGATGTGCATGGCGTTAATATGAGACATCCCACGACCTATTTTTATTAATACTTGGCTAACTGTGCATCCAGTGGGTGCTGGTGGTCGTTGCGCTGCTCTTGTTCCTTTTCCCTGTACGCACTCGTCAACATTGTGACCAATGTTCAGCCCGAGGTGGTCGAATCATTTGGCCATTTCAGTCTTATTCCAATTTTATGGTTGGGCATAACACATACGACCATAGGGTGTGGAAAACAGGGCTTCCCGTCCGCTCAGCCGTACTTAAGCCACGCGCCGGCCGGTTAGTAGTTGGGTGGGTGACCACCAGCGAATCCCGGCTGTTGTATGATTTTATTTCTTATTCTTTTAATATTTTATTTGGATTTTGTTGGGTTGGACCGAAAGGTAACTAACTCAATAGCAAATATGGTTGTGGTAGTTAATGGAGAAAGTGTTGTTGTATAGTAACTCCATATGGAATGTCCACTCTATTGCTCTGGCTTCCGCCCCCACGACACTAATCTGGTCTAAGGCATATGGTACTTTCTCCGTGAAGAAGCTCTATATATGAAGCACGGCGGTCTTCATGGGTACATCAGCTCTCTGCGGTGGCGCTCCCGGACATCAACAGCTTTATCGTCGTTCATACCATCGCCGGTATTAGGGGCTGTGGAATGTACATTCTCTTTACTCTGGTGTCGGTGACCACGGACAATGTTGAACGCCGGAAATATCTCAGTCTAACAGGATTTATCTAGGATATTGGAACCGTGTTGGGCTCCATGATCGGCGGTGCTTTCAGTGACAGCGACGCAACGTGGCAGTGGGCATTCCACCGGAAGCTGCTCGTGAGAGCTGTCATGGACCCCATCTACTTTCTCCTCTTGCCCGATTTCCAGCCGCAGAAGGATATCCCTCTGCTGAAGCGATTAGGCCAGATCGAATATATCGGAGCCTTGCTGTCTATTGGCACCCTTCTGAGCACGATCATGGCCACGAACTTCGGTGGTGTCCTGTAGAACTGGAACAGCACTAACAGCGTCGGTCTTTTGTGGGTGCTGGCGCGCTCTTGATCCTCTTCGTCCTGCGGTAGGTCTTCACCCTCTGAACGAACCTTCAGAATCGCATGTTCCCGATGCACTTCTGGAAGAGCGGCAATATGATTTTTCACCATGAGTGAGCCCCCGCATTTTTTCTCCGCTGTATCTCTCGAAAACTAGTCAGACACAGTGTTGGCGACCTTCGGCAGCTTCGTCGGAATCTACTACTTGCCCATCTACCACCAGTTCGCTCGTAGAAGCACAGCTGCCCAGACTTCCGTCCATATTTTTCCTTTCATTCTGTTCCTCGTCGCATTTAACCTGGTGAACGGTTTAGTTCATGGCAAAGACCGGTTACTGCTACACCTGGTACAGTGTCGGTGCCCTCTCCAATCGATCGGTGGCGTCCTTATGTATAAATTTCCTTTCCGCATGCACGCTCTATCCACCCTGGACTGCGCAATCGGACTGACGCTCAACTAAAAGACACGGTTGACGAACGTAGTTACGATGCCAAGATCTACAGTTTCACCATCATCCTAGGTATGAGTGTCGGCTGTTTCTGCCAGGCGGGCTTCGCCATCGCCCAGATGAAAGTCAAGCCGGAGGAGATCCCCTACTGCATCGGCTTCATGACCGTCGGCCAGATGCTGGCATCGTCTTCGGCACCGGTATCTCGGGCGCTCTGTTTGTCAACTTTGCGCAGCAGGCTGTCCAGAAAGTGTTCACTCTGGCCTCTGAGGATGAGATCTCCAATGCGATCTCCGGTGTCGAGAGCCAGCTTCTCAGCTCTGCATCAGGGGAGCACTATTCCCATGCGACCCATGGTATCACTAGGTGTTGCTGGCATATCTTCATCAGGTGATGTTGTCCACCCTTTTATGGGAGGGATTGGGTGTTGACGAAACCTGACGCTGCTTGATAATGTGGATGTATACCACAGTAGTGGCACAAAAGTACACGTAGTGGTTGAACCAAAACCATGAATCAAGGCCCTCCGGTTGGCAAGACCGTTGACAAGACCATTAACGATGGTCAGTATCTCCTCGGCGGCCCCAATATAGGTCACTACGCTTGATTGGGGGATTTCCTTGCAGTCATTTAACAGAAACAGGCGCGTTATGTGTATCATGGCGTGTGAGTAGCCCAGCTGCAGGATGTGAGTCCGCCAACGATCCAGCAACGGCGTTACAGTCACTTTCCACCGCTCTAGCTTGAGTGTCAACAGGATTGCTGCCACAAACGGCGAGTCTCGAGAAGAATTGAGGGTATGCAATTTCCGTGAAATATTTGCCAGATTACGAGCCAGTTTATAAAAATTGGCTGCTTTGCTTCTGCCAGTTGACTTCGCAATGAAAGAGCCGGTGATAGAACCTGTAATGAACCCAGAGAAGCCATGGCCGGTTCATTAATGAACAAATCTTGATCGGTTACTGCGTCTGGTAGTTCTTGGTCAAAATCCTTATTATGCAGCAACTGTGGCCGGCCATATATGTACTTGTCCAATGTGTACATGCTCCAAAAGGTTCTTTTCCGAAACTCCTGCTCGATGTATATGCCGTTTCCATCTTTCACCATATTCGGCGGCCATTTCCAATGTAGATTGAAAGCGGTTAATAACTGCACGGTATTTCCGAAGGCAAACCAGTATTTATTGTCCCGGGACGACGCCAGCAGATAAGACTTTGATTCATCCTGGCTTGGACGGTTTCTAGCTGTGGTGCGCTGCTTCCCATGATGGCACTTGTTTTAACAACGCAAACCAGCGCTCGCTTCCAAAGACAACCAACGAATTGGTCGGAATTTGAGGGAAATGAGTGCCTGTATCATAAGTTTACCTCTGCTTATTATTATTAACATTTGGCTCGGTTTGAATCTCTCATAGAGGGTGCCGATAGCAAGAACTCTGTACAAAATAGAACAACGGGTAGGCGGTTCGAAGCCGAAACCCCGCACTCATAGAATTGACGCAGCCATTGCTCAACCAGGCCTTGAGAACCGGTAGGTCACAACGGCATACTCAAAGTACGTCACGACCAGCTCCAGGGCCGCCTCCAGCGGGGGGACGCTGAAATCAAGCTTGTAGAAACTCGAATTGGGCTTGTGACCGAACTTGGTGACCGATGGGCAGTCCGAGAAGTCCAACTCGGGAATGCCCCCGCCGCCACATGACGACGTCTTATCTTGGTTTAGACGTCGACATATACGGTTGATAAAGGAAGCTCCTGATGCCAAGTCGAGATAGGCGCCTTGGAGGTCCGCCATTAAGATATTTGTATTGTCGTGCCTTACAGCATGAAAATTCTCAAGCTGTAAGGGGAGCCTTATGTCTTCCTTTTGCCTTTGACCACGGGGAGGGTCTTTTCACGCTCCCTGAAATTGTGCTCCGCCGGGGAGCCACTTGCGACAAGCTCGCGGGGGCGGATCGGCTCTATATCTATATTAGACGTTAACGGTGGCGGTATGTGAAGCTAAGGCGTTCTATACCGCGACAAAATCAGAAAGGCGGACATTGGTTAAACTAATGGGCTTCGTCCCCGTTCAATGACGTGAGGGATAAGCCGGGGAGGATCAAGCACGAGGTGCATCCACACAATACTGGAATTTTCTTTGCCAACCGAACCCAAATCTGTTAGAAACTGCCCCAGAGCAGGGGAGAACGTGAAAGTGGGATGGCTTTGCGGATCTAAGCTCTGACAAGAGTGATCGACAGGGAGAATGTGGAATCTTTCACCTGTGGCATTTCCGCCGCTCTAACTAGTGCGCTACTAATAGTATTAGTATACTGCAGAGTAGACTACTAGTGCTAGTCAAGTACATTAGGTGTAATAGAAAGTGTGTTGGGGTGGAACTGGAGGCATCAATCAGTAGGGCAATACGAATATTATTCGGCGATACTCCAAATTAGGATTAGATAGATAACTTACAGAAAACTAAAGCTTGAGTTTCTTCCTCAAGCCGGGGGAACGCTCGTACATGTGATTGGCACAACAGAGATAGGAAAAGCAATGTGAGTCGTAAGACCTTCCCACGTCACCCATTGCAGATCACAAGATAGATGGTAGGTATAGGATCTTTTTACATTAGGGCATCCGCAGTCACACTCCAGCGTCCCACCCGGCCCCCAAGATGGCTTAGCGCCGTATTTGGATGTACCAGTCCTATGTAATGCGAACCTACCCTGCATTCCACCGAAACCAAGCATTCCTGTTTTTCTCTATTTCCATCAACCAGGATACACATACCTAATACATCGCACTGGCTAATCCCTCTCAAAAAATCATGATATCTCTCTGGTTATTCCTCCTATCAGTGATTCTAGACCACCCCACGCTAGAAGATTTTAGCGGGAGAGTCCGGCGCCTGCCGAACCGAGGGAATCGCTTGCTAATCTGACATGGCCCAGCAATGCAGCTCGAGTCAGATGTGGCCATTAAATAACACTAGTCACTTCTTACAATGAACTATCTTTTATCTCCTTTATGAGAGAAATGTATTGAAAAAGAGGTCGCGTCAGCTGGAGAACCCACGTGACATCGCTTAATTTGTCCTAGTCTACTGACGCCAAGTCCGCCCCACCTGGTTGTCGCCTGCAGACACCTGTTAATTAACCGGCTCTTCCGCTTAGCGCTCGAGGACCACTGTGCCGGTTAGGCTACGTGTATGATTCTGAAATATTAGGAATCACTTAGGTTGAGCGGAGCGATCCTACACTGATATTGACTAAGTAGGTGATCATTGACTTTTTGGAATATCTGTAATATACGGTTGACATACAACCAGGCAGCCCTCGACCGCGCAGTACTGCCTGAGGAATACCTAGACGCAACCAACACTAGGTCTTTCATCTCTCTCAACCAAATCGTAATCGGGTCGGGCAGATTCAGCCACCCCACTCTACTACAAGAGAAGGGAATATAGCGAGACTCAAATTTCTCATCACCGCGACCCCAACTCCCGTGTTCGTCTTTTGACCATGGCATTTCACGGTTTTAGTGACAATATTTCCCTGAGTTTGCCATTGTTCGACCCCGGTAAAAAGAGCAACCAGCAACAGCAAGCGCAACGGCTGCCATCCATCAGAACTCTACTCCAGGGAACTGACAACTTGCCGAATTATTGTTTCACTAGCGGCATAGAAAAGAATCTATCCTCGGCCGATGTTGCCCCTGCTGGAGAGCGTGTAGCCTCCAGTTACCACATCGCTGAAGGTGCCACAGATACCATCCCTTTTGTTTCGTCGAGGACGCCTAATTCAGCCAGTACATCACAACCGGAGTCAGAGCATCCAAAGCCTTCTCTCGAAAATACTCATAGCTTGAGAGCGAGCTGCCTCGACCGGATGCGACAGCGATGGTCTTCGCAAGCTATTGGAACTACCGTTTTAGATCTGACGCATATATGGCAGGGAGTGGCTCAGGCGTATCTGGACAATACACCAATTGGATTGGAGCGTGCGGACTGGCTGATGCAACTTGCCTTCAATATAGCATCCCCTGAAGTTTACGTAGGGCTTAAACGCCTACTAACGCACCTCCGTGACCCCCTCCACGCCCTAACCAGTCCATTCCCACGCAACGCAGCTGGCGTGTATCAAGCTGGACAATTGCACCTCGCCAGAAAAGGCTCATCGCAACCTGGCCTAGCGCTATCCTACTATTTCTTCTATCACCTTCTACAAGAACTCAGGGAACAGGGGTGGCCAAATCCGGTGGACCATATTATCAACGAGATTAATGGCCAGATTCCTAACAATTTATCTTCTCATGAGGTAAAAAAAACAATCCAAATCTGGCAGAGACGAGCATGGTGGTGTTGGAAGCTAATTCACCCTGTGAATGACCCCAACATTGTCTGTTTTCTTCCACAAGGATCTAATCACTTTGGCCATGGTGAGAAAACAATTTATTTCAACCATTACCCTCACTTGAAAAAGGCCGAGTATGAAGTGATTCAACAAATCCTTCGGCAGATCCGCCCGACCATCATGCATAACGTCCCTCGAGATTTTTATGAGATATTCTTGTACCATCAGGCACCTAGATGGAAGTTCCAGCTCGAAGATTGGAGTGATGAAGAGATTCGTGCGCAGCCTCTGGACTCGATGAAATTTGCCGACGCCTTCCGAGTCGTGGAAGTGTGACAAGGTTAGAAAAAAAATCTCCTGGTCAATATACAACTTTCGAAAAGCCTTTCTGAGTTGTGTGGGTTATAAATGAAGGAGCAATTAAGCCATTTTGGACATTACCAGAGTTGTACAGACTTATGGCCGTCGATTCCAGAAAGGCCAGCGGAGAATTGCTCTGTACGGCGCCTGCGAACCTGTTCGAGGACGCACGAAACCTCCAAACTAGCATTGTGGTCATCACCTTTTGATATGGCATGTCAACTGGAGCTTAAAGCTAGAAAACTGTCTGCTATAAGTTTTAATAGGACGGACGATAATTAGCGGGCAGTGGTAATACCTACCACTACCAATCCTGACTTTGGGGCAAGCCAAGAGAAGAGTCCCAACATAATGAATCTTGAGGCAATCTAAGGACTAGATTAACATCTGAATCGGGTGTCGGTCGTCCTGTCGGCCGGACTGGCGGGGCTCTACATTGGGGCAGTGAGCATCCACTGTGGCACCGTTCTGCAGATCAAGGAGGCACCGCTGTGGGCAGAACTGAGTTGCATGTGGACGAGATTGGTCGATTTGGTTTCTTCGACTGTTCGTTTGGGGTGATGCTCGTTGAAAAAGGGGAGAAGACGTTATTTTGCGAAACCCTCGCTTTCGTCCTCCCAGAGTAGCAGGATCTGTATCGTGATATGGGAGTTTTTGTGACTCCTGGTGTCAGAAGGTGCACAGTCAGCTAGGGATGGGCACTTGACGACCCTTGGCCGGATATTTGACTGCAGACGACGGCAAGTACTGGGAAAGAGCCTTTTTGTTAGGACTAGTGCACTGAGAGCCGGTGTAATCCGAACCAGGAGGGGTCTCTCCTAATTACAGGAATCTGGGAGCGTGTATAGTGGAAACTAGTCTTCCAAATCGGCAGCTTCTCCTATGCATCGGTCCGCTTCTCCTGGCTACGGTGACGAGACCTGAAACTCATTGATTCTCTGAACCGCCGTCGTTGGTTCCAAGAAATTCCATTCGCCCTCATTCACGTCCATGTTGGGCTCACATAGACAGTAATACAGGGTGTTTGGGTTGTTGAGGGAAACCTGCAGGAACACCAACGCGAACCCATTGGTCACATACGAGTTCTCGAGTCCTTCCTGAAATGCACATGGTACTCCTGAACCCTTTATTGTAAGCCGGCCTGGATGTGTGTCATTCAACGTTATGGTGTATGCTACTTAGGGGGTATCAAATTCAATGTCGCGATTAATGTAAAATAAACATAGCATGGCGTCAGGCATTGTTGACTTTGGCACAAACCGAGGGTGGTGAAAGCATCAGGGTCAACGGGATAGAGGGCGACTGGTTGGAGAATGATTAATTTTTCAGAAATCCGAATGTAGGCAATAAAACACTCAACTAATTGCAGGTCAAACATTGTCTTGACTGTGAAGTAGGGTGTATGTACATGTCTGAAGAGACATATATACCCCTGGTGTATTACGCACAAATTGTAACAGGGCTACATTTTATGGTGTAGTGGTATATCTGACAGTACATTGAAGACCGTTGGTTAAAAATATCCAATTCGCCACCTACCTTGCTCTCCACTCCACACTCCAGATCACATACATTTCCTTATCCCGGCTCACCGAAGCAGAAAGCCGAACACCGTGTACCCGAATGTCTCCCATATCCCAAGGTCTCCAACACCTCCCGCCCTCTTTCTCCCTGGGGTTATTAACTTATAAAGAAGCCGAATATTTATCACAATACAGCCGAGTTATCGCCATTGTCCAGGCAGCCGTTGATGACCGCATTCCATTCCGGCAAAAATGGAATCTCTGACACTGAAAAATCCAAAGATGAGAAGATGTTTTGATTGGGGTCGGCAATAAACTCCTGCTCGTGGATTACTCCAAAATCTGTGGGAGATGTCATGTGCGCTGACGTGTGGATTGGCGGAATTTCAGTATCTTGACGATGCTCGACAACCCTGAAACCTTGGGAAGCGCGACATTCAGGCGGTTGGATCTCGCCATCTGTGGGTAGCTGAGCATGTTTCAATGATAAAGCCTGATATCTGAGCAAAGCAAGACATTTCCAAATACTACCATGGCCATATTCATCATGGGTCCCCGCCGAATAACCATCGACGCTCATTTCGTGAGGGAAGACTTCTTCAACCAAAGCCCAGGCACGTTCTGCCTCTGGTCCACAAGGAGAGCTGCAGAGACAGCGCAAAACGTAAGCGAGGGCGTACCACTGAGTATATGTGGTGAAAAGCCACTTGAATCCTAAAGAAAGACCTTCCTTCAATAAAATGTAATTACTTTCCAGCACTTCACATGCCAACCTGAAAGATGGCTTGAGCACATCAGTAGCATCACCTTGTAAGCCTTTCCGCTTTCGCATGCTGATCTCTTCCCGCAGTTGAAGCATGAACTCCATTTTCTTGCAGGCAGTAGTGAAATGTTGTATTGCAACGAGGGATAGACCGCTTGGTGTTTTGGACGAAATGCCGTATTTATTGGACACATATTGAGTGCGCTCTTGAATCATCTTCCTCTTTGCTGTGATATCTTTAAGAGTTTCCGCAGAGCACTGCTCTCGAGTCCCAAGAACCGGATGTAGTAGCCTGCACGACTCAGTTTGAATCAAAAAGAAGGACATTTCGGTCCAGCCCTCTGTCTCATTTGGAAGTTGTGTCATATTTGGAAATATCTGATTATCGTCAATATTCAGAGGAAGCCGTAGCCCCTGGTTGAGGACATCGAGACTGAGCTCGAATCCTTGATCCTCCGGGGCACGAGAGTCGAGCACACAAAGATGCCACCACAGACGAAGACGCATCTCGGTATCAAACGGACTCAGTTGGAGACAAGCACCATCTCGGTGTAGCCCAATAGATTGGGCTAACCGGATGGCTAGTCCATTGAGGACCCATACACTCCGGCCAGTTTCATGGACCCGTAAACAAGTCTAAGCAGACTGGTCAGGCCTCAAGCACAGTGGATTACTGAACTGACTTACCACATAAATTGCGAGAGCTTGTAATGCCGTCATCTCCGGTCGATTCATCAGATCTGTCGCTAAGAGAAGCCTGTCCAAGATGGTCTTGTAGCGCTTCAAGAGTACTGATTTCTCCAAGGGCAGCTCAATAGATTCATCACCATAACCAAGAGCTGTGATCGCGGCAAAATAGATCGCAAATGTCAATGCCACCATTGACGCTCCTGCGGTTTTGGGGTCTAGAATTGTCGCTATGACGGCGGACTGTGTAGTCGGTATGTGCAAAATCTTCAGTACCGGATCGACAGACTTAACGTACACTGCCCATAGCCGAAGGGCGAGTTGTGGATCAGGATAGAATTCTAGCAAGACGGAAGAGGTGTCTGAAGATGGTCCTGGCCGTGTGGGAAACACTGGGGCACTTGCTCTTTGTTGCAGCTGAGAGGACGCTCTTTCAGCGTTGGGAGATCGAGTAACTTTCATTCGTTCTTCCTGGCTGATGCATTAGTGGGCATTCCTAGAGAGGAGCAAATGCCAGTCTGGACTTACGTCTTGGAGGAGGTCTTTGATATTTGAATTGTTCACATACTGGACGATCTGCCCATCGTTCAATAGTAGCTCCCATGACATGTGGGAGGGATGAGCCGATGAAGACTGATTTGCATCATGTCGAACTTGATCCTCGGAGTCACCACCGGAAGCTCCAGAGACTCGACTCTCACAAAAATGTGATAGAATTGTCTCCAGCCGCGCCAGGCGGTCGGAGATGCCTTGGAGAGTGGGGCTCTTTCCCTCGTCCCCGGTCTTTGTAGGATACACGCAGGTGAAGCCGCCCCTGGAACAGTTCCTGCAAGGTACTGCTCGGTCACAGCGGACTTTGCGCCGATAACAGCGAAGGCAGGACCGTGCGCCTGGTCCGTAACTTCGAGGGTGCGATTCTCTATTTCCCTTGTCATCGGAAGAAGAATTTTGTACTTTAAGCATAATGAATTGGGAAAAGTAAATTCCAGCAGGTGGAAATGAATAACACCCTGCCTTCTTGTGAGGATGAGAAAGGCGGTTTGGATGGCGGGGTCTCGGTGCCGAGAACTCCGCTTAACCTAGTTGATCGGCTTTCTCGGCGCAATCTCCGAGTAGGATTGTGGGACTAAGATACGACCGATGGCATATAGGCATGTACGAGCGAGAGCATCTACTTCGGCGGTTGACCACCGCAATGCCGACATGCAGGTCATTGCAAGGTTTATATAGCCCATCTTGTTTCTGAACCATTTCGCCACAACAATGGGAATGATAGTCGAAATGAATGAGTCGGTCTCTTCAGCAGGTCACGCCTCAGATTCACAGGAAAAAATTCCCTCCCAGGAAGTGTTCCCTGAAGGCGGATATGGCTGGGTCTGTGTTGTATGCACGTTCCTCATGAACGCCCACACATGGGGCATCAACTCTGTACGAAAGCCTGATTTACCTACTAGGGAAAGCCATTAACAACAGATACAGGCATACGGAGTATTTCTTTCCTACTATATTTCCACCGACATATTTCCTGGTACATCGGCTCTTGAGTATGCATTAGTCGGTGGCTTGAGTATCTCTTGTGCTATGCTCATTGCGCCCCTCGCTACGTATCTGAGTCACCATATATCTAACCGCTTCGTTCTGAATCTCGGCACGCTACTGGAGACGCTCTCTCTGATTACCACATCATTCGTTAAAGCCGATTGGCAGCTGTTTCTCTCTCAAGGAGTTTGTTTTGGATTTGGTATGGGACTCTGTTTTTGTGGCTCCGTGGGAATTTCTTCACATTGGTTCAAAAGACGGCGGAGCGTAGTCAATGGCATTGCTGCTGCTGGCTCTGGGATAGGTGGTCTCGTCTATTCCCTTGCTGTTGGGAAAATGATACCAGAATTTGGCTTTCCGTGGGCAATGCGTATACTGGGGATCTTGGCTTTTGTGGTGAATATGACTTGTGCGAACCTCCTTCGGATCCCCTCACAGACACGTTCCCATTCGAATAGCCCAACATTCCGCTTATTGCTCTTCCGGAGACTGGACTTTGTCATATTACTGTGTTGGGCATTTCTGAGCGCTTTGGGATATGTGGTTTTGCTATTCAGTCTGCCCAGCTATTCCGTTGCAATTGGTCTCACCCAGCAACAAGGCAGTTTGGCAAGCGCACTTCTCAATCTGGGCCAGGCGTTTGGGCGTCCAGCTGTTGGACTATTGAGCGATCACCTTGGGCGAATACGTGTTGCTTTTGGTGCTTCGCTCCTCGCAGGCGTGCTGCCATTGGTACTCTGGATCTTCTCTGATTCTCTGGGGTTGACATACTTCTTTGCTATAGTAGTCGGGTTATTCGCCGGCACGTTCTGGGCAGCCGCAGCACCACTTACCGCCGAAGTCGTTGGACTGCAGAATCTTGGAGCTGCGCTAGGCATTTTGTGGCTTGTACTCAGTCCACCAACGGCAGTGGCTGAAGCTATTGCGGTACAACTTCGAAACGATGCCAATGCGACGAAGCCCTACCTACGAGTTCAACTTTTTGTTGGGTTTATGTATATAGGCTCAGCTGCTTGTTTGGCTTGGTTATGGTTTGAGTTGCGGAAGAAGCAGTCAGCATCTAGGGTTGGAAAGTCTTGCAACTAGAGCCTCGATTCCTGCACGAGATCAATTGTGCTACAGTCTTTCAGGTATATTGCCTCATGGCGCAAGATAGACTTTTTAAATATATTTATAATTCTCTAGAAAGCCTAGACTCAAAATTGTGAAGTTCGTAATCCTATATTTTATTCGAGGGAAACAATCATACGCCTGGTTTTTACTTAGACTACGGAGTTTCGTGCAAGACATTAGCCAGTGTTATCTGGACAAATTGCAGAGCTAGGTTTCGCCTTTACTCAATCTATGCCCGTGTTGGCTGTTCCTGGCCTGCGCTCGTGCTTGTATAAGCTAGTTTGCTATTCGCCATAGTCCAGGCACATATTGGCTTGCTCTTCTGCTTGGCCTAAAGTAAAAAAAAAAAAAAAAAAAAAAAAAAGGACTATGCCAAATTATAACTTTGGAACAGAAAGTAAAAATATTACGAAAGGTCTATTATAGAAAGTTTGGCAATTTATACTAAAAATATAGGATGAAAAAAGTAGATCAACTGAGAGGATAGTGATTTTTTTTCCCCTTTTTAAATAGATTATACTCTTTGTATTGCTGTTTAACTTAAAATAGACCTGGATACTTTTAGCCCAATGGCCAGGCTGTAAATAAATCCCTGGGACAGCTTTGTGAGGCGTGGTTTGCTATAGCAGCTGCGGCATTACCTGGGGTTACAATTTCTTGGCCTTCAATACATTCTAGGTCAAAAGTCTGGTGACACCCGAAAAAATCGAATAATTACAACAAGTTCAAAATTAAAATACTCCACCACCACAACTCCTATAGATCCCTAATTTAAATATTATTTACAAAATTAATACTTTGTACACCACCCATGAGCTCGATGCACAGCTCGAATCCTACGAGGCATGAACTCAATCAAACTGTCAATTACCTCCTGGGGAACCTCATCCCATGCGTGACAGATAGCATAATGAAATTTGGTCCAATCCACTTGAGATCTTCCATCTAGAAAGAGGATAGGATAAAGTTTAATAAGCTTCTTTTTTAGCAGGTTCCATACATGCTCTATAGGGTTTAAATCGGGAGAATAGCAGGCATTCCATAACCCAAATTCCATGAAATTCAAACCATTCCTGTGCCTTCGAAGATGTATGGATTTTAGCATTGTCTTGCTGAAATATTCGACCAGGTTCATAGACTGGAAGAAGGCCTTCTTCTAGGCATTCTATATAGGAATTGGTGGAATAGCCGCCTCGAGGTGATGATATATCCCGTCTCATAATAATCAAATTTGATCGGCCACCATGCCATATAGCGCCCCATATTATTTGTGAAATATCCTTTTCATAATTATAAAGATTCACAAGATCCTGCCTATAGGCCTCTTTTTGATATCGAAAGACAAATTAAATGGTGTTATTGGGCTTTCGTTGGACCGAACATTCGTTAGAATAGAAGATTTCATTCCACCTAGTAAAATTAAGCCACGTACGAGAAAATTCATATCAATTTTTGGCTGTCTTCTTAGTCAAGGGAATTCTCTTCTTGCTTTTCCATTTCTTAAGGTTATATTTCCTTAGAATTCGCTGTATTGTTGACTTAGAGACCAAACTATTGGAGTTGGCAATTAGAGCCTTATAGCTCATATAAGGCCTCCGGTGAGCCATTTGATAGATATAGCGCTTGGATGCTTCACTAAGCTTGCTAGGTCTCCCCTTTCTAGGTAAGGAACTGGTGGTCTGGTGGTGTAGATAGCGATCGCGTGTGCGGTATACTGTTTGACGACTGACCCCAAACTACTTAGCCATTTGAGTAGGCGATTGCTTAGTCTGAAGGCCATATAAAATAGCAGAACGCATTTCATTTGAAAGCTCTTGATTAAGCCTTCTATTCCCACTAATTTCAGTGCCAAAGGACCTCATATTGGTGGTGTGGTGGGTGGTTGAAAAATTAACAACTTTTTGACGCGTCGCGCGGGAGGGAGTGTAACCAGACTTTTGACACGCTGTTAGTTTCGGACAGGGCGCTGTTCCACGACGACAGCGTCTATATTTCCTCCCTGACTTGGAAAATGTCCTAACCCTGTTGTTAACTATATCCTATCTTGCAAGGACATTGATAGCAACGCCATCGCCATCTTTGGGTGAAGTATGGGAAGGTACCTGGTGGCACGAGGCGCCACACAATCGAGAACAAGCTATTGCGTTAAGACGATGGCGTGTACGATTTCGGCTCTGCATTTCGCGCAAATACACCATGGTTTGCCATAAATTTCTTGAACGTGAATATGACTGGATATGTAATTTTATTTTCTGTCGTGTACAATCTCTGGATACAGTTTCGTGGGGTTTACGCAACGGCATATGGAGTTTCGGTGAAGTCTCCGGTAGAACTACGGGGTGAAGTCAATGGCTATATGTTGGACGGTCTCAGCGAAAATAATACGACTCCATGTCTGGTGTGGACGCTGAAAATTATCACTTTTTGAAAGGTCTGCCGGATGTACTACGCAGACACTTTAAGTGTGAATATGAATATGTATTAGATTTTATGGTATTCTGATTAGGAGGTCTGAATTGATTGTATTCAGAAAGATGTTGCGCCCAACTCCCAACGGGGTACGAAAGCGCCCTCGAACTAAATACTGTCTGAATTCGGCTATTAGTATTAAATAGGAAAGAAGGCGTGTTTGGAAAGGTCTTAAACGGATGATATGAGCTGACCGGGCTCCTCTTGATTATATTGATGATTATGATGATGATTATGATTGTTGTTCTTGTTCTCATGTTCTTTCGCTTGTTGTGACCTTTTTGACCCTACTTAATCACATGATCTTGGCCACATATAGCAATATTATTTGACAATACATACAAATACTAATCAGTGCAGACAGATGCCCGGAACAGAGGGATAACCTGACATTCCAACAGGATATGTACCTCATATGATGTCCCAAAATGGACTAATTTTAAATTGACAATATGTCAGCCTAGAAGCAGATGAAGACGATGACTCACATTGCCATCAAAGCGCCTTTTCCGGATTACATCAAGCTATTCTTGATTTTATACAAAAGCGTCTGGCTTCAGGGAAAGAGCCATGATGGTGGAGGGTTATATTATCAGCACAGTTTATAGTTTTGACTATCAAAGTAAAGGGTACATGTACAATAAATCTCAAATAATAATCTATGATAGACATCCATCCTGCGATGGTTGAGAAACCACGGTGCTCATCATCGGTACAGAAGTCGAACTGGATCGACATAATCCGCCGAAATGTTTCCCCATATCCATGATGGACGGGTGCTCGAGTTCAAACCCGAGTCCAGGGTGAAGCCAATATGTCTGATCACGAGAACAACTCGTTTAAGTGCGCAACGTGTGAGTATCACCCATAAACGACTAATCCAGATCCTGCCGGACTGGTCTATAAAGTGCCTTCCTGCGTAGTATATACAGGTGTTCGCCCCTCCAGGCAAACGCGCGATATCGGCACCTTCGCATCCCAAATAGGGTATACCTCATAACAACTATCTGCTGGGTTCATCACAGCAATGCTGCCTTGTCCCGGATGCAATTTCCACCTCAATTGTCTTCCTAATCTGAATGGAGCCATCTGGGGTATTCCTCAGCAGCTCATCCTTGCTATTTGTCCTCCCTCTCCTTGTACAGTGCATTGCACTCGATCGAAGAGGACCCAATGTATGATCGTGTTCGGTAGTATCGGTGTTGGAGCAATGCGAATGGATATACTGGAACATCGGTTTGAGGGTAACTAGACAACTTGCTATAATACCACCTGTATACTCAACCGCACTCCACAGGAACACCTCCAAGTTGTTCCAACTGAAGTCATCGGATGTCAACTGAAGAGAAATGGTTTTACCGATGGAGCCTCCTGCGACACTGTTTGGGTTAGAAATAGTAGTACGAAGGTGAAAAGAGACATACAAGAACCCTAGCGCAAGTAACATGCAAATTACAAATTTCTGCCTCCGATCCATCTGGAGACGATAGACGATTGCAAGTGGGATTGATGCAGTCATAAAATCTGTACCAACATAGATCCCTTCATTGCGGTGAGAAATCATTCCGGCAGAGGTAAAAATGAGAGCATACCCGAAGCAGCTTTATGCAAAATATTAATCGTGCTCGTCGATATGCGTTTCGAATGAACAGCTTTATTCCAGTATTCATCGAGTGGAGAGCATAGAACAAATTCGAGGACGATTATAGCAAATGTAAAAGGAATGATGATGGCCAGGTTGAATATTACTAGCCATTTAATCGTGCGACTTGCTCGCTTGACCATGCGAAGGAGGAAGAGGCAGACGGAGACTTTAACCAGCATCGTGCCGAAGAAATTAAGGGAGGAATTCACCAAGGTTAATATGGATATTCTGGTATAGTCGTCTGGGTTGATAGTATCCATATGTCTGCTTGTGTCAGGAACGTATTTCGTTTACTGCGATAGACGGGGGATGTACCTGCCAATACCAAGCTAGATACTTATTAACTTCTTATATCTGGAAAGGAATTATGGTATAAACTGACCTGGATAAGAATAACCTCAAGTGCACCAGCAGGAATTGAAATAGCCTGTCTATTTTAATGGTTGATCTTTTATTTATACTCCGTAGACCTACGTATGCAAGTAACATAGACCTGAGGTTATTATATTAGCTGACGATATTCCTTCTCGCAGAGTTAAAATATTACCAATCATCCCATCCTAACGATCCAGGGCGCAGTCGAAATCTCACGAAAAACCGGGCTGCAAGCACGATGGTTGCTACACCAAAGAGTGCCCAGTGTACACCAAGAATGGTTGACTGCCTTGAAGTGTACCTCATGACAAATCCGCGAGAATTCGACGGAGAAAATGTTAGAGATTTTGCTTGGAAAAGCTAGTGAATAAAAACATCGGATGAAAGCGGGGCAGTAATAAAATAAATAGATAGTCAGTATTAAGATATTAAATACAAGGTGGGCACTCAACAGACACCTGTATTCAACATATAGCTAAAGATGAGTTAATAAGTGAGTGCACGCATCGAAGCTGCTCTACCTATCTATTATAGGTGTTCCCTTTTTTTTTTTTTTTTTTTTTTTCCTTGCCATAAAGGCTGCATTGCTAACTCCGCCCATGGAAAGGGAATGTTGGATAGATAAGTCCTAACTAGCCGCGAAAGTGGGATGAGGACAGGGATCACTTGCATAGCAGCTGGTTAGCTTGTCCTCGTGTCCGTGAAATGATCTGCTTTCCTCTACATAGCTATTGTACATATTTAGAATTATCAAGCACAAGATCCAATTAAGATCCTCGCCCCCAGCTGTCGTGTAACCACTAATGCATTAGATTACGATCTTTTTACTGAGTACAGTAAGAAACCCTGTGCTTTTGTTATAATCCAGGGGAAGATTGCTTGTTATTCTGATCTGACGGCTTGATGTTTCATATATAGAGGACGCCATTAGATCGGATGCAAGTGAATATAACTCCATTAGGAAAGTCTTTACAAGAAGCTCCAGTGCTATGCTTGATTGAGTCTTGGTCTAATACGAGACACAATCAATCTACCATGAATAGTAAATGACTCGAATATATATATTCGAAAGTGGAGAAAATGAATGTGGATATATAGTACACCCTTACTGTTGGACTTCTCTCGCCAATACCTGATAAGTATGCAGCAAAGATGAACGTAATCATAACGGCCATATTTGCGTGCGGATGATGCAGATCAACTAGCCCTACCAAATATCGGAAACATGACGAATGTAGATTTAGGCCGAATCCGGAGTTGGGCCGCATCCTTCCCGTCAGCCATAACTAGCTTGAATGGCACAGGCACAGTCAGATTACCTGCTCTCGTGTGTAAAAATATAAGTAGGGAGGGAGTCACTTGACAATTAATTCTACGAATCACAAATCATTAGAGAGCTTTTCTCAGGACGACTGGGGCTGATCCTACAGCTATATGTTTTAGGTTTTATCATGATTATTATAATTGTCCCGCCCCTCCAAGATGCTTGTTACACGCGTCTGTGCTCAGTGTAGCTCTGTGGGAGACTGACCCGCAGTGGCACACTAAGAATCCAGATAAACACCCAAGGAGCACTTGACCCTCGACAAATCGGGAAATGATCTCACTAGGCTATGCTAAGTACCCGTCACCCCTGCTGCACACCGCGAAGTTATACCTGTACCTCGTATTCGGGACAAAGAGTGGGGGTGCAAGCACCGTCGGAAGCGCTTAAGGAGCCCAGACCATCTCCCTCCTATAAAATTGTCTGGAGGCGGTTTCGCACGACAATATATTGTATCAATAACTCTGGGGCTGAAGTTGGGAGAACTTGAACAGTGCTTCTCCTTTATTTCTCTCTTTCCTTCTCCTTTTAGGTATTACTTCTGTGGGATGGCTTAGAGAATGCGACACTATCTTATCTTCAGTCATACCAACTCACTACGCGAAAAGCTTGTCCTCCCCATTTGTCCGCCTACTTCACAGTTGCCTACACAATTCTCTGGTTGTGAGTAATTTATTTATTTTGTTTGGACCGGTTTATCTCAAAATGCCCCCCGACATCCCACATGCCCCCCAATATTAAGGAAAATGTGGAAATTGATCTGCAAGACAGAGTTTGCAGTGCCACTGTGACTGCACATACATGAATACAGTGAAAGTTATAAAGCTACGTAGCACGCACTGTTATTACCCGATCGCGACATAAAGGAAGCTGTTTCTTGGAACCAATCACAACTCATCTCCTAGTAGAGACATTGTCATAGGTGTGTATATTTTGAGATCGAAGTGGCAAATTATTAGAGATATGTGAACTGAGAAGTATTTACCTTATTCCGACAACTTGTCTGCCTCTCATCCCGGCCAGCACTAGATTAAGCTTCAACGTTGAGAACGAAGGCATCCGGGCTAGGGGCAATACCAGGATTATGTGAAATAGCCGGAATGTAAGTCCACCAACAATGGCCACAATGGCCATAATATCCATAAAATGATTCTGTTTAGGTGGTGTGTTCGAAGTCATGGGGGGGGCACTAAAAGTCTTGGCTGTACTGCCACCGTACGAAGCCCCACAGCAATTTAGATGGGAAGTCAGACTTGGCATTGTAAATTAAACATTATTATACTATTCAACCGAAAAAGGGGAGCTATTCAGATCTCCTTTAAAATAGAGTGCGCCCTCGAGATCCTTGCGCTTCGAAATCCGAGCCCGCAATGTGTCCCCTTAAATCATAGGTATCCTTGCCTGTATGGCCTTGTTTATATTCATTCCCTCCTCTAAGCTATATAACCTCCTGTACATGGCGTACCAACCGCTCAATCCGTGTTAGATTGCCTCTTGAGGCATCTCATCCCAAGCTTTAATCCACGCAGATTCTGCAGATTTTTTAATCTCTTGGATCACCCCGGGAGGCCATTCGGCGCTTAATATACGGCCATGCAACTTCAATTCGTCTAGATTAGGAAAATTTCCTGGCCAATCCATTATCCGTTGAAATTCATGGAAAATTATATACTCTATGTTTGAACGATGACGGTGAGCTGGAGCTCCACCTTCCAACACAACAGTATTTGGACGCTCGATCTTGCATTCTTTTAGAAAGGGGATAATCTTGGACTCAAGGACTTCCTAAAATAGAGAAGATGTTAGACTTTATGTAGAATTTTGTAAGGAAAAGCATCACCACTATTTCCTTCTCGCACTACACAGCCATTTTTCTTCGTCCAATTCCACTGTGGCTCCTACAGGGGTTTTAACTGGACGAAGCTTCATACGAGCCAGTTTATTATTCATCTCCCATTCTTCTTTCTGCATAGGTTCAAGCTCCTGGTTAATAGCCTCAAAATCTCCTTTGTGGCCCCTCTCGTTTGTTTAGCAGTTTCCGGCTTTCATATGAATCGAACCTTTTTTGTAATAGGAAAAACCCCTCCGTACCATAATCAGACTTCCGTTTTCAGTACCGGCGCATACAGGAAATCTCACAAGCTTCTTTACTTGCACGCAATATTCCTACGCTTCCACGTTCCTGACCAAGAGAGACAGAGGCTTCATCAGTAAAGATCATATTCATCCAATTTTCAAGGGTCAAATCTTTATGGGCGAGGCAAAAAATCTAAGCGCCTTTGTTTCTGTCCGTCAATAAGGCATGTTTAGTGGTTGGTTTAGCAGAACGAAAACCAAATTGATGAAGAATATGCCAGATAGGGGTAGTAGAAATAGAAGCGTCAAATGCAAGAATCTCACTGGATTTTTCAAGTCCATTCCGGTCCTTTTTATCAGATTCAGTAACAGCAGTTTGGGTTATTTCAGGCACTCCAGGCCGTCCCGATTGCTTGTTATCTTCCATAGATTAAGAAAGGATCCGGTGTCAGAGCAGGGTTGAATCCGCGGCTTTTAGCTTTTCTATTCCAAAATAGAACAGTTTGACGAGGTATACATGTAATGGAATCAATTTCTTTATAACCTGTCCCGGAATGAAGTAAGGTAAGCGCTTGAATACGGACTCTAACTGGATGATACTTTCCCTGCACGGCGTTGTGTGGTCACGAAGGTAGATAGAGGATGGGTAGGCAGGCAGGTAGGATAATCAAAAAGAATCACTTAAGAACAGGTACTCTTTGTGGTCGAATAGCTTCAGAGCAAACATTTTTTGTGGGGTATATGGCTTTATGACCAGTCACACACCTCTAAGAGATCTACTGTATATATTACTATGGAAACTACCTCACTGCCAAGACAGTAAAATCACTAGCGCCTGCTCATGACTTTTGGAACACACCGTACTCCAGGCGGAATCATAATTCCAATATGCTGGAGACTTGGCAGGTGTAATTCTCAAGCACAACTTCACTACGAACTGTCGGAAAAGTGCAAGCCTTTATTAATTACGGAGGTGTGTTTCTTTAGTCATCCGAGGTGGTCCGCCTGCATGAAGACAGCTCATTTTCAAGCATAAATAAATAAAATATAGAGTGGTCCTGTATTTTCTTTTTTTAGAAAAGTAATTATGAAGCTATTTAAGAGTTAAAGAGATCTTATTATTGCCTGCCTGCCTGCCTACTCCGTACTACTACCACTGCCATAACAATGAGCGGATCATATCATTCAGTTAGAGTACGTGTTCAAACGCTTACTTTATACCATGCTGGTATAGAGCTTAAGCAGATTGAAGCCATTACTGGCATGCACCGGAATACGCCTAAATCTCTTGATAGGAAAGCGCGCGAGCGAGGCTTTAAACCAGACTGATGGTAAACGTTCTGTTCGTCCAAAAGTAGCAGATTCAACACAAAAAGCCATAACCGAATCCGTACGAAAGGACTGGAATGGAAGAGAAAAATCTTGTGAGATTCTTGCTTTTAAAACTTTTCTTCATCCCCTCCCAGTTTGATGTATTCTTCGTGATCATAAGCTTTCATCCAGTTAAACCTACTACTAAACCTGGCTTTACTGACGAGTAAAAAGGAGGAAGTTTAGAATTATGTCTCGCCCTTCAAGATTGGAGCTGGAGGACCTTAAAAAAGTTATTTAACCGATGAAATCTCTTGTACTCGCCGCCACTGGGATGGGAAGTCTAACTTTATGGTATGATGATATTTTACATACTATAAGACAGGAATTTTACATATCTGGAAAACGGAGACAGGGTAGCAAAGAAAAGAGGATTCTAAAGATTTTGCAGCTATGAATGAGGAGCTTTAACCTGTAAAGAGAAGAATGGGAGCTGAATACATCACTTGAAAGAATGGTTTAGTATAGGTAAAAACACCAGGTAAAGAGGCTAGATGGAATTGGACAAGAAAGAATGGCAAGTTGGAGCGAGAGACCAAGGGAGAAATCGGCTGGTATCGATACCTATAAGGTAAGTGTTTCTTGTACTGAGAAAAAAAGGTATAATATCTTTTTTTTTTTTTTTTAGGAAGACCTCGAGACCTAGCTTATACACTTGCAAAAGAATGCCTGATCGAGCGCCTGAATACGATTGTTCTGGAGGATGGAGCTTCTGTTCACCGTCATCACTCTCAAAAAACTGTATTTAATCGTCATGGTGCTGAAAAGATCCTTAATTGGCCGGGCAACTCTCCAGAGCTCAATGCAGTTGAGTGGGCGTGGCTATGGCTAAAGAAACTTCAGGAGCTCCGCGGCATAAAAGAACTGCAAAATCTGCATGGAAACAGGCATGGGGTGAGCTGCACCAGGAGACTCTACAACGTTAGATTGGGCATCTCCGTCCATCATGTTCAAGAGATTATTTTGTTGGAAGGAGGAAACGCATACAAAGAGAGCTGTAGAGGAACGTATTCACAGAAAAACACTAGAGTTAGGGGGTATCTCTCGAAACGCCAGCATTTAGGAGATCGACCACTATTCTAGTGCTTTGTATAGCATCATTTTGCACTTTTTGGGATTATTTTTGGGCCACTTGGCCAACTATAATGTATAATTATATGTCTTGATTTTGTTGCTTAAAGTGCGTCTTTATATAAGAATATATGAAAAGTAACATTACAGCCATACACGGCATTTCTGCCAAAACAGAAGTATGTGGGCCCAACCTCCGAAGACTAAAGAAACACTGTCAGGGGCTGAACCCGTAGAACCTATAACATAGGCTATGTACAAAAGGAATCGTTGAAGGGAAGAAAGAAAGAGGATAATGAGTGGTGAACAAATAAATTGAAAAGTTACATGATATGGGTCGAGGGCCAATGGGGCTAAAAGGGACTGGAGGGCCCGCAGGGGCAATAGGGACCAACGGGGACAATAGGGGTAATGGGGACAGGGACCATAAGCCTGAGAACTCAAACGGTCCCCAGCCCTTTACACTCATCTCCGTACGCCTTTGATTTGAACCCTTATCCAATATAACAAGGAGAATAGTGGTACCAGCCAAGGTAGATTCTCTGAGCATTCCCAAGTCGCCAATTCAGCAGATGAAAATAGTGCCCTCGAAATCTTCCCCTGGAAACCTGGCCAATATATTTCTTGGCATTTGTGAATTATAATAACACACCACAACTTGAAATGACTCTCACTTCCGAGAAATGTTAATATGAAAGTCTAACTTTCAAGTTTGTCGAGTGATTGCTCCTCCGCACGGAGGCAGGCACCAGAAATGCCGCTTTGGAGAATTCTTGATTAGATTCTAGCTGAGGCAGTTTATCAGTTTTGAATTGTTGTATAATGAAAATAGACTTCCCATTCGGGCTCCTATCTTCCGTAGAACCCTAGAAGTATAATAGGTCGGGCATAACAGGGTATTCAAATAACCAATATGGTTGAAACATGGCTCTACGGCCCGCTGGATAGTCTACTATATAAGCTGTTAGCACCTATTGCTAATGCTTCTTTTAAAGATCAAAGAGAGTGCGCTGCAGACGTTATTAGCTGTCTTAATTATAGAGCTACTCCGTGCATACCCCGTAAAACCTTATATTTTTAGGGTTGCGCATTAGGCGCGGTGGACCCGCAGATAGGACTATATAATCAGTCGCACGGACATGTAAATTGTCACTATGCAGCAGTAGCTTCGATGTTACTCACATCCTGCCTTAGGATTCGTACTTGGCAAAGCCTAGGATACAGATTACTAGTAATATTCTGCCTAAACACCTATAGGAAACTTCAAATATGAAGAATTTGTCGACTGAACGGGGGTTAGTCAAATTCCGAGGGATATATGCTAGTATCTGCTATTTTATGTTACGTTATATGATTCCTTACGCTACTTGGCAAGATTGTCTCTCCGCATACAGGGCCAAGATATATGGCGCAGTAGCTTTACCAGTTCAACATGGAGGCAGACTTCTGTGTCCCATGCAATTAATGTTTTCCCATTACATATAGCTAAACCACTTTATGTATGTACATATCATGGACTTTGTCTTACAGTAAGTGTGCCAAAATACATATAAATGAACTAGTGAATACTCTACGGCTGGTAGGTAGCAACCGGAGAGCCATCAAACACATCTCCGAGAATCATAAGAAAGGAGAAAAAGAGGAGATATTTGTAATGCGTACGATGAGTACTGTATATGGTGCTTGGTAGCCTATTCATCGTCGTACGCAAGCCTGATTACTAATAATTGTGACGCCTGCTGCTATGAAGTACATATATAGTACCATTCACTCTACAGAATTTTAAACTGTAAACTAAACCATCCACAACAGCCAAGTCCTGAGAAGTAAAGCCGGTAATCAAGATGTCTCAGCCCAATTACACCGTTCATACTGTCTCACGCTCGGACATCCCAACCATCGCAAACCTGCTTTACGCTTCCAAGCTCTCTCTGCATCAACCATCTCATTTGGAAAGACTGGCCCAACGAAGTAGACCAGAAGGCGTCATACACCAGCGCTGTGGAGCGCGGACTCGACATGAGTTCGCTGAAGGCAGTCGATGGTGAGACAGGGGAAATTCTAGGGTATATTGTATTTACCCGGAGACAGCCTACTCCACAGAAAACGAAAGAGAGTGACGGAGCCGAGGAACCAAAAGGGCCAGATGGAGTTGATACGGACGTCCTTATGGAGGTTACTCAGGCGATCAATATAATTACGAAGGATGTGAAAGCCATCGAGCGGTATGGTATGGTTTCTCCATACCTGCTATTGAAAGAACACTGTTGTTGACCGTATCTGGCCTAGAATTGGTATATATGTGTGTTAAACAGTCTAGCCGGAGGCGGGGGATTGGATCGGCTTTGGTGCAGAGGTGCTTTGAAAGAGCGAAGTCTGAAGGTCTCCCTGTTGCTGTTTGTGCCGAGCCAGCGGCGTATGAATTCTACGTCAATTCGGGATTCAAAGAGACAAAATATGCAGATACCGATTTGGCTAGATTCGCTCCGGCGTACAGTGGATATGGTATGTTTAGGTTGACTGGAATGATTTGGTATCCTTAGGTGTGCTCGATAGTTCGATATCATGATATGGAGTTTTTGAGCTAGGAAAGGAGCACCGGAATTTTATAGCTTCCTGACAGTATTGCTTCCCGGAGACTCTGTTTGTTCTTGTCGAAGTCATATGACAGGAATTATTTCCTAATTATTTCATCCTCCTTTATAAGGAGCGAGCTCCGGCATTGGGGCTGCCTACTAGCCGGGGGTTCGAGAGTGGGCTCTCGCTTGCGCGGAAGAATAGAGCGAAGTCTTTCTTCTCCAAGGAGATCTAGGAGATCTGGGCCTAATGCAGGCAGACAAAACAACAGAGAACACACAGTTAGAATAAGCAGCGACTTGAATGCTATCTTATATATCTCGTCATGAAGTCTGAAGTATGAAATTAACGGCTATGAAATTTTTCTTGTATTAATAATTAACTTGCTTGACTGCCTTAAGGCATCCACGGACTTATATTATCTTGTAAATCCTATGGTATATAGAGTAATTTTGGAGAAAACACCTTTAAAGTGACACCTCAGCACTGACCAACTAAGGATATATCGTTTAGGGTGCTGCTTTTTCTGGGGTAAGGAATCCACCCCGCACACAGATGCGCTCGGCTGGCCAGATAACTGGAAAAATGACTTCGACCATTTAGGCTGGCGTGTTAATCAATCCAACTGCCTTAGGTTCTAGTTTCCTATCCTTACTGTGGAGATTCGGGTGTCAACATCCCTCTATTTAAACTGCTCGATGGCCTACAAGCTCGTAGTTTGTACACACTATAGTGGCTATGGAATACAACAGTATCTGTGAATCACCAATGGCCGGTATGTGTTCCTGGTACGTTGACCATGGCATAGACTAAACAAGAAAATATATCTACTTCCTGTATAAATATCGATATTGTAGACCCTGCAGAAAATATTAGTTTAGGACCGCAAACACACTTCCCGATGACTTTTATTTCTCTCTCTACCCAAGGACCAGGTGTTATGCCACCTATTAATTTGTCGACCGTTATTATGCCCTCTTCGGTCCTCGTATCGCAGAAGCCAGAGAAAGCAGTATCTCCGCCGGTTTTTACTTTATTTTTAACCGGGTTTACACAGCATCTCCGGAGTAAAACCTCCAGGCAAAGTCAATCTGCTTCTGTTTTACCAACTTCCAATTGTGCATGTTCCTTAATATCTAAAGTATCAGATTTAGCTACCTTTTAAACATTTTAAGAATTTAAAATTGTTCAGAGGTCAAATTCATGGCTAACACCCTGGTATACCCGGTCGACTTCAGCCATTTCACGATTTTTAATTAATACACAAATTCTAATATTAACAATTAGTTTCATATTACATACCCTATTATTAAATTGTGTGACAGACATAGTCAACTTTCCCAGACTGTTCCCGAACAGGGCCAGTCTAGCCAGCAGATGGTCAAACTAGGCTCTTAGAGTAAGACCAAATAATATTACTAAGTTCCACCCGCAGTCTCTTAATATGTACTTCTACTGGTGACACTCTCTAGTTCTGTTTTTTAAATAGGTTTTTCTTCCTCTACAATACCACACTGGAAGAAACTTGTATAGGACTAATAACAGCAACGATGTTACTTATGTGGTATATTTAGTCAATATGACCTAGCCAGTATGGTTTTTCGGAGATTAAAGATAGTATAAATATTTCACACCAAGTTACTAGGAAGAATTTCCCAGCATTGTGCATGATAAGTATATCTTCGTGTCTACCACTATACTATTATTGTCTATAACAATATTTATAATTTAGGTTACACCCATTTGATTAAGGAAAACTGTATCATGGTATAGGATTCGTCACTGCCCACAATAGCAATATACGTTGATCGACGAGATAGACATGTGTGTGGCCATATTTAGTATTATATTCTGGCCTAAATATCTTAAATCTAAAGCGCACGCTGTTAACATATACTTCGTTTTCTTCTTATGGCTAACTATCATTGTCTTTTCCTGTTGGAGGAATATAGGACGTAGGAGGATTGTATACTCTGAGAACTTCGCCTCCTAATTTTGTCTAATTATATATTTGTTTATCAAAAACTTTTTAAACGAGTAGCAAATATTTGCTCCATAATTTCCCAGATCCCAGGTGCATTGCCTCAAACGGCAGTCGGTGAAAGCGCCAGAAAACTTGCACTGTCTAAAACGGTCCAGCGAAGAAAGTTTGTGTCCTGCATATGTTCAGATAGTTATACTTTTAATCCTATTTCGCATGTGGTATAACTTATCTTTTGCTGTGCTCGGACTAGAAAGCACCGTGGGTTATAAAGACTGAAACTGTTGTGGAATTTAGGGGAAGTGAAGCGCAGGGAGCTATAAATCAGCTACAGGCCCTCAGCCATACTAGGAAATAGCTGTCATCGGTGGAAACACCACGAATCACAGTATCTCAACCAACTGAGTCTACTAAGCGGCTTCCAATATGCTCATTGAGATGTTCAGCTAACTAAAGTATTGAGGGGTAGAATGGATCGTCAAATACTCCGCGCCGCCTGACATATATCTCCATAACAGAAACAGATTGAACGAACACCTACCAAGCTCAGTACAATACTACGGTGACACTTTCATCCGAAAGATATGAATCAGCGATTCCTTGGACATCTTTACCAGGTTCTAAGGTATGTGTGGCAGATCCGATGGTAATTTCGCCGAGAGCCGAGAGGCAGCGGTTACAGTAGAACAGCAGAAGAGCGGTAACAGGCTCTAGCGCCGTAGCTTGGAAAGCTTGTATCATAGAGATCGTATTAAGGGGTGATTTGACGGGCGCTAAATGTCAAATCGCGAGGATCTGCATTGGTTCCCCAGCCTGACCACTATCTAGACGACGAAAATCCTTAGACATACTTCGCTTATCAAAGTAAGTTAACTGGGCGTGATAGGCTTAAATAACAGCACTTATCGAGGCTTTTAATAACCTAATTTTATAAGCCACTTAATTATTTAATGCTCTGCGGCCTCGATCTGGGCGATAATCCATATATATAATTATTTTTGGCATTTAATTTATACTAATATGTCCTGGGGAAATAACTGCATCGTATAAAAGAAAGTTAAGATCATGGACGTTGCCAATGCTATATTCAACCCGACGAATAACTCTAGATACTCCAGAGAATTCTTCGTTTCGATGCCAAAGCTTTCTCGGCAACTCGGTTTACGGATGGATGGGTGTTGTACACACAGTGGAGACTGCTCTTAGCACTAGACCCAAAGTGGTAATCATAAACAACAGATCAATAATCAGTATGCAATATAGTTACTACAAAGACGGTTGTTATGAAGATAAAGCCGTAAGTTGCAACTTGTTTCCCTCGAAGAGACCGTTCTACAGCTTTTTACTATCCTGGTTAATTCAGCTTTGTGTGATTGCAGATCTCCTAGAGTCAACCATGAATGACTTCCTAAGAGAAGTGCTCATCGATATACGAGATCTTGGTCGTCAAGCCGAGCGCGGACAGGTGACATCATTGCGGGTCACTTAGGAAGGCACACATACTCCTATAGCAGTATAGCTAACTTCTCTCATGGAATTGATTGTATGATCAGCTCTTGGGAAAAGCGTTGGTGTTCTTGGGAGGAACAACAATTTTCTAGAGAGCCTTAACATTCCCGTGGCCTAACCAGGTCCTCACAAGAGACTGGATTCGTCCTGCAAGAAGAACGACACCAGTATCGTTTTTATATAAATCTCCTTTCTTGTCCACCCTTGCTTTCAATCAGGGTCCTGGTTCGGAGATTATAGGGGAAACATTGGCAAAAACACACTTCAACAACGAAACTGGAAAGCGATCGTTCCACCTTTATATCCTATATAAAACCGTCCTTTATATAACCTGACTGCAACGGGCCAGGACCGTTACATGGAATATCCTACGATTTCAAAAGTGAGATGCGAATATAGACATTTGAAAAGTATAATAGGACATAGACTTTAGTCCAGAAATATTGTATTAATCCAAGCCATATCGTGATCAACGAATGACTGGACAAAGAGCGAATTATTGATTACACATAAATGAGTGACAAGAATGAAATCCCAGCAAACAATAGCCAAACAAAGTCTAGCTCATACCGACACGGTTGAGGCTAAATTAGAAAAGGAAGGAGACAAATTGAGCCTCATTAATGATGGTTTATTTCTCGCACTCGGCGCCACCATCCATCTACTAAAAGCCCTCCCCCTCTTCACAATCCTCAGGAGGCGGGTTTTCGCATTCCTCACACGGAGTGCTGCCGCTAGGAGTCATACCACCAGGAATCATACCACCAGGAATTATACCACCAGGAGGTGTGCTGCTATCAGGAGGCGGGTTTTCACATTCCTCACACGGAGGAGTCATACCACCAGGAATCATGCCACCAGGAATCATACCACCAGGAATCATACCACCAGGAATTATACCACCAGGAGGTGTGCTGCTATCAGGAGGCGGGTTTTCGCATTCCTCACACGGAGGAGTCATACCACCAGGAGGAGTCATACCACCAGGAGGAGTCATACCACCAGGAGGAGTCATACCACCAGGAGGAGTCATACCACCAGGAGGAGTCATACCACCAGGAGGAGTCATACCACCAGGAGGTGTGCTGCCACCAGAAGGCGGGTTTTCGCATTCCTCGCAAGGAGGGGGAGTGCTGCCACCAGTGGGTGGGTTTTCGCATTCCTCACATGGAGGGGAAGTGCTGCCGCCAGGAGGAGTGCTACCACCGGGAGGAGTGCTGCCACCGGGAGGAGTGCTGCCACCAGGAGGAGTGCTGCCACCGGGAGGAGTGCTGCCACCGGGAGGAGTGCTGCCACCGGGAGGAGTGCTGCCACCGGGAGGAGTGCTGCCACCAGGAGGAGTGCTGCCACCAGGAGGAGTGCTGCCACCGGGAGGAGTGCTGCCACCGGGAGGAGTGCTGCCACCGGGAGGAGTGCTGCCACCGGGAGGAGTGTTACCACCAGTAGGTGGGTTTCGCATTCCTCACATGGAGGGGAAGTGCTGCCGCCAGGAGGAGTGCTGCCACCAGGAGGAGTGCTGCCACCGGGAGGAGTGCTGCCACCGGGAGGAGTGCTGCCACCGGGAGGAGTGCTGCCACCGGGAGGAGTGCTGCTACCAGGAGGAGTGCTGCTACCAGGAGGAGTGCTGCCACCAGGAGGAGTGCTGGTTCCTGTGTTGGTAGTACAGCCTTTTTCGGTTCCAGTTTTGCAGTCAACATTGATATTGATACCACCGGAAGGAGTGTTGCCACCATTGTTGATGTTGGTGTTAATGTTGGTGTTTGTGTTAATGTTTGTATTGGTGTTTGTGTTTGTGTTTTTGTTTGTGTTTTTGTTGGTATTGGAATTCTCGTTGGTGTTGCTATCGGTGTTGTCATTATCCTTGTTATCCTCACATGGTTTGCAGGCGCCAATTTTGTTGAGCTTGTGCTCTATCAAGCCCTTTATAAATCCGAGATTTCGAGGTTTTAGACCGCTTTTTTCTTCACATGTTTCGCAACATGAGGGGCATAGGCCACTAAGCATGGGACCAAAGGTGCGAGATTGCAGACGAGCATGGGCCTCAGCCGCCGGGGCAAGGGCAGGGGCGGGACGGCCATGTGCTTATCGGTAGTCACAGACACTGGAGCCGCAAGGGCCGAGGCCGACAACGCAATAGTGCAAAGAGTGGAAGTCTTCATCTTTGCAACGAAGAAAAGAAAGGAAAAAAAGAAAAAAGAAAAGATTAATTGCAAAATAGTATATAAGTACTAAAGAGAGAGAACTGAATTAAATGCTAGGAATAAAGATAATCAGATAGCCTGGGTGTTTACTTGTCCTTATATAACTTTCTTTCGCTTCATTTGGGCTCTCCTAGGGACCATGCGGTGTTGACCTAGCTCTCTGTCGGATTCATGATGAAACCATGCTATCCAGGATATGGATAGGATCGATGCCGATCCGGGTTTCAAACAGGAACACCCGCTTTAGAGTTGAGCTTATTCCTGAAACACACTTACCTGTAGATAGCCGCTGTCGAACTTTGCATATGCAGGTAGAGCATGTAATATTCCGCCACTGTTCTACGACAGTATAATATTCTTATATTAGATGACTTTTTAGAGAGCTTTATAGGATATTGGTATGCACTTTAACGACTGAATAAATCTAGTATTAGGGCTTGATAGGTGCAATACCTCGCAAGGCCTAGAGGGAGAGATCTAAAAGGACAAAAAAAAAAAAAAAAAAAAAAAAAAAAAAAAAAAAAAAAAAAAAAAAATCACGGCTTGATAAGTTAATCTTAACTGCATTGGTAAAGAAAGTGGAGATTCCGGTCTCTATCTTTTCCCTTTAAAGGACAAATTGTCCTCTAGACCTTCATACTTCAATCGCTATTCCTAGAAAATATAGAAACCAGTCCTCTCAAAGTCCAAATTTAATTTAATTAAAGTTCTAGCCGTAGAAAAGGATTGTCTAGTCCGGACTAACAGACCGAACTATGTCCTATTTGAAACCCTTCGCTTGTATCCACATAGCTCGAGCGAGAGTCAGACTGGGACACGAGCCTTATTTCTTTAACTGAACCTGGAGGTATGCCCTTGAAGCACGGCACTTTTCTATAAATATCGAAATTCCAAACGCACCATGGTTAGAAAATGCTCTTTCTAAGAACGGGTGCAACCTTGATCCCGGTTTAGGAGCTCGGAGTCGACCCGAGTTCTGAAACCATATCGGATAGCATTCGATCCTGCCCTGGTCCATTTACTCACTTTACCCCTTCTTCCGGCACTTGCATTGTAGTATTGAATATCTGGCGAATATACACTACTGTCTAATACTGTTTAGTCGAGTCCCAGGCCTAACAAATAATTGAAACAAGAATGGTATTTTCCGTCCCACAGTGCCTGTCTCGACATGGCAGGAGACGGTATTTGTTGCATATTACTTGGCCATAAAAAGATGTGGCGGACCCCTTGCTCTAACCTGTACTTTGTGGCTTCGTGGATAACTCCTGGTTGGCTGAAAACCCTCTGAAAACAGCCTCAAATATAAATGGTTCTACTCGGTGTATTGGCATGACTTGCGTCATACAGTCCGGGATATAATATTCTTAAGGGATCGTCTTTCTCATCTTTCCGTCAATATCTAATGCTTGCCGTCCGGCCGGTCAAAGCTGATCAGGGCACTTTCTTGGCCTACTTCCATCGTGTGGGGATTTACCTCGAACAGGCTGCAGCCTAAATAGAAGATACTTGTATATGATTTTGGGAGTAGACGACATGCGTCACATATGTATTTCTAAGTCAGAGACAAGGCACCTAAGTGTCTTCGCTTGAAGTACGAATCTCGAACAAATTTCAGAAATGCAATTGGCTTTGTACCCCCAGTGCTATTTGCGCCCGCTGCACTTTTCCTGCCGCGTGTTGAATCAGGCTTGAGCATTGTTGAGGATGGTTGGCGCTTGCCATGACAACGATGTATCTTGCTACCTTTTGAATGTGTGCTTGCCGGAGTTGTAGGAGCACTGTATGACAATTTTGGTATGCGGAGTTTAGCCGAATAATCTCCTTTCGAGATCGGACAAACGCTTAGATATTTAATATCCGCTCCACCTCGGCCAAAATTTGCAGCATTTTTAGGGTATATACAATCGCATCTTTTCAGAAACCGGTGTCGCGGTCAGATAATTACCTTCAGAAAGGCATTTTTGGTTAACGTCTGATTCAGCTTCTCCTTCCCACAGCTTTTTGATCATGCTTCACGCCCGGGTTAATATCGACGAGAGCAAAAGGCAAACTTTGCGCATTACAGTCCACCATACTTACGGTGCCGCTCATCATTATATACTTAAAAAAAAAAAAAAAAAAAAAAAAAAAAAACCCTTCGGGGACCCCACTGATGCACGATTCTTGGTCCCGACTAGGAACTGCCGAAGTCAGTGATAAGAGAAGCTCTGGCCAAATCAAACGATGGGTTGTTATAGATCCAGAGTTTGGTAAAGGGCTTCGCAATAGTGATGAGAAGGTTATGTAAGCATTTTATCCCCAAATCTAGCAAATTGCCCTGCCTCTTAGCTCCAGGATCGCAAGCACGTAAGTGCCTGAATTAGAAGATGAAGAACAGTTGAGAAACAAGGGAAAAAACTAGCTCCTACGTGAAGGCACGCGCAGGAGCATACACGCCAGCTCTTAGAACTGCCAATATGGAGACCAGATCGCCAGAAGGAATGGGAACAGTTTAGAAAAGTCAAATTTACCATGCCGCCACTTCTTGTATCTAGTGTCGTTAATGGGGAAAATCCTTCTAAGACCGAATTGATACTAGATGTAATTCATGCGGACTGATCTCCCTGTTATATATTAAGAGAAAGAAGCTGGAGCGCTTATCTATACAACCCCGAAGGATCGAGGCCGTAGACGGCCTGACGGAAGATGAAATTGACGACGTAACCCGACTCTCTCTAGATGTAGGGGGGAATAGGTAACCGTTTGTATGTTTATATACGGTCCCCTACCTATCTGGACACCACGATATTTTACTTCGTGAATCGTGGCCTAAGCATCAACACGCGTGTATTAAACCGGATGGACCTGACGGCAGAATTTCTTTATGGAGTTACTGTTAAAAAATTAGCTCCTAGCCGGAGAACTAATATAGCTCCAATTAGCGTTAATACCAATAATATATGGGCTAAGAAACGAAAGAAGAACGAGAAGGTACGGGTCTTCACTGCAGCTTAGAGGTTATCAAGAAAGCACTGACAGTCGAGAAATATACAGACCCGAGGATCAAGCTACCAACACACTATCATCAATTTCCCCTAGTATTTCGTACACAAGAAGCTGACAAGCTCCCACCGCATCATGGAGCTGGAGTCGATCTTAAGATTAAATTGGAAAAGACGAAATTGAAAGACTCTTGAACCCATTTGAGCCGTTATATATGTCACGTGACGAATTATTAGTCCTTAGGAGGACCATTTTAGAATTATTGGACAAGCAATTTATATGAGTCACTAACTCTCTCGCAGCAGCCCCGCTTCTTTTAGTAAAGCAACCAGGAGGGGGACTACGCTTTAGTTGTGACTACCAAGGTTTCAATGCTATTACAAAGAAGGACCGATATCCGCACGGTCCATAATTAATAAGACCCTGGAACGGATTGGGAAAGGCACGCTAGTTTACTAAGCTCAATGTTATTACTGCATCCACAAGGTTCAGATTTCACCAGAAGATAAATAGATAACGGCCTTCCGGACTGGGTTTGGTTTTTATAATGGCTAGTGACACATTTTGGCTTGGCTAACGTCCCAAGCAAGTTCAACGGCATATTAATCGAATTCTACGCGACTTTCTAGATGATTTCGCCTCAGCCTACTTAGATAACTTATTAATCTTCTCATCTGGTTAACTCGCAGAACACTGAAGTCATGTTAGTAACGTATTGGAACAACTATAAAAGACAGGACTAAAATTGGACATTAACAAGTGCGAGTTTGAAGTTAAAACTCCAAGTATTTGGGATTTATTGTTAAGGCTGGTAAGGGCGTACTCATGGATCCTGCTAAAATTTAAAGCAATACCGGAATACGCTGCCCCTACGACTGTTAAGTGCGTGTGATGGTTTTTTAGGATTTGTAAACTTTTTAATATTTTACGCGGAATTATATCGCTGCACCGTTGAATCGATTAACGTGGAAATGACACGAGTTTAGGTGGACAGAATTATGTAAGAAGGCCTTCAGCAACTAAAACACATGTTTACCACCGCCCCGATTCTTATGCAGTTTAGCCCCGAGAGAGATGCTGTTGTCGAGACAGATTCCTTTATATAGGCTACAGGTGGGACACTATCACAGCATAATAGCAACAGATTACTGAGGCCTTGCGCCTATTTCTCCAAGAAGAACAGCCCTGCGGAATGCAGTTATAAGGTCTACGACAAGGAATTATTGGCCATTATCAACGCACTAAACGGATGGGAATTCGAACTATATAATTAGTATTAACCGCTTTTGCATACTAATAGACTATAAGAACCTAAAATACTTCATAACACTACGACGGTTAAATAAATAAAAAATGCGATCGGCTGCGTTGCTAAGCAAGTATAATTTTACACTGGACTACCAGTCAGGGGAACTAGCAGGAGGCCCTGAAGCACTCTCCCGCAAAGAAAAAGACCTCCCGCGAGACTATTCAGATGAGCGATTGCAGAACTGTCATTGCTGTCTCCCAAAGTCATCTACTGCATATTTCAAAAGGAACCAAGCTTTACCCCCGCGACAGCCCCAGTAGCCACCGCCAAGATCAGTACAATAATTACTACATTTACCAAACAGGCAATAATAACTGGAAACGACACCATTAACCTGCCGATAGGCAAACACTGGCTAATTGCAGAGCAACAGGATACATACCAGATACAGTGCTACTAGAGCCGCGGTACACGAAGGTGCTACCGGGTTCTCAAAGGAACTAGGCCTGAAAATCTCTGAATGCAGTATATCACCGTATGGCTATTTATTATACCGGGACCGCTGCTGGGTCCCTGGCGTTGAATCCCTACTGGCCAGGATTATACAGGAAACGTATGATTCAGTGATTACTGGACTCCCAGGCCGTAATACAATGTACGCTATCCTTGCCAGGTAGCTTTACTGGTGCAATTCCAACCATACATAGAGAGATTGCTGCCATGGAATGCTAAAAACTTTGCCGATACCCGACGGGAAATAGAGAGAAATAGCTATTAATTTTATTGAAAAGCTGACTGAGTCAAATGGCTGCCGGAACCTTATGGTTATAGTTAATCACCTAGGGAAGGGTGTTATATTAATACCTTGTGAGCAAATAAATACGCCTAAGTTTCTAACAAGCTTATCTGATAAAATATTAGATATTATAGTATCCCAGCGCCATTACATCTGATCTCGGTGTTCAGGCTGTTAATAATATGTGGAAAACCTTATGTTAATTACTAGGAATTTAACATCAAGCCTACTACGTACCACCCAGAGACTAATGGACAGACTTAATACATGAACACGACAATTAAAGCGTATCTCCGGTTCTTCTATGACCGTACACAGACTAACTGGGCCTTATTTTCCCCATGGCTCAACTCGCAATTAAGGGAAGAAACACTACGGCTACTGGAATTAGTCTTTTCTTCTTAGACCATCGATACGATATAGAGCCAATTTAGTTGGATAATACAAAGGATAATGATTGGACACCCACAGGACCCAAACAGACCGGAACCCAACAGGGACAGGATATCGTAATCAAGTTAGCCCACGTATCAGATATTGCTAAGACCGAGCTCACGGCCGCCCAGCAAAAGTACGAGGAATACGCCAATTGTTGTCGGACTGCCGCGCCTTCCTAGTCTAGGTGGTTTTCCATCTACCGAGCAACGAGGTTTTTGCATGGTTGGTGTCCCCATCGCGGGCGGATCTCGGTGGTCTGCGCTGAGAACCCTAACGGCCAGAATTCCACGTCCCTCCTAAGGGAATTGGTCAATGATGTCCCGCATGAGTCCTACAGTCTTGTCGATCCGGTCCAGGAAAGGCCCACAATGGCTGGACGGAATTTCCTTAACGATCCATGGTTGCTGGGTAGCAGCCATCATACCATACTGCGCCTCCTTCGGCACCGCACGATCTTCCGTGGTAACAATAAAGGCCAACCGCCCCTGGAACGCCTCCTCCGCCCAGGCCGGATAGGGTTGGGATGAAGTGAAGGACAAGGTCGAATGGGGTTTAATGTTTGCGGCGAGGGATTGCGTTAAACCCGGGTCGACATCTGCGGCAAAATTATTGACGGGGTCGTCGGGGATATTAAGATTCGCCGATGGCTGCAACCAGTTAGAATAATTTTAGAGCACAGTGGGCTTCGGAGGACCAAGAGAAGGGAACCAAAGTCCATACGTTATCGAGCAAGATCCAAGGCGGCAGATTTCCACCCTGGAGCCCGGCGCAGCTCAGGCTTTCGGGAACAACGAAAGCCCCGAGAAACAGTAATCCAATAACCCCGCCTGTTTTGCCCTTCTGCGCCCGCTGTGATTTGGCCAGCCCAGCAGCGGCCGCCGCGCCGGGCATGCCAGCATAGGAATGCATCAAAACCAGGACGTCTTTGCACTCATCTTCCACAATGGGAGTGAGTACGGATGCAATTGCCTTGGTGTCGGCTAGACAATCTGCGGCGGATGGATCCTTGGGGTCTAAGGAGGGGTAATTGGCATAGCGGACATCATAGCGAGCGTCCGTAAGAGCCTGAAGAAATGGCTGATAGAACGCCGGAGTGATCCAAGCACCAGGAACGAAGAGGATCGTAGTCATGGTGTTAGAGAGTGGTAAGTAAGAAAGGGCAGGCCAACAGAGCGAGCGGGTTGCCGCCCCAATATACTCGTGGCCCGCCGGCAGCGATACTACCATAAAAACTTTGAGGGTTTCATTTCATTTCCACCTGCAGGGGGTGCTCCCAACTTGCATGCTTCGGCTGAGTGGAAAATGGCAGCACGTCTAAAGTATCGAGATTACCCTGATTGGACATGTGGGAGACAGGGAAACGGAGTGGGCTTGGGGGCTGTACGTTCTGGTAAATTTCCGAAACCACTATGCAGCCACGTCCTGTTATCGGCGGCTTTGCAATACGACCCTATATAGGTAACGCAATCGCTGTAGTAGACTATTATTTAACCCAGTATAATACCGTGTCTGACAGGCACGGTGACGTTTCAGAAATTAGCCAGAGGTGGTACGATTGTATACGAACAGGACGCCCTCGGGCCTTGACTTGTTTTTTATTCGACTGTAGTCACTCTGTCGCGACCGCGATGGATCTCACCCCTCCTGCTGGCATAGATCTCAATGCGTCCCGACAACCCCAGCTGTATGCGACATACTCGGCTACCTATGGTCTGGCAGTTATCGCCGTGGCACTGCGCTTGCTGTGCCGACTGAATATCTCCAAGGCTGGATTATGGTGGGATGACTATATCATCTGCGTTGCATTGGTACGGATTGCCTCCTCACTGCCCCCAAGTAATTTGCTGCACAGATTTCGTTGTCTATCCGACGAAAATATCGAGAAGAAGAGAGAGAAAGGAAAAAAGGGAAGAAGAAAAGGCTGAGTAACTGATTCTTCTCTTTGACAGGCTACTGCCACAGGCAACTTTGTCGACATGATAATATGGGTCGAACGTGGCGTCGGTACGCATATCTATAAATGGAGATTGACCGGCGTGTCGCACTTCTATATCAATCTATTTGTCTGCGAGATTCTATACACACTGTCTCTCTGCTTCAATAAATACTCGATCCTTCTTTTTTTCTGGCGTATATTCAAGTTCACCAACATTCGCATCCCGATTTATGTGCTGGCATCCATCATCACTGCCTGGGGACTTGGTGTGGTACGAGCCCGAACCCCCTTGTGTCCCCTCCAATTTTCTTTTTAATCTGCTAAACAGCGTGGTTAAAAACTTCAAGATCCTTACAACCGTTTTTCAATGTGTGCCTATCCAGGGACTTTGGGATTACTCCATTTCTGCCCACTGCGGAGTGAAAATCAATGAATTTTTCATTGGAAATGCCGTCCCCAACATCATCACGGACTGGGCCCTGTTGATTTTGCCCCTGCCATATGTGTGGAAGAGCCAGCGAACCGCCGTTCAAAAGATCGCCCTCTGTGGCGCATTTGCCATGGGAGGCTTGTACGTATCCTTCACTTTACCACGCATCTCGGATATGCTAATGAGACCAGCATTTGCATCATCTCAATCGTCCGGTTGGTGGTGATGTTAGATGCATACAAAACGCCATCGGTTGACGCCACATGGGTCTTTATTGGACCCTCCGAATGGACTGCTGTGGAGACCAATATTGGCATTGTATCTGGTAATTATTATATTCTTTCCGTCGCCGGAAATAACAACACTAACGGAATAACCAAGCTTGTCTCCCCTCTCTTCGACCTCTATCAAAACTCACCACTTGGACATCCGGGCGCAAAGGTACCACCGATAGTGACACTCATAAGTTTTCTAGCTGGTACGGACGTCCTTTGGCATCGGTCAAGAGCGGTTACCGTCCCGATTACGATATTCATATGGATGGCATTAATATGACGACCAGTGTGGATGTGGAGAGGGGCCCGAGGCGGAATGAGTGATACTATATATTACATTAGTTATAAAGCAGGTCTGAATCTCTGATGTGGTATATCCGTTCCTTATTTTCAAAGCCTTGTCAAAAATCTAAGCCCGAGCAGATGCTCCTCATGCACATGCCTTCGCGCTCCATTTCATCTTCGGGATATAGGGTTTATAAGAATAGTAACTTATGGGGACTTAGAAGGTAAGACCAAGTGGGCATCGAGAATAATGGGCATGAAGGTGCCGATATTTGGTGTTGATAAAAATATATTGCAACCCAACAACTTATAAAGCAAATATCTAGCTACTGGATGCCGGGAGACATTGGTAGAAATGGGTTAGAATGGGACTTACAGTATACATGGATTTTGCAATAGATCTCTGTTGGATTTGCAGCATAGATTTTGGTTGCCTGTCTTGAGAGTGCATGCAAATTAGCGTTCAGGAATTCCCTGGATATGGTACTACCTTGATTGGTGTCTAAGAAGTCCCAGGTTAACTATAGGATAATAAATTTTGAACAACCCTGCACCTACTCCCGATAAACTTGGCAGATTTTGTATGTATTAAGAATACGGATACAAAGGATCTAAATGTTTGTATGACGCTGTTCGTCTAACTTGGACAGGGACAAACAACTAGCCCGGTTTCTTTGTAGAGAGATGATGCATCGTTCGGCTCAACATTTTGGTGTTTCGGTCCCGGAAGTCTGCAAAAAGTTCTCTAAGAAGCTGTTTAATCTTGCTCCAATCCTCGGCTTGTAAAGTCTAGTAATCTTGATAAAGCTGCTGAAATCGTTGTCAGTGCTGATGCTTCTGCGGTCATTGATGAGCTGAGCCGATCGGTAACCAACGCTCTCGGTAATGAGAACTGTTACACCACTACTCTCGCCGATTGTCAACCTGACGGGAAGATCTGTATAGTTCTGGAAGAACTGACACGCCCCGTGCTCCTCTCCTGCACAGAAAGTGAGTTTCGGCAGATCAGGAGGATGTTGAGAACGGCATCTGGAATTATTTGGCTCACTCGTGGGAGCTCTTGCGCTTTGCCTGACAGAGCACTTATCACTGGCTTGGCTAGGGCTGCCAGGTCCGAGAACAATAGCTTGAGGTTCATTACTCTGGACACAGACCTGACCAGGCCTTTATGTCGAACCACAAAATCTATCGTTGAATTCTACAAGGATATTTCTCAAGGCATTGGCCACGGGGATTCGGAGGGCCGCGAGGATTCAGAATACCTTGAGGAACAGGGCAGCTTATACGTCCCTCGTCTCATTCAGGATGAGAGCATATCTAGATATATAACAGGAATCGGACAAGAGTCTGCTCAGGACCTAAAAGTCATATGTGCCACACGGCCTCTGAAGCTTGATATTACTGTACCTGGAAGACTTGATACCCTACAGTGGACTGAGTGTGAAAGCTCGGTGTCTCATTCAGAGCCAGACGAAATAGTAGTTGATGTTAAGGCTCTCGGCTTGAACTTCCGCGACCTAATGATCGCACTTGGCCAATTTAGCGATGCGTCTGAGATGACGGGGGAATGCAGCGGTGTGGTGAAAGCCGTCGGCACTAATATTCGACATGTCTTCAAAGTTGGAGACCGAGTCTGTGGTTGGTCAGCCTGTGGGTTTTCCTCATAAGCTAGGATGAAGGCTGTTGGAGTCAACCGCATAGACAACACCATCTCATTCGAAGAAGCTGCGTCAATCCCAGTTTCATATACCACTGCATATTATGCTGTGGTTGAACTCGCTCACCTACAGAGAGGCGAGACCATTCTTACCATAGTGGTGCCAGCGCAGTAGGGCAAGTGGCCATAATGCTCGCACAGGACATCGGTGCGGAGATATTTGTCACAGTTGGAAATGACCTGAAGAGAGAATTCCTGCAGACACAGTACAAGATCAGCAATGATCCATCTTCTCGAATCGTTCAACTGCGTTCGTCAGGGATATTCGAAGAATAACTGTTGACCGCGGGGTAAATGTCATGGTCAATTCCATCGCAAGGGATATTGGACGCGAGTCATGCAATTGTCTTGCACTCTTCGGTCGGTTCGTCGAGCTTGGTGTTTACGACATCCTTCGAAATTCTAGGCTAGACATGCGATTCATGCAGCAAAATATAGCCTTTTATTCCGTGGATATGACCAAGGTTTTAAAAAGTAACCCTCAACTATTTGGAAGATTAATCTCCTCTGTGTTCCATCTTCGGCATATGGGTGTATTAAAACCTCTCCCAACGATTACTACTTTTGACATCAGCCAAACAGAGTCCGCATTTCGAACAATCCAAGCAGGTAAGAAGTCTGCGAAAGTGATACTGTGTGTAAACCAGGACAGCAGAGTTAGGGTACAGTATGCTCCTTATGAAGCCGAGTAAAGCCGCTAAAATAAGAATTAGGTTGTGTCGAAACCTGCAGCAGATATTCAGTTTCGGGAAGATGTCTCTTACTTAATAGCCAGTGGCCTTGGTGGTCTTGGACGCGCCATAATAGAATGGATGGGGAGACTAAAGGCTAAAAACGTTATTGCCTTATCTCGATTTCCGCTCCAAGACTCTGAGCTTAAATCGTGGTTATCTTCGGTTAAGAGAATGGGAGTTAACCTGGCAGTGTACACCTGAGATATTACCGTTCAGGCTGATCTGGAAAAAGCTCTTCAGCAGGCATCGGTGGAGATGCCACCGGTGCGTGGAGTTATTCAGGCTGCTATGGTGCTCAAGGTAGGCTAGACTTGACAATATTCGCTACTGCTCCTGGTTGGTAATTGCGAATACAGGATTCCGTAATTGACAACATGACATATTCGGACTTTTCTGCTGCTGTGCGACCCAAAGTCGTAGGCTCGCTGAACTTACATAATGCCTTTTTGACGCAGCATCTGGATTTCTTCATTCTCCTCTCTTCTGCGGCAGGGATTGTCGGTAACTCCGGTCAAGCCAACTATGCCGCCGGATGCACATTCCAGGATGCCCTCGCACGGTATCGGGTTCGTCTAGGACTGCCTGCACATTCTATTGATCTTGGGATGATCCAGTCCGCTGGGTACGTGGCAAGAATCCCGAAGCGGTTCAATTTCTTAGAGAACAAGGGTATATAGAGGTCGAACTGGACCAATTCCTGAGACTACTCAGTAAGGTTATACGGAGACCATCAAGGATAGTGGAGCAGGCACACACCATAGCTGGGCTACAATATGACCAATCTTTCTCTAAGGGCATAGTGCCACAGCATTTACTTGACCCAAAGTTCAAGCACCTTCTATCCTCCGATCACGAAAGCAACAAGCCGGCTACGACAAATAGCAACCTAATGTCAGGGCAGCGCTTCGAGGTGCAAAGACAAAACAAGACGCAGTTAAGATCATCACAGATACTCTAGTATTACGTTTACAGCAACTCCTCACTATGGGGTCCAAGGATATATCCCAGTCACAGTCAATTACCGAATTAGGAGCTGATTCTTTGGTGGCAGTTGAGCTGCGAAATTGGATCAGCAGGGAGATGGACGCAGAGGTGCAAACGCTAGAGGTATTGCAACATATGCCTATAACACGTTTCTCAACTATCTTGGCCAGCAGAAGTACGCTGGTCAGTGGTTGCAGCTAACATCATCTACGGTGAAGGCAAGCTTACCTATGATAATGGACATACTCGAGAAAGAATTGTCTGTGGCTTGCCTTATTCGCAACTTCAGCAATTGGTGGGGCTTCATATGCGGAATAAATTGAGAGTGTGTGAAGCTGCAAAGGCAGTTATTTTGTTTTTATTTTATTTTTTATTCCTCGGGCTTGTACAAAGATTCAACAAATTCTATTGAACAAAATAAGGCTTAACACCTAAGGAAGTTACAATGAGAAAGATCAGATAGGATCAAACGAATCCATAAGTATTCTAATTTAAAATTACGAAATTTTAGATATAAATTTGTTGCTGTTTTCATGTATTAGGAAACGAGACTATACAATTTATGTTTGTATTGTCGACAAGGGGGACAACAAGGCCTAACAGATTACCAACACATGCAGAACAACACACATCAGAATCATCAGCATTATCATGAAATCATACAAATCATCTATTTAAGACCTCTTTGCAAATAGATCTTACTTTCCTATCCGGTACTAGTCGAATATCTGACAAATCGTTACTAGAATGTGTTGACCTGCTCGCTAAGTGTATTAACTAGTATCAACTCCAGAGATACCTATATGAAGGTCTGATTCTTCTAACTGAGCGAATATCAGGCAAAATACTCACAAAATACATAGTTCCCTGATTAGCCCGGCTTGATCCTTTTCCGAAGAAGGCTTTGCATTTATAAAATATATAGGCTTCATGAGCACAAGATAGAGCTTCATGTCGGAAGATGGATTTCCGAACAAAGTAGACACCACTGCTCAACCACGAAAACTTCACCCCGACCTTTTGTCCCGAGATGGTCACCATACTAAGCCACTAGATTCCGGTATATCGGGCAGATAATTATTTGAGTCTAATGTTTCCTATTTTATTCGGTGTATTAAAAGCCGACTCCAATGGCACGATTGCTATGATACTTTCTGCCTCCCAAGAAGTGAACGCATTGAAGAGATATCTGTTTATATATATCAGAAATAGTTGAAATTGTAGGACACATTCGTCTTACGGTCCATACATAGCAGAAGCTAGTTATTGGTTACTTTTCCCATTGTCTTCTCGGCCACGGTCCAACTGTCATGGTTCACCTTAGTGGCTTACTAGGATTCTGCGTACGTTAAATATCAGCAATGCACCTTACGTGATACACACAAGCAGGGAGTAAACAAGTTTGCTTCTCTTAACACGGGAAAACGGATAGGACTTACAGCTCGGAGTGGTTCGACATCGGAAGCAGAAAGATACTCATCGTGGTCCGACTAGGCACTAGGACCACGAGAGCATACGCAAGGCGGTGTTCATAGATCATGCCACCTAAAAACGTGGACTCGTGACACTCACGTGTCATTGTCATTTTGTTAGCGTGGTACAATTCTCTTCAATTCAAGGGGTCTATCTAGATGGGTGACTAAGGTAGGTCTCTAACACATTTCTCGTTAGTACTTTTTGTTGCGGTGTACCCGCTTTCCCGTCTCCAATCACACGATTCTCTGACTCTTGCCTCTTCTGTTCCTGGCTTACAGCTTGATATTATAATTTTGACATTTAGTGGAGTCTGTGGGCCACAGAAACTAAAATGAGTCAAACCGAACTGGACAATACAGAGCGCCTTCAGCTGCTTACAGAGCTCAAGAGTTGTCTACCATCTGGGCAGACAGCGACCACTTTTTGGGCTAGCCTCTGGCTAGTTAGCGGATATCTGTAAGCTAGGTGCAACGCGCCAGACAGTATTCCGCAATTCAGCTTATATTGTACGGCTTGAACGTAGCAAAAGTCGCATCGACGTGTGAGTGCCCCTTACTGGTATAACACCTCTGTTATAAAAGTATAGGTTTGTCTGACCGTGATACGTGTTGTACAGGGCTCACACGGACAAAGAAGCGTAACATATCGACCAGGAGCTCTGTGTCCAATTCGCCAAGACCATCCAAAACTCCCCCAGGGACAGGTCAGGGTTCGCCAACCACTGAACTTGTTGCAGATACATCGAAGAGTTGCGATCCGAGAAGGTAAAAGAAGAAGTAAGTACTAAAAGCGCATGATTTAGCTTTAAAATGTACTAATTTATGTTAGGCTAGGACACGTGATAAAAAAAGATGTGTCATCACTGGGGCTGACGGTCCTTTGAAGTTGCACATTTTCCCCTACGCCTTGAACAGTCGCAATGAAGACTTTTCCATGCAGAACATCTGGTAGTTTCTGGGCTGGTTCTGGACTAAGGAGAAGATGAGTTGGAAAGCCCAAGTCCTTGGTCCTGCGGGAACCGAAAGTGCAAGGACTTGATATGCTTGGCACCGACAGTGCTTGCATAATGGGGTAATGCACGGTTTGCCTTAAAGCCAGTCAGTCTAAGCTCTGATTAAAAAAAAATTTAACTCTGAGGTTTTACTGGATACCGACAACAACACCTTCCGCTCAAACCGACCTCCTCGCCAAACCGAGCTCCCCGATGACCTAGACAGATACCTTTTGCCGTCGGTTGACCTCCTAAAAATGCAGTGGGTTCTCCAGCGTCTTGCGGCGATGAGCGCTGCGTCCGAGGAAGAATATGAGTTACTCAATCCCTATGATGATGATGATGATAACGATAGTGATGATGATGGCGCCGTACCATGAGTTGAGAAAGATAGCGATGAAGAGCAAATATACTTAATCCCTGTTTCTACAGAAAATCGCCCGCCCGCCAAAATTTCTAGTAATCGTTTTGCAAGTGCTCTCCTCGACCTCCGCAATCCAAACGTTCCTCGTTGGAGTCAGTAAGGACATATGTAATTAACTGTCAGTTAAATAAAAGCAAAAAGCTCTGTGGCCACCAAGGGTTCTCTATTAAGAATATATAGTTCATGAAATTACTTTTTTTAACACAAGTAGTGTCCTATGCTTGCTTGAGCCACGATTACTCTTTCTCTAATAGCAAATGAAACTAAAGGGGTGGGAAATTTACATGTTTACCAAGCTATTGTTAAACTCCAACATCGAGTAGGCCCCTAGAATCTGCTAGTCCTAGTTTCTGTTCGACTAGTTGAAAGGCCACCTGTCAGCTCTGCTACAATAAAACTACTTATCCTTACAATACTCCATATTATCCCAATCCCAATTTTGGACCCCAAACCGTGTCCTTGTTAAGCTTGTGCTGGAAAGCTGCTGTAGATTATAAACAAATTAAAACCTTTGGCCCTGATCATTGTAATTCCCTCATAAAAGTATTGGATGGAGTCTTGCAGAACTGGGAGCTTTGTGGAGTAGCATCTATGTATTGAAAAACCATGGGAGGGAAAGAGAATTTACTACGGTTAACTTAACAAGCTTCACTGTCCGGGGAAAGGCGTTACTGGCTAGATTAAAGCGAATCTGTCAGCGGGGATTTCAGTCAGCCAAGAATCACTGTTCATTCGTCATGCTCTCCGACAAGGACACAGTGAGCACATGTCAGCTATTCCGGCCGTGCACGATAGTCGGGTGAAGAGCTGAAGATACGGTGCTAAACCCGACGATTAGAAAAAAATAATGAAGATTGACATACAACAGCCGGGATTCGCTGGTGGTCACCCACCCAACTACTAACCGGCCGGCGTGTGGCTTAAGTACGGCTGAGCGGACGGGAAGCCCTGTTTTCCACACCCTATGGTCGTATGTGCTAAAATTCACTCTGGAATGGCCTATATTGAAAGAAATAATACATTAGTTTAAACTTGCGGACGTCACGTATTAACATTTTCCACACCCTACGGTAGTATGTACTGGGTTATAATTAATTTAATATGTAAGTCCTAAGCAAGTACTGCATTAGTGAAGTCTTAGGCCAAGTATTTACAAATCGCCTAGCATTGTTCGGGCATGCACCTGGACATGTTAACCGTCTCAACGGTGGTCTAGTGTGCAATATATTAGTATATTAGGCTTAGGCCTTGCTAAGAAAAGAGTCAAAAAGTTCACACTGTAATACCGTTTTCAAAGGTACTATGAATAGTCCATGGCGCTAAACTATATAAATGGACCAGGAGTAGCAGTTCTTTCCTGCGACAAGGCCCTATGCTCATTGGCTCAAATGCTTTTAGGTTTTGCCGTCAGCTATAGCCGTACCACACCCCAGAAGGTTGGAAATTGACCCATGCGCCATACCCCTGGCATCGTGCGACACGGTGAAACCACGCTAAAATCCGCAAAAATATCGCAGCCCCATCCTCTTGGAGTTTCCAAGAGACTGCGAAAGAAAGAAGAAAGATGATCGATATAAATAGGGGCGAAGTATTCACACTTACCAGGGATTGATTAGTATGTTCGTTTTCTGTGGCATCCGTTTCTCACATTCCGAAGATGTTCATCCACCAGACTTCATACGTAATCTGGCTTGCACTTACTTCCTTCGTGTCTCATTCAAATGCCGCTCTCCGCACATATAATTTGACGGTGCACAGTGACGTTAGAGCCCCAGGTACGTGGACTTTCTACAGCCAAACATGGATATGTCAGAGCTAATTGTTAGGCAGATGGCGTCAGCCGGGAAGTGTATCTGATCAATGGCCTGCAACCAGGGCCCCTTATTGAGGCAGATGAGGGCGATAGTCTGGAAATATTTGTCAAGAATGACCTGCCCGTCGATACTTCTCTTCATTGGCACGGTCAGTAGAGATATGCTCATTTTTAATTTATTTTGAAACGGAAAGACATGGTTACTGATAGTATTACGACAGGTATCCTGCAACGGGGAAGTCCCGATATGGACGGCGTCCCTGGTGTCACGCAGGTCAGTTATTAAACAAGCTTCGACGGCAATTCGCATCCTGGTTGCTCATTCTAGGCTACAGTATCCCATACCTCCTGGTGGTAACTTTACATACAGATTCTCGGTGAAAGATCAGTACGGCTTCTTCTGGTACCACTCCCACGTCAGAGCATACTACAGTGACGGCATAAGAGGGCCACTTTTAATACGGCCGTCCCCGGTAAGATTGCGGCCTTTTGAGAAGCTTGCTCATAGCCAACATGAGCGTGATATCCTTCTACAAACTGAAAGGGATGCCACATCTATTCTTTTGAATGATTGGACACATGAACTTTCAGACACTATTTACGCTCGCTACTTTAAGACAGGCGCTTTTCCGAGCTGTGTTGACAGCATCCTTGCCAATGGACTTGGGAGGGTTGAGTGTCTACCAGAATATATGCGCCATGCAGGACCAGGAATGGGACAAGGCGAAATGAACCAGACTTCCTCGTCAATGATGACAATGCCGATGGCAAGGCGAATGGACATAGGCATGAACATGGACGCATCCTCCACTTCTTCCCAGGTGTCAACAGGTACAATGGCCATGCCTAGCAATTCCATTTCCGCAACGACGACTCCCTCACATTTCAGCAGTGAAACGTCGATGCCAGCTACAATGACGATGTCAGGAATGTCACCATCTATGATTTCATTGAGTCCGCGCGGCTGTATGCCGCCGATGATATTCAGGCAAGGCTTCAATGTCGATTCCCTCCCACCTGAGACCTGCACCAAGACGTCTTCACCCTTGCTCACCATCCCTGCGGATCAAGCGCGTGGTTGGCTCGCACTGAATCTAGTCAACTCCGGCGCAGTCAGCAAGTTACATGTGTCTCTGGACGCGCACTCCATGTTTGTCTATGCTGCTGACGGATTGTATGTGGAGATGCAGGAAGTGAAGGTGGGTATATCTTTTACAGAGCATCCTAGTATATCCTCCAGGCATAGGCTCATCACACATCATCTTAGGTCCTAGAAATAGAGATCGGCCAACGGTATTCAGTGATGATTCGACTTGACCAGGAACCGGGGAATTACTATCTCAGGTTTGCAACATTTCCCAATGGTGACATGCAACAGGTGCTTGAAGGCCAAGCTATTGTGTCCTATAATGTAGGAAGATTGGCACGCAACCTTATCAAGCCCTCGCTGACTTCTCATTTTCTTTTTCCAGATGAGCATGATGTGCAGCAAAGTTCCAATGAACGTTACTGTCCATCCCTCGACCGTTTGGATGTTGATCAATGGATCAGCCAAACCTGATACCAGCATACTTAACCCTCAGCTGCTTTCTCCCTTCACGCCTGTCAGCCCACCATCGGGGCCAGCAGATCAGACACACGCGTTTACTATTAACCAGACCGGAATTGTGACATGGGTTGTGAATGAGGCTTCATACTCTGAGCCAAGAATACCAATTATCCAAGGCAATGTATCGGACGGGTGGCAGGCGAATACAACCATCCACATGCCATCTAACTCAACAATCGATATTATTATGAGGATTGCAAATGATTCGATGGATACGGTAAGCTCGGCCGCGAGCGATTCGACGACTTCCTTTATTGAGGTGGACAACCGAAGCTAACGGTAGATGAACACACGGCAGATGGGTCATCCTATGCACCTACATGGCCATAATTTCTGGGTGCTCGGGTCCAATACGGGCTCTTTCCCCTATGGTTCCGCAACGGACGCGCCAGAGACCCTGATAAACCTTCGAAATCCTCCTTATCGCGATACAACAAATCTCCCTCCTTCAGGATGGACTGTGATCCGGTAACTCACCCAAATAGCCTACTGGCTAGGACTGTAGCTTATCTCTAAAAACAGATATGTTACGGATAATCCCGGCGCATGGATCCTTCACTGCCACATAGAGTGGCACATGGTGGTAAGTACATTTACTTTGCTCTTCCATATTCACTATCAACCCCGATGATCTCGCTAACACTTCTTTCTTTGCCTTTGCAGAGCGGCATGGCACTTGTCCTTGTTGAAGGGCAGGATCAAATTCCAGCCCTGATCTCTCAATCTGATAACAGTTCCATAACTACAATCGCTACATCTGCGGCACGAACATGTAAGTCATGCGATGTTCTGAACTCCCCAGGAGTTCCCGAGACGTAGTCTTCCTGCCTTGCCTAAGCCTGGGACCCTATTACCTCGAGATAAGGCCCATAGCTAGACTATTAAGCGTCAGTGACGACGCCATACCTGGTAACTATTTTGGCTTAGTCAAGGAGCGGTGGCTACCCAGCCTCCTAGGTCATGGACAGCAAGCTTGCCTGATGTGACTAGGTCCAATTATTGCAAGCCACCCCAAAAATTACTGCAAATGCCACACTTCGCAAAATCATGGCCCTCTTGGGGCTAATATAGAAAGATCTGTGTGTATATAAGTATATATCTTCTCATATATAAAATCCAATTTCCTGTGCCAGAAAAGTCCATAGATCATGGTCAATGAACCAACTAGTTCCGACGCCACCCTGACAATCTGGCACACTGAATTGCGATCATGCTTGCCACTGTATACGGCAGTTGCTATCTACTTTCTATGCGCTTCTGACTTCGCGGACGTATGCTGGAAAATACTCACAGCCAGTCGTTTTTCTTTGGAAAAGAGCGGGAAGGCTTCAGAGTGGGCTGCTCGACTGGTAGAGATTGTCCAGAAAGGTGTTCTCGGTAGACAGGAGACAGAAGCTCGGAAATCTGATTTAGGCTATGGGGCAGAAAAGAAGCCGGATTGTGGGAGCAAACCCCGGTAGACTGCAGTCGAGGATTTTGACGAACGGGGATTTAATAATAATTCTGTACGCGGCGGTAGAATGGTGGATGGCATTGCACTGTTGCAGGAACGTTTAGGGCTTGTGTCGACCCATTTTGGAGTTGGCTGACAGAGGGTGTCGTGGAGTCTTGAGACAAATAGTCTATAGTCTAGCTGACATTTTCGTGGTTGAACAATGTCTATTTTGTCCAGAAGTCCATGTCCCAATACGTGCACGAGCTTCTCGCTCTATCCTACACTTCTGTTTTTCCGACGAAGGTCTTGTGTTTACAAAGCATATAGGCTCCATGACGTACTTTATCCATTTCAGCTAGCTCAATTTCATGCATCAAGTCAGGCCAATCAGGATGCGATGATTTCTGTGTCTTTTGCCTGAGTCCCGAAATCTGAGTTGATAAAGCCGGCCTTTCCAGCGCTGTGTAGTTCATGAAACGGTTTGAAAACTCGGAGTGATACGAGGCATGACTACGCGGGGCACGAATCGAAAAGGATTTACGGAGTCCCTGTTGTTCAACGCAATCGCAGGGAAATGTTGAGAACAGTTTCTCAGTCTCTGATCCGGCCGAATCACAAGGCCACCTGGGCAAATTCTGAGGCAGAAGCGGGGTACATCGATTCTGTAGTTATTTTTGCAGATATTTGTAACATCATATAATATTTCAAAATGTTGTGTTGTGTTGAATGCAAGATGAATTTTCGTTTTGGCTTACGGATCGGAGAATTCTGTTGCATAACTTAGAATGTTGCGTGACCCGTTGACTACGTTAGATAAAAGAGATCCGGGAATGCACCAGAATGTGGGAGACAAGCTTGACCCGGAAATGTCCAGTTGGATGATCATTCCATAATAGTCCCTTGCCGGCAGGGTTATTATGCCTACAGGACAGTCTCCCACTCAGATATCCTGATTGTAGCAAACATCTCTAAGTGAGCATAAAATACAAGATCAGCTATTACTGGGAACAAGAAAATACCGTATAAAACATATGCCAAATAGCACATTCTTGGTGTATAATCTTATCAGATAGGGTTTACGAACTGTCAGATTTATATGGATTTCTACGAGAGCTCGAATAGTCATTGTATTCAGGATCGTGTGTTGTGATTTAACCCCTCTCTTCTGGAGGCATGGGCTATATAGCCACGTCACTATATTACTTCACACGATGTCCCAATATGGACTAGCTTATTACGACAATATCTTATCTTTGTCACGAATATTGACCGGAAAAAACAAAGTGGTTGTATCCTACCGAAAGTACACTCAACATCAACTACTCATAAACAGAATTCTTTAACAATACAGCTCATTTCAACTAACAATGACAATACTGCTCTATCAGTCATGCCAGCTTTCTAGTCTGCCCTTATTTAGTTCGCAAGGGCTTGTTCCCTTCATCGGCTGATCTGCATTAGTTCACATGCACCACCTTCACCGCCCATAAGAAGATTGCTATAAATCGACAAAGCGGGGAAGAGAGAGATACAATTTACATTGACTGCCTTGACAGCAGATCACCATGAGCCCCCAAGCAATGTTATATTGGCCAGCGGTCCTGATCCTGGTACTGGCAGCCACGGGGACCTCGATGGTGAATAACGTGAGAATTTATATGATCGAGCAAGGCTTATGTCGAGCATACTACTCAATATCCGATCCGGAGGTAATATTAGCCGACGGTAGCGTACCGGAAGAACAATGTAAATTGGACACCATCCAAGCCAAGGTAGCGCTTCTAGTGGGCTGCTTCCATATCAGTACTTTGGTCCCAGGTAAGGTTCGCCTTTCGACAATTTACCTCTTGATATTGATAAAACTATCAGGTTTAATAGCGGCTCCTATCTATACTCGCCTGGCCTCCAAACTGGGCACTAAGACGGTGCTCCTGATTAATGTTTGTAGTTTCACGTTGGGTCTATGCTACTTTAATTTGGTTTGTGAGTATATGCAAAACGAATTGGTAGCTATACGTGGAGCACGCCGTATTGACCAGTCATTCCACGTGTCTACAATTCCCAGGCTACTTTTATGACGTCTTTAATATTTGGATGATCATTTTTACGAATATATTCGATTTTATAGGCGGTGGTACTCCCCTTCGCAATACTCTGTTGTACACTTACATTGCGGAAAGGGTCAACCCTGAACTTCTGTAAGGAACCTCTTCCACGCACTGTTTTTCCTTTGCCTACATGCATATACAGCAAATATGATGTTAACCTACTGAAAACAGGAGCAACCGACTATATCTTCTAAGCACGCTACTGCTTGGAACATCCTTCCTCGGGTCATTCCTTGGCTCACTGGCAATGAAAGTCAATGTATTGTTGCCCCTGTTGATTGGAACATGCATATTCAGTCTCACAATCCTGTCAGTTTTCTGTCTTTCGGGGCAGTCGATGAATCAAGCGGCGACGATGACTATATCGGATTACACAGAAATACCCCAAAATGATGAGATTCAGAGAACAACCTACCAATCCGCCAACACTGCGAGTGGCAGCGATCGAAAGCCTAGTGGACTATGTAGAACTATATTCCGTGCCATGACTGTAGACATTCTCTTATCTCTGTCACCTGTTGCAGAAGCACTCCAAGACCCTCTGACGCGTATGACCGTCTTGATATTCCTTAGCAACGACATCGGAATGGCTGCCAACGTAACATTCAAACAGTTTGTATCTGCATTATTCCACTGGGAGCTGGCAGACGTCAACACCGTTTCATCTTTCGACTTGATTATCAGTGCGGCAGTTCTCCTTGGCCTACCTGCTCTGTCTACCTTCCTCGTCAATTCCCTATCTGCGACGAAACAGCAAGTCGACCTCTGGGTGACATTGGGCAGCAGCATCGCCAAAATTGTCGGCGAGCTGGGCATTGGCCTCGCTCCATCTGGAAACACATGCTTTCTTTTCTTAATGACATACGCTTTTGGATCGGGTCTACTGGATGGCCTCCGGTCATTTGCGACGAGCGGACTAGAAGACGAAAAATCCATCCAGAGGCTCTATATGGCAATCAGCATGGTGCAGGAAATTGCCGGGTTTATTGGAGCGCCTATATGGACTTCGCTGTTTTATGCAACTCTTCATGGAAATATTGCCTTGCCAAAGGGGGTGCACTTCTTTGGTGCTGCGGTCTTCTTTATGATTGCATTTGGGCTGACACTGCGGTTGCAGAGACATGTTCTTAGGTCGTAGCGAGGGGGAGTATTATTGTGTATATAAATAGCGTCTTCTGATTATCAAAAGACATAGTCTGATAGCATTTCTGCTAGGAATAAGCTCTCCCTCTGTCTGTCTTATGTCTTTACTACTGTATTTATTTTTTCATCCTCCCATATTCAAACGAATCCAGAGTATACGGTTCGTCGGAGGGCCCCATAATACCCACGAATGAATTTTCTTAATGAAGCCATCTACCTGGACTCTAGCAAACGGTACTTGTTTTAATAGATTTACAGACGAGCCGGGAGCTACTCGACAACAGGACCTGTCCTGTACTAATCGCTGAAAGGTCAACTAGGGTCCAAACTCCACTACCACGTCGGTGATAGAAATAGAAGTTACCATAATCCAAAGCAAGCTACTCAACGTGATAGCGCCACAAACCTCAGCCATCGGAGAATGTAGTGCGGGGTTCTGCCAGACATCCTTTTTTTGCCCTAATCACTGCTACCCTCCCAAAAGCCTAAGAATAATCAGCAGCGGGGAAAAACGGATCTAGTCCCAAGGAAAATATGCAGAACCTGGACTTTTGCAAACGGATAAAATTTCACACTAAATGAGACACATATACTCTCAATGGTCTGCACATGTATAAAATCGCAGCTGATCGGCGTCACACATCCAATCAATCATCAACACGACCCCAATACTTATCTGCATTGACCTTATGCTGCCTCGCCCAGTCATTGATGGCACTGATATCACGACATTGCACATCGGTGTTCCAGTGTGTTCGGGACCCTGTCATTCTTTCTTCCCCATTCCTGTGGAGATAATCATCAGAATACTGCTTTGCCCCTGTCTCGTCAATGTAACTGTAGGTGTCGTTCCACCAGTAAACGAGCGAGATGTCACCGTGGCACATTAGAGCTTGGCGAATGACATCGAAGCAGTGATCTAAAAGATATAATACTATCAGCATGTGAATCGGGCACGAAAAGAAGGTATGTATGGATGGATAGACTGACTTTTATGAACCTCGATCATATGCGGGTCTTCGTCAGCATAGAATTTCTCCTTGTAGAATGTCTTGCGGATCCGATTGAGACAGTGCAGCTGGTGGTAGACGCCTAGGCCGTAGAAGAGATAGCCGGGGTCGTTATATAACTGTACAGTCTCAGGAAGACCGTGTTTCTTGGCCTGCTCTTTGGGTATCATGATTGCGTGGTCGTTTTCTGTTATATGTGTTGGTACACTTTTGTACAGGAGTATTCCGAAAATGTGAGCACTTACTGAACATCCAACTCTTCCACGCCTCGTCAACCTCCGGAGAAGATGGAGACTGAAAGATTTTATTGGGCTCGTATTTCATGTTAATATATCGGACTGCTCCGTCTTCTCGTAGAGGTGCTTATGGCCATAGCTTATGTTAAGTCATGGAGAAGCAAAATTTTTTTAAAAGGACCTACTCACAGTAAGGAGGCGGCGGTGCCAGAGTCATGGCATTCCTTTTAAGGAACCAATACAATATGATTGTCAGGGAAATAGCAAGGCAAATGTTCAAAATGTATAGAAGCTTTAAACATATATTCAAACCGATTAGTCGAGATTTTGAGGGCTTTTTGGATGGTTCCGAGTTAAGGAAGCCCATCTGTTCGACCGAACTCAGGTCACTGCTGTTTTCTTCATTTTTACATACGGGCATGTATTTTGCACCAAAGGAAAAAGAAGATATTGATCCCATCGTTTTTTAGGCACCTTTAATGGGCGTTACTCGACAAGAACAGCTCTGATATAGGATGAATAATAGGATACGTTATTCGGAAACCAGTGATAGAAGGGATCTAGTGGAAATCGTTGTATAGCCACACATGCGTCGTATAGGAGGGTTGAAAAAGCGCATCAATTGGATCGTAGGAAATTTGTTAAGGTTCCGATATCCCTCTTGTTTTCTGCAGGACTATGGATCCCACCAGCATCGCCATGTAAAAGGATTTAATTGGATGCTTGAGACAGTAAATGCTACCTTCCCGAGGGGAAGTCGGTCCCTTATGATGGACCATTATGTTCCAGCATTCGGAGATGAGGGGTAGTGATCTTTGCTTTCTACTTGCGGCACTGTTTGCATTGGTCGTAATGCAACGTGCCCCTCCGATTTGGAGGACTTGATTTTGAGATGTCCGATGTTTTTATTGACGTGGCAGTCCATACACGGCTCTTGAAGGCAGCCGGAGGGAGAGGGGGCATAAATATCTCGGAATCCCCATCCGTTTGCCTGATAATTTGTCCATAAACACAATCCTATTGCGTATTCTAGATCACCAGAATTTGTGCCTGTCCGAGCTTCTTTAAAATGCGTTTCATTCCTAGCGTCGTCCTGCTTGCCTTCCTGGGAGCCAACGTTATTGCTATGCCTGTTACTCCGATCGAAGCCAAGAGTGTTACTAATGTAGCACTTGAGGATGGAGCAATGCTGGCCGAACGCAACATCGATAGAGGCACCTACCGCAGAGACGAGCTCGACGAGCGCAACATCGACAGAGGCACCTACCGAAGAGACGAGCTTGACGAGCGTAACATTGATAGAGGTACCTACCGAAGAGACGAGCTCGACGAGCGTAACATTGACCGTGGTAACTACCGCCGAGAGGTGGATAATGTTGATGTCTACAAACGCAACATTGACCGTGGCACTTACAAGAGGGACATTGAAGAGCGTAATATCGATCGCGGAATTCACTAGCCACTCGAATATGAACCCCGTATGTTGTCCCAGGACTGTCATTACTTAATGATGTCGCAACATGTATGACTGACATCTGACAGATAAAATCATCGATCGCAGGGTGATATGGATGAACAACTGGGCAGGCTTGGACAGCATGTGACTGAGATCACGCATCTGATCCGTTTCTTCCGAAGGACTTCTAAGAAATAAGCCATAGATAATCAACTTATTACTGCTGCTTCAAAATAGCACGGACCCATACTATGTAGACCGTATCAAATATAGAATCCTGCTCCAGAGGTGATTTCATCATTTCCCAAGAAGCACTGTTATAGCTACAGAAGTCTAGAGTTCTCGCAAGGAACATCCCTATGTGAGAGAAGAATTCCTCGGTAAAACAATACGAGGAAAGCAAGGGTGCCCAACCTTGCCAGGATTGCTGACAGCTTATGGGAGCGAGAAGGATAGACTTAGATATCTTACCATAACAACAATAAAAAGAAAGAAAGAAAGAACAAAAGGAGCGGAAACGCGATAAATAATGCCTACAGACGCAAAGACTTACCATTAGAGGACACTATTCTTAGAGCAGCAAGGGCACTTCATCGGAATGGACCAGCTCTCAGGGCACTATCCTAGGATCGTATAGGGCCCTTTCAGGAGCGAATTGACACTTCTAGAACAAGCCGGCCTCCTAAGAACTCCGTTATAATCTTGTGAGTTTGACAAGGCAGATATAGTAATATAGGGATTCAGGATCCAATAATCCCTAGCGCCTAGGCGAGTGCTTAGCGCATCCGTTCCAATTGATAGTTAAAGGTGAAAAAGGGCACGTTCGGATTGAAACAGTTGTTGTTATCTTCAAGATCGTACTGGCTTGTAGCTGGTATAGTATTTCTTCTGCCCACCATTCCTTCCCGTAAGCGAATGATCATAAAAATGTTAGACAACGATATCCACGATTAACTGTTCGCACAGTCGGCGCAGCCAATTGATCATAATCCTCCCAAACATGGCCTGGACACAATTCCGGTCACTCGGACATTACAAAACAGTCCCAGAATGATTTGTAGGATATGTTCCTTTATCCCTTTTCGTCTCTTTTCGTTTCTTTTCGTTTTTCCCTTCCCAAATAGAAAACAAATGTAGAATGACGCTGTTGCGACCTCTCCATACTGGATCAGTCAAAAAAGGCTAATCGCAAAGTGTTTACCGACAACGAGATTACTATTTAAATAGCCCTTTTCTTATTAACGGCTCTGGAAGAGTCCATCTGCGGAGCTGGAATGATGTATAACTCTCTCTCCGTATCTCTCTACGAACAACTGCGAGATGGTACAGCTCAATGTTAATTTACTTACTAGTCATTTGAACCCAGCTGCCAAATCATTGTCTGAATTCTATTCTATAGTCTATTAACAGTTCTAATTACATACAAATGCAGATCAATTAGAACCTGGCAGCTCCAAGCTGACCAACTAATCCCCCAGCAGCAAAGGATCCCATAGCAATTGCTTGAGGGACTGATTTAATCAAGGTTCCGCAGTCACCGGCAGCAAAGACACCTTGGACACTAGTCTCGTTATGCGGGGAGCTCGTCTTGATATATCCCATCGGATCAAGTTCAAGGCCCAGTTGTTCATGGAATGGGCCATTAATGCTAACCGAGGGTACAGAAACCTATTTAAAAAGTACATTAGCTACCACATATATCTCGATTCTCATCATCGATGTGCGGTAAGTATAACTACTTACCATAAAGGCTTCCTCCTTACTATCCCCGTCTTCGAAGCGCACAATGATATGCTCCCCCTTGGGGTCTAAAGAGGCTATTTTTCTCGGTTCAATAGTAAGGGGTTTGTCTGCGAATTCCCTTTTCGCTTCTTCCGCCAGTCCCCCGTTGCCATTGCAGTAGACAGTAAGTTTGCCGGCCAGCGGAGCGGCCATACGGGCCATATGCAGGATTATAGATGGCTGAGAAATGAGGCCGGTAGCCAGGACACCAGCGGATGCGGCACCGCGCAGTTCAAACCCATGACAGAACAAGCAGTGGAATCTAGTCATCATCACTGAGTTAGGTCCAGTCAGAAACGGAAGTCAAGATGGGGCAACTTACATTGATTTTCCCCATAAATTACCAAACCCCTTGATATCAGGAAATAAATCGGTCACACCGGTGGCAAGAGCAAGCTTCTTGCCCTGGTACTTGTTCAGCAGCTGATCTGTCACTTCAAATGTTCCGTCTTCTTTCTTGATCGCCGATACAGCAGTAGCATTATTGAAGTGAATGCTTTTATATCTAGATTGGAGGTTCTCTCTCGCAGCGGCACGAAACTCTGCTGGATGCTGGTGGTCCCAGGTCACAACGTTGTGCATGTGCTGAGCGTAGGAGTTTCGATACTGCTGCGAGTCGAAGACAAGGGCAGAATAGGTTTGACGAGCAAGACCAAGAGCAGTTGATAGGCCTGCTGGGCCAGCGCCGATGATGAGCACGTCGTAGATTTTCGCGGGGGTTGCCATTTGTCAGGTATAAACTGTAGAATGAATTTGGATGGATTGATGAATTAGAATACCGAATCGAGGGCGAGGGTGGGCTTTTATATTGCCCGGAACAAAGCCCTGTTTAATACTATATCCAACATCTATTGTGTCAGGGAAGGAAGATGTCTCCGGGTATGTCTCCGACTTCCGACTCCATTGGTTTAGGGTAGGTACTGTTCTGGAGGCCCAATATGGGCTTTTTGACTAAGCGGAACGCATTTCATTCGTCTCGGGTTTCGGGTTTCCGAGCGGAATGGACCGTGCCCAGACCCGGATAACTCTATCTCTGTTCCTGGATTATACCAATATAGATATACAATGAGTCACATTAATGAACATTAGTAGTATGAGCCTCCTTATACTCCATATATACATTTCATTGGATGGAAGTCGAATCATCCTATGGATGCAGGAATGCGAATGAGTACCCGTGAATTGTAGATCTGCTTATAACTATAGGTATTTATTTCCAAGAGTTCCATTTATTACAAACTAGTATTTTTTTTTATTTATTTGATTCTAGATAGCTGACTACTTTCCAGCAAATTAGCTGTGCCCCGAGAATGTTAGAATTTTATGGACTTTACGACCACTCCGGAGACATTTGAAAATTTAAAAGAACCTCCAAATTGAATACCCTGTGGCTGCTAAAGCAATTTAGACTTGTAGAATAGCTAGTTGTATTCATGTTTTACTACCTTGATGTATAATTTGTCCAAGAATATGCATCTAGCATGCATATTTCGAATGCAGGGCAGTAGGTCGATATACGCTACGCGGTGGAATACATAACGTCATGTTAGTCGTATAGTAATGATAGGCTATGTTTATCTTTGTATATTAATACAGCTTTGCTCCAACGAGGATCAGCGTTAGCTAGAATTGGCTCCTGAAATCAAACCCTTCTTTTATTAACATATCCAGAACCCTGAGATATAAGCGCCATAGAAGGTGCCTAGGGACTTACCATCCCTACAAACTGCCACATGTACGTGCATCTAAAACCAAAGCAGAGCGCGATGTTTGGCAATATATTACTACAAACAAGCCCAAATTCGACTTCAGTACTATCGGCCTGAATGAATGTGAGCTCATCCTAGACAATCTTTTTCCCTGGTAATCTATGAAGATAATTTGGTAGAATATTGCACCTTCAAATTGATCCAACATGAGCTTTGTATTCGCTCTTTTATCCAGAGATTGGTCTGCATGCTCCGTGTGAGTGCATGATCTATCTTCCAGGCATAGCTTTAGCTATGGTTCATCAACTTCGGAACACCGCTCATCTACACGTTGCCGCTGCTATTGATGGGCCCGTAAATCCAGAGCCATTTTTGTATTTCAATCATCATTTGAGTCTTCGGTACTCTACGTCAAGAGTCTGCATTTCGATCAAGTACCTTACAGCTTCGAGAAAATAAGCCGCAGGATCTCAGTCTGGTTGATCTCTCTGCGAGCGCAGAACAATCGATTAGAGAATATTAGGGCTGTGGAACATGAAAAAGTTTGAGAGATAGATATTCCTGGTAGAACAAGATGTTTTCAGGCTTCATAGTACAGCTTGATAGATAGCTGGATTGCACTATTGTGGTTAATGCTACAGCTGCCAGGGTATCAGAGAGCCTTAGTTTTTACAGTATCTTGTCATTTTATACCCACATATAATAAATCACTTATATATATGTCAATCAAAAAGGTCCTCCTGCAGGGACCTATAGAAGGAATAAAAATTATAAGATTAATAATGCCTAAATTTAAGTATAAAAGCATACATTCCAATCACCAAAGTATGCTGAATTCAAGTGTTGATCTTAAATATCCTCGCAGTTACTTCCCACCAAGCGACTTTAAATTCTTCCTGTCGACATAAAACAAAATCTGAAATACCAGGGGCTCTTGTATAATTCTTGTAGCTATCTCCTTCTCCTCTGAGAGCCTTACGGGGGAATAAGGGTCATTTTAACTTGGAAAGAAAGCCCACAACTATGCCCTTTAGGAGTTGTTCCTACCACAGCCATGACACTAGTATAGTAAATGACTACTCCATAGCTATATTGCTTGAGTAACTTATTATATATTACACGAGTCTCTTATGAATGGGCAGATAGCCAAAAGTTGGATATCCTAGGCCGTTAAAATTTTGGCAAGGATGGGGTTCGCCTTGCATCTTTCGATACTGGGGATCAAGTGTTAGCCCACTTGGGAATTGGAGATAAGATTGGAGATAGCACATGCATCCGTCGCCTTAACCACTCGGCCCCTTGCCTATTTCTGCCTCTAAGCTTCGCTTCTTTAAACCCATTACTTCGTACAGAGTAGTATACCTTCTAGAACAGGTAATCGGAATTGATGACCTCTCAATGTAGGCGGTGAAAAAGTGACAGATGGTAATCAGAATACAGCTAACAGTAAGATAAGACAAATACAGTTAGTTCAGATGGCGTCATCGCACAGAAGCCAATGATCAGCATCCGATGAAGGCGGTATGTAGCTATCAATGGAATACGGGTACCAAACGTCAACTGGCCAGACTCAAAATGGAAGGCGGACAAAATTTCCATTCGAAGAAACGTGACTCAGAGTCTCCCCCCACCTTCTCTTTCAACTCAGCCAACAACCAGGAATATCCAAAATGAAACGAGAAGACGTTGTTTTCTTCGGAGCAGGGCCTGCTGCCTTGCCTACAGACGTTCTTGCCAAAGCGGCAGATGCTTTGCAGAACTATGACAACACCGGTTTGTGAGTGTATGCCCCTCCTGTAGCTAATCCAACAAACTTGGTAACTCTCAGTTAGAGGTGTGGCAGAGCATAGTCACCGGAGTCAGCTGGCGGCAGATATCCTGAATAATATGAAGGCTGATCTGGCCACATTTCTCGATATTCCCTCTACGCACGAAATCCTCGTCATGCAAGGTACTTGCGACCGCTCTCTCTGAATTACCACGTAGCTGACACTCGAAAGGTGGTGGATCCGGACAGTTCGATGCGACTTTATATAACTCTGTTGCCATTTGGGTGGAGAACCAGCGACAGAAAACCCTACAAAATGGGGAACTCAGCGAGGAAGAGCTGATCAAGGTGCTACAGCAGAAGGTACAAACTGAGCTACGGCTCGACTATCTGGTTACTGGGTCGTGGTCATCGAAAGCCAGCCAGGAAGCGGCGAGATTACTGGGTGCGAATAACGTCAATGTTGCTACCGATGCCCGGAAGATCAACGATGGCAAGTTTGGCAAAATCCCCGAGGAGTCAAGCTGGAGCTTGAGCGAGAAACCTGCCATGGTATATCTGTGCGAAAACGAGACAGTGGATGGTGTCGAGTGGCCCAGTTTCCCCAAGGTACTGGAGTCGAGGACAGCGGACGACCAAACCGTCGTTGTCGGTGACTTCTCCTCGACCATTCTGTCTCGGAGAATCCCATTTGAACACTTCTCAATTGTCTTCTTTGGAGCACAGAAGAACCTGGGTATTCCTGGTATCACACCGGTTATCATCAAAAAGAGTCTGCTTTCGATCTTGAGCCAGTCCAAGCCCGACCTACTTCGTCGTGTAGGATTGCCAGTTCCACCCGTGATTCTCGACTATACTGTGGCCGCCAAGAACAACAGTCTTTACAACACTCTCAGCATTTTTGAGTGAGCCTGTCCCTTCTGCGTGCTGTGTTCCGTATGTCAACCCATACTAACCGTAATAAGCGTGTATGTGGCTGGACAAGTTCTTAAGAAGCTGCTTTCCACGTTCCCAGACAAAGTGCAGGGGCAGGAGGCTGTGGCCGGTAAAAAGGCCAACCTACTCTATGATGCTCTTGACGCGCATCCTGATGTGTACAAAGTCGTTCCAGAGAAGAGTGTCCGCTCGCGGATGAACGTTTGCTTCCGGGTTATCAAGGTAGGCTTTCCATAAGTAGAGGTTGATTGACGAGAGGCTGATTCGAATAGGGTGGTAATGTCGACGAGGCTGAGAAAGCGTTCCTGAAGGGTGCAACGGATCGGGGGCTGCTGGGATTGAAGGGCCACAGAAGTGTCGGAGGTAAGAGGATGCTGTTTATTGCTCTCGAAGCATACTAATCAAATGGTAGGCATCCGGGCATCAAATTATAACGCAATCCCTGAGTCGGGCGTTCAGAAACTGGTGGCTTATTTGAAGGAATTCGCCACAACTGTATAGCAGCCACTGTTGCGCTTGTTTTTATTTCCTCCCACATACTGGATTTATTACATATATACGGCATCAAAAGCAATAGATGGACGCAATAAATTGTGCAATACCTCCGTACTGTGGAAGTATATTATACCAACTAATACCAACACTCAAGGTCGACAATGAGAACTGCTCACTAAGAACGATAGACACCCATCACCCGCTCTTGTTTTATTAATTGGGAGTGTCCTACGATTCTTGGCCCAAAAAAGCTGGTATTTGCAAATCCAGCTCTTTTAGATTGCCCTAAATATACCCATAAACCCCGATAATTCATCAATAAACTATCTAGCCCTAATACCTAGCTGTATGGACGCTGCCACATGCCGAGGTGAAAACAGACGAACAGCTCCATAGAACGCTGTTCAATCCTGCCAAGACCATAAACGACTCCTACAGCGATTTCACGGCTGAGAGGAACGAATACGAAAAATGATATGAAAGGATTCCGAAGAGTTCCACTTCCCATCCCCAGATTCTGACGCATCAGAAAGTTGTTACTCATCCTGTTGTCAGAATAAAGCTAGTCCATATGGGACAGCATATGACTTAATAAAGTGACGTGGCTATATAAGCCAGTGGCTCCAGAACACAATCGTGAACACAATGATTATTCAAGCCCTCATAGAATCATCCATATATTCTGACACCGGTTGGTGAGGCTAGATTAAACCAGAGTGCTGACCTTTAATCTTCACGTATATGCTCCTTATCAACCAGTATAGACCAACCACGGATATCTCAACTGAACTTCAATCCATAGACCGCTTTTCCGCCGAAGACGCAAGCTAATCTATACCAGGAATTTGCCTCCTTATTGTCTCTTCTCTTGTGAAAACCGGTGCAACCCGAGTATAGATTCTTGGATGGCGGGGGCTCCTCTCCAGAACTCCCCAAAGAGTGTACGAGACACTATGACCCCGCTTGAATGTGACGTCACAAACCCCAGCTCCGTCCCGCATTGAAAAGGATGTCGGCTACATCGATGTCTTGATCAACAATGCTGTTACGCTATTTACCTTTGATGTGGACGTGAGCGCAGTGGTCGCTGTGTCTGCTGCTTCCCTGAAACTTCTAGATGAGGGGAATAGACGTCGGTGCTGGTTGGCAGATCCCTGTACCTGCGGACTAACCCAGGGTTAGAGACGGAGAGAATCTGGCTGGCGTAGATGCGGACGATCAACGCACAAGAAGCCAGATTATCACGGTGGCAAGCATTGCAGCATTCAATCAAAATATAACTGCGGAGCTTACTTATGATGGGAATGGGAATAAAGCAGAAGCTATTCATCTGAGTAGGATGTTGGCCCACTTGCTGGCCCCATGGGGAATTCGATGCAGTGTTATTAATCCTGGTGGTAAGTTGGGAAGGTGTATTTTTTTGTTACCCTATATCTATTGATACCGACATAATCTTCCGGTTGATCCATCTGATATGACTGTGGCTCGAAGGGTGCTTATACGAGGTCCTTGCTGGACGTAAGGGCACTTAGCAGGATGTTGCTGAAGTTATTCTTCATCTTGTTGGTAAGTAGGAGCCTCTGTTAATGGGAATGTAAAGATCAACTATAGAGGAGGATTGTCAGTTTTGTCTGTCACTTATTAAGTCTAGACCATTAGTCTTGCCCTTATTATATGCAGTCCCGCGTATCATTTCATAATATTAGACTAAGGTAGAATTATAAAATTGTGAAATATACTTTCGTATGGAAAGGTATGCTATTCTTGTTTTGTTATTACGTATGTATTTCAATCTAACTTTTAATATGGCGTCCTCATTGCCTATAGAATATAAGTCAGCACTAAATTCACCACCACAGGCCGTGTTCAACTCCCTAGCGGGCGAGTTTATGCTTATTTCCTATGTTACAAAGTATATTGGCCGAGATTGTCCCTGAAACAATGAATCCTCGTATTGACTATTTTGTCCGACATTCCCTATGCGCCACCTACCTGATTCAGCGTATTCTGATCAGTAATCACAATTATGACTTTGATTATTCTACCGTCAAGATGAGTCAGAGGCTGGATACGTGGTTTATATATTTATTAGTTCCCTACTTGTCTTTAAAATCTTTGTCTCCCCCTTCATTGAATGGGAGAATTAGCACCCTCATAACTAAGCTTTTATACATATATTCATACAATGCCCCTCTGGCAAATCTACCACCCACCCGGCTCCTTCGAGGACGATTCCTCAAGGGCAGCATTCGCCGAAGACATCACGAAGATATACACTAGCCATGGTCTACCAGCCTTCTACGTCGTCATCAATTTCATCAAACTCGACCATCAGGATATTTTCGTTGGCGGCAAGCAAAAAACGAAAACAGAGAAACTCTTCATCCGCCTTGTTATCACACATATTGCTGTGAAATTACCGGATGAGGATGCCGCCTTTCTTCAGATGACGTCCAGAATTGACCAGGCTCTCAAGCCTCACATCATCGACAAGGGATGGGACTTTGAGTACCATGTTGATGAGACCGATCGGCGATTGTGGAAGATTAATGGTATCATTCCTCCGCCGTTTAGGAGTGAGGAGGAAAAGATTTGGAGTAGAGAGAATAGGCCTGTTCCTTATGAGGGAGGGTATGCATCACAAGAACCGATGTAATGTTGTGTAGTTAGAGTGTGACCATGAAGCCGGATAGTAATTCAGCTATGCATGTGAACAAGAGCTGTTCGACGAGTAAAATTGGCTATAGCTATCAAGCAATAACATGGTATATTTACCCATGTAAGGAGCTCATTTCAGGTTGACATATAAATACTGGCTTGCGTTTATCATGCTATAATGTATGCACAGATGACTGGAGACATACATCCCCAGGAATATGTCCTGTACGTACTGCCTAGTCTAAAATATATGAAATAATATATTAACAGTACCGTAACCATTACTCACCAAGAATCGTATACCCAAAGACCTGTCAAACGGCAAACTATCCCCCTCAAACTATCTTCTCCCCACTTGTTCGTCAGAGTCCTCATGAGCAAGCGTCACATCCGTAGTAACCATAATACCCTCCCTCTTATTCACATCCATATGGTCTCTCTCCACTCCGGAACCTACAATGCGTTCCTGACTTTCCGCAGACGATTCCCTCTTCTTCCTACCCATCGAAAGCGACATTTCATACGGATGTCCATCCTTAGCCGTCCCCATAGAATTAAACATCCCACTCCGCCTCCTTGGCGTATTACTAGCCCCATACTTATACCCATACCCATGTGACGCATACGAGCCGAACCAGCCAAACTTGGCAAAAAGAGGCTTTATACCCGGTGCGCAGACAATAAAGACCGACACCAGTGCCTCGCGGGATGCCCAGCCCAATGCAGTCGATAAGGTATTAATGTCCTTGACGGAGTAGTAGGCGCGGAGAAAGGCGGCGACCATGACGAATACGCCGGAGGAGAAGAGTGCGCAGAGGAAAATCTTCTGCGAAGTGGGGATCCGGGCTGCCAGGACGAGAGGGATGGGAACGCTCATTATACCAAGGTCGGTCCTGTAGTATGTAAGGATGGGATTTAGTGAGTGTTAAATGGGACATACACGATGCTGAGGGTTTCGATGACAATGTAATTTAATGGACGGATGGTGCAGTTGTCTGTATATATCTGTTAGTTGATGGGTTGGGATGAGCTTAAAGTTAGGTCTGGTGGATCTACCTCCGGCGTAGGGCTTCACCTGCCAGCTCCGGTGGACGGGGTAGCATATGAACAGGTGGAAAAATAGCGAGGTGAGAAAGGTGCAGACACAGGCTACCCCTACTATCTGGGCCAGACGGTGTTGCCACAGTCCCATTCTAGTCGATGTAAGTATTTGAATAGAGTCAGGGAAAGAAACTTACGTTAGTCGACTGTAGAGGAACATGAGGACACCCTTGAATGACCATACCATGAATATGTATGATAACCAAGCAATGAATGCAAATATTGAGCCTTTCCTCAACTTTGCTGCCATATCATCAGGCACCTCCATTGCAGTCTTTTCTGTTAGACCGATGTTTGAGCCATAGACATCTAGGCGCAGTTAGTTTTACAATTCAAGTATGCCACTGTACAGTCTGAATAGACATACCAGTGCAGTAATATAAGAAGATTGTGTGGAAAGTCCAGAAGACCTGCACCTGAAGTTAGCGCCCAGAATGCCTATAAAAAAGAGAGAGCCTATCTAGAGGAATACCGTGGCAAAACCTAGACATAGATCATCCCAGTAAAAACTTCTTTTCCCAACATTCCATCGCGCATAAAAGCGAACAGCTATAACCACCAAGCCGATGGCCCATTCAGCAAAGAGCTCTGCAGAACCATTGTAGCCCATTCTGAATGAGGCGGCTCATCAAGATGTAGAACTTTTGCCAGGCACGAAGGTTACTATCGGGCAATATATATTAAACTGAAAAACAAGGACTACAACGGAACAGTCCACGTCTCTGGCAACTGTAAAAAGGAGTAAAGATAGTCTGGGCAGAAGAGAAAAAGAAAAGACAAGAAAAGAAAAAAAAAACCTCCCGATCAACACTAAAGCAATCCCTGGTTTTCATTCCGGAAACGCTAATGCAGCCTACATCGCAGATCAATCCTATTTCAGAGTTTGGTATCCTGTCCCCTGCCAAACCCTGAGGGTGGCAGACGCCAAGCTAATATTTGGTTCTAGGGATCGAAGCAGGACCACAGAATGATCTGATTATGATATTCAGTTGAGACCAGAGTATCTCCGTAAACATCCGGGGCCTTTAGGGGTGACAACACGATACCTCCACTAGTGGGTATAGACACTCCGGTACGCTTAGACCCATGTATACGACTACCGAGTATAGAGGCAGACCGAGGTAGAACTCTTTGAACTGGCCATCGGAACAGTCAGTACTTAATGCTAAAAAGGCTATTTCCGATCCGCATAAATTTATTACACACTGCAATGCACTGTTGATCTTTTTTAAGTTAGAAACTGTTTTCGTTTGTCATGCACACTAAAGTTACTTCCAATCAGAATTACGGGGTAAACAGAAGATCGATACGGAGGAAGATCAGCAAATATTACTTACTCTATAAGAAAAAAAAATTAGATTTTTGAGCATCCACAGGATACGAGCTCAGATCGTCTGTAGAAACGGCCCCAGTGGAACACAGAGTTCACAGGCCCTTACTACGGAAACAAGCACGAGCGATTCCAACAAGATCCCGAGAGTGGCGGCGGAAAGGCTTTCCTGCCGGGTTTGGCGCCTTGGCGGGCCCACTCCAGCCTAACTATGCCACATACTAAATCCTGGTTCTGAATGGACCGTCAATCGGTGGGTTCGTCCGTCAAATTTGCTCCATTTCAGGGATAGCTCGTTGAAGTTAGGTCAGGGTCCGATAAAGCCCTTTAGGGATTGGATCTGTGTTATTTTTCTGCCTAGTAAGAATGCAGAAGGGGCCACTTCGTGTTGATATTCTTAAACACACAGGCGGGATAGTAGAGGTAACAGGTGAGGATCGGTAAAGCTAATGAACTATTGTGTGTCCTGGATCGCACTATTTTACGGCGTAGAGGTTCTACTGGGTCCTCAACACTATGTCCCAAGGTCCGACACTAAATGCTACTAGTATACCCTATCTGTGGCCACTAAGACTTAGTAGCATCCACAGTCAACCCATAATCATAAGACCGGTGGGTACTATCCCGCCTGTTTCGTGCCATTCTAAATGCCACTTAAGGAAAGTTGCTCGGCGTCCAGAAGAGAGGTACCCTACCGTGGGAGCCTGCCAGGCTGTGTCAGTCTATCTTGGCATACATATTTGCGTCTTAAAAGTTGCATCTGATACTCCGGTGTAGTCTAGGATGCCGTCAAATCTTTTAACAGCATTATCATGTCAGCATGCCAGCCTTGACATAGCATACTTCGTACTATTATTGTGTTTTAGTGGTGGGTCCACGGGGCACATCCTTCCGAGCAAACCCTGACTCACTCTATCTAGCCTACTTGTTTTATGTACTCTCTGTATGTACATTCTTAACAGGACATAACTACCGTGAATCCCATACTGGGAGCTATTCGCGGCATATATAAAATTTATGGAAATACCGTTAATCCACGTACTTCCCACTCCAGTACTAACCAAGTACCTACCTAAGAACCTCATTGCTCTCCCCTTTCTAACCAATGCAGTGGGTCCAGTTAACTCTAGTGAGGGGTATCATGCATTAGGTCCGTTTTGGAAATGAAAGAAATGGCTATATGACCCAAATTGAGAAAATATTCGATAGAGGGCTAGAGACCCCCAGATGGGGGCAGAATTCCTAAACATGCCTTATAATAGAGATCCCGATATGTGTCTCACATATTTGTGCCTCGCATCCATATGATCTTCTAAACACTCACCCTCAGCGAGAGATAATGACTTTTGTGGAGATTACCGATCTCATTGCAGAGGTTCAGTCCTCATTAGAAGCATTTCAATCTAATGGACAGGAGGAGTTACGTCTCCAAGCGCACGAAAAAGTGTTGCGACTCGCAAGGGCATTGGAAAAGCCTCGAGATGCCATTTTGAAGCTTGGATTTTCGGTGAGCTTCTCAGGTTTATACCTATTGATTATAAAAAATTCTAATTATACGTAGCCCACAGTGCTCATGGCCGTCAAGGTCGCCCATGACATGAATATCTTCCCGGTGCTTGCGAATGCCACGACTCCGGTGTCGGTAGAAGAGTTGGCTGCCTCTAAACCGGCGGATCCGTTACTAGTTGGTGAGCTCCTACTATCCCTTTCAGGGCTCCGTCTAACGTTGATTATCTTGATGATAGAACGGATGATGCGTCTTCTCGTGTCCCATGGCTTTGCTGAAGAGCCGGAACCCTGCAAGTACTTACCAACCCCGCTATCCAAGGAGATGACCCAACGAACCTCCATCGGGGTCATAGAATCACTGTATGATCCTGAATATTACACCCAACCTCTTGGCATGCAAAACTCATACACCAACCGAACAGATTCCTTGAATTCCTCCCCTCAATCCAAAAAACACCGGAATATCTCCAAGCAACCGGATACAAGAACCCGGAAGACCCGCTCTATGCACCGCTACAATACACAAACAACATAAAAGAAGATGGATTCAGTTGGCTATGCAAGGACCCCGCCGCTCTATCCCGATTTAATAGTTTCATGGAAGGGCAACGCGCGAACCGTGCTTTCTGGGGTGACTGGTTCCCGGTTCGGGAGCAGATCCTCAATGATCCCGGTGTGAATACCAAGCGGCCTCTCCTTGTGGATATCGGGGGTGGTCGTGGCCATGATCTGATTGCGTTTAAGGAGCGGTTCCCTGATGCACAGGGGAAGTTGATTCTTGAAGATTTACCCTCTGTGATAGATGAGGTCAAAGGGGCAAGTGATTTGGAAAGTGCGGGGATTGAGACGGTTGGATACGATTTCTTTCAGGATGTACAACCGGTCAAAGGTATTGTCTAAAATTCCCTCTACTGGAATGATGATATACAAACTGACGATACGATAGGGGCACGTGTGTATTATTTCAAATATGTCTTGCATGATTGGTCAGATGAGAAAGCGTACATTATCTTCGACCATCTAAAGCAGGCGATGGAACGTGGATACTCCAAGGTCCTGATTGAGGAGTACATTCTCCCGGATAGCAACGCACGCGCTGTAAACGGCATGACCGACATGGCAGTCATGGTTTTCTGTTCGGGGCTGGAACGCACTCGCCAACGATGGCTGAATCTGCTACAATCCGCTGGGCTGCGGGTGAATAAATTCTGGACCCGTGGGGGAGATGCGCTGGGAATTATTGAGGCCGAGCTTCCTTAGGAGATGAATGGTACTTCATATTGATAGGCTAACAGAATATGAGGCTTATTCCTCATGAGCGGTTGTTATATTAGACGTCATGTGAGCACAATAATAAAAACCTGCAGGGACCTTTTGCCCTGGCTCTATATAAATAAAAACCACCGTAGATAGATGAGAAGCCTGCACATAGGAACTAACCATAGTATATATATACCAAGCCTCGGTTATCCAAGAAGTTGGAACAATCATTTATTGTTATTTAACAGGTTTATCGAATCAAAACTTGATATAGGTCTAGAGAAAAACATCAAGTTGGGTGGATATATGAATTCCATTGTGATTGCTAGCTCATGCAAGGAAGCGAACAACGACTCATTGAAAGAACCTGTTGGTCACGGAGCGCCTCCACTAATGTCGTGCTGTCGCTGTAATCAACATGTGTAACCTGGACGACTTCAGGGAGCTTGTAAGTACTAGTGGATCGTGCAATGGCAGTCACAATATGCTTTCCGGCCTTAAGTAGCTGCTCTGTCACATGCTTGCCTATTTGGCCGCTGGCCTTTCATGCAGTTAGGGGTAAGCTTCTATCTTATAGAATGGAATGTCAACATACCCCGACAACTGCTACCTTCTCAATACAGTTGGAGAATCCCGTGGGTTGATCTTTGGCGTACTTCTTGGTCATGGTCCTGTGTGCGACGAGGAGACTGGCTGACGATATAGCCTTTCTTTATTGATTTGAGCTGCAATATTCTTGACAATAGATGGTACTTATATTGAGGTATAGTATGCCAGCACATATAGCTGAACCCCTTTTCAGGTCGGTATCCAGTAATACACAAATGGGGTGGATATATCGGCCTTAACCTCTATTCCCATTCACCAAGGAGTTAACGGTCTTACCTGATTCGGAATGGGGGCGAGGTGTCCAACCCAGCAACAACTTCTGGGCTCTACGGATAAAGTATAGGTAGCCTTAAATGACGTTGTCCTATAATATCCTTACAACGAGTGCCATATTGTAATAAAATTCCTGACGAATCTTCCTGGTTGGCAATTTAACCTAAAGTACTAATCCACATTATCTCTAGAGCAAACTACAGATTCACGGAGGCACAATAGATATATAAAAAAAGAAAATGAAGCCTACATTGTCTTCTTACCATATTCCAGATCCCACGAAAATCTGCCAGGATTATTAGCGCTATTCACTAACAGAGGCATCCAATTTATCTTATACTGTTCTGTAATAGACTGCGTGTAGTGAATATTGCCAGCCTATTAATACCATGAACAATATGACAGCAGGCCAGGTCCTCATCGATACTGCTGACTTTAATCCTCAATCGAACCTCTTGACTTCTGCCATATTTTCTCTTAATACAGATATCTTCAAACCATGGACTCTTTTCTGGTACAAGAAGCCTCTGAGCAGCTGAGCGAAGAGAATGTTTTCGCCTTCGTCCAAATCTAATTGATATCTCTGTTTAGCAATAATCTACATATCTTTCTTTCCTTCAAATTCCCTCCTCCTTTGCCGTTGTTGTTCTGCTTCTTCTTCACTGTCTTCTTCTTCTCCTTATTCCTTTTACATAGGGTTAATACTATCGTAGTATATCATTTACAGCTATTTCTCATCAGGAGCAGTAGGGTTTCTCTGAGAACCTTAATTTGTAGCCTTCCAATTTCGGCGCTTTGGTTGCATGTGGGCCGGCGTCATGATGTTGAGCACCGTTCGCATAGGCCAGTGGTCTCAGTCACGTTGTATCTCATTGGCTCGCTGCGTGTATTCTAATCGATGGAATAAACTGCTTGATATAAAAGTTAGATCAATCATAGAGGACTGGTCCGTTTTTTCCCAGGTCACCGGCCCCTCCTCGGTGGCCTGCACCAGGTTGTATTTATCTATATTCTCAAGAATCTCTGCCTCCGTGTCAATTTCGTGCCGGGACCTCCCCACGCAGGATAAATGCGCGTTAAGTTCCCCCAGGACTACCTGCTCGGCTCTTGATCATACCGGTAAAGATTCTGCAGCTGCTGGCGTAGTCTCTCTACCGTACCACTCCGTGGCTCGTTATATATATGTGTATATGCATATTACGCCTTTCCTCCCCTGTTTGTTACGTCATTCCTAATAGTTGACAGTCCTTGAAGACCGTCCTCACTGTCCAGCTCGCAGGGTTAATCTCTTTGGATATAAACATGCACACCCGGGCGCGCCCTTCCTCCTCCTAGTCCCTTGCTCTGGGGGTAGATGAGTTGTTGTGTTACTTTTGCTGGTTGATGTGTTGTTTCGGTTATTTAATTCGTCCATGGCTCTTTGATAGTGATAACGTCTGCCTCTAGGACTTCCTGTCCTGTAGAAAAGTCAACATAACCTCCTCCCGGGATTTTCGCGCGTTGTTCCTGCAGGATTTCGAGCTTACTCATTATTGGTAAGATCCATGTTGGTGTCAATTAACTCTGTGGCTGACCTCTCTGTTTCCACATCCTCGTTCTCCTCGAGGTGTGGCGTACTGGCCGGCGGTGCTGGCAATAGGCGCCTTGCGTAGGACCGTGTTAGCAGAGCCGAGTGTGTCTTTTTAGATTATTACAAAACCTGTGGGCATATCTTCTATGCGCCTTCTCTTCTAAGGGCGTATTAGTCGGCCAGGATCTGTTATAATTGGGACAGGATCCCCGAGCCGCTGCGAGCGGGTTGACCGGGTCGTCTGCGTGGTCGTAATCGCCCGGATGGCCCGTTCGATCTGCTGCATCTCGGGCCGGCTGTTGTCTCGCGTCGAAGAGACGGGTTTCGTTAGCCTCCCTCGAGGCCGTTTTGGTGACTCCTTTGTGAATCTGCTTGGTGTTGTTCTCCAGCCTCTATGTGGGGTCCCTCACCTCGTTAAGACCAGTGTGTCAGTGCCCTTGAGGGAAATTTCTTGTTCGTTTCGGATAAATCCCAGCACTAAATTGTCCCTTAGCTGCGGGTTCCTTTCAATATGTTCAAGCACCTGTTCAGCTGGCATCCCAACGTCCATGGTCGTATACTGAACACTTGGTTTTCTTGGGACGCCGTCGGGAGGCTCCCGCCCTTCCGTACGAGGAGGAATTATCGTATCCCTTACCATTAATACTGATAGACCAAGTCAAATGGACATCGATCGATAGCTACTGGAGATATGAGTAACCGGTCAAATTCTGAGCCGAATCCGGCTTATTTTGGTGACAGAATTTCAAAATATGATTGGCGCAGAAAGAGATTCCAGGCTCAGGTTTTAACTCCAAGCCTACCTAAAAAGCGAAGTGGTCAAAGCCACTAATCTAGAGGTAATTGACAAAGTTATTTACTCAAAATCCTATTATATACTTTTTACATTAATATAGAATCCCACAAAGTCGAAGATCCCTGAGTCGATGTCTCAAATTTGGATGACCAGATTGTACTAAGGGAAGCAGAGTTGAGAAGGGCATATTAGTAATACGACCTTGGAAATAGTTGTAATTTATTGCTAACAATAATCTCTTAGTGGCGGGGGGTCTCTCGCTAGATAAAGATTGGGCAGCAGTTTATAGCATCACAATCCCTAACTCAAAAATTTCTGGGGTCCTTATTAAAAGCTCCAGTCAAGGTGGAGTTATCAGAGTCATTGGCAAGTAACCGAGGTACACAAAAACAGACAGTCTGTCAGGAGAAAACGTGAAATCCTAAGTCAATGTTAAGATCTACTAGGACTCTCATTTTATAGATGACAATGTATTATATAGCGGAATCTTTAGCTACAGGTTTCGGCAGCTAGGTCCGTGGTAAAAGGTATCTAGAGTAATCTTAGATAGACTATTTACCCTAGACTATTTATGAAGAAGTAAATTATGCTAGCTGAGAATTACTGCGATATTACAAGAGAAGCACAGTAAATACTAGTAGAAATAGGATGGCCTGAATTTGTGGATAATGTCTCAGTTTCGTCTGAGGTAGTACACATAACACGTTAGCACTACAAACCCAACCTCGGCCAGAGTCATTAAGTAATTAACCTGGCGGTCACAAATTGCACTTGAGCTCCAGTAGCTGCAGGTGTGATGGTATAGGATGAAGAAACTGAATAAGACCAGCAGTGTCCTATCGAACGTTTTATTAGCAAGAATACAGTAAAATGTATGATAATGAGCTAATCCCTACTTAAAAATATTCTGTGAGATTGGGGCGATGATGTACTGAACAACAGGATTTTGAGGATGTTGACTGATAATGGATGGACGGTTGGATGAGGCTTGTAACAGGGATTGGTCTGGTCCCTTGGCGAGTGTAGATTGAGCCATTCTGAGGACTGTAAGTTGTAAATAGAAATCGTAGGAGATGTTGCAGCAAGAAACTTTAATGGGAAGATAGAAAGAAGGCTGGAGATCAAGGTGAGGCGAGAGTCCCACTTTAAATAGGGCTAAATACCTCTAGAGCTATGGTAAGGAAGAATTCCAATCTAAGATTTATATTACATAAACTACTCCATTCTTAATGCATCCACTTTCGTGGATCATTTGCTTTCCAGTTACGTTAAGAGCCGAATCTGCGCTTGCCTAATAATGTTACTCTGTAATTTGACGTGTGATGGCCCACTGGCTCATGATAGTCCCCTCCACTGAGGCATTTTTACTTATATACTATCTGGGCTTTTGGCTCTATGGACCCTTGATACTTGGTAGTAGAATGGAACCTGTCCCTGTCTGTTATGTCCAGGGATCCTTAGCCGAACCAATCTAAAATCCGAATCAGAACCGCTAAACTAACCTGACTTTTGCTTGACACCAATGTCGAACTAGAGTAGTTTACCACTATTGCTAACATGTCAGGAATCATATTAGGCACGGATTATGAAAGGTTCGGTTGTGCTGGGGTATTTATAATCATAGCTGACATGATAGACAATAAGCTAAGGGATATTTTCCTTTAGTGTCCTCTCTTGAGAGGATATAAAGGCTTGATCTTCTTCCCATTCTGTCAGCCTTATCTATTAATTCCAATAATCACTTGGCTGTACTTCTCTCTTTCGTTTCTATTGTTCTATGAAATTCTCCACCTCTCTGTGCTTCCTGCTTGCTAGCAGCACACTTCCATGCCTTCAACAGCAATAGAGCCAACCTGGGTCTGGAATCGCGCACTCTAAAAGAGAATAACCATGTGCCAGGGGCGAGCAATTTCTGCGACCTGCAAGAAGATCGGCAGAATTATCCTAACTATCGGCACAAGCGCCGCCATGTGAGTAACTTCTCCTGTACACTAAATTGCAAAACTGCCGCAAGAGTCTTATACTCTCCGAACCCTAATGCCAAGATGAGCTAAACTACATTAGGATATTCCTGATTCTGGATCCGGTATTTATTGTACTGACTGTCATACTTCTAGCTGTTTTATATTACTTGTACCGGATATACAGCGCTAATTTTTTACCCCGCCATGTATTCCTTTTACCCTGCCGGGAGATCCTCCCGGATCCTGTCGATCACAATTGCACAATGGCACCCAATCTAGCACAGTCAACCCTGGAATTTATCCAGGATATGCTAATAAGCAATAAGCTTACAGATCCACAGATTGCTGAAGCTGCTGGCTGCTTTCTAAGTACTATTAGTAGGCATCGCTTAAACATGCGCTTGTTTAGATGTATCAAGGCGCCTTTAAATAGAGGCGGAAGACCGCGACGTCTCATGCCACTTATAATTTAAGGTCTTTGTGATCACCTTCTTGAAAAACCTTATCTATATCTTAACAAAATGGCAATATTTCTATGGGATAAGTTCCAGGAACAAGTCATAACCTACATTATTAGCCGTGCCCTTAAATATAATAGTTAGTCGAAAAAGACAGCCAAGCAAAAAGTAAAAAAGAGGAATACAGATTTGCGTTGAAAACCTTGGGGGAAGGGTACGTTGTGAGGTGCTAGGATAGTGGTGACTAGATAGTATATTGAAAACTATCGTGCGATCTAGTATCGCATGGTGAGTATGTTCTTCTATCTGTGAGGGTGAGCGTTGACAAACGCTTCCTCATGTCTACGTGTCCCTTAGCCCCTGAATGTGATATATCAGATCGCTGCTGGACTAGGATATACTAAGGTGCCTTAGGCATCCAGATTTCCAACAGATTAGACTTAAAATACAGCTAAAGTGTTTAATTATCCACCGAGTCGTAAGCTTATTAAATGTCCTAAATTTGTTAACCTGTCTACTCTCACGTCAACCTCCTCCATGTCTCGAATAATAGTCTCTATATATTCGCCTACACCGCTAAGATGTATAATACGTGCGATGGCACGATAGACACCGAGAACTTAGAAGCCGAAAATAAGGAGGATCAATAGTACGGCTCGGGCTAAGAGTTAGCGTGCAAGTAACTGGAAATAATAGATTATGTCAGGGGCTGAACCCGTAGAACCTATAGGATAGGTTATGTATAAAAAGGAATCGTTGAAGAAGGGGAAAAAAAAAAAAAGGAAAAGGAAAATGAGCGGTAAACGAACAAGGTGAGTCACGTGGCATGGATCGAGGGCCAATGGGCTGATGGGCCAAAGGGGCCAACAGGGCCAAAAGGGCCAGTAGGGACAATAGGGACAACAGGGACAATAGGGACAACAGGGACATTGGCCCGAGAGGTCAAACGGGCTCCAGCCCTTTACAGCAGTCTTATTTATAGATATAATATAAAACTAATAAATACAAAATGCCCCTCTTGGATATTGTGGGCTGTACGGCAACCAATCGCACCTTTTATATTGGATTTGGCTTTATGCATAATAAGGAGGAGACCTTTACCTTTATTCTTTGCAGCTTAAAGGAGGTTTTGGCTGGCTGTGGGACTAGTTATCCCAAAACAATCCTTACTAATAAGGACCAGGCCCTTATAAATATAATTCAAGATACCTTTCCTTTTACAGACCACCTTCTCTGTGTGTGGCACATCCAGAAGAATATTATAAAGGAGGCTTGGCCTATCCTGCGTACAGAGGTGGTCTGTACAGAATATAATAACTTTTAATCTGCAGCTAGGGATCCCGAATTCAACGATAAGATCAAGACAAAATGGGAGCAAATGTTTAAGTTATTTATAAAGGTTGTCAACGCAAATACTAGAGAAGAAAAGGATTATCAGTGGGCTAATTTCTGCGCGGAATATAATAATGTAATCTCCTTAGTCCGAAAAGGGTAAGACTAGGTTACAGGGTACACCCAATTGCCACGCCACTGCAAAAAGGTCAACTAGACTTGGTAATACCAAGTCTGGCTCCCAATTCACTTATCTACTGTCTCCGCGGTCACACTAAATTAGCTGTGATTACAATAATAATATCTGGCAACCAGTTCTACGCTATATTAAAAATAAATAGCTTTCGGAGGAAACTGCAAAAACATTTATATATTACTACACTAATACATACTATTACTTCAGTTAGAGAACTACTTCCCGGAATAAATTAGCATATTAAATTATTAAAAATACACTCTATATATCCCGAGAGGACCTCTTGAATTCGGCTTAGAATTATTAACAAAGTTATTGTCCACTCAACTCGGCAGGCATAGGAAGAAATTAAAGATAACTGTGTTAAAAAACCACTCTTACTTTTAATACCTTTATTCCAGTACACCTTAAATAAAGTATCACGGTACGCACTATTTAAGGTTAAGGAGATATGTGATCGCTATCTTCTATCTGGCACTAAAGGGAAAACACCTATTCCAGGGGAATGCACAGGTCTTACTACACGACAATGGGGTTCCCATGTATTTATACAATTAAGAAATCCTATAATGGTAAAATGCCTATTAGTCTCCATAAATTCCACCAACAGTAGCATCTCTATCCTTAGAGAGAACTTCCACTAATTGACCCACGGGAGTTGGTGCTGGAGCCACACGTCGTGAGACAACGGGGCCGGCCAGTGGGAGTAATTAATCGGCCATAAGCTAGTAAGCCAACAAGCCAGCCAGAAGCCGAAGATATCTCAACACAGCGGGACCTCTCTGCCTTTGAAATTGTTTAAGCCAAAGATGAGCCAGTACGTGGCCCTGAACGTGGCTGTGGACGTGGCCGTCGCCATGAATATAGAGGCCAGCGTGGAGGCCGTCGGCAGGGACGTCTGGAAGGTCCGCAGAAGGGCCGGGTTTGTGGTGGACGTGGACATGGATTGGCTGTGGTTGAATCTACCCATACAAATGTCAGTGAACAGAAAGATACTGGGAAGATATAAGGGATAATATAGAATAAGGTGGGAATATGCAGGAAGGTCTCCGACAAGCCGGCGAAGCAACGTGGCCGGCCGGCGGCCTGGCTAGGGATAACTGAGGTTGAATTCTGAATGGCGGTCTCTATTGGTCAGTAAATAGTGAAGTTAGAGTAGCTTAGATGTAGTGTTTTAAAATGGTATGTTGAATACTTATTTTATAAGGAAACCAAATAGCTTGTAAAGCGCTGAAGGCTGGAACCCCTATTTGCACTAGTGGATCACGTGGGGGTGTCGGTCTATCTTATGAGGGTGTCGATGTAGATATAGGGGGGTGTCGATTAAGCAACGCCCTTTTTTAATAGCAACCTTAATTTTGCTCCTTTGATCTGAACTCCAACAAGGGAAATTATCAAAGTAGGATAAAGCAACTGTGAGATTAAAGCTATCTAAACATTCTATTCTGGACATAGATAACTGTAGATATAATGTGACCGGACACCGAGCTGCGCGGTCCCCGCCAAACTCCGCACCCATACAAAGCAGCCTTTTAAATTGACCAATATCTCAACGAAATAAAGCAATTTTATTATATAATTAAGACAGCATTATTTACTAGGGCAATTAAGTCTATTATATCCCTGTTTGTTGCAATTACTGCAGGTTGGTGGCCTTTGTGGTGCTTTTAACTGCTGCCTTTGCATTTCCTCCTGCTCCCGAGCTTTTTGCTGCCCTTTTTCCCCTGTTAGGCTTCCTCCACTTTATATAAATATTCGCGGTGCTGCTCGAATTTTATTTTAATAATTATTACCTTCCTGGAGCTGACATATTTTATATTTTGCTAGGAGAGTATTTTGCATTGTAATCTCTGCACTTTTAATAATCTTATCCATGGCATGCTGCATAACAGTTGGAGATATAAATAACTTGTTTCGAAGTCGCTGAATCTGTTTCTTTTGCTGCTCTAGTTAATATAGATTTGCAGGAGTTTTTCCAGTTCTAAAAAACTTATTGCTATGTGCTGTGGACGGTAGAGATAGTGTTTTAAACTAAATATCAAGCTTTAAAAAAACAATCTCCGGGTTTAGTAGCACAAGACCAGTTACTTCAAAGCCACTTTAAATATTTAATAATAATAAAGCTTCGAGATAAACAGAAGGATAGATTGCTAAAAAGTCTTGCTTTTTAATAGAGTAGATTCCTTTTCGCATTATATCCGCAATCTTTTGGCCGTAGAGATATTTAAGTGGCGAGAAGCAGCTCACATCTAGTAGCTGTAAATGATGTGAAGAATAAAAAGGTAAATAAAAAAAAATAATTCTCCTATTTATACAGAATTTGTTAAACTCTGCAGTGGTGTGGCTGCTGTGCCTATTTAAAATTAATAAACAGTATCTCCCAACTGTACATGGTGCTGTATAAATATTAAAGCAATTTTGTAGCTAATCCAAGCCTATATTATTATTTGTCCATCTATTATTACTCACAGAGATGTGATAGTCCTTTGGTATATTATTATACTACTAAGATTAATAATTCTCGCCAGTAAGAATAATCTGCGGTGGTAGTACCCATCCAGATATATTAATTATAATAATAGCAGTAACCCACTCCCTATTTCCAGGCTAAACTGCTTTGGCTTTGCTTTATCTTGTCTCTAAACCATAGACTACTTTTGCAGTTGATATAACACCTATTTAAAACCCTGTTTTATCTATATTATAAATATCTTCAGTACAGATCTCATATTTTTGTATGGTATCCCGGAACCGCTGGAACCACTCCTAGATAAGCTCTGGACTTTCACACTTTGCCCGTTAATAATTATACCGTCTGGTGTATTTTAAGCGGATTTCTGGGTGGTATTTAACAAATCTTAATACCCAGCGCTCTCTAATAGCTGGAGCAGATGGAATTCGCACAGAGAAAAGTAGCTAAGCTAGGTAGCGTACTTTTAATATCCCGGGGGACAGGCCGCGACGATCCATATTAATAATCCATGAAATAAGAGTTAACTCCTCTGTGTTTGATAATTTTCGACTATTTGCAACTAATTCCTTGCAGCAGTATCCATTAGACGCGTTATTAAGGTTCTTGGAGGGATTAAATACCTTAGCTGCAGCAGTTTTAGATGCAAAAAGGCCTCGCTTATAAGCATCTATAGCTAATTGTAAACGGCCTTCTTTCGAATTATCAGCCATGGCTCTGTGGTTGTAATAATGATAATAATAATTTAAAAGCTTCGCGGTAAGCGCCCAGTTTGGTGGGGACCGCGCAGCTCAGTGTCCGGTCACGTTATGTCATCCCGGATGACTAAGACGTATAGTGCCTGACGAATATGGCCACAACACGTAGACACTCCGAAGACATGATCCCACATCATACGATCCCACATCGTATGATATGGCATCCCCAGGCAGTGCACTGGAACACCTTGGTAGATACTAGGTTAAATAGCGGTCTGCTACTGAAGGTAGCAGACCACACAGAGGGAGGGACCTCAAGCAGATAGCTTAGGCAATACATTCCTTCAGAAGACTCAATAGAACTCCCTCAGTCCTCCCCCCGGGCCGCCATCAGGGCGGCCCCTGGGGCCCCCTTCCCATATTCGACGGTCCCTACGGCTCATAGTGTCGTACTACCTCGTCCAGTCCCCTACCTCACCGGCCGTGTGATGAGCGATATTGCATATATATAAAAAGAATAAAAAATGCATCCCTGGATACAACGTGTTCAAATGTGGCCTGGGAAGCGCCGCAGATTTGTAACCTTTTTGTGTGGTTTGTTCCAGATCATAGTGCTTGACAAGGGTATTAAGGAGGGTTGCTGCCGTCTTGCTTTGTTGATGTTGTGAAAACCTCGATACGGTCCACAGTGCACAGGGGAAATAGGGAATAGAGCAGAAGCTATACCAGCTACACGCACGTAGCCTACTAAGGAGCGTATATATTCAACTAGATATATATCCAACGTCTCATCTAGATACCACACTGTTCCCTTATCTTAACTGGGATAGAGGATTCGGGGGTTGACACCGTTGTGCGTAGCCAAGGCGCTAGGAAGGAATCGGTCCGAATACCACTTCTTCAACAGTTGATGCATTAAAAAGAAAGGTTGCGAGAAGTTCAAGACCTCCTCCAAAGACGACTGATGTCGATGTTGATGCTGGTGTTGACGCAAAGGCATCATGGACGATACTGTAGTGTAAGATAGACTTGACAGAGACTCCACTAAATTTCGTACAATTCTGAATGTCACGTGCTCAAAGAGCTTACTAATATATTGTCGCGTTTGCTGTCGCCCAGAACAGAACACTCTGGATAGAGGCTCAAATTGATAGGGCGACTTCTAAAAGATTCCCAGTGACAATAAGGGTATATCCTCGTCAATACTAATATATCTAGTCACCATAGATAAAAGATCGGAAAACTTCTTCAGTTCATTGATTATAGCGAGGCAAAATGGGAGAGGAGCGTCTTGGCTATTTGTCGTTGGTGTTTTTGGCTGCTTCTCAGAATTTTCATGGACGTGGTGCCGATCCAGGAATAGCTAATAAACTTGAGAAACTGAGACAATTAATAGTGGTAATGAAGTTAGCGGACCCTTGGACCAAACACTAACTTCGGAGCCCTAAACCCAGTCTGGAGAAATATTCACCTTAGCGTGACAGGCGATAATCTTGAACCATTGACCATTGGCCTCGTATGAGTAATACATGTATTAACTAGCTTAGTTGTTCGATAGTACGGATTAGCGAATCCAAAGACTGTGAAACATGCCATTGCAAGAATCAACCAATGGGTACAAGACACGGTGGAGAGAGCTGAATGAGCTTTTATTACATACTGTAGCAACTTACAGTATAAGTTGTCTATCAGTTAGAATAGCTGCCAGTTTCCCACTGTCATCTTCTATCACTATATGTACCTTTTATAATGAACTTCGACATTCTTCCCAACTGGATTAGAATGTATGTTTCTCAGGTATTATGAATAAACCTATTTACTGACACAGAATAAAGTATCCTTATAATAATAAGTGCGGTCTCATTTCTGCCTCAGTTGCTTCGAATATGGCGCAGGAAAGAGTTTAAGGGCCTCTCGCTTGCATATGTCCTTTGCAACTTATTGAGTGCCACGGAACAATTTACCCTAATGTTCTTTGATCTTGTTAATAATAACAAGCGATCTAATGAATTTTCAAAAACTGCTGGGGATTGGATTAATCTCGCCCAGTTGGCGGCTGTTTTTGTCCCCTGTCTTCTCTTGTATGGTCAAAACAACTTTCAGTTTTTAGGCAAAAGTTAACATGCCATAGATTTTTTAAGGGTCTCTACTATCCGTCCGACCGTCACAGTTGCACACTAAAGATCTTTATGGCAATGATCTACCTTAGTTTCATGCTTATTTCTATTATCCCCCTCTTTATTGATGTTGTTGATCATGATATCTTCGGACCCTGGGACAGTCATGACCGGGCTTTTGGACTTGGTTTATTTTATGGATTCCACTTGTTTTATGTCCACCCGATTATAACTCTCGTGGGAATATATTCCTTTTTTCCCCAGGCTCACGAACTTGACTCTCGGACCAGGCTGCACGCTCTTAGCAAGACAGGCCTGGCTATACAGGCCATTACCTTTACCATTGTTGCTATTTCATGGACTGTTAGGGTTAAACTATACGATGATGTCCTCACGAAGCTTCCTTTGTGGAGCACCTTCATGGACTGGTATAGATATATGTGGTGGGCGGCGGTGGATAACATGGTATTTGCTACTATCCAGGCTGGCTTGTTTTTCAAGGCACGTCATAAGGCACGGCAGTTGGAAGGCGAGACGGAACCCTTACTCAGAGACCAGGTTGAGGACACGGAGACATAAGATGAGAGCGCGTAAAGTAAAAGCAGAAATATCAAGCAGTATCTTTATATATTTAAGATATCTGCTAGACATGCTGATTATTCATGTTCTACAATGCAAAATTCTAGAGCATTAGATGCAGGTATTACTAGCTTTGGCCGACCCCCATTGTCCGCTGGGTCTGTAACCTCCGTGCGCATATTCGCTGGCAGCTTAACTGTTGTGTAGGCATGTTCGTCTCGACTTTCATAATCCTACCAGTCGACAGTGCCACCCTTGAACCTATAACGGAATGTATCTCCAACCTTCCAAGATTCTAAATCCTCCAGGATGTCCCACGAGCAGGTCCAATATTCTCCAGGCTTCAAGCTAACAAAGTGTTCGTCTTGAGTCATATTTACTATGATATTGGGACTATCAAGCCATATACCAGCGCATCTAACCTCCCAAAGCTCCCAGTGGTCATTTTCAAGGCGATAGGACTGGAGCTGTTCCCAGAGGATCTGATCACGGTATATAATTGACCGGTCGGTGTGATTCCCATGGTACCAAACATGGATAGATGCTAAAGCCTCTTGTCCAGGGGTAATAGTACTTGGCCCGGTTAGCTCCACGCTTAGAACTGGTGCACCAGGTCTATATTAGAGAGGTTTGTATTAGGATATACAACTGTTTTAGGAGAAATTTTGGAAGGTGGGGAGCTTACACGAGTGAAGACGGAGAAACTGGTGGAGTAGAAATTCGGCGTGTAAAAACAGGAGACTTAATCTGCTCATAGGTAAATGTAACACTTACACCCCCTGGTAAGATTAAATCCGACCGCTGCAGATTAGGTGGTATCTTGGACCCAAGATGGTCGTTTGGAGTTCCCCAATCCCATAGGGGTATTTTGGCTCCAGACCAAAGAAACTCGTACTTTCCACCAGGTACCAACTGCTGCCTATACCGGTCGGGAAGACTCGCGCAAAACGAGATGGATCCGCCAGGCTTTAGCTTTATAACATCAAATGGATACCTTACATAGACCTTGCCTTGCTGCACTCCGGTATCTTCAATTGAACATGGCACGGATACCTTTTCTAGGGCACCAGACGAAGTGTATCGCAGCAGCAAAAACCCCTTTTAATAGTAGCTGTCATCAAGTGGGGACTATTTAAGCACAAAGGACCTCAAGTCATTATCCTCCGCTTGTCGATGGAGGGTACACGACACGAGCGGCGTGAGTTCTAGTTTAAGTTCGAGATGTGGTGCTTCGGAGCTGGGAGTTGGATAGTAAGTATTTAGTTATGCTCGCGTATTTTACACGCAGGGGTAAGAAAGGAAATGAATCTATTACGTACTTCCTATCTTTGTCTGAGAATTTGATATGGGGCGCAAGTTTTTGGTCCATTTTCCGATCTTTTCTGCGATGGAGTAAGGAGGCTCAGGCTGGGACTGATATAAGGGGGTATAAGGTTTATCAAGTACATGCTTAGGAGATAGGCAAAATACAGATGGTGTATGTTCAGGGCCGAAGTCGCCAGGGGTGGGGGTATATAGTAGAGTTTGAGTCTATAAATCAGGCGGGTTAATTTAAGAGCTATTATTATTGTTGTAAAAACGGAACGCTATCCCCCAAAGGCAATTAATGCCACAGAGGAGTCTAGTATATAAGATATTGGATGTTAGCTAGCACCACGTGGTGTTTACCAAGGAGTCAAGGAGAGGGGAAGCTGCAGCTAACAGGCCGAGTAAAATAATAAGCAGGGTCATGGATATTGGACCACTAAAACGGGTATTGCAGAGCACTATCCGTATCAAGTAATCTGGGACAAGGCTCCAAATTGCCACTTTGATCGGGACAGATTCTGTAGGAGACAAAGAGAGGTCATGTTAACAGAATGCCAGATCCTCGAGGCGCCTACTTCTGGGGGTTTGGCTAGTTTGCATCAAAGAAGCTTCTAGATACCATGGTTTGCCAATACAAGCACTATACACAACTATCATAATTTACTGTTATCTAACAGTTTTGTACAATACATGTCATACTTCCGGAAAATAGCTTTTCCCTAATATTCCTAATATAGTTTAGTCCGCCTTGGCATTAGGGTTTGAAATACAATCCGAGAGTATAAGATGCTTGCGGCGGTTTTGCTATTTAGTGTACTGCTTAGGTGACAGTATATTTAAGGGCCGAAAAGCACTGTATACTGCCAAAGGGAGTGGACTGTATGTCTTGGAGTGTAAACTTAAGCGAGCAGACGAAACTTGAATTTATCACCGGATATCCAATTTGTGGTTGTGGTTGTGTTGCCGAGCGGAAGCTAAACACGGCCCGATGGCGATTCCACCCGTCGGGGATCCCAAAAATACCCCAAAGACGCCTGAAAATTTTGTAAGGAATAATAACAAACTGACGCTGGTACCAGCCTAAAGGGTTAGGACAAGGAGAACACACACACAAAACACAGTGATCCCACCTCTGGATTTTAATATGCTAGATAACACCAGTAACTAGATCACTAACTAGATAGATAGTCTGGGTGCTAATTATTAACCTAAAGAAAACTATTACTCACCAAAACATTACTATTAAATCAACCAGAGCAGAAATACAAGAGATTAAAACAGGACAGCAAGACCTGCAGAATAAAAATGCAAAGCTACAGGAAGAAATACAAACCCTTTAATCCCAAATCAAAGTACAGACCCTATCTACCCCTAAGTTATAGGCCGCAGTTGCAGCCGGCCTCTCCTAACAGTGCGCTTGTCTAGGACCCTTTTTACCTTATAATAATCTGTCTGTTTAGGGAAACGTTCATCGGACACAGGTGGTAGTTTTGGCAGGGTTCTCCTAAATAGATGGCCAGTTTTCGCGGGCTTAAGTTTTGTAACTAAAACTACCGGATAAATCTTCTATTTTAAAGGTAACTTTAATCGATAGGATAAACATCCAATGGCCTTTTTAATCTTATAGGGCTCCGAGTATCTCTGCAACAATTTCCCTAGCCGCTTTAATATAGGGATAGAATATTTTTTTTATAGCCGGAGTAATACCTTATCGCCAGGCTTGAAGACAGGAGGGTTTTTATAATTTCGGTTATAAAATTCCTTTATTCTTAACAAGGCGAAAGCTAGAGCTTCTTTAGTATTAATTCGATATAAGAACTCCTGCGTGATCTTTCTAAGATACTCCTTTAGAATGCTCTATAGTTAACGCAACTCCAAGCCGAACATTAATCGATGCGGGGAGGCGTTGGTGAAGGTGTTCAGAGAGGTATTTATAATTAATATAAATAAAGGTATAAAGTCTTTCCAATCTATATTTAGGTTCTTTATTAATTAATGTCGAAACATAATCTTAAGTGTTTAGATAAGCCTTTTAGTTTGTCCATCTGTTTGGGGATAGTATATAATAAAATAAAACTACTTAGCTCCCATAGCCACGAATATACCCTTCCAGAAGGAGCTTATAAATCTAGAATCACGGTCGGTAATTATGCGCTTTGGAAAGCCCCAGTTATATCCCCGGAGGTAGTTAACTAAAGCTATTCCCCACTTACGAGCTGACCAAGTGGATTTCCCGGGAATTAAACTAATATACTTTGTAAACTTGTCGACAATAACAAGCAACTGATTGTTCGATAACGAAGATAAAGATAGATTAACAATAAAGTCCATAGTTATGGTGTGGAATAGCCCTGCAGGCGTGTGAATTGGCTATAAAGCCCTATAAGAATAGTGACACTTAGGTTTATTTAGCTGGCATAAGCAGTGGTTGATATACCTCTTTAAAAGAGATCTGCCTTGGTAAATGGCGAAACCATTTAGGCGGGGAAGGTATTTATCAAGGCCCTAATAATTTTCCTGATTATGGATTATTTCGAAAACATCCTTAACTAAGGGCCGAGAGAAAGCCAAGGCCAAGGCCTTAGCTAGGCAAATAACAAATAGTATTACTGTTTTCTTAGACACTTTAGGGCAATATAACTAACTAGGAGCGGCGGCAGTAGCCCTGTACTAGAGTCTTTTAATTATAGGATCGCGACAGATTTGCATCGGCTTAATAAAATACTGGTTAGTAACGTATTCGGTAAGCGAACCGGCCATGTAAGCGAGTCGGCCACCTCTCCCGATTTCAACGCGTCACATTATTTGAAGCAATTCAACCACCCACCATGCCACCAAAAACGCATACAAAATTAAATGATTCAATGGAGAAAGAGAAAAGGATCCAACTTGCAATAGAAGCTCTGAAAAATAAGCAGATCGACAATATTCGCCAAGCGGCTCGCCATTATAATATAGCATGTTTAACTCTGCAGGATCGACTACGCGGTATATCCACACGCCTCAAAACACGCGCCAACTCCCATAAACTAACTGAATATAAAGAGGAATCGCTTGTACAATAGATATTATTATTAGACCAACGTGGCGCTGCTCCCCGACCATCACATGTGCAAGAAATGGCTAATATTCTTCTTGCGAAGCGTGGTACTACACCTACTCCAACTGTTAGCAATAAATGGGTATACAACTTTATCAAACGGCGTGATGAGCTTAAGTCAAGATATTCTCGACAGTACAATTATAAACGTGCCAAATATGAGGATCCTAAGCTTCTTAGAGAGTGGTTTAATCGCGTACAAATCACTATAATACAGCATGGGATTGCACAAGAAGATATCTACAATTTTGATGAAACTGGTTTTGCAATGGGCCTAATATCTACTGCTAAAGTAGTTACAAGAGCTGATATGTATGGAAAGCCACTTCTTATATAGCTAGGCAATCGAGAATGGGTTACCTCTATTAAGTGTGTTAACTCTACCGGATGGGCACTCCCACCTTGTATTATTTTTAAGGGAAAACGGTATATGGAGTGTTGGTTTAAAGACTTACTACCTGGATAGAGAATTAAACTTAGTGAAAATAGATAGACTACAGATAAGATTGGACTACGCTGGCTTGAAAAGCTTTTTATTCCAGCAATATCTAATCGTACAACTAGACGGTATTGCCTGCTTGTTCTTAATAGCCATGGTAGTTATTTTACGCCTCGGTTTAACTAGATATGCAGTGAGAATAATATTATTCCTATTTATATGCCTGCACATTCATCACATCTTTTACAACCTCTTAATATTAGCTGTTTTGCACCCCTAAAGCGCGCATACGGGCGCCTGGTGGAAAATCAGGCACGGCTGGGCTTTAATTATATTAATAAGATTAACTTTTTAGAAGCCTTTTAACAAGCACGTACAGAGATATACAAGCCAGATACTATTAAAAATAGCTTTGCAGCAGCTGGTCTGGTCCCTCTTAATGCCGAGCGTGTGCTTAAGCAGCTTAATATACAGCTAAAAACTCCAACACCTCCAGGCAGTCGATTAACAAATTCAGCATCTAAAACGCCTTATAACATTACACGGTTCAACAAACAGATAGCTGCAATTAAAGAGATGCTGGAAGGGCCAGACTAAAGCTCTTTATCTACTTCTCAAGTACGGTTGGGCAAGATTGCTAAAGGATACGCAATGGCTATAAATGAGACGGCTTTAGCACTTAAAGACAGCAAGGATGTACGGGCGGTAAATAAGAAGAGACGTCGAAAAAAAAGCAATCCAAGCAACAGATAGCTGCTACAGAGGGTCTCTCTACAGAAAAGGCTCAGGAGTATGTACTGCATCGGAATGCGGTCCAAGAAGCTCAAGATACTATACTAGTAGAGGCAGGACCATCTACGGTTGGACCACGCGTATGGGCGCCACCAAAGTGTTCTGGCTGCGGTATTCAGGGTCATAAAATTAATACATGTCCTAATCGCAGTAGTAATTAGTTTTTATATAGAAATGCAGATTTTTGAGTGTTTTGACTGGCCTTCTTTTTAACGATCGGGAGAAGTGGCCGACTCGCTTACGTGGCCGGTTCGCTTACCGAATACGTTATATACCGCTGAGCTTATAGTAATATATTATATAATTAGCTTGGTTTTTTAACTAGCTTAAAAAAAACCAACACGTCCTAAGCTCCAATTAGGAACTGGTAACAATTCTTAGTAATAGCATGTCTGCATTACAGGTGATAGTAAATATATAAAATAAGTCTGGTTAGTAAATTATCCAGGCTATTTATTAGTCTGCTGGAGAGCTAAAAGCATGTGGAATCCCCCTACAGCTTTAATAAATTCCGGGACACTGTGATAATCCCGGAAATAATACAGCAGACCGCCTGGTAAAAGAAACAGTTAGTCTAGATAAAAGGCATCCCTTTTAATACCTCTTGTCACGCGAAAAAGCGCATATCTGAGACAGAATTACTAAGGAGTAGGAATAAGAATAGAGGGCCTTAAAAAAAGGGGGGTACCTTTACTATATTAACACAGCCCTACCCTTAAACTATACGCGCCGGCTTTACGGCTTGCTCCCCTGGAATTAAGCCTATCTGCTTACGCGACTCTAAATAGGCCACTTATAGCTTGCGACGCATGGTATGCGACACAGCTTCCGAGATAATAAATAATATAAATATAGTGCACCAGAAACTATAGTTTATATATTAATTAATTGCCCGCGGCTAAGCGGGCTATAACAAGAGCTACGGGGGAAGATTGGAAGAGTATTTAATAATATTTTAAATATACTGGGAGGAGCAGGGCAAGGTAAGAAGGGTAGGTTAAAAAATATCACGCAAGGTAGTAGCATTTTAAATACAGTACTGGACTTTGCAGAGGTATCTTAGAGATTTCGAAGTCGCGCGCCACAAGGGCTGCAGAACAGAACACCAGGCATCGGCCAACAAAGGCCTTGACGAGGCTCCAAGTTCGTCGGGAAGTAATAGTTTGCAGTAAATAGATGCACATATAGAGTAGCGATAGGGGTATCCTGCATATCGCCTTAGGCGAGGGATCAGCGTATGAATACTACTACTACTACTACTAGTGTACTGCTTATACTGGATGGCTCAACTGGCATTGTTAGCAATGCCTTAATTAAAGAAGGCACAGACTTTCCGAAGCAAATCTGTGAAGATCAAGGTGCACCAAACTGTGTCAAGTATACTGGCTATATCCAGAGAGGCATCAACATTCTCTTCGTGGCAATTGGATTCGGCCATGGAGCTGTGGCTGAATCCTCGTCAAACGAACAATCGTCCTTCGAGCCTGGAGCCGTCCGCCGAGACCTTGGCTCAGGGTTCAATTATTTTACACAAAGCCTGGGATCTGCTCTCCAGGAATCGGGCTTCAGCTATGACTCCTTGGATTTCATTACTGTGCCTGGGTTGAATTTTAAAAAGCGCGATGTAGAGTCCTCCCTGGTGTCACGCTTGACTGCTCAAAACATGAGGGCCGACGACGAGAGTAGCAGCAGCGCATACACATCGCGTTTAACTAATACGATAACGGAAACCTCAACTTTCCTCTCGCCGGCGACTTCGAGACTCTCCCGTGGGCCGAAGATCTCGCAGCCACGGATAAGTCAGTAGCGCAGAAGCGGTTTTACGTTTACTTTCGCATTATTCCTGAAGTCTAGGGCTTTGGGCTGAACTATGAGAGTGTGAACATCTGTAGAGAGATAGCGCAATTCTTGTAGATGATTATAGGAAGAGGAGTATACTTGGACGTATAATACGTCAGAGGTGTAGAATGCGGAGAAAGTGGTTGATTCCCCTATCTAGGAGTCTGAGTTATTATGCAATTTTGGTGGAAAGGTGTTGTTGAAAGAACGATATATTTGGCCCCCCCTTTTCAAAAATCACATTGTGTTTGAATTTTTCTTTAGGATTTTTTGCCTGGATTAATCAGAGGCTTAGAGGCTAGATCACTAAATTTTTTTCCCCACCAAAATATGAGACTATTGTATGCTTTACCCACGCGGTATGGCCGACTGTACCATCCATATATTTCGTGATGGCATATTTGATCACAAGATGAGCTCTTTCGGCGCGAGACGTTGCCGTGTTACCAAAGTGAGGGATGTGAGTTGTCCATGCGGTAATATCATTGTACTATACCTCTACAGCCACGTGGTCAGGATATACTTCGGAATCCTGGGGTAGATTGGAGACCATTTTGCTATAAAATAATCCCAGGATTCCCGGCACTCAGAGGCTGTCTTAGCGTACAGAAAACACTTAACATCAGGAAGAAGTTGCTCCCAAGATTCTGGAAACTTTGAGCAGGCATCTCCTGGAGCCAGATTTGAATTTTGGATTGCTAAGGGCTTCTTAAATTCAGCTTTACAATAAGCGAGGATATTCTTGAAGGCACATGGATCCAATGGCGATGTTTTGAGCTAGTCGGCTCCATGCAAGCTCTGTATTCTTGTACATGTCAATTGAACCCGATGTTGAAATCCTCCGCAATATCTAGATCTCCAGCTTATGTTCAGCATTTTGCCTACCTTCTTTTTTATCTCTATTAGTACGTCTGTCGGTTTCCCAGCCTCGAAGTAGAAGCGATCGTCGCGATGAAACGGAGAAAAAACTGCCTGCCGGTTCTAGAGCATAGGCTTAAGTAATGGCTGGCTCTGTATACACACAGAAGACTAAGAGCTCTCTGAAGTGTAGGTGATCGGGCGCGGATTAGTATTTTATGACATACATATACATTCCTAAGTCTGTAATAGAAGGCTTCACATTTGGTCCAGATGCAAAAGCAACACCCGATACATATGGCCAAACAACGATAGCTGGCCAGTACGAACTAGCATTCCATATATGACAATATACTTTCGAACGCGTAGTTCCCCATTCTATGTCAAATAACTCCCGTATCTCGTACCGTCCGACAGTCTATCGATTCATTGTAAGCTCTCGCAGAATACCTGAACCCCGAATATGGCTTATGCGAGTAAGAATTGCCTCCGTATTCGCTAGGGATAAATGAATGTAGTTATTCTCACACCTCTTGTGCAAAAGCCAAATATCCTCCAGGTGGAGGTATCTGAGAGTATCTGTATAGCCGTAGAGAAATTTCTCCAGCTCTGGAACTGACATCTAGATTCTCCCTAGCTTAAAGCGTCGAAGACGAGGCAGGGGTGCCGTAGTGAAAAACTCCAACATGGCCGGGCTCTCTTCAAGCCATAGCTCCTGGACTGTTGCACCTGCAATAACCGACCTTTACCAAACTTTCTCTAACACCAACAAGTATTATATAGAGTCTCGAACTACCCAATCGTCAACATCTCTCAACGTTCAAGGAAGGGATAGAAGACCCAATTGAGGGCAAAGATATCTTACTGGTAGATGAAAAGCATCTCAGCATTCACCAACTGGCGCTCAGAGGGATGGCTTTGAGTACTTCACAGTACAAATGGGCTAGAGGCAGTCAAGATGTGTGTGTCGCTTCCCGACCTGATTTGAGTTGTTGTAATTGGTATTTTCCCCTGCCCCCTCTCTCTCTTGTCCCAATGCTGGTATGGTAGACTCTCCATGACAGATATGAACGGTTTGTAGCCCCCTCTGCGACAGATCCGTAACAGTGAAAAGGAGCATTGGTCTCAGATGAGCGAATCTGCGCGAGAGGGGTGGTGGTGGGCAGTTTTGCCACCCTAGCTGTATTAGATGGCGTCGAAGTGCAAAAGGAAGCCTTTAGATTTGGTATCGACACATTCGTGATCAGGTCAGCTAGGCGATCCGAATTGCACTCCATTCAACAGTGTATAAACGAATAGTTATTGCACGAAGTTGGATAGGCTCATCGGTACCTGGTATGAGACACGAGGAATATGAAGGAGTGGTGTGTGTGGTATGTATTTGATGAATAGTACGCCCACCAAATAATGTTTCTGGTGATGGTGCCAAAAACCCGAGATCGTGTTCGTAGGATGATAAATGGTAAGACTCGGAGATATCATAGCCGATGACTTGTGGAAGAAAGATGCAGGGAAAGGAGCACATGGTGGGGAGGATGGAATCTAAATCAATAAAAATTGCAACAATAATTTATCGCATTCGGTGAATAGGAAAGAGATAAAGGAATAGGAGGTAGTCTAAGTCGATACAGGATATTTATGCCACTGCCCGTTGAGCCAAATCACGTGATTTCTACTGCACTTAAAGCTTCTATACTGCTCCTCTGTAAATTATCAAACTACAGTCATTATATTAAAATACATTCCTAACAAAGCTCTCAGGGAATGAGAACAGCAGATATGCGAGAGGTGTTGACACTCCCACTGAATATAAATAGCGGGGTCAATGTAACCTTCCAATTCCTGTACAGATCAAAGTGGCCTCCAGAAAATTTTTTGTATAGATAAACATGAAAAACAATTTTCTAGAGCTACAACTTTTTTGGTGTCGTGTCCTATAGAAAAGTTGAAAAGATAGGGAGCATAATTTCCGCGGAATGGCAGTTACTCAGCAACAAATTCTAGTACCTACTTGGGAAACTATCACTTTCAGCACCTTAAAGCCTCCCTCTGATGCTACAGTTGTATTGCCGAGGATCTCGATCTTGTTGATAGCCTGAATATATTTAGAGCTTTTCAATCCTCGACCCACTACGTCCGTAATGACATCAAAGTTCCCCATTTCTCATTTGTTTTCTTCATCTAATTGACCTGTAGAAATGCACTTGCTGATTCCCCCCTTACCGTTTCTTATTTCAGCGCTTGCTGCGCAAGACCCCTGCCCGGCAGGTCCACATATTATCACCGTACGCGAGACCAGCGCATCTCCCAATGAAGGTCTAGTAAGACAGCTAGCGGATCTTGCACAGTATGCGCTTCCAGGTTCCGACATACATGATATCGAGTATCCAGCAACAGCGATCGGTCCTATCTACTTTACATCTGAGGCTGAAGGTGTGAAGAACACTACACTAGCAATCAAGAGCTTCACATCCCAATGTCCCAAGACAGATATTGTTCTCTTGGGCTATTCCCAGGTATGTGCTAGTATTTTCCAACCATAACCGCATCGTACACTTACGGAGATTACATAGGGTGCTCAAGTCGTAGGAGATGTACTGTGTGGCACGAGTGAACTATTGTTTTCGAAGACCGACCCCCTACCTTGGGAGTTTGGTAAACAAGGTCAGTCTCGGAGTCTGTGAAACATGCGATATAATTCCTAATGTATTCTGTAGTCAAGGCTGCGATCCTGATGGGCGATGTGAGCCATGTCCCTGATGCTCCATATGCAGTAGGGAACAGTACAAATGAGGGAGTATGTCGAATTATTCGGATAACGTAAGACGTATTTACTAATGCATAATTAATTTAGTGGTTTCCTCGTCTGGAGAACACTGAATGCAAGCCATACACAAATATTCTCCGGTCGTACTGTGATGCGGATGATAGATTCTGTGATCGTGGAAGTGACATGCAGGTACACGTCGGATATGTAAGGGAGTATGGAAAAGATGCAGTTCGTTTTGTGGTTTCAAGACTCGGAGGATAAGTTCCTCATATATTAGGTTGACAATTAAAGTCACCTTAAGAGCATTCCACTAACGAACTCGGTATTGACATATTGTTAACAAGGTAGCAGGATTCGCCATAATGGTAACCTATCAGAATACTTTTAAGGAAGTTTTAAACATTGGCTCAAGAAAAGCCTGAAGAATCAGCAGTAAGAGTAAATATAGTAGATACAAACTACTCCGTGGTAGACATACTAGATTAAATTATACTAGTCATTCATTTTCAATGCATATTTTATATGGCTCTACTGGCAATTAATCTTTATAGTTGGCCAGACAGCACGCTTGGCTTGTCTATAATCTTTTCTCTCTTTTATACTCCAAGGTTTAGCCTGGAAATAAATACGAAATATACGAATATAGAAAGTTGACCGACAAATTAAATTTTTCGTGCCATGAAATTGTCCAAACAAGAATTGATAATCGGACACGAGAGATGTAATTGAATTAATCCAAACCCTTTTTCAGGGAATAGTGAATATGTTTTGTTTTTTGATATTTCCCATTCTTCGACGAAAGTTGAGATGGAAGAGGAGAGAGAGAGCTGCTACACTACATACTCTTCAACAATAGCAGGACAAGGTCGCTGTCTGCCGCAGGTACTTAGACTTCACCTTTATTTCCATCCTCGATGCTGTGATATTCTAGCCTATAATATCTACAAAGAAATTGCGAACACGAACCGAGGAATAGTACGACGGACTGAGACCATGTTAGGCTCTGTTATATAGAGTTGAAGTGTTCTTTTTTCGTAAACAATAAAAGTCATGGATGATTTACATTCTGCTGTAGGCAGGCAGCTCGGCTGCTATAGATTTAGGATACTGTCCTCGTCTTTTAAGTGTAAAACTTCTCTTATTCCAAATACAGGTTGTAGTAGAAGCAAGGATATCTCATTTCATAACGACACTAATCACTAACACTAGTGAGAGATATTCTCTTTATCACCCCAGTCTCCGGCAGACAGTTAAGATACTCAAACTGCCCACTACCGCTCCTCAATACCGAAACCTCATGCCAAGTGCGGAACTTTCGTTTATCACCAAAATTCTTCGCATGTTTAATAGCGCCAGTATATATTGCCAGGTGCGATGAATGCCGTTTTGCCCAGGTTTCCAGATCTGCAAGACTTCGGAAGAATCCCGTCACACAGGACTCATAGGTCTTTTCGGACTGGGAAGAAGAACTGGGAACATTGAGCAAATACCTCAGTCCCATGGAACCAGAGTCGACCGGATTCTTCCATAAATAGGAGAGTCCCTCGCGGAGAGTCGGCTCTAGTCCTTCTTCATACGAACGTTTCTCATCCTCGTCGCAGTTTTTCCAGAACTGGCCCGATCGTATATGTACCATGTTGTGGTAGTTGGTACCTATCAGGTACTTTCCCAAGGATGACGGGACTGGATCCGGAGGGACCGCTGTCACAGAGTCCTTCTCCTGTTCAAAGAGGTCAAAGGCAGAATCAGGGATTCGGTCCCGGGCAGCACCCCAATACGCGGTATATGTATGGTCTACGGTGCTCGTGCCTGGTATCCGAGCTAGACCTGGGAGATAATCTAGTCCAGTGTAGTTTGTCTCCAGACGGGAGATGTCACTGGTGAACCTCTCACACCAGAGACCCACTGATTGCTGCTTCTGTGTATCAAGCTGTCTGTACAGGTGACGGAGATTTAATTTCCTGATTCCCTCGTCGTACTTCCGCTCGTCATCCCAGTAGCAAACAAATACGAGCGACTTCGGAGCATCGTCCCCGTCGATGACTCGAAAACGCTCTATCGAAGACGGAGTGGTACCTCGGTTCTCATAAAGCCAAGTCTCAATCGCCTTGGCACACTGGTTAAACCCATCGTCAAGGCCGTAGTGTCGCTGGACCCCGATATACGCGGTGAATACTTTGTCTAAGCCGCTCGGGAAGCGAGCGTACCATCGCGGGATGGGTGGTTTGTGATTATTTGGTCGTCGCAGAGGAAATATTCTAGTGAACCATTCATTCTGGTGGAGATCAATGGTATGAATAGCTAACTGAGAAAGATAGGTCTAAGTGATGATAAGGAGATGGCTAGATGCAGGAGCGGAAGTTGTCCAGTTTGCCGCGGGCCGCGGGCGCTATTTTTATTTCTTCCGGAGAGGTCAGCTGACAAGTACGAGAAGAAACCACTGGCTAGAAAATACAGTGGACTGGAGTTGATTGAAGATGGACGCTAGGGAGCAAATGGTGGATGTTTGGCTGTATTGGTGCAATTCTGTAAGTTACATACAGTGCGCTATGTCGGTGAGACTCCGAAAGAGCTGCGTCATCCTGCACTAGAGCATGAGAAGTCAAAATTGCTTCCTCTATATGGTATATCATAGGAGTAATTGAGTATTTCTAATGGCAAAATGTCTCACCCGGTCAGTCAGATATTGGTGGAGAGAAAGGCAAAGCAGATTTAAGTAAGGAGTATACTGCTATAGAAATATTCTTCTTTATCAGTATCTTCAATGCAGACATGACATTTAGATTCAACTTACTGCACCATATTTATAGCTGCTTTTCAGATGCTCAATTACAACATCCACCAACCCTCCTACAGTCTGTGCCTTGGAACTACACTCTGTGTCTTGGGGAACTCTGTCAAGCTTTTCTCTAAATCTTAGATGGCTCTGCACCGAACTTTTTAACTTCGATTGATATGAACGACTTGATAGCCACCTGACACATCTCATTCCTCGTGGATTATCCTGGGGCAAATACATACCAACTAGTCGAAGTAGCGCCTTCTGGATCACTGCCAGGGTCTTTGCACGATGTGGATATATGGTCCCTCTCAAACTCACCGAACAAGCGGCACAATTGATGATTCTACTCTACACCAGAGTAGACGAAAAACCCCGACTCAAAATGTCCGTGCGACAAAAACTGAATATCAGGATGCCAAATGCCTTGTGTTATCATATCGGACAACAACCGGGCGTCACAAGACTAAGAATAATGGCGCATCGCTCCTATATCGCAGTTGTCCGTCAATGCGTTCAAGTCGGTCATTGGCATTGATTTTCTTGGCTCATATAATCCCTTCAAGGTGACGGTGCCTTATCTGCTAGAATCTGCTGCGAAGTAAAACTCGGAAGGATATTCCTGTATGCCACGATAAACTATATGTCTCGATATGACCAATACTGAACAGAAAATATCTCATCCTCTCGGCACAGGCGGCCGTATAGTCTTCTTTTCTGCGACATTGAACTACGTAAGCTCCTCCGAACTCCCTTCCAAGCCAATGTCGGAGTAGGAAAATCCGGCCTTAATGCGCTATCAGCCAATATACTTCTTGGGTACAGCCCAATGGGGATTACTTCTAACGTTATTGAGCCGAGTCCTATCGCCGATACCGAAGGCATGAATCGTCTGGCTGCTGAGAATGGTGAGAATAAAGCGCAACGGGTGCCGCTTGGTCGGTGGAGTCGCAAGAAAGTGATAGCTGATGCGACAGTCTTTCTGTTTAGCGACGCAGGTAACTTCGTTAGTGGCTGGGGCAGTTGGAAAAATTTATCGAAGTCTAGGCTTCAAGAACGTCCAATAACCCAAGGCCGTACAGTTTACTTGATCGAGCCTCGATTCTAACAGCGTCCAGCCCCTCCATACGTTGTAAAATTAGCACTATGAGGCGGCAGTAGTTACACTACTTTATCTTTGACCAGTTAAATATCTCAAATTCTATCACTTTTCCGAAGTTGGCAATCAAGTCCATATGTTTCTACGCCTGATTCGCACCGGAACTTTGCCGACAACATTTAAGGTCCCAAATCCGAACCCCCTCATGTCCATTTTCAAAGACCGAACGTCTGTTAGGACTTCACAATCAAACAAGGAAATCATCATTGCCGCCGTCAGAATAATCTCACGTTTTGCGAAATGCCGACCTGGGCACATGCGAGGACCTCCACCATAAGGAATCCACGATCCTTCAACATCCTCCGGGGCGAACGTTGTCTGAGATGTCTTCGACGGGCTTTTCAATTCAGTCGAAGGCGAGTTGGTCACTCCTATACACTTTCTGGGTCCGCTGCATTCATTACCAGGCATTCTCAGAAATCTCGCAGCCCAAAAGCTGTCGAGGGGATGCTCGTCCCTCGCTCCCGTATTCCAGACATTCGAGTCCATATGCGCGGGAGTAGAACTCATGAGGAGTGTCTTTCCTACTGGTATAAACCAATCTCGGATTTGTAGATTGTACTTCTTGGGCGCGCGTACAATGAAGATGTGCACACGCAGTCGCAAAGTCTCTGCATAAATAGATTGCAGAAGTGGTGACTGCAATAACCGATCGATATCGAAGGATGTGTCGGGATCGTCAGTTGTGCAGGTTTTAATCTCTTCCCTTACTTTGGCAAGCAGGGCAGGGTCTTGGAAGATTTCCAACACAGTCCAAAACGCCGCCACAATGGAGTTGCGTGTGGATCTGTTGGTAAGCTTATCAGGCAAATGTCTTGGGAGATACGTAGATTGACAAGGGAAACGTACGCCCAAATAGCACCGAAGTCCTCAGATGCAATTGCATCATAGTCCATGCCGTCCATGTCAAGAAAGACATCTTGCCGATCCCTGAAAAATTTGCTGCCCCAGAAAGGGTCGTCTCCACTTGGCTCAATGAAAGAAGGGTGAAAATTTTTTCTTGCGAATGCTTGCCAGTCTTTGATCGCATCAAGAAGCCGGTCGCGGGTTGCGTAAATCCTGGGTGCGAAGATCCTAGGCGTACCCCTGAACAGCACGTCGAGTTCGCGATCAAGTTTCCAGAGGTCTTTGAGGAAACCAGGTCTACGCTTGAGGAGGTACTCGCCACAGAGAGCATCCACAGTTGCAGTTGATATTTCTGTTTCAAAGAAGTGCATAAAGTCCGGCCAGTGCTCCCACTGCGAGCCAAGTTCATGATCTTTCAGACGCTTAGTCACATTGGCCTGATACCGTCGCCAGAAGGGCTTCAGACCGTTGCCTGCGAGAAGTTGTGTAATGGTCTGATACGATCGGTAGTCAACACGGTTTCTGGCCTCCACTGTGCTTCCAGGATATGGCCGATTGCTTCCCCCTGAATCGTCTTTCTCATAGATCTCGAGCGCCTTTTCGGACATACCAAAGGCATTTCGAAGGCTAAAATGATGGAGAAAGGTCGATGTGGACGTCCAAGAGTTCCTAAATACATCCTTGATATTCTCTGCTCCTTGAACAATATATATATCCCTCAAGAAGACAGAGAGACGGATTGGATGGGGCATCCAAAATATCCTACCATGATTGTCAGAAGCCTTTCCGCTGACGAATCTTAGAGGGGTTCTCTTACTTTGAAGACATGAAGAATTTCATGGGGTTACTGCACAAATAGGCGAGCATCGACGGCAAAAATCCGACCACGGGAATCCATTGAGGAACAAACGGCGGCTGCTTATTCGATGACTTTTGCTGTGAAATTGAATTGAAATTCATCTGCATGACAGCCTTTTGGTCAAACAAACAGCCAAAATTGCGGAAATGCATGCAAGGAGAAGGACATTATCCCAGAACACCGTCCTCAACTTATGAGATAATGTTATCCAAGAACATTCCGTCACACCGGATGTTGCAAAATAGACAAGGGGTTTGAAGCCCAAATGGTTCTCGTGGGGCCTCTCGGGGTCCATGTTCTTAGAAAAAATTTAGATAACCGCCCAAGATATGCTTGTAACTCAACGATGCGCTCAAACTGGCTGAGCTTGTTCTTATTCTGCTGCAGACTGATAGATCCGAGAGCTAAAGTATACAACAGTCATTACTTTTCGAGCTTCCGCTATTACCCTGACGGAATTGATATGGTACTTTACGGAGCTGGCTACCCAAATAATGAGGATCTTCCCTAATATTCCCGCAAGCTGGATGGTTTGATGGCCAGGCCGTTCTCCATGTCCCTGCGAAATGGAACCAAGCCCTGGCACGCCACAGGGCATGCATAGAATACTGTAAGAACGTATGACACTGGAGTATTTAAAAGGGCCTTTCTAATGTCTCAAAGGCCCGTCACATTTCTTTCTAACCAGACTGTTATCCACACGTATGTGAGTGACTATCAGCTGTGATTCAACCAGGTATACGGACTTTGCTCGATTTTCAACAAGAACCAGAGGAAATGGTCTTATCTTGTGAAAGGACCAAAAAAAAAAAACAGTGCCCATTAGGTCAAGAACCTGGAAATATGAGATGCAGGCCTTATCACCGCTGATGGATCAAATCACTATTAAGAAACGTGTTACCGGACCAGATGCCGACGAGCAACCAAATCCCAGCGCTGACGCCGGTGATTTTTAGCATCATTTAGTCAAGCAGGTCTCCACCATTGAAGCGAAATTCTTAAGCACTAATTGCGTAACCAGTAATAAAGACGATTTCAGTACATAATACGGCCTCATCAGGGATGTGGTTGAAAAAACGCGTTCACCGGGGCCAGAGAGTGATCCAGGCTCAGCCTTATTTACAGCGTGATAACCTGATGCATGCATAACTCACATCCCGTTAGCGTGGATGCATCTGACCAGACCGTTGCCAAGGACCCCCTGCATCCTTACTTATTAAATCGGGAGAGCTCGGGACATACGTACATAGGGTGGATACCTGGTGGTGTACTTGGTAGTACACATGCACTTACCTGCTCGCGTGGATACATCTAACCGGGCCGTTGCCAACCTGGGGGATCACAGTATCTTTACTTTATTGGATCGGAGAGGCTAGGAGACCTGTATGTACGGTAGGTACCTGGTAGCGTGTTTGGTATTACATCAGAGTGCGGATATGGACTGTGCACGTGTGCTCACGACATACTGATTGATACTTTCTTCTACATCTTGGAGGGTTGCTGAAACCATTCTACTTTTTTTTTATACCATTTCAATTCTATATGAACGTGCATTGGAGTCTCGTCGGACTACTTGGTGTCATATCCAAGGGGTCGATCGGCGCAATTAATTTGTACGCTAAAATCTTATCACATATTGAGTTAATAACAACTAACAAGGGAGTTTCTGGTGACCAATAGCAAAGTGCACAATTTCTGTCCGAACCTATTCGTTGAGAAAAAGAGCCGGTTCCAATTAGTATACACCTAGCGAAACCACGCTAATTGGGCACGAATTTACAGACGAGGGGATAGTTGTTTGCCAGTAATGCGTAGTGTAAGTGGGATGACGGATATCCATGCATATTCAGCTAAACAAGGGGCTTTTTGCAGAGAAATATTGGACGTAAAAGAGCTACATTTTATTTTTCTGGTATACTACAGGGACACAAAGTATGATGCGAAAATAAATCCCGTCACCTATACATGCGACTTCATATTCCACGCCTTCGCATTCTCACGGCCACCTTTCTGGTCGGCGGCAACGTCCCGTACGGTACCCATCGTTTGTCAGCTTTGACCCGTTGAGCTTCCTGGATATCAACCAGTTCACATTCGAACAAGTCCAAAAGCAATCCCAGCGTACCAATGATTTCATTCTTGGCGAAATGGCGCCCGGGACACATGCGTTGGCCTCCGCCGTAAGGCATCCAGCATTCAGTCAAGCCTTCGACACTGAAGGCTGGATTTTTGTTGTTATACTTTTGAACAAGGAACCTTTCTGGCCAGAATTCTTCTAAAGGCTTGGTAACACTCTCCGGTCTCATGGCTCCCCAGGCTTCTTTGTTATGCGCCGTGATGGACGAGAATATTGTCATAGTCATGTTCTTAGAAATAGTATAATCTGGGCCCAGCTTAAAGTCGGCGTTCTCGTTTGTGCGTGTCATGGTGGTTGTGACCCGAAGGCGCAACACTTCTGCGTAGGTGGACTGCAGTAATGGTTTGGTGGAAAATTTAGCGACATCGAAGTCGCCAGCATCCGGCTTCAAGCAATCTTGGAGCTCCACCTTCAGGCATTTCTGCAAATCCAAATCCTTGAGAGATTCGAAAATATACCAGAAAACGGCGCGAACGGCGTTTGCATTGGACCTGTCAATATTTAATATCAGGTTGCAGTTCGTCCTGAAAATAGAGCACGTACCCAAAGAGAAGTCCCAAATGCTCAGACGCAATTGCGTCGTCATCCAGACCATGGTTCTTCAGAGCATCTTCACGAGCCTTAATAAATTTGGATCCGAAGAATTCATCCCACTCGGGGCCCTCTTCCCCATACTGTGTGCAATCTGAGTTGCGATGTGCAACTTGGTTCCATGCCTTGATCTTTGTTAACAAACGATCCCGAGTTTGATACGCAGAGGGGATCAGCCAGCGAGGGAAGCCACGGGAATAATTTGCGATCTGACGGTCAAACTCCCAAAAATCTCCCACAATGCCAGGGTACATTTGCAAAATTCGGGAACCCATCATGGCTTCAATAACTGAGGGAGTAACTTGACTCTGAAGCCACGTATAGAAGTCCGGAATTTCCGTCCAGCTATCGGCTGGGAGTTCGAGCTTGACTAGTCTAACCTTGAGGATCGCAAGGTATCTTTCCGACATTGCCACGAGATATTTGCCCGACAAATATTTGATGCTGATGCTCGCTTGCAAATCATGGATATGCTCGATTTTCACTCCTGACGATGACCTGCTTGGATTATGGGTAGCGTAGTAGTGCAAAGATTCCTTGGGCGTATAGAACCAGTTCCTCATGACAAACACCATCATAGGCCTGTTGGTCAGGATTCTCGAAGACCGAAGCACGTTCCTGATGTGACTTGGATTGACGACCATGGTAAATTGGAAGGATGCAGCGCGAACTTTTATTGGTGAAAGATAACCCCAGCGTTTACTGAAACGTTCTTTAGCAATGGACAAATTCCAAGCATCGGGTCTCTCACACTGTTGTGGTCAGGAAGTTGGCCATGCTCCATTCTAGGCCGAATGCATGACACAATCCAGGAATGTAGTATGGTAGGATTGGTGCTGCTTTCCCGGGCTTCTGGCTGTGCCGAGTCCAGAGAAAGCAAGACAAGGACAACGCATATGTCGAAATGAAAAGTACCAACAAGGCGAGGACCGTGAATTGAAAAGAAGTAGAATACAATAATGTGAGGTGTTTCATAGGAAAAGAGGTAGTGTCCTAGAAGTGAAAATAGGCTTGTTTGTTAACAAACTCAAGCTGAGATTAGTGCAATAGGAGGAATACATGATTAAGTTTCCGAAAAGTGCTGAGACTCTCAGAGATGTTTTCCATGCCCAAGGCACGCATCTTCAGCATGTTCGAAGCCATCATGAGCGGCAAAGTAGACAGATTTTTCTGGATGCTTTGCAAATTCATAACAAAAGGAGGGCCTTTGGAAAGAGGGCGATGTAGCTATGATATGCTACAAACGTATGGGACTGTGGAACATATATCCTTGTGTACGCTAGTAATCTATTTTGTTCCGTTGAGCACAGTCACTCACCCAAAATAGTTTGGCCATCTACGCCATTGTAATCTACCCCTATTCGTTCGATTTCTTCCTCAATTCCTCCATCAAACTCCTTCATCGACTCCTCTAAGCCCTAGCTCAACTTCACTTTCCTGCATCTCCTTTCTATCCATATCAGCTTTTAGTCGCTTCGAGATCCTAATGGAAATCCACTCCCAAGCTGTTTCATGCGGGATGCCGATTGCCTAAGCCTGAAACGCGTGTGGCCAGTAGGTTGTTACAATTATCCTATGACAACTTACTCGCTCAAGCGCCTCAGGTGCCATTGTTTGAAATGCTGGCACAAATAAACTGGGGATGATTTTGTGGCCCTCACTATGGACATTCCCACAGATGACACCCCTGACGTTAATCCCTGCCCTCTCGGCCTGTATCTCGGCATGCAATGCTCTCGTGAACGAATCGATGTAAGATTTTGACGCCGCGTAGATGATGAGGTAAGGCAGTCCAGTCGCAGACAGGGATGAAATGTTCATTACAAGGGACTGTTGACTGGCGAACATGGTCGGGAAGAGGACCCTCGTGAGCTGGGTCGCGAAATGTACCTTGACATCCATGACACGCTTCACTTCTTGGGTTAAGAAATCATGCAGTCTCTGATATGTCTGCCTTGTCTGGCCCTTTGGCCTCCCACGTTGTTATGAGCAGCCTGAGACGCACACCCTACAGGACCGGGTTGACTACTTCTGCCAACGTAGCGGTGGATCCAGAGGCATCAAACAAAAGGGCTCGAGTTTCACAGTGTGGGAACTCCTTGTATAATTGGGCTTGGGCATTCAGCAATTCCCGATAGTCTCTTCCATGTATGATGACGTTGAATACGCTCTTGGGAAAAGCCGAAACCTATGTCAGCCGTTGCCAGTGACCGACGCCCGGAATCCCTCATCCTCAATGCTAGCAAGATAATTAGATAGTGGTGACGGGCGGAGGTATATAGTAGCATGCAAGCAGAGCGCATATCTTCAAGGTGGCTAGCTCGATGTACGTTTTATACGATAGTTATGGTTTTTGAATTTTATTATCAATTATTAGTCTTCTCCGGCCGTAAGATGCTGCTTACGACAGTTAATTATCAATTTCTCTCGTCTCATCCCTGCTCGACATCATTGCGACCCGACATTAAATCCCCACATCAGCCCTTCTCCCTTTCCCATAGGTAACTATTTCATCCCGGGCTCCATTTTTGATTCCGCCAGACACGCTAGGGCCGAATAAGACGGGAACAAGTTCTATTCTAATGTCTCATAGAAAGTACTCCCTTCCTTTTACAAAGTCTTTTTAACAGAGTTACCGGCAGATTGTCGAAAAGCTCCAACCATTGCCGAGTAGCTTTGGTAGATACATACTATAGCGACAGTTAGCAGGCAACAGACAGGTAGTACAATGTCAGTGAAGTAGGATCTTTTACAGGCTGGAATAAAAATCCAAAAAGAATTCAGGAAAATAAAGTATCCCCAATAGTAATACGTCTCAGGGCGGGAGTAAGATATTCCATGATAATAGTCCTCCATAATGCTCGTTGCGTAATACAGGACATCGCCGTAGAACTGGCCTACAGAGACAAGCATCTGTGTTGGATGGCGGTATGCGGACTGCGCGACAATCATCCATGCTGTAAAGTAGGATAGTGGTCCCCATGCAAACTGCATGATATTTTAGCCATGCATAATCCTGGACGAGACCAAACGTATATATACGTACGGCTGTTATCGACTCCATACAAAGCACAAATGGCTCCATGGTCAAATACCGAGAATCAGCTTTAGCATATTCCTTCCACAGCTGGCCAAAGAGATCTAGCATGCGAGGCATTGTCTTGTGGTTGTACACAAAATATCCTTCTAAAAGGAAGTGTATACACCCAGCTAAGCAAATTTTTATCAGCTTAGCAGTAAGAATTCCTAAAATAATATGATGGTGGTGCTTACTGAAGACGAACCATCCTGCTAGCACCTTGTCCTGACGCGATAACGTCGGCTTTAGTCTTTTTAGAACAACCGAGGTGAAGCTGATAACGGCAATGCCCCCAATAACGAAGGTGCTGAGAAGCGCCGGGATGTTCATGGTATTGGAAACATAACCAATAAGATTGATATCGGGGGGGTAAAATGGGTGAGCTAAAGTGTCCGCCATCTTGGTCAGAGCAAGATATTCTGGAAATCAAAGTATCTTAGTGGTATCCACACGTTTTGGAGGGCATATGCGACTGAGCAGAAAAAGAAACAGCCTGGGAGAAGTTCTTAAGGCATTGGTAAAACGAGGCCTCAAGCCGCATCCGGTCCGGATATAACACCAATACCACTAGCAAGTACCTACCGTGCGTACATAAGTCTCCGAGCTTCCCCGATTTATAAAGTAAAGATACGTGTGGTCCTCCAGATTGGCAATTGTTTGGTCAGATGTCAACAAATAAGTTGTGTACCACCCAGCACGCCACCAGGTACCCATCTTATATACGTAAGCCCCCGAGCTCCCCCGATCCAAGAAAGTAAGGATTCTACTGGCCCCCCATCTTGTCAGACGCAGCCACGCCAACAAAGTCGCGGCTCGGATGCTCCTGTTCCGGCGCAGGGGTAGATTTAGGTGCATAAACTAGTTGACGACCAGCGTTACAGCTGATAATAATTTTTGTGTAACTTGCTGAACCTAGTTCCCTATTTTACTGTAAGCAATCTACTATCTGGTATTGAACATAGCACGCTCACTAATCATGTGAAGATCTAAGTGATTGAACATTAGTCAACTTTCTTGCGCATCTTTCCAGTTGTTCTCGTTCGATAAGGCAAAATCGTCCCTCAAAAAACTCTTTTTAGCTTTCGGCGTTCTTCTATTAGGTCTGCTAAGCTGGTAACGTCTTGGTTTATGGGGAACATGGACAGTTTGACACCAAATACCGAATATTCTTTTGCAACGGATTGTTCAGACAGCTTTCTGCGGGGATATCAATAGCCAACAATACAGCACCCATGTAGCGCTGACGTGGACGAGCTATTAAAAGATACTCCTGTCGAATCCAACCATATTCACGAAACTCAATTACAATTATATAGCAGACATAAGATACTATAAGCAGAGTGTAATGATGTGACCCCCAGTCTCGACATGCTTCTGCGACTGAACATTTAGTCTGTTAGTCTGTCAAGGCCGGTGACGGAAGTCTCTTTGCTCCTATGGGTTTTCTGGCCGACCACGAACATCCCCCGTCTCGCTCAGACTCCAGCCCGATCGTTCGCGTACCACGTGTTCCGGCGGAGTGCTGCAGAGGAGGGACCCATAGGTTTTCTCCAGATCTCGCAGACGCTGGAGCTGTTGGAACCCGTTCCGGGGAAACTGGGCGCTGAGGTCACTGCCAAGGCTGTGAGGTATGACCAGGTGGGTGAGTCGGTGGAGAGGATTGGCGGGTTAAGGCCGGAGAGGATTGTGCTTGTAGATTTTGGCGCGCGGGCGGGGACGCTTGCGCAGTTGGTTGAGTGTATTAAGGGTCATTCGCCGATTGTCCAGGTTGGCTCGGAGCAGGTGAGCATTAAAAAAAAAAAAAAATATTTCCACTAGATGCGGATACTAAGAAATTACCTCACGAGCAGATCTACTCTGCCGACGACACCAAAGAAAACCGCGAGTCCATGCAAATAATGGGCAAGATCCAGTTCAACACCTCTGGGGTGCGCGATTCCGCCGTCGAACAGACCAGGCGCAAGATTATTACGGCCACGTCAAGCCTGTGTGAGAGGATTGGATGCGTGTCAGCCACGAGATCATGCCTGATATCCAGGTTACGCTTGGTCGGGATGTATCCGGCGATGAAGGGATCGAGAAGGGATGGAGCAGGCTGTATCAGGGGTCTGTGGGTACTCAGGAAGGATTAGTGTATGCTATGTAGTATGTAGTAGATGTGATATGGTAGGACGGCCGTGTCTTGTTAGAATTTGATATGACTCGGGGGGAAAGAAGGCAGTAAGCTCATCGAACAGCTGCACGCAACCAGTTGCCTAATATAGGGAACGATATATCATTGATATCCTAGACCACGATAACTACCATACTTCATTGGATGGTTAGCTCGCGCCTTTTTCTAGAATCCCCCCGTAGACTATTATTGACGATAGAAAAGAATGAATGCTGCGAGCCTAGATTTTTCGAGCTTTGCCAGCGGCACCAGTGAGAGTTTTGTTTAGTGTAGAAGCATCCATGTCTTTCCAAATCTTCTATGGCTCTTATATCGGTTCAGGGTTAAATAGCTCCGAAATTCAGATTCACTTTTCTGTTCTAACAACCCTTATCTTTCTCTCTTCTGGAAATTTGAAAGAACGTACAAAAATTGTTTCTTTAATCCAAAAAGATATATATCTTAATATCAAAGGCATTGTATGTAATTCGGATCGAGAGCATGCTGGAAATCCAGAACCTTAGTATACTAGTTATGGGACACCTTAATGACGGGGTAACAAGAATAATCACATCAATATATACCCATCAAGAAATTACTCACATCAGTGCTGTTTATTCCCTACTCTTAGGTATTGAACCGATTTGAATCTGTGGGATGGCGAGTCTGATTTTTGATAATTTCGCCCTTGTTACATAGCTTGCTCTGAGGCTACTGTAGTAGAAGTCTCTCACTTATCAAAATGAGGAGAGTTAAAGTCTTTCTCTTCCAGACGGATTACTGTTATGAAATACTAACTTGCTGGATCTAAAACTTCCTCGGCCATAAAATATTACTATCAGATGAATATGTATATATGTATATCTTTGAACGCAGCGGATTTTTCTCTTTTTTTTTCACCTATATGTATACATATAAGAAAGGGGGAGAAGAGAGGGAATGCATGACCAAGAGTCGGTTATCTACAACACAATTCATACTCTAATGAAGTAGTAAGTTTAACAATATATATAGCCCACATTGCGATCCCTTATTGTTGATTTGTTTCTTACTCATTCAATTACCTAGGTATGTGTCGCCTGGCTGGCAAAGCTGCTAGCTGCTCAAAGAAACGACGGGCCTCAGGCCTTCACGTAGTTGGTTTGCCTATTATCCTATTATCACAATAACTCTCAGTCAATTACACATTCCATTTGAACAGCACGGTATGATCATAGAAATTACGCTTGTGTGCTACAACCGTTTAGCTTTTTATTCTTACTATTGCTTTTAGGAAATTTACCTCACCATTCTCTGCTGAAGTGGATTCTACGCTCCGCCGTTCTTCCTCTACCCGCTGCTGCTTGTCGTGAAGTTTAATCTGTTGCTCTTTAACCCCTATTTCTAGTGGTGGAACTGAGGTACTGATTACCCATGTTAAAAAGAGGCGGTCCTGGAACGTGCAGGCCAACCGCTGCAAGATATTATGTGGAAAGACATGCTATTCGGGGGGGAACTCTTTACTGGTCTCGGGGATTTTCGCCAGGTGGCCCCCCAGTCATCCGCGCAGTTTAGGCCCAACTGCGACTCTTAACAGCACTATCCGCATGTTTTGCACTCTGGAATTACATTAACGTATTGTAGCTGACTGTCCCAATTGAACAGGTTGGGGATCTGATGTATGTGAGATGGGTGGATTAGGTAGGAGAAGTATACCCCCCTATAAGACAAGTATAACGCTACACTATCTGCAACACGTTAACACCCTCAACACTAAGGTGGACTTTCTCTTCCTACATAATACGAACCCTGCGTCTTTTGCTGCTATCCAACATATCAACTCTCCACTCTAGGGCAACATTGCCTGCTTCGAAGGCATTTGTCTCTTTTTTTGCCTTTTTATTTTGTTTCATTATTTCATTTATTTTTGTAAGGTACTATGACGGTAACGAACGCCACTCTTCGACAGTATCGACACACAATCCGAAACCATGGTGACAGTTTCATCATGAAAATGCCCAAAGTGGAAATGCACGTACATATCGAACGAACTTCGATGGTCTCTCTCTCAGCGATATGGCATGTCAATTCCCAACCTGGGAAACATACCGGACTCTCCAGGAACTCAAAGGATTATACGAACTTCTCCTTGGCCTGGAGGAAGGGGCGTAGATGGCAGAACGCTCCGATTCTTTGAGCTCTACTACGGCGGTTTCGAGGTATTACGAGATGAGGAGGACTTTTACCGTCTTGCTATGAACTACTTTCAACGCACTGCGGCCATGAACATTCGCTACCGCGAGACATTTTCCGACCCTCAACGTTATACGCGTAGGGGTGTGTCTTGGGAGGCAATGATGAAGGGGTTTTTGAGAGCCTAGGTTGAAGCTGCTCGGGAGCTGACCGTAACGTTAAGACGTTTTCTCTTGGAAAGTATGCTGCTAAAGTTAATGAATATGGAAGGTCGAGTCTCAATGGATCATGTGCATTCTGCGCGACATGTCCCCAAAGTCCGCAATAGAGCATTACGTCGCTGCCCTCCCTTATCGGAACACGATTGTGAGAATCAGGTTGGAGTCACTGGAAACAGATCGTCCGCCACACTTATTCGAATACTTGTTCCGACGGGCTCCAGCAGACGGCTTTAAAATCACCTGCCACTGCGACGTAGGCGACAAGGGCACTCCTCGCAATATCGGTCAGGTCGTTGAGAAACTCGGCGGTACAGGAGCGCATCGGATCGACTATGGCCTACATGCCGTTGATGACTCTGTCCTCCTACAGAGGGTGAAAGATAGGAACCTGGGAATGACGATCTGCCCGTGGGGATACCTATGTTACTCCGGTGAAAGCAACATTATGGACCGGATCCGCGCCCTTTACGATGCGGGGCCAAGATTGTCACCGGAAATGGCCTACCTGGAAGATATCTGGCTGAATCACAGCCTCTATCTGCTTCGTATGCAATGTTGGTTTACAGATAATGATTTTATCCAGCTGCAGCGGTCGATATCTGCTGGGCATTTGTTGTTGTGAAAATGAAAATATTGGAGGTCGAGAGGTTCAGGGAGTTAGCATTAGAGTCGGGACAGGCGGTGTCTGGGGAAATATCAGGATCCGAGGGTAAAGAAGGTGTCGTTACGATCTAGAATTTTTAACTCTCCTGAGGCTCTGCAAGCATACTGCGGTTGCCTGAGTGTTGCTGTTTCGCCTTTGATATCCAATGAGGATGTGTCCATCTAGTTTACTGCTGAATTATCCGATTCCACAGCCCTAGAGAAATTGTTTAGCACATCTCGAGCACTTAATCAGTTTATTTAAGCGAGCTCCTATACAGCTTTGGTAATATAAGAATGGAGGAGCTGCGATGAAATTGTCTACCTTGAAGAGGACACTGAAGAACACCTCCTGAACGGCCATTCAAGTGTTGATTCTTTTAATATTATTTTGGTCTAAACTCTCTACAAATTTTCATGATAATAGAAGAATATAGTCTACAGATCTTTAAAATGTCATATAAACATTTTTCGAGCGTGTTAGTTTTATAAAAGTTAAACTAATTACAGATCAAATCGACGGAAGCAATGTCTCTATCAAGACATGAACAAAACTCCGTCCAGCTGTATTGTCTGGGGTATTATTTAAACTCTCGCATACTATGGCTGTTTTTATCAAAACTTTGGTGCGCCGAAAATAGGAGCCCTAGAAGAAATACAAGAGCAGCTCAGTGTATAGAAAGCAATAGGATACACGGAATCCAGCTATCTTATCACAGGTGCTCGTTCTCGTCCAATATTGCTTGATTAGATATCAAAGTAAAACGTAGAGCCAGTGAGAAAAACCAACACTAAATTCGTCTCCATTTGGTACTCGTACAACGCTTAAACATACAGCGTCTGACCAGAGTTGTTGGAATTAGATGGGAGATGTATTTAGCTACAGAGGAGGCCATTTTCGGCGTCGCTTTGATCATGAGTTGAAATGAGACGCTCGCTGGGGTTGAGCGCCTACACCAAGGGAACGGTGGTGTGAAGCACATGGTAGGACATTAAAGCAGCCGCTTGCCGTTGGGAGGTGCAGTTGGAAATGCAGCTGTAAATTGCCCTAATAGCAGTCATTTTCAGCGTCAATTTCACAGGTCATCACACTCTATTTGTAAATAAGACCTTCAGACAGGTCAGTGATAGTCTAATTCTATGGCTTGATAAATAATGTGGGGACTGAAAATCTATGTCAATGATTTTTATTCAAGTTTCAACTTCAAACATGCTGAATCAGGCATTCTCCTGCAGAAATTCAACAACAGCTGCCGTCGGCGTCAGTGAGATTTGATAGGTAAGGGATACAGAGCTTACCCCGCCTAAATTCCATGGGCCGTTCTTGAATAATCCAATGTCCACAGTCCATGTTCACAATACGAGAAAGCGGGAAAAAGGAGGAAATAATTGGGAGCGAGACCTCCGGTATGTATTGGCTCCGGAGTGCTCGAAGGAATAGCGTAGGTTTCTGAAAAGCCACAGGCATATTCTTGTGCGGGAACTCGCCCAATGGGCCGATGGCTTTTTCCAATATATCTAAAGGAACACGGCTTTTCAATTGCAATGAATTGCGATCCTGAATAAAATTGCTGAGGAGCCATAGTCTCACAGCCAAGGACTAGCCTATGCAATTAGAACAAAGCCTCGTGTAAATAGGAGAAGAAATGGAGAACGTGCCTCCGCGTAGTTCCGCAAAATCATATCTGCCTCAAGATGCGTCTTGACCTGAGCATTCTTGATCTCAGCCATTCCTTTCAGATATCTTGGGAAATCCTCGGACAATGGCAGGTGTACCGGTCCATTATCAACGGCAATGACTTTGGATATCAAATCTGGTAAATGCAGAGCAAGAGTTAAAGCGGTTTTCGCGCCCCTATGCTGATGTATTAGTTGAATGCTAATTTCCCAATACAAGGGCATAATATTACATAGAATGACCAATTAATATCGGTCTCACGAGTCGATGACTCCTGACAAAGAGCTCAACGTCCAGAGCCATCTCCATATAGTTGTGTGTTGGATGGTGGGCTGAATCGCCATGGTTCCGAAGATCCTACTAATTGTCAATTCAATACAACGGATGGACAAATATCATACCAGGCAAAACACCTGTCGCGACAAATCTTGTGCCAAAAATCTTCATGGAAAATTAATCAGCAATTGCAAACAGCACTGCAAAATATGGTCAAGGAAATCGACACATACTTGCTTACTCGCCGATTTTCTCGCTTCGATCCTAGGAACCCATGCAACAAGATCACGGGAGACCTATTTGCTGGATCCAGCTGTCTACTACCGGCGTGTTGAGGGCGGTGTAATTCAAATGCTAGTGGTACCCTTGTAGCACGGAGTTGTGTTGCAGAGGTATGCATATGGGATAAATACTTCTGTGTATGTCTCGCAGCCATGGTGACATAATGTCAAGACCGAACCATTCGACTAACTAAAAATGCGGGCTCTTAGTGAGCCATAATCGTGAGTCATATAGGGAGTTTCAACATATAACTTGTGGATGCAAAGACGAGGGAATTAAAGAGAGCTCTAAGATTAAATAAATGGCACTCCGCAGATAGCGGCGAATACCATCTATAATTCAACAGTAGAATGACTGAATGGAACCGACAGCATGGTGTTGTGAAGTGTAAATCAATACAGGGGGGTGAGCTTCGGACTTGAGCGCTATCGCGGTGCGTTCGTTCGGGTTAGCTTCTATTAGGGCTTGGCAAAATATCTATATTTAGCGTCCATTTGCCAACACTTCTGCCACTCACTCAGCACTTGCATCCACGCACCACCATGGCACCAACTCAGGACCGCAGCAAGCCCAGCAACTATATCCTCAGTCGCCTACTTATGTTAACAGTTTCACATGTTGTCCACTGCGCTGCAGTTTCAGAAGGGAGCGAAAATGGCTCCCTCACGAGGTTCCAAAAATAAATAGCAGCTTTCCATCCTACTTCTTTCTATAGGTATACCACAACCATACTTGAGACCCTGATCTTCCAGAGGAACCCTTCTTTGAGATAATATCTCAACAACTCTTTGTCCTGCCACCCGTTAGTAGAGGAATAACGTTAAATGTACTTTTGCACTTACCAAATCTTGTGGTGGAACAATATCCCTAATCCAAGTTTTGTACAAATTTCGTGCCTAACTTCTGGCCTCGATTGAGCTGCATGCTGATATGTTTTCTCTGCGAATATCTCTCACACGCGGTGATACTGGCCAGGCTACAGCAGAATACTAGAATTATCTTCTTCCAATGTTACTATTCCGACTCCGCTGATCCATCTCCCGCTTCCTACAACTCGCATTTGACCGTCATACATCTTGTCCAGAACAGGGATTACCGCTCCGCGGTGCTCCATCTTCACTTTCTTTTTTTGTCTAGATAGTTGCTTACGCAAGTCTCACATGGCCATTATACCATTGCCAGGCTCCTATATGCTCCAGCATGTTCAGGATAGCCACTTCAGTCTGTTGGGACATTCCAATTTCAAGCACCTGTAGCAACATTGATCTATCAAACTATTGGTTGCCGCCGGCGGCCGTGATTGCTTCAGGATTGTCCCCTTGAAATACCTAAAGGATTCTTATGTGTACGTCCCTGGGAGCGCCATCCAGATATCTGCTGAGCGGATGAATGGTACGCGCAGCATGGAGAGTTAAGTCCATGATGGAGTCCGTTTCCGCACACAAGGGCCCTGGTGTGGATTGGCTGGACAAAATAATACTCTCGAGGAACACTAGTATTTTGTCTCTGCGGATCTCTTCCGTCTGAGGTGGGGAAGAATTACCATCAGTCTGCGTTTGCCTGGCGGGAGTAATTAGAACAGACTTGACGGACTGGCGCCCTGAGTTTCCTCTGGGCCGAGTCGGTGCGGATGATTCTCGGCGTCCCAAGTGCGGATTTTGTACGAGTCCCATCCCAACCCATGAGTAACACGGATAATGAAGGAGAGGCTGTTCTCCAGACGGGTGATCCCGGACTACCGCGTCGAAACGGCTGCGCGAGCCCTTGGCCGGCCCAACTCCATCCCCGCAGGTAGTGCTGCAATTGCTCGAACTTCTGGAATCGTCGAACTCATCCCTATCCCGACTGCCATTACCACACCGATATTTGCTACCCCGAGGAACCGGCCATAGAGTGCAGAGTCTTTCTGTACCACAAGTCGCGTCTGTTTTGGACTTTCCGGGAACCTACCCTGGGGTGTCAGGCCTGGAGGATCCGTGTTACTGGCTCACCTCCGATCTCCGGATTAAGGAGGGCCGTATCACCACACGCGGCTGTGCCCTAGCCGAGGGTTACCCTGTGAAGATGCCACAGCCTGCGCAATATACCAAGGCTATGTTCCTTCTCAGCCTTCGCGATATTGCCAGGCAGGCCACATACACCCACTGGGAGGTGGCGCTGAACTATCTGCTGGGCGACGTGATGGAGGGCGAGGAGAACCAGCTCTCCGGTTCGAGGATCTCGGAGGGCCGTTCCGCAAGTACGTGGGACTGAATTAGGGTGAGGAGAACGGCAGGCAGAAGGATGATGTCAGGGATTCAGAGATAAGTATCTACTCTACGTCGACATGAAAAGCCAGAATGAGCTGCCGCCTCACAAGGACCGCTTGATTGCGGTCAACACCAAACCACTGACGGCGTCTCCGTGAGTGGGGGATTCCATTTGACCTGCTCCGGCTGGAGCCGTGAGGTGGTCATAGATCGATGGGCGGGACAACTAAACTCACCTTGAATCCGTCTTTCGGTGGTTTGCTCCCAGCTCCGTATGTTGTCTTTGCCTTTTATACTTGAGCTTATTTTTTTCAGTTGTTGGTTTGCTTCTCTTCCGTGGTTATGCTGGATCTGAGAACCATACGTCCAAATTGCCTATAGAGCTTTTCAGAGTCGCCTTCGTGTTGTTGCCTATTCCATTGCTTGCTATGCACCCATCACTCTCTGCTTACACAAGCTCCCATTCCAACCAGCATAGTTCAGGTTGCTTTCTTTGTTTTGCCAGCTTCTATGGACTGGGGATGTAGAATCAATGTGATTCAAGGTCTCGTTCCATTCTTTGTCCATCAGTTTCCTATTCGTCTGGGACACGTTGCCACGAGGAAAGAACATTCAGGAATAATCAAGCTGGCAGGTCTCTCATCCCATGCCATGAATGATCTAGCCCAGGAATCAGCCGACTAAGCTAGCGTTATGGACCTGGATTGTAATGAGACTCATAGTGTAACCAGCCTGGATTACTTTCACTGCTTCGGTCCTGCGTGAGATATCTTTAGCACCCACCGCCATTCCATGCTTCATATCTTCTTTGTTCGTGCAGGTTACAAAAAGCAAGGCGGGATTAATAATGCTCTAAATGCACCTCTAATTATTGCCTTTGATTGCCTTTTTAAGCAATACAAGGTAGAGGTGTGCTCTTGATAAACACGTCCTATATATGTGAGAAAGACATAACGATTGTTCTGCTGCCCGCTATTGCACTTGATAGCAAAGTCTCAACATTCATTATATTGAATGCGATATGGCCGCCAAGTGTGTCTCGCTGCGCTTGAGCAGGGAAATTCCCTGCAACATCTATCCTAAAAATCCACCTTCTGTCATATCCAATACCTAGCTTCTTTACCCTTCCCTAAATCTATACTCATACAAGCACCCCTTGTCCTCTCACACCATCTGTCCGGTCTCCCATAAAGGAATACCTCGCACCGATGCTTTTGGTAGTAGTCACTGAGCAGCTTATTTGATATCCTACGGAATACCGCTCGCTTGCGAGAGATACGGGGTACAGCGCGGTTGAACATGCAATTATCGGGGCCGTCGCCGTCTGCAGTCGTTCCTTGCACCGAGAGACAGAGGTATGAGCGAATAAGAAGTAGCCCAATCTGGTATTGTATCTCCTAAGTTGGCCACCAATGAAGGACATCAACCTCGCCATTTCTCCTCCCATCTGGCTCAAGGCCGGTCAAGTATGCTATTGTCCAGGCACTCCTGGGGCAACTTTGATACTCTGCGGAAAAATTCTTAATGGAAACTGCAAATGGGGCTGTACAGGTCGATTTTGCGCCGGTCAATATTGTAAGTAGTAGGCGCCTACACTGGCCTGGCTATTCTGAGCCGAAAAGTTGACATCTCGCATAACATTGGCTTCCCTATAGCCCACCTGAGCTTATTCTTATTCTGGATATTAACCTGGGTAATTTGCCATTCGTTAAACCTGAGACTTGGCAGCCTTGAAGGCAATCTGTGGCCCTCGGTCAACAGCGAAAAGAGCCACTGGGACGCGAACGACGTGAGAGAACTACTCGAGACTTTGTCAAAACAAGGGGTAAATCAACACTCTCTGCCCTCGTCGAAGGCGCTGTCGGAGCAGTCAACAAGCTACCTTAGAGGGTATTGGGGTCAGTCCAATTGGGATGAATTACTATTGTAACTACTAATTGCAGGACTGGATAATTTGTCGTTTGTGACCTGCATGATGTTTTTCACGTTGCTTAATAATTCTTTCGAATTCTGGGTTTGCCTGATTGGGCATAAAGGAGGCCGCTAATCGTCCAACTGCCATCTTCCTCTGTCTCCTTATCCTGATTTGCACCTTCATCCACATCATCTTGTCCGAGGCTTCCATCCACTGTTGACGTCCGTACAGTACGCGCCGCCATGCGGAGTATCTATCCTAATCCAGCCACTATCCTGTTATGATACCGCCACAATCACCCAGCTAATGCATGTTTACTAGATGCATAAGAATATGTATTCCTGTATTGCATGAATGCTGACACGCACAAAGTCGAATACTAATAGACGATGTAGATGGTACCAGAATACCGCGAGCAAATATGCAGGTTCTGTCAACTCCGAAGACATGTATGTTTAGGTGCTGTCCATTATCCACACCGCAGGGCTTGTCAATTGCTAGTTGTCATCTATGATTCTGTGTTCGATATATCCACGTGATCTGCACCGTTGTCGCGTTTTGCTGGAGCCCCGTGATGCCTAGTCCGACGACATCGACATACAAGAGTAGCCGCTGTGTTGATTGGAACTCTCTTTTGGTCTTGACAGGTTAGTCGGGATGCCACTCTCGTCGCTAATGATCCCTCGCAATACGAGGAATATATGGACTAAAAATATAGAGGTCCGACATGGGCATCTCCACATCAACTCAAAGACTATTCTGTGGGCCATTCGAGGGCCATGAGTGAAGCCGCATTTAAGTTGCTGGTTCCTTGACTAAGTCAGTGCCCAGTAGCCTGAATGTGGATTAGAGCCGTCCTCATGAGACCTCTAGTACTTCGAGATACGTCCCAGCCTCACTTGTGTAGAGTTTCATAGCCAAGCTTGGCGTTGCATAGTCTCAACGTCCAATACGTACACAACTGTCGCGTTCCGGAGGTTCTTCCTTCCGCCAATATCCTGCGTGGGCCACTCTCGTATCCAGTTATCCTTCGTGGGTCGCCCCGCCCACTCTTTCGCTTTCATTCCATGAGGGAATAGAGGAGATTATAACAAAGTTTGGTTGCAGAGGACCCACCGTCGCACTGTTTTCCATACAACAAGAAGAAACAGTCCAGCGCCGAGACTGTGGCGCTGCCAACGCCAATGGGATCCGCCCCGTCGAATTGACTTTCAGAATGTCTCATCCCTGTTCTACATTGTGTCCCCCATCTATTCAGAAACTAATTAACAACCGATTTTAGGTCTGGGATTTTTTTCTTCGGTGTTGGGGATATACACGAAAGACGTGCGCAGGGTGAAACCGAGCACGATGGGCCATGCTATTAGGAACATCTAAAATTCTTCTAACCTGAGGATTATATAGCCCGAAATGAACAAAATATGCTTCACGCTCCAGCCATGCAACAAAGCCCGCCCATAGAACTTGTATATTACTTCAATGCTTCTCGATCCACCTCTGGATCAGACCCGCCACTTCGTCGCTGTTCTTCTCCAGAAAGACCATGTGGCCATTACCATGGATACCGAGCTCTCCTAGCTCCAGATGCTCGACGTTCACGCCCGCCTGTTGCAGGAAGCGGACCGTACACCAGTCGTAGGGTGCATGATAGGAGGACTCGGTAGTCAACACCGCCACGGGCACCTTCTGCAGGTTGGTGAGTTTGCGGGGCGCCGGGTCGTCGGCTTGCAGAACGCAGGTGCGGTTATCCGGCGAATCGCTGGGTAACGTCTTCAACACAAAGTCGGTTTCGGGATTGGAGACCGGAGGAGAGTAGGTGATAGGGATGTCGGACAGGCCATACGCCAGCGCGGTGCGGTTGACGCTGACCCCGCTAAAGGGCGGCCCTGACGGTTCCAGCGACATGATGGCATGCACGAGATGGGGCCGCACATCAGTGAGGATCCAGGGCATGATGCCACCCTGCGAGTGCGAGAACAAGATCACTTTTTTACCGATGAGGTCGAGCAAGGCCGCCCCGGCGCGCTGCACGGAGGTCTGCTGGCCAACTGCCGAGCCGAAGAAGTCGACAGTCGAGGCGTAGTAGGTGTCAAAGATCCGGTCCCCCATGACCCCGGCGCCGGGCCACTGCGTGTGCAGCGCTGCCTGGGGCCATTGCATGTACCGTTTGGGCGCCGTGAACAGCTGCTGCAGATTTTCTGCGCTGTAGGTCTTCATAATGCCATTGTCAGGCAGCCGAGGACTGCGGCCTCGGAAGGTCTGGTCCAGCAGGTAGCATTCATACCCCTGTTCGAGGAAGTACGAGGCCCATCCGCGACCGCCGTCGGGTTTATTGAGCCAGTTCTACAAGCTGGTCAGTGGTCGCTCGCAAGATCGGATACTAGGAATCAGCATACGGTACCGGTCTGCGCCTGGCCATGGATAAACACGACCGGGTGTGGCTTTGATACTCCCCCGGAGGGCGTTAGCTTCTCCACGTACATCTGATCGGAGAATAAATGATCGCCGTCTGCATTTTGCACGTATTGGCCTCCCACGTAGAGGTACTCTCGGTGATAGGTGATCTCTGCGGAAGATGCGAGGGGGGAAGTGACACTCGCTAGGGCGATCAGCCCCGTCAGTATATTTTTGGACCACATTTATTTTATTTTTTGCTGGCTAAGCTTGTAATATTAGGGATGCGAAAGGAATGGACAGGGATCAGAACTGGGACTCAATTCTCGAAAAGTCCCTAAAGCTCGGTCCGACTGTCGTGCCGATGCAACAATGTACACAAAGACGCAGGCAATCGAAGTGTATCTCCACTGGACAGCCGATCGTCATATCTGGACACGAGGGTTCCATGGAACTGGAGCCCACTAACCTAATTGTTAGCGGATGGGGCAAATGTATACTATGTAGAGTCGTCGTAGCGCGAATCCTTCCCAAAAAAAAAAAAAAAAAAAAGGCCTTTTATTATCCCCTCGTCCTTCCTTGCCGCACGGCCGAAATGGTTTCTGTCCGTTTACCACCATGGTGCAAGCGACACTGGCCCTACTCTGGGCCTTTACCTGGGTGACGGTGGCGCTGATCGCGACGCGCCTGCTATTGCGCAAGGTACGCCGCAAGGCCTTCGTTGCCGGGGACTACCTGTCCATGGCGGCCATCCTGTGTGCGCTGATTCGACTGGCGCTGGTGCATGTTATCATACTCTGGGGGACGAATAACATGGCACCGAAGATGCGCTCGGAGTATCCCTTCACGGCGCAGGAGATCTACCAGCGTGAGATCGGCAGCAAGCTTACCCTAGTCAATCGGATCTTCTACAACTCCTAGTATGGATCCCATTCCTCTCTAAAGCACAGGGCAAACAAAACTGACTCGCGGAGTCTCTGGCTGCAAAAGCTCGTCCTGCTCGATACGTACCGACTCTTGATTCGGAACCTTCCTTGGGAGCGTCCGACCTTGCTGGTGTATATGGGGCTCTTTGCAGCCACTTATGTGACCGTCCAGGTGGTGACCTTCACCGAATGTGATCCCTTCAATCACTACTGGCAGGTACTGCCCGATCCCGGTGCGTCGGAGGCTTTCCATTCATCTTCTCCTCCATAAATAACATGTTGCTGATCCAACTCAAATAGGTACCTGCAGTCGGGCCCAGCTGCAGTTAATTGTGGTGGGCGTCTTGAACGTTGTCACCGATGCTATGCTAATTGCACTACCCCTACCGGTTCTGATCATGGTCAAACGCAGTATGATGGAGTAAGTCGATTACAGTCCATCCTGTTCGGGCCTACATAGCATACTGATGGTCTCTCTCTCTGCGTGGCAGAAAACTACAGTTGACTGCGCTGTTTGCCATTGGCTTCTTTATCGTCGCCATCACCATCATCCGCCTCCCACAAAACGCCCAAAATTCCACCAAACAGGTCAACCGCACTACCTGGGCCTCCGTCGAGCTGCTGGCTGCCGCCATCGTGGCAAATGCGCCCGTGCTATACGGCTTCTATCATGGACACCGTGAGGAGTCACGATCCAGAGCAACTGCGACTTCGTCAGGCCCGCACTCGTCGCGGGACCGCGCGCTGGTGTCGCATGATCAACCCTGGGAAATGAACAGGGTCAGCCATTCGCGGCAGCCGTCAATGCTGGGCTCCAAGCTGGCAGCACGACCGGCGCACACCTACACCGAGATCAATGGCGAGTGCGGTGCAAGTGTGAACACACGGAATTCATGGGAGATGACGCGAGAAAATCACGGACGATAATACATAATCATCAAAGTATAGATAATAATGCAACCATGGCCGGGAGCGACTTGTGGTGAGCGGAGTGAGTCTTCGATCAAGGAGTATCCAACAAGCTTTTTTCGCCTCCATACGGCACACAACGACTCAAGGAACCAGTACCATCCTCGTAAAACCTCCTCTTGAGATTCGTAATCCAATATACTTGAATAGAACCCTGGCTTCGTCCTGGATATTGATCAGAGAATAGTCTTGTCACATCCGACCATGGTAGTCTCCGGTCACTTCTTAACTCTACTAAAAGACCCTCCTCTGATAGACATGGCATACCATTCCTAGAGTTCTGTTGTGGTACATCGCTGCCATCCGGAGCTTTTGCGGCTTTATAGGGCTGACTCCACGAGGGGGCATTCCACACGTATCTGCCTTCGGCATCCCATGTCATGGGGGATGGTACTTTCAGGGTTAGAAATATATTGTGGTAGTGCCTCTTGAAGTAGCCATGAAAGAAACTGTAAACGGTTATCAGTAGGTAGAGATAAAAGGTAACAGCAAAGGGTGGTATAAAAACCTTTACTTAGCTAAGGCATAGCTGCAAGTCGAGGCTAATTACTGCCATCTCCGTGGTTGCGTTTCCTTTGTACTTCAGGGCAAATCACTTTGGTTCCATAACATTATTCGTGAGGCCCAGTTGTTAACTGTATCCGTAACAACGAGAAGGCTTGAGTATGTAGAGCGAGCCAATCTGGCTAATTAGTCCTTCGCGGGAACCCAAGTCAATATGATAAGGTGTGATTTATGGTATAAAAGGGACTCGGGATATAGACAAGCTGCCATTTAGCAAACAGATCCAGCGCTGTCGCTTAAATATAAAATTTAGGGCGTCTTGCTGGCTTCCAAGGGATCCTTATAACTACAAAAGGATTGGATCAATAGGAATGCTGTTTGGTTTGTCTGAAAATATAAAGAACTCTTCCAGGCTATTATACTATTTAAAGGCAAAGTATTCTCTACAGTACCCTGGATGGAAGACGGCGAAGTAATAGAGCCATCCTCGACATCCCGGAGATTACCAAAGAATCTGGGCATGGAACTTGCGAACTGTTATGTACTTGCGCTCGTGTAGGGGAGGTGGAGTTATCAACACACGATTTGCCAGACATTAACGCCGATTTCTCTTAGCGTGGCCGGAGCTCAGTGGTTTGCTTGGTCCAGCATTGCTATACACACACCTTAGCTGGTGGCTGTGTAGGGAGAGAGTACTACTGTTGTTTGCCTCGTTCGAGGGCTTTTAAAACATGTTCATGATAGAGACAAGGGTTGGGTATTAGGGGGATTCAAGGAACTGCGTGAGAGGAATGAATCGATGCAGGGGCTCCATGGTTTAAAGGTGTTAATGTGAAAAGTGGCGGCACTTATTCTGCTGAAGACAGCAAGTAACCGGTGAGGGAGAATGAAATAGGGATGTTATGTATTTTGTAGATATGAGGTAAATTTCTGTAATGGTACCAATACTAGATATTTCATCAGCATCCTTATACCGTTATCCATACTCTAATCTCCCAACTAAAAAAACACTATATAAAAATTTAGAGATTAGTGAACACAGCAGTTATCCAAGCTAACCGTCTCTGCTGTTTTTACTTTATCCAGGAAGGCTGGAAGCTAGAAAAAACAGGTCTAGTTTCCATTTAACTTACTTACACCATATACTTATATCCTTTCCTCTCGTCTCGCTGCCCTTGCTGATGTGTCCCTCCTAAAAATTAAATATATATATATATATATATATAGTGTAACGCTAGCAAATTATCTTAATAAAATACACACATGATTGTACTAAGATTGGATATAAATTAGGCTTGGTGCAATTTAACTGACTCTGCCTTAACATATCTATTTACGCGCTGTAAAACGTGGATCTTGACTTCCTATGCCTGTAGAATCCATCGCAAATTCACCTGGGCGGGATCGTGGACCTGGAGGGTCAACTTGGGATTAGAATCGTTCATTATGGCCTTCAGCCTCTTGCAGGAATCCTCTATGCTGCCCGACCCGGCTGTCATAGGCTCACATCGCGATAATCGAAAGAGCGTTGCGATTGTTGATACAAACTCTACTTGGGACATCTTCATTCCAGGGCAAACTCTTGGGCCACCAGACCATGGCAGGAATGCCCCTTTCATAGGGGTGATCATCTGACCGTTGGCATCGATCCATCTCGAGGGATTAAATTCCAGAAAATCAGGGCCCCATATGTCGACATCAGCATGCAGACTTTGGGATGAGACAAACACATCCATGGGTGGAAGTAGCAGATGGGTTCTGGTATCGTCTGCAAGTTGCTGAGGCCCGGCGACGGATCGTGTAGCGTGCGCTACAGGGGTGAAAAGACGGAGGGTTTCAAACTATAATCTAGTGTCAACGAATGAAACAAACGAGCAGGCACTCATCTTACCATTAGAGCCAGTGTGCGCGTGCACTTTGGGAAACTCTCCTCGTACTGCCAGGTGGAGGCATCAGAATCAAGGCCCAGAAGTTCTTCGCGCAACCAATCCTGCCATTTAGGGTATGCCGCCAACAGCATAACAGCGTAGCCCATCGTATTTGCAGTGGTGTCAAACCCTGCAGCGCTGAACACAAAAAGATTCCCACTGATCTCATCATCCGTCAAAGAAAGCCCAGATGACCCCGCGCTCTTTCTGTCGTCGGAGAACCGCACAAGCATACTGAGCAAGTTACTGTGAGTCTCAGACCCTTCCTTGGCTGCTTTTCGCTCTTCATCCAGTACCTGCTTTGTATATTCTGGCATTTTCTCTTTACACTTCCCAAGAAGTTGCCAACAGGCAGGCATGAACCACATCTTCATCAGCTTGGTCGGCACAATGGCAGCCTCCAAGAACATATCTGCCACCAATCCAATTGTGTTGAAGTAGGCGCCTCTTCCACTTCCATCTTTCCAGCCCTGGGCAAGCTCTTGAACGTCAGGACGCCAGGGGGCATGTTGTCCGTAGCCAGCAGCGCCGATAACGTTGATGGCCAGACATCGAAGGCCACTTAATGTTTGATTACCGGGATGCTTGAGCAGATAGTCTATCATGACTTGTGCCTGCTGACAACTTTCGTTCCATACTGTTTCGCTGATACGTTCATTCAGGTTGGGAGCAACGATTCTTCGCTGACGTTGCCTATGACGCTTACTCAGTTACAGTATAGGCTTGAATGGGCTGCAATATACGAGTTACCTACCAGTCATCACCATTGGACTGCTTTCGATTAGCACGATAGCTATGCTACATTCTTGTCTCGATGGAATAGCTCACCTGAAGAACGTTAGATCCAAAAATTCCAACCACTCGCGCTACCACAGCAGGCTGCACGAAATCTTTTCTTCTCTGCAATATCGTAGTCCCAAGGGCAGGCTCAGCCACCCTATGCCGGCGAACCCAAATGAGCAAAATTACCGCTATACTTGATAATAAGGACATGTGAAAGAGAACGACATACCATAATGAGCACTCATCAAGAGTAACCAGTACGAATGTCTTTCCTAGACGACGATGGATTTCCCCTTTCTTGCGGAATTCCCACCCGTGCGTCGCCAAGTTAATCCGCTCGTAAATCCATCCTGGAAGATGCGTTCTCAAATGCGGTTGCAGGAGAGGCGCCAGCACTATCCACGCCGGGTTTTTTGAGGGAACTGGAGAAATATAGACGGGAAACCCGGTAAGGCGACCGTGGATGTAATGCCTGAGAAATGAAATTAATTTTAAAAGAAAATAGGGGATTACTATCGCACCCGCCAGGTGCGATAACTTCAGTGCCATTGTGGAGGGAGTTCCAGTTGCAAATTTTTTTAAGCTTGAAAGTGAGCACAACCAGAGACAAATTCTAATGCTCATATAAATATTTTTAAGCACCTGGTCTTTACAATACAACGAAATAGCTAGGCAGCATTCTCGCTTACTACACTAACATGATTAGTTAGCCTATTATATAGGTTCTCCGGGTTCAGCCCCTGACAGCTAATATAATTTGGTGCCAGCCCTTAATAATAGTTTGGGGGAGGCGCAGCGATGAGCGCTCCGTGGACGTAAATTGTTGTCAGAATTATTGGTGTAATTCTATGTAGGCTTGAATATTCTCTGAGTTCGTTGTGATGTGTGTTGACATTACCCCTCTTTTTCTGGAGACACGGCTGATATAGCTACGTCACTTTATTACTTCACATAATGTCCCACTATGGACTAGCTTTATTCTGACAATTGTCCACACCCATTTTACCGTCGAATCCGATTTCAGCTCATTTTTATGGTTGAACTCGTCCAGAGCTTGACCAATCTGCTTGGGTAAGCTGGACTATCGGGGCTTGTCGGTGACGTGATGTTGTACACGAGGCTAGGACAGCACTGTGCGAACCGGGCAGTGCTGTAGTACTTAGGCGGGTTCTGGGGGATTCTCCGGTCGTTCTAAGAAGGGCCCCGGGACCTTTTGCTCGTAGGGCTACCGGTACACTAGACATTGACGCGCTTGCAGGAAATCAGCAAAAATAGGAGTGGGGATGCTGGCTTTGTTGGTTTGACATCAGCACCCCTGGAACGGCTTGCGAAGGCTGTCCGTGCCATAGTTGGGCCGGGCACGGAATAATGTTGAATGGCCGTTCCGTGGTGCTGTCAGTTCACACCGACAGTAACTATATAATTTCAAGGAAAACGCTGCTGCAGTTCCAATTTATCACAACATCCTTTATTCATTTATTTTTTTCTTTTCTTTTTCAAGACCGTTACAGATCTTCCTGCGTACTTTCTGCACAACATGGCACCCATCCACTTCGGCTGCCTGCTATTCGACTATCAAGCAATTGATGTCATAGGGCCATGCGACTTGCTTAACTCTGCCACCAAACATCTCATGACTGCAATGAATTTCTTTAGTCCAGTCGACGAGGAAACCATTGCACGAGCACCCGAGTTCGTGTTTCACCATGTCGGGGAAACCCTGGAGCCGGTCGCTCTACTTACAAGTGCTGTAACGCTTATGCCGACCACCACGGTCGATGACTGTCCAGAGCTGGACTGTCTCTTGGTTGGCGGGCCCAACCCGGCCAAGTTTAAAGTACCGCTGAAGTATATCGAGTTCATTCGCCGTCATGTTGCTGCCGGAAAACTACTTTTCGCAACCTGCACTGGGGCCGCAGTCGTTGCGGCCACTGGAGTTCTGGATGGGAAAATGGCTACAGTCAATAACCTAGAGTATGATTGGGTCACAAAACAGTATCCCAAAGTCAAATGGACAAAGGATAAGAAGTGGATTGTTGCTGGAAATATCTGGACAGGTAGTGGGGCGGTTGCTGGAATGGATATGTTCGCCCACTGGCTGGAAGAGAATTTTGGTTTGGACGTTCTCATACAAGCATCAAGGGCGCTGGACTATGAACCCCGTGACAGTGATGGACTATTCAATGTGCTGCCACAACGGTATGACTCGACAGGGAAGGAAATCTCCACGCACGTATTTCCATAATTGTGGCGTGGGTCAATATTTGAGCCAGGTCGAGTTCTTGTTGAGAGACGAATCTTAAATTTATACATGAGCTTAATGCCCAGGTCCACGAGCGAGAGCTTGAGGCCTGGAGGATATATGTACAGCCCTGGTGTCAGGCCTAGGCCGAACCCTGCCTGAGGCACAAGGACGGCTTTATTCACCATTGATCCCACAAAGTAGAGATTTCCCACAGTTCCTGTACGATAGAATTCTTCGTTTCTTCCTTCCTTCTCTACGTGTGATGTTTTGTTGGTTGCCACCTTAGATGCAATCATACATTTTACCAAGGTGTACAGGATCGTCACACCTGGAGTTTGTATCATGTACTAGGTATGTCATAGAGAGCATTATTTATTAAGAGATCACTCCAGAGCATGTCGTTTTCGATGCCCTCAATTTCCACGGCGATAGAGCTTAGTTGTGCACAATGGTCAGTAGAGCTAATGGGCCCCGGAGCAATGGAAGGGTTCCTGTTCAAGTTCTGGAATCCAGGGCAGCGGGACTGCCCATTTTCTCGACCAGAGAAGGCTTTGCCACCTGGTTCATCAAAATTTTGATGTGCACGGATACCATCGCGAACCGGAGCAGGATGACCCTTTGCTGACGTGTACGAAGCTTTTACAGATTCCATAATTTTAGGAAACATTGCAAAGAGGCAACTACTTTGCGACAGCCCGTCTGGTTGAATGGACTTCAGGCGAGAAGTCAGCAAAGTGAGATATACTTCGAGGTCCACGGTTACTTGAGCGATATCTGTGTTCCATTCAGGCACTTCTGAGAGTCCAACAGATAGCCTGTATAGCACAAATAGTGCCAAAATAACCTGGTACCAAATTGCAATTGGCAAGACGCTGTACTCTTTGGTGGGAATTGCAAGGAAATTATCCAGATATTCTTTGGTAGAACTGACACATTTCACCAAGTTATCAATGACCATCGGAGGCGCAGATGGCATTTCTGAATCCTTTGAACCTCTCGAAAACAGTGGTCTTCTCTGACCGTATTGATAGACCAGACCCATTTCGTGAATTCTGATCTTGACAGCATGGTAACCATCTATTAGAAGGGCTAAAAATAGTCAGCTAACCAGGAGTTTCAAAGGCATGAAACACTTATACCAGAACGTTGAAGGCTTATCGTTAGACCAGACCACCATTCTTCCAAACGTGTGATCAATCTATCAGTATGTGTGTGCATCAAAGGCCGATGAAGTTGAAAACTGTCTAATTGATAGGTTTTGTAGACTTCCTCGGAAAAGCTCTGAAGCTTGATCAACGGGTATATTAATTGGTCAGTTTCAAATTCCCGCTCTTGTTGCAGCATCAAAGCGCATTGCAGCATGCACTCAGAGAACTGAAAATTGTTCGGCTTTCCCGTGGCTAGTGAAATACTTGTTCAAGACATCAGCACGTTGCTGCTCCATAAGAACGACACGTATCGCCTTACATGGTAGAAAGATAGTAGCAGCCTAAATATGTACGGCATGCTTCTCGGCTGCAAAGTTCACTCTGTCCTGGTTGTTGGGAGCTCGAAGGGGAACCTTGCAAATGGGTGCCAGTTCGTTGGTCGAGGACATCAGCAGTCCTTTGATCTAAACGAAGCTCAATAGCCATACTGATCGCAATTTGCAAATATCGATAGGTTTGCTGGCTTCGTGGGATTAAGTGGAAATGAAACCTTAGATTGGTCAGGTCCGATATTAAACAGAGGCAATGCGTTGGGGGCATTAAAGTATACCAGGCAAGGTGTACTAGTAATCCTTGGAGTAGATCAATATCTTTCTCACCAGCTATGACGACCCGATGACTAATGATTTCTTTTATTTTCCCAATTAGGGCATTTTGTAAGTGAGGATATTTGGACGAGGAGCTTGCGACAACTGCAAGCAATAGAAACGGCCTATCCTCGGCCATTGAAGTGGCTCTCATACCCTCTGGGAGCAGCACAAACGGGAAATAAGATTTTATTCCGCGGAAGTTGTCAAGATGATGCTGTAGCACGGATGAACTAAGCCCCAGATCAGTGATCCACGCGTTTTCCACACTATCCGAAAGCTCCCATGCCATCTCGGTAGCATTGAGGTTTTTGCTGGGCCTAAAAGTTTCGATAAAATTATCTGTCAAGCGTTCCTGACCTATTCCTTCTGTTGTTAGGTGAACTTGGCTTTGGTTTTCAACATATTCTGCAATTGCTGAGGGCTTAGAGCTTGGGGTGATAGAATTTGCGACGTTAGCAGGTGCGTCAAGTCGACCGAGGATATAAGTAAGTTTAGACTCGAGATCGACCAGTCGCCTTTTATTCTTACTATTAGTGACGCTAAGATCCCCGTAGATGATAAGAACTCACGGTGTCTTCCGTTGCGGGGGTCGAGGAGGCCGTTTCGACTCCGGAACTATGCATTGAGACTGAGATCTTGCGCATCTATTCATACGGAGTGTCAGTTACAAATTCGCACGTTGATCTTCTCGACAAGATGTCAAGTTCATAATCTGCACCACAGTACTGTTCATCTCCAATGATCGGTATAGGAAGATGCTAGCGACCGACACACCGACTTACTTGGTACAAGGCTGTCCTTCCTCAAGTCGAATACATTTCACTTTCAGAACACGGCATTTTTCGCATGCAAGCGACATTCGTTTCGACTGGCGCTGCTTGGCAGCGTGGACATCACTATTCATCGATGCTAAATCGCTCTCCATGGTTTGTCTAGACATGTGGGAATGTGAATCCGTGAGGCTGAGGGAGATTATATCTTACTACACGTGAGATGTTTCAGCTGACAAATACGTCGGGGGATAAGTTAGGTGGCGAATTGCTTCAAGATAAAGCCTTGCCAGTGAAAATCTTCTATAAGAATTTAGAGTCGTGACTATATTTAGAATCTGATTCTGGTATCTTTTGTCAAGGACTCCGAGTCGTAGCTGCTCTAACCCCCTGTAGATAGCACAGCTTCAACCTGGTGTCGCCCCTTGTCTAGTTCTTCAAGCGATGTCCTTCGTTAAAATGGAATCTATTTAATCATCAGACCCACGCCGTGACATCTTTATTAATCTGTGGGTCTTTATTTTAGTCTTATTATTTTTATAACCAATATAAAAGCGCAGTAGTCTAATCTGAATACTGAATTTTAAGCCGTATTTTATATTTACTGTTGGAAATCAGGATGCCTAAGGCACATTTGTATATCCTAGTCCCGCAGCGATGTGATATATCACATTCAGGGGCTAAGGGACACGTAGACATGAGGAAGCGTTTGTCTACGCTCTCTCTCGTAGATAGAGAAAATATACTCACCAAGCGATACTAGATAGCACGATAGTTTTAATATACTATCCAGTCACCGCTATCCAAGCACCTCACAACATAGCTTCTTCCCCCGAGATCTCAACATTTACTACCCATATATTTTATCAGTCTATTATTTATTATTGTCAGAATAAGCTAGTCTAGATCGGGACGTCATGTGAAATATATATACTCAATATCTCTCATAGAGGGTTTGGGCAGAACATCCTTCTGAATACAATCAATTCAGAACCCCCACAAAATCGATCGAACAATTGTGCGTGTCTATCGGCACGTTCATCTAATAATAAGGAGCCATTTAACTATAAATTGGCTCCAGTCAATCATCTGACTTGGCCGCCATTCTTATTGGCTACCACTTCACCTCAGTGGCTTTATTCCCGGCCTTTCCCCACAGAGCGTATCGTCATCTGCCAAGACTATAAATGCAAGAAAACTTCCTCAATAAAATTCGATCTCGACTGTCAAATTTCCTTCAGTTACCATCACAGCTAGCATCATTAGAGCGTGTTCATCCTTATCCGGTCGCATGAAAAAAAACCATTCCAAAACAGGGGATTCCATCCTATTTCCCTAGGCGATACCTTCAATTCTTGTCAAGATAATATCTTGACAAAACTTGGATTCCACAGGTTGCCAAGCCAGGAATTGAAGTCAGCTGTCAATCGCAGTCATGCACTAACCTAACTGATAATGTATGTATCAAAGAGATTTAGCGCTCAGTGGGATTCGACAGGATACGGATATAGAACATCACTACACACCAAACGGTTGCCTTAAAAGATAAGAATAGCTGGTGCAGTTCAGATATAAAAGGGGTATATTGTATATTGAACGCTAGCGTAGTGTTATCATAGGAGGGATGCAACTTCGGACGCTCTTCTCAGCCATAGTCTACCCGGTCGATTGTCTTTCAATATATCATTCTTTGCTTTCTGGACGCCTCTTCTACACCCACTGCAACTAAGTTAATCACTATTACCTCCCCGGCATTGCTCAGCAGGGGCCTTCCCTGTTAACTCCTTCACGGACCTCATCTCCTTCTCGACCCCAATGCGTTGCTGCGCTACGTCACACAGCTCAAGGTTCCCACACTCACACTCCCCTTTCCTGAGCCATCGGTATGTGATGCTCCACCGGTCGGCCCGTGCCCTCACCGTTCCATCCACCAAGGTATCAGTCTTTCGCTTCCTGATGCCATGAGTCCAATGCAGTCTCGCGTCACCCGTCATCTGCATCATACTCCGCGGGGTTAAATCAACGTCGACCTGCTGGCCGCTCTTGCCCTTGCGGAACTGCATAACGACCGGGGCACCCAAAGACAGGGCGTACAGCTGATCATAGGCCTTGTGCGTATCTACATGCGGTGGGATCCCAGAACCCGGAGGATAGTGTTGTAGACAGACCTGGTCCGGTGGTCGTGCCTCAGTGGTTGGAATGAGTGGCTGGAGCCAGTCTGGGAACTCCTTGTACGGGATATCGGGGTCGATTCCAAATGTTTTATAGTCGAAGGTGTAGCCGTAGTGAAGGGACAGTCGGCCAGCGCGAGCGGGCCATTCTAGCTCGTTGAGAAAGATGGAGATGAGCCGTTGCTCGTGGTCTGGGTCGACAAAGTCATCTTGCCAGAGGATACCCCGTGGCTCAATGGGTAGCTCCTTGAATTCCCCCACCATGCCCTGTCGCGGATGATGCGGGTGGATGAAAGGTTGAATAATCGAACGCAGAAAATTTTGTTGCACGTGACTGTGGTCACATGGGACCCAACCGGCCATCGGTACTACAAAGTGAACCAGCCATGATATACGTGCGACACAACAACATGCATTCTCGGAGCGAGGCAGCTATACCTGGTGCAAGGTAGACTTTGCCCCCAAGTACATTAGGGGGTACTACTAAAAGAGATTGGATGGTTATGAGTAGGTTTTCTTTTACTCTCCCTTTCTTACGATGTCCGTTTGTTCATCTTCGGGGGCTGACGTTATCCTAGATGTGACACTTTTGGACGACATTTCGCACAGTTTGTTAGATGACTAAGGGATTATTGACTAGTAATCCTTTATAAGTTCAAATAATCAAGAGCTGTCTCTCTTTTGCACTTTCCTAGGATTAGTAAGGTCTAGGTTGAATTTGGAACTAATGCGGTAGAGCAGATTTTGTACTAGAGTTTGAGTAATTATTAAAAGTGCCATCCGAATTCTTCCTTCAAATATTAGAGTTAGTTTAGTCCGAATCTTCTTTATCCACCAGATCAGAGTGTGTTAACTGGAAGAATTTCCTGCCCGACTCACTGTCCAACAGATATTTCTCCCAGGGATCACCTTGTCAAATACCGGTCCAGGAGGACCATCCTCCCAACTAAGCATAATCTTAATTATCCAAAAACTCCTTTTCAACTTCGACACACCCCTGAACAGTAACATTCTGCTTTCCGTCCTGATAAATGACCACTAACTGGTGCGCCTCGAATGCTTCCTTGTCCAAAATAAAAATCCAGATTATAGAGATAGAGTGCAAAAATAATATCACAACTAGATGTCCTTGAGTAATAAATTGGGGTCCTGCTTTCACTATATTAAGCTACAGCGTGCGGAATTGGAATTTACAATGTCACACCCACAGTTACAGACAATCACTCCGTCTCCGACCTGGAATTTCTGGTTAGATGGAGGCTGGCAAGCATACACCTGACTCACTTTGATAGGACCCCGCGCCCCTCCCCCTGCTCCCAGCCCCCACAAATACTACGTATTAGCGGTACACTTCAGCAGAGAAGTGATTGCCGCCGTGGGGAACGCGTGATATAGGCTGATGTGCAGTTAAGTCAGGCACATACGACCACAGGGTGTGGAAAACAGGGCTTCCCGTCCGCTCAGCCGTACTTAAGCCAGATGAATCCGCACGGTCAATCCTCGAAGAGCCCTTGGCTCCAATATAATTGTGAAACGAGTCTTGGACTGGGTGCTGGTGATATGGGTGCTCCCTCTATAACAAGTAGCACCAGGAGCACCAGGTGGTGCTGCTGCTAACACCGGAAAGGAAAGTGAGGAGCACCAGGGGGTGTTGCGGGACAGGTAGGAAAGTAGAGATCCGAAGTTAGGCTGATTGTCGTAAATATAATAATAAATAGGTCGAGAGCCCTTGAGTCCATTCAGTCTGTGGTTGTATTTTCTGAATTCGTCGGTCTGTTCAACAGCCTCCTGGAGGGACTGGAGTTATTCTTCCCCTCAATCACCACGTGATATCACATGACCATGATAGCCGAAGAACGCCGCCTTCAACTTGTCGAGGAACAACGTCGCCTTGCTGCTTCTCGTGGTTTTACTATTGATTACCAGCAAGTGCAAGAAAGCCAGGAAAATGTTATTTGTCACAAAGAGCTTGCACCTACTACCCACGAGAAATATGACCGGGCAGTAGAAAACTGGACACTGTAAGTACACTCAGAGAGCTGTCTATTCCCTTTCTCACCGATTATAGCTGGAGACTCTCACGGAATGAGTCGAGGGAAAAGAACTTTTCCAAGGACGAGCCAGACCCTTCACCTCAAATCCTAAAATCGTTTGCCGAATACTATATTGCTACTCGCAGAAAACTTCCGTCCCGGAAGTCAGCATGCCATAATCTGACCAGCTTTACTTCACGTTGGGAACGCGAAACATCGCGAACCTTGCCTCTTGACGTAAAAAAGGACGTCTTGAATGTATTGTCCTATGCCTCTTGGACATAAGCCTAGCGCTGACTCGAATTTTAGTATATACGGAACGTACTCACAGCGAAATATGGGCTCCCTACCAAACCGAGGGAACGAGCCTTAGTAACGGCCCAGGACATTGAGTATCTGCTTCGCCACCTGTTTGAGAAAGACAACCATGACTATATACACGAACGAGCCAGAGTCCAGACAGGATCTTCACTCTCCCTCTTTGCCGGCTCGGGAGCCCGGGCAGGTGCTATCGTTGAGTCAAGTTCCTATCGAAACTCAAATGAGTGCCTCTATTACAGGGTAAGTTTCTACCCGGCGACGTGTGAAAAGTGTGGCTGACCGTACAATTTAGCACCTGACTTTTAATTTGAAATGGAGTAAGAATGGGCTCATTAAACGGTGGGTGACCATTGATCCCGAATTCTTAAAAGGATGGCGTTACCGAGACGATACCACGTTGTAAGTTATAGAAGAGTCCTATTATTTTTCTCGATAGCTTACCCGGCCGAACCTAGGCCCAAAAATTGGTTCCGAGAACATCCTGTGCTGGGAATGAATTTTGTATTCTGGGTAATTGTTCATGGTATTGCAGATGGCGCATTTAAGGGAATCTCGTCAGTCGACGATCTCTTGGGAAAGCGACCGCCTGTGGGAAGAGAGTCGTGGACCCTGCAATGGTCTGAATCGGCAAGAGATCTTCCATTCTTCCGCATGGTCTCTCCCAAAGGGCCTAAAGCAGACAAAGCGTTGACGTTTTCGTCCCTACATCATAACTACACCGAGCTGGCTGAGCGAGACGGATTCAAAGATGTGCTACGAGTCCACGGTATTAGGGGCAATGTTGCTAACAAAATTGACCGTATGATCTAATCAAGGAATGCTTTTTCCTAATGCTAACTTTTGTGTCCAGCCAAGGCATCCGAGGCTACACGAGGCCAGGCGCTTGACCATCAAAACCATGACACTTATCTTAAGTACCAGTCGGCACTGAAGTCTCTGGACGTACAAGCTTTGTTCTACGATCTGGACCCGGATTATGAGTGTCGCGACATGGAACAGAGTATGGCCCATCATCGAGATCCAAACGTTCCACAACACCTTAACGCCGCCGCCCTTGCTGAGTTTGAGCGTGATGAAGAGGTTGTATCTCTGAATGAGAGAATCGCAGAACTTACCAAACAAATTGCGGGACATCCCGAGTTGCATAAAACCCTTGTCGTCGAAAGAAACAGACTCTACAGTAAGAAAGCAAAGAAGCTTGAGACTAAACGGTCGGAGTTCATTGCACAATGGTGGGATGCTTCTTATGATGAGTATATTGCCGGAAACGACTTCACAGAGCGCGATACGACATGTTTGTTTGATATATATAAGAAATATATGCCAGAAAGATCCCGCCTTAGTGACAACCTCTTCAAAGAGGTGCCCCTTGATAGTGATAAGGGAAGGCAATGCTTACACGACATGGTCGCATTATGCACGTCAACTGAGAGGGTAGCATATTATCCTGGACTGACACCTACAGAAGGGCGATGTCCAGTTTGCCAGAGACAAATGGAGAGGTTTGGCTCCTACTTCTACGGCTAAAACCTTTGGCGCTAATTTTACATAGCTTTGCTCTACAAGACCGTGCGAAACATCTTCTGCAATGTCGAAGGAAATCCTTAAATGCTGCTCCCTATCAGCAAAGCTACCGAAATGGCAAGAGAGCTCATCGCCGCATTCGACGCACCTTTGTTCAATTTTGTTATATTTGTGCCGAGCTATTTCACAGCGAAGAAGAGTGGAACAATCACTGTCATTACCATTTACAGAACTTGCAGCCGCGATGCGGGATCCTGACATTTCGATACACATTGGTAGCCGCCGGGCTTTGCCCGTTTTGCTTAGGTGATGAGAGCAAGGGTCCGGCTGAAAGATTCAAGCAGTGGCTGGCCAAAGCGACGCTTTTAAACCACATTGATGACCATATGAGGTCGCATCAATCGGGAAAAACAATCCAGTGCCCACATCCGTTGTGTCAGACAAAGGAGTATGACGGAATAACAGGCCTTCGGCGGCACTTTTTCGATGTGCACTCTCTTACAGAACCTCGTTCGAACTGCGTTACTCGAAAACGACGCTGGCCATTAGAGGAGGAATCCTGCAATGGTGTAGCGTTAGAAAATATGGATCAAAAGAGACCCTGTAAAGCACATATTAGTGACAGTGTGTGCAATCTCGGTTGCTGAGATAAAATACATGCGAGGATCGGTTCAAAACAATCGAGGTCACGAGTATAGGATTGCTTTCGTACAGAAAGTGAAATTATCTCGGGCCATTGATGAGGGAACCGCGTTTTATACAAAATGCCAGCGGAAGTACAATGCCGGATATGGAGTACCCCATCGTTCCAACGGCTTCATGCTTATGGACATAATGGCAACCTCACCACTGAAAAGTATGCGAAATGGGAGGAACGATTGTCCAAGTTGAGGCGCTTGACAGAAGAATGGGATTCCCGGGGGAATTGCCAAGCAGTTACTGGACTAGCATGGGTTGCTATATAGGTTGTAAATGGGATTCGAAATATTATGAAAGAAATATCGCGTTGATAGTAGGCATGGTATCCCTGCTCTCTAGATAGCCGTACCAGCTATACCCAACATTCGAGAGGGTGATATTTTTTTGTATCTTTTCCTGGAGCTAGTCAAAAATTGTCAGCTTCTGGTGATGGGGCGATATAATTTGATGGACTCTGTTCCGACGCCGCAGGGCCGGAGCCTGAGGCCAGTGGCAAATCTACATGGGTGACTAATGTTGAAACGTCGAGTTGTCCCTCTGCTCCGGACACGAGCCATTTGTATCTCACCAACAGCATTTGAGGAAAAGAAAACGAAGTTTTCTAACTTAATGTGGTCCCGGCTCCCTCATAGTACTCATATTATATGATCCGTCACCCTAAACTGGGAGAGGTCGACGACCTTCCAACCATGATCGACCTTCCAACCCAACCATGGTTGGAAGGTCATCGCTTCATCCATCCATATGGCTGGCCCCCCTTTACGCTGTTCCCCCCGGTCGGCATTTACTGGAGGTGTAAACGTCATAGAAAACTATACCTGTCCTTGGCAATACTGTAATCGAGACACCTGTCGCCACAATACCACTTTCTCAAATTCAAAAGGCAACGATCTCATTATCAAGTCGGCCCATAAAACGAATCAGATTTATTATAACCTTATCTTCATTCATATTTAAGCTTAGTCGTAGCTCTAGGCCATAATCAGCCGTCAATGCTGGGACAACGAAGCTTTCTAGGTCGGTTGCCACCTGAGGTTACTAGTTTATTGTTCATACAATTTCTGCTTGTTCAAGGTCTTATTTTATCAAAAGCGTAGGTGCACAACTACAAGTGTAGTAATGGAATACTATTATTACAGTGCGGCCAAGAAGGCAAAAGAGAAAATAAAGTAAAAATAAAAAATCTCAAAACAACAGCCATGGTAGAAGTTTAATTTAAAGAAATAGGAACCTTGGATACTAGTGCCAGCTATATAATATTGTCCATATTTTGGTAGTGTGGACATTTAAAGACTGTCGTCGGCCCTAAGAATCTGACTTACCGGTCTTCATGCTCTTCAAGTTTACCGTCTATGGGATGTATAGAAAAATTGATTAATGTGTAGTTAGCATACCACACAGCTACTGGAATGGCTGGACCTGCGACTCCTTTTCAGGTGGAGGTTTGGATAGAGTACGGAATCGGTGTTCTCATCCTGCTCCTCAGAATTTTCGCCCGATTGATGACAACCAGATTTGGGATATGGGATGGCGATGATTATTTCACTATTCTTGTGCTTCTATTTTGGACTGTAAGTACCCACAGACACTATAACTCTCACTAATCTAACTAGTTAACAGGCACAGTTAGTTATGTTGGAGCTTATTGGTATAATAGATCACCTATAATATCTGACAGATTAAGTGACTAATTTTCAAAATCAGGTCGCTATGGATCTAATATTGGGTGGTCTGCTGACCAACGCGCATTATTTAGTGATACTGAGATCTACCGTCTTCAGATAGGGTCGAAGTGCTTACTTGCTGGCTGGTGCTTCTATGTTACAATGATCTGGTGCCTGAAGGCATGCATGCTGTTTTTGTACCATCGCATTACGTCTGTATCCTATTGTTGCCATAAATGCCACTATTCTTCTTCTGCTAACTATTTAAAGTCAAGGACTTATCCAGATAAAACTTGTTAAGTGCAGTGCAATTTTGTGTGCTTGCACATATATATCTGTAATTATAACAATATTCGTGCACTGCCGGCCTTTTTACAAACACTGGCAGATCTATCCAGACCCGGGTGGTACGTATATTTTTAAAGTTTATCAATGCATACCTAGGTTGCCATGCTGAAGCTATCTAGTTGAATGCACAACTGATTTCACGAATTATATTATTGTTGCAGCGACGAATGTAGTGTACATCTTCCCTTATCTATATTTCCTGTTAAAATATACTAAAACTCGCAGGACTGATGTAATCCTTGTCTACATTCCTATTCCTTTAATAGCCCAACTTAAAGTTAGTCTGTTACGGTATGTCTATATATACAATTCAATCCAAGAAATATTTGGAGAATATTTGCTTATATACTATTTTCTATCATTACTTAGAAAACTGGCAGTTGCTGCCTTGCTTTGCTCCGGAATTTTCATTATAAGTGCTGCCCTAATGCGCTGTATAATGTCATTGAAGAATCTGAACAGCATCAACGAGAGCACAGTTTGGGCAAACCGGGAGGGTGTCAGTTAACAATTTCGCATAATATAGACTTGCAGTTACTAACATGGCTCCTAATTAGGTTGTTGCTATTTTAGCTATTAATGCTCCGTGCATCAAGCCTATCTTTAATATTTCTACCTGGAGAAGACAGCTAAGGAAGGATACTGAACTCGGTCAGAAAATCCACGTGAACACTGCATTTGAGATCATCGAGGTTGAAGATGTAAAAGAAATACCGAGACTAGTCGAGCAGATCCATCCCACCTCCTAGCGGTACTATGTCACCAGTATCCATCAGGCTTCGACGGCCCCCAGTTTCTAGAACCTATGAGGAAATCAAAAGCTAAAAAGCAGTACCAGTGGATATACCTGAAATATAGCATCATCACAGTGAAGCAAGTGCACTAGCACACAGTATACAAGGCGTCCGTTACCTGATTAATTATCTTAAACGGAAAATATTGGATGTTATGCTTCCTTTTACCAGGAGGAGTAGCTTCATACGGGATAGACAGAGCACCGATAAACATTTTGACATAGCAGAAAACGAGTGGTCAATGGCTGAAAAGGATCCGCCATCGCTTGCACACACCGGCATGATGACTTGACCACCCTCCGAAGATGCAACGTTAGAGCACTCGTACCAGACCCCCATTAGTACTTCCCTAGCGAATGACCAGTATATCCTTGCCCGGCAATCCTACTACCCTTACTTATCCACGCCGACGCTCGAGTTCTACCCCCTCCAGAGAACATACCCATGACACCAGTTGCCGTCCAGGAGGCGCCCCAATCGCTGCCCATAATTTGCTCATGGAGCCCCCTATTGAAGTGCGGCATATTCGGTAATAATACATGCAGCAACTGATAATTGTAGGAATAGAAGATGCAGTTTTATTAAGGGCTAGCCAAGGGTGGTGTAGAAGAGGTTAACATTATAACTAAGACTTTTGATAGGATTTTGGATCTGGCTTATGCTCCTTAACTGGGACTTTAGCAGGGCGGTCATGTTCTTCATAGTCATAGTCAAAGTTTTCTTCGATGTCAACCGAGTGATCATCTTTTTATCTTCGTTATACAACGAAGCAAACTCGTTATTTGTTGAGACTGATGCACTGTTTCCAGCGTCAACACCTCCTGAACCGTCGATCAGGGTATTATGGGGCTGATGTGGATAATAGGGTGGCTGGTGATGGTGGTGTGGCTTCGGCGCAGGCTTTTTCTCCTTAACCGGAACTAGAACAGGGCGGTCATGCACTTCATAGTTAAATGTTTTGTCAATATCAACCGAGTGGTCATCCTGGTCCTTTTCATTATACAAGGATGCGAATTCATTTGTGGAGGGCACAGACGCGCTGTTTCCGACGTCAACCCCACCTGGGCAACTGATACTTTGTGGGATTGGGCTCGCGCTACTGCGGCCAGTATGGCGATGAGAGTTCCGCCGTGAAGTCCCTTCATGTTGGTGGGCTTGGCTCGGATTTACGTAATTAGCTGATGTTGTATATTAAAGTCAGAAGAAGGACCTACTGGTCTTTAAAAGTATAGGGGCCAAAAAAATAAAGGTTGTAAAAGGAATGAATCAATACTGGGTGCCAAAAGACACTCAAGGTTGCAGTCTCATAAAAAGAGACAACCCTGGGCAGCTTTTATAATGCTTCAGATGCTTTACTGGCATACTAAAGTATGCTGGGCATGGGAAATAAACAAATATTGCCGAGATATTGTTTTGCGATAAGAATGCTGCCAAGAAGAGGATATTCGCTCAGAGTGGTTCTGTTAGACCATCACATTCTTCATCCTTTGAAGCTAGGAGGGATAGGTATTGATTAGTACAAAAGGCAGTGTGACCGTTTTATTACCACTTAATATCTGTTAAGTCTATCCCTTGAATAACTAATTGCTGTTTGCCCTTGAAATCTGATGCGAATTCAGTAAGGAGGTTCTATGTTCCGTTGAAATTGTTGTTCCTGTCTTCAGCTTCTGTACAAGGCAAAATTATTAAGGAGTTTGAAGTGAATGGCCAGAGCATTCAGGGAGATGACCGGGGCACGTGGGGCACTGTTTTGTAGATTGCTGCGGTCGAGATTTATACCCAAATTGGCAGGGTTGGGGAATGGCAAATATCGCCCTACATAACCGTTTGGGAGGACCAAATAATTAAGCAAGAGGGCCACTTATAACTTCCATAGCCCAAAGGGATGGCCAAATGTACCATGTTCCTTGGGACATTAAATACGGCATCATGTATTATCCTAAAGCGTACACTTTCTGTGGTTACGCGAGATGCCAGTAGCCTACTGTTAAAGTCGCGCTAAACGGTTGATACAACATCAACACAGGGCGGTTGCTATAGTATGTAACGTTCTTATATTTTATTTGGTTTCCTACGTAGGGCTCACCCGTTTCTATCGTCCACCACTAGACATATCAAGCGATTAGAATACAGGGGTGTCAACAAGCAAAGGATATCTCTTCGCATATATATATATATGTACTTCACGCACCTCACAAATAGCAGGCTTACCTGGTTTGTAGCCATCCCGTCCCTGACAATTTTCACTTAATGCACGTATTATTTATATATCTGTAAAGTGTGAATTCACTTCATCTGTACACTGTCCCTGGACCTAGGAAGGCTTGGCGCTTGCGGAACCAAAGAGGTTCGCAGAATTAATTCTACAAAACTAAATTGTCCCAAGAATGATCGACCTCCTTAAGTTTCAGCTAGCGTTGACATCAGTAAGTATTACTAGCCACCACACTTAATGCATGTTGTGGAGTTCAGGGAAGAATACACAGGGAGCTAGAGATCAGCTTCAGGCCAACCCTTTGCCTAATTAGGAAGCAGATGTTGTCTGTGGAAACACCAGGAATCACAGTATCTCAACCAACTGAGTCTCTTGCATTCCTGTCTAGAGGTCTTCGGTGCTCGACCTCAAGGTGCTCGACTATCTAAGGGATTCAGGGGTAGAATGGATCGTCAGATACTCCGCACCGCCAAGTCAGGCGGATTATGGTGTTTCCGTAACATTGTGTTTGCAACTTGCACGCACGAAGTTTGGTGGTGGAACGAAACACGGGTACAAGAATTTTTGAACACGATGGATTTTATGAGTATGTGTTGATTCGGCCCAGGATCCCTCTCGGGTGGTGCCGCCATCGGGCCGTGGATAGTTCTTACTCGGCATACAACGACGTCTCGTTTAATCTCTTTTCTCGAATATGCTAGTCCGCTTACTATAGTCCGTCGATACTTTCTTATCCGTAGCAGTCGTCTATTAGTCCGGAGCCCAATTTATCATGCCTACTATACGGACTTAGTTACATGGTGGCGTTACAACCCCCTAGTACTGCCTTAGCCTACAGTAGGGACAAGTACGTGGATCCATTCCTATCCTGTCCATACCTACGGCTTAATTACCCCCTGAAAAGTGGACGTTTTCATACTTATCCTACCCCAGTGGACAACCATCCAATTTTCATACAAAGATAAGTGGCCTCCACCAGAATAACCCTCATACCCATGACTGGGGTCCACCCGAACCGTTCGTCGCTCTTATTTATTATTAGTCCGCTCTCCATATCTCTTGGGTGCCTTTGATATTCCATGCCATCTTACTTCACTTTTTACTTTATCTTAAAGTCTCCCCTCAACTGTCCTATTATTCCCGATACCTTCATCGGGTTCTTCTCTCCTTATTCTGTAGTCCCATTTCTCCCCGACATATCCACACACGCCTCTCCCGCGGCCATGGCACCTGGCAATGGACGCGATTTTAATTGTTCATGGGACTATTGTGGCAAGGTACTTTACCGTCTTATACGTTCCTTCGAAAGTGGCCTATCTAATAGTATCTTAATAAATAGTCTTTCAACCGCAAATCTGACCTCTGCAGGCACTATCGAACACACACCAATGAAAGACCCTATCATTGCAAGGTCAAGGACTGTAACAAGAGCTTTATTCATCGGAGCGCATTGACTGTCCATTCCCGAACCCACACCGGGGAAAAGCCTCATGTCTGTGACTACGAAGGATGTCGCAAGGCATTCTCCGATGTATGTGACTCTCTTTGTTATAGTTCCTAACCTTTATTTAATTGCTAACAGCTCCCTCCAGCCATCAAGTCTAGCGCGCCACCGAAGGATTCACACCGGGAAGCAGCCTTATATCTGCCAGGAACCTACATGCAAACGAAGGTGAGATTGGAGTGTGGATGTGGAGACCCGGTATTGCTAATGCCGTCACGCCGCAGCTTTTGTAGTAAATCCGCCTTGGCTAAACATCACCGCTCGCACCCACTCAGCACGACGACCCGACCAACTTTAGAAGATACAATATCCGAGCATTCGTACCAGAACCCCATTAGCACTTCTATAGCGAATAACCAGAGTGTCCTTGCCCAGCAACCCTACTACTCACTCATCCGCGCCGACGCACAAGTTCTACCCTTCCAAAAACATACCCATGACAACACCAGCTGCCGTGGAGGAGGCGCCGCCAGTCGTTGCCAATAATGTGCCCATACCTCCCAGTTGACGTGCAGCATGTTCGCAATAATACATGCAGCAACTCATGCAACAACGATACGACCAATGCCGTCCAGGCTATGCACCACCAGAGTTCCAGCATCTCTTTGTGGGTATAACACGGCGGAAGGGCATGGCTCATGGTTACTATGCCAGAATTTCCAGGACAAACAACAATGCGGCTTCTAAAGTAGCCCGACTGACCGGGTGTTTCTGGGGTCGGTAATATATAACATCCTTGCTAAAAAAGACACCCAAAATAACAAGTCTCTCTGGCCCGATCTTCGTGCTACGGAGGACCCAACCCCTCCAAATTCCCTCTTCCAACGTGGAAAATACGCTCCAAAGAGTGCCAGGACCTCGAAAAGAACCAAAAGAAGCTCTCGAGGATCTTTACTACGAAGGCTTACTCGAAGCTCCATCGAGGCCTACAACTGCGTTTACCATTAAAAAGACAAGCAGAGGAGCTTGCGACGATGAGCGATACACTCAGACGAATAAGACAGATACAAGCACCCCGGAAGCGTGTAATCACCAAGAGGAAGATTCCAAAGCCGAACGACCCGGTATACTCAGTACAAAAGATGCCAATCGATCAATAAAGGACAGAGAGAAAAAGAAGCTTTAAGGGAAAAGAAGGCTAATAAGCAGTGGAAGAAAGCGCCCAACCGTCACCCACGCCCTCAGGGATAAATACTACATTGCCAGATGCAGCAGTGGCAGCCAACAAGAAAGTGAGGTTTTTGGATAGATACTGAAGGAGGCACTAATATAGCGTGGTTCCAACAACCTGGCTGGTATTTGACCTATACTAATTTCGGTGATTGCTAGTCCGAACTAGGAATATCAGATGTTGCAGTAGCCTGGCTGGTATAGTGGGGAAGCCCGCGGTGTGATCGTAGCACCTCCCATTTTGAACCAGTCGTTGTATTTCTGTTTAAGACTATTATCGTGGCTTGAATTCGCTGGATTTTCTATTTTTATTGGCTATTTATAAGGAGCACTAGCACTAGCACTAAGTGAAGCCGTGCAGGCTTCAGATTCCTGTGTAGGATATTAGGGCATTTTATGGCACAATTATCTAACTTTGCGACATGCACATATCCCTTCCTCTATAACCAACAGAAAGTCCTAATGGCACCCAAAGTTATAAACACAGAGATAATGCTTCCCGCTGTAGCTCTGGAAATTCATACTGCTACACTGCTGCAAATATCCCCAGCAAGGAATTGGGATGCAACCTTTCTTGACGAAACATCACAATGTAACCCTATCTGAGCTCTACTAGTTACAGATTAAGAAGGCTGTAGACCATTCCCATTAGTTAAAATTAAACCGTTCTTTCAGAGTATCTGCTCCGTTTCCGAACATAGCGTCTGCGCTCTTAAAATTAATGTAACATGAACTTTACTCGCCATGACGGGCTGAGGATATATAAAGCTGTGGCATGCACCTAGAGAGTCCAAATATAACTATATGCCTATCCACATTTATTCTGTTGACTATTACCAGTTCTACGCGCTATTTTCACACGCTACTACTTCCACAATGCAACTTAATACTCTTTTCTTCTCAATTGTCAGTGCAGCACTGTTTAGCAGCGCAATTGCCGGCAAGGACGGTTGCTACAAGATCGAAAATTTCGGACTCAAGGAAAATAATTGTGACAACTGTCATCCAGGGTTCAAATTTGTCCCGAGCCACGTTGCCTGTGAAGTTAAGCACCAGTGCTGCATTGGTGCCTGCTGCCCACATCACTAAAAGGATAGACTATTGGGCTCAGGTAGGGATCTACCAATGCATATTAAAAGGGAGAAGGCTAACTCAATCTTTTCCCACGTCTTCAGATCTACAAACAGACGCTTAAGCAAGAAGAGAGATGGTTTTTCTGTTATGAGCCTCTTGCTAATCTGGATAGGGTTAGGAGAAAACAATTTTTTTATACGCTGTATATTAGCAGGAGTGCTCTCTAGTCTGTTATTAATATCAGATTGTCTGATGGGTATATGTGTTGATGTCGTACCAACTATATAGCATGTCTCTATAGTCACTCTTAATTAACGGTTTTCCTCAAGCCCCGGAATGCTCGCCTTCCTAATAAAGTGTATCTTCGGATATTTGATCATTATATTCTATTTGCGCTTGTTGGATAGTGGCCGCCTAGCTGGGGATTATAAAAGTGCTATTTTATATGGAATACAGCGGGTGGCGGTCAACAGTACTACTGCACTAAAAAGACTCCATGACGGCATAATACTATACTTTTATTGTCGACGCAAATGGGTGGAACTCCAGTGGTACGTAGCCAGGGCGGCCTTGGTCGTATTGTTGTTGCATGGGTTGCTGCACGTCAAATGGGGACGTCATGGGCACATTATGGACAACGATTTGGGCCGCCTCCTGCGCGGCAACTGGAGTCATGGCTATGTATTTGGGAGGGTAGAACTCATACGGCGTGGATGAATAAGGGTCAACTGTGAGTACCCTATGTGTTTTGATGGTGGCAAACCTGAGGCTTATTATGACGTCCCTGATATATTCATCAGAACCTAATTTTGTACAGTCAAGCGAGAGAAAGCTTCTGTTTGCTGCTAGCGACGGCCTGAAGAAAGACCTGCGCCGGATTCGTCTAACTTACTGTTTAGCTTGAAGCGGAGCGCCGAGCTGGGGGCGAACAACTCCAACATATCATCTCGACGGAGGTCAGCGGGACCCCTCGAAAAACAACGGCCTCAATATCTGAGAACCCACGGTGGGATATGGGATACTATATGCTTGGCCACCATCTGAGACAAATATATCCTCCAGATCCGTGTATTTTTCATGGCAATCCGATGACTAAATTTGAGTTTTTTGAACAACTATACATCATGATGAGGTCAAATCAAATCTATCGAAAGTTCAAACTTACCTGTTGTTCTAACATTGTATCTACCAGATTGTCCGAAAGCATTGAGGGTGCGTCAGTGTACAACTGTGAGATAGAGGTAACCATGACTTCAGTTCCTTCAGGCGCACTTCCGCCACATGGGTGGAAATAACGAGCGCACCTGTGAGCCGCAACTTGAACTGATGGATCCATAAGCTAATTAGAATTCTCATAAGACACTGACTGTGAAGATTAGTATTTGACAAGCTCCAAATTACCGAGCACCATAACTGTTAATTATAACAGGCGGTCAAAAGGTCCGTATGTTATCTCTATATTATGGAAACTATCAAGGAAATATGCTAAAAGTTCGCAACTGGTGCATCAGTGTATATAATCTCCTTCCAAAAATGCCAACCAACACTTCAGAATTCGAGGACCTCATTGGGCATAGCTTCAGACACGAGGACTTGATGGAAGAAGCCTTACAGGAAGCCGGTGCAGGCACTCCTGGGAACGAACGATTAGCATTAATCGGAGATAAGGTGTTGGCGCTGATGTTATTGCAAAATTGGTATCAGACAGGCAACAGCACTGGCAGGTATAGCCCCGAAAGGACTACAACGTATGCTAACTGACTATAGCTGATGGCACTCACCTCCTGCAGGATTTCGCCTGTAACAAGAAATTAGCATCAAGGGCTCAATCTATTGGACTTGCCAGGTTCATCCATCCAAGGCAGGATATAAAAAGGGAAATACCAAACCATGTTCTTGCGACCTCGATCGAGGCCATTCTTGGAGCAGTATGGCTTGATGCAACGCAAAATATTTCTGAAGTGCAGTCTGTAATGGATAAACTTCAGATCTACCCACGTTAGGTACGGCTTTGGCAGCCACGCTCTCTCAGAGTTTGACAGGCTTTTGCTAGGTTTGAGTAAGAAGCGACCATCAACATTTTATGACATGCACAATTTGAAAACCCACGGCATGTATGAGTTGATTTTGAAAAAAAAAAAATTTAAAAAAAAATACAGATGGTCTATGCTAAAGCTGACAGCGATTTTCCTATACAGCATCTTATCCCTAGGGTTAAGCTATCTGAAATTGCAAGAGAAAATTTTTACAATTCGCTCCATCAGGAATTTCAACATGCCTTGTACATTACGATGCGATAATATCCTTGATGCTCAAAATTTACCATGCTCAAAACTCCACCCAGCGTGAGCTCTTAATTGCCATTTCCCCCTTGGGTTGTCTCTCATAATCCGACACCGTCTCGTTCAATTTGCCTTGTCAACGATGATCTAACATCATCCTATTTTTGTTTTCAGCTTGTCTAAGTACCTATAGGGCGGAGTTACTGCTATCTAACTTTCGTATACTTGGTTCAAGCGCTGCACTAATTATCTGGAGCCTGCTTCAAATTATCCTCGCTATTCAGGGACCCGCCAATGTAACTTTAGAACTTGTGGATCTTACTACTTAACCAGCAGTACAATGCAGGCGACCATTTTAAGTTGTTTCACACATTTCTTCACAATGATCTACAAGCCTTTTTTATTTACTAGAGTCCTAAGCAACACGCTTTCTGTACCATATGTATGGATCGTGATGGAAACAAGAAGCTTTTGAGTTTTAGAAGGATTCCAAGGCGAACATATTGTGCCACCCAATCAAAGCCGTATCCTCCCATGGCTGCACTTTGTAGGATAGCAAAGATTCCATGCCTAGGAATGTTTCTAAAGCATGATTGTACAAACGCAGCATGCGAACCTTTATTAATTAGCTCGAGTGCTAATAGAATATGGCGGTAAATGGCCACTGACCAGCATATGGGCCCAAGGCTCCGAAACCGAAAATCTTCAGAATAGTAATTATAAAAAGCCTTGGAAAGCCAAATATTATCCCAAACATCAATGTCTTAATAACAACACCTGCTTCTCTAGTGATCATGGTCGGGTTGCCTTAATCACGCACGGTTTGGAGTTTCCGAGGTAACTGCAAGTGACTGGAATGTTCAGAGATATCTTAATTGTCTAATTGAAGAGCCGATAGAGGAAATAATATATATCCGTGTTAGAGTATACAGTACCAAGACACTTGAGCTTTTTATGACGATATAGAAGCAGCTTTTTGCCACTTCCCGCGAAACCTGGGAGATTCAAGCGTGGTTCTCAATAAATTATTGGCTAATAGGGATGTCGACTACGTGAGCATCCGTGAAATGCCCCCTTTGGTAGGCTGTTCAATCCCATGGTTAATGGGGTGTCCCAGGAGGACGACACCGCACCGCATGAAAATCTCAAAAAAAAAAAAAAATTAAAGATTATTAATTACAATACTGGGATCAAAAAGGAACAAGTCCAGCAAGATGGAATCCATGCTCAATTGTACGTTTTTTAAAGGTTTTCTGCCGTGTAGCTGAAAGTGCTGCAAGAAATTCAATCTTGGTAAACTGGCTGCATCCAGTATAAGTTGCATTAGCAACAGCTTCACTATGCCAGTGCTTATAGGCATGAAAAACACCAATATCAAGCGGTTGAAGCAGGTGACTTGAATGCAGAGGTAGAAAGAATATAATAGTCTTATTCTTCCCACAAAACCGTACAAATTCATACGTGAGATGTAATTCATATCTGTCGCAAATAAGTAACATATTGGCCCTTTCTTGACTTCATGGTTGCGGTATGGAACATCTGAACCCACTGGTAAGCAATTGAATCAGTCATATAGCCTGATTCAAATACACCAATATGGTAGTTATCCTCTACCTGATCAAACCACCCTTTTAGTATACACTTTCCAGGTAGAATAATCAGCGGAGGACCAAGAGACCCAGTTGCGCTTATAGCTTCAACAACAGTCACATATTCCCGGCTGGTATTACTACCAATATAGCTCTTCTTTTGTGTATCTCGGGTAACAATTCTGTGGTCCTTTCCAATACCAATTTGGAATCCTGTCTCGTCAAAATTCTATATATCTTCATTAGCAATGCCGTACTTGCGAACAATATCGCTAAAGCGATCAAACCAGCTTGTAAGAAGCTCACCATTATGAGATTTTTACCGGTCAAGTTCTATTGCTTTTGTATGCTGCTTATTATACTTTGGATGACGAGCCAGCCATTGATTAAGCCATTTTGGCCCCACTGTAGGTGGTGGTGTAGCTGGATCAATATGAGCTTCCTTCAATATTGAATTTGCACATTTTTCGATCATTTGAGGCCTCTGGTCCTCAATAATATGGTAATCAGTCGATAGTTTGGTGGTTGAATAAAAGTGTAAGACTTCAATTTGTATCAAAAAAAAGATTGTTGGGCCGTCCTGATCGTTGAACCGGCAGGACCGGGCGTAGTAGGAAGGGCCGGTTAGAATCGAATAAGCCTAGGAAAACCAATAAAAAACAAAAAAACAAAAAAAAAAAACACTGTATTAAAATTTTTGTAGCAAGAATTCCATCGCATTCCCATTCCCATTTCTTGAAAATTAGACGAACGAGCCGATAATGGCGATCGGGTAAAAATTTACTTGCATTCCCTTTAATAATTGAGCCTATAAGAGTTTAATGCAGAAAATCTATTATCATTCCTAGGTATCAAGCCTTAAATTGATATTCGTACGAAGCAAGGGATGATATTTTTACCCTATCCGTAATGTAAACAACAGGCTCAAAGACTTTATAGCCACTCATTAACATCGGCGTACTATGCCCAGGTTTCCAATCTCGACGAACCAGAACTAAGGACATAAATACAAAGCTTCACCAAGATCTGAACTGCCATGTCACTGTTTGTCCCACAAACTCTAACATAAAAAAACTCGTTACTACGGACTTTCCTTGATCATTAGGCATGTTGCAGCCACGACTAGCCCATACGGCCCCGCGTTCGCAGCAGGAAAGCTCTGTCTGGGACAAAAGAATTGATGGAAAAGCGGCTACTCGCCATTCAATTATTACGCACAGTTTTACTGTAACCACTTCGAACAATATTCTGTCAAGTGAATTACGATTGCAAAGATGCGGAGGACTCTTAAATACAATGCCACAACAACTGCAACGTTCCAACGCTAAGAGAGTCTCATCCGAGACTTCTTGGGATATACAGTTTAAGAGACATACCACTGAAGATGTTCCAGATGTTTGGGAAGATTGCACCGCGACAGTCGGATCTTACCCGGTCCCAGGTATAAAAGAACAGGAGTATGTGTCCATTATATCCATCATCACATCCGACAGTAGAGGACTGTGTTCGAAGCTGACTCTGTTCTGGAAGAGAGATTCCCCATATTGCGTCTGCATATATACAACGAAGGCTTCAGGTACTAAGTCCAGGCATCACAATTCAGTCTACTGCCGAAAGCGCTTACGCTAAAAGATGTCCTTGCTCTAACGAAAAGCAAGAAAAGGAGAACTGTGTCAATTTCGAGCGATGTTTTACGAATACTCCGAATAAAATGCAGTCTGAGTTGTTCTTAGAGCGAGATATCACGCGCTTATATGATGGTGGGCCAAGCTCATACTATAATATCGTTGAACTTGATCCAGTTGGCGGTGTTGAACAGGTACCAATACGGTTCTACGCGGGTAGAACGGATATCGAGAGACAAAGTTCGCCAGTCTGAAGTTATAGAAACTGTGGAAGACGGATGGCCTCTTCCGACCGACTAAGAGAATGAAAATCACTGGCGCTGTCTACACTTATATGAATGTATAGATAGATGGCCTCGTTTCCCAACCCTCTGGCAAACAAGAGATATGTAGTCTAGCTGCAACTTCCTTGTGTCTAAAAAGATCACGAGGACCCATTTTCTACGAGCGAATTTTGAGCCTCGCCTATAGTAGTTTTTGAAGGCCTCTAGCTTCCGGGTGAGATGGTTATTTTGGGTAGGACTTCCATCATCCGCTTGAACTGTCTTACCTGTAATCCCTAGTTTCGACTACTACATCCTCTGTCTCAGAGTGTACTAGAACCGTATAAGCTCGATGATGATGAATTTACAAAATTTCAATAAACTAGGTAAAATTGCACACTACAAAGCGAATTGCAGAGTTATCAATCTGGATGTCAACAACATAGACAACCATTGAACAGGACATGGCCAGCCACGCATTGTGAAAACAAAGGCAAACAATTAGCGGTCAAGCACACGAGGAAACGCAAAAGGACAAAAGCTGAAGATGACCATGATGATGAACTAAATGTGCTCCAGGTGTGGCTTAATCAAGATGACATGGCACCTTTCAGTAAGTGCGACCTGCGGGAAACCATCTGCCGGCCCAGTTGTCCCAGACCTTTCCCCTTTGCGCTCGGCGTTGGCGCTGCGATGGCTCCGGTGCGTACTCTATGTCTGACTCACCATCGTCATATCTGTCGTCATATGCCCACTTCGACGCACGCCTGCCAGCAGAGCGGCTATTGGCCGCTTTCTGCATCGTTTCGATCTGCCTTCGCAGGAAATTTATCTCTGCAGCACGTGCGTCGTCCCTCTCGGCCGATTTGCTGTAGGCCCGGTTGGGGGTAGGTCTAATACTTCCTCTCCTGGGCGTGGCTCGAGTTGAAGGTTCCCGCGGTTGCTCGACAAATCGAACCTCGCTAGCCTTGGAACGTTCTCGGTGGGAGGCGGGCCGAACGCTGCCAGGGCGCACAGAAACTCGATCTGCGGTGCCAGGTTCCGCATGGTCAACCTCTGGTGACTCATCTCCGATGACTTCGTTTTCTAGATCCTCATCTCCAGATAATGAAGTTTGCCTCATCCCCGGAATTCGGTCAAGCAGATGCTCATAGGGCAACCCTTGGTCTCGGCGGAAACGAACTTCCTGGGTGAGCGCTTTCTGATAGATGACTCGGTCTCCTTGAAGACTTGATCCTCTGGTAATGCGGCGGATGAATGTTCGGTCTTCGAGGGTAACTTCTTTGTCCTTCCATTGGACCAAAACCCTGGTGTGAGGATATTTGGCATATGGCTCTGGCCATATCAGGTCCAGTGGCTCGAGACCCTCTTCGTCATCATCCTCTATCTTCCATCCCACACCAATGATCCCATGAACATCCTCCCGCTTGTACTTTAGACGTTCTTCCAACCTGCCCTGTGAGTTTGTAAACATCTCTCTCTCTTGCCCTCGCTTGCTCGTTGAGAAAAGGCAGGGAACCCCGTCTGGGTCATACGCTTCGTAGGATCCCGCACGAATGCGATATATGCTCTTGGACCCCGATCCGTAGCGTACGTAGACTTGGGATCCTGTTCCCCTCTTCCACCAAAACAGTACCTCACCATCCGAAAAGGACATGTCCTGTCTTGTATTGGCTTCCAGTTCATCTAACTCGGTCACATCGCTATCGTTGTCGTCAATATGCTCCGGCAAATTGCCTTCCGGAAGCGGATTATTGTCGTTGTGTTCAACAGACTGGATAACTCTGGGCCCAAAGTGTTGCTCTACAAACGCCGTGCCGATATTCCATTCCTCTGGTAAAGAGTATTCTCGATTAAAGGTCTGAAATTTCTGATAGGTATGGTCGTACCCTTGCCATGCAGCTTCAGCATTGTTCTCAGCCTTTGCCTTGTCCAGTATGTTTAGCCAGGTGCTATAGAATTCCTGATAGATATATTCAGGGATGATTCCGTTCTCGGAGTCGGTGTTATGCTCAGTATTTGCGTTGCGGATCTTTTGGTTGATTTCCTTGAAGAATGCAGTGGCTGCCGCCATGTCGGGTGCACCATTGAGAAAAATAGCTTTCAGTTCTTCGTGCACTTGCCTAGTGGTCGCCTCCCGAATGATGTCAGCCACCCACGCATTGGAGGCTTCAAGAGGAGAGCCAGCTCTCTTCTTGCTACCACCTGTGCCAGTGCCAGCTGGAATGGTAGTAGAATTTGGGTTGGATGATTCGGGCATTTTGAAAAGAATTCCTGGACGATAGAATAATAAGAGATTTCCTTGGATCTATTGCTGTCTACTGAAAAAATTGAAGCGAAGACTGTTTAGTTTGATAATTGTCCAAGAGGCCGCGAGTTTATATGTCTGTGGGAGGTGTAACAGACATTGAGCTACGAGGGAAATGCACCAGAAGAATCCGACACAATACTTCACCGAAGTAAGTATAATCCATTGTATCTAGTGGTCCATCCTGAGCCGCGTCATTACTTTGCACCTGTTCCTCTTGCCCATCGCCTTCGTTTTTTTTTTTTTTTTTAAAAAAAAAAATTTTATTTGTTTCCCTTGGCAAAGATAAACCTGCGGTTACCTTTCTTAGTTGTTTCAGGTTGACTGGCAGGGCTCCTTAAACAGTCCTTAGTGTCAAATACCATGCCCTTGTACTGTAAGCTATTTGGGGCAAGAGCTTTTGGAGATCACCAGGACTCTGAGTACCTCGGAGATCAGCCGCCAAGATACACAGACGAACACCCTCTGGGGACTGCGAAAATTACAGGGCTTGATTATTATTACAACTGCTAAAGTTGGGGTGGTAAATTATACAGTAAAGATAGATTACCTCTATATTGGTTGTATTTTTCTTCATACCAGGTTCTGCACTGCATTTGCACGTGAATTTATTTATTTTACAAGTCTTTATCTAAGCCTGGCTAGGATACTGGCGGCCACTGGCGTAAATAACGAAAGTTTACTATACCCCCGCCATTTACTATAGCTGGAGCTCGTGCGTTCCTAATCTATAGTGCGCAAATCACTCCACACAAGTCTACCTCAACACCTTGCAATGTGTAATTTTCCCCTGCCTTCGTTGTGGTGGGTATCTAGTCTCCATAATCCTCGCTGTCTCGTTTCAGATGAGCTCTGGACCAGTATTCAATGCAACATGAAAATGCCCTGCATAAATTCTTCGGTAATATTTCGTAGCTATCGCTCTAGTCACATCTACATAGCGTATTATTGGGTTACGCCAGGTAGCAACTTATTGTCCCAGCTGTATTTCAGCCACCATGCCCCACTCTTCATGTCCATGTAGCAATCCTGACGGAGGTGCTGGTACTCGACATTTGTGGGTAGAAATCAAGGATACACTCTCTCCCATCCGACTCTAGTTTGTCGCTCGTGTTCTTGCTGGACAATGTTTAATTTCCAGAATTTGTAGAAACCGGCCAATAGCAGTGAGATAGTGGCTGACAGTCCGGTCGCAATGACTGTGAGAAGAGCCATAATTGACCAGTCTCCATCTCTGGCAGTGTAGATATTGATTAGCGTGGTAAGAAGTCCAGCACACCCATTTAGAACAGTCGGCCTACAATAGTCAGCATATGTACTCTCAGAACAGGAGAGACGCATGTGTTGAAGTGGTATTCTCACAAAAACAGTCGATTAATCAACCATATGTAGTTGTATCTCCACCTATAAAAAAGAAGGACCGTGATTACCACCCCAAGAACGAGGAAAGTGCATGCGATGGCTATCAGCGGCGGATTCTGCACTGTACTTAGGAGGGCGTTTTTTGAATGATCATGGCTAAGCTCCTTCTGCAGTGACTCGGAGTTCTGGATAGAGGTAAAGGTGCCGGGAACCACAAGATAGCCAGCCAAGAGGATCCAGCCAGCAAGGCTGGATAGGAAATTATAGGACCAGTGGATAGAATCTAGCTCTAAAAGCATATGTATGTACTCCGTATCAACTGTCAAGTTGGTTTCATTGCGAGATATCCGAGGAGGTGCCTCAGGCAGGGATACGTTTGAATTCGCATTGTCAAGAGATGTCATGATAGCAACTGAAGACGTCTCACTGGGATAGAATCTCAGCTTAATGGTTCAGATATTGAGGGACTGGTAGCACGCGAATAGTCCAGTTATTTTAGGAACTAGTAATGGTCACCATCCCCTGGGGCGAAGCACAAAATTTATACCATTAATTTCCAAACCATTTCTATGTGAAACAGGTAAGGCCATCTTTGGTTTTGGGTTCTCCATATATTATTTAAAAGACCTTCAATTCTGGGCCCTAGATTCTGGTTGAATGAATGGCCTTACATAGTTGGGGCGACAACGTTAACCCATACTAATGTAATATCCGCCCATCATTACTATACAAGATTCATTATTATCTCCATACTGTAGAGGGCAAATTCTACAATGCAATGCCTTAGATGTCAGGGCCTAGGTCGAACCCTACCTAAGGCACCAAGTCTACTTTATTCACTATTAATCCCACAATGTAGAGATTTCCCACATTTCCTGTACGATAGAACTCTTCCTTCCTTCTCTACGTTTGATGTTTCGTTAGATCGCCACCTTAGATAGAATCCATCCATTTTACCAAGGTGTATAGGATCATCACATTACAGTAGAGTGGTTGGAGACATCTTTCATTTTCTCGCAGCAAGACCGCTCATTTTATGAAGGCCCAGCCTGAACTAACAGATTATATAAGCGTTACTGAAGTACAGCTGTCCTCGGCATATTATTATCTGTATTTGAAAGATGAGAAGCTGGGTGACTGGTTGTACTTTTTGGTGGTTTTTTGTCTTCTGTACTTTTGTTATTCTGTTTGCTGAGAACTACTGCCAACTGTATAACGCTTTGTGAGCACGAAGGCTTATTATCCACTACTAAATGCGAACAGCAGGAAAACATTTGTTATAGGAAGAGAATGATGAGACAGATGGCATACAACTAATAGCATGGCAAGGAAATAGTAGTCAATTCCAAATGATTAAGACACTTGTCATAAAATGGCAAGGGCGGCGGAATTTATACTCCCATCCTTCCTTTCTGTGCGATTGTACATAGGATATTAATGGGCCGGAGACACCAACTCCCCGATTTAAACTTAAGGAAAGGATGCTTTACAGTAAACAAGGGGCATTAGCTCTGTTGACCTTTATTCCAGGGGAAATGGTTTGCTGTTTTTAAAAACATACTTGAAGCAGTTCATCTATCGTGGCCGAGCACGGTGCACCGGCAAAATCTCCGGCAAGTAATCTCATAGTCCCACCAGCACTTTCAGCCTTATCTAGACCCAGTAGGCACTGCACAATGTTGCACACGGCCTGCAAATCTTTATCCTTTCCTTGAGGTTTCGGCACACGGACCATGCTTTCACCGATATTCCCTAGGCACAATCAGCTGTCTAGTAGTTTTGTATGACATGGCCTTGACTAACCGATCCTAACGTCTCCATTTTCCATGATGAAGATATTCTCTTCGCGCAGATCGCCGTGGCTCACGCCGAGCTCGTCATGAATATACTTCAAACCATTGAGTATCTGTAAGAAAAGTCAGTCTCTACTGGCTAAATATGGACCGCACAGTTGTTCCCACCTCATTACAAAGAGTGGCTACTTCTACTTCACCAAGCTGAAAAACAGGCCAAAGCTGGCAAATCTCTTTCAAGGAAATCCCCCATCTTTCGTATACAAAGAAAATGGAGTCGTCCGTGACAAAGACCTCTCTGAGGTTGACTAGATTTCGATGCGACGTGGCCTTCAAATAATTCACCCTTACGTTAGCTTCTGCCTTTCTGAATTTCTTGACATAGGTAACCGGCGAATTCTCTGTGAACTCAATGGCGTTGATCCCACTCCACTGGGGCTTTAGGCCAACAAAGAAACGGTCGAGTGCTGCGTAAGGATGGCCATATTGGACAAAGCCAGACCCTTTTTGGACCGTGTCTATTGTTTCGCCAGTCAGGAAGCCTGGGGGAGTGCTCCGATGAGGCAGTTCAATTGGAGATGCTAGGGACTTGGATGTATCCATGGTTAGAAACAGTGTTTCGAATTGGGGCTGTCGTCACTGCATGTTTATTCCTGTTTCATTATATAATGACAATAGCCTATAATGCCAATAGACACAGTTGTGCCACACACGGTTAGGGGGAAGCAATCCGGACGAAGACAGAATACCATTGGTTAAACTTCAGAGTGGTCTTGTCTCCGAGCTACGGCTCGACGGGATCGGCATATAGGATTTTGCCAACTTAGAAAGACGTATTTTATTCTGTAGAGGTCCAATATATTGTTCCTCTGTCTTTATTTCTTACCCCCACTTTTTTTTTTCCTTGTATTTTTGTATTTTTGGCTGCCAAGTTGCACGACGAATTTGGATTTAGTACGCCAATTAAATGCTGTTTTCTTTGTGGCTTGCATGGATAGCACATCTGTATTAGCTCCATTTTCCATAAAGCTAGAAATAATTTTTATCAGCTGGTCATGGAAATTGAACATGTACCGCTTTCAACTGCCGATAATATTTATTAATTTTTATCGGTGGATCGCATAGGCCGCAAATGTTACAGGAATTCATAAAAGTAGTTGTAACTTTCACCAGTGGGTCGCGGATAATAGATACATTAGAGGAACTTAATTAGCATTTCATTAAATACCTACAGGATAAATATATTACACCTGCGACATAAAGTTTGTGTATGTTATATCGGTTGTTCCTATACCATAATAAACTTTATCCTAGGTGTATTTGGGACGGTTATATAGTTTGGGTGCAGTGAGGCTTGCTATGCATGTTCTAGAAGCCCTGTTGCCACGGGATTTGGTTTGGAACCCGAATCCGATAGCTACCTGAAAGAGAAATACATTATACCGTTCTCTCTTAAATAGGTAAATGCTCGTAAGATCTACTCTCAATGTATGATAGCTGTAAAAGCAGCTTTCCTTGGATGAAAAGAGGGTTTTTGGCAACTGCGTAAGAGTTTGAGTTGCACTTTTTTTTCTTTTTTTTGAAAAAAAAAAAAATTTACCATTAAATCTGGGAATATGATACTGCATCAGTCGGGCAGCCTCCATTTTTCTCACGGTCCACTTTTATCGTACGTAAACTAGGCATCATGGACGTGATGTTGAACCCTCACTCTAGGAATGGCATGTCCTGGTCTTATGGGCTCGTTTATCCACAAAAGACCCTCATATGAAGGTGTATCGAGAGTCCAATTGCACTGTACTTGAACAAGTTTTTAGTTATCGTGGAATCATTCTACTAACTTGCTCCGCTAACAAAGGCAACTAATTAATCAAAGTCTATTAAGGAATGTTGAAAAAAAATATGATTCTAGATGGTCGGCGCCATTTCTTGGGTTTGGCTTATCTGGTGGGACTGTTTAGTTTTCGGTAGTCCGAGCACACAACTGGAAGCCACATTTGGTACACTACTTAGGGGAAGTTAGGTGTAATTTTGTTTCGTGGGTAAAGAGATTAATTATATTAGGTGGACTAGAGGCATTGTAAGTTTTCTTGTAAGTATACGAGAGTAGAATAAAACGCTTCTCTATATGTGGGTCTATTTAAATACAGATGTTACTCCGGAAAGGATATAGATTTTCTTATCCCTGGAGGGGTATAGGAATAGCGTAAATTACGCGGTATAACCAGATTTAATTATTGGTACGTGGGGTGATAGAGACATTCTATATCTAGTCACAATTAGTGGAGGTATATCTTGGGGTTGAAGATGGTGAAACTGACCGGCGATTCTATTTATTAACGGCCCCCCCCCCCCAAAGGGCCTGGAGAGTAATCGAATATACAACATCACTTTCTTCGCTTACTGTATCCAGAATGACACTTGGTGAACGTCATACGGTTCTTCCCCGAGAAATTTTTGCTCCTATTCACCATCGCCCACCAAAGCATCTTGAAACCGACCAATCGGATGACCCGCAGGCTAATCCCAAAAAGGTGCTTGGCAGCCCAAACTCTTTCGCATGGACGACCTCAGGTTTATCAAAGCAGGACACTCTACAGAAATCTATGTCTCACTTGGAAAACTTCTTGGCAGTAGACCAAGGAGGGCGCGGAATCTGCGCCCTGGATAATGTCCGTCGCCTCCAGCCTTGTGTGATCAAGGAGATCCATATAAGAAAGAGTCTCCGGAGCCTGAGGCCTGTTGAACACAAGAATATCGTGTCCCTTCGGGAGTACTGTGAAATTGACAACAAGAGATATCTTGTTTATGAATACGAACACCTAGCGATGTCGCTAGGTGTAGTGGCAAGCACAGTGCCATTCTGTGAGGCTGACATTGCCACTGTTTGCAGGGAGGTCCTTGAGGGACTACAATATATACACTCAGAGCTGAAGACATCCCATGGATCCATCAATGTGGATAACCTACTACTCACTTGGGCTGGTGAAGTAAAAATAGGTACGTTGGATCGGCCTCAAATTATAGAATTATTCTAATCAGATGCTTAGCAAATATTGGTGAAAGCATGCTGCAGGAAACGGCGTTGGAATATCAACGTCGAGATATTGTGGCAGTCGGGTTAATAGTACTTAACCTTTATGACCGACGCAGTTCGTTATCGAGGAAGTCCCCTGAAAGCTTCAGGGCCGAGTCGAACCTATCTTCCTGTGCCCAGGATTTCATCGAATGTACAGGAGAATGTACGTCGCTGAGCTTCTTCAGGTGAGACACTGTCAATGCTTATCGAGAAATATTTAGCTTATCCGAAATGCAGGACGAGTTCATAGATTTGGCTACTCCCGGCGGGTCGTGGAGCCTCAAGAAACACTATTTTGAAGCCCTCCCTTTCGGGCCTCGATATAGATTGATGCGCGAAGATGACTAGATACTCGAATGCACCTGTTCCCTTTTGCTCGTGATGTTGACTATATAGCTAGAGAACTATGTTATTTTGTTACAATAGTAAATTTTCATACGTACTAAGGATACATGAAGCAACATATTTGCAACTTTATATAAGAGAAGCAGCAAAAACAATGTAGTAAAAAACCAAGGTTTCTCCATTATATACTGACTCGTAATGGGCTATGGGGTCTTTTTTCTTCTCTCTCTTTTTTTTTTCTTTTTTCTTTTATTCTTTTCTTGTATCTTTACAACGATGGGGTCCCTATATGTCATTCAGTGAAGTGACTCATTTTAAAATGGATTGCCTGGAGGACGATAGCGCTATTTGCTCCGGTGAATTTTGTCAGTAACGACGTCTCGACTGAGTTAGTACTTCTTGTTTGAAAGATCGGGCATGTATCGCCTTATAGCCTTTTCTGATAAAGAAATAACAGTAGCATTTAATAAATATTGACGGGCTGAATCTGATCGGTGTTTACGCTTAGCCAAATTACTTTCCTACTTGAAACTGAGAAACAGACATAGTCTAAGAGAGCCAGGAAACCTCTGCCGAAGGAAACATTTTAATATAACAAGCTTCTCCATATAATGGTCCAAAAGTTTTAAAAAAGGGCGAAAATCTCTTTGTGCAATAAGGTCGGTCTCAAAGGCAGAAAAGGTTTTGCACAGAGCGTGGGATCCAATATTAAAGACCCCCTGTGCTGTACTAAAGTCTAGCGCGTAGAACCATCCTTAGTACTCACTTTCCTCAGTACGTCCGGATGGTGACTTTTCAGTGCGCTTCCTTCTCCCCTGGGCTGAATCATCGTTATCCTCGTCAAAATCTCGGCTGTGTCGCTTACCTGTTTTGACGTCAAATGAGCAGACATATGCCCAGAAGTTTTTAGCGACGGGCGGATCGTGTTCGAGGTTTGTGAAAACAAGTAGGAGGTTTGTTTCGTTGATGTTCTCAATAACATCCTCCCAATTAAGCAAGCCTGTATGGATATCCGCAAAGAAGTGGTCGTTCGCAATGGAAAGTAAAAACTCAGTAATCTGTGGACGGGAATGGGGATCTTCAAGTCTAAATTTGATATATTGCCGTGCTTTAAAGAAATAAAAAACAGCCAGTCCCGCGTTGGGGGAGCGGAACCAGGTCTCTAAAATGTCATTTGCCCCCCGGTGATGAGATATATTGGCCATCCGATTCAATGGTGCAATAAAGCTTTCATCCTCGAAGCCCGGTGCAATTGGTGGGCGGATAATCATCTCGTGGCTAGCGGATAACGTTGTCTGTAACTGCATATTAGGGGCGTCTTCGTGGCTAATAGATCGGCTTCTCTGCGGTTGCGTATTAGGGTCCTCTTCTATGGCGGCGACCTCGCAAACGTCGTTTGTAGGTGTTCCTGGCGGATGGGGCTCCATTGGCACGGGCGATGACGCGTCCCAAAGCGAATGGAAATCGATTGTGGTCATATCATGGCCTAGAAAGCTGAAAATCATGTCTCGTAGAATGGCAAATGAAGACGGACACTCCCCTATGGGTTGATTGGGGCTGTATATATGGGGGAGAAACAGTGATTGACGGTTAATCTGGTGTGATTTGAAGTAAGGTAATCCGCATCTTTTTGGTTTTCTCAACACCAGACTGTCTGACGTGAAACTTGGGACAGTTACTTGATAGTCTGTTTTCTCCTCCAATGGTCTTATATAATCTAGAACTCGGCTGGAAACTCTTTCCTCCCAGCGAGCAGGGAGGTTGTATATGTCTGCGGGACGACGGCCAAGCAGATATGCCTTAACGTTAGGTCTTAGGGTAGTATCACTGCAAAGAGATTCGATTGGGATCGATTGAAACCCTAACCGCCTTGCAAGTAGGCCGAGCCGATGATTTGCTTCCCTCTGGGTTGCTCTGAACACATGCGCTTCGTTTTCGTGTTCTTGATGTCCGGCCAGCTTGGTATTGGTGAGGCTCTCGATGTGTCGTATGGCGAAACACCAAAGTTGCACGTACGCTGAGTTTAATCTCTCTGATTGTAGTTGGTTTTTCTCAATATTGCTGGCGTCTATGTGTTCCACTACACTTTCGGAAACTTGGACAGGCCAGTCCATCCCACTGTAGTGGAATCGGGATAGGATCGCATGGCGCAAATCCTTGACCCTTCCCGGAACTAATAGACTAAGAGCCCTAGAACAGGGATGCCATAATAACGTATCTTGAATCATTGAATGGAGGGTCAAGATCCTACCGGAAATATTGGTTATATTTTCACCTAATATTTCTCGATCTGCGGCCCTTGATATCGATGGAAAAAGAAAGCCATCATCCATCAATTGGGTTATTAGAGAACGATCCATGCTCGATTGTCGAGGCATCAAGTTTTCGATCGAACGAATCGACCGTACATCAACAGATCCAGGGGTGTCATGAAATAAGCTCGACCATATCTGATATATGCGATTCAAATAGTGTGCGACTTCCTGCACAGCCAGCATTAGTAAGTAAAACAAGTAATTTTTCTCTTTATTTTTCCTTGGACTAACCTTTGGGCAACTGATTTGTAAGATTCGTCGAATGAAAGTGAAGCAAAAGTCCACCCAGAGCCCCGGGAACACGATTAACTGGTCAAGACAGCGCACGATCTCCGCATTATTTTCTTTCAGCCTTTTGATATCTTTGCGAGAACGAGGAGATATCAATGATTGCCAGAAAGTGGTGTCGGCATTCCCAGTAAGCTCACAGTGCCTCCAGTTACGAAAGATATCCCCAGGGCTGAACTGCGGATCTCTATGAATGCAGAGCTGGGATCGGAGCTCATCTGAGATGTCTTCAATTCCTTAGTTCACGAAGCGTCTTGCCGTCTTAATAGACATACCTTCTGAATAAAGAGCAAGAGACCACCAACGATCACCGGGAAGAAGGGCGTGTCGGGCAGCCTCCACACGATGTTTTCCGTACAAACACAGAAGTCGAATGTCATCCGGAAAAGTAAGCCACGGCAACTTTGTCTCGTCCTTCAAAATGCCAGGGCTGGTATTAGACTGTGTGATGACTTGTTCCAGCAGATCATCACTGACCACCGCTGCGATAAAATTTTGGGGTTCCTCGCGAGCGCATTCGTAGTTTTCAAATTTCTCCTGTAGAATTTTGAAATTTGAAGGATCAAACACTCTCTTTCCAAAGAGTGAAAATTGGAATTCAAGATGTCTGAGCTCGACTTTTGCATATCCACGGAAAAAATGAGATAGCTCGTTGGCCATGAGTTATTGACCAGTGTTAGAGAAGGAAAGAGGCGTGAATTCGCATTTATTTATACCTGCGTCATCCCTCGTGTCTCCAGACAATATCCGTCACGAGACTACTCCATTCTCGAGATAGACATGGATCCAAGAATCCAGTCTTGGCCTTATTGTCATGGGTGGATTGGCTTAAGGCAAATTACCCAAGCCAAGGCTCGTGTACCCATTGGGCTGTGCCTTCTGTCACGGGCCTTCTATTGTCTCAGGTCTACTGTCTTGAGACAAAAGCTGTCATGACTCAGCTCTCCTATTACAAGCGAAGGCTTGAGACTACAATGGAGCTAAGAATGTTGGCATATCTGAATGACTATCATGAGACTGCCGTTACCCCTCGCGTCGTTGAGACGACGGTGCCACCCTGGCCTCCGGCGGGGCAGGCGTTTCGTGACTGCGGTCCATTTGTGACGGCAGTCCTGTTCTGACGGCAGTCGTAATGAAGCTACAGTCTTTTTCTGACCGCGGTCGTTTCGTGACCGCAGTCCTGCTTTGGCGGCAGTCCTGTTCTGACGGCAGTCGTAATGTGACTGCAGTCTTTTACTGACCGCGGTCATTTCGTGACCGCAGCCCTACTCTGACCGCAGCCCTTCACTGACTACAGTCCTACTTTGACGGCAGTCCTACTTTGACGGCAGTCCTACTTTGACGGCAGTCCTACTTTGAAATTAGTCCTACTTTGACGGCAGTCTTACTCTGACGGCAGTCCTACTCTGACGGCAGTCCTACTCTGACGGCAGTCATAATGTGACTGTAGTCGATTTCTTGCCGCAGCCCTACACTGACAGCAGTCCTAGCGAACCCTCTCCGGCCGTGATTCTGTCGTGATGACAGGACAATCAAACTACGGGTATTCCGAACGACATAGTTTCAGCTAATCGTACTGATAATTTCCAGTGAAATCTATTGTGAGCTCATAGTTTGCTTTAACTATCTATCCTTTAAATTTTGCAGCATATTCCATTGCCCGGCATACAAAAACGCGTAGACGACCAACGCCTGGAGACTTCAGGAGGAAGTCATTCTGAAATTGTCAGCCTGTTCCCGTATACATACAAGTCACATTGACCCACTTCAAGCAACTCAGCAACTGAGGATTTTCCTGTCATTTTGATAAAGTCTCTGCAGAGTTCGCTAACATCCTCTTCACGAGTAAGTTGGAGGCTCTGGGGGTTTTGACCGTGAGTACCTGGCTCTTTTATATCTACTAGAAGTATACCAACAGCGCGGATATCATCATCAAAACTCATTGACGTGGGTTGAAGCACAGAGTCCGCAATATTGGCTAAGAAGGTATCAGAGCAAATACTTCGACTCGGATTTATTTAATCACCTAATTTCAAGTCACCTGTATAGAATGAGAGAAGCAGATTCCTAGCATTCAGTTGCCCATAGACTATCCCAAGCTGATTGTGGATGTACTGGAGTCCCTGCAAAACCTGTACAAACCGTGTCAGCATACGCCTTGCATATGAAGCATGTAGGGAACAATTAACACCTCTTTGCTTATAATTGCAAGCTCTATCTCGGTGATTTCTTCTCGACTAGCCGCCTTTACATGGTACAGGGAAGTTTCTAGATATTCATAGACCGGACGCGTGGAAAAAGTTCCAGTGAATATGTCCAGCAGACGAACAACATTGGTCGGGTTGTCTTGGAGTATCTGTGAGAGCTGACGGCGCTGGACTGAACTGACCTGAACCTTAAGCTTTTTTACCACGACGATGTTGTGATCGATCGTGTTGTCGTGTGCGATTATGCCAGTACCAGCTTGATCTGATGAGAAAATCAGATGATACTTTTGCCATAAAATTTCCACTGGAGAACCGGTTTCACTGGGACTTGGGATGACAGGGAATCGAAGGTTTCTAAGCTTAGAGTCACCAACTCTTCCCTGCCCTGCCTCGAAATGGTGCTTTGTTTTTTGTAGGGTATTCGGTCTTGCCAGTGGCACATGATTAATTTGCTGCGCCTGTGATTTCTCCAGCGCTTCTCCGTCTTCAGATTGAGTCTCTTGACCCTGCAAGGTATGAGGGAGTATAGTATCGCGGTAGTTGGAGTTCTTCAAAGTCTTAGGGTGATTCATAGCAACAGTTATAACTCAAGGTCTATAACAGCACGAGACGTGGCACAAGAAGTAGCAGTGTAATAGTGGCGACCTGACGGTGAGAATGGTTGTGCTGGATATATCTAAGCGTGTTGTCATTGATTAGCAGGGATATTGTTAGCGCATCCCCGCTGTACATACAGTGTTCTATTGTCTTACCACTTTTATTGTTCCGTGCCCCTAGTGTTGTTTCATTAGGGTTGAATCGACGCGAACTACGTTTCTGTCTTTTGGATGCAGCTGAGAACAGACCCTTCTTTGAAGCGATGCCGTATGATAAATACAGATATACATGAACACGGTCAAAATACAGGTAAACGGTGCTGAATGCCAACTAACAGCCTTTCGCTTCCTCGGCTAGATCGCAAGACTCATGTAGCATTACATGAATGAGCGCGGTCACGTTGATGACGCGCATTGTTTGTCAGATCAGGAACACCTGCACCAAGGACGAATCTGAAAACCGGAGTAATCTAAATTTGCGCTTAGACTTTGTACAGTCCATTTAATACCTCGAGTTTGCGTGGCATGCGTAACCGCAGCCGAATGCAGAAAGTTCCTACAGTATCAATATTTACATATTCTTTCAAATCATATCCCCAGCTATTTTGTTCATGCAATAAAACCTTAACCCGAGATGTCCAAAAAAAAAAAAAAATAAATAAGGGATGAAATACGCAGCCACCGTAAGTTACTCGGTGGTCCTTTGGTCCGGCCAAAGGAAAGAATATCAGATTGTTTGTTTAACGCAGTAACTATAAGTTATAAAACAGTGGAATACACACCATCCTTTACCTCGGATAATAAAGAATAATAAACAGATAACCACGCATCCAGTCCATGTCATAAACAACATAAACATTTCTTTGACCCACTGGCGGTAAAGGAGATTTATCTGTCCAAGTGCTGTAATTAACAGGGTACCCCTCACGCAAAGATGCAGGAACATTAACAATGTATGTAATAATCTTATTAAAGTATGTAGTAAATAAACCATCACGGGTAGATTAATAATGATAGTAAAATTAAAACAAGGATTCTAGCACTGGCCGATGTAATAGATGTGGTCCATCTGATCCATGATAAAATTACGGTATTTCCATCTAGTCTGGACGATAACCTAATTCACCAGGGTCCTCTAAGATTGTGGGGCATTTTTTCTGGTGCAATAAGGTTATGTCTATCACCTCAGTCTTTCAGGCCGGGAAGTCGGAAAGTGGATCGATCCATGGATCGACGAGCCATGCATCATTCCAGCGATGATCCCTCTCTGTCATGTCATTGGGGTTTATCCGAGGATGCTGATTACAGGAAACTTTGCTTATCCGGTAAAATAACAATGCCCAGCTCGATAAGCAATTTACCATACGTGTGGGGCCTTGATCGCCGAAGGATGCACTATACTAGCACAGCATTAAGTACTGGGTGGAAAATTACCAACTTACCTTAGACTATAATCACCAAATTAGATTATTTACCATGTAGAGGGATATTATATCCATGAAAAAGTACCAAAATTACATGACGTTATATTTGTTGTTTTCAAGGAAGTGGTAATGCCCACAGACCCTTGATCGGCAACAGCTCGTGTATATTACAAAGCACACACTATTAAATAAGGCCAACGAATGTTGAGCGTGGCGTTAAATTACCAAAAGTACATGATGTCATATCTAATGGTCGCACAAAATAACAAAAATTACAGCGCACAGGCAGCGATTTACCTCCCCCCACAGGAAGCAGCGAGCCTTGGTTGGAAAAAAATATTATATCGATAAAATTGTAAAGGGCTAGAGCCCGTTTGACCTCTCGAGCCAATGTCCTCATTACCCCAGTTGTCCCTGTTGTCCCTATTGGCCCTATTGGCCCATCGGCCCATCGGCCTCGATGTTAGGGACCTACCATATTCGGTAAGGTCACGTGGCCTTACTTAGTCACCCATCTACATAAAAGTTAGTCAGCTCGGGGGGGGCCCAAGCCCCCTGAATTGAAGAGAATTGTGCCTCGCGAACAGCCTTGTTTGTTTGCCGCTCATTTTCCTTTTCCGTTTTCCCCTACAACGATTCCTCTTTGTACATAACCTATCGTATAGGTTCTACGGGTTCAGTCCCCGACAATATTACTGAGTGAAATTACCAGCAAGCTCGTTGAACGTGGAGTTGGTATTAATAAAATTTAGAACTATCTACATGGCCTTATGCATCTCAGTTAATCTAACTAGAGCCAGATTGTGGAGGGTTAGACCCAGAATAACCCACAAGTTTAAGTGGGTTGCCTCGAAGCGGCAGTGCTGTTTGTGGCGCAGACTTACCGGTAAACCCCACAGCTCGCTGTATATAAAACATGGAGTGCCCCAGATAAACAGCAAATCTACACTATATTCTTTGTGCATGAGAGGTATCTATTTACTTTGTAGCCTTCTCTTTACCAACCTATTATATTATTTATAAGTTGACTTCACGTACAATCCTCTCTTCCTATGCCTCAGAGCGGTCCGGCCGAAAGGTAGCACAATATGGACAACCCCTCGTACCTCCGCGGTTGTGCCGAAGAAAACCACTACGAGAGCCTACAAAGACACTTTGCTATGCCGCTCCGCATCCAACCCGCCTCTACTGATACTGCATGCGTCTTCGAATTTCTCGATCTCTTCCATCAACGTAGAGTTCGGCAACTCACCCAGCTCACACCAGATGACTGTCGTCTTTTTTGCTGGAAGGACTGCGCTATTTATAGCAAAAATAAGCTGCCGTTGTCTGACAGTCTCTCACTGCTGGATAATATATACCGGGAGTGGTTCCCACATCGGGCGGCAGACAACGATGTCAGTGATGGGAGTTTTTTTGCTAAATACATGTATTTCGCACAAGACACGGCTGGGACACTCCAGGACATCCTGCATTTTCATCAGGTGCTCTGCGAGAAGTTGCGCGAGCTGGAAAGGGAGATGCCCCCCACACTGCCAATTAATCCATGTCATGTTTTTGTGGGCCAGCCGAAGCCTAGGGTGGCTGAGTATAAACTGCGAGAGTCGTTTTCATTGGTTTTCATTGTACTGGATGCTGGGTGGCAGGAGCAGGGTGTCCTGCTTGTATGGAGAAGCCAGGATGATGCGTTAAAATATAATTGCAACGAAGATCGAGAAATCACGGGATATAATAATGGTGGTAATTTAGGCCAAGCCTGTGTATTCCGGTGTCCACTGAAGCGCGCGATGCAGCTGATCGTCTCAACAGACCCAGAGAGGGCGAAACAACAGGTGGAATACAACGAAGTTTTCGAGGAAAACCTTGGTGAAGTTAATGACGGCGAGCAGAAGGAGCACCTCCAAACAATTTAAAATCTGTGAGCTGAGTTTCTGTCGAAGTTTTATTCTGAGGCATATGTATTAGTTTCTCATATCGTCGAAGTCAAATCATCAAATCTGTATTGACTTTATGAGTCTATGAAGTAGTAAATTTATATGAACCTGTTCCTGACATCTGTGCATGTAGGATGGTTGAATGGTTAATAGTGAAAAAATCCAATACTGTACTGCCATGAAGCTTTTATCCAAAGGTAGCCCACATAGTAAATGAACGCCCAAAGTCATCCCCTATTGTCGTCGCACTAATACTAATAATCCCCTTTCCTTTGAGGGCTACCTTGTTGTCCGTTAAGAAGTGTTGTATTCCATTTCCATTCGGGCTCCCTAGTAGTGCCCAGAAAGGATTTGAGTCCTGGTTAGAATCAGTGGGGTACCATGTCTGGATGGAGGTAATATCCTTGCCAGCAAAGGCCTCAGTTAGGATAGATACAGTGTCGGAATTGTCAATCTCACGACGCCAGAAAGACTTAATACCGGAATAATCTGCTTGTGATGGATCTGCCACCCAGTTTGGATTCTCCGCTAGCACAGTTCTCTTCCACATTTCCCAGGCGACCGAGGAGAACTGCCAGGGGATGGGATCCCGGCCATTCGGGAATGTGCTAATGTAGCGAGGGTCGGCCGGGTCCGAGGGTAGGGCACCACGGTTGTTCGCGTTGGCTAGAAAGACGCCCTGGCTGGCGCTGATGGTGTTAGTGAAGTCGGAAATGGGGTTATCCTTAGGACCATACGCCGAGACGGCGTAGTACTCCCGGCCGATGCTGTATCCTGCACCTTCCAGTACGGGTCGAATGCCCCTTACTGGTTGTACACGTTTTACGGGTGAATGTAATTCGAAGTCATTATCAAAGTTGCATTGGTAGACAGTGTCCTCACCCGCCTTGTCTTGCCAGGCTTTGTAATATCGGGCTCCGCTCGGCGCATACTTGACCCAGGCTGCACCGTGATTGATGCGACGGCTCAATGCTCCTTGCATCTTAAAGAGATGCTCGTCAATCGGAGTCGGATTATAATTGGCAGTCGTCGGTGAAGGATTACTTTTCACATCTTCTCGGCCTATTTTGTCGTCATCGCCGTGCATGTCCCGTTTTCCACTACTGGCAGCCAATGCCGAGCACTCAAATTTGCAATCCATCTGGCGATTGGGGAGAAATTTATCCCCAAATATTAGGGTTCCAAAGATGTCATTGGCATTGCCATCATCCCAGTCTCCAACAGAGCATTGGGATGAACTGGTGTCCCACTTTTGCGAGGCGTACGCGAAATCAACTGGACCATGCTTGTATATCGGCCTCATCGGGATAGGTCCACCCACTCTCTTTCTAAGAAATGTCCCAAACAAGCGCCTCCGGCTGCTATATTTCTTTTGCGGAGTCACCTGCAGGGTCCATGGGAGCTCACTGTTGGTCTCCAGGGTTTGACCCCAGTCCAAGGAGCCGGAGTTATTACCAATACTGTTGCCGTCCGCATCTGTGATTATGACGTTGATGATGACCTGGGGATCGCTTATTTCCTGCCCAAGGGCTTCCCAGATATGCACATTGCACTGCCCAGGAGTGTACGGGAGTGAGGGCGGCGGCGGAGGAGTAGCAGTTGATTGCTGTGGATTGTAGGAGCTGGTAGGTTGGACGGTGTAAGCACAGTTCAAGAGCCCGTCCGCTGTGGGACTGAGGGTGGGAGCGGGCGTGCCACCACAGTTGCAGTAGGCGGACTTTCCATCACTGGAAGCTACTGCCGCACAACCTGGTACCCCATATTTACCTGGGATGTTCATTGGCGGCGCGCTTATAGTCACTGGCTGGATGGTTGATGCCGGCAGTGATGTGTATGCGCAATTTGCAGTTGTAGCATTAGAAGTTGCCAGCAACGTTGGGTAGGTTGAGCTCGGTCCACAGTAGCACCAGCTGCTCGGACTGAACCAGGGAGCCCCATCTGCCATGCAACTGGGGGTGGTTGCGGACACACTGACTGTGAGTGGTGTACGCAAAGGGTTTTCCGAGCTAGGACCCGTGATCAAAGGTCCTGAATGACTAGCCCTAGTTCCCAGGGAAGCTCCCCGGGGTACAGACGAGCCGTTTCCAGGTCCCTGGTGCATAGAACTAGGCACAGGTACCAGACGTGCAGAAGAGGCCACTGCAGATCCTTGAAGTACGGTAGAACTCGTGCCTAGCCGCGATGGTGCTAAGGATCTGTTGGTAGCGGACGCAGGGCCCGATGCTCTAATGCTACCAGGGGAAGCCTGTCCAAGGGTCTGGTAAATGGGAAAGTCATCTCCATCCACCACGTTGGCCCAACCGGTTGCTTGTCTGCAAGCAGCGGTGACAGTGGTTGTGCTAGCTGCTGCAGTCTCTGTGATATCACCACACGAACTAACGGTTTTTATCTCTGCTGATGTCGTGCAGGTTGTGATAGTTGTGGATGATTTATGAAGGTGTGTAGCGACCGGGGTACACTGGACCATTTTATTTGTAAACGTTGTGGTTGTGGCAGAAGTGCACGATGAGGCTCTCGTAGATTGCGTTGTAGTTTGAGAATGGTCTCTGGTCACTGACTGACTTGTGGTTTTTGACATGCTTCTTGTTGAATCATCATTATCATTATTGTTATTGTCGTTTCCATTATCATTACCCCCACCTCCTCTGCCGCCGCCGCCCGAGGGTGGTGCGTTACAGTTAATCAGGCAAGGAATTGTGACAGCCCGTGAAACTCCTGGGAGATTAGAGTATATTCCTGGCGTGCTAATACCATATAGTGCCATGCCACCAACAACGGGAAGAATAGTCTGATGGCTATTCTCTGTTGTTGTTAACAGAGTATTTTTAGAGTTAAGAGATGAGATACTGATAGAATAAAAACCTTCTGGAACGTCTGTGAAGGTCAAAAGTGGCAATGTTGGTGTAATCTTAGACATAGTTTTTGATACAGAATTGGGTACTGTGCTGCTGATAGCAACGGAGGCAGGAGGTCTAGGCAGTGTAGCCAATGCAGTTGACCCTGGCTTTGAATCAGGCACTATTGGCCCAGAGGAAAAAGACAGGATAGACTGTGCTCGTGGCTTCCCCACTGTAAATGATGCGATTCCATGTTTAGACTCAGTGACACCAGTCAATTCGCCGGTCGAATGACTAGCAGATAGAATTATCGATGATGAGAGTGCCACATTAATAGTTGATGTAGTAAGCGGGTGGCTTTGAAGGCTCGAAGGATTAGTTGTATCATCATCTTTATTTGACCGAGACGAACTTTTTCTAGCCGTTGAGACATCTGTAGTTGGGGTACTGTGCCTAGTAGATCGGACAGGTGAGTGACTTCCCGTTTTTAAAGCAATATTAGTGCTACTAGCAGGTATTGCCGCACTGCTCCCTATGATTCGGGAGCTGGGGTTAACACTATGATCAATAGCATGGCTGGATGGCTGAGAGCGAGAGGCTGGGAATACCAGGGGGGAAGTTGGAACATGGCTGCCAGAATTTATGGAAATTGTCAGGCTAGCTACATGCTGCCCCAGTAGTGTAAAGAGTCCAAGGAAGCTGCGCATGGTATAGGTACAGGACCACAAAGGGAAAAATAACAAAAAAAAGTATGTTGACTGAATGGAATTATAAAACAAATGCTCTTTTCAAAACAAGACAAATAAAAGTGAATACATGCACGAACTCTAGGTGCTGCGACATTATATATACATATAGAAGGCTTATATCTCTCCGCTTGTTAATAATTATAACCAAAGTCCTTGGTGGATTATAGAGTTGAGCTAACTGTACTTGTGGGTCTAAGAGCCAGGCTTGGCTATGTGAAATTGCAAGGAAAGTTGTCCGACATGAAGTTGGTAATAGAGCTATTACCAGGAACCTGTATGTGTATCTCAATTTATTCCTAGCTGCCGCAGATCGTTCTTCCTAGAAACCAGAAAGGTCTAGGCCCCTGAATAATGCCTCTAGTCTACATAGGCTAACATGAGGCGTACTGTCATTAATTCCTACTCTTGTCCGTATATTACGGGGCCGAACTAGAGCTGCATCCAGTTATTACCGCTAGTCGGCCTTTAACTAATCTACAGAATTGCCTGGCTAATTTACCAATAAATTACTAGTTAAGGTCATCTGCTTAATGTTCCCTTGAGCACATGGAAATTTCCTTAAAGTGGAGGAGGCATACATAGGTCAGGCAGGAAGCTGGCATGGTTACAATACCAAGTTGGCAAAAGGATAATAATCTTGCTATGTAATAATCCTATTAAGCTATTTTGGAAATACAAAGTCCTAGTCCGAAGCTTACTAGGAAAGGCGCTAAGCATGATTCTTTGCCTCCACTACATCGCCTCCAATGTAGCAAAAGTAGCCGATCCTTTTTACGCATGGCATATCAATTAGGATATAATCATGGAAAAGCTTTCTAGTTTTTACATATTAATATTTTATCAACCCTTCACTGAGTGCGTCAAAAAATTAATCTAGCAACAATATCTTCTTACTCCAGATACTAACTATTAGAAAGGCAAGTCTTGCCTCGGCGTTAGTATGGGCTCTGAGAGTATAGGAGAAAGACCATGGTCTTATAAATTTCTTGACTGTTGCGCTGACACCAGCATATGTATGTACTATATACAGGCTCTTACCAGTTTCTAATTTAGATTGTAGGTATGTGTGCGACACTTCTGCCATGCTATCTATTTGGGAACACTATATCGCGGCTAGACTATCCTGAAGGGGTTGAAAAGAGTTGCTGTCAGGGATGCAACAGAAACGTATGTCCATATTCTATAATACTATATTATTCTGTCTAATAGCTAACGTGGGCATTAGTGCTGTCTGCTTGCATGTCTCGGCTCTTGTGGCTTACACTGGGTGCCACTAATGAGAAAGCGGCATATGATACGCAAGAAACTTCATATCGTAGGCTCTATATATGGAGATTTCCTGGGTTCCTTTTTCTGTCCCTGTTGTGTTTTGGTCCAGCAGGAACGAGAAGTGCAGAAATACCAAGAGCAAACAATGTATGAGGGTTATCAGTTAAATGAATATATGATGTACTAAATAGTCATTGACTGTATTATATTTTATTACATATATATATATAAATAATTAAAAACATGCAGAAGTCCTCCATCGGATTGGGTACCTTTGATATGTCAATATCATCCTCCAGGGGGAGGACAGGGGGAGGATGATATTGACATATCGAAGCCACCCACTGGGAATCGAACCCAGTCCCTCCAGAGGAAAGTAGCAGTGTTTTATCACTAGGCTACCAGCATACCATTTATAGGTATACTTATTGCAAAACTGGTGCACGGGTTTTACTCTCTTCGATTCTTTCTTGAGAGGTGCGCTAATGGTTAGGAACCACATTACAGTGAAGAACTATTCTATCAGGTGACCTCGCTTGCCTCAGCATTAGAGTTCACGTATTGCATCTAGGTACTATTAGTTCCATGGAGCTCAGTAGGATAGATCATTCTTACGAGTATCCTCTCACATTATCCATACGTATAGTTCAGCATCAAAAATGTACTTTGGGCGTAGTCCGCCTTGTATGAAGACCAGTTCAGGGTAGATTTTACCCTAGTTCTAAACACCTATTCTTGACCTCTTCCAGAAAAGATCTTCTGTCCGAGTCACCATAACAACGCCCTTCTACCTTCTTCCTTTCCTCCTTATCTTTAGTATTCTTGATATAGGACTCAATATGATTTTATTAATCTGATCCGCCTGCCGTTAAACACGTGCATAATGTATTAGAGAAACAGACACCCTGATAGCTTGGATCAACTGGTTAAATAGTCCTAATATAACTTCATCCACAACTAGCTAGTATACCATGCAGGCTGCACGACTTTAGGCCAAGAGTAAACGTCGTCGCAGCATGTCAACATCTTCATAGGTTTTCCCAAGCTTTTTATTATAAAATACATGCTCCCAACCACGTCGAGTCTTAACGCCTTCGACACGAACCTCCCAGCCCGGCTTAAGTGTCCAGTCTGGGTTGAAAACCTCCTTATCCCAGTCTGTCTGCTTCCAATTCGGATCCGCATCCAATACGAAATGTTTAGAAACTTTCTTCGCACCTCGATGCCATGCTAATGCAGTCAGTACAGCTCAAGATTAATTATTACTGTGCAACTCACGCATTAGCACCTTTAAAAATTTTCCCATAGTTTGAATATGTTTCCTGGATGATATCTGTATATGATGTAGAATTGTTGATAATGATTAAACAAGGACCTATCCAGAGACCACATTATCTATTATATATCATATCATCTACAGAAGATAAATAATACAAGTGTTATAATATTCTGTCTAGCTAGTATTTTATTAATTTTAAAGGAAAAAAGGGCTTAGTATCCCCAGAGCATAGGCTGCACAGCGTTCTCAGCAAGGCAGCGCTAACATGAAACCTTTTTTTTATTTCTTTTTTTTACGATACTAATCTACGTGAATTCATAGAATGGAATAGTCTATGTGTAACAGTGTAAGTTACCTAGCAGATCATGTTATTACATATTAAAGGCGGCTTTAGAGATAGAGCTAACACCTATTAAATACAGTAATTTAGTGAGCCCCTTAATATTACCGCGCACAGGGATATTATATGCAAGAAAAAAAGTACCAAAATTACAAGATGTTGGTGCTTTCAAGGGAGTGGGCAGTTTGACAATGCCGATCCTGATCGGCGACCACTCGTGTATGTTATCAAGCACGCCATTAAATAAATATCTGAGGCTGCGAAGGAGAGGATGGCATTAAATTACCTAAAATTACATGATGTCATATCTGATGGTTGGCCTCCCAAAAAAAAAAAAAAAATTACAGCGCACAGGCCCGAAACTAAAGCCATATGTCAGAGTGCTGATTTGCGGTTAGCCCATGCGAGTCAGCTATGGGTACCAGCTCTGACCACCAAAACTGGCCGAGCTACAAGCCGATCGCCAGTTCTAATTCTCCAGAAGGCGTGTAAAATTGAACCCCCTGACCCAGTGACCGAAAGTCCAAAGGGGGAACAGTAAAAAATACCAGTGCCACGGTTAGCTTCTCCCGTGATTGAACCCCACATTCGAGAATCTTTCTGATAAGTTAATATATGATACATACACCGAATTCTCGTCGATCGTAAGATCAGGATCAAAGTCCAATCCTATAAATAAATCAAGAAGGGGCCAAAAAAAAAAAAAAAAAAAAAAAAATTTCCGGACTGTATGTCGTTGCACGAAGCTCTACGTAGTAGGTAAAGTATTGCATACATTAGGCGCGCATTAATGACCTGCATTATATGAGACTTCAGCATTAGCCGGTATGTCTTCCTCTTAGAAGGTAATTTACCTGAGCTACAACGTCATTTTAAAACAGATCTAGATTCTTCCACCAAGCAAGATTTGGTGGAGAATCCTTCCAGCAAAAATAAATGATAAAAAATGCTCCTAAAGAACCGAAGTTATCTGACTTCTCTAGCTTTGAGTGAAATGGATATTGACTAGAGATAGAAGACCCACAACCACGAACAATACTTGACCTCTTCAAGCACTGTAATTAAAGCGATCCCAACCCCGAAGTCAAAATGGATAAGACATTAAGCCCACAGCTATCGTATTATACACATCCCCTTGTGCAGTCAAAATAATAATAATAATAATAATAATAATACCACTAACTCTATTTCCGTAAAATAGACTATGCTTCTTGACGTACTAACAATACAAATAAGGCACAGTAATAAACATTTTTGACCCACTGATAGTTAACATTTATACGAGGGCAAGAGTTTACCCACTTACCCACAGGCAATAATCCTGATCAAAGTATTGTGTGTAATAAATCAACTCTATCTTACTACCGATGGAAAAAAAATAAAAAATAAAAATTTTTAGGACAAAGGCGACTCATAAATTGCCGTTTTAAACAAGGCCTAGCTGCTCCAGCAAACAAAATTACTCCTTGTCTGACCACTCACGACTAAAAAAATTTACGGAGCTGTAGACCACCAGCCTCCAGAATACCTAGAAGATGTGTAAATTCGAGAAAGATAAAAAGCTGCTTCCCATGGCTCAATTGCGGTGGAGTAACCGAGGTTGGTTTCCGTCCGGCCCGTTCCCTGAAAGAACTGTGGACAGCAAAATGACAATACGGCGCTTCGGAGACGTTCAATTAATCACTTTAATATTAATATTTACTATTATTATTAGCAAATATTACTACCATCATTACTATTATTAATATTACTATTGTGAATATTTCTCCACTTCGAGCACAAGAAGAATACACGGAAGGTCTATGTGATATGCTTTCTTACGACGTGCTGATAGTCTATCAGTTGGGGACTTTTCATTTGCCCGCCCTATACACAGTGAATTAATGGATGCTTGTTTACTGGTTGCTGCTAGATCCGTAGCCGTACTTTGAATTTATCTGATTTATCACTAAGCTAGGCTGCTAAATCCTAAACATCATGGTCAGATTCTTACGCGCGGTTTAAGCCATATGGCGTTATGCCTGTTGCGCTGTAGTTCTTCAATTGAGCTCCTCATGTCTATGTAACGCTTGATTGAGGTATCCCGGTCTCTTAAATCCATACCAGTAGACTGAAGGTGTTAGGAGCGCTCGGAAGCGCGATAGCTAGATCCTTAGCTAAGATGCTTAGTCAGGTGCGAAGTGTTTATATTCGCACCCGCGGGCCTGAACTCTTGAAGGCCAGCGATTAGTTCTGCAATATACGTGGCTCTATCTTCTCTCCTATATAGACACTCCCTTTCGCACCGTAGCGCCCCATTCAGCTCGTTACCGACCCCCCACGCATAACAGAAGGTCTGGTTTGTAGGAAAACTTGTCGAATAAAGGACAGGAAAATTTCGAGTGGAATAATGCCCACAATCCTAGCAATTGATTTTATGAGGAGCAAAAAACTCGTTTCCTCGAAGGTATAATACAAAAATCAGGGGAAATGATGTAATTGATACAGTTCTTCTCTTGCGGACTTTTTTAACTAAGAATAGCTTGACGATGTACAAGAGTTAGCCCTCACCTGCGCCTCGTAGAGGCCGCCAGGGCGTCGATTTATTGTAACTTCGTCAAGAATCCTAGAGTCCAGAATCCGAGTCAAGCTGTCAAGTATGGATTGCGCATTTGCCACGGATAGGTATATTCCATTTTCGTTTATCTTCTCATGTAGTAACCAAGGGTCTTCTAGATGGAGGAAGCGGAGTGAAGAGGCATGTTTTCTGACAAAATCCTCGAGATTATCTATGGCTAGCCAGCAACTTGCTAATTCGAATCGTCGGAGAGATGGGAGAGAAACCTGGCTGAAGAATTCCAACATCGTGGGGCTGTTGATTGCTCTTAGTTCAATAATGTCGCTGAGGGCAACTTCCATCAGATCTTTTAAGAGGGGGTCGGCCAAGTCGATTCGAGAATAAAACCCCGACACCTCGAATGTTCTTATAACCACGCCATCTAACCTGGCTACAGCCACCGCTGCTGCCATTTTCACCAAATGATCAGTGAGGGAATGCATGTCGTCTAAAAACATGCGGCCTGCGAGCCAATGAAATTGGCTATGAATACCGTCTATGAAGCGCATATAAATTGTATCCAGGTTGGAGAAACAAGGGATTGATGTAAGAAGGGCCTCTGTGTCTTGAACTCTTTGTTGGACTAGACGTTGTTCTCGCGCCCGAGTGCTAAAATATGCGAATATAGTCAAGTACGAAACCTCCTGGCCCCGGAAGGTCCAGAACGACTCCCTACGGTCGCTTTCATACTCAGCATATGTATAGACGTGTGATCGAAAATAGTCCCAGTCCTCAATAACTGAGATGAAAAGTTAGCAAACCCGTAGTCAACTTCAGATTGAGTAACTGACGTGGGTGTATTTTCTCCGGAACCTCATAATAAATCTCACGAACATGTTGCGCTATCTGGGATCGCGATATTTGTATCAAATCGTCCAGCCCAGCTGTCGAGAAGGACACCTTTAGCGTACGGAATAAGTGAGGAGAACATAGTTGGCGGAGTGTTCGATTGACCAACGAGAGAGAAGACAAAAAATCTATCTTTTTAGCGAATTCGATAATATGCATCAAGAGTTCAAGCGGCAGGCTACCTAGGTTGGGTCGGCATCTTTGGATTCCATTCATATCTGTGCTTGGATTTCTTCTCTCTTGAGGGCTTTGTTTCAAGAAACTTATTAATGAAAAAAGGCCGTTATAATGTCTATCGGTTTCTTTATCCTAACCGCTGGGCTGTAGATTTGTTGTCGAAGTATAAATCTGCGATGTACTGTACCTTAATACTTAAGGCCTGACATAATAAATGTTAGCGGGACTCAAGCCGGATAGGGAGAAAAAAATAAATAAAAAAATTGAATAATACGCCCCAGCCAGCTTATTGGAAAATGGATGCAGATAAAAAAAAAAACTGCGCAGATCACCGGGTAAAATGAGGCGTTTCCAACTCAGACAAATGAGTGGAAAGGGTTGTGAACAACTGGGTAATCTTGGGCCAGGATCCGCAATAGTTTCTTACTTTCTGCCCTAGTAATGATACCGATGGATAGACACGTGTTATAATATATATATACATATAAGTGAAGGTCGTCGAAATTATGGCTATGAGCATAGAAAAACAACGGGTGTTTCAACATTCACACTTGGTCAGTCTTACTATAACCAATTCATTATCGGTAAGCTTAGATTTCCGGTAGTTGCAGACGTTCGGCCTTAACATGTATTCTCATTTTACAGCGAATATTCTGTGTCCATGTCGACCGTTGTCCACACCTCGATTACGGCACCACCAGTATCAGCAGGATACTCTAATCGAGTTATGAATTATGGAAATTGGCATCTGCAAATCACCTCGATCCTGTATGACACTTCCAAGGCTGAAAGCTACTCGCAGGCGAGTGTCACTCTGACTGGGACATCTACTGTTCACGAGATTCGGACATTCTTGCCAGAATCTTCTCACCTGCAAAGTCGGGGTCGCCGGACCTACCCACGCATTTTAACGATCGTACTACTATTTGTGATGCTTCTTGCTTTTATAATGGCGTGGCTCTAAGACGAGGGTTTTGGAATGAAATTTTTTAGATAATATTACAGTCTGGACTCACTGCAGTAATATGTTGTTAAATCGGACTTCGATACTGTAGGAGAAGGGTGATTTTGAAAATAGCTTGAAAAGTCAAGTACTACATGGATTGATCGTAGCCCAAAGGGAACATGGGAACCTCGGCCTTGAGATTCTGCAAGAATCGACTTATCTGGCTGATACCATCAGACCATTGACAAAAGCCATTTTGATAATACTCTGCCAGGGCCTTCCATCTGTCAATGTCTTTCTGGTAAGCGGCGATGCTCGTATTCATTTCAATCAATTTTCCCTGCAGGCTAGATATTTCACAAGCCATTCTTTCGTTTTCTTGATTGCTATCTGCTACGTGTCGTTTGGCATGTTCCAGCTCCTCAATAAGGGCCGTATGCTCTGATCGCAGAGTGTCCAGCTGTTCTTGTAGAGGTAGACCTGGCTGACCCTACTATATGTTTAGTTGCACGGAGGGACCATATTCTAGTGTGTCTGGGGACCATGCATACCTTTTCCACCGCCCAAAAGGAATGTCCTACCTCCTCAATCAGTGTCATATAGGCGCTTACGGAGTGCTTGCTCAATTGTTTGTCAAACAACTCCTCAATGCGAGGGTCATTCACATGCCACCTATACTGCGTGTCGTCTTCAATCCTAAGACGAACCTGGGACGGTTTGATGTTGATTCCCAGTGTCTTATCTGTACTATGTTAGTTAGGCTGAGCCGCTACTATGACAGTGGCAATCTCACTAATATGCTCCGAAAGCCGATTCCGGCATACGGCGCGTAGCTCGGATCGCTTTCGACTTGCAAGTGCAGTCTTATCCATGGCCCCAGTAAATATTATATCAGCGCTCAGGCTCAGAGGTGGAAGAGTCATAACTATAACAATTGATAATTGCGTGCTATGGTTTACAAGACCCAGAAAGAAGTCATATAGTTCTGGCCTTCCTGACAACAATATACATGTCGATCCAGACCCTAAAGGAACTCGGACATTTACCCTGACCATACCCTGTGACCATACCATCTGACATGCCGTACTGCTGGTAAGTTATGGGGTAAAAAAAGACAACAGATCCCTTCCTTCTTGCCAAGGTTGAAACTCGGTCTCGAACAGTTCCACGTCATTGCTTACATTTAATCTTACTAGTCGCTGCATCGTTATGCGGACTCGACGTTGGGCGGAGACTTAAATTCAGTTAGCACATACTCACCATAAAGCTAAGAATAATTACCAGCAACCAGTATTTTTCCTTCTCGCTTCTGCATTTCTTCGGTTAGTACCTGCGTCCAGTCCACTTTGCCGCTGTATACGGTAATCAATTCATGATGGCCAAATTTTCTGGTATCCTGCGTTCTGCTAACCGGGTCGTACACAGAAAAATTTAACATCTTTTTTTTCCCCCCATAGCTGTTAGCATAGAACGAAAAAATTACAGTGAAGGGAATCAGCGTTGGGCACACACGTATCCATCATCTTGTTTGAGTAAGTACTGGAGCCAGTCCCTTGCGCACTCGTAGTCTCCAGTTTGATCAAGCTGCCACACAAGAGAGATTCTTCGCGTGCGTACACCCGCCTCTCGACGCCTTTGCAGTAGTTCTTTCATGTAAGGAAGTTGGGCTGCAATTCCAATGCCAGTGGTAACCATGAGAACGTGTCCATAATCGCCCAGGTCACGAGTGGAACCACATTGATGGACTGAAGATGGTCCAAACGGTCCATCAATCCAAGCCCAGTATTCGCGATCCGACTCCAAACATTTGAGAACCTTTCGTGTGAATCCGGTCCGAGCCCGGAAAAGCAAAAAAACCGCACTTGCTTTGCCCTCGTCGTTCTCTTCCCACCAAGTGATGCTGAATGGGTGGGCCTGGAAAAGATAGAATAGGCCAACAGATGGCACCCCCAGAGTAACTCGTTCACCAGCACGTACTGTCCATGGCCGCGGTAGACACAGCTTAGCACACACTATCTTCTCTGCATGTGGTTTAATGCTTATCCTCACGGACTTTCTCCCGAACACTATATTGCGGAAGAGAATGCGAAGGAGTTGGAGCGCACCCGTTACAACAGAAGAACCGACACATATCAGAACGTATCTGCGAGACGTTTCTGCTCTCGGCTGGATATGTTTCCAAATCATAAAAAGTGCCGAAAACGCGCACGAAAGGTGAGTCACCAGGAAAACCTCGTAAACTCGACGTTTCACAAGAGGCAGGATCAAAAGCGAAAGAAACATGCAGCCGGCCTGGGTCCGTTAACAGGAACTCGCGTTGGAGATTTCTATCCGGAAAGATAGGTCAGGTGAAAAGCAGTCCACTTACCAGAAGCCCATGATAATGGGTGTCATCTTTTGTAGTAAACTGAATCTTTTGACACGTTATAGTAATATGCACAGCAGCTTGGATAGTGGCCATTAGCCCGGTCATGCGGTGAATGATTCCGTAGGTTTCTCGAGACATTCCCAGTAGGCGTGCCCCAAACTCACGACCGCCGGATAAGAAGAGGGGAAACAAGTTGATCAGTGACAGATGTGCAGCACGTGTAGAACGTTGTTGTTGAGTCTGTACACCCACTAAGTTACAGACGACTGTGCCGGCAATATAAATAAGAAGCAGAATAAGTCGCAGTGGCGAGAACGTCGCCAGTCCAAGGATTCGACGATTGAAACGCGGATAGACAAGATAGCGGAGGAAAATATGATAAATACTCGCTGAACCCAAACACAACAGCCTCTTGGAAAGGCAGGAATATATATAGTGAGAGAAGCAGTATAAGAGCAGAAAGGCAGCAAGGAATGCAAATGATGCAGAATATATAAACTCGACAGACTCCATGTCAGTGTAGAACTTGCTGATAAACATACTTTATTGCGGGCTGACTGGACAAAAGAGATTCGATCCTTCGATAGAAGGGGAAATATGGGGGGGGTATAAGGGGCTTATATACCCTGGCCGGTGCAAAGAAAAACCGCAACAGCCATGATTGGACATCACGATGAAACGACTATTGTTGCTAGACTAGTATACATGCGCTCCGCCGTCATATCAATGAGCGGCATCATTCCACGTGAATGCCTTGCACCAATCTACCCCTTCGCTCTCGACTATCTTGCTGTCTCGTCTCCCGCCTTCTTTTTCATTTTCATCTCCTTCTATTTCCTTCTCTTCCTCTTCTTCGTCTGAATCCGATTCGTAATCTTCGCTGCCTGCCCTAGGCTCTAGAAGAGCCTCGGGATCTAAGTTCTGTCCACTTTCGTCCTCCCTCTGTGTCTGGCTGGTCTCTATTGTAGAAGGACCTTTGGCCACATCAGAAATATAAACCAACAACTGGATGAGCTCTTTCCGTTCCTCCTCGGTTATACGCCTCAAGATCTCCTGGGAACTGTAAACTCTCCTTATAGGTCGATTAAGGCATCCCTTTAGCCCTACCCTGTTAGTCTTTGGGCGAGGATTTCTCGACGGACACTACTTACCAATGTCCGATCAGGTGGTGGCCATGAGCGATCCTCCACAGAATTGAATGTGAGAATGCCTTTATCATAATCAACAAGGAAGTACGTTCGACAATCGTGGACAAGCGAAAGTTCAAGAACGCGATCCACGATACTATTGATCTTCTCTTTGAAGTCATCTGTGCTTTTTTTTGTTCACCAGTAGTGCTATAAGCAGCCATATTTAGGCGGAACGACTTCGAACTTCAGGAAGCTTAATAGCGACAGAGGAGGGATTTGAATGACAAGCAAAGGACAAGCAGAATAGCAAGCATATTTAACGACATTGGCAAACGCCCCATGACTTACTGCGACTGTCATCGATCGGTAAAGGTAATAGCTAAGGATAGAAAAATTCTAAATAAAAAGCAGCAAATGGGGAAGAACTGAGTAGCAGTCCTATACACTTAAAACTCAAATCGACACTAGTAAAGAACCTATGTAGCTGATCGGCCAATACTCTTCCTTGGGTTCTTATTCCGGACTAGTCCCGGATATCCCCCACGACGCAGAGCCTTTTTTATCCCCGATGCCTCAGTCGGCGATGCACATGTACGCTTGCGACCCTTGCCCTGTAACCGAGCTTCCCAGGTTTCACAGGTGGTGCAGTGGGCTGCAGCGGGTCGGTCATGACTGGGACGCCCAAAGGCCCGGTGTAATTTATCGGTATCCATAAATGAGGCCATGCTGGCCGGGAACCCACTGATCTTCCACCGCTTATGCGGGCCAGTCCGTATGTAGATATTGAAGAGCTCTTTGGGGTGATGAATGAAAACAGAGACAGACTTGACATACCGCCCACACCGGACACAGCAGTCTTCCAGTCCACCAAACTGACCCAGGAAACCAGTATCGGTAACGAAATCTGTATCAGTATAGTGAAGGTGCCGGAGGGCCTCTAAAATCTTTTTGGCCGGGCCTTTACAGCGGATTGTGCCGCGATACCAACATGATGAGTTGTGAGTCAGCTGCGGTGGGAGGCTATCCAACTCAAAATAAAAGCGAGCTACAAGAAGGGCGGTCGCTACCTCCTTGGCCCGCCGGGCGGCTCCGACTTGGGCAATGACCAGATTGCGGTAGTCGTCCATCACATTAGTGTCGTCAATTGTGCACGGAACATCTTTCAGGTGAACATCTAACCGTAGATAGTCATCCTTTACATCGTCTTCAAGTTGGTTTTTCAGTTCTAACCACTTTGGTTCGGTGTCCAAGTTGGACATCAGAGCATCATATCCCCTGCGGAGAAAGCCGTCCCGAAAGACATGACGAAAATGTGGTGATCGGTGGCCGAGACTTTCTGTCTTTCCAGTGCCAAGGGAAACTAATCTCCCAACCCCTGTCTTAGACGGCCAGATTCGGCGGCTAATTCGTCTAGCAATGCCGGCGGCAAAATTATCTTTTAATCCCCCGTCCTGAAAAGAACCTATGGCCCGGAGATTTGCTGGAGAAAAGAAGCTGTGAATTATTAGCGTATATCATGAGGTCTCCACTTCTTTAGCCTCTTTTCTCATCCCAGTGCTCCCAACACGTCGTATTTTAAGGTAGCAAAGCAAAAAGCTAGCCGCGTAGGGAAAGAGGGGGCTTGGAGGGGGAATAAGGGGGGAAAGAACATAAACTCCCATTTACTATAAAGAAGAGGTTATAGGGTACTCACAATGGTGCCGCGGCAGTAGCTCTAGCTCTTGTGGAGACTTAGTACACTGGCAGGAAAGTAGAAAGTTGGCTACTTACACTTCCCATATCAAAGGTTCCCCTTGAGTATTATTAGCTCTAAATAGTTCATGTTCTGTAGTTATCCGAGGTCAGCTATGTTGACAATAGTATGTTTGTATCAGTGTATAATTGCAAAATTCTTGGGAGGGCCTGTGATAGCCAAAAGGAAAAAAAAAAAAAAATAACAAAGGGAGGATAGCGGGCACATGGGTTGGCTGACCGTGTTCTCCAGAAGACATGTCTGCACTGTTAAAATTTCCAAATACAAATGACTTAGTCTCTTTAGAGATAGTAGTTGCAATAACGCCAAATCTGGGTCCTGAGTGCAATCTAGACCCAGGCCCGGTACTGACTACGTCGAAGATACGATGGGCTTCCCCAAATGCCTCTTGGAGGCTAGCGTCGAAAATCCTCGGGTCATAACAACTGTCATGGAGAAGCCATGACACCCATTGGAGGATGCCTCCTAGTAAAGAACCCCGGCCGAGAATAAAGCGAAAGATCCTCGAAAGCGTCATCCGCCGTCGATCGCGGAATATACGCCGCGCAAGACGATCAAACACCTGAGAGCATGTGGACAAGTCCCATCCCATGCCCATCAGCCCCAAAATAATTAGTCCACCTGCAGTACCTATTAGCTATAATGGCCGATCGTATTTAAAAATGGCATTTGGTCCTGTGGATAAACCTACCGGAGCTAGATCCTATGGACAAATCAACAAGGTCCTGTATCTTGCACTGAGGCCCAAGGCTTTCTTGAATCAGCAAAAGGTACTCCAACGGAATGCTGCCGCGAACACCTCCACCATCGATGGCTAGAATGGTGGGGTTCATGGTGGGGGGTAGGACGTCGACGACCATTGTACCCCCAGACAGGCAGATAAGACATGTAGAGACCGTGAACTGATATTCAACATCTGGCGCCGGATATCCAAATATCTGCGCACATTGATCACAGAGCGCGTGGTGGCAAGCCTGCGAGTGTTGTGCAGTGCGAACGAGGCAGTAGAGGCAAATCTTGGCCGATTGAACTTTTCCCAATTCGTGGCTCATCGCCAGTAGCTGATCCCGACGATGATCTGCGGTGCGCCTTCCCTGAGAAACTACCGAGTAGAACTGGCTGACAAATTCCAACTCGACCTGACCCACTAGATCGCCAACTGCTATAGCAAACTTCGCCCGATCATTATAATCCCGAATTCCACGAGTAATGATGGAGCGATAGAGAGTACCAAAGACGGCTCGCGGCTCTAGCACTAAGTAACGATTAGTATTCCACCTAGACTGCAAAGGGGAATAAAAAGAGGGTCCGAAAAGACTCTAACGAAACTTACGCATGCTTCCAGGTAGATAATGGTCCATCAACAGCGCGGACGCGGTGGATGATATCAAAGTTCCTAAATGACATCCTCCTTGATGTCCTATATCAAAATAGTGGGAGATGTGATGACTTAGTCCACGGGAAACAGGGTTTCCTTCCCGTGTCGCCTTCACAAAATCAAAGGGGGAGTCTTTATATAGGGATACATGCTTGATGGCCAAATCAAAAAGGCCTTGGAGATGCAGTGCACTAAAAAGAGACCCACTGTGGCGCCGAGCCTCCCCCATATCCTCCAGCTGTCCCCTGATCGACGCACGGAGACGATCACGGAGACCGACATCGGAGGAACTGTCAACGCAGATGAAGTTTATTCCAGAGAAAGGTCCGCCGTTTTCATCATGTAGCGCACGGTTGAACTCCACCTGTGCACTAACCCGATCCAAGCTATTGCCGGACACGACAATGACCCTGGGCCGAACCGCAACAGGAAGGGATGATGCTAATCTTGTGGGCGCACACGCAAGCAAGAATTGCGCACATGATTGGATGCTAGGAAAATCATCGACAAAAATACAAATAACGTCGGCGAATAAGAACACAAGGCGGGAGAAAATTGTTGCAACGGCAGCCTGTGCTGACACAGCTTTCCACGCAATTGGATGGTCTTCAATCACTGGCCTGGCAGCTGCCTGTGCCTTGCATGAGCTCGCAATGGATTGGCCCACTCCGCCGTCAACAAATAAATGAGGTTCATTGGTCTCCACCGAGAGATTATCTATCCTTAAACCAATGCTAGCGGTGGCTCGAGTCCGTCGAATGTTATTATAAGGGAAAAGCGCTTGGAGAGCAAGTTCTTTGGTGCGATCTCCTAGGAATACTGAGAGCCTCGGCTTCTGTTGCTTCGGGGTTGGCAATCCAGAGATGATGTATCCTAATTGGCCATGGTCTCGGATAACGAAGGTTTTATTGTCACCAACAGCAACGTCAAGCCAGCTGGAATCAAGCTTTGGAGACATGGTAAATAATTGAGCTCGTAGTTTCTAGTCCGCCGGGAAAATAATGAAGGTCTGTCATTTTTAACCATTTTTGAAGGGCAGGATTTCTGCTTCAGCGTAATCCATTCTGTGGGCGGCCAAATTCTCTTACTCTCGCGGTTTCATGTCCTGCTCATTGTTCTAGCATGCCTCTCCTCGGTCGAGTAAGACAGGAAAAATACGAAAGTTACAAGGAAGACGTCGGAAACGTCAGTATTATAGCTCAATGACTTCGCCAGCGTAATTTCCCGGAGTGTCACAGCCCGATAAAACAAAACGGGGGAAGAAATGAAGGACGAAATAAGAAAAGGATTATTGCCCACCAATCCAACGATGTAAAATACAGATAGTCTTGGTTGATGATTGTGATCTCCTTGGTGGAATTTCTCCCAATATTTCTACTAACTAATTTAAAAATTCTCGCCACGGTATGTATGGAAGATCTCTAGGTTCCTAAAGTATTTGTTTGGCTAATCGACAACCTAAATTCTAACGGGCTTTGAGATGGTTATTATTATTATCAGTACTGATATTATTATTGTCATTGTTATAGTAGTAATAGAGATTGTGTCACAACCCTACACTCCAGTATAAACGAGAACGCTCCCTTAGCTGGCGATGACCCTCGTAGCCTAGAGTGTATCGCCATTATATAATTAGAACGCCATCAGAATGATCAACAAGTGCCTTAGTTAGGAAATGAACGATCTGAACTATTTCTGCAAGACAAATGCCGGGTGCATATTGTACAGGGTATTCCCGAGCTAATCAATTAGTCTATACTTGGGTATCTCATTCATGATGCAGTGCAGGGGTATATGGCGGACCTTGTCCTAACAGTATATAGCCATTCGCCCTTCTTTCTCTTTTCTTCTTGCTCTAAATTCCACTTTTACAGTATCTCTGCTTTGGCTTCCCACCGAATCAGCCGTCATGTATACTTCCGATTTTCCACACTATGCAACCGAAGCAACCCTGAGCAATGACTCCCTCAATTACAACCTATTCGATACTCAGAGGATCCCCGATTTTCAATCTTCTCCCTATAGACCCACGCAGATGATGACCGAACAATTCGTTAATCGCTGGCAAGACGTGCAAGCGCCCTCCGCCAGCTTAGGCCACAACGCTCGCATATCTCAAGATGTTGAATTCGAAAACAGCCTCCAGAAACCAGGAAACAGGTTTGAATCACTCAGGAAACGCTTTTATCAGATATTAATGCAGGATTAGCCGGCCTCAGGAGAGAACTCCCTCGGTAGAATCAGGAGAGTGAGTCCCCGTCCTATCCGATTAGCCAATAACCTAACATATCCCTAATCAATCTATAGCGACATAACCCTTGGAGAGCTACGTCTCATGAAAAGCAAATACGACCAGTTAATCGTACAGATGGATAAGCTCACAAGGGGCTTGAAACAGCTAGCTCTTCGATCGGCCAGAGTTGATGATCTTGCAGAGAGTATTGATAATCTTGCGGAAAGAATTTACCGTCTGGAAAACCTTCCTGTCCAGATGGAAAGCCTTCAGGAAAGCACCAAGCGCATGGATATGAAACTGCACGAACGCTGTGAAGAGATGAGAAATGAGGTAAAGCGAATTGACCGTGTGGTTAACACGTATGAATATGTCCATAGAAAGTTCCAAGGTCTACTTTGCCGTCTATCGAGGCGACGCAGTGTCGACGATTGTCGCTTACTGGACGTGGGAGGCGAGGTCAAAGAAAACCCAGGGCCAATTTTTGACTAACATGTATACTCTCTGTAATCTAAATTAAACCACTATTATCCAATGATAACTAGATTAGTATCTACGCTCTAGGACAGTCAATAGTGGTTTTGGCGTTAATTTGCAGGGGTGCTTTCTTTCCTGTCCCTGCAGCTGGTAGTATAGGTAAAGGTATTTGGGGCTGTGACGGCAGCTAACTTACTCGACTCAGGGACTGCATACACGAGCTTGGCAGGAATTAATTTACCCACGTTTAAAAGTGACAATCACTTGCAAGTTTGGTACCGGAATTTCTCCCGCTTCCCGCGAACTCTATATCCCCTAAATCCCTTGGTCCCACATGCATTCTGCCGGGTGAAAGATTGGCATGTAAACTTCTCTTTTCGTAATACCTTCTTTCTATTCCCCACATCTTTTCTGAACAGTAAATTTGCGTTGAGATGACTAGGTCAAAGACACCTGTAATATACTATGTAACGTGAGTTAGCCAGCACGGACCACGCGTACATCCGACCTTCCTTTCTGGTTAGCGAAGACGGGTATATAGTACTTGGTTGTCTTGGGACAAATAGTGGCCTCCAACGTCATTTCACAGCAGAGCATTTAGAAACGCAACCCTTGATTGAGAGCGTCCTTATGGCATCTGATACTTTCAACTCAACGTCGATGGAGAACGCTCCTCTATCGGTATGTTCTTCCCGTTTCCTCTTTAACTGTAACTGACGATGATGCAGAGAGGAACTTTCCAACCAAAAAGCTACGGGCTCAGCATCTCCGAGCTAATCCAAAATTTTCTTGATAGAGAGCGAAATTCGAGCCTCTACAAGTCTAACCTAGAGGTCCGCATTGCCCATGAGTGTGCATCCCTTCAAGAGGAGCGTTGTATCCGCACCCAACTAGAGCAGCAACTAGCCCAACTGCAGTGGACAAAATCGCAGCTGGAGTTCGCAAACCGCAACTCACAAGAAGAGATTGATTTTCTTCGGAAAGAGCTTTCCCTTGAGAAAGAGAAATCTGAGGACCTGGGATCTCGTTTGGCAACTACTTTAACGTTGCACGAAACATTGCAAAAGAGCAATCTAGACGGGACAACTGTGGAGGATAGATCAGTCCATGAATTTCAGTTGTTGCTACAAATACAAAGACAGCAAGAACTGATAACGGAGCTTCAGATTCTCAACCAGGCACACGAAACTACAATCAACACCTTGCAGGCCACGTTAAAAGACGCGGTGGGAGCATTTTCGTGCTCCTACTGCTCTGGTAGCGATTGTTCGGGAACCGTGGTCCACACTCTGACCAATGATGAGAGCTTGTGCCCCCAGGACTTGAAGGACAAAGATGTATCACTGTCACCCAGGAACAAAGAGTCAGGCACATGGTATGAGGAGTAACTAGCCGATAATCTTCCCTTCCTTCCGGATAATCTGTACTACAACTTTATCACGGTTGATGAATTTAGCTAGTCATTTTGTTATGCGTATAAAGAGATCTGAAAATAGTGACTGGTCACACATTAATAACATTTGTATCCTCTGTCAACTAAGGGGGTCGTTTGTAGCTAGGGCTGCACCTAGTCACATGAATCTTCGTCATTGATATTTAAGCCCTCAACCTCCCATCGCCATCGGATTTTCGAAACCCTCTTTCACTCCTCAATTACAGTTACTCTGTGCTCGGTAATATGGAGCAACATTCACGCCAGTTCCGTCACTCGCTGTACTCCATTGCAGAAGAAATTACCCCCCAAGACCATCAAATCTTGCGCAACGGAGGAACATCTTCCAACCTCGAGCGTCTTCCTTCTCGCTTGAAGCTGTCCAAAACCCCTTTCCAAAGTAAAACGAGACAAATTGAAAACTTGACCTACGAAATCGGCTACCTCAAGGCAGAGTTGTCCTGGCACACAGAGTCGAGACAAGCCCTCCTCCAGCTTCAAGAGCAGATGTATGAGATGTTTCATAGGATGGAAGACGCTTTGGTTCAAGTCAACGCGCGCCTTCAAGAGGCTGAGCAGCGTTACTTGAATTTCTGGGGCCTGGATGCATGCACCGGTGGAAATGAAGAGATGATATAAGAGGTTTGACTCATCCCAGGAAGGACGATCTTTTACATTATGCCATTGTTATTAATATAGGTGGCTCTCGACAGGTAAAGAGTCAAGATACGGTCTCTACGTGCTGTCATATGTGGAAAGGCGATGGTACTGATGTTTATTCATATATATTCCTCACTCTTTAAAGTCGTATAAGAATATGAAGATATATTTATATATATTTAGAACATCATCTGAATGATAATCGTGTCTTCCTGACCTGTCTTTCGAGCACTCCACTGGGCAGCTGTACCACGAACTATCCGAATGTATTATCAGCACATTGAGTTATTGGATACAAAGTGTCAATCGACCTGACCTCACTTCCCTGGTGCATTCCACGAGGTGACAAACATCGCGATTTCAGTAGGACGCCGATCATAACATAGAATAGTGATTTCAACCTCTGCTTTTAATCGATTACTTCTGAAAGGCAATTTTGCAAAGATCCTATGAAGTTTTTCTTTCCACATGGCGTGCGCTTTTGCAGGTTCTGACGACGACATGTTGGTCATGTCTTTACCATGTTGCAGCTGGCATGATTTCTGTTTTGAGGATAGGCCGCTGCTTTGGGAAATAGAATGTGTTATTTACTGCTTAGCTTTGTTATGGTTATTTCTTATCTCACAGTACTGCCCTTCACGGTGGTCAGCTGTATAATGTGGCAAGCCGTACAGGTACAGTTACAGCAAGGATCTACGCCACGTAACGGTGAGCCATAATATTATTTTTCTTTTTCGGGCTGTTTTCGGTCAGCCCAAAATGTATGGTTCTTTTACAATAATATTTAAGATATTTATTTTGTGTTCATGTAGGACCGTATAATAACTCTATTTCTTGCTCCCATTTAGCTTCCCCTTGTTCTTCAATACACGGCCCACACAAGGCCCTTGCTGTAATAATGCAATCCAAGCTAGCTTAGCAGGTCTAATGATACTGTCCTATCCAGCACAAAAGAAATTAAGCGGCCATAAAAATTTACCGGATTTATTACAAAATCTGAAACAATAATTAGATGGCCCCAAGATTGTATTTTACACCAGATATAGCGTAAAATTTTAGGCCACTCCCGCCAGTGCCCGAGAATATGCACCTAACTAAATAGAGCTACGAACTTATCTAGTGTCTATAACTTTGTCTGTGCCGTAAATATTGCGTATATTACAATTCATCCACAGAATAGTACATGGTTTCTCTTATGGAACTTGTAACTTTTATTCGTTTCACCGAATGTCGATGAACTATGTTTTAGAGTCTTATCCACCGTTATCCCTAGCCTTCTTTGACTTCTTTCTCACGAAGCGAATCGCCTACGTTTTCTTGAGAATAGCCCACAAACTGTGAATATTTATAAGACGATGAGTGCGAACAACATCATGCCGAGTGACAAAGTCTCACTCTTTTTGTCTCCAAATCCAAGGCCAGGAGTCAGTGATGTCGTCTTCTATTTGCCGGAAGCTCCTTTTCCCTTGGATTATCACCCTCGTTCTTACTCGTTCCCTTCCCACCTGGGCAAGGTTGCAGGTATGTACACTATACAGGCAGGTGAGACTTGTGTTATTTACTGGAGCAGATAAGTGGATTGCAGGTCGTGGAAACTAGTACTTATGCCCTTGTTGGGCACTTGGGATATCCACGAAACTTCAGTATGCTTCCTAATAAAGCAGACACTATCAGTTTCTTACGAACCAGGTTCCCAACTGCATGTAGAGCCTTACTCTATCATTGATACCGACCTGTCAGCCTACATTTGCAGTCCTTTTCAACGAATACCTTCCCAGCACACATCATGGCCTCGCTTAAAGGCGAAGCCAGGCTCAATAATTTGCCCGCACTATTCATTGGATAGATTATGGAACCGCGACCCAAGTAGTGAGGGAAGGGTCCTATGGTATGGGGCTAATACTGAGGAAAGAACGGACCATAAAAGCCTTTCAGACATACTAACCCCTTCAAAGGAAGGAAATGGGCAAGGCAAGTACAAATTATTTTTATGACTTTTCCAGAAGCTAAAAAAACACCAGTCCTGGAACTAAATTCCTACCCATCGTTGACCGAAGCGGGTTGCCCATCGCCTTTTCAGATCCCCCAAGACTTGAAAGGTTCAGACATCTATACGATCTATTGGCTGTGGAATACAACCCAATCTGTGGGAAGTGGCTTTCGGGTAAGGCAGATTTTATCTGGTGGACACGTGTACCGTTCGCATAGGCCGTTAACGACTATAGGTCTACACCACTTGCATTGATGTTGAAATAACTGGACCCCTTCTAGAAGGAGAAAGATCAAGCTCCGTGAGATTGACTGAAACATCTACTCGTGTTATCTGCCCTAGTCACGGGCCATCTAGATCGGACGCGCCCAAAGTCAGCTATCAGCCAAGTCTGTCCAGTTCAACAAGCCGCGCGTCTGTATTGGAGCCGGGATCAAGTTCCGTACCTGGGTCAGTTGCAATGAGTAGCAACGTCCAATCTCCCGGCCTTGCCACGTTAACACCAGGTCTGTCGACATATCGCCAAAGTGGTTCTCCCTCAGTTCACCCGACGAAGACGGTACAGAACTCGAGCCCGGCAAACTCGCCCCGCACCTCGTTCTCTGCACCCACACATACTGTGATGATCTCTTCAGATGAGGCTGTGACATTTGATTATCGATCTCTCCATGTTCCTTCAGGTGATACTGTCCTTTTCCGCTCGTCTGAAAATTTCTTTATATTCAACACCACTCTCGAGGATCCATGTTTTCCGATTAGGAGGATTGGGAGTGGAGATCCAGGGGACGTAATGTATCGGGTACATAATACCGAACCTGCCTGGTTTCTCGCATGCAACTCCCTTGACACATGTCGATGTTATCCGCGTTCCCATTTTGCCATCAACCCAGGAGAGCATTCCAACCATTTTTTTGACCAAGCTGATCAAAAATCCATTTATATTTCTCAAACAACCGCATCGCCTACCAGGTCAACAACTACGACTGTGGTAGTCGTCACAGTATAGGAAATCAGTTAGTGATACTAGGCAAGCAATTCTGCTAATCCACATAGCTTGGAAAATCTAACGTATACATCATTGAAGTATAGTTATTACATTTGTCGAATCGAAAGAATCTGGACCAGATATTTGGCACATGAGTTTGTGTTAACAGAAAGAGAGTGATGGTAATTCTCGGTGCACTTTTGTGTTTAGTTTTCTAAACTTGGAATTGATTAAATACATACTCAATATTAGTTGCTGGAAGAACTTGCTCTGCATTTACATTTTGAGTAATATAGAAGCAGCTAGAGGGGTCAAATTATTACACAGGATACATCCAGACTTTTGCCTTTCAAGTGTATATTGGCCGAAAATCAATTTCTCATCTCATGGATCTGACTTTCCTTAACGGCTCGATAGATGGCTGGCCAGGAGCTAGAGCCAGTGACATCCTCTAGTTAATGGTAAGACAACGGCAAGGTCCATAAGCATGGTATAGGCCTTGGTTGTGGCACTTTTACTTTCCATTGATTCCGCAAGTGGTGATGTGGATTGGGGATGATCGCGGTCTAAGCGTTCTTCGGATTACTTGCTAAATGTATAATCACAAATTAGGATGTGGCTTCCTGGAGAAGTCTCCGACCAAGACGCTAAATTTACTAATGTCCTGGCTAACAATACAGATTCCCTATTCGGCAGGCATTTTGCCGATGACATGAAAAAGAGAAGAAAATAATAAGAAAAAATAATATGAAGAAATTGTAAAGGGCAAAACTCACACGATGTATTTTACGACACGCATGCCTTGTTTTATGGAATTGGTAAGTTCTAGGCCGCTTGCCTACATTCATTAGATGGTAAGTAACAAAGACGATCACTTAAAGTTAGATTAGGATGTACGGATACAGGTCGATGAACCATGGTTCGCAGCTTGGGGGCCAAGGTGAACGATCATGAATTTTACAATACACCTGATCGACAGACAATCAATATGGGACGGAAACCTCGGGATCATGCCGGGACGGACCGGCACCATTAACCCTTAGAGAAATTATGTATGCCGAACGGCTTCACCTTTACTTACATTAGGTCGCGTCAGATTGTGCAGGTATACAATACACTTGGACCCACTGACATCGGCCGAATGAAAACAAGTGACTTGATTAAGCAGTGTCGGCTAAGACTGTCATTGACTGTGAAATGTTTCTCAGGGATGTTTTAATCCCGACTCTACGGCCCGTGGTTTGAAGTGGTGAACATGCCAAGTCAATCAGAACCGATATCGGCACGAATACAAGTGCCCAGCTAGGCCGCATTTGGGAAATGGTATTGCGGAGAGACTTGGCGATGGCTCCACTCTTACTGCACTAGCCGCAAGCTGATCATGTCTGCTTCCTGCGATGCTGATCATGTAATGTGAGTGGCTTAGCCACAAAAAATTAAAATACGACCCACAGAAGGTACACAGTAGACATGTGCCGCCTTCAAGAGCCGAGGTTATTAAATCCCTTGTTATGAGCTAAACTAGCAGATAGATAGTAGTTATAGGAGCTGCACAAACTATGTTATGTCAACAAAACGTAACCGCGCTTTTTATCTGGTACAAGAAGACTCTTTCCCAGTGTCAGGAGCTTGGAGAAAGCCCAAAACTGGTCTACCCTCAATATGGCGATTATTGTTCAGAAGATGCGTTATTGTATATCTTCATGCGGTTTTGTATATGGATTTCTCCAGAAATTATAGGGAGGCCACTTAAAGGCTGGATTGGCCCACATAAGGGGAATTGACCCTGGTAAAACACATCTACCCCTGACTATTTTAGGACCGGTGACACGAATCCACCACACCGGCTTAAAAGGCTCGCAGATCGCCCCTTACAAATCGTCATGTCCTATATCGCCGCCCATACGAGGCGTTTGCTCAAGGATGACAGAAAACTCTCAAAATAGTCACCTGTCCGGCTCTGAATTCCGGGGCTGTGACCTGAACTTCACGACCCGCAAGGATGGCATTAACCTGCGACATTTCAGGCGGGAAGAAGCTGGACCCTCTGTACAGGAGCTATCAAACCTCTACGCCACAGTTTTTGAACGAAAAGAAGCACTTTCCCGCTACATGAACGTCCCTCTGGTGAGCGATATTGTAGAGGAAACGCTGAGCAAAGCCTTTAGCCAGCGTCGTCCTTGTCTCGCTACGTCTGACGATGCTAGAGAGATATCTTTAAGTTGGATTGATGTCATCCGACACGCCAGCCCTGACCAGCTCGAAAGTGGCGCGGACGGTAAGCATTACTGCCGTGTACTGGGGATGCAGGTGCAACTGTCTGACTCCGATTGCACTGTGATCCGATCTGGCGTTCTCCAGACGCTACTGAGCCCACTACCGCACAAAAAGGATGTACAGACGGAGATAGCAGTGGTTACATCCGCAATGACGGAGGTGACAGAATGGAATCAATATATCTCCCAAAGTCAGTTTACCCTTTCTCAGTACAACACAGAACGTAATTTGCTAACTTACGCAGTCATTGGGCAAAATAACTATCTCCTGGAAGCTATGAGGTCGCGACTAGAAATGCTCCACGACGCATCTCGGCTGATCTCTTTGTCTGAGCCTGAATCATCTTCTTTGCGCCCTCCAAGAGGGGAGTCTTCTCTCACGTCACAGGAGACAAATATTGAAGTAGTGTCTGTTGGCTCAAGTGGACCTACTGCAATTGTCGATAATGACTCGCAAAAGAACGACACGAGTGTGGTTCAGTCCACTGAAGGAGATCATGACACCCTGGAAAACAGTCAAGTTCCCTGGGATGGCAGTGACGCTGAGTCGATATATACAGAGACAGTCGACCTCACAACTTTACCAGTGAATAACCGTGTTCGCTGGTCAGCGGAAGAAGAAAACCGCCTGCTACCGTGGCTTGACACTCGCAGTCATTTAACTTGGTCTGAAATCGAGAGAGAATATTGTCGCGAGTTTAATATATACAGAGCAGGATCTGCGTTGAGGACTAAAGCACGCCGCTTACGAGGAAGAGGACCCCATAATGTTACTAAATTGCGGAATCGTCCAGGTCGACGAAGGAATACACTTTTGGTTTCCCTACCTTTGGCACGTCGATATACATCACCGAACAGCTTGCAGCAAGAATCAACTTTACATGCACCAAACACACTACCTGGACAGAAGGCTCCAGCTGAATGTACGACTCAGTCAGACTCTAGGAGCTCGATTGCTGCCCAGCAGCGGCAACAAAATGTAGTAGATGAATTCCTTAGCCTCCCAAGTCCGATACTGCCATTGACGAATGCAGATGATATTCAACACTCTCCAGCAAGACGGCCGCAGCATGACGGAGCTTTCTCAGTTGACAGTCTACTATCTTAAGCCGTACCAAGCAGCAAAACTACGGCATGAGCTGATGTGCTAGACAGATAGTTATATTCCTGTCAGTATCTTGTATTAGGTATATTATTAAAAAGTATTGACTACCAATATATATATCCATCACGTACATTAATCCGCTGAGGATACCCTATCGCAAAGGAGTAGATTATCTTCCCTTACCAAGGACCAGGTTTAGTCATCAATGTGCGGACTCTGGTTTTGAAGAGGCAGTTGTTGGCTACGTACAGCTTTATACTGCCTCAGCCTTCAGATGGTGTAGAAAATACCATATAGACCAATCACGGCAGGATCCCTTAGCTGGAAATAGAGGACAGCAAAAGAATCCCCACTTGTGGATTACGAGAGTAATTATAGAGTATTAAAAAAGAATAGCCATTGATAGCAGTGGTCTGGAGGTCTGATTAGCTTTTGTCAACCTGTAGACACCGCTATTCCTATTCAACACTAGTCAGAACGTTCGGCCATTTAAGGTCGTAGACGCCATTAGGGCGCCATATTGCGTCACTTCAATTGACCCTTATTTCTGTATTGTCATGAATATTCGCTTAGTTAGAGGAATCAGACCTTTGTAGATTCATAGAGTTGATACTATTCAGTACCCTTAGCGAGCAGGTCAACAGCTTTCTGTTGATATGTACTCAGATTACCATGGTCCAATTACAAGTAGAATAAATTTCAGATATCAGCGGCAGCTAAAGGTCGTGCAAAGTGGGATCAAAGGGAACTATGACAAATACTATGAACCTTGTTTTCCAGGAGTTCCTGCAGTTAGTAAAATTACAGCCATCCACCAGACTTGGCTGCATATTTTACAATACATCGCCACTCATCTAGCGATGCCCATATTTTACGATTCAAATCAATAGTACAATATGCCAGGCTCCACTCTTCTTGAGCCTCGAAAAAAAAAAAAATAATGCGGGATAATTCGATGACTTACTTTGTACTGCCGCAACCCTAGCGCTGCTGTAATCGCTGCTTGGCAAGAATAAATTTACATTACGTGGCGCATTTTAGACAGCGCAACCTACTTCTCCACCCCCACGCTCGTAAAATACACGACCCCATAGCTCCGTGACGCAGGGTCCTGGTAAACTGCAATGGGATTCTATTGTTGAGAAATGGTCTGCCTCTCGGTCTTTGCCTCTGAACTACCACGGATCAATACCGCCCCACGGCATGATCCCTGCGGTGGAGCCAGACATCCAGCTGCTAGGCACTATTTGTTACAGAAATGACAAAGCCATGAATTCGGAGATATCTTCACAGGACAGAGTTACCGCTAACCACGGGCGAGTAGGACTCAAATCAATTAATCTCATCCCTCTTGAGGTCTTACATACTGTAGTCTTATCCTCTGTATCGAGGATTAAGAGCCGACATGACAAGACCTCGTAATTTCGTTGCGAAGCTCAAAATGTTCGGCTGGAGATTCAGTTGAGAAGTGCCCAACATTTCTATACATATAAGTATGGCCATTCTTTCAAGATGGCAGCCATCAATCTTTCTTTGAATCATAGCACTCTGGTAAGTCAAAGTTGTCCGAGAAGATGCCGAGAGAATATCGTCAGTAATAGTACCCAGCTCTGTCTAGCATAGGCTCACGGAAAATGAAAGCCATCGTATTACAAGTACCCTTCTTGCATACATTCTGGAACCACGCTCCTTCTATACGATTGGCAACAAACATGTCACGACATCCTACAGCTCTGGTAGTCTCTCAAATGGTACGAGGCTACCGACAGCCAACACTATCATGTCAAGCGAGTTTTTTTGATGATGGAATACAAGGGATCCCCAAGGGCGAGTTGGTGTGGACCCCAAGAACACTAAGCATAACCTGTGTATGGTGCTGACCACGAAGATGCCTCAGGAAAACACATTCGTCGATCCCTCGCAAGAGCTGCTCCGTTCTCTGCTGCGGGGATATCGCCCTAGTTTCCGGCGTCATAGTCTGGGATGGGAGGCTGATGTTCTTCTTAAATTAGACCCAAGGCAGCAAATGTGCTATTATGATGGGAAGCTGTTCGGTGGATACCTTACCCTGCTCATGGATCGTATCCTCGCAGACTGCTGTCGGCCGGCAGTGACAGCCTACCTCAACACAACCTTTGCACACTCTATTCCACCGGATGCTCCAATCCACCTACGCGCGTGGCCCGAAAAAGTCGAAGGGCGTAAGATTTATCTCGCGGGTTCCGTTCAGATCCCCGGCAGCCGGGCGGGTGAATTAATTGAAGCGATTCGGGCGAATGCTTTATTCATACGACCCCGAAGTTAAATGAACTGTTCTAAGAATGCCGGAAATTGGCTACTTGGATAAATGCTGGAAGAGGGATTCCTGTATCTAGGCTTTGCACTTTGGATACATATTTGAGGTATCTTACGCAGAAGAAACAGAATAACTTGTCACAAAGCGTGCTGTACTGTATCTATATTTCATATTCTATGACATACAGAGGTCGACTGCCTACTATCGGTAGTAAAGCCCAGTATAACTTCATTCAGCACACGCGGGTTCGGCAAGCGCTCAGATAAGGTGCAGGTCAGGCATCGCCATTGAGATGCGTGACCAGCACCTCACAATACATACTGTATGGAAGCAATAGATGGACTAATGTACTGATGACTATTCTTTATTTTGTTTTTTGCCTCTATTATTTCTTTTCTCGTATTTCTCACCCTTATAACTTCAAAAATTTCACTTTTAGTGAGAACAAAAAGTCTCTCATATCCGACGATAATGCAGGATTCTGTTGCGATGGACTATGGTAGACACCAATGGCAAACAGCAGCTAATTAAGCGTGTTTGCATTTTACATTAGATCTTACTAACATACTTTACAGTAGCACCTAGAAATAGAAAGCAAAATATACCACAAGGCTACTAAACAAAAAACCATGGTGCCCACTATCCATGGCTCTGTCAAAAGTACGGACTGTCCACTACAATTCCACCCTGTAATTAACAGACGAACGACAGCGGAGATTACTGATCTGATTGTTGTGGATCAGGTAACCCAGAATCAATACCATCGGCTCTTTAGCAATTCACTCTGGGATGGTAATTGTGTACCTCATTTTAGCGAAAGTTAATCAATGCAAACTCAGAGAATTAATGCTCTTGGACTTGTGATTAAGGTTTGCCACCAGTACCAGAGACTGGGACACGTAATTTACCGTGATAAATTTAATTATAAAATAAATGGGCCTGCAGCAGCTGCCTGTTACCGGGTGCTACATATGGCCGTGAGTGGGTTTCCAATGTGCTATGCGTCTCAACGTAAAATACCAGATCCACTCGGCGGCACTGCCTAGGTTGATTTTCGGGGCCGAGGAATTCTGGGGTCCTGCGGTTGATTGCGCCGATCCTAAACTGGCAGGCGGCTGGTTCCCCGGTATCGAACCTCAGGTAGGAGGGCCACATCAATTACCTGAAAACCAGTACGCACGCGCATGTATATCCGGAAACTTTATTTGTTTGTATTGCGTATATGTGGAAACGTACCGACGCTAGGTATACTCTCGACTGTATTAATTCGGAAGAGACTATTTCCAGTATCGCTAGGACCCAGATACCATAGCCATAGCGGCTATGTATCGCGTTGGGGAAATCTCGCACTAATTGAGATTCACAAAAAGTAGAAACACATGGGTTTTTTTGGTCTGTCTAGTCCGTTACATTGATACGGTAGACTTGGTCCATGGACCTTGTCGCGTGTACTGTAGAAGTTCAAGATTGACCTCCGATAAACTACTAAGTCCACTATGATACTGTCAAGAATGGGTTTAAAAGAAGCAAGAACCATATGAATGTCTTTCATCAGAGCATTAGGGACAGAATTTCAATCGTTTCTGTATCAGAATCAGTTACTGGTACGGCTTTCTATCTTTTTAACCTCTGCCTTTCCTTGTCTGGTTGGAAGAGATCCTAAAAATATGCCCTGTTTAGCTATAGAGGTGCAGTTTATAATTACTCTTGCTTGAGACTTTTATGCTTTGACATATTGAGCCAACACGCGATGAAATGAGTCGAAGGTCCGGAAGTCGATGGCCGAACATTGATGTCTGACAAATTCAAGTCTAACCCCCAGTATATCCATTAACACCTATTTTCATGCATTTTACCTACGGTTAGACATATCTGATAAGAGTGTCAGAAAGTTTTTCTTCCTCCCTGTCCCCAACCTTTTTTCTGTCTAAGTACATACTATACAGACACACTAATTTTCATGCTATAGTAATATCATGACCTGCGGCCAGTATATCAAAATTCCTTGAAAAACAAGCTCTCTTGACTCAACATTTTTCAACTATGGCAACCAAGACAACAAATTTCGACCTAACGGATCAGTCATGCGTTTGCCCATCAATATCAAACCGGCCCTCTTCAGGTGACTTGAGGGAGCCTGACGTGTTTCCAGTAGCTTGCATGTACCTCCTATATTACGCGATGAAAGACCCATGTCGATTAATGAAAGAAGTATCGCAATTAGCTGGAAAAGGTGTACCACAAAGAGACACTTACGGCGAGCAAAATGTGCACGACAGCCTCCACTTGCGTTATACCGAAGAGGGAGATGCACAATCTGCCTATCTTACACGTGCAGGCAGTAAGAGGAAATGCAACGACGAACAACCGATAAATTCCACGGGGAAGAAGGTAAAATACAAGTCATCAAGCCTAGGACACATATTTCAGAACCATTTAAAATCCTGCGGATTTCGAGATGGCTCCGGCAAACCTCTCGACGACAGCAAACTCCAAGTTGTCCGGATCATAGGATGCTTACCTCTAATAATTGACGCACCAGATATTCATTTAAGGAGATATATAGAGAGATTCCAGGTAAGACTAGCCAGAGGCCAATATACCCCAAGTCTTCCCACACCAGACAAATGCATGGAAGCGGGAATAAAGTGTTTCGAGGCTCTCTATTTCAACCGTATATTTGAAAGAATTGACGTTCGCCTTACGCACATGATCTTGTACTTGATTGTCCAACATATCCGCCAAGACCCAGAGAGATATATTAATAAACCCCGCGAAAAGGGTGACCCTGTTTTGGCATATATCCTGAGCCATATTCCGGGGATCACACAAGAATGGCATGTGGACAAGCGATCCCTTCGCAATGTCATGAGCAACTATTTGAGGTACGGCAAGAGGTGGACTTTTGTAGCCAGGACCTTGGGATATGGCTGCTTACTTCTCTGTAGCCAGAGCCTGGCATCTTGCATGTACAGTATTCCTCTTCCTTTCGTCACTATTCCTGCACTGACGGATTCAAAAATTAGCACCGAATCACACTTTGTTGATGGCCAATTGGGAGCTCTGGTGACTTTCATTGCCCAAACGCGACCTGGAACTGTCGCACTTTTTAGATCCATGGGTTCAATGCTGAACTGTCTATTGAGTGGACCAGCGGCAGCCGACTTTACTCAGCACTGTCTTCCTGGTGAAGATAGGTTTATTGAGGCCAGCAAGACAGATGATGCAGCGGCGATCAAACCCGATGCCGCAACATCTTGGAAGCGTACTTTTACAGAGCAAGGTGATTTCTCTTTTGTGAAGGAAATGGCTCAATTCCTTCCACCATTTTCGGAGAGGTTAGTGTGCTTGAAAATGTTAGCAGAGCCGATTGAGATTCCCATGTGCAGACACCATTTATTGGCATGAGTGCATGGAATTTTGAGTATGACTAAAGACACATATTCTACGACAGAGTTAACATTAGCTCCAGCTGGCTTGAGGAATTAAAAAACAGAATCAAATACATTCAGCTTTGATCACCAATAAATTAATTACCTACTTTTCCAGATATGTCAAAAGTAATTTCCATATTCACTCCCATGCATAGGTATACTGCTGTTCCAATTCATATAGCGCGAGAACATTTAGATTTTAGTATTTGATTACCAGGACTGCTAACTAAAAGCTATTATCTTTTAACATGTAAAAGTAGCACTATTCTAGTTAACCACTGTCAGCCAGCCAATATGTAGCATACTCTAAACTTATTTTAGCCATAAATTTATTCGATCTATCGTTATGGATACTTCATCTAAATTTCGTCCACTGTCTGCCTCGGAAATTACCTTTATCTTTCTTCTATCTTTCTTTCTTTCTTTTTTTTTTTTTTTTTTAGGTCAGATTTTTCGATACGCGGAAAACATATGTCGATCTGCGCTAGAAAGTGGAGAGCAGCCTGTTTAACGAAAGATACTAAAAGGATAGAATACCTACGGGATTTCTTCCGCATAAGATCTACACCTTTTATACGCACAATCTATAGGGTATGGATTCCGGAATCGGCGAACTAGAAATATCCGCCCCCTCCCCGGGGACCTTAGTAACTGACATGGTTTGTTCTCTCTCTCAACAGTCAAGTCTTTTGCTGAAGCCAACCGCGTGTCTCCCCTGGATAGCCCTTTCCATATTCGCATTTTAGCGAGACATAGAAATCGCCCTTGGCTGTGGTTCCTTTACTTTTTCCCGTCTCGATGCTGGTCTACATTTGTGCCGCACTGGCCTCCGCCTGTTTGTTTTTGGTCGCCCTGCCTTTTGCTTGCTATAGCCGAAATATTTGTACGTTGCCTATATATAGCACAAGGTCGTTGGTTTGTATGCTGATCGTTTTGTACCTATAGGGTGGTTTGCGTAACGCTGGCCTGGAAACATATCTGTGTTGGGCCTTCCCTTGGGCGGTGGCAACAACTTGAGCCTTAGAAACTATTTCACATGGCTTAGAGAAGGATGAGTCATGGAAGCCTGATTTATTGACACCTCAGATGACCACTAATATTGCATGGGGGATCTATGGAGATTTTTGGGGATTTTTCGTCTTCTTTTCTCTCTCCTTTAAAAAGCTATTGGAGACTAGAGAAATATTGACCGTCCGTTATTATTCCGATCGGAGAGCGTGATATTTTGTATACAATATGAACATCATATTATATAATGACTGATGTAATGCTGAATCTATTCCATATGAAGTTCAATTGTTTACTGAGTTGAGCCCCAGTTGACAATATTAGGCAGTTCACTTTATGATCTACCCTAGATGTACCCTACCTCCACAACTATTTATGAAGCCTGCATGTCGTCCTTTGATTATCCTGGACTGCCAGGAACTAGAACATCCTGAAAGCCAGCTTGATAATTTGGTTTTAATTAATTTAAATCTATGATATAATAGTTTTACTACTGGTCGTACCAAGTAACTGCAATGTTAAAGATGAACATACAGTGTCAAGAAAAAACATCTCACGTATTTTCACATTCAGCTGACTAGAATATAATAATAAGATGACCTCCCATTTACTTGCCTGTAACATATTCCATATTAATCATACTTTTAATTGTGGCACAGCCGCTTTCGATTAACTGGTTTAGGTGTTGGTTTCATACGGTTCTCTGCTGCGTCGTTAGTCAAGCGCTAGTACGACATTTTCTTCCCCGTTGAGGACTTTTCAGGGGCGTGCTCAAATGCCTAAGAGACCTGCTAAATATATTCCGGGAAGAATGCGAGGAGGAAACTAAGCATGGGCATATGGCATGAAGTGATGCAAAACGTACAGGATTTGGCGAAAGAGTCTGACAAATTGTATGTTTGACCGACTCAGCCTTATATTTTGTAGTGTGTTGCTCTAACCAAGCATATATTTCACCAAGCTTTAGTTTCCTTTGAGGTGCGTCCAGTATACATAGGCGAAGAAGCTCTGCGTATGTACCGTTAACACGACCCTCCTCCCCAGATTCTACCTCACTAGAGCCCTTCCTCCCGAGAGCACTACAGGTCGAAGATTTGCCTTTCAGCTCTTTTTCAATTCTGCCTGTGGATGCTAGAGAAAGCTTCGGCTGTTGGACTGCTGCAACGGCGCTTATGGTACAAGAGCAAAGCTCGTCATTATTGGGTCCGGCATCTTTGCATTGTCGAGCCCCCGAAAACGGGTCTCTCTGCAGTCGACGATTTCTGGTTCCTAGCATCCAGGCATTAGGAATTGTTTCTATCACTCGACATTCTTTTTCACCAAATGCTTTCTGTTTGCTGTATATAGACAATTTTAGGTCCTGAAACAGAACCTGGTGAAAGGCGGACTTCAGGGTTGCCACATAAACTGTTGACCACTCAGCCAAGTTCTACACAACCTGGCAACTATTTACCATGTCTCGAAGACTTAATATCGCCATTGATCTTTTCCAGTAGTGAATCTTCGAGAAATATTTTACCTGAAAAGTCACTGACAATGTGTTTTGCAAGGTTATACCAAACATCAGTTGGAAGAAGAAAGAGCAATAGGATATGATAAAGTTGCAAGTGGTCTGTATATTTGAGTGATGAATCCAATAGTTTGAAAGAGACCGGTTCTTCAGGGCCGTATAGGGCAGATAGCAGTCCGTTAAGAAGATCCGACAACCCTTCAAAAGCGGTAAGGAGACAAGAGGATGTTGCCACATTGCCTCCCAAACCTTGTGCTTCATTCGCCTCTCTTCCAACAGAATTACGTTTGATGGTCTGGGAATATACATGGCCCACAACTCAGGTCATCGAAGCCGCATCCTGGGAGACGTTTGACGACGACGAATATGAAGAATCCACTATCCTGCGTCCAGTTGGTACTCTGAATACACTCCTGGGGGCAGATTTTAGCTGCAGACACTTGGAAATTCGTTCTCCCGTGGAGCATTGCCTGCCCCCTATTGCCCTCTGGATATGTCATGAATCCCGCGTTCATACGCTAAAACAATATACCTTAATCCAACATCCGGATCTTTCAGAATGTTCCTTCTACTTTAGTCCTCGTCGAGATCTTCTGTGGCTAAGTTGCGATATCACGAGTGAAACCGAGCGCCTAGACGAACTACAAGCATCGTATGGGGCTTCGCTTGACAACTTTCGGGCTCTCCTTGCTGAGGATACGGAATGGGAATTTTGGGACCAAGACCAATCTTCTTCGCCTCTCCTGTCGATCTTGCCTGCGCTCCAAACCATTGTGCTAGTAGCGGATGATTTTGATGATGACGGCACCCCAAATACATATAGCTCTGAGGAGTATCGTAAGCTTGCTGCTGACTATCGAAACGAATATTCTAAGTTTTGCGAATCTCTACGGCTTAATAAGCCATTTCAACTTGAGTATATTGACCGTGGTGGTAATTCATACTAAATGATTTCGCGAGTTAACTGATCTGGGCGGCAATCCTGTCCTGAGGCTCTCTGAGAGATGTATATGAATATATTAACATACATACCTTCATTCATAACCGAGAATTAATCCGAGTTTCAGGCGGCAGGCCGATTTTGCAGCGATTCGGAGGCGGCCGTCTCCTCTCACTTGGTAGCTTGCGGGTATAAATTTTTCTGGCGTCACTAGACGAAGATGTATACATTTAAAATAGAGCACTTTATGGAGTGTGGACATAGTTCACATCGAATTATCTACATAATCCTTGGCCTATACCGCCTCCCACATTTTTCGTTCGGACTTTAATTGCAGAGGCGTTGCAGAGGTCCCATTTCCCCGTAATAACAACAGTCTTCCTCTATATTACAACATCAGTTGCCGAACTTGGCCACCTATGTTTCCATCGAGACAGTTTCTAACTCATCACCTTCCTTATCCTGCTCTTCTTGTCGCTTGTCATACAGCCGTCTTCGATTGACTCTAGGAGCATACTTAGGTGTTGGCTTCACACCATTCTTTGCTGCTTCGTTGGTCAAGCGCCAGCATGCCACCTTTTTTCCAGTGGACGATTTTTCTGGAGCCTGTTCGAATGCCTAAAAGGCCTGTTAACTATTACCCTATAAAAAACATGTCGGTGGAGACCGAACAAGTGTATAGAGCTTGGGGAACGTACAGGATTTAAGCAGAGAGTCTGGCAGATTGTATGCTTGAATGACCCAGCCTTGCACTTTGTAGTGTGTTGCTCGAACCAGATATATATTTTGTTGAGCTTTAGTTTTTTTTCAGGTGCCTCCAGCATACATAGGCGAAGAAGCTCTGCATATGTACCGTGAACACGATTCTTGTCTTTGGGTTTTATCTTTCCAGGGCCCTTCCTCCAGGGAGTACTAGAGCCGGAAGGTCTGCCTCTTGGCCGTCTTTCAATTCTGCCTGTAGGCTTTTTAGGCAGTAAGATGGGTGCCGGAGAGTGTCTCGGGTGTTGGACTGCTGCAACTGCGTCGATACTACAAGAACAAGATTTTTCAGTGTTAGTTCCCGCATCCTTGCACTGGCGGGAGCCCAAAGACCAGTCTGGCCGCGGTCGACAGTTTCCCGTTCCTAGCATCCAGGCGTCTAGCATTGTTTCTATTACTCGATATTCTGTTTCACGAAATGCATTCCGGTGGTTGTGTATAGACATCTTCAAATCCTGAAATGGAAGCTGAAGAAGGGCGGACTTCAGGGCTGCGACATAATCTGCTTACAACTCAGTCCAGTTCTAGTCCACTCGCAGCCTGGCAATGACTTACCATGGCTTGATAACTCAACCTGCCCATTAATCCTTTCCAACAGAGTATTTTCCAGTGTTATTTTATCTGAAAACTTGCTAGCAATATATTTTGTAAGCTTGTGCCAAGCGTCTTTTGGAAGAAGAGAAACCAATAATTGACGATAAAGCTGCAGGTGTCGTGTATCTCCGAGTAGCGGATCTAATGATTGGAAAGGCCGCGGTGCTCCTGGACTATGTGCTTTAGAGTGTGGTGCCTCGCTCTTATTACTTTGAGACAACCACAACAACCACATCTCCTTGTCACGGGCTTTCACTATCTGAGCGGCTCGTTCTCCAGGGGTCATGAGGAGGGTTAGTGAACAGCATTCCTAGTTGGTATGGTTACTTACAAATATCCCATAGACGCAATTTTCTCTGCAACAAATACACCAGTGTTCTCCAATAAACCATTCATAATTGACTTGTGCATCAGGAAAGACGATTGAATGCAATCTCTTGCAACATTTATGGCACACAAAATATGGAATAAAGTTTATCTGTTGACCAAGCATATCTTGAGCTAAATTTGAAGTTGCATGCTCCTCGATACTAGAAGATCCGCCGATAGGAGGCTGGTGTCCTGTAGCACCTAGAGTCTGTTTAGCCCTATATGTGCAAGAGAATTAAAAAATTGCTTACCTATCTGATAATATAACGCATTATCCGGCATACTCAGATAATCCATTCTCGATGTAGAATAAATTGTTTACCTTGTTATCCAACCTGACTGTGTGAACATGAAAGACAATTGTTTATCACCTGAGTTTATTGGAGCTTGACAGTTATGGCAATTATGGCCCTTGACGTCCTTCCAGTCAAATCTGGTAAAGTTTGTTTAATCTTTTGTGCAAGGAATCAACTTGCTGAAAACCTTTGAAGTAGGGAGAAAGGACAGATGTATTTTCCATGGGCTAACCTTGTCCCTTTATATACCAATGTAGTGGCCCACTTCTTTGGTTACTTACAAGGGTCGGCAAAAATAGAACATTGCCGTAGTGGATAGCAACTGGCCTATGGCAACCCATCTATTGCAGTTATATGTGACGTACTTAAAATTACATTTTTGCTTACAACTACTGGTGATATTTTTGTCGTGACGGATTACTAGCCCAGATATTATATCCTCCTAGTCTGATACCCCTTTAATTATAAATGTACAAGGCTACTGTTTTGCTCAAAAATAAATACAGAAGTAATACTATTGATACAGCTGTTACTTTAACATCAGCTAAAGTCACCTCAGTTGTTTGTAGCTGGCTTTAGTCCGGATGTAACTCGGCTATTAAATGGCACTTAGCAAATTATCCAACATATACTAGAGTGATAGGTACTTACACTTGCAGGAAGCCTTTAACTCCTTTCCTAAGAGCCTGTCGTGCTATTGCGCAACTAATAAAGTTTCTAAGTAGCGCTTCTGGAGATTCTTGTCGAAGAGCTCCAAACTATATGATTCAAATCCATCTGCCCAGTTCTTAACTATCGCTCTTGCCAGGGGATCGGGGTACTTTGGGTCCAGGGGTATATTGTAAACATGGTCAACCACATTAATAAAACCACGGCGTTCAAATTCTGCGGGATATAAAAGAGGTAGGTCTAAAAACCTCCCGCTTCTCCGATAGGCATCATCCATGTCGTGGTAGAAACGATGAAGGGCCGTTTCGTCGCCGGATTCTTGTAACCAAATTGTGGTATCCCAAATCTCAACCACTCCTCCAGGCACACAGCACCTATAGCGAGCGTTAGGCATATATATATTATCGACATTGTGAAGATTACCGGTATACTCCATCCATAAGACATGTTAAGAGTTGGCGGTCGCCACCTAGCGAGCCAATATGGATGATATCAATATTTTGAAAGGGAGTATGCCAGTCCTGCTCAGTGAGGTCGTCAATTAAGAACTCGCAGTTGACCGGAACCCTGTTTCAAATTAATTACTCTAGTCACCCAATTTGGAGCAGTCCATACCACTCGTCTTGCATATAAACCAGGTCAACCCCATAAACCTGAATAGTCACTCTCGTTTCTCCAAAAGGAATTATTTGGCCTTACATGCGAATCCGGGTTCCTATCAGCTAAAGGGTCCGAAAATTAGCAACTTTATAATGAGAAAACGCCGCAGGAATAAGTACCAAATTCAATAGCCCAGTGGCCAACGCCAGTTCTAAGATCTAATACAGCTCGAGGTGGATTAGCAGGAATTGGAGACAGCCTGCTCTGAAACAGCTTGAAAAATAGAAGAAATTGCTCGGCTGCTCTTTTGGTTAGTAAGTATTAAGAAAATAGAGCATACTAGAGAATACTAACCTTGCCGTTCTTTCTCTCTCTTAATATAATTCGGTCAGCAACATCCTAGAAAGTACAGGGGTACATACTTCGTCAGTTGGCCAGGGGTATTGCTCTTCGTTATTTGCTGGATAATACCGTCCATTTTTGTAGACTGTTTCGCATACAGAGCCTTCCAAGCCCTCCAGTTCTATCATGCACCTGCGAACAAATCAGATTGGGACAAACACAATTCCATGGCAGCAAGCATGTACTCATCACAAAATCCTTCATCAGATGAATACGCTTCAATTGGCCCTGTCTCCATTCTTCTAGCTTTAGCCGTAGGGGTGAATTTGGTGGATTTAGGAAAACAACATAGCTGATAACTTAGGATGTAGATCTGGTATGGGTTCCTCCACCTCCTTTATAAGTCTCACCGCCTGGTATTACCTAACCCACTTCTTACCTTTCATAGACTAATGCCTCCGAACGAAGCCAATTACGATAACAGGAGCTAAAAAAGACAGAGTTTTTTATTTAAAAAACAGATAGCATGGTTACTAACGCTAAAATAATTAAGTTTCCTATCCTCTTACTATCCAAGAATAGTCAGTCTAGGATGGATTCACTTGCTATAGTAAAAGTTAGAGGGAAGCCATAAAAAAAGTAGTTGAAACTACCTGCAAGCGTCTCGTTCGTTATTTTGGTATTCATGTTCCAGCTTTCTGTACATGTTCGTTATTTCAAGAGCCCGTTGCACGGTTTCCTTGAGGTTTCCCATCTTAGAGAGGTCAGCAGCATTTACTTAACTTATTACATTTTACTAAACATAGCTCACTTACTATCAGTCCGTCTTTGCATTCGGTCTTACAATAGGCGCAGCAACGCTTCCCCTCAGCGGGAACGTACTTGGCGCCTTTATTAATAATCTGTTGTGAGAAGAATTGATGGCAATTCTTACACAAAGCATCCGTCTCGGTAGGCTGATAGGAATTGGAGTCCATGTTGACAAATCTTCGTCAGGGAGTTCAGCACGTATGATATATTGAAGGCAAATTTCTTACAGCGTGGGAGGTGGGAATAAATACAAAAGCCTGAAATAGTGAGTTGTATTTTTTTAATCTCTCGCTATATTAAACGTTCACGAGAATGCTTAGATGCCTACATAATACGTGTCCCAAGCGTGGCAGGCAGCCCACATAAAAGGGAAGAGTGTGATGCAGGTCGTCAGACTCACGAATTAAATTATTGCTTCAATATGATCAGTAACTACCAAGGGGCGAAAGTTACATTGACAAACTGATATACCGGTTGACCGAAACACAGCCAATAATGGGATTTCGGGGCTTGTGGCGGCGCTCACCCAGTGTTCAAGTGCAGCGAATAGGATCCGAGGCCGGAGTTGAGCATGAACCCTCTAACTCTAAAGCCCGAGAACTAGTTTTGAGGGATTCTACAGATCATCAGGACAAGCGAAAGAGATGGTGGGTCAGCACACTAACCGATGTGATAGTTGTACCATGCTTGGTATCCATGAGCCCACAAGCAGAGGGGAAGCGTGCAGCCAACAGAATATCGACTACTTTAATAACTGTATGGCTTTGCTTCTTCGTCCCGTGCAAGTGCTGGAGTTTCGGGAATCCGGGAGAGACACAAGGAGATTCCCGGAACTCCAACACCTCCTCAATACGGAGAAGGATCTGACCAGACCGTAATGCCTCTCTAACAAATGTAGAGGCCTCTAGCCCTTGGTTGCGCAGAAATTTGCTAACCATGCCGTAGGTCTTTGGGATGACCATACCCCTATCCAACGGTCTATTGTTGGGCCATTGCTCCCTTTCCAATGCCAAAGACCTTGAACCCAGTAGTCGATAAAAACTCCTATCCCAGGGGTCTTCTCCACTCATGAACAGAGCAGCTAATCGGATGTCTTGGTCTGGTTTGGGATTGATACTCAAGACTAACTTGGTCTGGTCCTTTTCAAAATATTTTGAGACGTTATTCAATTGGCATAGTACACAATCAAAAATATCCTTCGCCTGGATAATACGCTGGGACTTCCTTCCCGCCATGACGGATAGAATTAGTTGTCCAGCAGCCTGCAAGCTGAAATAGTCCACTGGAGATCATAGAATCTCGAGGTGAAGGACCGGATGCGCTTTACCAATTTTGGTTAGTTTGCATACGCCCTCTACACCTACTTTTCACGCCAGAGGATGTAAAAGTATAGACTAAGGTTACCAATACGGGAGTCTTATCTTACACAAAGAATACGTGCTCGATCCGTGAGATCCAGTTATAACTAGTCAAACTTTCATGAACGGAAATGCATAAGGCGATTGGATGTACGGCCCCATTGGATGGGAAGAAAATCCCACCCAAATCATCTTCATACCACCATTCGGCGACGGTTGAACAAAGGTCGCCCCTTCAACTGGAAGGACCCAGTATTGCTCAACCACAATCCGGTGAATATCTCGTTCATTCTGGCAGTAAAATTGCTCGACACTCTGATGATGGGAGCCAGTACAAATCCCAAACAACCCGTTATCCCAGTCGGCATTTCCTGTTAGCGGAATAAAGAAGGAAATCGCATCATGGGTGTGAATGGGGTGTACTGTCATGAAGTCAAGTGGCAACTTCTGGTCAGACTCGGGAACGGCGACGCACTCCACCATACTGGGCCCCTGCATTATAAGCTCCTCGACTTTTTTTCCAAATCGGGTTTCGAGGTGACGCCTGACCTTTTCAACTTTAGCTAGATCCTGAGAATTCTAGGTGGAGCGTACCTCTGGGTCCGACGTCAGAAATCCCGCATCCGGCAATTTACAGTAATGGAAGGATGGCGTGGTTATTTTTTCGATCTTTTCGCAGTCTTGTTCCATTTTCATAACTCCCGCTGGATTACTGAGGGGGAACCGGGTATAACCATCCCGCTCCATTTCCTCGTGTGCAGATTTAAGGACAAAATCATCGATAATATCGATATCGGTAGTGTCCTCCATTTTAGTTAACACTAACCCACAAGCAATATGACTAAGGAAGAAAGTAAATCCGATCTGGAGTGTACACAAAGTCCACGACTAAACCGACATCTTTATTTATATCCACCGTCAGCGTCCCAGGCTACCTGATAAATCAATTTAAAAAAAAATAATGATAATACTCATGCTATAAGTACAGATAATTTTTTCCAATCCAAAGCGCAATGGCGTGCAATGCTGTCTGCCACTTAAAAGCTTCCAAAATATCATTAGAAAGTATGTAGATAAATTGAGCATTGAGGTATGATTTGCTGTTTCTTGGAGTTCGGAATTCCTACACAGGCTGTCAGTAGCGTATAAAGATCAGCATGCCGAAACTTACATCTCCCAAAGATAGCATTTGATTGCGAAATATTAAAAAGTATGGGCCGTCTAGTCTTCACTTACCTTGTTTGGTTCTATATATGCATTGCGAACGCTACATTAATAACGGCGAACTGAGTCTGCGCTAAAATATATTAATGAATAATAATAGCTATCCTCTGAAAATGGATTGACCATATAACCCTTATCCCTATATGGCATACATAACCGGGAGAGCTGCCAAACCCAATAACTGGGATAGCCCTCTATAAGTAAAGTACATGTACTCTGAACCTCAGCTGTTTTTATCTGGATTTAGGTACCTGTTTTGTTGACTCCAGTACTTCAGTAAACGTAATCCGGAATCCGATCCCTCCAGAAACTCCCGATGTATTATATAATCCTGGAAATGAATATATGTTACTCCGTGCTTTGTTTCTTCTACTGTCTCGGTAAGAATGAAATTGTCTCCGTCCTCGTCTGAAATGCATACTTGGTTCTGTCTTCTGTCAGTGTGCAAAATTTAAATTAAACTGAACGACTCACCGCTATCGATTCCAGCTTATCAACTGTTGTTATCCTTGTAGAATCGACTGACTGATTTCTTGCTATAAAGCATCAGCTCCATACGTTTACCGTACGGTTGAAAACCTACAGGAGGGACTTGGATCTTGCTCATCGGTGTCTCGCCAATAGACTGACTGATCGCTTGCTATAAAACATCAGCTCCATACCTATACGGTACGGTTGAAAACCTACAGGGGCAACATGGATCTTGCTCATCGGTGTCTCGGCTTACGCAACTGAACCAAGACGAGCCTTGTCGTAATGCGCATTGGAAGAGCCAGACGGCGTCAGACCAGAGATTGTACAGGATTTCCATAGCGTAAATAAAACAAGAAGAAGCTCCGTAGCAAACCTGGCCGCTCCCTCAGGCTAAGTATTGTGTTTACTTCGGTATTCCACTCCGAGAAGTTTTTGTCTAGGAAACATGGTTTAAATGCCTTCTTAGAAGTTCTTATGTACAACGTCGAATGCAGCAGATTTGATGTGTCCCTCGTGTCCCCACAGCGATCTCCACTACGATAATGTTAGAGACAGGGGGGTAGTCAATATACTTTTCAGAATAATAATTAATCGGGCAGGTGTATTCCTTCCCCCCAGTCGTTCTAGGTAGCGTGAGTTTCGGACTTTAGCAACTCATTAATGTCAACTCCGATTAAATAATTGCTTCCGAAATTTAAAGCAGGGTTGCGTTACTTGTTCGTGTCTGCTAGGCACAGCAGTGATTAGATCCTGGTCCTTGGCGGCAAGCAGACAGTAAGTCGATCCGATAGGGATTAATTTATCAAAGCGATTATATCAACACTAACTATCTATCATGCACCTGTTAAGCTCTAAGTTAAGCGCATACAAAGACCAACCGGAGAAAAAGTAGGATGTAGTGAGAGATATCCTACTTAACTGATATTTCATTCAGTTGTGCTTCCTGGCTTGTTTTCGAGCTGTGTAGAATCACCTTGATAGGAGAAATTGAATTCACCCTGATAACAATGAATTTGAGCCAAAAGGATGCCCAGCGAGCCATAGCTTCAAGCTGGTCAGTGCTCCGGCCGGAGAAAGTGAGAGATAAACTTTGATCACTCTTACAAAAGTACTATCCAGACTAGTATCAAGTAACCATATGTACATTAATAATGTGTGATCAGTTAATTTTGGCGGAGCGCACAGCTTGGCACAGAGGTCTGTGTGGAAGTCCCATCTTCAGTTACCATAGCTAGTAAAAGAATAACTCAAATAGTATACCCTGCACAGCAATCTATGGAAAGAAAAACATGCAGTACTATCGATAGCGAGAATCCGGAACTTCAGTAGTCTATTCCAGAGGGTATGGGAACAAGGACGCTAATGCTGTAGAGTTCTTTTACCAGTTACTCGTAATGGACATTGATATGCCCCGAAGAATCTTAGTACTAGCCAATGGTTCTTCCCCTCGAAGGATTTGCTGCAAAGCATAATCCTTCTACCAAAAAGGCCATACAGTATACACAATCAAGGAATAGCACATCATAACAGTAAGAAACGATAATCGGGGCAGTGAAGGCCTACCAATAGATTCAGCTTAGTAGGACAATTTAAATGGGCTCACTCACATTTAGCTAGACCATGGCTTGCAGGCCCAGCAACATTCGTGTGCGCACATATCATTCTTGCCGTCTTTTTCAATATTCATGATACACATCCCAACCTCATTTGGGCCCTGTTCACATGTGCAACACCTCCATTTTCCATTAAAATGCGTATAGGGGCAGCTGTTCTCACAAAACGTCCCAGTCTGTTTCTGATCTGTTGTCCTCTTGTCCTTGCACATAATCTTTCTTCCTGTAGATGGATTCGTGGTGGCCTTGGGGCAGTAATTAATCGAGTGCGAGAAGTGTTTACCACACTTGTACTTTTTCACGATGTTGCGACACATTGCGTGTTCTATCCTGACATAAATCGATGGTAGGCTGTGTACGAAATAGAGAGTATGCTGGGGAGCAAGAGGATATGTGCTCCGGAGCTGATACTTATATAGGTGTGCGCACCTATAGAAGGATATCCTGGCATATTCAGGTCTGTATGATCCCTTTGCCCCTGAATCGATTGCCTATAGATGTTGAAATGAGCTAGATAGTGTTCGTGTTCCTCATTTCGCCAGTAGCCTTTCTCGGAGTTTCTCACGGTACGGATGCTGTCTCAAGTTTCTCCAAAATGCTTGAAAGCAGTTAATGATAGCGCATTTCTCCTTTCAGAGACCTACGAGATATGGGTCTGTCATATCCCATACATACATATATCTCAGAAATTTTGCTCAGGGCTTCATCCTTGCCAACATGGAAACTGTAGCCTTACGTTTACACCAATAGCTCAATCTGGATTTAGTCCATACATTTCGCTGCAAATAACCCTCGTCATAGGCCCAAGAACTTGTCTATATTCATTAACCCTTGCAAATCACCTTCCTTAGTTTCGCAAAGCTCTTCAGAAACCCATCCTTCTGTACACCCACCGCCAAAATCTATGAGCCATGCATTCCTTTGAGAGTCGATTAGGACATTTTCTGCCTTTACGTCGCCCCAAACAATGTCATTCCGATGCAGTAGTTTAACAGAATCTCGGATTTGACAGGCCCATTTCCGGCGCTCTCCAGCTTCAGCTGCCCCCACATCGATATCCCACAGACTGTATTCAGCACCAATGTCCATCAGCAGTATTCCAGGAAATCCTTCTTCGAATCCAATCATTCCCCCCAGCCTGGGCACCCTAAGCAAATGATCAGAAACCTCCAAAGAAGATAACCTTTGAAGAAGGTCTAGTTCGCGTTCGAATGAATCAGTCGCGTTACGTCTAGACATTTTGCAGATAAAAATGTCCCCGTGCACAATGACCTTAAAAATGTAGTCGTCGATAATCGTCTCTATAACTGTAGCATCGGATAACTGATAACATGGAACGGTGGGGTCTGTCTCCAACGATAGATGTATAATATCAGAGCAAGGTAGATCGCCGTTTACTTTGAAGACTTTAGGGACACCCTTGTCAGTCACCAGCTGCAAAAATACTTCGGGGTTTTTGAGGTGCGACTTGAGGCTGTCTCCAAAATAGCGCGCATATGACTTGAAAAAGGGTTGGCAAAGTGGTCCGAGAAAGTCGGCTAGGTCCTCTCGTGCAATCTCCGCCGTCCGACGATTCGCCAGCCTCTTAAGGAACTTCCCTTCAACGGTTTCCGATTGATCAAACTCTTCTGGTGGCTGGCGTGCAAGTCGAACCTTGAACAGTGTTTGCTTGGCCTTTAGGACAACTTCAGCATCACCCTGAACATCGCCATGGCAGTTGATCAAAGCATATGGTACAACCGGTGAAAGACTGCAGTCCGTCATTTTGCAGAAAAGGAGAATATTGTTTAGCTAGAGAGAAGGCGGAAAGAAAAGAGAAATTGACAAAGGTGAACACGCAGATGGGTCAGGGCATCCCTTTATCGCGCTCAGCTTAGACACGCAGGAGAATGCGCCACAATTTCCTATTGCCTAAATCCCACACTCTAACAAATGTAAAAGAAGCAACCGTCCTTGTTACCAAATATCCCCGCAGGACAATCTCAACCTTGTTGTTTACTCAGCTGATGATGGGTCATAGAAAAAAAAAAAGGGCAACCGGTTGTGAAATGTTATGTAAGCAACCCGACCTCTTGCACATACCCGTCACCTCTGACCCACACCGCATACCCCGCATACCGCGAAGGCGGTGTGGGTCAGAGGTGACGGGTAGTTACTATTGGTAGAATAACCAAACTCTCATCTGCGGCTGTACTTTTGGTCTTTCCCGATGTAGCACACCGCCCATTCTGTCTCAGGACATGACTAGCTCCAAGCCTACTTCATGAATGATCTGTTTTGGAAAAATGTCTGGCTAATTTTAGAAACTATTGCGGGGCCAGAATGGCCAATAGAAACAAACAAAGGCGCTCCTGGCTGAGGCAACCTTATTGCGGGGTAAGGCTTACATGAGAAGATCAGGAGAGAGAGTCTACATGACCCCTAAGATTTATCTGGCTTATTCGTTGTGTAGCTTATCACTCGAGCAGCAAAATGGAAGAGGCATCCCAGGCAATCCTCCAGAATGCTTCGGATTTCAGTGGTGGTAAATTTGATTGCAAAACCTTCCTTGGAAGCGTACGTGGAAAAATCTATTGAGGAATCCTAGCTCACTGCATGTAGGTCGTCAGTTCCCTAGTCCGGCATATTGATCATATTCCTCAGGAGCTATTATCACCACTTCTTTCAGCCAAATCTACAACCAAGCCTTCACGGTCTCGCAGAGACGAATCCCTGGAATACATCCGAAAGACCACAAAGGATGATATTGTTTGCTCCAACTATGTGGAGCAACAAATACACCGATTGCAAGAACAGCCTTCTGCATTTTTGGATGGATTTATCGAACATTCTCCGAGGCATGGTGGGGCAAATGTGTTGAGTATCCTCTATGATAAGAACAGAGAAGCTGAAAGTGACTATGCTGTTACGCGCTCGTTTTCGACAACTGCTCTATATCTTTTAGCCAAGGATTTGATGAGATACTTGGGATACAAGAATCTGGCTGGAGGGGCACTCGACGGACTGGTTGACATGATATTCAGAGGTCAAAGTGGGTCAGACGATAGGGAAACTGTGAAGGAGAACGTTAAGAAGTACTACGACGCTGGTAGCAGATGGTATGCATATTCTCAGGCTTTGGGGGGATATGGTTGTTTTTTTTTTCTCCCGCGGCTCCCTATAACTGTGTAAGTTCCACTTCCGCTTTTTACCGAGTTGCGGCTGACAACTTAAGATATGAGGTGTTCCTAAACAAAGGAGATAATTTTATCTTTGCAATTGGCCACTTTACCATTTTAGGTCTACCTGATAAGGTGAAAGATGGTAACGCCAACGAAGTCGGGAACAATATCATATCCTATATCAAATCACGTTTCGATTCGTTCAAGCCGAATATAACGTTAATTAACCCTCATGCGCCTCGGCTGGGAAAAAAGCGCCACACGAAGCCTTCCCGAAAATCACATGGCCGCGCAGAGAAAAAGCAGCGAAGAAATACACATGAGCCTAGTCAGAATCCTGTGGATGCGGAGTCATCTGATGCTCATTTGGCGACCCATGGGCAAGCAGGGGTTCGGGCAACGCAAAACACACCACAGCTTTCCAACGCTCACTTATCATCCGGGCGAGCAGATGGTGTGCAAATTCTTATCCTTCCAAGCTCCGCATCTGCTAACGAATGTCAGTCCAAGGCGATATCCGACATCAAAATAATATAAATATAGTGCCGGGTTCTAATAACCACGTTAACAGTAATGTTGATGAAGCGTCTCCCGAAGATCACCCTGCCTTGCACTCATTACGGGAGGATAGTTTATTAAGGGTCGAATCCTCTGTATTCATTACAAGCTCATCATCACAAACAGTACGGCATCGAAATCATAGTATTTCTTCTCAAATGCAGACTAGCGAAGACATAGCTATGAGAGAATGCAATGCGAAATCAACGAATCAGTCCGCCCCTTGCAACGTCCATGCAGAGCGAGATTTCCGTCTCCAGGCAGACGAGACTCCAACGGAAATACAACCTGGTGATAAACAGCAAGATCATCCAAGCACCGAGAACAGTATGCGTGAAACGCGAATACAAGATGCACAATACCAGTATACGGGGAATTGCGAAACACAACCGTCGTCGATAAGGCCCACTCTAGAATGTCTCCAGGAGTATACCTCGTATCAGCAAGCCAATGAGCTGAACTTATCACCGCAGTCATTCAACATGGAGTCAGAGCATGTTGATAGAAATTCTGACCAAGTAAATATTGGGACCTCATCAAGAACAACTACCCAACTTGGTCAGCATGGCATAGACGGATTGTCTGCATCGGCCGGATCATCCCACCAGATTATCCAAGACGGTCCGTATCAACCAGTCGCTGAGGATCAGCCGGAGGAAGCGCAGAGCGAGCGCACTGAATGCATGGTCGAACATCCTGTTGAACATTTTTGTATCCGGCGATGCGGTGTGAACGAGCATCTCTACCATGCTTATGTGGAACAGCAAGCGAACAGCCTTGATGTGCCATTGCAACCAGCAGAGAGCAGACCAGAGCAGCCCAATCAAACAAATGATGCCAACCTTTTTAGTCATACGGCTGTAAACGGCTTGTCACCGATGCAGATATTATGCGATGGTTCAAGGTATACTTTTAATGACCTGCCCAATCCACTACCGAATTTATCAGACTACGATTGGCAAAATCTCCCTAATCCATTGGTCGCCAGTGCTTCCTCTGAGAGCATCAGGCCAAACCGCTCTCGCTTGCCTGGTCCGTTCAATATCGGATCGCCAAATACTGTTAATAGTATGACCTTTAATTGGCACGATCTCCCGAACCCACTCGATGTTGATGTCCTTACAATCCCAGAATATACTTGGAATAATTTACCGAATCCGCTTAGCCATTATCAACATTCCAATTGGTAGCGTCTCGCTAACAGCCGTCAGGTTGGTAATTCAATCCTAGAAATAGTAAATATACATAATAAAACAATATCAATTAAGCGCTGAAGTTCACGACGCTTGGTGTATTCATATATCTAAAAGCAATAAGATCGCCAACCCCCCTCCAGGTCCCGGAAATGTTATGGGCTCCCATCCACCAAAAATGACATCTTGTCCACTATCCATCGCAGTTTCCTTGTCTATAAATAACCCATTCGTGTGTGACAGTCTTCCCAGTGCAATAAGAATAGCCACTTTTCGTTTGTCTGGAGCGATACCCCTTAAAGTTCCTGGGCGCGGCATAGTATTTATGGTAATCGGATACCATTCTGACAAGAGGTCCGCATAGGGTTCTTTGATTTGCTTATTAAATTTCGATCCGACCCTGGAAATGTTTGACTTATCCTTAACCAACATTAATATATCGAAGCATCGCCGTGAGATGACTACCTACCTCCAGCCAAGCCTCTACAACAGCCAACGCCGCTGATGTCTTCCGCAGAGCATGAAAAGGGTAATAAGGCCCGTTCCCTTCAGGCCTTGAGGTTTCAAAGTGATTGTGTTGAAGAAGTTGCTTTCGTGCATCATCTGCGATAGAGGGATTCACAGCGGAGTGAACATCCCATCTTTGTCGAAATATCTCGTCAGTAGAAGGCCGAGAATCGACTGCTTGCTGGATGCCTTCGTCTTCCGGCATTTCCAATGGCCATACCACGCATTTAAAACATTCAAGGCAAGCCCACCAAGCCAGGAGATAAGATACTGGAATGGATAATTCATTTTAATATAAAATGGGGATCACTGAGGGGCATCTCGGGCCGGAGAAATTAAAATCCTATTGTGCCCAATTTGGTTACTAGGCCATACGCATGTCGTAACAGCCACTTGCTTCATTTACTAGTCCAAAACTAAACCTAGAGGGCCAGTAACGCTGCGAGAGCAGAAACTTCGCCATAAATTTGGTTCCCGGCTCTGGCTTAAACATGAGAATGCATGATGACTTCCTCCAACATTGAGAAGGTTGAGTAGCTTTGTACTAGTAGCGCACTATCGTAAACAGCGAGTGGGTCGACCATGTAGGAAAGTCAACCTCTGTATTCTATATAAATAGCACTATTCAGAACCTTGATACTCCAACAACATATCCGGAAGTGCGGCCAACTCTTCCTGCATCATCGTTCAATGGAGTGTCGGTCATTTTGCTTTGGTGAAAAGGACTGTTTCTCTGGCAAGCCAACTCTTCCTTCCTGACGCGTAACGCTACCGCCAGTTTCCCGGGAGAGTATAAGTAAAAATATGTCAAAGTAGCTTAAAGTTGATAATTAAGAGAAGATCATAATGTAAATGGCCAGTCCATACCTTGGGATTCGGACCAGCACGACTTGGTTAAACACAGTGGGCGGGCACTGAGGGCAAGAAGGCCGACCGAAGAAAGCAGTACAATACCTGATCACGTGCAGAACTAACTGCACGTGGCTACTCACAAGCATCAGTAAAGTCGGTAATTTTACGGGGAAACTATATTCAGTACAACAATATTTTCCAAAAATATGGTAATTATGGCCTTGGTGACTATTTTCTAACTAAATATAGCCTACTCATTTGCGCAGGCAGTCACGAGTTCAGTAAATCTCTAAAGGATACGAAGCATCGCCCAGGTCCTAAGAACAAGCAAAATCCCTCCATCGCATCTCTGTCAACCTGTCCAATAAACCATGCATATCGAACACTAGCCTGGCTGGTTCTGTCATCCTTACTCTGGTACAACGCACTTGCTTAAGATATGGGGGCACTACCAATGGCATTATATATAAATTTATGGGGCTTCCCACCTAGTTGACTACCACAAAGATTTATCCACGCAATACTTCTGCAAAGTACAAGGTAATATACTGTATTCTTTCATCTTTAGAAAACCCCAAATTCCTTGTTAATACCCTATTTATGCACTCATGATCCTGAAATTATGTAGGAAAAACAACCCAGACCGTTACTGTTAGAAACTATGTCTGCTAGTTCTGGTCTGAGAGGTGCATGCGACGTCTGTATCCACCCCAACGATAAACACAGAACCGCACCATGTCCTGCCCGACGCTGCACCAATAGGTGGAAAAAATGTACAATTACTGGTGGCTGTTTCAATAAACCGACCAATTGGACCTATCGGATGTGCTTTGGCTGTAAAGATCATCCCGGACTTGTGAATGATTTAGATTTCTATGGAAGACAAAGAGATGTTACTCGAGCTCAGAGGGATGATTTCAAGAATACTGGGGATGCTGGTGGCGAGACCTCCACCGGCGAAATTACCAGCAGTGATCCTGTGGTCCCCAGCAGTGATCCCGTGGCACCAGATAGCAGTCCATAGGAGCTTTTTGGTATGTGTATCAGCAACTAGGGCTCGAGCATCGTGGCATAGCTTTTTGGCTGTATTTAGCAGTGCTAAGATGATTTTCATGCATGGCATGTTTATAACTGATATTTCTGCCTGCAAATTAATTTCCTTAATCGGCCATTGCAGTAAATGAATGGCCGCTTTAATAGCTTTGCTGGTAATATTACTATTTTTTCTTTTCTCTCAAGGAACTGTCCCATCTATTGAGAATGATCCAAATACTTTGTTATTTACATTGCCTGGTATTTAATTTGTATCTAGAGTACTGTAGAATGGAACAGAGGTATTGAGAGACAAAGCAACTATCTGACCCGCTCAAACCAGCCTAAGACACTTTTAGTGTGCGTTCTGACATGGCTGTGATCGTCTGGGGATACGGGTTCATTATCAATATCAAAAGGGTCAGCGATCCATGGATGCTGTTGTAGGCAACGAATAAATTCAGTATCTCCTGCTCCGTCGTCCAACCAAAGTCCATCGTCACAGTGTCGATGCCAATTGAACAGTCGAGACGTTGCATTCAACGATTGTAGCTCCGCAGTCTTTTGTTCCAAAGAGCATACCCTAGTGCTGTCAATAAATGCTAAGCATTTTCAGTGCGAAGACTTACTCTAGTGCCTTAGAATCACCGTTACAGGTATCATGCAGGCGAGAATATGGTAAGACTATAGTTGGACATTGCAGGCTATGATTAGTGGGCGTTTCCGGAGATGTATCCGATGGAATTTCCCACGACAATGGTCTATGATCATGTCCGCAGTGTGCTCTGATTTCTAGACTCAAGTTCCTATAAGTAGTGAAACCAAAAGGAGGGGACGGCGTCCATGGAACTGGTACATCTTCCCTGCAAAAAAAGGATGTTGCAAATTCATTAGCCCGAGGAATAATGCCTTCTGTAATCTTTTCTGGACAGTACGAGATCTGGAGAAACGACTGTATCGTGTCTGTCCAAAGACCTGCGACAAGACAAATTGGTGGAACGTCCCTTAAAGCCATTTCCAGCAGGGGCATTTCCTGACCATTGCAAACGACAGCATCCCAGAGGAACGTGAGAGATGGGTTTCTGCTTGCAATAGCTTTTAAGAGCATGTCATAATTACCCTTCTGTGCCAAAATGGTTTCTTTGACCCCTAGAGAAACAGCGCCTACAAGATTGCAGGGAACGCTGGGATCAAAGAAGGCACTGCACAGCAACGAGTCCAGAGCATCTTGTGTGGCACTGAGAGACATGTATTTGTCGATATATTGAAATATTTTCCGAAATTTTGTGTCATCTCGTACAGATCCTGTAGCGGGGCGTGAGACAAAAGCCGGCGATTCCATTTTTGGTAAAGGTGTATTCCGTGATGTAAGCATAAGTACAGTAGCGAATCCGGTTAGAAATTCTCTCTGCAGGTGTTCCGAGGTACAGAATTCGAGGAGAATATCAAATGCAAGTGCTGAATTTGGCGAGACTTCGGCCCATTCATGACTACAAAACCATTCAGTCAATTTAACTCGGAAACAAATGACGGAAGTTTGGAATACCTTGAGTTTGAAAGAAACTTGCGTTCTCGTAGCTGCCAGGGAGAAAATAAAATCCCTTTACCACGTTTCATTTCAGCTGACCAGAGACTTTGAATGATGAGTTCCCAAAAACCTAATCCTTTATGATGTACCAACTTAGCCTTTTCTCCCACGCTTTGGCAAATTTCTACCCATCGTGACGAGAAAATGTATGACCAAGCTAATGTAATTGTAGTGAGATAAGAATAGTTCATTTGTAAGTCTGAACTGTACGCCAAGGAAGGATTAGAAGTCGTCGTACGTTCGAAAACCCTTGGAGACGGAAACCCTAAGCATTGGTAATACTCAATGGATTTCCAACGCTGATCGCAGGTATAATCTCGTGTTGTCTCTAACCGCAAGTAAGATTGTAGAACTAAAGGGCACTTATACCCTCCGGAAATACGGACACTGTCTGGTGAATAGTGAAAGCGAGGGACATTCTTCACTGTGTTCAGGAAAGCGTTCAGATGATCCTTATCGACACTCCCTGGATCTTTCATTGCTGCAGATTGCCATGTATTATGACTGATATTACGGCAGAGCTCAAATTCTGAGAACGTGGGGCAAATGCCATCACCATTATACCATTGCCTCTCGTCATCTTCGGGGCTTGATCGCTCACTATATTCGGAACTAGCGTGATCTGCTGCAGTGCTTGTGGTTGATAGGCTGTAAGGGATACAATTAATGCTCTTTCGTTCTTCACTCATAATGTACCTGAGTGCGAATTCTGGATCTGCTTTCAATTCTTTGGGTGAGAAAGGTTGGGACAAATGTAGGCGTAGCACCTGGGCGGCATACCACCACCATATATGTATTACCTTAAATTGAATTTCCAGTTAGCGTATAATACCTAATGTTTTTGTTCTTGCCCCTACCGCAGTGACGCTAGTAATGCGTTGGGGACCCCCTGCCAGAGGCTTGCTTGTCCATCCCATCCAACGAATAGTTAGACAATCGTAGTTGATAGCATCAGCCTCTCAGTAATTTGAGACCGGATCCAGGAGGCGCAGCTTTAGGCGGTAAATTAGTACGGCACAAAACCGTTGCAAAATGTTAACAAGGAAAAGGTCTGCCTTGACAAAGATTGGATGGGATGACGACACCGCCAATATTATCTTGGCAGAAAATAGCCGCCTGCGGCTTGGATAATAACTCTAGCAACTCCTTTTCAATTAAAACCGCTTACATCAAAGCTATCAACCATCGCTATCAAAAGCCGTCTTTCAGATTCATGATTCGGGTGATGGGCTTCCTATTTACCTGCGGCTACGCGAGGCAACTACATGGGCCACGCTTTGTTTTCCGAGTTCTTTTCGTCGAGCCGCCTAGCGATGGCACCAAAAGAGTCCTTGTGTACCCCGATCGGAGATCGGTTAAATGGTTTTCGTAATGGTTTCAGATCAACCTGCGACAATTTAGGCCTACCTCGCGCGACAGACTCTCTACATCAGGGGGATAGTGAAGTTGCGTACCTAACGTCAGACAAATGAAGAAATTTTCTAATGCTGTAGACCTGCAAAATCTAGCACTTGATCTTGTGTCGGCGTTGAGAAGCGTCCCTGAAATACGAACCCTGCCATCCACCAATAGTCGGAAGAGCCTTTTAAGTGATATCTTGAGGCTTAATTCTGCTATCAGTTCCGAGGACTATGATATCTACAAACTTATTCCATTGCTTCGTGCGGTCGTCAATAAAGAACCCGATGATATAGTCTGGAATAAGATCCACGCTGCACTTATCGAAACTACTCCTCCACCGAGACCGCTCCCTAGCCTTAACCAAACACCAAAACCACACACCACGAGCAGCTTTGCCAATTCATCCGAACAACGTAAGCACGTAGATGCCGTGCTGAAGGAGGAGCTTGGGTCGATCTACATTGGTGTACGTGGTTTTTACAAAGCATACTTTGGGGGTATAGAAGGCTTGGAAGAAATGGTTACTGCGGTGTTTAGGAAATGCCATGGAAATAATCCTCTGTTCACTGAATATGGGTGGCTAGGCTGGCCAAAGAGCGCAAAGGAAAGGGAAGTCTTGGATTGGCTGGCTCCTTTGGTCAGGAGGCTCCACAACCTGGCCGTCGATGAGGGATTTAACTTGACACCCGAGCGTACGATTTTGACGCAACCTAATCGACCACTAGAAGGATCCATGGCCGATCGCAAGTTAGATACTGGCATCGTGTGCAACTCGGATGTGACTAATCAGACAAAATATGAATGGTCACAGATCTTGGTTCTCGGGGAGCTAAAGAGTAGTAATCCGAAAGAAGACACGGCCTCGAAGACTTGGCGCGACTTGGGGCGTTATGCGAGGGAGGTTCTTACTATTCAAGACACTCGTCGGTTTGCCTTGGGCTTTACGCTCTGTGGGTCTAATATGCAACTCTGGGAGTTTGATCGAGTGGGAGCTATTGCTTCATCTCCATTTGATATTAACAGATATGGGCAGCAGTTTGTTTCAGCAATGCTGGGCTTTCTTCTGATGAACGATGAGCAGCTAGGATATGACCCCAGCATCATGTCCACTTCAGATGGTAAACATTACATTTTTACAGGGCGACATTTCGACTGGGAATCTTATTCTGAATGAGGAAATGGAAAATCCGTCATGGTCGGCGTTCCTCATCGATTTGGACCTCGCTATCAAGGAGCAACGAGAACGGCCATCTGGAGCTAGAGGGAAGACAGGGACGAGGGCATTCATGGCAATAGGTCTAGTATTGGGCGAGCAACATTCATTTAGGCATGACCTCGAATCCTTCTTTTGGGTGCTATTCTGGGTATGCATTCACTACGACGGTCCAGGCAAAGAGGCTGGGCCAAGTAACTTCGACTGTTGGAACTATGAGGATAACAGAAAGTTGGCTCGTTCAAAGAAGGGCATAGTCGATGATGAAGGAGATTTTAAGATTGCAGAAGAATCATTCACATCATACTATCAACCATTGGTTCCTTGGGTCAACATATTGCGCAGAGTTGTGTTTCCGGGAGGAGTACGGAGAAAGGATGAAGACAGACGTCTTTACGCTCAGATAATAGAGATCCTTCAGAGTGCAGCTAGAGAGCCAAAGGTGGTAGCGTTATAGGTAAGATTTAACGAAGAGTTAACAAAGCTACTTGTAGTATGCAAATAGGGAGTTTGATTGAGAAAAGGTAGCGGCTTTGGGGGAGTGGTTAGACTTTGTCCCGTACGACTTCGTCGGGCTCCTTGGTGAATATTGCGGCAATCCGCAGTAGGCTGCGAAATGTATAGGGCCGAAATTTCTGGGTTAACGGTTGCACCAGTCTTCCACCCGATATGCTTATATGTACAGTACCTGGACGCACAATGGTAATTTTTGGTTAGCTTCCATGAGTGAGAGAACCGAATCAGCTAATTCATTAGACTGTACATCTGTAACATGCTAGGTAGCCTCAGTTACGGGTTAAGGTAGAGGTCACTATGTCAAGCTTCACCTGCTCTGAAGTGAAGTTTTGCTGGCGGTGCTTGATTCACTGGCGTTACCTGGTGGCCATCGAGTCCTTCAGTTCTCTTGAGTTCCTCACCTACTTCTCTCTCAACTTCTTTTTCTTGTACCTCTCACCTCTCACTCTGGGTCTTGAGACCTTATATCTCCTTTAGACTCTAGATTAAGGCCTTTCGAACTTTTCGGGTCAGTGTTGCTAACTGCAGTCCCCTATAGTCGCTCCTTGCTTGTTTCTTCGCGAAAATGTCTGCTCGCCGCGCCTCTGGCCCAGCCTTCTCACCTGGCTGTCTTGTGTCTCGTGAGCCTCTACAGAGCCTGTATGTGTCTTGTTCAGGCTAATGTACTCTTCTGCTCAGGCGAGATCGAAACTCCTCTTGCTGAAGCTAGTGCTCAGATTCGTCTGGCTACGTCCCGTTTAGATGATGCTGCTTCTGCCCTGCGCTTGCCCGGTGCTCAAGATGTGTCGCCTGCTTTTTCTGTCCATGAGGATTTGTCCACTGGCCATTTGGCTTTAGAAGACGCCATTTCTGCTATGGAAGTGGCGCTTGCCCACCTCCGCCGGGCGGAAGGTTGGATGACCGGGGCCTGACTGGTGGTTTTTGGGTTTCGTTTCCCGTGTCCTCTTCCTAAGAAGAGTGTCTCCGTGTCCTGTTAATAATAGCAATGGAAGACAGCCTATTATGGTTTCAACTTGGATCAGTTAAAGTTGCTCAAGTGAACCCTAAATCCTCACATTGATTCTCACTTCCATCAGGGCCTCGCTCATGCTTAAAAGAGCATTCTGAAATTCTGAAAGTGGTACCACACGAAGGGGAAGAGAAAGAACAATGAAATGGCAATTAACATAGTCAATTTGCCGATAACTGGTATATATCCATCGCGGTGTTTATTGATGATAAGTAGGATCGTATGGTGAAGGAGGCTAGAGCCCTCGGGCATACATTTCTAGGTAAGTCGCCATCGATGTATCTGGTATAAAAAACCATAACCCAGAAGCATATGCATAGTGTTGAAAGGCAATTCTTACACCCACTGACTGTCTTCGTCCGGTTGAGCTTCATATAACTGGGTTGGTCCTAAGCCGAATGTTAGCGAGCCAAGTTGCCCACCAACTCAAAATCAACCTCAGGGTAAATTCTGCGTACGTACCACTGTCAGAGCTCCTTTCTCAAGCCAGCTCTTTATCTCCTGGCATCTATAAGAGACTCCTGCTAGAGTGAGGCCAGTATAGACACACAAAGTCTTAAATGTTACCAGAGAGGTGTTTCCCAGCATTAATGGAAGGGAGAGTATTACAGATGGACTCACCAAGCCGCTTGAAGCGGCCACATTGAAGGGGTTTAGGCAGCATTTGGGATTGGAAAATAACAAAGACTAAAACATCTACCTATCCTATCCATTACCCTATTGGGAAATACTCACTCTCAGTGAATGCCGTTATTGATAAATACCAGTAGATGCCCTCTTTGGGCCTAGGGTGGAAAGCCATTTTTTATAATATCTCCCAGATTCTCTACATTTCTCCTCTCCTCTTCATATCCAAATCATTCAAAATAGCCACCTTCTACGATGCCACCACACCTTGCTAGCGCCTGCCCCCTGGCTGATGGCCATGATGAGGCCTTCGGGCCCTCCTTCCAAGTTATTGCCGAAGTCACATTGGAATATGCTGACCCTGATGTTCCCGATCAGGAAATTGAGTTTGAATTCATTATGGATTACCACCAAGGCATTTGTGCCCTGTGTGTTATGTACCAGATGGTTTATCTCCTGCCTGGTTTCCTTCCAAGGGCTGTCCCTTGGCACTTGGTAGCGCAGGGGATGGAAATCTGTTACGGTGGCCTACAATGCTCCCTTGATTGGTATCATCCTCTTTGTCATGAGCTAACCCATCCTGGGGGCCATCTTTACTGCTGGTTTACCTTGCGTGATTGTGATCCAGCTCCAGAGCCCGCTAGCCCTTTTCTTTTGCGTCCACCTCCATAGCCATTAAGGCCCAAACAAGACAACAGTGAAGCTCTATGGAGGCTTACCAAAGCCGTACGCGTCTGTGATTATACAGACGCGCACAATGAGGATTGGCCTAGTGCACTTCCTCTACAAGATCAAGGCCCACGAAAGCTATTGGTGCAGCTGCAGGGAGGGATTGCAAACCCCTATGCATGTCCTTTTGTAGTGTCCGCTGCACACCAATGCGCGCAAAGAGATGCTGGATACGATCGCCGCACGTCGGATTTAGTTCGACAGTTCCGACTACAACGCGCTGATATCCAACCCGCAGGCGATATGCTACGTCGCCGAATTCATGCTGCGAACGTGGGCATTCGGTAAGTTTCAACACCTTGATATTGAGCCCGAACCCCCAGCCGAAGATAACTCGGCTGAAGACACCGAACCGATAGGCCGAGCGGCTATGGAATTAGATGCTGAAGACGATGGGTAGGAGGCACCGGTACGACATCGCTCACGAGGAATTGTACTAAATAAGATGAAGATGGGGACGAGGGGACCGACGTAGGTGGCCATGCGGGCCACCACATAATGGAATAGTTCAGAGAGAGGGAGCTTCAATTTAGTTGCGCGCAGCAAAATACTGACTTTGCCTTTGTACATACACTCGCTGGCTATCTTTCTTATGTGGGATTTGTGGGAATTTTATAGCGTTAAATAACCTCCAGTACTTAATCAATGTCTATATTCGACTAATTTGACCTCCTGTAGTGCTATAAACTTCAAGGTATTTTTCTTCTCACCGCATTACACTTGCTACCCTTCTCAATCAACTAAACGGAATGTTAAGAATCTCCGGGGAGGCTACTCTGAGAACAACATGTGCCAGTGTGCTTTATTTTAAATCCTAGTCTATCAGCACCTTTACCTCCGCGTATCTTTAGCAAGTTGCCATGTCCAATAGCTTGAATAAATATCCCATCTTCTTTCTGACATTACGTAAGTGCGTTATTCGAGCTTTCCGCCCATCTGCATTCTCCAAAGTTTGCGGTCGAATCGTTGCTCTAGTAGAGCCTGCGCATCACCAGCGTACATAAATACCTTCCCACCCACCTCCTTCGGCTCTTCCTCATCCCTGAAGTATATCCAGCAGTCTGCAACTGTATATGCATTTGTCTCGTAATATGATAGTTTTTGGGCCTCTTCCTTGGACCGCACGAGATACGCATATCCTGTAACTACCTGTCCTTGTCTCCCATTAATTAGAGCGGGATAATCACCCCATTTCGCAATTGTGTAACCAAATATCTCCGCTTTTCGAAGTTTCGGCTCATCCGGTAGGTCGATAATTCTCTTCAGCTGTGACGGAGCTGATAGTGTTCCGTAGAAGAAATAGTATACAGGGTAATCGGGCGGGAATTCGTGTCGCTCGTCTTGTTGCAGTAGGTAGTCTTGTGGTGCTGACTTGAGCATAGCATAGAAGGGGGAAGAAGGCTCAGCCTTGGCTGGGAAAAGGCTCGGAAACTTTGGTGTCTTTGGGTCTTTTGATTCCTGTGACATTTCGCCAGAGAGAACAGAAGTATGATAAGTTCAGAGAATTCGACAATAAAATACCAGGATAAGGGGAATGGCAGAGATACGTGATGTTCAGAACAGTCCCAGAAGCAGATTAAGAATGAAACAGCGGCAACCAAGGGGGTGCACTTGCTGGTTTCTCCACGCCTCTTTGAAGGGTTGGGTGACTGGCACTAGATGAGATACAGTAGTGCTGAGCGCATGATATATTAGCTAATAGTAAGTATATTTATGGTGCGAGTCCGAGCTGAGGGTTGATGTTAAGTGTTGCGGCTCGGAAAATGGGGGAACGCTAACTGATTTAGGTTAGTATACCTTCTCCCAATGTGGAATTGGTCCCGCGCGTATTTAAATTCACGTTCATCTATTATTAGTTTTACTCTTGGCAGCTGCTGTTACCGAGGAAGTTGGTTTCCGGGTCAGGATAGAGTCTTATCTTTGCTTGGATGTCACAAATGTCCAATCAAAGAACTGCTATTCTTAGACTCTGTGGCAGCGGCGGCTCCATTCTATCGACTCAAAAGCTGAGACCTGCAACAACCACTCAATTCCGAATACTACAATTCAAGGTGGGGGGCCTTAGTTTTAGATCCTCTCCATAGATTTAATCATAATAGAAATACCACCAACCAGTGCCACAGAGAACGTCAATAGAGGTAACTGGGAAGTCGTTGGCGCCTAGAGAAATCAAGTGATTGGAAAGTCATTGGCGCCCGGTTGACGTACGAGGAGTTTCAAGTTAGGCGCATGGCACCTGGATATATCAACGGGGTACTATAGAAATAATGCGACTTAAGTCCATGAGGATATGGATCGTGCTATTAAAGTCAGTCCAAGTCCCCAAGTAGACAGATGAGAATAAGCAATTTCTCTACTCTCTTGTCTCATTGTCTTTACTTTTCGATACTGCGGACACCAATGTCTCGATCGACTTATTTCCCCCCACCCCCTCCCCCCCCTCCCCGGCTTCCTCCCTATAAGCCCCGTGGTGGAGCGAAAGCTCCCGTTGTGCACAAAGAGTCTCCGCCACCTCCAGGAAGTTTCGGCATTGGTATCGAAATGGAGCTTCTTTTAGAGAGCCGCTTTACGCCATCTGCGGCTGACAATACTTTTCCACGTTTTGCTCGGCAATGTGCTATGTCGTACAACAGCAGCGTTCCCAGCCCGTACCCTAGGATGCATAGTTTGGTTCAGGCGCAGTGGGAAGGGGTCCCTCATACTCAGTGGGTCCTGCATCATGATCCTACATGTGAAACACAGCAAGAGCCTTGTAAGTCATACAGAGCATAAAGGGCTAGTTTAGAGTGCTGAGATAGTAGACAGGGGGGATTGAAATTATATCCCCATTGCTTCGGTCTCACCCGGGCTCACAGTGGCGGCAAAGTGTTGAGGCTCTCTGGAGCTTTATAAATCAAAAATACATTGCACAGAGTAATGCAGATTGCAGCACACACGTACATATATCACGTGTAGAGGGTTTCTCAACCACTGACGTGAAACGCGTTGCCCAGGCTATCATCCATTTTGAGCCTGCCTTCGAAGCTCTTGTGCCACCAGAGCGTCGTGGAAATGAGTACTCAAGGAGCAACTGGTTGGATAACCCGCAGTTAGGATATCAGAATCTATCTCGTGATCAGTCTATTGAGCTTATCGAGAGCAGAAACACAACAGACGAAATAATCGGTATTATGAACCCAAACCAGTCCAAGTATTTTGGATGGAATTTTCTACCATTGAAAACCTTCAGGACAATTGAGTTCCGGCGTGGTTCCGCGAGTCTTTCAGCAAATGATGCGTTCACGTGGGTGGAACTTGCAATGTCTTTTATTCAGGCTGCCATGATCCAACCATCTTCACAGCAATTGCTGCGATATCCTAGAACGATTGGTGGCCTGAAGGACTTTATTCAGTATGCACATCTCCCTCAACAAGAAGGCGCCTACAACTCCGCTTATCTCCAGCGTCTATTTACTGGCAGCCATCCAAACGCCAAGCTTAACCCTATCCCTGTTGGTCACCTTTCAGAACAGAAGAGAGCGAAGTTACAGCGAAAGATGGATGCGGACACTGCGAGCAATCCAATGTTGGATATTATAGCGTCGGCACAACAACATGGCGTTGCCTGATATGCAAACAGCATGGGACACCGGAGACCCCACCTGTACAACTGCCTAGTCCTGTACCTTTTTTTTTTTTTTTTTTGGTGTGCTGATTTATTTTATTTTCGTTTTCCACCGTTCAAAGAGGGGGTCAAAGTGTCGAAGCTTTTTATTTTTCAAGTATTGGTATTTCTATCGCATACCTATGTTAAAGTTGCATCCGAGCAAAAAACTCCGGACGCCAAGACCATTACCTTTCTCGTTCTAGTAGGTGAGCAGTGCCGCCCTGAAGTCGCCGGACCTGGGTGAACGCAAGGCGCCGGCCATTCTTCGTGTCACTTAGTCACGGGCGCCACTAACTAGTCAGCTCGCCTGAGTCCCTTGAATTCAGAGAATCGTGCCTCGCGAACAATACAACATGATACAACATCATCAGATCGCATATATTTCCTAAGTTAGTTAGTTGCATTCTTCATTTGTTTACCTCGCCTTTATAAACGCGAGTGTCATAAGTGGTGGGCCCGGGGCCCACGACCTCTCAGAGACCTAATTTTTTCAATGAAGGATCGATACTTGCGAATACGCGTAATTTTATGGTTGACAGTATATTTAGACTTGTTAACCCGCGGGTGGGGCCGGGTTTTTGAGGTTTTTCAACCCAGCCCATTGGGTTTAGGTCGGGTCAAGACTATACAAACCGCCCACGGGTCGAAATATATATGTGATGGTTTGGTTGCCTCTGCGCTAGTAGACATAAAACCACTTGACCATATAAAAAGGTACAAGACGAGTGATCAGAGATCAGTCGCATCTAGCGCCCTATATAGGAGCGAAGGCCATGCCTGAGCAATACATTGGGTTCAACCCTTGACATCCATGGTAAGATCTGGTTCCTACCTTAGTCTGTATTTATCGGCAGAATCTGACTACTCTTCTTTTCCCACCAACTAGTTTGAGTCATACCGCTAATGAGCAGGTTTTAACTACCAATGAGGAAGACTATATTTTGCTTCAGGAGGCTGAAGATATCGACCCTTTTATGCAATATGTGCTTCTAGGAGAGACTATCAAGAATGGTATTTTCGCGCTTCTATGTGCATTAACTCTACTGCAGATAAATCTGTGAGCATTGCTAGTTATCGCACCGAGGGCGGGGGGGTTGAGAATGAGAACCCTACATATTCATGTAGCTTAAACTGATCAGCAAATAATATTTGCTAGGCGGGAAATGTCCCAAGGAAAACATATGTATGCGACCACATCTACTAGCTTTCATCAAAAGTGGGGGAGCGTACCAATAACATTTTCCTCCTATCATTGCTGTTCTTGGTGGGCGTTGCAAAGTCCAATGATTAGTGTTGTAGGTATCCCACGCTTCTGACTGGCATGGGGACAAAAGTGGGGGGCGGCGGATCTGACACTGAATGGTGGATACAGTAAAAGCTTCAGTGTGAATTTTAAAAAAAATTCTGCACGCCGCTTGGAACGAAGGTGGGGCGCGGAGAGAGTGACAGCTCAACTAAAAGTCGAAGGCATACTGTAACCTTTTACTCGCTTCTTGCGCAACTCCTGGAGAAGCACATAATCATACATGGGCAAAGGTCATCCACGGTGACAAGTGTTACTTGGATCAACATTTGCAAATATGAGCAAGATATTCTCAAACCTTGAAGGTATATCCCGAAAATCAAAGCACTCGAACCAGGATTCATCTGACAACCGAAGTCTTCCAGCACAGCCAACAGGACAGCTGCTGGGTAATTCTCTACGGAAAAGTATACGATGTGAGGTGCTTCTGAAACTGTGCTTCTTACTGCATGCTATAGTCAGTCTCTGATTTATACCAGGTGACAGACTTCCTCGTCCGTCATCCCGGCGGCCCACGGGCTATTTTACGGTTTGGGGGAGAGGATGCTACCAAGGAATTTGATCTGATCCATCCTCCAGAAACCCTACAGAGTCTTCAACCAGCACTCTTAGGGTCTATAGAGCCTCACACGGAATCGAATCTGGGACCTCGACCCAAAGCTGTAGCCACCAAGATCGATATGTGCACGCTTCTGAATTTGGATGAGATAGAAGAGGCCGCCAGAAAAGTTATCAGTAAAAAGGCATGGGCGTACTACTATTCGGCCGCGGATGACAAAATCTCAAAGGACTATAACACCCAAATATATCGTTCAATCCTGCTGCGGCCTCGTGTCTTTCTCGACTGCCGAACATGTAAACTAGAAACTCAGCTCCTGGGATACAAACTTGGTCTACCTATATTTGTCTCTCCCACTGCCATGGCACGACTTGGACATCCTGCGGGGGAAGCAGGGATTGCAGAAGCATGTCGCTCCTTTGGGGCCCTGCAAATCATTGCGAATAATTCATCTCTATCACCAGAACAGATTGTAACCGATGCGTTACCGACCCAAGTCTTTGGGTGGCAGCTCTATGTTCAGCTCAATCGCCAGGAAAGTGAGGATATGCTAACACGCATCAGTCAGTTGGACCAAATCAAGTTTGTTGTCTTGACACTGGATGCGCCCGTATCTGGAAAGAGAGAAGACGATGAACGGATCAACATAAAGGCTAGCTTAGAAGGAAGCATCAGCAGTCATCTCTTTGCTGGAACGGATCCCTCAATCACATGGATGGAGACACTTGACTGGCTCTCCCGTCAGACCAACAAGCCGATCATTCTCAAAGGGTTACAGACTCATGAAGATGCATTGCTAGCAGCAAAGCATACGCCTTTGGTTAAGGCAATTATACTCTCGAACCACGGTGGCCGATCTCTTGATACGGCACCCCCTGCAGTCCACACCCTTTTGGAAATTCACAAGTATTGTCCAGAAGTCTTCAAAAAGGTGGACGTTTGGGTGGATGGCGGTATTCGTCGAGGCACTGATGTAGTGAAGGCATTGTGTTTAGGGGCGAAGGCTGTTGGCATCGGGAGGCCGGCACTTTGGGGCCTTGCAGCTGGTGGAGTGCAGGGTGTCGAACGGACTCTACAAAGTCAGTGATTTTCTTAATTCCAGTAGCGTTTTACTAAATCTATCTCCACCTTGTCTAGTTCTGTCGGATGAAATGAAAACATGCATGCGGCTACTTGGAGCAAAGACGGTGCAAGATCTGCGCCAATCTCATGTAAGCTCATTCGCCCTTTTTGCAGCATGTAGGCACTCACCCACAATGTCATCCTTAGATCAATGCTAGTATTGTGCAACAGCAAATCTACAATGGATCATTCGATACGAATACTGGAAATTCTTTCTTATCGAAGGGAAAGCTCTAAACAATCAATATCTGAAGTCCTCGTGGAAAGTTTGATCCACTGTCATCATCCTTCAAAACCTTGATAGTGTCCAAATTTACTCTAGTAAATCTTATTTCTTTTCGATTCCTTGAAGAAAAATCATCTGCCAATCTGTGAGCAATAAGCATAGCTAAGAGACATCCAACAACATTGAGGGAGGAATGTATAAATTAGGTATTCCATAAAAAAAAAAATTAGATATTACTAATTTTATATATAATCAGCTATAAATTAATTTTAGTGTTGACGAGACTATGGTTCCTAAGAGAGAAATATTCAACACCTCAGCCGCGGAATCTGACGATATTGCCAAATGAGATGGGAAGTGCTGCGTGTCAGCCAATTTAAAGCATGGCTGATTAACAATACGTCTAAGGGTTACGCTTTGAAGGGTAAATAATGGGTATCAGAAGTTCATTGGATTGGGGATATGCATGAAGGAGGATACCCCCATCTTTGGCGTGAACGGAGCAATAATGGGGGGTATGGATACTCGATCGCTAATATTGTGGCTCCTTTTTTAACTGAAGGGAACCCTCGCCTTGTCTATTTTTGAATATAACAACACCTCGCTCTAATTTCTTGATACTCACTGGCGGACGCATTATAAAACATCGTTCCATCTTTACTATATTCCAACTCGGTTTGGGAGAAAGAAAGAATGGCCAAGAAGCGGATTCTTGTCGGCTACGGTGTCGATATTGATGCAGTCGCTGGGTGGCTCGGCTCATATGGAGGCGAGAACAGTGTCAGTGACATCAGTCGAGGTGATCATTGTGTTTTCTTTTGTCTTGTAAGCAATATATTCGGACTGACTCTGTGCAATCAACTTTCAGGGCTCTGGGCCGGACACGTTGGAACACCACGCCTACTCAAATTGTTCGAAAAATACAATATCAAGGCCTCTTGGTTCATCCCAGGCCATACCCTGGACACGTTCCCTGAGGAATGTGCGATGGTTCGTGATGCCGGCCACGAGATTGGCCTACACGGTTACTCGCATGAGAATCCCTCAAGTCTCTCTAAGAAACAACAGCGCGATATTCTCGACAAGACCTACAGAATGGTGACTGACTTCTGTGGTAAGCCACCGCGGGGGATTGTCGCGCCATGGTGGGAGTGCAGTGCTGAAATGGTGGATCTGCTACTGGCCTACGGTATTGAATATGACCATTCCATGTCTCATGAAGACTGCCAGATGTATTGGTTGCGGACCGGTGATTCATGGACGAAAATCGAGTACAACCAAAAGGCAGAGACATGGATGAAACCATTGGTTAGAGGAAATACAACCGGTCTGGTGGAGATTCCCGGGAGCTGGTATATTGATGATCTGCCTCCGATGATGTTCATCAAAAACTCGGCGAACAGCCATGGATGGGTCAATCCACGCGACGTCGAAGACATTTGGAAGGTAATATCCATATAGCACAGGGCCAAACCGTGAGATACTGACCAAGGTCACTCTTCAGGACCATTTCGATTATTTCTATCGAGAGTACGATGAATTCGTGTTTCCTATGACGATTCACCCGGATGTCTCCGGTCGGCCCCATGTGCTGCTGATGCACGAAAGGTGAGATTAAGTGCCAATCAACTAAAACTTCTTGCATTGACTTATTGGCCAAAAGAATCATCGAGCATATCAATAAACACGAGGGTGTGGAGTGGGTGACATTTGAACAGATGTCTGATGAGTTCAGGAAGAAAAATCGGCCGCCTCCGAATGCAATAATGCCGGCGGCTCCGGGGAGTATTTTGAATGTGTCATGACACCCGGACAACCGCTAATCCATGTTTGGTTATCTAGCATGCAAATTTGCATGCTAGAGCAGTGCAATTTACATCGCTAATCACGCCATTCGATCTACATTTAGCTATTTGTATTTAGTTTTATATTTGTATATGGAATTTGAGATGGAGAGTGACAATAACTGGATTGCTTTCCCAGTTGTGGTATGGGTCAATCTGAATTTGGCGTACTGTGGATATCTTGCTGTTGTTGAGACTGTAAGTGTAAAGGGCTGGGGCCTGTTTAACTTTTCGGGTCTATGGTCTTTGTTGTCCCTATTGTCCCCGTTGGCCCCATTGTCCTTGTTGGCCCTATTGGCCCTCGAAGGCTCATATTACGTGACTTTCACCTTATTTGTTAATCGCTCGGACTCTTCCCTTCAACGATTCCTTTTTGTATTTAGCCTATTCTATAGGTCCTACGGTTCAGGACACAGGTCAGTCGCATACGGTTTCAGCCCTTGACAGGCCCCCTCAAATTGCATTGAATAAATCGCCATGAAACACTTCATAGAATGAGTGAACGGCACCTAAAAAGAAATGGCAAATAATTAAGATAACTAGCTATCATCTTCACTATTTTAATTTTTATTCAGCCAGAGATTCTGGACGCTACGAGTGACTTATATTTGTGTACATAACCTCTATTCACAAATTTATGCTTTTGTTTGCAGTGTTTGCCTTATCTTTTGTAATTCCCACAAACATTTGCAAGTTTGCCAATCGGCTCGAAATAGTAATTTTCCATATCGCAGCCCAAACTACGGATAGCCAAGAGGGAGGGGCTAAATAACAGGGCGGGATGGCCAAACATCATGTGCCAGGTTGTATTATCTACGGAGTATGTATGGTTGTAGCAATCTGACGTGTTACGTACATACAGTATTTGATCTCTACCGCACTGCCCATCATGGTTCTGCGGAGTCAGAGGCTGTCTGAATACAGTCCTTATCACCAAGGTTCCAACGGCGTGCATTAAGAAATACCACTACTGTCGCACCGCCTGGCCCCCACTTCTGCAGTAGGGGGTCAATGCAAATATCGGATTTGTTATTATTCGAAAATTATAACAGGTCTCAAGCGTAGGTAGTTGTCGATATATATATATATATATATTGCATACACTAACCATATAAAGCCCAGACAGTTGAATTAAATCAATTCGGCAGATTTCTCACGTATCATAAAAACATGAAAATGCTCTTACATTAACTACCTGAAAATAGACTATGGAAAGGGTTACACATCTTGTACAAGAATATATTTCATGCTAAGTTTGGGATACAATTAAAAGCCGAGGCGAAGTTGATTGGACCAGTAACGTCTGTCACCGCCCAACGCCCGCCACCAACCAACGCCCCGCATTTTGCTCACCGACTGTTCAACTCAGCAACTTCAACACCACATATCTCAGTCAATATGGCTCCGATTGATGAAGCGCTGGAAGCAATCGCTTTATTGGAGCCAGGAGAATCATTTTCATATACTAAAATTGCGAAACAATTTGGTGTTGATCGATCCACGCTTGCGAGGCGCCATCAAGGAAAACAGGTGCCAAGAGATGTCAGGGACGAAAGCCAGCAATTACTCAACAACGCGCAGTCCAAAATGCTTATAAAGTATATAAATAAGCAGTCGCAGAGAGGCCTGTATCCTACGCATGAGATGCTTCGGAATTTTGCTAAAGAAATCTGTGGAAAAAAGCCAGGAAAGCAGTGGCCAGCGCGCTTCTTGAAGCGCCATCAAAATGATATTATCTCGCGATATACCGGAGCAATCGATCAATCAAGAAAACGGGCAGATTCAGCATATTAATACTCTTTATACTTTAATTACGCAGCTGCTAAAATGGACGAATACAATATAGAACCGCAGAACATCTACAACATGGACGAGAAGGGATTTCTCATCGGAATGCTACCTAAAGGCCGCAGGATCTTTTCGAAAGCAAAATATGAGAGGGACAGCTCTCTACAACGCTTGCAAGATGGTAATCGAGAATGGATAACAACAATTGCATGTATTTGCGCCGACGGAACAGCAATAGCGCCCGGTCTGATCTATCAAGCATCCTCCGGCAAAATACAAGATTCCTGGCTTCAAAATTTTGATGAAAAGCTTCATAATTGCTTCTTTGCCTCTTCAGAATCTGGATGGACGAATGATGAGCTCATATCAATGGCTTACTACTGTTTTTGACCGAGAAACGAAGCCAAAGGCAAACGGAGCTGGAGACTTTTATTTCTTGATGGCCACGGATCCCACGTCACAATAAGTTTTGATTTCTGTGAAGCAAATAGGATTAATACAATACTTATCCGCTCATTCAAGCATTCTCTGCAGCCGCTTGATGTCAGTATCTTCTCTCCGCTGCTAAAGCCTATTCAGACGAACTGGAGCAATTTCTGCATCAATCTCAAGGCCTCTGCAGTATTACAAAGCGGGATTTTAGAATGTTTTGGCCAGCATGGCAAAAGGCTTTGACACCAAAAAATTCAATCTGCTTAGAAGTACTGGTATATGCCATTTAATCCTAAGCAGTTCTGCAACGTTTCCTCGCCCGGAGACAAGCCAACATCTAGTAGTTCTTATCTCTCCTCCAAGTCAGTTGTTAATGTGATAACTGGCGTTTTATCCAGCAAATGATCAGAGCTGCTGTTGTTAATTACTATGATGAAAGTGCAAAAAAGCTTTCTTCTACAATACACCAGCTTGCCACAGAAAATGCTCTGCTAAGACTAGAGAATACTGGCCTCAGAACAGCTTTATCTAATAAGAAAATGAAGCGGCAACGTGCTAAGCCTCTGGTATTTTAACTACAAGAGCCAGACAGCGGTGGTGCGATTTTTTACTCGCCTAAGAAAATACAGCAAGCGCGCGAGTTTCATGCAGCGAAAGACCGAGAAGTAAAGCTCGCAAAAGCTTCAAAAGAGCAAGATAGGCTTCGTCGACAGCAGGCAAAAAAGAGAAACAGCGATTACTTCAAGAAAGAAAGGAAAAGCGAGCTGCTGATAAAGTTCTTCGCGAGTGCCAGGCAAAGGAAAAGAAGCGTTAAAAGGAGGCAGAACAAGTTAATAAAGAGGCAGCTCGGTAGCTTCAAAACGGCTTCAGAACACCAAAGCGAGGTCAAAAGAAGCAATCCACAACAAATACTGGTTAAAATACTATAGATATTACTTCTATAGCGCCTGAAGAGTCCCCTGAGGCCTCTGTACCGCAAAGTCGTCGCGGCAGGCAAATACGCCTCCCCCACGTTCCGTGACGCTTAAAATTTGTATATAAATACTTTAGAAGCTCAAGAACAATACACCAAAAAATCTCTTCAAAATATAAGTTGTACATGGTTGAATAGCTTCATTTGTTGCCTCGTTCGCTGGCTTCGGAGCGGGGCGTTGGTTGGTGGCGGGCGTTGGGCGGTGACCGACGTTAAGTCTTGGCAGACTTTCGAATACTAACTTCAGTAACCATCAGACTTATGGAAGATGCCCGCTGGGTGCGATATTACATTCTCAGATCATCGGTAACGGAACTTCCCTCAAATTCCTTGGAGCTCCGCATGCACCTCTAGGGGCCTGAGCGACACGAGGCTCCAGGTTAAGGAGCCTAACAGGAGGGGTTTGAAGAGGAAGTCAATGATAGAGACGAAGCCCATGAGGCTTAGTTGTCTTTGCTGGTGCTGTAACTGTAGCACAATTGTCCTTGGCCATGTCCGGTTTCATCTGTTCCAGTTTACGTAAACTGTCACGGTATGAGCATATGTAGCAGCTTGGTGTTCGACCAAGCATTGTGCCTTTTTGGCCAGTTGGCGCAATGGTTGAAACCAAGCACTACCGTTTCACCACATAAATAAAAATTAGGGTACAGATTGATGTTCATCTTCGGTACGCTGACATGTGGGATATACAGTACAAGAATATGCTTCTTCAAGATGAAAGTAGAGGCAACAACCCCCACTCTTTGTCACATTCCCCACTCTTGTCTTTCGACCTCGCATAACTCTATCTGTCTTGCATTTGGCATCTTACCGAATAAATATCATACTGTTTCAATGACTACAAATATCCCCAGTCTTATTATCATCCCCCTCTCTTTGAATCCTCTCAACAGTCTGGAATTAATAATATTTAGGCTATCATGACAGTACCGGAATCTTTGCAATCTTTTATCGAATCAACAAACCCGACTAGCTCTCTATTGTTTTACCTAAATGGCACTAAAATCGTCCTCTATCACCCTAATCCCCATTGGACGCTATTGGACTTCATCCGATCACAGCATGGTCTGAAAGGAACGAAACTGGGCTGTGGTGAGGGTGGATGCGGGGCTTGTACGGTCGTCTTACAGAGTAGAGATCGATCATCCTGCAGGGTGAGGCATTTGGCTGTTAATGCGTGTTTGTATCCACTTATTGGGGGTAGGGTTCTCCTCTAACTACAAGAAGATAGGTCATAAGAAACGAGACTAACACTGTGATTGTCTTAGTGGTCGGGAAACATGTAATTACCATCGAGGGCATTGGAAATATTGATCATCCACACCCACTGCAGGAGAGATTGTGGAAGATGCATGGGTCACAGTATGTATCCCTACCCGTTCACCTGATGCAACACTAAGAGGGAGGATGTTAATAGACAGACAGGTGCGGCTTCTGTACTCCTGGAATTGTAATGTCGCTTTATGCCCTCATCCGGAACGCATATGACCCATCTACTGGAGAGTTCCATCTATGCGAGGAGGAAATTGAAATGAAGGGCCATCTGGATGGTAACCTGTGCAGGTGTACAGGGTACAAATCTATCTTGCAGGCGGCGAAAACATTTATACAAACTGATTTACAGGCACAAATGTCAGTCATTCCCACCTCGATCCATCTCAAAGGAGAGAAAGATGAAGCAAACTCGGTAGACTCAGCGGAGTCAGCATCTCCTCCAGGATCGTGCGGTCGTCCTGATGGTTGTTGTCGGGATACATCCGGCTCGAGGTGTTCGTCTAGTTCACAGGAGGATAAGGGCAGTTCCCAAACAAGTCTTAGTTATGAAGAGGGAAAGAGCATATTTATACCACAGTTCGACTTGATTCCGTACTCACCTCGGACGGAGCTTATATATCCACCTAGACTATCCAAGTGCACATCACAGCTCCTTTACTACGGTGACGAGAACAAGGCATGGTTCCGACCTGTCACGCTGAAGCAGACTCTGGACATCCTGTCCCTGTGTCCGTCTGCTACACTGGTTGGTGGAGCTAGCGAAGTTCAAGTCGACATCCGGTTCAAGGGGACCGAGGTGGCTGTGTCTGTATTTGTTGGCGACATTGAAGAGTTGACACAGCTCACCCCTGTTGAGACGAACGGCATCATAACTGAGCTTCTTATCGGTGGCAATGTTTCCCTCAGCGATATTGAGACTGAGTGTCATCGCCTAATCCCCAGGCTTAGCAAAAGAGGTTCCGCCCTGTCTGCAACAGCAAAAACCCTACGGTACTTTGCCGGGCGTCAGATCCGAAACGCCGCTTCCCTGGCCGGAAATATTGCAACAGCGTCACCTATATCTGATATGAACCCGGTACTCATGGCCATCAATGCAACCGTCATCTGCCAAAACATCCAGGGGTTGCACTCTCTATCCATGGACTCTATGTTCCTTGGGTATCGCAAGACGGCTCTTCCAGCTGGTGGCATTATCACACAGATCCGGATTCCCCTGCCTCCGCTGGGAGTGCGGGAGGTTACTAAATCTTATAAACAGGCTAAGCGAAAGGATGATGATATCGCTATTGTGACGGCTGGCTTCCGTGTCCGTCTTGACAACAATAACAGGGTGAAGGAGGTCGCCCTCGCATACGGTGGCATGGCGCCTACCACTGTTCTGGCATGTAAGACACAAACTGTACTAAAGGGAAAGGAATGGGGTGTGCAGGATGTCCTTGATAAGGCTCTCGATAATCTACTAGAAGATTTTATATTGCCCTTCAACGTTCCCGGCGGAATGGCAACGTATCGTCGGGCTTTGGCACTATCTCTTTTCTTCCGGTTCTGGAACGAAGTTATTGCTGAGTTCAAGCTCAACGCTGTAGCTATGGATACGACTGAGATTCACCGAAAGATCTCACACGGTACCAGGGACAACTACAACCCACATGAACAGCGCGTTGTAGGAAAGCAGATCCCCCATCGGTCTGGCTTGAAACACGCCACCGGGGAAGCCGAGTATGTGGACGATATGCCGGCGCAGCACCGTGAGCTGTTCGGGGCCATGGTACTGTCTGAGCGTGCACATGCGAAAATAGTTTCGGTGGATTGGACGCCGGCCCTGGCACCGGGTTTGGCGGTTGGATACATCGACCATACTAGTATCCCGGTTGAGAAGAACCTTTGGGGGTCTGTCGTGCACGACGAGCCATTCTTCGCTACCGACGAGGTCCATTCCCATGGCCAGCCGATCGGGTTAGTATATGCAGAAACCGCGATCCAAGCGCAGGCTGCAGCGCAGGCTGTGGAAGTGCTCTACAAGGAACTGCCTGCTATCCTGACCATAGACGAGGCCATTGAAGCGAAGAGTTTCTTCAATCACGGCAAGGAATTACGCAAGGGTGTCCAGCCAGAGAAGATGGCAGATATCTTCACCCAATGTGACCGTGTCTTCACGGGCACAACGCGAATAGGTGGCCAGGAACACTTTTATCTTGAAACAAACGCGGCCCTTGTAGTCCCGCATACTGAAGATGGAACAATGGATGTCTGGTCTTCGACTCAAAACACGTAAGTGTATTATCCTATTCCCTTATCTCGACAGCGGGACACACGTAACTGGAATAATAATGCATATTAGAATGGAAACCCAAGAATTTGTAAGCCAAGTCACCGGTGTTCCCGCAAACCGTATCAATGCCAGGGTCAAACGCATGGGTGGTGCTTTTGGCGGCAAGGAGTCGCGCAGCGTGCAGCTTGCCTGTCTGCTTGCTATAGCTGCAAAGAAAGAGCGGCGACCAATGCGAGCCATGCTTAACCGCAACGAGGATATGATGACAAGCGGCCAACGCCATCCTATCCAGTGTCGATGGAAGATAGGTGTTATGAACGATGGCCACCTTGTAGCCCTCGACGCGGACTGCTACAACAATGCTGGCTACAGCTTGGACATGAGCGGGGCAGTCATGGACCGCTGTTGCACACATCTGGATAATTGCTACCATATTCCCAACGTGCATATCCGGGCTTGGGTGTGCAAAACCAATACACACAGTAATACTGCCTTTCGAGGATTCGGTGGGCCCCAGTCGATGTTTATCGCCGAGAGCTATATGTATGCCATTGCCGAGGGATTAAATATTCCTGTCGATGAACTCCGGCGGCGCAATCTCTACCAAGAGGGCCAGTTAACCCCTTTCCTCCAGCGGCTTGACGAGGACTGGCATATCCCACTGCTCCTGGAGCAGGTCCGCCAGGAGGCTAGGTATGACGAGCGCCGTGTAGCTATAACCAAGTTTAATGCTGAGCACAAGTGGCGCAAGCGCGGCATCTGTCTTATACCTACTAAGTTTGGTATCTCGTTCGCCACAGCATTACATCTCAACCAGGCCACTGCGTCGGTCAGGATCTACACGGACGGATCAGTGCTCCTCAGTCACGGCGGCACGGAGATGGGTCAGGGCCTGTACACGAAGATGGTGCAGATCGCAGCCCAAGAGCTTAGTGTTCCTGTGGATAGCATCCATACACAGGACACCTCTTCGTACCAAAGTGCTAACGCATCGCCGACTGCCGCATCATCTGGAAGCGATCTCAATGGGATGGCGGTCAAAAACGCTTGCGACCAGCTCAACAAGCGGCTACAACCATACCGGGAGAAACTTGGGGCAGATGCACCTATGTCCCAGCTCGCACATACCGCCTACCATGATCGAGTTAACCTCTCCGCTAGTGGGTTCTGGAAGATGCCTAAAATAGGGCATCAATGGGGTAACTACGACCCGGACACCGTGAAACCAATGTACTACTACTTCACACAGGGCGTCGCCTGCACGGAGGTCGAGCTAGACCTCCTAACAGGAGACCATACTGTCCTCCGGACAGACATCAAGATGGATGTAGGCCGATCCATTAACCCAGCGATCGACTACGGACAAATTGAGGGCGCTTTTGTCCAAGGACAGGGTCTATTCACCATGGAAGAAAGTCTTTGGACAAGCAGTGGACAATTGGCGACACGAGGCCCAGGTAGTTACAAGATCCCTGGTTTCAGTGATATCCCACAGGAATTCAATGTGAGTTTGCTGGAGGGTGTGTCTTGGAAACATCTCCGGTCGATTCAAAGCAGCAAGGGAATTGGCGAGCCGCCACTGTTCCTCGGGTCTACGGTGCTTTTCGCGTTAAGGGATGCGCTACGCAGTGCTAGAGAGGACAATCGAATTGTTGAGCCGCTGGTGCTGGACAGTCCAGCGACGGTGGAGAGGTTGAGACTGGCTGTCGGTGACGAGTTAGTGAGGAAGAGTAGAGTGGAGAGGAAGGAGGGCGAGACAAACTTCTTTGTTACTGTTGCCTAAGATGTTCGGCCGGCTATGTACACGCCCTCTAGTATTCCTTTCATACCATAGGAACAAAGTACACGAGGATGCTACTATCACTTTAAGGACTATAACCAAAGTCATTCGATAAATTCACCTTTGCGACCTCTGTATATCAACAATGTTCCATTTTTAAGCGGGCAATCTCATAAGCATCGCAGCTATTATCAAGGGTAGGGGTGGAGGTTCTACTCGATAAGTTATTATGGCCGTGCACAGAGAGGATAGTTACTGGAATAGCTACAGCTTTCGGCATCGGGTTGTATATTGATGAAAGGAACAATATTCAATTATACCCATTAGAACTCAATTTCAATCTATAGCCGGGATTCAACCGCATCATCCTCTTGTAAACCCCAGTGCGTATCAACCTGAAAATGTTAGATGGGTAGTACTAATAATACATAGTTTAGAAAGAGCCTACATCAGCAATATGATCATATCCCAGTAATTTCGGCGCCAAACTGGGATCTCTCCAAGCGAGGGCCTCGCCCTCTGGTGTAGGGGCCATCTGCATATTTCGATCTCTTTCTTGCTGCTCGGGTCCATCGTGGAGGTGGTACAAATGCTGTTGTACGTTCCCTCGATCAACCACCATTCGAGTCCGCTCCTTGCGACATTTCTCAAACACAGCCAGAGCATGCCGTTTTGCATCCAAAAAATCAGGGGAGTGTTTGGCGATGTCTGGACTGTTGGGAAGGCGAGACAGACATTCACCGAGAACAGCACCGTCTTCAAAGGACATTCCAGCACTGCATCTAATTAGCTAATAAGATGCATACTTGAGGACAAACATACCCAGATGCCAGATATGGCAGAGTGGCATGCACCGCATCGCCCAACATGACCCAGGCCCCCGATGGGTGAGTCCAGTGGTGGTCACCAAATCGGATACAGAGACGCCATTTCTGGACTGATTTGCAGAGCTTTAGGAGTTTTTGGATTCTACGCTCGTCAGATACATAGATTATATGAGAAGAACCAGAGCCTACCGTGGGTCCCATCCTTTAAATAAAGCACACATCTCTTCAACATTTCCTTCGATAGTAGTTGCCAGGGATCCTTCCGGGATGTCATCTGGTACTAGCAGTACCATGTTGAACATGTTCTTTGTTCGAAGTACGTAATTAACTATATGAATTAGTTTTGCATTTCGCGCCCAACGGAGGCTGGCATACCAGCATGAGCATCTGGCCCTAACCAGTAATTCACTTGCGGATCCTCCACAAAAGCCACCAGCTCAGGATCTCTGCGCATCTCCTCCGCTGACAGTAGAAGACGATATGCCAGGTCACCAGTCTTGACCGGAGGGTTACTTCGACCTAAGAGCCCCTCCGTCAGGTTCCCAAATACTCCATCCGCCCCAATCACTAAATCCGCGCTCCATTGTCTGCCATCTGCAGCAGTGGCCGTCACTGTCACCCCGTCCGCATGGACAGTAATATCTTCGATCCGAGTATTGCAGGTAAGGCGTACACCCAGCTCCACTGCCCTGTCCACGAGACACCGCTGCAGATCTGCTCGATGAAAGTCGCGGTACCAAGTGCCCGGGAATTGCTTCTCCGACTCATGAAAATCCAGCGAGGATATAAAGTTTCCTTTCCACCCCAAAAAGTTACATACGCGAGGGGACGTCATGTGTGGTTGCAAGGCTTCTTCGAGTCCCCAGTGTTGCAGCACGCGAGAACTATTCGGAAGGACTTGGATCCCCGCGCCGACTTCTCGGATTTCTTGGGCAGCTTCGAGAACGTGGACCTCATGGCCGGCGAGAGAACAGCTAATAGCCGATCCCAGGCCAGCGAGACCAGCGCCGACGACGAGAATCTGCATCTTGCAAGACTCTGTTCGATTTTGCTGCTTCTTGATGGAAATAGTGGCAGCCATGTTATTATCATGAACAACGCCTTCTCCAAGGTATAGCATGCGTGACCAGGTGGATATACTGCGAGTCATTTATCGTGACTGTCCTACTATCAAAATTTCTCACCCATGTAACGAGTATGTGACATGAGGCCAAGAATGGGGGTTTACTCAGACTGCCCCGCAGTACGGTTCCAGATATTTTATCATGATACTGTAAGATAATAGCTGTGATATAGAGGAGGGTCACAGATCGGGGACGACACAACCAGGTCACAGTTCCAAGATACCTCCATAATACAATATCCAACATCCTCTATAATGAGCACAGTACGTACTTGTCTTCCAGTGCCGGCTAGACTAATGTGTTAGTTTTCTCTTCACGGACGAACCGCCCTGGTGACTGGTGGTGCTAGAGGATGCGGGTTGGCATTTGCTCGGGGCCTGGCTGAGGCTGGCGCAAATGTAGCGATTTTCGACAAGGCTGATCCCGATGAAGCTTTTCATGCGATCACAAAAGATTGCGGTGTTCGGACGGCATATTACCAGTACGTATAGTAGGTGCATTGTTGCTTCCTTGCTTGACCATTCTAGGGTTGATGTATCTTCCGAAAAATCTCTGAAAGACGGATTTGCAAAATTTCGAACAGATTACAATGATGCACTAGATATCTGTGTTCCATGTGCCGGCGTTAATCGCCATGTCCCGTTCCTGGAGTTTACGTACAAGGACCACATGGATCTACTGTCTGTCAATGTGATGGGGCTATATTTTACGGCCCAGCTGGCAGCCCAGCAGATGATCGCAAACGGCACAAAGCACGGTAGCATTGTGCTAGTGGCTAGTATGGCAAGCCACATCGCAGTGCGCAGCCAGCTATGTAGTGCGTATTGTGGTACCAAAGGGGCTGTTCGATCCATGTGTCCCGCCATTGCCAAAGAGCTAGCTGTACATGTGCGTATTCGATATCGGGTACTTGATTGCTTCGATTCTAATTTTATTAGGGTATTCGAGTGAATTCCATCTCTCCGGGATACGTGCAGACCGAAATGACAGCCACAGTATGTTGTGTTTTTGAGACCCCCACTTGTGAGACAAGCTGATAGATTTAAAGTTTCCCCACCTTGTGGAGGAATGGAAGTCCGCCACAATGAATGGTAGAATCGCGGAGCCGAAGGACATCATGGGAGCATGCGTGTTTCTGGCTAGCGATGCGAGTGTGTATATGACCGGGCAAGATATCATCGTGGATGGGGGAGTCACGCGATGGTGATAAGGTTAACAAGAGTGGGGGTCTAGCGATATTCCCGTATTGTGTGGGGAAGACAATGGTCTATAATTACTATCCACGTGTAGCACATACCAATAAAAAATATATTCATGGTTCAAACATATTGCATGTAGCTTAAGATGACCCCCGGTGGAGATCAGGAAGGAGACAGAGCCAGCTCTGCCGTCAGCGGCTGTACTACCGTCCTAGTGGTGGGTGCAGGACCGTCAGGTTTGATGCTCGCGTGAGCCTAAGCTAACTGTTTATCTCCTGAAATTGATTCAATCGCTCATGACAATCTAGATGCAACCTTGTCCGATTCGGCATCGACGTAACTATCATTGATAATCGAGCTGATAAGACATCCACTGGCAAAGCGGACGGCCTGCAACCCAAGACTATTGAAACGCTTAGACAGCTTCGACTGGCAGATTCACTAGTAAAGAATGCCGCGCGTGTATACGACATCGTATTTTGGGTACATACCACTATTACAACCTGAGGGCTACAACTGACGCTTGCAGAAATCGAACCCTGATGAGCCACTCCGACGAACTGCTCGCCAGACGCATTATCCGGACAACCTAGTGGGCGCATCCGATCCATACATTCTTTTAGTTCACCAGGGAATGCTCGAGGAGGTAATGATAGATGACATGGAATCTAGAGGTGTCTCAGTCCAGCGAAACAGCCGATTTTTATCCTGCATGCGCACAACTGGAACACACCATTTGAATGTCTCCTATGAGGACCTATCTACCAAGCAGATTAAGAAGATACGAACCGACTACTTGATAGGATGCGATGGAGCTCGGTCCAAAGTTCGAAACTTTATCCCAGATGCCTATCTCGAAGGTGACATAACCAATGAGTCGTGGGCAGTGTTAGATGGTGGGTTTTCTCTGTTGGAAAAGAAGAGGCATCCACTAAGAAATAGGTGTCATTGATACCGACTTCCCCGATCTGTGGAGCAAGGTTATTGTCCGCTCTCACACGGTCGGATCAATTCTCTGGATTCCACGCGAGCGCAACATGACACGGCTGTATGTCGAGTTAAGCCCTACGGATAGTGAAAAGGTAGATAAATCCATGGTGACAACGGAATATGTTATGCAGCGCGCAAGAGCAGCGATGCACCCGTACAGCCTTAAGTGGAGAACAGTGGAGTGGTTCGGAAATTATGTTGTAGGGCAGCGAGTAGCGAGGCAATTTATGGATCCGGACATGAGGATCTTTATTGCAGGTGATGTAAGTTTTCCACTTTGATTACAGCGGGCTTATATTGATGGACTAGGCCGGCCATTGCCATTCTGCGCTGGCTGCCCAAGGAGCCAACACCAGCATGCACGACAGCTTCAATCTGGCTTGGAAGCTGAATCTCGTCATTCGTGGCCTGGCTCATCCATCATTGCTCTCCACCTACGCAGCAGAGCGCCAGAAAATTGCCTACGATCTTATTAATTTCGATACAGAACACTGCAAAGCATTCTCGGTGGGTGATATTGCCCTGGCTAAGAACTTCGAGGACAACATCCGGTTTATCTCAGGGCTCGGAACAGAGTATTCCCCAAGTATATTAACACAGAATTTGCGCCCATATCTAAGCCAGCTGCGACCGGGCATGTTGCAGTTACCAGCGAAGGTTACTCGGTATATTGACGCGAACCCGGTTGATATTCAATTGGATATACCACTCCTCGGTCAATTCAAGCTCTATTTCTTTGTTCCAAATATTCGACATACGATGCCTTTCTTGACGACTGTATGCGAGCGTCTGGCTCGCATTGCATCTCTAGGCCATGTTGGTCAATCCTATCAGAATTGTCCCCGGAAGGAGGCGCCATCAGATGTGTTTCAACAGCTACAGCGATATGTTACTGTTTCAGATGTCCTTACGTATGCGATGGTGACACGATCGCCCAGAGCAGACTTTGAGATTACCGATTTGCCCCAAATACTTCGGCAAAGTAGATGGACGCTGTATCTTGACGATATCAGCACCCCGGGATGTATTTCCCAGTGGTGGGGATTTCTGGCAAGTGAAAAATCGGGTGTAGCAATCGTAAGACCCGACGGATACGTGGGGGCATTGCATGACTGGAATGCAGAAGAGGGCGAGCAGGCCACGCAGTGGATAGAGGACTACTTTTCCTTTATCTTGTAGGTTGAGCACCCGTTACGGAATTAGTTTAAACTTGGAATATCGGAACACTTGGTATAGGCTTAGCGTACAAAAATTGACCACGTTAGGCTTTGTCAGTTTATCCCTCTACATGGAGGCAACTCCACATTACCTAGATTTGAGATGTAGGTTGGATGAAGCAGTGGATATGAATCAATCACCAGAATTGATAAAGCGTAGTGCGTGCCCATGTCCAAGAGTGGGGGAAATGTACAGGGTGTTCAGTTGAAATGCGAGGGTGGGTAATCTAGCATATTCACATTTCATCCCACTCACCGGCTCCTAGATTTGGGGTATATAACTGTGCAAGGTCACCAGTCCTTTCGCAGCACAAATTACTATCTCTAAAGTAACAATGGGTTCCATCTCTTCTACTACCGGTCCGCTCTTTGAGCCTCTTCGTCTTGGTGCTCTGTCCCTCGAGCATCGGATCGTTCACGCTCCCTGCACTCGTATGCGATCAACCAAAGAATCTGACGGCGTGTTTGTCCCTAATAGCCTTAATATCGAATACTACTCTCAGCGCGCATCTCGAGGCGGTCTGATGCTAACAGAGGCAACTCCTATTAGTAGACAAGTTAAGTGCCCGAATGCTTATCTTTCTTAATACTGCTAACTGCTCAGGCCGCCGGATACCCAGGAGTTCCTGGAATCTTTACTTCTTCGCAAGTTGCTGGTTGGAAGAAGGTCACCGATGCAGTACATGCTAAACATGGATATATTTTTTGTCAACTGTGGCATGTCGGCCGTGCCACCGTGCCTTCATTTATTGAAGGAAAGCAACCTCTTAGTGCCAGTGATATTCCCATCAGTGGCAAAGCGCTCGATGGCATTGAGTACGCCACTTCACCACCTCGACCTATGACAGTCGAAGAGATTCAGGAAACGGTGCAAGAATATGCCACGGCATCAAAAAGGGCGATTGAAGCGGGGTTTGATGGAGTCGAGATCCACGGTTAGCAAAAAGTAGGCTCTCGATAGTCAAGTCCTAATCATTGATAGGTGCAAATGGCTATCTACTCGACCAATTCCTGCACGATAACGTGAACAATCGTACGGACGAATATGGAGGATCCATAGATAAGCGATCTAGAATTATACTCGAAGTACTCCAAGCGGTCAGTGCGGCCATCGGAGCCGACCGCGTGGGAATCCGTCTGTCTCCATTCAACTACTTCCAGGACACGCGCGACTCTAACCCAAATGTGCACTGGCTAGCATTATGCAGCCATATTACCGCTCTACCGAAGGAGTCCCGGCCAGCATATGTGCACATGATTGAGCCTCGTTTCGACGAGGTGCTAGATGAACGGGCCAAGCTCGATTCGTTGGCCACAGACAAGCCGTCTCTGGATATCTTCCGACCTGTGCTGAAGAAAGGAGATGTAGCATTCTTAGCAGCAGGCAACTTCAATCTACAGAATGCGGGCCCGAAATTGACAAGCGATGGGGCAGATGCGGTCGCGTTCGGCCGGCTGTTTATCTCAAACCCAGATTTGCCTCGAAGAGCGATGAAAGACTTACCATTGAACCCGTATGATCGGTCTACATTTTACGGGGCGGATCCACCGGAGAAGGGATATATTGACTACCCATTCTACGGTACATAGATGTATAATGACATTCAGTTCACTTTCATACATAGATATGTCCAAACACTGGTTATGTAGATAATTTGACGAGAAATTTCATTCCATCACATGTAACCTCCCACCGAACCGTCGTCAACTGCTCGGCCACTGCCATCCCATTCTGGCGGTGATACGTTAAGCCAGACGCTGCAGCCGACGAACTTCTTGAAATAACTGACCTAAAGTTCTCAGGTCTTGGGCTGGAACCAGGTGTCACCACCTGGGAGAAGCAGAACAGTTGAAGCACAATCGACCTTGTCTGGGGCTCGCAGACTCTGTCAGAGCTACTTGTCGCAGGCGAGCTGGAACTAAAATGCTACGACCCTGACCACTTTTCCATACGCACGCTAATCGGCATACAAACGCCGTCGTCAAAGCTAAAGCGACGCATCAAATGGAACGCCATGGAGGCTCACAAGCAATTTGTGGCCACTACTCTACCAAGTCTGGGCCACCTGGACCCTCACAACGCCAAGTGGCATCGACAACGCCATGGATTACCTTATCAAGACTCTAAAAGGCGATGGCCCACTCTATACTATGGGCACGACGCCATGAGTGGGCCAACCAGTCTCTCACTTTGGAATGCTACGAAGCCATCAAGACGACGAGACACTTGTACCGGGACTACCTGAAAAGCACACGCCATAGAGGAATGGGACGAATACATGAAGGCACGCAACAGAAAAGGAAAAGCTCGAGCCAAAGCCATGAGGCAAGTCCACCGCATGTGGTTCAGAGGCGCTATTGGGTGTGGCCTACGGGGGCTTTCATAGGTGGCCAAATGGGCACGAAACAGGACTCTCGAGGGGGTCTCATTCCCACGCTACGAAGTAGGAATGGCCCTGTGGAGACAATGGAGCAAAAACCAGAGGTACCATGAGAGGTCTTCCTTCAAGAACACCCATCTGGTGTCATGGCTCTGTCTAGCAATCCAATCTCTTCTCTATTATTGAATATACTAGGTAGCTGCAACGAGAATATCAAACATGGAGGAAAACAAGTCAGGCGCGTATCAGTTAATAGGCCGATGAGCGGTACGGCTGCCTGTAATGACCAAATATGCAGGTCTGCACTCAGGCCGTCACATCCTGTTGTGGGATTCAGGGGAAGTGATGCGCAAGGAGCTATTCTATCAGCTACAGGCCAACTAGCCTAATTAGGAAGTAGATGTCATTCAGTGGAAACACCAGGAATCGCAGTGTCTCAACCAACTGAGCCTACTAAGCGGTTCTCTATATTCTCATTGAGGTGTTCTACTAAAAGGATTCAGGGCAACGTTGAATCGGTCGTCAGATACTCCGCACCGCCAAGTCGGATTATAGTGTTTCCGTAACACATCCAGCAGATCTCTAATATTATGGAAAAGCTCAAACACTTGATCTGCCGGTCACCAAAGAAACATCCCTACGTCCCCAGCTACTCGAACGACAGATTGAATTCCCACCGATTACCGAAATAGAAGTACGCAAGGCAATCATCCGTGCACCTCCAGACAAGATTCCAGGGCCAGATGCCATTCCCAACCGGGTATCGAAAATGCTAGTGGAAGTTCCTGCTTTTGTATCTGCTTTGGTTGACATCTTCGAAGCCTCGTAGACAAACTCTATAGCGTCGTCAGGTTGGGCACGGACAAGCCACCAAAGAGGAATGGACAACCGTACTGGTAATTGACATCCGGGAGGCTGTCATCCAGGTGCACTTATTGCAACAAGCGCGCACCTCGACACACAGTCGCCGATGTCCTATCTACCACGGATCACACCGAATATACTAGTATTGGATATAAGGGGCCTGCTTCAGGCCATATAGAAATTATCGTAGATAGCGAGTATACGTTCTCTCCAGAATCTTTCTGGCAGTTCTACCTACATATCAGATACAACTAAATGATGATGGCTGGTTAGGATTTCCCCCAGTGTAGGTGAAGACCTTGGGATACGGGCAAAGGTATGCAGTACGAGTGGCTGACTTTTTAGAATCTCCCACCGCTTTAGCAGTAGCCTCCAGGCTGTCCGGCACTGTCCCATTCTCAACCCAAGCCCGCAAGGTACCAAAGACTGTATCACTGGGATCAAAACCATCTCCGCCACCGCAATGTTTCACCCCAGGCGCCAGGAAAAAACGATAGTAGCTTTCAGCATCGGTGTCAAACTCCATCACGCGCTGGTAGTAATCTACGCTGCCATTGGTCGGAATCAGCTGATCTTGCATGCCGTGCCAAGCGATCATCTTGGTCCCCGCCAGCTTCATGTTAGTCAGGTCTGGGTTTTCTGTTCCAATGACAGAGGCGTATTGGTCCATCGACTGCCGGAAGAGACGGTCATAGTCTGGATGTGTGAGGGTCTCGGTGTTGAAGGTGGAGTTCCTCGCCAGAAACACTTTGACCCAGTCATCAGCTATACCAAAGGGTGTCATTGTGCAGTTGTGGACTGAGGTACATGTAGTGTTGAGAATTGCCGTGAGATCGGAGTCATGGTCAAAGCCATACCATTCAAAATGGCCTTCAGTGGATCGTGGTCCTTCCCACATAGCTGCAACAAGCTGTGCCATCTCCGTTGTGATGGTCGTATTTTCGTCTGGGTTGCTGCAGTTGACCATTTGGCCGACTAGGGAGGAGGCTTGAAAAAAGCACTGGCCTGGGTAGGCGATGAGACCATCTTTCACACCGTCGAGGAGATCACATGCTCCAATAGCCGCATCTGTGAACGCATCGAGAACACACGAAGGGGGTTGTACATCTACAAACCGATTAGGACAGAGAGCCTCGATGTGCTCACACGAAGCAATAATCCTTACCAAGCAGTTGGGCCATAAAAGGACCCCAAAACTGAGATGGAATGAACTTGTCCCAGTTGATAGCTGGGGCACCGCTCACCATCCCATCAAACAGTTCCGGGTGTTGCTGTGCCATCATATGCCCTTGGCGACCACCAGTGGAACAGCCATTCCAATACGAATACTTGGGCGCCGAGCCAAAATAGATTTCCGTTGCCATCTTACCCAGTACTGCAGCCTCAACTATAGCCACGCTTGCAAAGTCCCACAGTGTAGGCCAATTGGTATTCCCTTCACTTGTCAATCCCCAATCTGTCGCCAAGCTGCTGGTGTTATGTCCCCCGTCAGTGGAGGAGGAAGAATACCCAGACAAAACGGGTGATAAAATCTCGCTCTCGCCTCCAGCCAACCAGCCTCCACCACCTTCCATCAAAAAGCGCGAGTTCCAGTCGCTAGCATCGAGCGGAAGCCCGATGTACGTGTTGATAACATCGTTCTGGCCTGGGTGTGTGTATGTCATTGCGATTAGGCAAATGTCCACTGTGGATGCTGTCGTGCCGGTCGATGCCGATATCACGCCGACACCGCCCGTACCATCGAAGCTGTTGGCGCTGGCTGAGTACTTGTATGCGGCCGTAACATTGAAGGAAGTGATTTCAATGTTGCTCAGACTCAAAGATACGAATGTACCTGCAGTACAAGCCGATGCACTCGAAACCAGAGTTCCCCGGACAAGACCCAAAAGTGCCATCAGAATTGTTGGAAATACACCGGAACCCATAGTGTCTTTTGTAGGGCTGCGTACGCAATTCAACGTTGAGAAAGGGCCACATCTACACAAAGTTGTCAGCTTGGAGATGGATGGAATGTCTCCTGAGTAAGGTATCGTGATTGAGGGCCATTATCCGCTTTATATAGGGAGAGAATCGAATAAGAATTTTCCTCGTTCGTATTCGAAAATTACCATAGATGTGTTATTCGTATTCGAAAGTCTGCCTAGAATTGGGTTGCATAATGATTGGCTGATCCACAAATCTGCTACCAACTCAGACTTGATTTCCTTGCGTGTAGATGGTTGGGTTTGATTTGAAGCTTAGCCCCATGGGGTACGATACACACGATCCAGATTTGGAGTTGACCGACACTAGAGACCGTTAGATCCTCTGAAAGTTTATCGGTCAAGTTCCGCATGTTTTCTTTCTTTTGGTAGCGGTCAAGTCTTCCATTTTTGTTCCCCCCCTCACAGCCCTGCTTCCCTTGTGAGGAGCTTATAATCTGTTTCTCTCTACATATATAGGGAGGCAACGAAAAATATCTCCAGGTCTGCCCTAACGCTGCCAAGGAATAGTTCATGCAATTTCCTTGCGCTGATCAACATGTGACCCACGTTTGTCAAGCTTGTTGAATAAACTGTCACATACTCTGTACATAGTTGTATTGAGATGAGTTGCTGTGGGTCACCTAAGCAGGTAAGATAAGGTTACATACAGTATTATGGGTCTAGCCCTAATTCAGCTGTAGTGCGGTCAGGATGAAAGATAAATGCAATATCAAAACAGGCCCTCGAGCAAAGCTCAAGCTTGGGGATAGTCCTAACCGCCTAAGGATCGCTTCGTATTAGTTCCGGAGCATACTCCGTATAACTCCGTATACCTCTGATTGTGGTGCGGCTTGGTCTCTCTAGGGTGACGATCTACAGCCCCTAAATATCGGTAGATAGCGTCATCTCTATGCCGAGTCGCCTCGGCTAAGATAGCAGCAAACATTACTCCCTATTATTTTGCCAAGCTTATGGTAAAAGAACCTCTTGGAGAAACCCAAGTGCCGAATGCCAAGCCCACGGGCTCGAAGTCGTCACTTTGTGTTGGAGCTGCTGGTAGCGTTATTATTACTGTCATCTTGGCACCCTTTATTTGTCTAGTCATGTATCTAAATATACAGCATCTTACATTAAATGTAACGTAACAATATGAATTGTTTTGTAGCCACTATAAGATTCTGAACTTGTGTAAATTCCGCTCGGTGAATCTTGGCAAAATGGCAAAAAGATACCGACATTTTGTTGGCACGAAAGATAAACTTAAGCGTAATCTGGTAAAGCCACATGCGACTCTGGGCCCACATCCATTGGGCCTTCAAACGCCACTTTAAACCTTATATTGTTGCAGTCGTTTAACCACTCTGAGTTACAAATATCTCTATTCATATCATCGATCCTTCCTGGTCTGATCTCGTTAAGGTCACTATCGTCCCTTCCCGTCTCATAGTTGAAAGCTCTGAGAACCTTCAGTTCTAATCCACCTTCGATTTCTGTAACTGAAAATGAAATCTACATTTTTCACTGCTTCTGCACTAGCCATCGGAACAAAAGCTTACGAATGTCGCCCTGACATCTTTTCTGGCCTTGTCCCTAGTAATGCTACTTTGAGCTATTCTGCCTATATCTCCGAGAATGGTACTTTGGCGATGAATGGGCAGCTAGCAATGCCACTTCCCTTCCCGAAGGCCTACGCGGCTGGCTTCCAAATTCCAACTAGGAATTCGTCCTACTCCCACGTCGCAATATATCTACCATACAAGTGGAATAACAGCTTGATGACCACAGGCAATGGAGTCAATGGGGGGGGCTTCACCATTTGGCCTGAAATTGGCGATCTGGCCCCGATGATGGCAGTTGGGCTCTCAATAACCCCGAAGGGGTTATCATCTGGGGGTGGCGTGCCCTCTATTCTACAGTATCTGCCGCTAAAGATATTGTTCGCCACTGCCCAATCGATAGCTGCCTTGGCTAAGGAGGCGATGTTTCAATGTGATTCCCAAGACGGTATTATGGCCCCTTGTCTCCGACACCCAACAGAAAATGTGTCTTCGTCAAGTTATTTTATCTGGCTGATATGTAGGATTATAAGCGCCCGCTACAAATGGCATCGATCTGACGGCCCAAGCAATATTTCCCTGCTGTAATTGATAGTCAGAGTACATACACCTGTTTCCCACGACATAGTCTTGTGCCAAATAAAAGTTTGCAGTTAGAGACAGCCAACTGTTAGTCCGAGCTTTCGAATGTCAATTTTCATAGCACTACCATGTGGGTTGAAACTTTAATAACGGTGATGTTCACACATTACAAAACTTGTGTGCAAACCTCCAGATTGAGCAAGCTACCCCCTCCCTTTGATGGCGGCTCGACAGACTAAGTTTCTACTTAACCTTTTAGTTGCCATTGGCGGATTATAGACCAAGCTGTAAAGCTTACATGCTATTCAAGTAAGTCCGGTTTAAATATCGTATACCTATAATATCCTCAGGCCACCCCAGTGCCCAAACCATGGAAGAGGACTTCCAGCCTTAGAAGGAAGAAAGCTAACGCAATCCAAAGTTACTTACTGTTATCACTCCACGTCGTCAAAGGGCATAGCTGAGTAACAGGGACGTGAATTAAGATGACTGCTTAGTAAGATCTCTTATATGTCAAAGAATGAGAAAGAATAATAAAGCGGATAGTGAAAGGCAAGGAAATAAGTGGAGGAAAGAACTGCTTCTTAGTTCTTTGAAGTGCAGGTCCAGCTGCTGGCCACGTTCACATCTCCACTCACGTATGAGGCCCTCTGGGGGTAGGGGCAGATGGGGCGCTGGCGCACGACCGCTCTAGACCTGTCATCGTCTTCAAATTTTGTACCAACCAGATAGTCCGGGGCAGTACCGTTTTCAGTCCACGCTAATAAGGCTAATATAGCGTCATGATAGCGGTCATTATAGCCGGGGACACCGGCAGGGATATTTTTCATGACCTTGGCCAGATAAGCAGCTCCAATATTCCAAGGGGCATCGGCACCGCCGGAGCAGTGTCCCATACCAGGAATATAGAAGGCCGAATTAAAATGCTAAGAGTCTCGTTTTTCTGTTATGTAGCACTATTTAAATAACTCAATAGATAGCCCACCACAGTCTTCCCTATGTTTTTTTTATTCTTGGACAGAACCCCTTTGTTGACAATTATGGTAATATTTGTTGGAAATCAGGATGCTTAAGGCATCTTCGTACATCCTAGTCCTGCAGTGGTCTGATATATCTTATTCTGCGGTTACGGACACGTACAGTATGGTTTCAGCGCTTGAATTGGTAAGCAAACAGGATAGTTTGGATACTGTAAAGGCCATATATGGTCGTGTGGTAACTACCACATACATTATGGAACCAATTTTCTTCTGCTATATATATATTCTTTGGCACGTGGCTTGCCTGGTATATGTAAGGAGCTCATCTCTAGTTACTGGAATGGTATCTAGGGGTTTTGAATTGGCAAGGCTAGCAATCTTCTCTATATAAGAGTATTGACTTGGTCATATAATTCCTTTCTTCCTTGCTGGCAATGAAGGTAACAGGAATCAAATATTGCCAGAGGGAATAGAGGAGCTGGCTAAGTCTCCCATTCCCAAGCCCCAAATTCTGCCCATCAAATCAAGCTACAGCGGCCTTGATTAGTAATCTAATTTGAATGTGTTTCGAAAACAGGATTTCAGTCTCATTTTATTTGGAATTGTTTAGTATATGATGCTCTTCTAGAGACTTATCCACTCCAGTTGTCAATTTGAGCTCAGGGACCGTAAGGAGGTGGTTGCGGTCATTCCAACTTCTTGAATTGGTATGATGAAGACAAGTCAATCTTGATACCTGGCTCTATTCTTGCATCTCCTAGCATTCCTTCCCTGAGTTTCTGTCTGGTGTGTCTTTTCCGTGCGTCAGATGGACAGATGGAATAATGGTTTCCAATACCGGCGCAATGGAGTTTCTCTTTCTCAGATTCTCACCAAAAAACCAGAACAAAATTGGAATAGGGACGAAGGCGGTAGCCAGGCAGCCTAACAACGTGGAGGCCCATTGAATACCCATATTATTAAACATCTGTCGAGAGAAGAGTGGAAAGCTCGCTGCAAATACCGAGCGAACAAAAGTGTTTCCTGCGATTGCAGATGCTGCTCTGGATGCTCAGAGTTGGCCGTCAACTTACAGGAAACAATACGAAGGAAGGGGTGGCTGGGATTGAAAGCTACAACTTACTCTTCAGAGTGCGTATCGATAATGTAGTTGAAGATTTGAATGAAAATTGTTAGGAGCCCGAAACCAGTAAATAAGCCGCTCAGAGTCGGAACAATCCAATGGATTTTATTACTAAATCCGGTCCATCCAAACCAAAACAATCCGCCAGCGAATAGGACTCCGCCGAATATAACTGGTGGAAGGCGCCATTCAGGGACAGGAATCCCATCGTTCCGGGCCAGTTTCCTGTTGTACCCAGGGCTGGAAAGCACAATATATGCTGTTGCCACAAGCAAACCAACAATCATGCCAAAAAAGGGTAAGCCACTGACCCCTGGTGCCATATGATAGACTCCCTGAAAGACGGCTGTGTAGGCCGTGAGGAAGCAGTATAGAAGCCCATATATAAAGCTTAGATAGAGCGTTACTGCCAGCAGCATCGGTTCTGTCATAAGCAATCTGAGGGGGCGGGAAAAGTTTTTTGTTACTAGCTCTCTTAGATCAATTTCGATTTCTTCTTGCTTCGAGTGGATTCCCCAATTTTGGGTCAGTCGACGTAGCTGCTTCGCTTTATACGTCAAGACTACCGGAGGGTAGGATTCCCGTAGTAATAAGGCATTTAGGATGAATGAAAGAAATCCCATCAAGGCTGGAATGTAGGCCGTCCAACGCCAACCGAGGAATAAATCGATGAAACCGCCAATCAAAGGCGTTAACAATGGCCCTAGGAAGACAGTGCTCGCGTAAACCGCTATTGCGCTGCCGCGTGAGCGATCATCATATATATCAGAAAATATCGCGGCTACAACTGTTAACGGACAGCTTCCAAAGATGCCCGAGAAAAATCGTGATATCAGGAGGGTTTGTAAGTCTTTGGATGTCGCTACGGCAACGTTGAAGACTCCGAAGCCAAACATGCCAATCAAAACAGGTATCCGGCGACCAGTAAGCTCGGAAAAAGGTGCCCATATCAAGGGCCCAAATGCGTAGCCAATAATGTAGAGTGAGCTGGAAAGCGTTCCAACTTCGACGCCAATATGAAAGGTTTCGGCTACATGGTGGGTTGATGAGGTGAATATGGAAGAATCGAATGTGGAAGTCATGCTCGTGAAAGCTAAAATTGTCGCAGCGAAAAGCCTTTCAGGGGAATGTTAGTTCCCCGAATAGTGAGATATATAATTCGACAAATTATAATGACTCACTTGCGGGCTCGACCCCAATTCTGGGGATAGAGAGGATCTCCTGGTCCGTCGAATTCAACAACGTATTCCTCTTTTTCTGGCAAGGGGGGTGGATATGGCTTGCCAGCCCCAAATGCTGGGAGCGTGCTTTTAGAGACGTGGCTGGAAGGGCTCGAGCTGCCACCCACGGTAAGCGCATGCTGGGGTCTTACCGTCCCTATTTTATGATAAGAGCTTAAACTCGTGCTTTGTTGCTCTAGATGATGGTCCACGGGCCCTGACCCTGACGATGTCTGTTCAAAAGACATTTCCACGCCCTCTGTATTTGCGAGTGATATATTTAGTAATGTCGGCGATGCCCGCCTAATATGGAAACTTTGGGATTTTCTGGCATTGGTCCGATGGGTAGTGGGAGGCATTGTTGAACCTTGTATCACCCCCTTTTTCTTGACCGAATTACCTGTCAACGCACCGCTGTAAACCTAGTCTGCATCCGAAGATTTAAGACTCTGGGTATAGTGTTGGAATTACTATACTATTCCGATCTATCCGTTCAAACCGGATCCACCACCGACGGAGTCGTTATTCTCCGAACCTTAGGAAATACCTCACCGTGTGGTTAATACCAATACTCCGTACCAATTGAAAAATTCGCAGTGGCCTGTAGTAGGCTTAACAGCCAAAGTATTTTTTTTTTCTTATATAAAGAAGACTAGGAGCTTTATTACATCATTCTAGTAAAATCTCTATGGAATATTCTACCATGTCCGCAAATTTATGCTCTAATTTCTTATTCAATTGACAGAGGCTCCAGATTCAGCCTTTCGTTTTAATCAGTGACAGAAGATAATAGCTACATACAAAATAGTCTTAAAAATGATCCTTGTATAGATGATATTGACAAAACCCAGTTTTAGCATAAGGTCTACATGTGTGGAGTCTTGTTAAGACATGATCCATGAGGGATAACAGCTCGTAGGCGGAGCCGAGGGCGCCGAGCGGAGGGGTCTAATTGGCCGGTACGTATCGTACTCGGGAATTCGGGAACTAAGATGCTGCATTGCGGATGGAAAGGTCCGACGGCAGTTACAAACGGGACTGGATTATTTTTATCATTAAACAAATTTCTATTGCAGAGTGGAGAGCATTATAACTTAAGATGGGGCATGATTTTAACGTAGAATGATTTTAACTCACTTGACTTGTGTTACTGCTTAAGATTGCTTAGCATCCTCCCATACAGTTAATAGACTGTTCCGGTAATTTATATCCTGCCAACAGCGTAAGGTACAACGCTATCGAAAGACATTATGCGGAAACCCTAAAAAGGCCGTTTGGGATTATTTGCACCCTGATAAGCGCAGAATTATTATTCGGAAGACACCGGATGGAGACGAGTACCACGCACTTTAACTCTAGCCACACTTGAATATTTTGAAAGAGGATGAGTTAGTTTCCCATGAAGGCCCATATTTGCTACTGGCATAACTGCGGCAAAAGCTTCACGCGTGCAGAGCATTTGCGCCGGCATGCCCTAAATCATGACCCTTCCCAGAAAGGGTACACCTGTGAGCGGTGTTCGGTACACTTTCATCGTCCAGATTTGCTAGGTGATTGCTTTCTTTTTCCATGTGTTTCATAAAAATTGCCATAGATTTAAATGCTGAGACCGCAAAGATCGCCATATGATGCGCCACGCAAAGCGGGATGACGAGGCTGGTGGCCCTGGACTGGGAGTCCTGGGGACTAGGAAACGAACCCGTCGCACTGACAATGGGTCGATTATTACTCGCTCCCCCAAACGACAGTCGCGTCGTCAGAGTGCGATGGCTGTATCTTCGTCATCTATTCCCGTCCCTTCTCAAGATCGCGACAACGTAGGTATCGAGCTTGATGACCATCTACCTGATGGTGCTCCGGTATCCCCCCCTGGCTCAGCGAGTGATCCGCCCTCTATAGCTATTGATGAGATCGATCCGCTGCTGGCGCCTATCATGCCCTGTGGCCCCTTTGAGCCCTATGTGGAACCAGTCCCCGGCCAGTTCGATGCAGCCGATGGATCCTGGAGTTTAGGGTTAGATGGGACTGTGGAGTCTTTTAGTATGGATACAGGTGTGCTGCTACAACTACCTACATTGTGCATATACGGGACTATCTTAACCAATATCAGCGACCAACTTCAACATGCCGTTCGCCGCTTCACACAACTACAACTGGCTGTTTGACGTGCGTTCTCTCGATGACGACTTGAATCCGCTCGACCCACCCCTTGACTCGGAGATGGTTACCTTTGATAATATAGTCACCCTCGAGCGCGGCCCTAGAGATGCTTCACATGAGTCTAGCCAACTTTTCGGAGATGGTTCATCGGTGCTTCTCCAGGCAGCGTCGTTTGTCGAGCGTGGCACACAAGAAGGATGCTCCCAGCTCATGGACCTTCCGCCCACAATGGCAGTCCCAGTTCCAGATTTGGTTGGCACGGGATGGATGAACCGCCCAGCCATTCTGGACTCCAACCCCCAACCTCCTCTACCGCGACTAGAGGATGACGCCCGTCTTCGTATTCTTACCCTTGTCGCTCAAGCACAACCTGTTGGTGTTGATGGCCATCCTATAGCGCTTGACTCACCCTTACTGTCTCTTTCAGCCTTGCAAGGATATTGTGACCTTTTCTTCACTCGCTTCAATACCATCTACCCGCTGATCCATCAGCCAACCTTCGATGCCAACACTGTCGACACAGTCTTCCTTGTCGCCATTCTGACCATGGGAGCCACCTACAGCAGCTGGGAAGCTCATCAACTTGCCGTCGGCATCCATAACGCTTTACGGAATCAGCTTTTCTGCCATGCGGACTTCTCCCCGCATCCGGACCTGTGGATTCTCCAAGCAATGCTCCTCATTGACTGTTTTGGCAAGATGCGCGCAGGCCATAAACAGCGTGAGCGAGCACAGCTCTTCCACTGTGTCCTAATCAAACTTATCCGGCGCAGTAATTGCTGTACTATCGGCACACCGACGCGGACTTTGTCCTTGCGGCCAGGAGATCTATCTGAGTCTTGGCGACAGGCAATGGACGCTGAACAGCGCAAACGACTGGCTATGTACTGCTTTATTTGGGATACGCAGCATGCAGCCCTTTTCTCTCAGTCACTGTGCATGTCGGCGTTTGAGATCCGGTCCTCCTTGCCCTGTAGCTCTGCTGTGTGGCAGGCTTCAACTCCTGAGGACTGGGCCCAGTATATGGTGCGAGAACCGGACTATTCCTTTCTTTCTGTGCTGAAGGGGTACATCACTCCTGGTTCGGTAGCACTACCACGCGATCTGAACGCTATTGCGAGGATCGTAATATTGCACGGATTAATGTCTGTATCAGCCGATCTCAAACGACGTGACCAGACCATCCTTCGTTCAGAAACTCCAGAAAAGATGGGGACTTGGATACCGCGAATGTGCCGATCGTATGATCTCTGGAAAGTCGATTTCGATGCAGACTGCCTCGCGATGAAGCTGAATCAGACTGCTGATCAACGCCAATTTACGGGGTCCAAAACTGCTGGTGATGTGTTATACCATGCTGCACATATATCGCTGAATGTGGAGGTGCTCGATCTGCAAATAACTGCAGGGGCGACGCACATACTGGGGAGACCAGTCAATTCATATGATAGAGAAAGATCACGCAGAAACGTACTAGGATGGCTACATGGGGGGAGAGGAGCGGCGCCCGTAGCTGCGAGGCACGCCTCGAGTTTGTTGCAGGACGCCGTGCTGAGTCTCCATGACTGGGAACAAACGGATGCGTTCCATTTCCCGTGGTGCTTGTACCTGGCCACCTTGACATGTTGGGCGTTCCACAGGGGAATGGACCATGAGGTTAAGGATAAAACCACGATAGATCTGTCATCCTTAATAGTGACTATGACGACGTGTTCGAGTATGAGTGAGTTGACGGCTCTAAGTGGGAAGTATGAGACAAAGGCGTTAGTGATGGCTATGGCGCAGCAATTGGCGACGGTGCGCTGGGAGGTGGTACGTGACGCTATGAAAGTGCTGGTGAAGTTGTCTAAATAATCCGTATATTTTTATGCTTTTGGAATACCACTGCCTTACTTTCTTGTTTTGTATTTCCCTCAATCAAATTACTATCGGAGCATTTGCTACTTCACCAAGGCACTTACTGCCTGGTGAAAACAGAAATGAACAGCCAAGCGGCACTAGGTATTGAAAGGGCCCGAAAACTTGGAGGTTGAGTCCACCGTGCGATCTATTCCAACACAGTTCTGAGTAATGCTGAGTCCGGAAAATAAGAAAAGATCCAAAGATCGCTTAATATCTACCGTTTTGCCCAAAACTGTTGTCTCTGCATCCGATTTCGCGACTACAACTGGACACATCAGTCTGGGGTACAGGTAATGCCCAAGCAATGCAGAGCATAATTCTCTCCCTTACCTAGGGATAGTCATCTCCTTGCGCTCACCTTGGCATATATATCAAATGCTAACCAGGAACAAGTGTCGGAATATTCTTCGAAAGCAGTGCTGCACTGGTAGAATATCTCTTCCATCTTCCGAACGACAAGACTCACATAAACATCACCACCTAGTGAAAGGGATAGTACCAATATTCTCCGCACATCTGACTAGATCATCGTATGCCTATGTCGCTCGCTACTAACTCTAATAATAAACGTGCAGCTAAACTATCAGATCTAGCAGAGGGTGGGGGCTTTACACTACCCAGGAGAGATTCCACAGTCACATCGTCAACTGTAGAATGGCCTTTTACAGTAGCATTTGGATATAGCTAAACTGATTCCACTTTGTAGGTTACCATAGGAATAATATATCATGCATATTGTGAATCGAGGCTCAGTGGAAATCTCATTCTTGTCTTGCATATATACCGTGAAATAATCATGAGAATAACAACAGGAACACCCAATCTTCCTCTGATTTACAACACTCTTATATATCAAATTAATTTCCAAAGAATAAGCGAAGCGACGGCAGCTTTACGCCCTCAGAACCACACAATCCACTTCAGTTTTCACCGTCAAACAAATTTAGACTATACCTATGCTGTCTAAATTCCCATTTATTATAGCTGACCAGTCCTGCAAAAATGCCATCCCCGGTACTTGACAATCCTCCAAGTAAAAAGGCCCCGGTTGCAGACCCGCAAGGGAGTTTTGCATGTCTTGATCCACAGTAATGTCAGGTATGCGTCTGGCTACAGGGCCCGGTGGAATTGTTGGAGTAGAGACATGGTGCAGTTCTGAGGCCTCTTTCCCTTCAGCTGGATGGGTTTGTGTGCTAAGACACTGTCTATTTAATTCCCCCGAATCCGGAGCTGTACCCACCCTTCTCTGTACTGCCTGCATGCGAAGTGCCTCCAAACAAGCCCAGATGCTGTTGGTTTCGCTCGTTGATGAGCCATTCCAGTACCCATCTCCAAAGCTGTCGATGAGTCGTAGGATCTTATTGACCAGATCCCAGGCAAGGTCTGTTTCTCGACAACGGGGGTAGAAAGACAAGCAGCGCAGAACGTATGCAAGTGCATACCACTGGGTATAAACATGGAATATCCACGTGAAATGCATGGAGCAATCTTTTGTGAGCAGGAAATAACTACCCTCAAGGACCCGATACGCCATTGTGAAAGACTGTCTGACGACATGGTCCGGGTTATCAGATATTTTGTTCGGTTGTAGATAAAGCTCCTCCCGAAGCTGTAGCATAAATCTCATCTTCTCGCATGCGGTGTGATAATGATAAAATGCTGCTCTATGCAAAGGAATGTCCATATTACCGTTTGAAAGATACCTGTCTTCAATTAAGCGGACATGATCTGCAATCATTTGTCGTTTTGTCATCAAGTCGCCGAGAGCATCCGTCCCGGAATCTTGTTTCGTACGCAGGACTGGATGTAAAATTTTTGCAGCCTCAATCTGCACGAGAAAGAACGTCATCTCAGTCCACACCTCAGATCCCTCTGGGAGAGCCTTCATGTCTGGATACAGCTGGTTGTCATTGACATTGAGGGGAAGTCGGGGGCCTTGATTGAATATGTCAAGGGTAAGCTCAAATCCATGGTCCTCGGGCGATCGGGAGTCCAAGAGACACAGATGCCACCACAAACGCACACGGATTTCGGTCTCGAATGGACAGAGTTTCAACAGCATGCCATCACGGTGCAATCCAATTGATTGTGCCAGTCGAATGGTGGTACCAATAAGCACCCATACAGCGCGACTCGTATCATGAGCACGTAAACATGTCTGCGGGAAAGTAATTAGACGATGCATTTACACCAGATTTCAGGCTTAGCTCACCACAAATATGGTAAGTGCTTGCAATTCAGTAACCTTTGGATTACCGAGGTAATCTCCATCCACTAGTGCCTGATTTAACCCGGCTGAATATCGTCTGAGAAGATGTTGACGGTTTTCCAACAAAGATTCTCTCGCTTCGCGATCATTCATACTGGTAACGGCGGCAAAAAACACGGCGAACGCCAGAGCCATGCTAGATGAGTTAGAAGCTTGAGGATCCAGAATTGTTCCGATGATGGTTGATTGCGCTGTTGGGGTATGTAGAAGCTTTAAAACAGGGTTAACATTTTCCATATAAGTTGCCCACAATCTCAAGGCATGCTGCGGCTCTGGGTAGAGCTGTGACACCCTCACCGAGCATTTCGAAAATACAGGGAGAATGTCCGGTTTCATATTCAGACTTGGGGAAATGGTTGCGGCTGTATTATTTTCGTTAACTGGAGCTGGAGGTAGCCTCGTGCTGATTTCCTGCAGGTAGGATGTGAATCAGCCTTCTGTTCTCCACTTCTGCAGGAGTAGTATTTTCGTTACATCTTGCAAGAGATCTAGTATGTTGGAGTTGTTCACATATTGAAGCCTCCCTCCATCTTCCAAAAGAACCTCCCGGGGTTGCAAATTACGGGTGGACGCTGATGCTGCACTCTTTTCTAGAGGGTCATGGTCCTTTCTCCAATTCTGGCTATCGCGAAGGTTTGGCAAGATGGACTCAATTCGTTCTAAGCGGTCAGAAATATCCTGCAGCGACTGAACTTTGCGAATAATATTTCCGTGTTTGTTTGGATACAAACAATCCCAGCCGGCCTTTTCACAGTTCGCACATGGCGTCTTTCGATCGCATCGTACCTTTCGCTGGTGACAGGGTATACAGGAACGGTTTAATAATTGTGGAGGCGGGTATTCTAAAAGATCTTGAGTCACCGGTCGAGTTCGATGAGATCTTTTCATGCTGCCACTTTGCCTGTCGTATTAAGCTATTGGAATTCTCTCTATTCTGTAATTGAAATTTAGCTTGATTCTAAATCAATTCAGCCCGAGATGTAACTTCCATGGGAGCTTTTTTCTCTGTAGATCGGCATCCTTTTGATGCCGAATTCCCGATGACGATATGTACTGGCCAATTAGATCCCTCTGCTCGGGCCTCTCGGCTTCCTGGGAGCTTCTCACAGAGCGGGGGAGCGGGGTCACCAAGAGTGGAGACTAGTTCTCGACGGATGAAGTGTCAAACCCCAAGTCCACAATTATGCACCTGACGCCAGTCGTCGGATATAAATCTGGGGTGGGCGGGAAATCAGACGGGTTACTGTACACAGTATTGATCTGCTGAATTTCATTTTTCTGTAACTTTCGATTGGGCTACGTACTTTTTGACTGCTTTCTAACTATTTTCTTATTCCGCCTAATTTCTCCCGCGTTACCTGAATATGAATACATATCTTTTGTAGGCTTCAGAGCGCCGACCGAACTTCTTAGAACCATCCGAAGAAATTATGGATTTAACCTTATCAGTAACATCTCCAATCTCAATGAAGAGCTCCTTTAGACCGTAGGAAGACAGCCGTTTTTGATGAAGCTCCTCTTTATTACTTAATTACTTTTAGCGCTAGGAAGAGGGACCCGATGAGAACGAAAAGACCCTTCCTACTATGTGTTGTGGAATTCAGGGGAAGTGATGCGCAGGGAGCTATTCTATCAGCTACAGGCCAACTAGCCTAACTAGGAAGTAGATGTCATTCGGTGGAAACACCACGAATCGCAGTATCTCAACCAATTGAGCCTACTAAGCGGTTCCCTATATTCACATTGCGGTGTTTACTAACTAAAGGATTGAGGGGTAGAATGAATGGATCGTCAGATACTTCCACCGCCAACTCGGGCGGATTATAGTGTTTCCGTAACACTTCGAATCGCACATGCAGTTCACTGGGCCCTGACCGGTCCTTTCCTATAGGATTAGTCAAACTTACTTATAACTACTATTAACTCATTAGATCTCACGCCTTGGGTGGCCATAAGATAATCAAAGAGCATCTAGGCTTCATGATTGGTGTGCCAGTACACGCGGCCTGCTGGATTTTCCGAATCCCTTTCTTCTGACGAAGTCTCTTCTCCTTCCTCTTCTTCGATTATCCTTCTTGTACAATAACGCTTGCTTAATTGGATCAATTGCATTCGGTCCATGACCGGAGGCCACATAGCCAAGATGGGGCAAATATATCGTCCCCTTTAAAAACCCCGTCGGATACAAATATGCAAACCGCTTCTTCATGTCCTGCTCTATTATCTTACTATATTCATCTGTTCCTCATGGAAAATGAATTCTGAAAACTATACTTCCTAGGACCTTCAATCCTGCCTAGAAGGATCCTGGATGGGTTTATTCTGGAGGTACTCATCAATCTCGGCCATAATTTCCGGAGTCAATTTCGGCAGCAATTTTAGACTCTGCACGTTGTCGACAACCTGTTCGGGCCGTGAAGCGCCTGAAATGATAGAGGAAACGTTCTCATTCTTCAGGCACCAAGCCAGGGCCAATTGGGACAGTTTGACTCCGAGCTTATCCGCCATCGTCTGTCATGGGGTTAGTTTTTGTTCCAAGCAGCTGGTACACCGGTCACTTTACCTTCAGGCCAGCAACCTTTTTAATATATCCTGCCCACTGCTTATTCTCCCAGTCTGCCCGGACACTGCTGGCAAATTGGTCACGGCTCTCAGCAAAGCGGGATCCTGCTGGAGGCATTGTCGCTGCATCATTGTACTTGCCGCTAAGAAGACCCATCTTCAAGGGGGAGAAGGTCGTCAAGCCAACTCTGCATCGAGAGTAGAGTCGCTGAAACTGTCCTTCAACCCTCTCACGATCTAACATATTGTACAGCGGCTGCTCTACAATAGGTGGAACGAGACCGAGTGACTTTGCTATCCCGTATGCTTCGGTGATTTCGTCTGCACTCCACTCTGAGGTGCCCCAGTAGAACGCCCACCCTTGTTCAATCACAAAGTTAAATGCTCTCACGGTCTCTTCCATTGGTGTCAGTCTGTCTGGTCGATGGGCATAGATGATGTCAATATAGTCAAGCTGTAGCCGTTCCAGGGAGGCCCGTGTTCCTTCTATAATATGCTTGCGTGAGAGACCATGGTTGTTAATCAGGATTTCACCGTTAGCGAGACCCCAGTTGAGCTACTGTAATGTTATTACGAGAGTTCCCGGTGAATGGTGGAGTGAGAATGTACAGGAGAACGAACCTTAGTGCTGATAACGAGGTCGCTTCGTTTCCACCTATAATGCTTGATGGCTTGCCCCATGACGATTTCAGACTGCCCGCCCGCGTAGCTAGAGTGAAATGAATGAATCCTGTTATCCCCGGTGTGACGGTAATCTTACCTTTCAGCTGTATCGAAGAAGTTGATTCCGCAGTCATAGGCTTGTTTCATGCATTCAAATGCGACAGCTGGATGAATTTATTGTTAGTTATTAGCACAACTGCAGAAGATTTGTTTAAGGTTAGTGGGATTCGTACTATTATCGACGTGGCCACCGAATCTAAGAAGTCAGGAGATTAGAAGACATCGTTCAGCCATCCCAGGGGATTTAGGAAACCGGCTCACGTCAGCCAACCTCCCAGCCCAATCACAGAGACATGTAGGCCAGAATTGCCCACGCGCCGATAGAGCATATCTCTGTTCTTGTTCGGCCACGCCATCCTGTGCAGAGTACCCGTTATTAATGATAATTCGAACAATCTCAGTCCACAGGAACGTTCACCTTAGCCAGGCTATTGTCCAACCGTGTCTAACATAGAGGTCATGGTACCAATTTATCTGTCTTGCTCCTGCAGTCGTCGTGGTCTCTGTTTGAATGTGAAATTCATGCTGAAATATCATTGGTTAGTTCATGCTTGGTCGAAGCATCGGGATGGATTTAGCGCCATCCAAAGAGCATCTCCTGGATCCCAGAAACCCAATCATATATGGTATGTGCGTGGTGGGGGGCTCAAGCGGTGGCTGGCAGTGGCCTCGGAGGAATACTCGGAGGGTCCTGTGTTGGAGAACTTTATTCTTGGAACATTATATTATTGGCTGCCATTCTGATACGTCTACATACAGCGTCTTACATTACAGGTATCCTAATGTCAACCAAATACAGTATCATGCATGAATTGGAGTCATAGCATCTTTTAGTAATGCAGTAGTGCCGTTGACAACTGATAAGTAGGTAGGTTTTTCAGCAATGGCAGACACATGTTCCCGGACAGTGGACCCACTGTCTCCAGGTGATTCCCAGGGGCCTAAGGGGACTCATCTATCCCTTGGTGGTCACTCTAGTCCTTTTCCTCGCCTGAAACTGAAACCTCAATATTGACGGCCTCGCCTAGGCATACAGGGTGCCACTCTATCAGCGCTCACCCGTACGTTCTGCCTCTTCCGCTAATTCTAGACACCTAGGGTTGTCTCAGGAACGTTTCTGCTTCCTAGCTGCTTCTCCTGGATAGCCGCATATACTTTAGTGAGGACTTAGTGGCCTTCCGGTTTCTCAATATACGGCTTTCTGGGACCTCATCTTTCTATCGTGGAAAGGGTACTCATGCTTTCTCTAGAGCCTTATACAGCGACCGTCTTTGAAGGCAGTATTGTATGCAACGCAAGAGAGGGTGTCCTGTTGTTTCCTATGGGGCCTGACAGCTCTGACTTGTAGACAAGTCCTGGGCTCCTATTCTTAGAAGATGGAAGGCCACACCTGCAAGCCCTACTTTTAACCGGTAGTACCAGCAGGCAGGCTGCTTTGAGGCTGCCGCTGCCACTGGGTCTGGGCTCAATCTTTTCTGAGCTTGATAGCTCTGTTAGGCTCTGGGTGGTCGCCTGGCTAAAGCCTTCAATAAACCATCTTTGTCTCTGTTTTTGACCGGACCCATTGCATGCTCGACTAATGTAGGGTAGAAGGCCTTTCTTGCAAATTGCCTGACCTGCCTCCCCATTCGCTAATATCCCCCGATGACCTGGGAACCACTGAATGGTGATCTCACAGCCCTACAAGGCTAGATCTTGAGCCGTCTTCTTGGCCCCTTTTTCCGGAGATATTCAAGTTAAGATGATCATGAGCCCAGACTTGATTAGTATTGGATCAACTTTGACAGGACATGGGTGGATAATTTGTTCGCTATCAGAAAAACGTCTAAATATAACGGAAAAAGCTGAAAAAATTGAACCGTCCTAGCTCAATACAACGTATCATATCAGGTAGAGTGTCTAGGTATGTATATCGGAGGCTCCTTTTTTTAGTCGACAGTATATTAGACTAAAGTTAAAGCAGCAAGTTCAATCACCGTGAGCATGATTACTTACCAAGCACATCATATTATTGGCTAAAAGCTCCTTACTTCCACCACGGTTTCCAGTAGTTACTCGACTGCCTAAGATACTCTGCATGTGCATCATCATCTTCAATATGGCATTCTCTAAACTAAGAGAATAATTTCAAATTTCTCATCCTACCTACAGGCTGTGGGATGTTGGCCCTGTCTCATCATTGTTTCTTGCTATATGGATAGTGCCCCATTGGATAATACATAAAATAGAGGTTGGGATTGCGTAAGATTTCAAGTTACAAATTGGCCTGATTCAGTGTCTTCCGTTAAATTGCAATAAGTGTGAAGTAGGTAGCTGAAGAAATACATGCTTAATGAAACACAAGGTGTATTGGAGGTAAGTTCTGTTTACAGAGATCGTCAAGCCAAGGACCCTGCGCTCTGACTGATTAAGGTTTTGCTTGTAACTAAAGTTACACGAAAAGCTTACGTGATTGTCATTTAAAATCATCTGTCAAATGACAAGAGTGTCACGTAAATCAAGATAACATAAAAGCCCTACTTGTTTAGGCCAGTGGGTCCATGGCGTGCCTCGCCGAGAGGAAGACGCAATCTGGCGCTAAGAGTGAAATGAGAGAAGAGAAGAAAGAGAGCTCGGTCGGGCCCCTTTATAGAAACATACCGGACCTGGGCGATTTGGGAAACTGTGCGTGACCTCCTCGAGTCGAGTTGAACACGCCAAGCAGCTATTCGAGATTAATTGTTGCCATTCGCCCAAACCCCGCAGGCTGAATTCAACCTCCCACTGATCCTCCGTCGCTCATAGAGCCAAATTAACTGTGTCATTGCATTATATCCCAGTTGTATTTCTACCTATGAAAATGACCTCAGGAGCAAGTGTCACCAAAAAGGCCTGTGACGGATGTAAGATTCGAAAGATTCGATGTGGTGGTGGCTGTCCGTGCCAGTCCTGCTCGAATGCACACATCAAATGCACATACATTCGTGTTCAACAGGCTCGAGGGCCTCAAAGGCTGCGACCGATGACCAAGTATCTTATTGAGCAGGCTCAGCGTGGAATTGAAGGCCAGTCTTCTCGACCTTTAGCTTCAAGTGACAATGAATCTCCGCTGCCCAAGGAGTTGAACACCACAGGTTCGGAAAAGTGGGTAGTCTTTAGTTTGCTTTATTTCCCTTTTTTTGGGTTAAATTCCACCTTATTATCCTAGATTTCTAACCAGTAGCTATCTAGTATCTGGATACCGCCAAATATATTTGCCTTCCCGTTATATACCTACCATGTGCGATTGTACCCCGTCTGGCCCGTTGTCGACGTCAAGAATGTGATGGGGAATTTGCAGCAGAATAGTAAAGGGGTGAACCATGAAACATACGCGCTTGCAACGGCAGTGGCCGCCGCTACAACAGCTCAATTAAGGCTGAGACAGAATTCCTTTTCCAATAAACCGATAACCGCTGAGACTTTCCAGATTGAATGTATGAGGGTACGGGGATGTAGCAATTATCGGTCAAAATTAAACTTGAATACTGTACTAACTGCATTCTTTCTGCACGTATATTACGAAAATCAACAACCAGGCGGAAGTGAATCTTTACTATACTTGAGAGAAGCCATATCTTTAGCTCAGATGATGTCTCTTCATCGAGCGAATTCCTATACTGGCCTTCCTCAAGCTGAGCAGCAAATGCGTTGCCGTGTCTTATGGTTGCTGTTTGTCACCGAGCGGTAATTAGTACATTCTTCTACCACTACACAAACAGCTCTAATTTGTGATTACCAGTGGTGTCTGCATTCTTCACAAGCTCCCCGTGGTTCTAAAGACTAACGTCTCGACACCAGAACTCGATGCGGGTGGTGAGCCCCTAGTTCTTCCTGCATTTCTGAAGCTCCTCAATTTGTTCCGCTTGTTCGAACAATCCAAGATGTTCGATATCATTGAAAGTGATCAGCTCGAAATGCCTTCTATTCCGGGTAGAGGAAATGTCCTGGACAGGAAGCTTTTCGACGTACTCCATAACAAATTACGGGATGGGTTAACTTTGGAACATATTTCGGATGTACAGAAAGCCGACTTATGTGTTACTAGGCACTGGATGCGTGTGATTTTGTGGAGGATCTTATCAAACAAAAATATACCAAACTTCTCGTCACATCGGCTTACATCTCCATTCTTTCCTGTGCTGGTGGCAAAGGAACTCCTGAATATGATATCCCAATTGCCGAGAACAGCAATTGAAGCCCATGGACTTGGCATGGTAATTTGTTTTTTGGGAAGGATTCCGAAGAATACGACTAACACTCGGCAACAGGAGTTAAAACTGTATGAGATTGCCAACTCGCTTGCGGACTCAATTATGCACTTAGCGATATTACCACAAGCTCCTGTTTGGGATGGTGACAGCCGTCCCAGTAATATCCTTGAGCGACTGTACTCGATCCTCTCCACCTTCAGGGGCGGCGGAAACAGAGAACTAGCCGAGCTATTGTATAAGAAGATGGCGGATGCGCAATGTATGAGTGGCCTCACAATAAACCCAGCACTAAAAGACTCTCATGCACAAATTGGACGTAAATTTCTAGCTGAGACCGCTAAGCATTCATCGAATCCTATAACACTGGTCCAGGACGAGGCTACAGAGTCTTCGTACTCTGGCTCTGGTAAGGAGATTAGAATAGGGGATGGGACTGCAACTGAACTAGAACATATACAGCAGCTGAATGGCCCTAGCGAGATATATGACGCGGGACACCAACAGGTGATCGGATATCATGATTTCCAACAGGGGGAGGGTCTCATACCCTCCAGCTTCTCTGTTGCACCATTGCAAATGCAACCAGACCACCCACTAGAGACGTATGATTCCCACCTCAAGGCCCCTCTACAGTCTCCTTGGGAATGCCTGGACGCCGGAGATCAGCCGCTTAGTCTCCCCTTTCTATCATCTTCTTTACCTTCCAGCTCACAACAGATACTGGTCGGTAACTTTATGTCTGATACGCTTGGAAATCACTTTCCACTACAGAATTACCTTTCCACGAGCCACAACTTGCCAGACCATCCATCCATGATTGAGAGTTTTCTGGTTTAAAAACCCTAGAGAGATGCCTCCTATACAAATAAATTCAATACCCACAAATACAGCCAAAATGGCACGGATATCCTCTGCCTAGCCAAGTCAGACACGAAGGCCTCATCTATCACTTTTTTAGATGAGTTCCTTCCAGTCAAGTACAATGTAGACAGTCGTCCACACTTCACATTAAATAATATCAATGAGATTAATCCTCCCAACTTCAGCATTAGGATTAGTATTTAAAGCGGAAATCCAGTCGCTTATTACCTTCCTTCTCGCGTGCTGACTGGTCTGACTGATACGCGACTCGTTCCTCAGGAGATATCGTCTGCCATTTCTTCTCCTTTTGATGATTGAGGTACCGTAGAAACTCGCGCTGAGCGATAAAGATAGCCAGTGTGAGACCGCAGATGGAAATGAGAACTTTGTTTCCCTGGTAGTAGTACGGAGAATCGTAGCTGCGGTAAATTTCTGTTGAGTGTTAGTTATGAGAAAAGCTTGGTCAATTAAGTCGGGAAATGGAACGCCAGGAGCACCGACGAGAGGAAATAATTGATCCAATCTGTACAATAACATTGTACGTTGCGGCCGTGATAGCTCGCTTTTTGACATCGAACGTGTTCTCGGAAATCCAAGCCGACACGATCGGATGAAAATATGGATATCCCGAGACCAAGGTGGAAATCACAAAGCGGGCCCAACTGTAGTCATGATCTGGTAAACCTAGCAGTGCCGCCAATAGTGGTAGAGACCAAAATTCGCCAATCAGGCAATGGAATGTGCGCTCGCCAAAGATCTCGCTACTCTTGGAGAGGGCGAGCATGAGGACAACCTGGAGAGCAGCTGACGGGATACAGAGCATATTGGAATCGAACGTGGAAAATCCGAGTCTTTTGAGGGTAAGAGAGAGATAGGATTGGACGGGGCTCTGGGGGATGTAGGCGACCAAGCCGATGACGTACAGTCCCCATATGGATTTATCGCTCCAGGCTTCGATGACATCATGAAATGTGGCGCGCTCGTTGATATGGGTGAGGCCTTTAGAGGGATCATCACGGAGAAGGCGCTAGGAAAGCTTAGTGGATGCTCTACCTCAGAAGTGTCAAGCAGTAGATGCAGGCATACATTGATCATGATCACCTCCTGACGTTCCGAGTACCAGGGTCGAGGGTAGAGGACACTCTTTGTGTTGGTCGGGGAGCTGGGAAGATAGAAAAGGGCCTGCATTCGATCATTAGGGCTAGGGACTGAGGATATGATAGATAAAAAGCATGTGTACAATCAAGCCGATCACGAAGGTAATGAGCCCATCGATCAGGAACAACCAAAACCAGCCGGGTTTTCCTTGGACACCGCGCATTCCTAGAATTCCAGCAGCAAGAAGCGCTGAAATAATACGGGCGACCTAAGAAACAAAGGAGAAGTGTCACCATCGGCTCCGCCGAGCCTCGAATTAATGGGTGACGGCCCACAAACTCACATTCAATGTGGACCAGACAAAAGCCAGTCGGATAGAGAGCTCCTTCGTTTTATAGAAGTAGGTTGCAAACAAGATGGTGCCTGGGATAAATCCCCCCTCAAAGGCACCAATCAACGCCCTGGTCACGTAGAATGAAGCACGGCCAGTCATCCAGGCCTGAGTCCAAGATACCAGACTCCAGGCGAGCATCAGAGTGGGCAACACCCGTCTGAAGCCGAAACGCTTGATGCAGAGCTGAACGGGGAATTCTGCAGCTAGAAAGCAAACCAGTTGTATCGTCGTGCCCTGGAGCAAATTCGCGATCAGCAATGTATTCCAACGCTGGAGAAGTAAGTCACACATTGTTATAGTCATCAGTAGTCAGAGCCAGGTCGTCGAGGAAATTGTCCGTCAAAGCATTAGACAAATTTCCACGGTCTAGTTGAAGTCCGAAAAACTGTCTGGATCAGCACATATCTTCCAAGACATAAGAACCGTTCTCGTCCCACGGACTTGTAAAAGCTTGATAGAGGCATACCATGAGGCAGAGACAGGTCAGTAGCATTATGTCTGTCTTCAGAACAACCCTTCTTTCTTCCTTAGCTGTCCAGGAAGCTGTCGGGTAGAATCGATGATAGCCCTCGTAGGACTCATGGGGAGGTGTAACGCCAGCAAGGTGTTCCCGCCCGACAGCAACTAACCCTTTAGATGACTGGATTTCTTCGTCGCCCTCGGGAGTTATGGATTCCTTACAACCATGTTCAATATCACCCATCGTTGGCTCTAGGACTAGTACAGTAGAATATCAAGAGGTTGGAGGATAAAGGTAATATGAGTTCAGCTAGAAAGAGCAATGGTCGCTGGCAACCACTACGGAAAAACATTATATGTAATGGGAGCTATGGCATCAGCACGGGCACTCCTCTGTAGCTATTCGAAATAGATGGAGGCGACGCTGGTGAAATTCAGCCAAACAGATTTGTGGAGTTCCTTACGACCAGCGCCCACCACCAACATAGATCCCAAAGGAGACTTGCATTGCATCAAAGAGGTCGCCGAGCACATCATCACCGAGAAATATGGCTAGTACGAATCTGGAAGCGATCTGGCCAGTAATCCCACAGAGTCTGAGAGAAACAACTTTAGTGCCTCATTTCGATCAGATGAGTCTGCTTGCCGTAACAATAGCCATCCACTATATATGCAAGAGATGATGTAATTTTTCCTTGTAGCAATGGAGATCCAACCCACCGACTTGCACAGACGAACCTTCTTGAGGCAACTCCAGGGGCAAAGGGGTCAAGGCGAGTGACCCCGGAGAAATGCTAACAATAGTTGTTTCTGGTCACTGATAATAGAGCCTGAGATTCCAGGATGTACTGGTTGGTGTCTGCTCATTTGTGGGTGTGAGAGAACGCGCTAGTAAGTATGTGGCGCAGAATGGGGGAGCCAAGCAACTCCGAAAATTTCGCCGACACCCCACCGATGACTGCACCGTCTGTTGGTTTTGGCTGGCATCTGATGAGGAGCCCCACGAAATAGGCGTATTGCAGGGAGTGGTTTTGAGAGGGGGATAGGGAGCCTATGATAGATGAGTCCGTGGCATCTGGTTCCTCGTCATCTGTCACCCATATCCATGTTGGCTAGAATCTGGAAAGGCAGCATTTTTTTTTTTTTTTTTTGTTTTTCCCTTTCTTTAATTTGTTCTGTCGGGGTTGTTGTGGCGGTGGGGAAAGGCCTGTCGAATCGTTTTAAAACGTGAATAGGAATAAGGTGTGGAATATATTTAATGAAGATAACTATATAAACGACGCAAACCCTCATTGCTGATATATTAAATCTACGGTTGTAAAGCAAACTGGTACTCTTTTCAGTTGTCCCATATTCTAGCCAGTAAATCTATGTCCATGTCAACGGTTTCCGAGAATAATATCCCCACTATTCGGGGTGGCCATGAACAAGCCCGTCCACGAATTACACAGCCTCTGGAATACTCAGGGAGTCTGGATCTATATTTTCATCAGGACCTCACCCCTGTGATCGGTACAGAATATAAGGGAATTCAAGTTGCAGAAATTCTGCAATCGAAGCAAAGTGACCAGATTATCAAGGACTTGGCAGTATCTAGTATGTTGGGTTTCTCACTTTATTCCTCTATTTGCAGACTTATTCTGACGTTGTTAGTTTCAAAACGGGGAGTTATATTTTTGCGCAATCAAGATGTGACACCACACCAAATGCGGGAATTTGGGGAGAAACTAACCCTTCTCGCAGGATGCGTAGGTTGCATATTTCCCTTTTGGCATAGTTGCCCAAGTCTTCAGCTCTTGTATTTAATGGAGCCCTAGACTGACCACTCAATGACAGCCCGAGTCATCAGGTCTCCATGTCCATCCTCTGACGGAAGAGGGAAGTGAGCTTGGGGATCAAATTAGCATCATCAGCAGCGAGAAGCAGAAGAGGGGAGGCGGTCTCACACGTCAGCTCAGTGACACTAGCCGATTTTCTTCAGTAGGGTGGCATACCGACATTAGTTTTGAGCTCGTCCCATCTGACTACGCTATGCTCAAAATTCACACTCTCCCTCAGACAGGAGGAGACACTCTCTGGGCTTCAGGTTACGAGATATATGATAGGCTATCGCCGGAAATGGCTGCATTCCTGGAATTGTTGACAGCCACACATGACGCTACCTTTTTCCATGATGAGGCGCGGAGATTGGGTAACCCATTGCGAAGGGGAGCCAGAGGGTCGCCCCTGAACTACGGCGAGAAGCTGACTGCAACTCACCCCGTCATCAGAACTAATCGTATGTTACTTTTCTCCTCTTTTACCAAAGGTCTCTGCCTGTCCTTCCCTAAGACGCTAACTGGGCAATAGCCGTGACGGGTTGGAAGTCTGTATACGTAAACAAAGGATTTACCAAACGCATCAACGGCGTTACAAAAGACGAGTCAGATGTGCTCCTCAGTTATCTGTTCAATGTAAGTTGTTCAGCGCACCCAGCGAGCGGCCTTGGTACTAACCATTCGTAGCTTGTGACCCAAAATCATGACGCCCAAGTTCGATTCAAATGGGAAAAAAACGACATGGCAATCTGGGATAACAGGTCCACCTGGCATTGCGCTACATACGACTATGTCGAGGCCCGGGCTGGCGATCGGGTTTGCAGTTTAGGAGAAGCTCCTTATTTAGATCTCCAGTCTACATCGAGAAGGCACGCCCTGCGGGGAGCTTAAACGCATAATTTCACGCGCTTTACGACAAGAGCAGCAGTAGTACGGATCACATGTTTCTGCAAATGCATTCGAACCTAGTTAATGTTGACATTTATTATACAAGAGAATTAACCTGTATGTTTAGATGAAATAATAATTCTTAGATAATAATTCCGTAGACTGTCTATGGATTGGTGCTGCAGCCAGCAGTCCCATGAGCAACAACAAACTAAGTGAGTGTCATCATTTAACGAGCTCCAATAAACTGATGAGGGCCAAGGTGGTCCGAAAAGCCCTACTCAGCAAGACGAGTAGGGCGCGGCAAAGATGTAGAACGGTCGTCAGGCGTGCATTGGAATATGTCCAGGCTACAACCTACGACTTGCAGTCTTTCATATCCGAAGAACCTCGGCATAAAGATAATAAACTTGACTAGTTATAATAATAATAACACCGCACACCAGTCTTGCGAATTACCGAAACTAGATGGCTGGAAATTAAGGTTATCCAGAGTTTCTAATTTCCAAAGCTATTGCCGGTTTCCTGTCGAGCTCTACGAAGCCGCCAAGGAGCAGAAGCAACAGATTTCTTGCTGGGTAAACCTAGCTATACAGGAATATTCAGTCTCTATTGCATCTCTATATTGCTAAGGGTCATCATCCAGTCCAACCAGTAGAGGTGACTTGGATATTAATATTATTCTTGGCTGTGCCGGTAGTATGTCTGCACTATAGTGTAGGTACACCGCAGCCATGCAGTAGATTTCATTAACTGCGAGCAGATTTGCTCCCATTTTGTTGGTATCAGAGAATCTAGGAGAGACAGACAATATCCACCCGCGCAAATTCTCGCCACTCTCGAGCAAGGCATTTGCCAAACTGACCTACGAAGGCTTTGTTTCCGTTGCAATTCATTGAACTTTTCATACGATGCATCATAATCAAGTTCATAATAGTTACTAGCAATATTTAACTGAACGATCGGCCTCTGGCACCCACCAATTATGTCCACAGTTTTTCAGCTTAGAACCTGCAGCCTGCTCCACAATAGTATCGCTCTAGGCAGTAGATTTGGTCTCCGTAACGACTGAAGTATGACCTTCAGCATGGGCATTGCACTTCTTGGTAATTCTGAAACCACCCAGAAGAAGGAAGAGCGCCTCCAGACCAAAGATTACCACAAGCGCAACCATAGCACCAATAACGCCTGCCACAGGCCTGGACATACCACCATTGCTCTTCGAGCCAGATCCTGCATAGCCTGAGCCCGAGTTAGAAGAGGAAACTGACGCGCACTTGCCATCGCTATTACCGCATGCTTTACACCACTCTTCGTTAGAAATAACAGCGATTTTCTTCGTCTCTGCCGCGAACATAGACCAGGGAATAGTGTTGCTCGTCTGTCCGTACAGAGGGTACTCCCGAGGATGGCCTGAGCCGGTGGCTGTTCCGTTGTGGAAGATAAAACGGACGTTGATCTCGGACGCATCTGGGAATCTGTCGGTGGTCGAGTTGGTGACTAGTTCCCAGGCCATGGAAGAAGCGTAGTCTGGGATTCCGGTGAAGTTAACGTTTGCTGTCGGCAGTTCGGCCAGCCCGAAGTACGAGAGAAATGTTCCGTAGGAGCCGAATTGAATATTCAATTTTTTTTGCCCTTGGCTAGTAATCGTTTCATTGAGAGCTTCAAGTATTTCTCCAGCGAGTTGCGAGCCTGCAATGGCGCGGACTGTGTCAGATGAGTTGTAGGCTAGATTATATTGCTCAATGTTGGCTAGGAGGAAGAGACGGTGCAGTTGGTCGTTTGTGAGGATGTCAGTTGTGTTGTGGATCTTGGCGAAGTTGAAATAGTCGAAAATGGTGTAGGCGCTCCTGAAACTTATATTTGACTCAGTGAATGTGCCGTTTAGTGCGTCTGAGAGGGTGTTGTAAAAGTCGTTGGTGGAATGCAGAAGGTTGTTATACAGCGGTGAGATGTAATAGTTGTTACTGCTGACTTTAGCATTTAAGCAGTCAGTCGAATCCTGCAGCCAGGAGTCATCTTCACTGTGTCTTCCATTTGAGATGAGGTTCAGGGGTATGAGCTGGTAGCCATCCAAGGGCGTCTCAATAGTTGTTCTGTTGGCCAGGGTCTGGTTAGCGGCTTTGCCAACGGGCGGGTAGAGACCCTGCAGGAAACCAATTCCTGAGTTCTGCAGAACCGTATCTGAAGGCACCGTGGCGGTGATCTGTTTCAGATTGACAACTGTATCACTGATGCCCTCAATGTGCTGCGAGGATGTCGAGTTAATGTATCGACTGTGGTAGTAGCTACCAGCCTGGTAGACCTCACTATAGCCAAGGTCGGTGAGCTGAGTGTTTCCCAGCACTTTGGGGGTGCGATCACCATGACGAGCAAAGATATAAGCTCCGAGGATCTTCTCTGCGGAAGTTACATCCGTTAAGGGAATGGCCGTTAGAGCCAGCAGGAGGCTTGACTGGAAGCTAATCTGCATTGTTTCGGAGATATTTCTCTAGCGCCTTAAACTATCAACAATTTTGGTATTGGATTATAGGAGAGTACGAAGCGGGGTTTGGGCGTCCTTGTTAAGTACTATACAAGCAGGGCGTGCAGATTGGGGCATTGTAACCATGATTCCTGCACTGGCAGAGGGGATATGCATGTGGTAGCATAGCATTACCCTTCATTCATGGGGGGTAATTGTCAAATGGTAAGATTCCACGACGGTATCACCCGGAAACGCCTTTCTCGCAACTCGTGGTGATGGATGTGCCTACAGTGGGGGTGGTCCAAAACTCGAATAGAGACGAATTGACGGAACTCGCGTGATAAGGAAAATGCATGTGTAGGGATTACGGAGTAGCTAGGTAAATTTGTTAGGTACTGTCTATTAGATGACTAGATTGCACCTCATCTCGGTGCAATGAGTCTGACTCTTGTTAACTCATCGCCAATTTTAGGAATTGAAAATATGTTTTCAACAATTATCGGTGGAGTCCGTGGAGTTGCGCTACAGGGTTTAGTTTCTGTATGAGAGACATATGTACAATATCGACCAGCTTCCTTTATCCAATATTAAATTGCGAGTGCACTGTATTTAGCAGAACTACTTAGATGACTTGAACTTGTGATGAGTTATAGTATGGCAGAAACAGGTCGTACGGTATGAATATGTGAAATTGAAATTTGCGTAAGAAGCGCCTAGAAGCCTTCATCAATTTCTAAGTAAATTATTACTTTCTCCGTCCCCCACCTTCCTTCCGACCGACATCTTCGTGAATTTTGTTCAACATAACACCCAATGCTCTTATTGTATTGTTTAACGCCCATCGGATCCGCCGTGCCCCCACCTTGGCCTATATGTTAATTAGGAGGTGGAGCATGCGGACTACCCTCACTACCACTACTAATAATTGGATTGCAACACCCAACAACGATAGTAAGAGGTAAACAATATTTGTGAGCACCCCACTTTTGAAAACTAGTGAGTGGATGGGTACTGTGGGCTTCACACTCTTCAGGCGTAGAGCAGACCATCTCAAATGCAGTTGTCTCTAGAATATAGAGTATTTGGAAGTCATCTAAGCAACATGTAGATTTGATGGGAAAAAAAAATTTGTAGGAGCTATCTGGATCTGAAGGTGAGGACGCATGGCCTAGCCGACAAATCCTAACAAACTTCAACGGAACAGATATCGATATCATGCCGACCGCATCCTGCATAAATTCTAAGGAAAGATATGGCCGAGGCCGGAGACTGTGGAATGGCCAGTGAAGGAAATAATCATTGAGTTGGCTGAAAATGAAGTTGAAAGTATATAACACCCGGTTAGACATTACACGGCAAGAAGGCGCTGATGTGTTCTAATAATTGTCTGTGCATCTCGAATGATTGATAGAAGCATCTCTGTTTGGAAATCGGTATCCGCCCAGGTCCGGCTAAGGGCTCTTGTTTTTGCCTGCTCTAACCGTTCCAGCAACTTTGTACTGTCCGTCTCTAGGTCTTGTAGCTGCTGAGCGGCTGCTGGTTCTAAAGCCCGGCACTGATGTTCGACAACAGATTGGCCTGGACATGAATCTTGGCAGGTAGAATTATTGGACGGCTCCACTGCCTTCATAAGATCTTGAGGATGGATTGCCCGGAAAGAACGCCCAACATATTGGTACAGTGCTATATATGCACCAACAGAGTGCTTACTTATCTGTTTGTCAAAGAGCGGCTTTATTGAAGGATCATCGATTTGCCATGCATACGGCGCGTATTCGTCACCAGCTTTAAGACGTACTTCAGACGGCTTGACCTGGATTCCTAGGCTTTCTCCTGCCAAACATTTGTCAGCATTCATTGCATTTAGTCAACTTTTGGTCGTACCGATATGTCGTGACAAACGGTTGCGACATATTGACCGCCATTCCCTTCGTTTCCGATTTCCATTTCCAGTACGGGAGAGGGTTACCCTTGGCCGGACATCTGGACATGTTGTATCGGACTCGACCAGTTCTCCACGCTCCTCTCCCTGAGAGATTATTTTGCTGGGGGGAGTTCGTATTTGCGTACAGTTTATCTGCTTCTCTAAAACTTGGGGTCCAAATTTCTTGCAGTCAACGTCAAGATTCTGAGACCCATCGAGGTCCCTTAGAGTCTCCAGCAGGGCGTCGATTTTCATAGCGCGATTCACGGCCTGATGCATGTACTGTATAGCGAAGTAATCTAGATAAATGAGTGACCACAATGGCACAAATCTTGGGATTTCGAGATCGAGGACCATAAAGGTCACGTGTATTCACCTTGCTTACTTCGTAGTACGTCCGGCAGCGTCGTCGAAATCCTGCTGCCTAAAGGCTACAGGGGAGAGACGCTTCTGCTTCAGACGCCGACTGTCTCAGCAGACGGGTTTTAGGCCAATGATCAGCTTCGTATACATGACTAGCGGGGCAGGAGAACTCGAAGTAGGGCGATCAGCGTGCACCGCCCCAGTAGCTGAGTGCTAGTGCCAGGGAGCACCAGGGAGCACCAGGCATCTAAACCGCACACACGCTAGTCGCGGCAGGGCCCGGTCGGGAGCACCAGGGAGCACCTTTAGAGGCACCCACCGGGGTATTGACCGCACACAAGCCACACGCCGGCCGGTTAGTAGTTGGGTGGGTGACCACCAGCGAATCCCGGCTGTTGTATGTTATATTTTTCAATTATTATTTTTGTTTTTTGCCTTTATAGTAACTAATGTGTCTAACTACATTGAAACTAATCTTTTCCCGCGGGAGTCATTAATGGAATTTATGTAACAACCTACGTATTCACCAGGTAAGTGTGTAACTGACTTGGTGAGCTCATCGCAGCTAACCTCGACTCCTCACTTTCCTTCTCACACGCGCCCCATCATTTTCACCTTCAACTGGAATGATGCTCTTGTGAAGATTAGTATCTTTCTAGAGAATCATATATATATTGTGGGCTGAGGGTAAGCTGCTAAGTACAATATTCTAACAACCTATGAGACTCCTCAAGACGATGTTGATATTAGTGGTAACAACTCTCAAGATAGAGTGATTTTGTTTGTGACCTCAAGCGCTCAGGAATAAGTGATGTAATAATATTTCAAGGGCATCCAACACAACGATGGCTGAGCCATTGATCTTCAACCTCTCGTTTCCATCATCTCTATCTTCTATTCCTCCGCTGTCTTTACCTTTTCCTTTTTTTTACACCCTTCCTCCTCACACCCTTTCACTTCGCACTCCGATTTTTTACCCTCCAATTGCAACAGACAATAATGTTGGAACTTTACTTCGGCCGAGAGACCCTCGCGAATCTGCGTGGTCATGGGGCCCTGCCCTTGGAAGTACTGCTCCTGTCCGCAGGGGACCAGTGTCACAACTTCTCCTAATAAAGTGAAAAGCTGTGATTGTGCACACCCTATGCTGACCACGAAGAATATGGCAAGTTCCTCTCACTGTTGATATATGTTGCGTCGAATTTTGCTACCAGGGACTTGAAGATCTCATCGCTAGGCTTACCTAGAATCCTGGCGTCGAGTCTAAGCCACTTGATCGCCCGGATTTTGGGGTGGATTAGTACAACTAAACGGACGATATGTTTTAGAATAATGGTAGCATTTCTACTAATAAGATGCATCCTCTTTGGTCCCTACCCTATGCCCTTTTACGTAAAGAGTACGTGTGGTGTGTCAAGGCTGATATGATGATCGAGACACCTCCGATGAAGTTGACAAGAACAACAAGGTTTTTAAAGTCGCCATTTATAAGCATCTTGTGTTTTCGAAGTAATGCTCTTCTTAATTCTTTGTTGTCATAGTCGCCAAGGTTAACTGTAGATATAAGATTTGCTGCGGGACCCGACATATTGCAATAGTTAGATTGGAATTTAACGAAGGATGAAGAACGAAGGTAGGAGAAATACTGCTTTATATGGGCGTATCTCTAATAATTATCTGCTCCTTTATGCCCTTGTCATAAAGTGACTTGTGGTAGTCGGATACAGAATATTCACGCACCTAAATCCATCACCTGAAGGCGCGGAACATCGGCGGCAAAAACAGCAAGGATAAATACGCTGGAAGTGGTGAGCACCGACAATTACATGCTGTTGTATAATTTTACCTTTTTATTTTGTTTTGGGGGGGGGGACGTTCGTTTTTTCTCACAGTACGTCAAGTGTGTACGTTTGATGAGGCAGTCTTCTTGGGAGACTTAGTCTTAGGCCTCGCCAAGTTGTAGTGTAAGCGGTTGTTTTAGTTGTGCCGACTTTGCGTAGACTTGGGTCGTTCCTTGAGAGAATACAGTGCCTGCCAAGTTCGTCAAGACGTTGCTTGAATTTTCTCCCTACAGCACGTCGTTCCAACATCGTAGTGGCTCTCTTGACTCCCAGCAAAGAAACAGCATATGCCCCGATAAATGCACGACGATATCTCAGAGCATGGAAGGCGGCTGTCTTCTAGATAAATGAATTCGACATTGCCTTTTACCGTATTCATTTTTTTTTTTTTTTTTCTTGCCCCATTTTATGATGTCGAAATCACTCTAACTGGTGGAACCATCTATGTTTGGATCGTCAAAAAGTCAACCTTTATTTTAATAAAGCTCCGTAGCTCTCTAGTTAGTTCGGCTCTTGAGCTATCACGAAGCACCTTGATAGGATCCTTTCAGTATCTTTTAACATGAATAATACCGTTCGGCAGAAAAACTACCATAGGCTCCAAGTGAACTCTTGCCTTTGTAATGTCGTGTATATTTCCAACGGTATCCATTTTAGATTTGGAATTATCGATGTTAGCAGATTTTCAGCCGTAGGTGTAGACAGACGTTTAGTTTACAGAGACTGGACAGTATCTCTTAATAATTTGGATAGTGAAGAATCAGCTGAAGAATGGGCACGAAACAAGAACCGTATTGGAAGATGAAGGGGAGACCTTTACTACAGTATGCTATGATATTACCAGTCAGCCTATACTATGCATATATGCCATGCACAACCTATTCACAGGAGTTTATGGGAGTGTGTCAAGAAGTGAAAAGGAAGAGTAAATACCCTCCGCCTGTTGGAGCCACGAACAAGCATGCCGTGAATCTAGTTGTCATTAGTACGGATTTCAATTGACCTCGCATTTATTGGTAACTCACACTTTGAAGCAGGAAATATCTGTGCAAGTAGCTTTGCTCCAATCTTGCAGATCTTTCGTGTGCTCTTCGATTGGCTGGCGTGTTCTAGACATCTCTCTGCTTTTTGGTTGGTTAAGAGCTGGTATTAGGGCTCTTCGGGTGGCTTTTCGCCAGAACTCTTATTACCTCAAGTTACCTCCGTCTTGTGTTGTCTGCTTGAATATGAACATTGGAAATTCTGCGTGCCTGCCACTTTGTCTAGAACACTCCGTGCTTGTGAAACGGCGTTTGGTATACAATGTTGAGTTCACTATACCTGTGGTGACAGCTCTGATTACTTGGTTATGTCTGAACTGTGTATGTTGAAAAGTTACTTGGGGACTACATGCAGCCTACTACCGCGAAAAGCCTGAATACATCTATCATTCCCCTAGGACGAGTGGCTGGTTTAATTAAGTCAATCAACCAACTTAATCTAATCCCACCTTATAATGTTCAATTTCACAATCGATAAAACACTAAGGTCAGGATATACAATTCTGTGGTTTCACTGCTATTCAATTAGGCAGTATTGCTCATAACGTTTAATAGTTACTATCTCGGCGAACATATAATTTAGCTGGAATTTAGCATAACGCTCTACTGGCCAAGATTCACCTCCTCGCCGCTAACATAATCATTCTCCCCGTGAGGGAGGTCCTCCTTTCCATGAGGGAGGTCATCTTTTCCATGAGGGAGGTCATCTTTTCCATGAGGGAGGTCATCTTTTCCATGAGGGAGGTCATCCTTTCCATGGGGTAGGTCATCTTGCCCCTGGCCCTGAGGAACTGGACTTCTCTTATAGTTCCCCATGGCCCAGTCAGTGCCATTGCTTCCCTTTCCATGACCACTATTTCCGTGGCCATCATTTCGGTGGCTGTCGCCTTTTCCTTTATCCTCATCTTGCTCGCAGTAGTCTTCGTCACCATGACTAGCTTTGCTGGGCCCTCCCTCCGGGGCGTCATCCCGAATGTGAATACCGCCAGGCGCAGTAGCATCGCGAGGCGGAAGCCCATGAATACCACCGGGGAGGATCACGTCGCGAACAGAAAGATTTTGATTGCCTTTCAAGAGCAAAACCAGTCAGTAAAATAGCTTCTGAGTAGATGTTTTACGTACCGGAATCAACAGGTGCGGCTGAAACTAGGCCAGCGGCGACTATAGCAGAGAGAAGTGCAGACACCTTCATTTTGCTGTTTCAATATGGATCAGAATAGCTAGAAAGAGAAGCCAGTGTGATGCTGAGAATTGCAATTTATCGAGTCGGTGAGTCTTGGATTAAGCATCTCAGAGCCCTCTTTATACCTGAGTTTCATCCGAATTCGTAAGCATTGGGTCTGTATACGCGTCATCCCTATACATCACTGCTAACACTGCCTAGTTGCCTTCCTTAGATGCTACGTGGATATTCATTCAACTGCACCTGGGCCTGCTTAGCGTAACGTTGGAAAGGCATGGAAGCTAATTGTCTGGTACTATATCCAAAGGCAGCGACGATCAAGTATTCGACGCGCTTTTTAGGAAGTTATGGTTGCCGACGAGAATGTGTACGTGGCTTTGTATGTCTGACGTCCTACAACTGTACCACAGCTACAATCATAGGAAAATCTTATCCACATCTGAATACACTGAGAGGCGCAGACAACGCAAGGGATAGATTCTATACTTATTTTTCACAAGGGTCATCTTGCGGATGGATCATAGCTAAACTGAACTATTTGACTAGTAGGTCAATTTAGAGGTACACATCTAATTAACAATATAAATCAATGTGCCTTACAGCCCTTCAACCGAGCATGTAATATCAGTTAAGGCGCGCGTGTTATGCAAGGTATTGATGATACATGCTAATGTACAACATCAGGGCAACAAGTTGGGTCATACATCTTGCCCCTTGCATGAGTTTCCGACTTTCATAAGATGTAAGACACATTCTTCTATCCCAGTTGCCTAAACACTAACTAATATGAAGGAGGTGGCTTAGTAAATGTCCACTGCGTCTTTCTGCGTTGCTCGCTATTGATATGATTCCTATATATCTTTGTTCCAACCGAGCAAACTACCAAGACTTCCAGACCGTGTCGCCTATTATTTACGATGAAGATACCGAACTGGACCGACCTGCTGTGCTAAACGTCGGCTTGCGAAATTCTGGTTATTCTTCCGTATCCATCACCATTTCTTATTTAAGTCATCATGTGCCCGGTAGTATTCTTATGCTCTGCGTAGAACGCCACTGTCAAAAAAGGAACTTCACGTGTTATGACTATTGTCGCGAATAGAATTAGCAGTGTAGAAGTAGGTAGGGGAGGAAAAGAAGCAAACTTAGATTAACACACTATTATTTACTTATTTTTCTTCTTTCCTGTTCTGCTTACTGTATTAAAGCTGCTGCATAGTAAAATTTACTGGACTATTTACCCCAAGGCTCGCTAGAACACGATAGTCATATTCCATTTAACACAATAAATACATATATGCGCTAATTAAATGTCCTAAATATTCTTTCTTGCCCTGTTCAATGTTTGAGCTTAATTGCTTGATCGAGTGGCTCCTAGCCAGAGAAAATTGAAACCCTTTCTCTCCGCCACTGAAGTATAAATCTCGAAACTTTTCAAGTTGTTTTCCCATCTTATAAAACTTGAAGAATTGCTTAGATAATTAGATATGTTCTGACCATGTTAACTCTAGCTTTCTGGCTCTTTATCTTTCTGATAATAGGTCTATAATAGACTGACTGCCTATCTTATCTGGGCTCAAACCGTGAGCTTCCATAGTTAATAATAGCCAGTTGCCAGAATACAAGTTAGATCCACTTCAAGCTGAAAGTTTTCTTCAGTATCCTAAGAACAAATACTTACAGCACATGGATTGGCAGGTTGGACTTAATAACTTACTATTCGCTTTTAGGCTTTGCAAAATGGAACGCCTCCTCGACATCACAATCTGATATTCTGGCAGAAATTACTTTGATCTTTCGAGTTTGTTGAGCTACTCCATGAATGAATGGTTTTGATCCAAGATAAATATAGAAAGAAAGTTCAAGCGAAGAAAGGATGGTAGGTAGAAGGAAGAAAGACCTCAGCCGGAGAAGGATAGATACAAATTAAATAGTACAAAAATAGTGAAAACAAACGGAGAATTGATATGGCAGGAAAGAGAATACTAAAAAGGGATCCATTGGAAAGACGCTGTCATCATTAGCTACTGTCTACGAAACTATAAAAGAAGGTAGTGAAATGTCCATCTCTGAGCAGATGGAAAGGAGAAGGAGAATTGAAAATAATATAGAAAAATTTACTTGAGCTCTAAATGTAACATAGTGGTTCTAACCAGACTGCATAAAACGACTCCTTTTTGTAATAGACATCCCAACTAAGTATCTTAATATCCAATATATCCCACGCTGAAAGAAACCACAACAAACTCTCCTGGAAACAAATGTATACAAAATCAAGAACCCCATTTAAACCACATTCGATCTACCCACTCCTCTTCGTCCAGAGAGAAAAAATGAACACCCGATGACCGCCAAAGAGAACGCAAAGTCGATAAACATAAAGGCTGAGTCTGCCTTGGCGGAGGTACATCGGCTCTTGAGATTATTTGGATGGTCATTGTTGTAGCATCTCTGTTCGTCTTTGACAGTGACGCAGCCGCCACTGAGGATCTGGTTGTTCCAGATGGTATACTTGTCTTCACAGTTGGTTCCCTTGAGGATGACTGCGAAGGCCTGGTGAAGTCAGCATCAGATCAGACTGAAAGACTACCGGTATGAAAGGTATAGTGACGTACAATCCCACCAGCCAGGAAAGCAAGGCTGGCCAGCCCATCCAAGATCCAAGTGATTAGGCCGTCCAGGGAAGACACAAATAAAGCAGCGATGCCAACTAGTGAAGCCACAATCCCCAGGGCTCCTGTGAATCCAGCGTATCCTGTTATGGCGGGCGCGGAGCCAATGGCTTGACCCTTTGCGAGCGTCACGGACAACCCGAGGACAATAGTGGCAAAGATAATCTAAGACAGTCAGCAAGGGAGAAATTGTACCTGAAATGTGGCCTTCTCTTACCTGGAATACACGCACAACAACAGTGATGACCTGCATTATGAGCTGGTTTTATTGCGAATGTATGCCCGCACTCAGTTTATTCTATGTGTGTAGTTTTGCTCCAAAACGCAGGAAGTCCTCGAAAGAACGGGAAAGGTTTGTTGGTTTTATTAGACAGGTCATAACGAGGCAGAATGTGGATTGCGTCAATTCCTTCACAGTCAGTGAATACGAGCAATCAACTTCAGACAACCAAGAGTTGGACCCCAGTCAGGACATGAGGATAGTGATCGATGCGTTTCATATTATTTGGCCCCTTCGTATCTCCCGCCGTCAAAGCCTCATCTTAACTGAGCCATTGAGGTGATGCGGGAAATTAAAGCAATTTCGATCCACATGTAAATGGTCTCTTGGTTAATTGCAGCTCTTGAGATAGAAGGAATCATGCAATAATAACTGCGCCGGATGTACAAAATATAGTAAATGAGGGTCGTCGTGATAGAGGAGCAATCGCTCAAACGTGGCCTCTCTGGCCCACAAGGCTGTGCTAGGCTTTCCCTTTATCTGCCCCAAATACTGCCTTGAAGTAGTCCGCTAGGGTTTCATCATGATGACTGTGCAGAATAATGACCTATCCCAATGTGGGCATTCTGTCGCAACCTTGGATGTGTACAGCCATGGAGCAAAGCCCGTAAGATTAAAAGGTGACTATCGGCTGAGGACAGAGAATAGTACAGTCATTCTTGAATTTGCAATTTCAGCTATACGTCCACAGTTATGTATATACATATACGAGAACAGATTCCTGTGAATGATCGATTAGGTCAACCGATCAGGTGCGATATCCCGATGCTCTCATCCAAACATCTACAATTTTCGAACCGTCATCCAAACTCGAGTCTACAATCCAGTACCATCCATACATTGCGCCGGTGATACAGGCATGGTTGGGATAGATGCGAACCGCTTGGGATATCTCAAGCGGGATCTTTGGGATCTCATCGCTCTCCATCTCCCACGAGACGATCGAGTGCTCTTGACTGATGCGTCCGACAATCAGACGAGGCGTAGCAGTTGCCCTTCGCCAATTTCCGACCACCCCCCATCCTGAGTAACTGTGACAAGGTTCTCGACCTAGAGCCAATGTCCCCGCCGCAAGGAGCGCTTCAGGTCGGGATCGCTCGCCGTCATTGTACAAGCTGCACACCTCTGCAATGACGGAGATGGCAATTTCCTCCTCGGGATTACCTCTGGCGTCCGCGTTGGTCTCCAGCTGCTGCATATCCAGCACCGCATAATTGCCGGCGTGGAGCTCAATCTCCAGGTCTGTGCTGGGAAGTGGACAGCGCAACAAGTCCTTCAAGGCCTTTGTCTCTGGGGTTGGTTTCCTCTCTTGTACTAGATTCTGCATGGCAGCTGCCTGAGGGGTTGCTCCGACACTAAGAACCAGCTTCCTATGCGGCAACAGATGCTGATGATGCTGCACGGCGTCCCTGCACCCGATGATTTCCGACGTCAAGTGGGCCATCGCCTGTTGTGGTGTGGTTCCTGAATAACTCAAGCTACTGTGCGAATACACTCCCAAGAGCCGAGCGAATCCCAATTTCTCTGCATCTGCAAGCTTCTCCAGTAAGCCGTTCTTGTTTAATGCAATCGGTGGCAGTCCCGCGCGATGATACCCCGTATCCACCTTGAGGAAGACACACGCTGGAAAGTGAGTGATTGCAGAAAACCTCTCCAGATAAGACAATTGGTCTGGGTGGTCGATCATCACGGAAATGCTACCTTCACCCAATTCACAAGCCAGTTGCGCCAACCGCGGAACCTGCGACGGCACAAGTGGGATGCCATAAAGGACATTGATTCGACGGCCTTTGGCCTTGAAATCCTTCAACAGGACAACCAGATGCTCGATCTCGTTCACCGTTGATGCGACCAAATTGACGTCGGTATTTTCCTCTCCCATCTGCAATTGGGTGACTTGCCATGTCTGAATGGTGAGCTATCGATCGGCATTTATTCAGGTCGAGTTATGGCTTATTGGCTTACCTTGTGTGTCTTGACATGTGCTCGGAACCCGACATTTAATGCCTTCATCGCACGACGCATCTTGTCGCAGTTGCGTCGGAGGATCGCCGCATCAAGGACGGCACATGGCCTGGGCAGATTTGCGATGTCTTTGCCGATGTAAAGGGCTTTCAGATCCTCTTCTGAGAGATGTCCGGTTGCCATGGTTCTATTTGATTCCTAGAACAGGCTATAATTTCTGAATCATGCCAGTCCGATGAAAGATTGGGTGTGAGAGTCCTCGAAATGGAGTGGAGTCAACGCCAGATCCAGTACCCTAAATAATCAAATCCCCGGAGCAGATCTCGTTCCCGCGGATGAGGGAAGTGACTATGGGGAATTCATCAGGCTTTAGGATCACTATCTCGCCAGGGCTGATATATCTAATACTGCTTGAAGATCCCGCAGCATATAAGCTACGTATTGATTCACCGGACCCGCCGGTAGAACCGCCGGCTGATCTTTCAACCGGACAACAGGCTATTTATTCAGTAAACAACACATAGAACTGTATATAGATTTGATCACTATGGAGGGTCTCATTCACATGCCAAGTGTTAGAAATGAGTCATAATATTCAACAGAGTCAAAGTTTCACGTACCACCAGCATAGGTATATTGAATAGCAAGGTGAATATTGAGTCTGAACATACTGCAAATAGCAATCAATGAATCAGAATACTCCTGCAACAAGGTGAATCCAGTAGTCAGGATACAGTATATATAGGACCGCTTCCCCCCTTTATGACCACCTCGGGACGGTTTCCTTTAGGATTATATTTCTACATAATACAATCCTATCATTCTCTATTTAATATAATTGCACGAGGCTTTACTAGAGTATGTTTCCTGCTCAGTTTTCATAAAAAGTTTGATATCACTATAGCTCATACGGGTAATAGGATCGCAATTACATCCACTCTGCGCATGAGGAGGGACGCTTCTGAAGAAGGATTTCGGAAATGGATCCTGTATGCCGTAACCCGGAGGGATGAGCTATTGCTAAGGCTCCCGGCTTCTATGATACTACTAAATTACGGCTCACTAAGAGCCTAGGTTTTCAGCTGTTGAATGGTTCTTTCATAGGAGCTATTAGCGCTGATTTGGGATAGAATGTGATATTATACCACATATCTAGTGGACGAGATCTACGCCGCTGCCGAAGAACGCAATGCTGCCAACGATTGTGCCGGAACAGACAGGGCCGGAGAGCGTATTTTGAACACGATCCCCCGCTAGGAACTGGCATCATGGCGGTGATCCAAGAAGACCACTATGCGAGAGAGAGGCACGAGATGTAACTTACTGCGAGGTTGCGTGCATATGAAGATTTAGGCACTTGAAAAGTTACTCGGCTACCTAAAACCCATGGGCTCTAGGAGAGCACTAATTTTGGTATTTCATGTATTTTTCTATATTGACATGGAACCTACCTAACCAGCCACCACATATGAGTTGCTATTAGGCATCCTGGATATGCCGAGTCCGTATGACTTGTGACTTTGGAGCGGGTGACCTCATCCGGCGTCGCGACAACACTGAGTGCATGAATAAGTTGCCGCTATTCGACAACGTCGATGACTTCTTGAAGTTCTCCATCAACGTCAAAGAGAAGGAAACAAGTCACCCATCGACGGCGCCGTCTCCGCCTCGATGGTCGTTCCAACCCCTGAGCAACAGCTAACGAGTAGCGAATTTCCTTGGGGCCACCGCATTATTTAATGGTCCTGATGATTACACGGCGTTGTTTGCCCTTTCGAATGAGTATTATAATCGCGTTATTAATAGCTAAAATTACCTAGTGCGTGATCGGATGTCAGGGGCCTATCCAACCAAAACAAAATCGGTGATACTTTCATGAGGTGATAACGCCGGCCCAGTCATACCACTCACTTTCAGAGCTGGGTGTCGTTCGCGTATTCGAAGTAGGGGCCATCTTTGGCGGTTCACTATCATTAATTGCGATTCGGATGGGACTTCAATAATAGATATCATAAGTATGCTACTACACTGCATTGCAGTCTTGGTCTTCGTGTTAGCGCGGAGACGATCGGGAGGCACCCTGTAGATAGGAACCGATCGCTATCCGAATGATAAACGCACATAAATCACTAGCGAAAGGCAGATGAAATATGTATCGATTTCTAAGTATACTCTGATACTGTACAGGCGAGTACACCATAGACCGTTGATCCCATCCCATATCCGTCAATTCGATTCGACTACAGCTCATGCAAAACACTGCAACCATTAGCGACCGTCAAAACAGCCAGATGAATAAAATCAGAACTACTTACCTCTCATCCCGAGCCTGCGGGTCATTCGGACACACACTCTCCATAAACCTATTCACCTCTTCCTTCACCAGGGGAACCATCCTGGCAGCAGCAGCCGGCATCTTATGACACCGGCGCTGCACCAGATCATTATACGCCTTGAAGGGACCGACCATCTCGTTCACTCCCGTGTGCAGCACGCAGTCGCGAAACTCGGTGAAGTCATCATCGCACAGCGACTTGGACGCCCATTTCTTCTTGATACAAAAATCCCAGACGAGGTTGAAGAGTTTCTCCGGCACGTAGGACTCGCGCAACTCGAAGCCCACGCCTTTCAGCTGTAGGATGGCCCAGTTGTAGTTGTGGTTCTCGGATTTTTGAAGCAATTCGTAGTTGATGCGCTCGGGGCCACACTGGTTGCAGACCTTTTTGACGAGGTCGCTGGCGATCGGGGCGATGATGTTGTGTGTTGCCTGCACGTGGGTCGCGCAAGGTTCGCCGAATATACGTTGATAATCGGGTTGAAAGGCGGCGAGGATGGGAGAGACGCAGAGGAAAGGGAGGAGCAGGTAGCGGGTAATCGACGGCATGGTGAGGTCTGGATAGGTGAATTCGACGCAGTCGAGGAGCAAGAAGTGAGAGAGGGGAGAAACGAGGGTCGAAGGAATTCAAAATGAAGATCGCCAGTGTTTCTTGGTTGGGCCTCTGACCTGGCCTCAGGCAGCCAATCAATGCAGCGCGACGATACCCGCCCTGTCCCGTCTAGAGATAACCGTTTCAGCCTTATATGCACTGGCTAATTATACGGTGTGCTGTCTTGCTCAACTCTTTGGATTAGCAATTATTCGTATAGTTAGTCTGCTATGTAGATAGTAACGCCGAACAACTAATAATAGAAGGCCATGCATTCATTCTATAGTAACCTAGTCACCACTAGAGCAGCCCCAAGCTGGGTGTAATGTAGGTTCATGTTATAATAATCCTTTATGGAGAATGCTAACTAGGTACATGATATAGTGCCCACATTAGTGATGGTGGCAGAAACGTAGTAGTTGCATCTTGAGGGGATTTGTCTTACTACGCCCTCTTAATTACTGTACTGTATACCTTCTCTACAACCCCTTGAGCTAATCTTTTAATGTAAGCGGAAAATTGAGCAGCAAACATCAGTGGCATTTTTTTGAGCTTGTTTCCCAACATTATAGTTGAAGGTCTTCCTCGGTATCATGTGCACGATCAAACTGTCAACTGCTCTGCCTTGCTTGGCAAGTAATTGTAGCACTGAGTTTTCATTTCCGTCCGGGGCAAAGGTGTGCCGGAATGTGAGCAGTCGGGCTATCCCGGGGAAGGCCCTCAGGAACAAATGGTTGGTCCTGTGGTGCGAGATACTCGGCTATCTTGAGAAGAATCTCCACCGGAAGGTTGCATTTATCGGGTGTGCCTATTGTTGCTGGATGAAACGGAGGCAGGAGAGATGAGGGGAGATGGGGGGACCCGGAAATTTATGACATTTCCGTCTTCTGTTTTCTGCTTCGACTAGTTGTCTTCGGCCAAACCACCAAGAACAAGCCGAATGAACATGGTAGTCGTGACTCACGAAGCCTGGCGCTGCTAGCTAAGGTATACTCGGGACGCCGCCTGGTGGTCCAGCTGGCGGTCTTATCTCAAGCACTTCACTACGATGAGATCGAAGTTGGCAATGTGAAAGGCCTTGTTCATTGCAGCCCCGGCCTCTTACTGGTATCTGAAGGCGTTCACAATCGCCAGTACAACCAAACAGCTAGGCTACATTGTCTTAATAACATATGGCCTCCATGGTCGGTCTTGAAAAAGCGCCCCTTGAGAAACAAACAGAACATGTAGTTTTGCTAAAAGCCAACTTGTACGGGTCATTGGGATGCTGGCTATCAATGGACTACAGAAGATTGCCCAACAGGAAACTGTCTCCGCAGTCGTGGTGAGTCTTTCTGCAGTCTTGTTCTCATTTGCAAAAAAAAAAAAGGCGGCTAATATAAACTCCACTCAACGGTAACGACATATGTACTGGCGATGAGTAGCCCATCTATTACTGAAAGCAATCCCATGGAACTCTTGCTCCAGGGTAGTATTATAGATACCGAAGGCTACATCACAAATGCTAAAATTAACAATATACTTAGCCTGTACCAGCGTATTAAAAGCTGGCATAATTAAAGCCTCCAGAAATCTTAGTTTATAATCATTAGAAAGGCTTCAACTTCGCCAGTAAAATTAATTAGGTTGTCGATCTACAGAAGTTCGGTGATGATACTTCATGTGATAGTAAATGCACCGACTATAATATCATGCCCGTAGCTTCTAACGAGGAAAAGATTTCGGACACGCGTCCTACAGAACCTTGAAGCTATTAAAGCCTGCTCGGCCCAGTATATCCTCGAAGTTCTCCAGAAGAACCCAACTAATATACTGGCCTGGTATAGCTCCCACATGGAAGATTGCTACGACAAGAACTTTGATCGCTATGCCGATGCTGTCATGGACAGCAGTACCAAGGCTGTCGAGAACTTAATGCTCGCAAATGGAGACAAATAATACTTCATCTGTATTGTAACCGAGACTGTCCTCTGTAAGTATTACAATTCTCTCTATACCAGGAAGGCAGACCGCGACATCAACTCCCGTTGCTGCGAAAAGTACAACTATATTCTGGACTTTATATATGATAACTTGGAGGTAGTTAGCCAAGACGAAGATAGCATCTACTTTGGCAATGTCAATAACCGGGTCGATACCATAGCTCTTCCCAATATAATGATCTCCGACTCCATCAAGAAAATGGATTCTGTTATCAAGGTGGCGAAGAAGCTGAAAGAGGTGAAAGAGAAAGCTACTATCATGGCATTCTTAAGCGCCATCTTCCTCTTCGTGCTAGCTATTCGAGAGGTAGTATAGTCGCCTTACTAGTGAACATCGGCCGCATTGTTGCCCTGGGTACGGTGGGTAATATGGTTCTCGAGGTCATCAGCAAAGTCCCCCGTGACAGTGCCCTACACCATCTCAATTCTCTCTGCGTCCATGCTCTCTCAACCTGTGCAGGGAGCTACCATATGGAGCTCGTCCAGCGTGACGTGTCTCCCTCCACGGTCCACAACAGTAAACAAACCGAGATCAAAGATATACTCAACCGCAATAGCCTATGCAATCTCACTTTGACAGCTATGATACATATTTCAATCTGACATACTCCCAAGCATCTAAACAGAATTGGTTAGCCTACAACTCATCCATTAAAGAGGGGACTCGTGAGGATTCCATCAGGTTAGTATGTTTGCTCAATCAAGACAGGAACACTTCAACGCGTCTGGGCACTGGTGATCGATTTGGAAGTTACATTATACACATCTCATCTGGGGCAAATAAATGCGGATGGCTATATCCATAGAACTTCAATATAGAGTAACGGGATCCAGTTCAGAAAGTGATTGGTTGCCTCGTCCTCCAACCAGCCCAAGGATACAGTCTAAAAAGAATACAGATGCCGGCATCGCTTCGTTTCACGTTCCTTCGTTCATCGCTGACACAACTTTTATTCCTCCACCGGAGTAAACTTCAACATCAGCTTCCGTCCGACCGGCAGGGAAATAAAAGCAAAATCCTGTTCAATGCCTTCGTCGTCAATGATCGATGTCGTATAATTGGTGTATACAGCCGCCATGACCATCTTGATTTCTATCATGCCTTAGTTAGCATGACTCTCCGAATGTACCGTGTATTGTAGAAAGGAAGAGAGACATACCCTGCATCGCAAAGTTACTTCCCAGACACATTCGTCCGCCACTTCCAAAGGGCCAGAACAGCCGCCGCATATCGTGGATCTTTCCTGGTTCGGGTTCCAGCCATCGTCCGGGTCGCCATTGGTCTGACTCAGGATAGATCTCTTCGATGCGATGGAGGCTGTATGCCGAGGAACTCACCCGCACACCACCGGGGATATTGTCATAACCATCGAGCGATATGCCATTTGCAGAAGCAGGAGTGGATCGGGGTAGTGGTGCAGGAGCAGGAGAGTGCACGCGGAGGCTCTCCCGGAGGATGGCATCAAGCAGAGGGAGAGAGTCGATGGCGGATGCGGAGGGGATCTGAAGGAGATCCCCACTGGTCGGGGAGAGGAACGGATATTTTAACTGCGAACTCAGAGTGAGAAGCTCGCGACGTAGCTCGGCTTGGATATGCGGATGCCGCGAGAGCTCCCACATCATGTAGGTGAAGGTGATGCCGGTAGTTTCGTGACCGGCCACCAGGTGATCCAGCAGCTCGGAAGCAATGACTAACTCGCGCGGACGACTGTCTGAGTCTTTTTCAAGGCTGTCCCGCAGCTGATTATACACGACAGGCTTTGTGGCGACCGGCACGTCGTTTGGGTGAGCATTGTGTTCCATGCGACGACAGAGGGAGAGACACCAGGACTCGATGAAGCCGTCACGACGGTCGTCCCGGCTCATCTCCTTGAACTGTTCGTATTCGTCCAACCACTTCTGCCATTCCGGCAGCTGTGAGATATACGTCGTGCTGTTTCTGGTGCCGAATAGATACGCCGAGGTGAAGTCCATGCCCACGGCCTGGAACAAGGGCAACACATTGATGGCTTCTCCACTGGACGCGACCCGCTGCAAGGTGGGCAACAGTCGCTGCGATAGAACGATGCGCGAGATATCACGGAGATCCGTCGACTCCTGCAGAAAGGACTTGGAGTAGATTTTGCTCAGCATGCGCTTCTGGCGGGCATGTGGCTGGTTGTTCACCATGCCCACGAGATTCTCAGTGTGAAAGTTGATGAACAGGTCACTATACCACGGGTGCTTCTCGAAAGCACCTGTGTAGATGGTTTTGAGACCACTCAAGGAATTGACGCTCAAGTCGTTAGGGCCCAGTCGCACCACGGAGCCATACTTGCGATGGCAGTCGAAGATGGTGAGGACCTCCTTGCCAGCATTGCGTCTGCGTTCAATCCACGCCGACGACAGAGGCGAGGTAAAATGGGCATTGGGGATTTTGGCTAGCGGGGAGAGGAAATAAGGATGGATTACGTAGTGATAGAACAAGATGGCGACCAGAGCGGCCACCGCAATAATGGTTGGAGAGGCCATCGCACCGGGTTTCTGACGGCAATGCCGAGTCTCTGATTTCGTGTCTTTTAAGATCTGACCATTGTGATATCAGGATCTGGTATCCGCAGCTTTCCAGCACGGACTACTCCCTAAGCAGACCACGTTTGCAAGCGAAGTGGCCACGGTGACTCAATGCAAATGAATCCTGTCTTTCATTTACCCTTTCGGGGATTATCCTGAGTCGGGGATTTAATTCTCCTGTCGTGATTGCATGACAGCCCCACTGGCGCCAAGAGGTTTCAGCGCCCCAGAAAACAAAGTGCACTAAAACCGATAGCCTGGTGGAGATGCTGAAGTCTGTTAGTCACTTGAGATTAATATCATCTAATCCTCTTATTCATTATTCACCTGGCCTGCATGCCGGACAAGGACTGGACGGTCGAATTGCCCAAAAGAATTAGGGCTGCCTTCATGGTTATCATAATGCCGAATCTTCTGGTCATGCAGGCTCACTCTAGGCGCCTTCTAGCATTCTTCTAATCTTCTTCTAATTCCTCCCCCAGAGAAGACGATGAAACAGTTCCTGAAAGTCGATCTCTTCTTGTCCCTGCACACTGTTTCAACTTGTTCCCCGTCTGGATGGACTGACTCTCCTCCGGGGTCCAACTCGCTTATTATTGTCTCCAACTGACTAGCCAGTGGCGTTTGATAGTACTTCATTACATTTCGGAGACAAGCTCTATCTGAGCTTTTTAATTTTTTTTTTTCATTTTTTATTTTCATAATTTTTATTTTCTATTTTTTTTTTATCGCCCCTCCCTGATTTCTACTCCATGCTATCGGCAATTTAAGTTCTGATCCTTTCTCATTTTCTCTCATTCCTTGCATTGCCCCTCCATTTTCTGTCCCAATCCCTCGAGTCTTCATTCTCGTGGTTGAATGCGCATCTTGCGCTGGTGAGCAAAAATGTTCAACCTCAACAGCACCAAGGGTGGCACCCAGGTGTCAACCTACGGCGACGAGGCCGCCATCCCCAAGAGCCATGTGCCCGACAAGTACAGAGGTACTTCGGCAGATAAGGCCGACATGAGTGCTTTGGGTAGAGAACAAGTCCTTCGAGTACGAGAGTTCATTCCCCTTCGGCTATCCAACTAGCTAGCTGGGTTGCCCGCTGACTCCATCCAGCGTAACTTCCGATTTATTTCGATCGTTGGGTTTGGATGCACGCTGATCGCCACGTGGGAAGTGGTTCTGACGTATGTCTTGTCTTCCGTATTAACTCCTCTGTCCACGGTGGACAGCTAATTGGAATGACTACTATCCAGCCTGCTTGCACAAGGCTTGACCGATGGAGGCACCGCGGGTTTAATATGGGGCTTCCTCATCGTCGCAAGTGGATTCCTACTAGTGTTCTTGAGTTTGGCCGAGATGGCCTCGATGTATGTGTGATCGAATGCCTTAAAGATTTCGAGATAGGTGTCATGCTGAGACATTTGTTAGCGCCCCGACCTCGGGTGGTCAGTACCACTGGGTTTCGGAATTTGCACCTCCCAGTTGCCAGAAGTTCCTGAGCTACATCACCGGTATGGAAATCCGCGGAGCTGGACTTCGCATGGACTAACGGAGACAAAAGGCTGGCTGTGTGCTATGGGATGGCAATGCGCCATTGTGTCTATCACTTTTCTGGCGGGCACCATCATTCAGGGTCTGATTATCCTCAATAATGAGAACTATGATTCCCAACGGTGGCATGGCACCATGTTGGTGATTGCCATTACCACCTTTTCTATTCTCTTCAACACCTTCCTGGCAAAGAAGCTGCCCTTTGTGGAGGTGTTGATTCTCATCCTTCACGTCGTCGGATTGTTTGCCATCATCATTCCCCTCTGGGTCCTAGCACCTCGTCGCACCGCCAAGCAGGTGTTTACCGAATTCAACAACGGTGGTGGATGGAACAGCGAGGGAACGGCCACCTTGGTAGGCTTTTCGACAACCATCACCGCATTAATTGGATATGATTGCGCCGTGCATATGTGTAAGTGAAAAAACCTACTGCCGCTGACGCATTGGCATAAAACACAGGGTTAATGTAATATCTCTGCAGCCGAGGAAATTAAGGACGCCTCAGAGACGCTCCCCAAGGCCATGATCACGTCGGTGGTCGTCAACGCGGCCTCGGGCTTCGTCCTACTGGTCACGGTCTGCTTCACATTGGGCGACATAGACGATATCCTGGCATCGCCCACTGGCTACCCTTTCATCCAAGTATTCTACAATGCTACCGAGAGTCTGCCGGGAACCAACACTATGACGGCCATCCTCGTCCTCACCCTGACGGCCAGCTCCATCACCGAAGTAGCCACCGCATCCCGACAACTGTGGTCCTTTGCCCGGGACCGCGGACTGCCGTTTTCGGGATTCTTTTCCTACGTGAGTGATGCCACGTGCTACGCTATTACGTACATAAAACTGACGCCATCACAGGTTACTCCGGGCTGGAACATCCCATTCAACGCGGTGATGGTGTCCTTCGTGGTCACTGCGCTGCTCTCGCTGATTAATATCGGTTCCACAGTCGCTCTGCAGGCCATCGTGACTCTGACTACCTCCTCGCTGATGTCCTCGTACGTCGTTACGATTGGATGTCTCCTGCACAAGCGCCTGCGGGGCGAACCCTTGCCTCCCCATCGGTGGTCGCTAGGTCGATTCGGCATGGCCATCAACATCGGGGCGCTGTGTTTTCTGCTCCCCGTGTTCGTGTTTGCTTTCTTCCCTCTGACCTCGACGGTGGACAAGGAGACGATGAACTGGAACGTGGTCATGTACTGCGGCATCATCTTCATTGCCGTCACGTACTACATTTTCCGTGGCCGACACTATTACATTCCCCCGGTGGCTTTGGTGAAGCGAGAGATGTAGAGATCGGTCGGTCACTTGGTCGAGACCTTGTGTGATTATTTTTTGTTTATTATTATTTATTCTTTAATTTACTTTTGGTTCCCCCTATTAGTCTAGTACATATTAATATTCCCCCATTAACCCTATTTGGTAACGAGCGCGGAGTATTTTGCACTAACAATGGCAATGTGACCCAAGACATTAGTTCCTTCGCGTCCACGGCGAACCTTGTAACCACGCAGTGTCACTCAACAACCCCTGAAACTTCAACTTTACCGGATCCAACTGCCGACTCCAAACAGAACATGGCAATACCCTGCCGAGATGACCGGATCGTCCGGGTGGCGTCTTACTGGACGGGGAACGTCGACTGCACGGATTATGGATACAGTTCATGGCGGCCCTTCCTTACCGGCCGATGTCCGACTCTTGGCGCGGGTCTCAGCCTGCGGGTGCAACTCCGACGATATTGAACCAGTTGAATTGGCAGATCCTCGAGTGGCTGACGAGGTCAACCATGGTTTCCTGAAGGGACGGAACGTGCGGCATTTCCGGTCGGACCAATCCATGGAAGATAAAAGGCGACAGTGGAGGTGAGGTACGTGTGGTGATTCATCATTATTAATTCCATTTATACATTTTATTTACATTGCTACTAATATAATGGAGATTGTTTGTTGGATAGATTTATTAATGCTTGCTTCCAGTGTTCCATTCGTATTCAGCAGGTCTGCTCCCCAGGTCATCGGAATTGAAACCTCCAGGAGTCCTTCCCAGACATGGTGCTAAGACGCTACTGCAGCTGAGGATCGCGCGATGGATTAGTGGCAAGCTTAATGGTCTAATTGGAAGACTCCTCGTGTGAAAACGCTCAGTTGAGTTAATTGTCCGTTGCTTGGCTGGGCTGAGTGGGCCATGTGCAAATATTTTCGGGTGTCGTCGGCGAACTAAATCGACAAAACTCTATAGGAATCCTCCACCCTCCATTCCATGGTTGGTGCCTACATACTATCAGTTCTTCTTGCGGGTCCACCGATCAAGTACCACTCAGCTCCTCCTCTCCAAGCCCTGGCCCCAGCCGACAAGTCTGGTTCGATTGAACTCTGTGCGTATCCAGTGATTTGTCTGCGGGATATACCGGTGGAACTTTGATATTTACCGGTCAGCTCTCGGCTGAGGAACTGGTCTGGTCGGGGAGATGGTCCCCTAGCGTTAACATAGCTCTGGATAGTCCAATATAAGTCAATATCAGTCTTCAATTTGATTGCCTCGTCAGTTAACCTTAATATCCAGTTTCAGCCCCAACAGATGTGGTCCTGAGACATTGAAGGAATCCAACCCAATGGTCTGGTTCTGGTTCATGCAACCTCGACGTTGCCATCCATTGTGAGAGACGAGACGATTAAAAAATGCCAAACACACACACCCAGAAACACAAGAGACAGAGAGAATCTGATGGCGAAGGATCCATATCCCGACCATTATCTCTAAACCAGTTCTTTCTCTGGGGTTTCTCTCCACGTTCCTTGCATGCCCACAATTTATCTTCCTTCCCTACCCCGGGACCGATAGACAGACCTCACTCTCGATGTGAAGGATGGCCATCAAAGTACCCCCAGGCCAATTCGAGCCATACCAGACCGTCGACAGTCAACATCATGCGGGTATTATCATCATCACCTCGGCCATTTGCCTGGTAATCACGCTGGTGTGTTTATTGATCCGTCTGTACGTGCGGTTATTGTTGAGTCCGCCATTGGCATTTGACGATGTGATCCTGCTCGGCGCAACGGTATGTCCTCCCATCCCGTCCATCATATTGGAAATAAATAAATGAAGTCTGTGCTGATGTTTACAAAGCTCACAGCCATTGTGGAGTCGATTATCGTGTTTTATTCCTCATCCATTGGATTCGGCACGGCAATCTCGCTTCTCGATGAGCGGACCGTATCGAAGATTCAAAACGTTCGTTCTTACCTATCATTATTCTTTTTTCTCTCCTGGCATGTGACTCATTTCTATATGTGATCAGCATGTCGCCGCCGCCGACGTCCTGTATCTCATCACGCTGTTCCTCTCCCGGTGCTGCATAGTCGCCATCTACTCTCGTTTGACCCCGCGACGGGCTCATAAAAATATCCTGTGGGCTACCTTCGCGATCAGCACGGCGGTCATCATCGTCTCTATCTTTATCACCACAATCGATTGTTCCGTCAACAAGCCATGGGTGACGCCGGCAGAACACTGCGTGAACCTGGTATGTCTCAACCTACGAGCATGTGTCCTAGAGGAATAGAGAGAATACTAACAGATGCAGTTCCCCCGCTGGCAATTCATCACGGCCATCGACATCATCGTGGAGGTCTTTCTCTTCCTGTTCTCCATCGGACTGGTCTATGGACTCCAAATGCCTCTCAGACATAAGATTGTCATTATGATTTCTTTTGCAGCGAGATTACCGTATGTCTCCACACCAAATAGATGCGATGCATAAAAGGATGGAAATCTAATAATAACAGACTCGTCCCCTTCGAAGCCGTCCGTCTCACTTATTTCCACCGATTCATCAACTCATCCAACCCCACCTTCGATGCAATCCAACACTACCTCTGGACCCAAATCGATATGAACTACGCCCTGGTGTCGTGCACCGTGTTTTGCCTCCGTCCGTTCATGAACGCTGTCACCACCGCGTACGGCACAGCCGGCGACTCGAATCTCGAGAGTAGCGCCCGCTCCAGAAGTAACCCCTACGGTTCGGGTACAATGCACAGCTCTGGTCGACATCGCGGCGGAGACTACGCTCTGCAGAATCTCGAGGCCGGGTCATCCCACGGTCATGGTGGAGGAGGAGGTAGAGGAGGACCGTTCATTCCCCCCGGGGCCCCAGGCAGGGAGGGCGCAAATACAATGGTGACTTCTTATCAGAACGGTGGTGATCCCGGTCAGCATTCGGATCGTGATGATCGACAGAGTCTGGGTAGTGAGGGGAGTACGAAGATGATTATTAAGAAGGATGTGGAGTATACCGTGGAAAGAGAGCCTCGGGGACATGAATTATAAACAGTTGGATGAGTTTTATTTCCTTTCACGTGTATGTGTGTATATATATGATAGACGAGGATACTTAATATAAAAGTAATATAGTTATGATTATGCTATATACTCTGCTAGTTCAATAGATGAGCTCCAGAAAAATGAATCCAGCCCATATCCATATCTTCCACTGAGACTCATCCCAATGCGCAATCGGTGGACTGAGAGTCTGAGACTCCGTGCGGGGAATTCGTTCCACCAGCTTTGTGGGATGATGTATCCTCGGCGTCGCTTGGTCCAACCCCGGCAGGCTCATGCTTTATTCACGGATCACGCATGATGAAACTGTCAAACAATCGACCCGCAATAGTGGGCCTTCAAGATTTTACAGTTTACAGTTTACATGTGTCTGCGAGGTCCGCTCTTCTTTCCGTCTCACCTCAACTCCCCTATCCCACTTGGCAACTGAAACTATTATCCACCAATAGCATGAAGATCGTCATGCACGACACCGCAGGTCGTGAGCGCGTCAGTACAAAGGTAGGTCCTCCGTGGAAAAGAACCTCTGCTTTCAGGGCCTGCATGTGCTCAACTCCCTTGGGCTCGGATAAAGTGTATTATCTATTACCTCGAGGCAATCTTCGCCAGTCGGATGCATTGCACGCTATAGCAGACATCCGTTGGCTGTTCCATTAGCTGTTCCATGATGACTGCAGTATCGAGTAGGTTATCATTGTTAATGTTGTGAGGTTTGTTCTCGCCGTGTGTCATGGGTTGAGGTTGTCCCCTTCAAGGGGCTGTGTATTGCGAGAGTATCCTAACAGATCAATTTTTTCCTAGCTGCGAGCGTAAAGGAAGCATACCAGTCTGTGCCCACGACATACCCCAACCTCTCCTGCCAATTTCAGCCTCGACCGAGTCATCGGAACTCACATCGTGTACATTAGATTCGTGAGGCAGATCGATCTTATGAAGGCCTGATTCTCGTGCAGCCGTGATGACCGATGATATCAGACCCCGATACCGAGTCGACGCTCTTCTAGGTGCAAGATTACAAAGGATGTGAAGATCATGGCCTGGATCTCTTCCAATGAACCTAGAGATGCACGATGTGTATAGTCCAAAAGGTCCAGGGTGCTTTGACCCATACGCGGACGTTTCCGTTACCCCTTCTGCACTACTGCAGAATGTCATGTCTGAATCGTGCGGCATCCACAAGTACGTTGCACTAACTATTATGCTGTACAGCAGTACCACATAGCCGATCTTTAGCTGTAGCTGGTATTATATATTGACATAGGTGCCGTTCATGAATGCGCAGGTGGAACCTGGATGATATGATGGATATAGGCTTCGTCAATCGTTGAAGACAGAACGGTCGCCTGGGGTGCCCTCTGAGCTGAACTCTAAACACCGTGTCCAGAGCAGCTGCTTGGTGTGATGTCTGTGGGAAGCTGCATATTCTGAGTACAGTTTGGTCGGGCTGGATTGAATCCTGTACTCCATCAGCCACCAATTCTTCCGGACAGCATTCGGAGCAGCTACATGCCGATCCTCAACTACTTAGTGAGATGTTCCTGCCAATCACTCCTGTACAACATCCGTCTGATTGCTGACACGGCTAGAAGTGGATATAACTATTGAGCGCATCCTTCGCTATCTGGCATCCAATGGAATTATTAAGGAGATAGGATCTGAAAGATTGGTCCACAAGGATGACCAGCATTCTGGCTTTCTACCGAACCTGAGCTATCTCCAACTGTACCTTTGTACCAACATAAAGGGGTAATGAAAGGAGAACCCCAGAATTTAGTGCATGAGAGTAATGCAGCTAGGTGTCGCTCGGGGATAAATACAAACGATGAGGAATAAGATATCCATGATGGTGCTGTTATGTAGTTAATCCGCCATTATAGCGACTAGATTAATGTAATAGTGTTTATTCGTGAACAAATAAGGCCGGCTGGCCCAATGGCAAGGCGCTTGACTACGAATCAAGAGATTGCAGGTTCGATCCCTGCGTCGGTCACTCCATCTTTTTTATCTTTTTTTTGATAAACTAAGTTAGTGACGACCACTCCACTTATTGCCGAACCGGAAAGACAATTTTACGACTACAACAGACACTTTTCCCATTCTCTGTCATTGAGCTTCTCGGCCGAATCCGATACCCTATAAAGGCGGGAACTGACGAGTGTGGCACCAACGTAGCAGAAAACATCTGGTCAAGAAAAAATGTAACAAAAGATATCCATGGCATCATCCGGTCCAACGCAAAGCCCGGAAGGGCAAACACGCCTAATTAAACATTTCCAAGCGCGGTACGTCATACCTTGTCCACGGGGGTGTATTAAACGATTAACACAAATATACAGGGCAGGAGACAACTACACAGACGGCTGGTCCAAACTCTGGGACTCGGACAATAGTGATCTGTGGGATCGAGCCAAGCCGTCGCCGGCATTAATTGATATCCTCGAGGAGAGACAAGACCTTCTCAACCCTTTTACCGCAGACGGGAAGAGAAAGAAAGCTCTAGTGCCGGTAGGTATTATTTCACATCCTGGCTCGCCCTATGAAGTCCAACGTATTTTGATTATTAACCAGTTCATATGAGGACAGGGCTGCGGAAAGGGTTACGATGTCGTGATGCTCGCTCTGCACGGTTTCGACGTGTATGGGCTGGACGTCTCAGAGACTGGAGTCTCCACTGCAAGGGAATATGCCCGGTTTGAACTTGCTAGCCCGCAGGCATATAACTTTGGAACTTCATTCGCGCAGAAAGAACTAACGCCGGGTGATGTGACTATTCTCCAAGGGGACTTTTTCAAGTCTGATTGGGAGAACGGGATTGAGTTCGATCTGATATATGACTATACGGTGAGTCATGTCTTTCCGAGTTTATTTATTTCATGCTTCAATTTGAGCCTGAGATTGAGATATACCTAGTTTCTCTGTGCCCTTCATCCCACCATGCGAGCTGGATGGGCTTCACGTATGGCGGACCTCCTCGCTCCCACTGGTCAGCTCGTGTGTCTTGAGTTTCCCATGTGGAAGGATCCATCCTTACCCGGTCCGCCGTGGGGATTGCAAGGTGTTCACTTGGACCTTCTGGTGGAGGGGGGCGATGGCAATGGTAAGGCTGGACAGGGCGGGGGGTTATTCGCGCGGAAGTTATATGTCAAACCTGCTAGATCGTACGATAAAGGCAGGGGAACGGATATGTTGAGTGTTTATGTTAAGAAGAATTGATAGCGAATAAAGCTATGTACATACGTGCAACGATTGTGTTGTTATTTGAGACTGTTGCCCTTGTTCTTTGATCCCAGCCTTTGAAACGAATTGTCAGTTTTAATCATTACTAGACAATCAGAGGCTGTTGCAAGCACGAATAACCTTTGAATAATCGTCCTTTAAGCTCTCGAAATTCAGAACATATTCTGATCTACAAAACAATCATCCTTAATATAACTCTGGTATATGTATAAATTATCATATCTTTTTTCTGTTGTCGTCGAACCGTCATATGGCCGTGCCACTAAAAGTCCAAGCACAGCTTTTTGCATCCCTTGTTCATCCCTATCCTATATTCATACTTCATCCCAAAAATTTGTCTAGTTATCTTGCATCTTGCACCTTGCACCTGAGTTAATCGAGCATTACATCCAACATGTAATAACGCATGTACTATGATATGATGATGCTGATGGGGAAAATCGTGAGGTCGCCGATGCCTGGTATTCCAGTTTCTCGAGCCTAATATCTTGAGGCCAGTCTGCAGCTTTCTTTTTTAGACATCACAGTCCTGACGATCCGGTCACATTCGATCCCTAAACAAAGGAGCCTTCAATATTTCTCTTTTGATGATATACCAAAACAGCTCTGCCGTCATACGTTTCCCACTGCCTAGCGCCACTGTGTTTCCTGAAGAAAAGGTTCGCAATGAGGTCGCTGTAACGCGATGCATTCACGACCTGATTTCAATCCCAGCTCCTTTTGTTCTTCATTGGGGCATTAAAAAGGAGAGTCCCTGGAATTGAGTCCTTTCATTATCATGGAATATATCGATCGTGACACGGCTGTGTACGATGTTCTCAATACGCCGGGATGCCCAAGGGCAGACCGTGGAATTCTTGACCCGAATATCAAGAAGATAGGCTAGATGCTCTCTATGGAGAGCTATCAGGCATCCTCCTTCGGCTTTCTAGGCCACCCCTACCTCGGATAAGATCTCCCACTCAGGTCGATGATTTCACCTGGGAAGCGGCATATCGGCCTCTATCGATGCCTATGGATGAACTTGGTTTGGTTGGGATCGCTAACTCTATCGAAATTACCAAGCCCAGATACCACATTCGACACAGCATCCCCATACATTGAAGCCCTGGCGGAGCTATACGTTTCCCATTTAACAAGCCAAAGAAACGACGCTGTTGACTCAGACTATGGCTGTCAACAAAAGTTCGTCGCTAGATATCTTTTCCGCAATATAGCGTGAGTGATACCGCATCCCTGGGACCTGGGAAGCTCAGGCCTCGAGGCCAGAAGCTTACGAGCAATGATAATCCCTTGACAAAGGCCCATTCAAAATCTAGTGCGATGATTTCGACCAGCTAATATGCTCATGAATGAAGACCTGAAAATTGCCAGAGTTGTATTCTGGGAGTTTACATACGCAGGCCCGGCTTCAACTAGAGGAAGCTCAAGGGCGCTCTGGTCCGATGTGAGGCTGCTGGGGCAGTGGAGACTTTTAGATTGCATATACTGTAATGAACAGCCTCACTTTTGATGTAATATACGGCAGAAAATTGACCAGCGATTCTTTGGGCTTTCGAGGAGTACTGACAATACATGAAAGCAGAGACTCGACCTCTTGGATAATACGGGGAATAATGAGATGGAGAAACTTGTGGCTCGAAAACCTGAAGAGATGGCAACTAGAGTTATGATGTGGGGACTTGACGAGTATACTCGATCTTATATGGACATTGCGAGGAAGGTCGTTGTAAGGGAAAGGGGGGAGATTGAAGATGAGGTCGGGGAAAAAAGCAAGGAAACCGGGGCTCAGGCAATTGAGACGAAAGTGGACGAGGATAGTGTAGATATACGGTCCAATGATTTGGTGAAATTGTCGATGTAGTTGCATAGAAAAATAGAATCCAACTTTGGGCAGGGTAAGTGACCAGTATGCATATATATGTATAATGCACCGACCTCTCTTACCCTACTATACCCCAATCTCAAGCCTGAGAACCAGTGAGCCTGGAGAATTGAACATAATTGACTAAGCATAGCCTATTTGGCATATATCCTATTTAGTACTGGATGTAGCACCAAAGTGATTGATTTACATTGCTTAATCTTTTCACATCACGTATGGAGTAATTAAACAAGGATTAATCCCCTTATGTAGCACTAAAACTTTACCCCGTTCAACTAGCTAGCCCGGCTAGCTCAATCGGTAGAGCGTGAGACTCTTAATCTCAAGGCTGCGGGTTCGAGCCCCGCGTTGGGCTTTATTTTTTTTTGTTGTTGTTTTTTAACAGCTGTTTCCCCCTTTATAAATGAGAGTGCTGCCCCACTTTATCCTGCGTTCATTAATTATGGACTTTCTTTTCTATGTTCGTCATGGAAATGGAACATATCATCGTCGGAGTTACTACTAGATACTACTAAGAGGAACACCCAATCAATGCTACTTGGATATTGACAACCTTATTCATTCATTGTTCATCATTCACCTAACTACTTCATTCATACAAAGTATCTGAAACTTACCCAATATTGCGCTCCACAGAGAGCCCGAGTTGTCGGCCGATAGATATTCAATAGCCAGATTCGTCCGAGTTGACGGACTTTCTCGCCTGATGACCAAGGAATGGATGGATAAACATGATGTGAGTCTATATCTAGTATCAACCCTGTGATATGGCACGACCCTACAGTCTGATCGATCCTACTGTACATACCTTAAGATGTGATACTGAATCAGGTGATTGATGCATTCATTAACCTTACCTCGCCCGCAGCCAATCAGCGGCCTGATATCTCGTCCGCGATCGGCGAGGTTGAAATGGCGTCATCCGGCTTAGTCAGGGCAGAGCCATCGATTCCCTTCAGAAGAGAAAACCACCAGAAATCGAGACTTTTTCTACTTTTTCCAGCCTTTCTTTTCTGCCTTCATCTATCAACTCGTCTGACCATCTCCGTCCAAGATGCTTCGCTCCCGCGTGGTGCCTGTTGTTGGGACAGCCCGTCGGGGCCTGGCAACCGCCGCATCGGTCAGCCCTATCGCCCGGGATCACCGAGTCGTCGTGGTCGGCGCTGGCACAGCCGGTCTCGCTGTCAGCCATCAGCTCCTCCGATCGGGCCAATTCGCGCAGGACGACATTGCGGTCGTCGACCCAGCCGCGTGGCATCACTACCAACCGGGATGGACTCTCGTGGGCGGCGGTCTGAAAACCAAGGAGGAGCTACGAACCTCGCTGAGCGAGTTGATCGATCCCAAGCTCAAGTTCTACAACCAGGGCGTGGGCGGCTTTTCCCCTGAGAACAATCAAGTCACACTGGCCAACGGCGAAAAGGTCAGCTACGACCAGCTGGTCGTCGTACCCGGCATCAGCGTCAACTTCGATAGCGTCAAGGGCTTGCCCGAGGCGCTGGCTAACCCGGACTCGTCGGTCTCGTCCATCTACGGCTATGATACCTGCGACAAGGTCTTCCCCACGATCGCGAAGCTCCAGAAGGGAAAGGCGATTTTCACACAGCCTGCTGGCGTGATCAAATGCGCAGGTGCCCCACAGAAGATGCTCTGGTTGGCGCTGGACTACTGGAAGAGAGCCGGTCTCTACGACGCTACCAACCCTGTAGGGTCTGCGGTGCAGATCAGCTTCGCCACGGGTCTTCCGTCCATGTTTGCCGTGCCTAAGTATAGCGCTGCGCTCGAGCAGATGCGGAAGGATAGAGGCGTTGAGGGCTTGTTCCAGCATGATCTTGTCTCCATCAAGGGGAACACGGCGACATTTGCGCGCCCGGATGGCGCCGAGTCCGTCACGAGACAGTTTGATCTGCTGCATGTGGTGCCTAAGATGGGTCCGCATGCGTTCGTCAAGAACAGCGCCCTGGCCAACGAGGCAGGCTACGTTGATGTCGATGCGGGAACCACCCGTCATATCAAATATTCCAATGTCTGGTCCGCCGGCGACGCATCCAGTCTGCCTACTTCAAAGACGGCCGCCGCAATCACGTCCGAAGCGCCGGTGCTAGTGCACAACCTGCTGCGATCCATGGAGGGAAAGGAGCCCGAAGCCACGTACGACGGGTACGCTTCGTGTCCGCTGGTGACGGAGTATGGAAAGGTGCTCCTGGCGGAGTTCAAATACGGCGGACAGCCCAAGGAGACGTTTGGAAAATGGTTCGGTATCGATCAGTCGGTGCCCCGTAGAGCGTTCTATCATCTCAAGAAGGACTTTTTTCCCTGGGTGTACTACGCGTCTATGGTTAAGGGTACGTGGGGAGGACCAAGGGGTTGGTTGAACTAATTTTTGTTGTCATAGATTCGCGATTTCTTTCTTTGTAATATATATTTATTCTATCTTATTTTAAGCCAGATCTTTATCATTGTACCAGATCCCCTAAGCGTGTCAATAATGGCCAATATATAATATGTGGAGTGAGTTACCAGCTTCCTAAAGGGGCTCGTCTAGAGTCATCAACGGTCAAAGATGATTTAAATGGCCGAATAGCTCCTATTGATATTTTGCAACATAAATAAAGGAGGTCAGAATATACATATATAATAACAAGAAAAGGTAGGAATATAATCAGCTATGTCGAAGTAATGGGTGGGACGTGATACAGCCACACCTCTGTCGCTCCTGCCACCCCCCCCTTTAAACCTAGTTAATACTAAAACCTTGTGACGAAAATCTTATCTAACAGTAACGACCACCTTGAGGGAAACTGTGGGGAAGGGGTAAATTTGGGCAAGCACCGCAGGTGCTAAGCTTGCAGAGGTGTGCTTTGTGAGGACCTAGATCCGGCTGTGTGGTGGTGTTGAGCTTTACTACTACTCCACAGATAAAAAGGCGAAAATCGATAACCATCCGGTTCGAGCTCAGCGTACTATATAGCAAAATCAGATTCGTGACATGCTTAGCTTGTAGGAGGTGCCTTCGTTATAACTATAACCTCCTGTAGACTTGCCTTGCGCCGCTGACTACGCGTATGAGCTAGTATCAGCGCTAATATGACAATATGGATCTGCATTGAAAAGTATATGGTCTCTACCTATCTGAATCTATCTGGGAGAACTGAATACAAGGTGAAAAACAAAGGAACAAAGCCGACCAAGCGGATGCTGAATGAGTAATATTGGCCCACTTTGGTCGACGCCTTGCCAGTACGCCCTTTACTACAGTACTAAGGGAGATACAACAATCACGCATACTAAAGGGGTTACTAGGAGTAAATGTTCCCCCACCCTGGTGTTCACAGTTTGCAGTATAAGAGGAGCTATAGAGGGCGCGCCGGTCTGATGTAACACAATGATGTATGGCGGAAGATCAATCTACCTGACATCTGTTCAATCAAAGTATAATATATTCTGTTCTACATACAGTCAAGTCCACGCATCCCATTCCAACCCATCCCGATATTCGAATCCCACTTGCTCCCCCTCATTCCCCAGAATATACCCATCCAAGCAGGTTTCAAATGACAACTTCGGCTGAGCCACGTAAAACGCATCGAAGCGCGGATCCAACGCATCCTGCAGACTCCGCACCGATCCATCCGGATGCAGCACATCCCATGGCTTAATGCAGGTTTCCCCCTTGCAAGACTTCAGCACCAGTAAGAGTGCATCGAGCCGATGGATGACGGTGGGTAGCTGTCTATTCAGAAGTTGGGTCACGTTGTGATTCGTATACAGGTTGTTTATTTGATAGGGATCCGTCTGATTGGTTAGCTCTTTGTTATCCCTGAATTGGTTATGCTGAATATGGACTGGACCTACAGAGAGATCATACAGCTCGTGCTCGTTCGTACACCAAACAGAGTAGTACAGATTATATCCCTCGCCAATAATCCGCGTAGACTTGTATGTATTCTTGGGGATCTGCGTCGACCCGTTCCCTGCTATTACCGAGTTAATACACCATACTCTATGGATATTATTCAACAGGACCTACCAATGGTAGCCAACTCCCCCTCCAACACACCATGCCCCCAGAACTCCACGGTGACATGCTCATGCTTAATCGCCCGCAAATGCTCCCTCACCGACATCGGCGTACCATCCAATTCCTGACGTAGCGGAATCCCTGCCAATTCCAAAAAAAGTCGGCACCAGATCGATGTGCGTCGAGACGCTATCCTGGGTTTTTCCCGCAGGGACGCCCGGACCGCGAATATAGAAGGGAACGCGGATGTCCTCTTCAAAACCCGTGGTTTTCCCTGGTGGTAGACGGTGCTGACCGATGTGAAATCCATTGTCTGAGGTATAGATGATGTAGGTATTTTCGATACCAATTGTATCTTCGAGGCGGCGCACGAGTCGTTCAACGAGCTCGTCGACGCCTTGTAGTGCGCGCAGTCGCTGGCGGTAGAAGTGATCTTCGTAGTCGATGACGGACTGGTTTTGAAGCGGTAGGCCGCTTATCCAGCTGACTCCTGTGTTTTGTGTGGTTGGGTTGAAGTTTGGTGTGCGAGGTACGGTGGCGTTTGAGAAGAGATGCGCATGGCGCGGTGCAGGGATGGGTTCCGTCATGATAACTGGACTTGAAGATGACCTTCCCAGTGCGTCGATGTTCGAGTGAGGTGCGATGGGCGCTACAGTCAGGAAGAACGGTCGGTCATCGTGCAGCGCGTCGTCTAGGAAGCCCAGGGCCTTCTCCGTGATGATGTCTGTGGTGTGTTGGCCGGGGTAGCTCCGCGGTGCGTCGCGATTCCGCTGGTAGGTAGAATTGTAGTAGGAATACGTGTGCGGATCTAGTAGGAAATCAGAGCCGTTGAAGCCCTTGACGAAGGGGTCATTGTATGTGGTGACGCTGTGCGAGTTGAACAGTTTACCTGTGTAGAAGGTGTTGTATCCCGACTGCTGTAGCCACACAGGGAACCAGTCGTCGTTGAAGCCTTGAGATACGAATTTGGGATAGCCCCCTGTCCTAATTAGCAACTGTAGGTGATAGAGGACTACCTAACGAACCCCATGGTGGCTTCACATCCGTCACGTTCGTGTTGTGCGCCTGTCGTCCGGTCCATAGACTCACGCGCGACGGACAGCACAGCGAAGTGGTGACGAAGTGATTCGTGAACTCAAGACCCTTCTCTTTGACGTGTCTCAAAATCTGTGGCGTGTATGCGGGGGAATTGAGCTGGAGGTCCTGATCATCCGTGAGAATGAAGAGGAAATTTGGCGGTTTGGTCAGTGCCAGTGTCTGCTGCATGGCCTGCGAGAAGGCCACTGTAGATAAGGCACCCCAAGCCATGAGCTTCATGGTTATTATACTAGCATAAGAAAATAGACTGTGGAACTATATACAGATGGATAGAGGGGGATATAAGATATGCGATGATGGAGACAAAGACACGATGATGGCATGCAACGCCATGGCGCAATTATAGAGCCATTGACACCAGCGAGATCGACTGGTCACGGTGGAGCGAGTCTTGTATGGCTGCTAGTTAGGTTAGATGGCATCATGAAGGGCCAATCGTGAGGGATCTCGGGAAGTGGAGATAGAATTTGGGAGATCTGAAATTGGATTCGCACGCAACAAAGAAATGAATATATACACTAGATATGGAGCGAATCCACGTTCTTCATCATCAAGTCAAACGCATTTGAGCGGAAATCGTCTTTCAGCAACTGCGCCGAATGCGCGTGGAAGTTCATCAACTCTCGACCCTCCTTCCACTGCGGCCACTCCATAAACTCTCCCCGTCGCGAGTTCGGATCCTGGTCGTAGACGAAGCTGAGGTAGTACGTGTGGATGGACCGCGAGGCGTAGTTGGGCAAGATGCCGTAGAACACCTGCAGGATGTCGCTGGCATGGAAGGTGCCCATGATCGGCAGCCCGTAGTCGTATGAGGCCAGGTAGGACCAGCTGGGCACGTCCGGCGTCGCCTCGTGTGCGTGCTGCAGCAGCACCCGTCGCGCCAGGGTGAAGGTGAGGTCGCCCAGGACGGCCGCCAGCCGCTTGAACTGCGGATACCAGTTGTTTAAGATGCTCGTCCGGAACGGGGATCCGTTCTCCTGGATGTCGCTGTACATGTCCACCAGCTCCTGCAGTTGCGCGCGCGACGCCCCGTGGAAGAAATACTCGCCGAAGTAATCTACCAGTTCATCCGTCGTCGTGATGTTGGACTGGAATAGCGCGAACAGTGTGCCCTCGTCCTCCTGGTCGCCGATGATGAACGGCACCCTCGCATATCGTCCGGCCTTGCTCAGCACGTCCGGACTGTCCGTTAGCACTCTGCCATCGGGCCGCGGCAGGTACGACAGCGCCACCGAGTGGTAGCTCAGAAAGCCCGGTACAGAGTTGGCCGCGTTTAGGAAGTCAGTGTAGTCCAGCTGGCGTAGGCACTCCAGCGTGTCGGCCGCCCCGCCGCAACCAGCGCTGTTGACTACCTGATCGTACACGGCCTGTCCCTTGCTGCCGTCCACCGGATCCGCGGGTACGACGCTGCCCGAGTTCATGATGGCGCCGTGGAAGAGCGCCTTGTCCTTGTAGTCGATGTTGCCTCCGTAGAGCAGCATCTGGTCGAACACCGAGATGGACCCGGCCGACTCGCCCCAGATGGTCACCTTGTCGGGATCGCCGCCGAACGCGCCGATGTTGTCGGCCACCCATTCCAGGGCAATGCGTTGGTCTAACAGGCCTAGGTTGGCGGACCCATCGGCTAGGATCTCCTTGCCCGGCATGAATCCGAAACCGCCCAAGCGGTAGTTGATGGCTACGAAGATAACGGGCATGCCCTTGTCCATCGAGCTCAATACTAGCGGCGCCCCGTCGAACAGGAAGGACGACCCCAGCTCGAACGCGCCGCCATAGATCCAAGCCAGCACCGGTAACTTGGCGTCCGCCTTGGTGCCCGCTGGCCGGCGGATGCTCACCGACAGGCAGTCCTCGCCCGCGTTGGTCACCTTCTGGAACAGTGGGACGTTGGCCAGCAAGCCCACGATCGATCCGGGGAACTCAGAGTTGTCAGTCGAGAAGAAGAACTGCGGGCAGGCTTTCGCCGCCCCCGTCGCCTCCACCGTACCCAGCGACGAGTTGAGTCGCTGCGGTGGCTTCAACCGCAGGGGGCCCGTTGGGGGTTGCGCAAACGGCACGCCATTGAAGTGTTCCACGCTCAGCACAGTACTTCCCACGATGGTGGCCTGCGGATGGGTGATGGTCACGGTGGGAGCGGCGCGTTTGGCCGGGGCGCCTAGGGCCGGGGAGACGGCCAACAGAGACAGCAGCAGGAATGAAGAAAAGAAGATAACCATGGTATTTGGAGAAGAAGGAATGTGGAGGATGAGAAGGTTATTCACTGCCTCTGGAAAAGGGAGGCAGCCCCCAAGTATTTCTACATCTCCATCGCACGCTTGGCCAAGTGAATACCTTCCTCTCTCTCTTCTTGGCCTACGCCTTTCCGTCCTTCAGATTTCGCCCCCCATGTGGATCCAAGGTCAGGATTCATCCCCTTTTTTGCGTCGAATCCTTCCCTTTGGCGTAGGAATCCCCTCTCTCTGTCTCACTCCATGCAGCCAGACGCACTCCATAATCGTGGAAGTCAGCCGACAGGCCCAATGACAGTCTGCAACACGTGAAGAACCGAGGCCGGAGGATTTTTTCCTATTCTTCAGCACTATTCTAGTGCTGGGTATACTTCTTGGCCCTGAAGGCTGAATCCACAGACTCTTGTCCCCCGCGGGGTCGATGCGGGGGACGTTTTGGCGTCGTCGTTTGGTATAGGCCCGTAAGGGTTCGCCCAGACAATAGCGTCCTCTAGCTTGCAGGCCGTGCTGCAGTTTGCAATTATCGAATGCGATTGCTAGTATCGATTGATCAAGCCATGGTATACGGGACTATCAGGAACTCTTCGGTCGTCGCTTCTCCCCCCGCGTTTCAGCGCAAAGATTCTCCGCGCCCAAACCAAACAGGCCCATCAAGTGCCCCACGATTTGTTCGACCAGCTCCTCCAAGCCCCCAGACTTGACGTAAAAGAATGGTACAAGTGGGGAAATAATCGCTCCGGCCCGAGTGATCTGTGAAGCATACACAGTATTGCGCAGGTAAATCTCGCTCGACGGCGTTCCCCGCATTATGGCCAACCGCCCACACTCCTCGAGCATTACGTCGCCCAATCGTGAAATAAAGTCGTCACAGAAGCTTGTATGGATCAGCGAGACTCTCCATGCTACAGGGAACCACGATCATCCCGTCTGTCCGGAAGGAGCCGCTGGCGATCGGGGCCACCATGTCGTGGACACCATGTGGTCCACGAGCGCCATTACCTTCAACGGACGATACATAATCCGTCTCGTATTTGATGGTTGCCTCGACCCACCTACTTAGCACGAGGTACATTTCCACGTTTAGATATCATAGCGCAAAGAGGACCTGAACTTGGTGAGCTTGTAGAGGACGTGCAGGAGGGCGTGAACTATTTCGAGCACCTGCGGGCGCCTGAAAAGGGGTTCAGCCTGTTTACTCTGTATACATAGCCGCTGAGTGGGTCAATAAACGGGCCTAATGCAGGTGCTATACAAACATGGTCAATACTCCGGAGTACATCCGAGGTCACTACAGAATATTTATAAGCACCGTGGCGCAAAATAGCACCTGTAGAGAAGAAGGGGTTCCACGACATTGTTGCCTTCTTCTCTGGCCTGTCTCAGGGCCCTGTCCACCTCATTGTGCAAGGTTATCAAAGCCAATCCAAATAACACTTCCGAGGCGTCCTTTAGACTTGTACTTTTCACTCGCACGTAAAATATCGTAAGGTGGGATCGGTACTTGAGAAAGTTGAGCGCCGGCCGGCTCCGTCGAAACAACAAGTGACAAGAATGCGTACCACCCGTTTATGACATCCTGACAAGAGAAATATTTTTTAAGAAGAAACAAGCAAATGAGAGAGAATTCAGTGAGTTACCTTTACCACAACTTCCACAACGCCAATGAGAAGGGTATCATACCAAGACCATGTCATATTTCTGGACGCCGTGAATATTCTAGACCCGAGAAATGTGCAACAGCCGCGAATGTAGCAAGCTAACATACCCAATCGACCGATCTGCACACATTTCTGATATTTGAAAAGAGTCCCGGCACTCTCCTGATGTGTATGCATTGAGGTATGTACAAAGATCCATGAGACGGTAGAAATGGAGGAACCTGACTGTCGTTAGCCTTGCTCGCAGCAAATAAAAATGACATACATACCTCAACACCGTAGTACGCCAGGGATAAGCCACTGCAACTCTTTCCACCGGTCTTCGGGTGTCTAGGGGGAAAAAAAGGGTAGCTACTGTAAGAGTGAATGAGCGGAATATGGAAGGACTCCTGAGGCGTAGACTAGAATCCGTGGTAGGAGTTGCCACAGCAGATTGTCCTCCAAGGCTCATAAGAAGAAGGCAAAACAATTCACATTCTCGAAGACCGGAAAGATACTTGACTATCACTTGATTTCCCTTGCCGAGGCGGCTCTATACCTCCATTAAATGAATAGAGATATTTGCACAGAAGAATAGAGAATTAAAGAAACCAAAAATTTCCCACTTAATTTCTGGCCAGGAAACAGTGAACTAAAAATAATCAAAGCCCTAATTAGCCAGGTAAATATCTGAAATATTAAAATATCCAAAACTCTGGCACAATACCTTGACGAAGCTTAACCAAAGCGATGTCTGTGTGAGCGAGTTCCATAATGACCTCACCCAGTTCTCTACTAGAAGAATGAGGATGAAAGACTTTCCATTAAATGGAAGCCATGGAAATTCATGGGCGGCAACCGCCATGTACTCAAAGCCATTGCAGTCTTTTACGTGGACACCAGAGGAAGTAGGGCAGTTGATCCAGATGAAATGCCAGGACTCGCTCGTTGAAGTGGGGGGTTGGTGTAGGTCAAATGGTAGGATAATATGCCAAGATGATGCAGCGCCCTGCATACAACCGGGGCAAGGTTGGGCAGAACGAATTGGAAATATGGCAAGGAAGTTCTTGGAAAGGGATAGTGTGGGAGATGGGGAGATTTTACGCATCTTGCTTGGGACAAGTCCTCCGAAAACTATTCAATAGAATTTCAGTGGACTAAAAGAGTGCCAAGGCCTAATTAGCCAGGTAAATATTCTGAATACTGACACTCCTGGAGGCAGTGATGAGTCCGTGTTAGACCAAATAAATGGAGCAGAAATAGGAGAAGAAGATGAAGGTGATGCTGGTTGACGGAAAGTGAGATTAGAGAGGTTGAAAGGATCAAGAGAAGTATTGTAAGATGACATGAGAATTACTACAGTATTAACACATGACCATCTGACGTTATATTACTCCTCCCTTTCTATCTCATATTCACTTTACTTGAAGCTCATTAACTTTCTCTCATTTTATCTATTTCTACTACCTAGTCAGATTAAGTTATTGAAGCCTGATTTTACATTCTACCGAGACAAACTACTAGTTTCTGTATACACGTCCCCGAACAAAACACATCCTCGATAAAGTAGACTTTGTTTCATAAGTGCTGAACTGATAAAAGAATGATAAGAAGGGCTAACATTGCATCTCTACACTGTATACACTCGACAGTAAGGGTGATATAGTGTAACTATAGGAGATTGACAACAAAGGCAACGTCTAGCTCCTGAAACACCCGAGGTCAGAGCGATGGTCTAGGAGACTGGTTACTAATAGTTCATTAACTATAGCCATTCATTTCATCAGCACCCTTGTCTGGTATGTTAAGGGGCTCCTGCACCCCGCGTCCTGGACCGAAGGCTTTAACGAACCATGCAGGGGATGGTGCACGGACATTGATGGCAGCAGGAAATTGGTTGAACTCGGCGTAAAGACACCTAGAATCTTCCAAATGTGTATAATGTGCCGTAGAGGGAAGAGCAAACAACTGGTCTGTATGGCTAAGAGGCCACTGTTACTATCATACTAGATAATCTAGGAGGCCAAAGGCCCAGGAACACATACCCACGAACCGATGAAAAGATATATGGACATATAACGCTTTCCTGATCTAATCTCCTTTTCAGGATTGATTTCTTGGTTGATTCAACCCATTGGGGTTGCCTTTCCTCCATTGGTGATGGTCCATTTTTGATTTGGAATACTGTGTATACGAGATCTCACAGAGCTGGGTCTTGGAAACGTCTCACGAGATTTGAGTGGCTACTTGTCATACTATAGGCATTCCTTGATCGGCCAAACCGAGTGAGTTCCTGAGTTAGCATAGTAGCACCGCATTGACACCCAAAACAAACAATATCCCAATATTGCCATGTGTAACCGGCCATAACCTCCTACGGGACCCAGCAAAGGCTTGGCCAAAATTAGGAACCCAATCGATCGTCGACACACGCCAGTCCCATAAGTTAAGCCACCTCCTCCACACAGGTATGCGTTATTCCCCGCACGATCGGGTGGATCTCCACCGGAAACAAGAGTGGCCAAGCCCAACTTGGCCCCGTATCTCAACCATCTCATATTCGACCTGCTCAACGTGATATTCTCGTCCAGCTAGACAACCGAGGGCAGCCGCAAGGACACGGTTATCAGCGCCGAAGCCGCGGTGAATTCGCCTGAAACCTCACCACTTGGCATCTGTGGGAGGTGGTCAACATCTCCACCCGGTACTCCATACTATAGGTAGTAATTTCCCTACGGCGCGAACGAGTTCGAACATGCAGGGGTACGCAGGAGGCTAGATACCTGACTGGTCAACGTGTCCATGGATCAGGAGTCACCATCAAGTTTGAGTGTTGCTACCACTCCAAAGTGCGTCTACCAGAGTACCATCGGATTGGGATAGTCGATGTACTCTTGGTGACTACCGGGGTTTAGTGGTAGTCCGTACCTCCGACAAGGAGAGAGTGTGTCAAGGATTCCCTCACAATTGCATGATAGTAATACCGAATTACGGCTCACCTAGACCATGGGGTTTTGGCTGAACGGGATTGTTCATGTTGAAAGAGAGCTTACTGTGATGTGCAAAGACGCGCGGGTATTGCCAGTGCACGGGGTACGAGACACGTTTGACATGCAGACCCCAGACATGAGCGATGTAAGGTAATATTCCAAGGAATGCAAAGAAGACACGGAGTAGCAAGGAAGTAGGACAGAGGGGAAACAAGCGATTAGGCAGCGGGCGAATGGTGCGTTCGTTCTCGTTGCACGAGATATGTCCGACACGACCGAATGCGGATTGGAGTGTTCTTGCCTACACTTGTTGGATTCTGCCGAGCACTATCAGCTTGATTTCTGTTAATAATAGCGCTCAACTAGTGAATGCACTGTCCACAATCGAGGTCCCTCTTCCCCAGGAACTCTATGACAACAGTGGATCAAATGCTGGTAGACACCTTAATCATACTGTCTACGTATCGTGAGTAACTATAGCCTAGTACCTCGATAGATAGTGGATAGATAGATAGATAGATAGATAGTAGCACTCAGAATAATTGATAGCAGATTGAGTTGGCTCACCCGATCCTGGCGATATGGCCAAGAGATAGTGCAATGAGATCCCGTCGACATATCAAAGAAAGCGAAACCGAACCGGGCGAGGTAAAAAGGAAGACCGGATCCCCCTCTACGACGTTGCATTCGAGACCAAATCTGGGGAAGAGAGTTGACCACATGGCCGGGAAGGAGATAGGAGCCGCACTGATTGGGTCCCTTCCCACCCGCCGAGCTCTAGGGTTGCACTCAGGGTGGCAGCCAAGGTCCGTACTAAGCCCCGTGCTTCTTTCCGCCATTGCTACTGCAGCCAATCATTGGCCCGCGTCCATGTCCCCTTCAAGCCCCTCTGACCCCGCCAAGCCCGCTAGCCCACAAACGGCCCATCCGCTTATCTTGCTGTCGAGGGGAGGGATTCAAATGGCCACCGATCACTGATATGCGCCGATTGGGTCCGAAATTGGGCGGTCTGGCCAAGACGTCTTGCGGTCTTGCCTCCCGTGAGGAGAAGCGAAACACACAAAGACAATGATAGAAAAGCTACCAAGAGTTCAAATCTGTTTCTGGCAGCGTAGATACAAAGTACATCCATAGATAGTAGATACCTAGTAGTGGTAGTACCAGTAGTGCTCAGGCACCTAAATCAATCAATGGAAGACCAATGGACTCTGGTTGGTCAGGGTGGTGCAATGTCCCAGGATTCAGTCTAGGCGTGCAGGAGACAAACCGATAGGAATGAGGCGATTGTTCATCAGTTTTTCTTTTCCCTCCTCCCTAATCGGGTCTGGTGGTGGCACGCGATAATCAGCCCAAATTGCTAGCTCTGCGCTGATTCCCTGGATGCACCTGCGCTTCTCTCTGCTCTTGTGTCCCACAACACTCAGTCTTATTAAAGCTGACCTCCCCATCCTCGCCTTTTTCTTCCTCCTCGTTCGTCTTCTCTTGTCCTTACCCTCCTCAGACGACCAGCGTTTCCTTTCTCCGTATTGTTCCCTCAATACCTAGGATTGTTTATCCTGCCCCATGAACTCCCACGATGCGGCCGAGGCCGTGGAGGTCGCCAAACCCTCGGCGGCCTACTACGACTCCCATGTCCATGAGAAGAAAGAATCTTCTCTGGACAAGGAGCTAGAAATTGCTCCCAGCATCCAAGAGGTCCCCGCCACCAAAGAGCGCGGCGATTCCTCCACGGGAGGCGAGGATGCCCACCTCAAGTTGGATATTCCCACTGAGGAGGAATTCGCAACCCTGCGTCGCGTTTCAGGACCCATTCCCTGGACGGCGTATACCGTGGCTTTCGTTGAACTGTGCGAGCGTTTCTCGTACTACGGAACCACTGCGGTTTGTAAGTTGCGCCGCTTCCATTGCCTTGTGTCGAACCTGCGGCTAACGATCCGCTGTGATTCTAGTCGTGAACTTTATCCAACGTCCTATGCCTCCGGGATCTACCACCGGTGCGGGTTATGATGATAACGTTCCGGGCGCTCTGGGTATGGGCCAACAGGCATCTACGGGTCTGACGCTGTGTATGTCTCTCTCTCTCTCTCTCTCCTCCCATTTGAGATGGTATTTCTGACCTCACGTCGCATAGTCAACTCGTTCTGGTCCTATATCTGTCCGCTATTCGGTGCCTTCGTTGCCGATCAATACTTAGGACGTTTCCGGACGATTATGTTTTCGATTCTTGCGGCCTTGATCGGTCACACCATTCTCGTCATCTCCGCCATCCCGCAGGTGATCTCGAACCCCAATGGTGCCATTGGAGCCTTTGCCATTGGTTTGGTCATCATGGGTATCGGAACGGGCGGCTTCAAGTACGGGTTTTCCTATCATTCAGTTTGTTCCGTGGCTAACTCAAGACAGATCCAACGTGTCCACCTTAATCGCAGAGCAGTATACCCAGAAGACTGCCTTGATCAAGACCCTCAAGTCCGGTGAGCGGGTGATCGTGGATCCGGCGGCCACCATCGGACGTATCTACCTCTACTTCTACTTGATGATCAACATCGGGTCTATCCTGGGCCAGGTCAGCATGGTGTATGCGGAGAGATACGTTGGATTCTGGCTGTCGTTCTTCCTGCCCACGGTGATGTTTTTGTGCTGCCCTACGGTGCTGTTCCTGTGCCGGAAGAGCTACACCCACACCCCACCGACGGGATCGGTGTACCTGCAGGCGTACCGTGTCTGGAAATTGGCGATGAAGGGACGGTGGTCTCTGAACCCGGCGCGCATGTATGTAGCCTGACTTGGGGTTTATCCGACAGACTAAAGTGCTAACCGGCAACAGGTTTATTAAAAACCCCGTCCCCTTCTGGGAGCCGGTCAAGCCATCCGCCCTGGGACCCAACAAGCCGGCCTGGATGGTGTTTGATGATGAGTGGGTGGACGAGGTGGCCCGTGGATTGAAGGCCTGCTTGGTGTTCTGTTGGTATCCTCTGTACTGTAAGTGACTCCTCACCAAGAAGTTAACCCCCCTAAAAAGCTATTTCCCTAGGATGCTGATTCGTGTAGGGTTGGCGTACAACCAGATGTTGAACAACCTGACGTCGCAGGCGGCGACGATGAAGCTGGGTGGCGTGCCGAATGACATTATCAACAACCTGAACCCACTGGCCCTGATCATCTTCATCCCGATCATGGACCAGCTTATCTATCCGGGCCTACGACGGCTGGGAATCAAGTTCTCGCCGCTGCGCCGAGTGACAGCGGGGTTCATGATGGCGGCACTGTCGATGGTGGCGGCGACGTTGACGCAGCACTACATCTACAAGCTTGGCGACTGCGGCAAGGAGGCCAACTACTGCCTGGACGAGCTGAACAAGCACTCGCCCATCTCGGTCTGGGTGCAGGCGCTGACGTACGTGCTGGGCGGCATCTCGGAGATTTTCGCATCGGTGACCTCGATGGAGTACGCGTTCACCAAGGCGCCCAAGAACATGCGGTCGCTGGTGCAGGCGGTGGCGCTGTTCATGAATGCGGTGTCGGCGGCGATCGGACAGGCGCTGGTGGGATTGTCCAAGGACCCGCTGCTAGTGTGGAACTACTTGGTGGTGACCATCCTGGCGTTTCTGGGCGGCGTTGGATTCTGGGCGACCAACTACAAGCTGGACCGCCAGGAGGATCAGTTGAATAACCTGAAGGAGAGTCGGTACGAAGGGACGGGCATCAAGGGGGATGAGGAGGCGACCCAGTAGATGTTGATAACCCATGTTAGGATAATTCATTTCAACTCTGTCTCGACTTCGTTGTTACGGTATAGTCAGATACTTCCGATAATGATCTGTAGTGTTTAAATAACGGACCAAAGATAGATAGTAACGTATTCACATTCAGTCATAATATATAAACAAAAAAAAAAAAAAAAAATGATACAGGAACTATAGAACCTTCTTACTCTCCCCCAAGAACTCCATCTCCTCATCAATCCGCCCCTTCTGAGCAAACCTGATATCATCGAGATAATTATCCCGGGGTAACCAGGGCCCTCGATCCGCCGCCTTGGGTAGACTCTTCTCTGCGGCTGCCACGTAAGTCGAAGTGAGACCGAGCAGACGACGAGGCCGCAACTGCTTCTGTCTCTGAGGTGTCATGCGCGGCACGGCGACACGGGCACCACGACGGTCCATCTCCTGCAGCAACCGGATCACAAACCGCGCGGTGGCCTCGGCGCCCAGAGTCCACGAGGCATTGGTGTATCCGATGACGAAGGCGGCATTGGGCAGATCCTGCACCATCATGCCATGCCAGATGTACTTATCGGGCATATGATGCGGGATGCCGTCTACGGTTATCGAGGCACCACCGGCGAGTTGCAGACGCAGCCCCGTCGCTGTGACGATGATGTCCGCGTCCAGGGTCTCGCCCGAGTCCAGCTCGATGCCCGTCGCCGTCACCGTGCGAATGGTGTCCGTCTTGACGTGGGCGCGCCCCGTGTGCAGACTCTGGAAGAAGTCGCCGTCGGGGGAGACACACAACCGCTGGTCCCATGGGTTGTAGCGCGGCGAGAAGTGCGGGTTGAAGGGGACATTGGCCGGCAATTGACCACGCACGCGACGGCTCAGGATCCAGCGAGCCAGGGAGGGTAGGGCCTGGCAGAAGAGGAAGAAGAATCGCGAGGCGAGCATCCAGCTGATGCGTTGCCAGCGACGGAAGAGAGATGTGGGTAGCAGATAGCTGAGCAGGGGCCGTCGGGTGTTGGGAAGCGACAGGATGTACGTGGGAGAGCGCTGCAGCATCGTGACGGAGGCCGCCTGTTTAGACATCTCGGGTAGCAGCGTGATGGCCGTGGCACCGCTGCCGATGATCACGACCTTCTTGTCGCGGTAGTTGAGGTCCTCGGGCCAGAACTGCGGATGGATAGTCTGGCCCCGGAAGCTGGAGAGATTGGGGATGTCGACCTGCAGCGGCTGGTGATAGTCATAATATCCGGTGCCCATCACCAGAAACCGCGCTGTCAGGGACTGCACCTGGCCATCGTGGTCGATGCTCAGCGACCAGGTCTGCTCGGAGGACGACCAGTCGGCGCCGAGCAGTGTGTGGTGGAAGCGAATGTGCTTGTCGATTCCATGTTCAGATGCAGCCTCCTGCAGGTACTTCTTGATGCTGGCCCCGCTGGCAATGGGATTCCCCTGGTCCCAGGGATGCCACTGGAAGCCAAAGGTGAAGAGATCCGAGTCGGATCGGATGCCGGGATAGCGGAAGAGATCCCAAGTGCCCCCGAGACTGCTCCGAGCCTCGAGGATGGTGAATTTCAGGTTGGGACAGTTGGCCTGCAGGTGGTAGGCGGCGTTGATGCCGGAGATGCCGGCCCCGACGATGACGACGTCGAGGGATTCCATATTATTATTTGATATTATTGAATGTTGAAGTTGATGATTGATAGAGGGAGGCTGAGAAGACGACTGATATATAAGACATATTGGCACATGCCTCGGTCAAGGCAGTCGCAATCCCAAAAGAGAAAGGGTCGCGACTACCGAGGAATCGGATCCGATTAGAATGGAAATGGAATTCAGAACCCCCGGAAATGCTATGCGAATCTATAAAATAAAACCAAATCCAATCCATGGGTCACCATCACCAGAGGGGTCTGCGATCGACGGGGCGCTATAACCGGATGCGGCAATCGTTGCGACTCACATGCCACTTTTTTTTTGTAGACAAACCCTAATCTCGGCTATTCTTCATCTCGGATGTGAGATAACATGGGGAAGCATGGGATATTCTGGGGACATCATTTATCATGGATCCCCCGCCTTGCATGATTGTACCTAGGGTACAGTTACACAGCTACTCACAGTTACACATCAAATCATGCTCTCTCTCCTCGATACCCTCGACTTCCTCCCCGCCCTCGTCTCCGTCTCTCTGACAGTCACCTGGGCCATCGTCTCCGGCCTCTGGCGTTCCTCTGCCTATCCTCCCACGTTTATGCTCCATGTGGGCTACGCTGCCTTCCGCAAGGCCACTGCGCGCATGTCCATCGCGCAGATGCAGGCCATGTTGCCGCTGTCTCACCGCGTCTACGATCGCTACGTGCGACACGCCCGGCTGACTCCGGACACGGTGAAGCTGGACCACGGCGCCATGGGGCACTGGATGGGCGATCGCAAGGCCACCAACGTGCTGGTCTGGTACCATGGCGGTGGATTCGCCCTGCCTGCCAACGAAGGCTACTTCAAGTTCTATACGCGACTGCGCGCCGACGCCGCCCGGCACGGCAAGTCGCTGGCCGTCTTCAGTCTCACCTACACGCTGGCTCCCGGGGCCACCTATCCCACGCAGCTGCGTCAGGCGGTCACGGCGCTACGCTACGTGCTGGACCGCGGATATGCCGCCGACCGTATCTTCCTGGGGGGAGACTCGGCCGGTGGGAACCTGGTGGGCGGCGTGCTCTCACATCTGGCGCATCCCCATCCAGCCATCGACCCGTTGACTGTCTCCGGGTCTTTAGGCGGCGCCGTCATGATCGCCCCCTGGGTGTCGCTGGACGCCGATCACGCCGAGCGCCACGAGATCGACTCGCGTGGCGATCTGATCACGCCCGCCGTGGCTGGGCCCTGGTCGCGCGCGTATCTGGGGACTGCGACTCGGGATTTCTATACGGATCTGGCGATGGCGCCGCCGGACTGGTTTGCGTCGTTCCCCGTGGCGAGGGTGCTGGTGTGCGCGGGGGGCAGCGAGATCCTGCTGCCCATCGTCGAGGAGTTTGTCGAACGATTCCGCAAGGGGTTCTCGGCGGTGGATTTCTGCGTGGGCGAGCGTGAGGGCCATGTGGCGCCGATTTATAACTTGTATATAGGGGATTCGACCGAGACACAGCAGGGGAAGAGGGTGCAGAGTTGGTTGCGAGAGGTCCTACATTGATATATATTATTGCGAACGTAGCCAAGCAATATTTATATTATACTGTGAATACTTATACGAGATACTACGATTTATACCTGTTCTTTACTTGCTTCGCTTGATCAATAATCTGCAATAGCAGGTAGACATAATAAGAAAACGACATCGTAAGACATGATATTGACAAAAATATATTTACAGCGTAAGCTACTGAGCTTCCTGAGATACCTGCCACTCTCGCAATCGCTTCAAACTCTTCGATCCAAACCCCCTCGCCGTCTCCTGCAACCACGAAGGAAACGCGCGCACCAGACTGATGGGAGCGTGATGTTTCGGCAGGATAACCTGGCCACTGCGCTGCGTCACGATCTGTCGCACCACGGCCTCGGACACCATCTCGGGCGTCAGAATCGGCTGCTTGAACTGATTGCCGGCGTCGGTCAACTGCTTGATCATCGGCGTGCGCACCCACAGTGGATGCACAACACTGGTGCGCACCTTGGGCGCACCGTACCAGTAGCGCAGCTCCTGGGCCAGTCCCTCGTGGAAGGCCAAGGCGCTGGCCTTGGAGCAGCAGTAGTCGACCATCTCGCCCAGGGCCACGAAACTGGCCATGCTGGCGATGGTCACCACGTGGCCGTGGTTCTGTCGTACCATGCTGGGCAGGAACTCGCGCACCATCAAGAAATGCGAGATCGTGTTGACCTCGAACGTCTGCCGGATTTTGGCCTCCGGTTCGTCCAGGATGGTGCCATCGTGGCCAACTCCAGCATTGTTGATTAGGACCGTGGGGTCTCCATGTTTAGCCCGGATCTTCTCCGCCACGGCGCGGATGCTTTCCGAGGATGTAATATCCGCTTTATAGAAGGTGACGTTGCGCGCTATCATTGTAAGTATATCTATCTTTTTCGAGAAGAAAGAGACCTACGCAAGGTAAAAGACGGCTCCTGGATATCCAGAATCACCACGCGCACCCCCGTCGCCGCCAGATCCTGCATGATCTGCTTGCCAATGCCACTGCTACCCCCCGTGACGAGCACCACCTCGCGCGAGGGCACCCAGGGCCCGGCTCCCTGCCAGTTATTGGCCGCCCAGTGTCCCAGACTGCGATTGATCTGTCTCACGGCACCCACAGCCACCAGAGCCGCCAGGGCTTTCGGCAGTAGGGGATGCTGCAGGACGGGCTGCACTTCGGGGGGGAGCCGAGAAAGGGCGGTTTGGGCCCATTGACGGACGACTTGAAAAGAATTGAGAGACATTGTATCTGATTGTATGGTCTCTTTCTTTCTTTCTTTCTATAACTATACAGATGTATATATATACATACATATACAATCAAAAAACCGAGGCTCACATGGGATCGGCCGTCCGGAATAGGAAAGCATTGCGACTAGATCATCGCACTGCTTGCCCAATCCGGCTGTCATGATCATTTCCATTTTCTTCTTTTTCTCTTCATCGTTTGTTCTTTCTTCCATCCATTTATTCTTTTTCCATCAATTAATCTCTCGCTTGATCATCATCTCATCTGTATTTTCCTCTTCCCCGCAAGCTCAGACACATGTACCGAGGTCGTCGATCAGTGGAGATGGAATGCCCAAATCAATGCCGAATACTGGGTCTTCTTCCCCATTCATTTCTCACCCATTAATTCGACCAGATATTAGATATACCCCAGAGCCGTCCCCAGAATGCAGACCCCTCCCCAGATCACTCCCAGACCCCGGATCTGAATGGACTGATCATGGACTCCTGGCTTGTCCTGTCCGGTTTGACCCTCGTCGAGGCCTATCTGCTGCATCGCTCCCTTTTCCCAGACCTCACCCTTCGCTATGTCGGACTCGCCACTTTCGGTGTCAATCTGACTCTGCTGTGCATCTGGAAAATCCTGATTTATCCTTTTTTTGTGTCACCGCTGCGTCATCTGCCTACTCTTCGTGTACGCATGCATCGGATATCATATCCGTATCCGCATATCCGCATATCCGCAGAATACTAATACTGTATAGGGCAATCTCAATCATGCTCGCATCATCTTTGACGACCCCCGCGGTCGTCTTCCCCTGCAATGGATGAAGACCATCCCCAATGACGGTCTCATCCATTTCCGTGATGTCCTCAACCGCAGTTACCTGCTGGCCACCAACCATCAGGCCCTGCTGGATATCATGAGCACCCGCACTTACGACTTCGAGAAACCCTGGCGGGCGCGCGATTTCCTGGCCCGCATCATCGGTTTCGGTCTCATCCTGTCCGAGGGCACCGAACATCGCAAACAGCGCCGTGCCCTGACCCCTTCCTTCAACGTGCGCAACATCCGCGCCATGTATCACCTCATGTGGGAGAAGACGGGGCTACTGATGGATGAGCTCGAGAAGGAGATCCGTCAGTATCCCATGGAGGGCACCGGTGTCGATAGCGGCGAGGGCAAGGTCGAGATGACCGTGTGGGCGAGGTATTCTGTTTTGCCCTTTATCGATCCAGTCTAGTGTCTAATATGTATAGTCGCCTCACCCTGGATATTATCGGCCCCGCCGCCATGGGCCGTGACTTTCGCTCGCTGCAGAACCCCGAGAACAAAGTGGCCGACAGCTTCCTGGCCATCCTCGAGCCCACCAGAGAGAAGATGGCCTTCCTGGCCGTCAACTTCGCCCTCCCCCAGTGGCTCGTCCGTCACATCCCCTGGCGTCTGAACCGCGTCGTGGACACCGAGATCGGCTTCCTGCGCCAGCTCTGCCACGACATTGTCAAGGAGAAACGCGCCGCCATCGCCGACTCCAAGGCGCAGGAACTCGAGGCCGACATCCTGGCCTCCATCATGCTGAGCGGCGACTTCTCCGACGAGGAGCTGGTCGACCAGATGCTGACGTTCCTGGCTGCCGGCCACGAGACCACCGCCAGCGCCTTCACCTGGACCTGCTATCTGCTCACAAAGCATCCCGAAGTGCAGGACCGTCTGCGCGCCGAGATCCGCCAGCGCATCCCCTCGGGGAACGCCCCCATCACCTGGTCTGACCTCGAGTCACTGCCCCTGCTCAACGGCGTCTGTCAAGAAGTCCTGCGTCTGTATCCTACCGTGCCCGTCACCCTGCGCGAAGCCATGCGGGACAGCGTCGTGGCTGGCGCCGCCATCCCCAAGGGCACTCGCATCGTCCTATGTCCCTACGCCATCAACCGTAGCCCGGAGTTCTGGGGCGCCGACGGCGACCAGTTCCGTCCCGAACGCTGGATCGACCGGGACAAGACCGGGAACCCCGTCGTGAACCATACCGGCGGCGCGTCCACCAATTTCGCCCAGATCACGTTCCTGCATGGCCAACGTTCTTGTATTGGCAAGGACTTTGCCCGCGCCGAGCTGCGCTGTGCCGTTGCCGGCGTGGTCGGTCGCTTCCGTCTAGCCATGCAGGATCCGAAACAGGTGATCCATATCGCTGGGGCTGTGACTACTAAGCCGGTCGAGGGGATGCATCTGAGGATGTCGCGAGTGGATGAGTGGTAGTGTTATATGTTATGTTTTGATTATGTTATATATATTATGATTGTGTTGGTTCATGTTATAATGTTATGAATGATGTTTATGCCCATGTCCATGTCCATGTCCTAGATGCTCACTGATCCGGTGCTTTCCTTCCGGTATATCTTCCTCCTCCTCCTCCGGCCATCCCTCCCATCCATCCTCCCAAACCTCCATCATCGCCAGCGATCTCTTCCCTCGAGGGACTGCCTCCATCATCTCCTCCCATAGTTTCATCTCCGCATCCTGCAGGAGACACTCATCCAGCATCCCCGTAATGGCCATCGCATCGATGGCTTCCCCAATAAACACAATCTCCTGGCGTCGATCGCCCCAACGGCCCTGGAAATCCGCCTCGATGGACCGTCGCACGTCCATATCCTCCGGCCACGCCTCGTCCGGTACCTCTGCGAACCACGGCCCGCCACATCCCACTGTCAACATGCCCCCGGCTTGACTCCATTCGCCGAATTGATCCGGTCGAGTGGCGAGCCAAAAGAAGCCTTTCGAGCGCAGGACGGGGTGGAGGATGGGATGGGACCGTTTGTTTTGGAGGATTATTTGGGGGTCTTTCTGAATGTACTCTTCTTCGTCATCCTCTCCCTCTTCTTCCGACGTGTCATTCTCACTCTCTCCTTCTTCGTCTTTATCTTCCTCTCCTTCTTGTTCTTCCTCAGAATTCTGCAGAAGAATAAACTTATCATGAAGTAACCCAAACAATCGACGAGGATGAAACGGCCTACGCGCCGTATACACAAAACTATTAATCCCGTATCTAAACCGTCAGCATCATATCACCATCAGCAAGAAAAGAGAAAAACAAGAGAGAGAATACTCGATCGTTTCCGGCACCGGCGCCATTCTCTCCCCCACGGCCGTCTCCCTCTTGGTCATTTCATGCAGACTACGCAACCAACCGGCTCCCGACGCCGCCTTAAGGAAATTAAACCTCCCAGTATCCAGGATCTCATGCACGTCGACGCGTGAATAATTCGTCTCGAGCATCTTGGCTGTGGGATTCAGCGTCTTCAACAACGTGCGGATCCGATCGCGCGTCGTCGCATCCACCGTCTCGATCTTATTGATAATAATCACGTCGGCGAACTCGATCTGATCGACCATCAGGTCAGAGATGGTGCGTTCGTCTTCAGGGATGATTGTGCCGCCGTATCGATCGGAGAGAAACTCCGCCGTGTCGAAGTTGGTGAGGAGGTTGAAGGCGTCGATTACGGTGACTGTTGTGTCGAGTTTTGCCAGGGTGTGTAAACCCCCTAATTTGACTCTGAAATAATTAGCGAAAGCATGAAAATAAAGACTAAATAAAAGGAGAGGGGAGAAGGGGATACATCTGATTCAATATCTCCTTCCCCTCGTCATCTACTACATCCGCCTCCAACATCGCGGAACTGAACTCTGCCGTGAACGTCTCGGCCACTTGCATGGGTTCGCTGATACCTGTACTCTCGATGACCACGTACTGCACGTCGTCCTGATGCGTCAGTCGAGCCAGCTCTGAGAGGAGATCCCCGCGAAGCGTGCAGCAGATACATCCGTTTTGCAACTGAATCAACGTCTCTTTTGTCTGGGAGATGTGGTGATTTTTAATAAGTGTGGCATCGATATTCAGGCTATTTCAGTTATATTTATCCATATATATATATATATATAAAGGGGGGGAGATACCTGCTCATATCATTCACAATAACAGCAATCTTGAACCCATGGTCCGATTGGAGAATATGTTCTAGCAGAGTGGTTTTTCCACTCCCCTCTTTTCTTAGTCTTTTCCAAATAACTAAAAGAGTGAAGTCTTACTAAAAACCCAGATAGAAGAGTAACAGGTAATTGTCTCCTCTTGGTCTGCTGGGCAATAGGGAATAAGGACGGATTCGCCGAATTGATAGTCATCTCTGTTCGATCAGTCTGTTAAAGAAATATACCTAGAATGCACTCATTTGAAACTGCATTTATATAGATCTATCCCGTCCCCAAGGTGCAATATTCGTGATTGATCATCCTCGTGGTGATTGGTGTCTCACTCGGTCTTCCAAGGTCCTTTGGCCTCAAGGTTCTCAGGGTCCATCGATTACTTGTAATATCTTTTCATCTGACATGATTGGATTATATTCATGTTGATAATATAATATTATAAATAAAACTCCGTACCGTGGTGAATTAGTAGGATTGTTGAGACCTATCTGGTTCTGGAATAATCACTGCCACTGCTGGATTATATCCTGACTGGATTCCAAGCTATATCACCGTTGTATTTCTTTAGTTTAGACTTTTATTGTGGGATAGTCCGGCGTATAAACGATGTCAGATACTCGTCGTGGACTCAGCTCTCAGTTGCATCGATGTTATTTAAAGTCAGGTCAGCTGCTTCTTATCAGTGTAGTAGCAGTCATCGATCACAGTGGATAGACATGGTAGGATGGCTGGAGCCGTGTCCAAAGAGGAATCTCTGCAGTTTGTTCTTCTCCATTCACCAAGACCAAGTTACTTTATAGTGTCTGATGCCATATCGTTATCGTGGTGTGGAATATCTCTAGAATTCTTCCTTGTAGATTAGATCACTACGAATAGAGGATCAACGGATAATCTGGAAGAGTAGTACATGCCATATTCATAACTGCACTACTCTAGTTCAATAATAGCTACGACTTCCACAAGGGACTATCATGTTGATCCTCGTGTCAATCCAAACTCCATTCTATGTCCTCCCTCGGTACAAAGGTACTCCGCAGGATGTCGGCTCACAGCTTCTTCCCCGCCAGCACCAATGCCCCCGATATTCTCCGTCCACCACGTCACCGATCGAAGAAAACTCGGTGTCTCCGACTCCGTCCACTCGTAGCTTATCGCACACACCACCCGCGTTAGAGGATACCATGCCTCAGTCGCGTTGATAGTGGCTGGAGGAAGGCCGGTGTACACGTCAAGGAGGACTTTCGATTCGTTAATACTGTATTCCATACTCCGCAGGTGGAAAATCCACAGAATAGGGAAAAGAAAAGAAAAGAAAATACATACTCGCCGGTACGAAATCAGGTAGGTTGCCGCATAGTTGGGCGGCTGCTGGTCTTGTACGGCGCGGAGGACGAGTGCTATGAGGACGAGTGCTATAAGGACGGTAAAATTGCCTATAGTCAGCCATGCATGTCAGTGGTAAATTGGAAAGATCACATACCGCATGTTGCGGGTGTGAATTGTCAGTAGACACAAGCAAGGGTAATGGATCGTATTTAAATGGACGCAAGAGATCACATGCAGAGTGATATTACTTCCGTCTGTCAAAAATGCGGGTTGCTCTAGGCCAGCTCGGACTTGTTTCCCATATACAATTACATGTTGGTATAGAATTGGATGAAAAGATACAATGGAGAAAAAAAAGATGAGATGACTGAAGCAGAGCCAGGCGAGCAGAGTGGTATATAAATAAACGCCGATGCTCCCCTGTAGTCACCCAACGACAACCCAATTACACTTTAAAACGAAGAGAAGAAATCATTGGCCCAAATATCAGGTAGTTCATAGTCAGCGGTGTCGAACAGATTCGCGAAACCAAGGGGCTAATGGAATCAGCAAATAATGCGGCTAGAATAATGAACGGTGGATAGCATACCGAAAGGTCAGATAGATCTGCGGGAGCAAAAGAGGCCGGATCGAGGGGGGTCTCGGAAGTGGTCTCCAAGCTGGGTGTCAACATAGGCATCTAGAGAAGAATTAGCCAGTATGGTAGATGGTTATTCGAGCAACTCACCTCGCTGCGACCCTGGATATCAGACCAGGATGCTCCCTGCAATATCTGTTCGCAGTCCCGGATGGCCCTCATAGCGGCCTGCTCGACTTCCTGCCGAACGTCCTTCGCGTTCATTCGCGCTTTGACGGAGCTTAATGTCATGGCCAGGAAGAAAAACGCCTTGCACCCTTTCCCTGACGTGGTGATCCGACTGCCAAGGGTGTCGAGTGTATGCTCCACAGTCCTTAGTAGGACCCCCTGCTGGGAACGCACCAGGTCGTCAAGGGTGCTTACCGAGCTCGACTGACCGGGCAGTCGATTGACGCCGGAGAATTCTCCCGACTGCAAAGCCAATTCCACACAAACCGAGATGGCGGCATGGAGGAACTCATCGCGAAACATCCCTCCGGCGAGTTGTCCTAGGTGAGGGCATCCCTGTACCTCTGGGAGGCTGACTGTCGGGACATCAAGCTGAGAAAGCATCTCGAGGGATGATTCAAGGCAGATCTTGCGCGAGAAAGAAAACTTGGGTGAAAGGGACACGCTGAGAGCGAATGGGCGATGAAGAAGGAGCATGAATCTACGCATGAGGAACAGCAAAAATGACCGGGCGAATGACAGATTCCCGGTCGGTCCACTGTCCGGGTACAAGGCAAGTGCCTCATTCATATAATCGCCGAGTTGCTCGCCCAGGCGTAATGCTTCGTCGTACGAAAGCCCAAATTTCCGTCGGTTGATGGACTTCGCTATACGGACTCGCAGCGGCAACGACCGAGACAGGAAGATCTGAAAACTGTTCCGCGTGGGGATCACCGCATCTTTGGGAGCAACGTCCTCCGTCATATCCTCCGTCAAATCGGCGTCGTCATAGTTCGAAGGTGGTTCACAGTCAAACTCATCCAGGTCAATCGAAGGTGCCATTCCTCCGTCCAAAGATGACTCCAAGTCAAATTCAAGTATGGTGGCCCACAGTCGACGGCGCATCTCGGCCCAGAACGGGGTCATTCTCTCATACATCGAAGGGCTCCGATGCAGGCCCATGGTCATGGCAGATCTGATCAAGGAACCAGAGGAAATCCAGACAACATCCCCGTCAGTAGCATCGGATTGGCGCGCAATCAGCAGGAGGCACTGGATCTGCAGCATGTCCAGAGTGATGGTCGAACTAACATAGGAGGACGCAACCCAAGATTGGACGGATATGATCCACGCCGATGCAGATCTGTGTAGGGTGTCGTTTTCATTCAACCTGGTCGTAGGACCGAAAAAGCAGCTACTGGCGGCCATCAGGGCCAGGAGCTTGGCTACGAAGATCATATCCGTCTTCTCGGAACTCGACCAGAACATCTCGTATTGTTTGCGAAAGGTCGGAACGTGCAGGATGCGGTACGTGGTTTCGAAGGTGGACAGATACAAGTTTAGTAGCTCATCCGCAACTCTCCGATCGGGTATCATCTTTTCCATCGTGAATGCCTTTTCGCGATAGGCTCTCTGGTGGTCCTGTCTCTCACGGGACCACACCTCTCCCTTGAGCTTTTTCATCCGGGTATATTCCGAGTCCTTCGACTTGAACTTGTCGCGACAGCCTCTCATCACCGTCTTGACCTCGTCAAACTACCGATAGTCAGCGTTAGGTCACGTTCAAATATGCCTGGTTCCCACTTACAAACGATAGAGATACCCCCCAGTAGCTGCGCCCACAGAACCGCGATTTCCCGTTCTTTCCCCGGAAGCAGGCAGACTGCGGCAGATGCTTGACGTTCTCGCCGAGATACTGGGCATCACAAGACACCCGCAGCGGCGAATCCGCGTCATGTCCCAAGCTCTCCGGGGTCTGGACAGGGCCTGCCCTGGATAGGCCCTGCTCCAACATCTGCACCCGATGGCGTAGTTCGTGGAGCTCGTCGGGACGTCCCTTGGGTTTCGTGACGCGGTGATGCTTGGAATCGAAGATATACAGCCCACCGTGGACAGAACTGGTCCGACTGCTGGACTTATGTGCCTGATCGGGGGAAGTGGTCGCCACGGACCTCGGTTCTGTCAGCGCATTCGACTGGGGACCAGTATACACACACCGGTCCGGAGTCTTGGACTTGATGCACTGTCCGCATGGCAAAGCTCGGTCGCATTTCAGCTTGCGTCGCCTGCATGCAGTGCACGATAATGCCGGTCTCCGTCGTCTAGTTGGCGACTTTGGCGAGGTCGCTCCAATCGAATAGAAGTGGCGATCGTAGTCTTCGCCCATGGATACCAGATTACGATTGCCTGTTGCTCGAACATTGGATACTTCGTTGTTGAACTGAGAATGCCTTGGCAGTGACGGGAACAAAGCCAAAGCGATAAACGATGACCGGCCTTAAAACCCCAGCGGTTGAGGGGTTCAGGAGATCGATCACTGCCTGGTGAGTGATTTCTGAAGAGAAAAAACAATCTCTTTCCCTGTGAGGTCATCGGGTGGAATCACCGTCAGCTCGGACTTACCCCATCACGTAAGTCACGGGGTTCTCGGAGTTACGCTTTCGGGTATTCTAAGGCCGCGATTTACGGCGTGCATAAAATAAAAAGCATCACAAACACGACGAAGAGTCCGGTGTATTCCTCTACTTACTCTGGATATACGGAGTATAGACTGCAATTGTCATTTTGACATAAGCTCCTCTGATATCCCCCACGCGCCGCCTAACTTCCATCTGGACCTGAGGATCAAAACACCCCGGGAATAATACGCCAACGCACCTGGTCGCAATAACTCTCCCAGAGTTTCCCATATTTGGCCAAACATCGCTTCTCATCCCGGATACACCGGTGGGTCAGAAGAATGGTCATAAAGATAGCATAAGTCCAGGGCAGGAGATGGGTCACCCCGCAGGCGGCACACATCGCATACGAAAGAATCAGGTCCCCCAGGTAGTTGGCATGTCGGACATATCCCCACCACCCTAGATGAGCGGGCATTAGACTCGGTTCCGCCGCAGGACGGGGATGGTTCGTACCAGAGCATAGAAGAAGTGACTCATGTTTGACCCCGTTTGTCGTTTCGTAGGAGCATTTTATGATTTTGGGCTTCTCCCCAGCTATCATACAATTGCCCCTCGTGAGGCGAACTCTATATTTCTGTTCGTTAGCATGGCAATAAATCGTATAGCCGCCAAGCCCCGCGACTAGAATGATGGCCGCCATGGCTGGATGTAGTTGAACGGGGTTCCGAGCCAGGAACTGCGTCTGTAGGGTATACACCGCGGGCAAGAACGCTGCAGAGCCCCAGGCAAAATAGAACCCAAAATGGTCATGTTCAATATCAATGGTACGTAGATACCTCTCTGGTATCAGCTGATGCTCGAAAATACATGAGAGGTGAGAATTTACCTGTCCTCGCGGAAGAAGAAATCTGCGACATAAAGCAGATGAAGGACATCGACAATGAGGATGGAGGGAGTGACATATCCATGTAGCCGATGCTGGTAGGCTGTGAAGGACAGATCCCTGCTGATATTCAGTACGGTCAATCGTTCCCAGCATGGGAGCCATGGCTTCTCTACACTCACACCATGATCCATGACATCATCCCCATACGTCCAATATGGAACAGCTTCATGTCCCAGAGCCTTCCAAACCGAGGGTTGAGCTCGACTCCCATGTACAGATCGTAGAAAATCGACCCTGGTCCTGATCAGCATGGGACGATTCCAAGTCGCAGATACGACTCCCTCACCAGTAAACTTCCGGTCCTCAGGATGCGATGGCCATACGTTCGCCTTGACATAGAACAGGATACACAGGAGAAACCCGTATACATTGCCCACCAACAGAAGCGACTCCCATTCCACAGCAATGATGGTCGGGTCCACGAATTTCCCGACGGACAAGTTGATCGCCACGAGAATCGAGATGCCAAAGGCGAACAGTCCATTGGCCCTATAGCCGAGGAGATATCCTGCCGGAGTCGTTTGTCCCTGGCAGATCCTCCCGGGCAATTGGGCATAAAGGAGACACTGGAAGGCAACCCACCCCAGATATCCTGCGACGATCAAGGACTTGGGTGTGTGGGAGAACCGGGACATGAATCTCGATGGACCCTCCTCCAGAAGGACTCTCAGGGTCTGTACCACGGAGGCGTCAAAAAGCTCCATGGATAGTGATGGAAGGAAGGATAATAAGGGACACAATATACCCATAAACCCAGCCGACAGAACCCCCACTTTCCATGACGCTTTGCAACGTCGACCCCAGACGGCCTCCTCCATATCGGTACGTCCGAAGAAAGAGAATCGACGATGCTGGAGTCACGTATAGAAGGAGGTCGTTCTTATTCCCATGTCGTCGTGATGATGCATCCTCCATCGACAGCAGATGCATGTTGTCTGCATCTTGCCTCTAAGGGAGACGTGGCATGCGTGGATTCTGATCTATCACAAGAGGTGGATCCTCGTCATTCTCATTCTCCCTTGCATGCCTGGCCCCGTATGTGTGTCTGTGTGTACGCGCTGGACCTGTCCCCTGCTCTCTCTCGACCACCGATCGACGAAGTGGACGATGTTGCTGGCCGTTCTTCTGCTGTTGGCCATCGCACTGTTCTTCCGGGATAACGCTCCTTCTCGTCCTTATTATGTCATTGTCATCGGATGCTGTGCCACCCTCGCCGTGCTGTTTCCCCCGCCCTTCTCCGATTTCGTCAAATACGCCAACGCCTTTCTGTCCAGTGCCTATGTCATTCGGGCCGTGGAGCTGTTACTGGTCTATAATCCATCCCACCTGCAGCGCCTAGGCAGAGTGACCGATGCTACATATGATACCTCCTCTTCCCCTCCCCAATACGTCTGGAACCCCTTCCTGTTCACACTGGGCTATCGACGTCTCCGGTGGATCGGGGACCTCCTCGTCAACCCGCGTGCCATCGGTTGGAGCCATGGTCCCGCCAGATACCGGCCGCCAGAAGACCAGTCCTCCTCCCACGCGGCTTTTACCACCCGGCAAATTTATCGCTTACTCGTTGGGTACTTGATCTTAGATACTTACCAGGCCGTCTTCGGAAGGAATTTCCCCGTGGTTAGTGATATCCTGGCAACAGTCGTCCACCGACTCTTGAGGATCTCGATCTCTCCCCCTGTCCGACAAAGACTAGTTCAGAAGTATATCTTCGGTCCTGCCTGTGGGTTGACGTCGTATGCCTTTGTGGATGGCATCCATGCAGCGTTCAGTCTGCTCGGTGTCAGCCTTCCCAGCGTCATATCCCCTGGTCTGGGTGCGGAACCATGGATGTATCCCCAATTGTTTGGTTCAGTGCGCTATCTGTTCACATTCAGGCTACGAGGTAGGAAGTCTCCCCGCTTCTCGCCTCTCTAGCTAACCTCCTTCGCGTCTACTAGAAATATGGGGCAAGATGTGGCATGACCTTTGTCGACGCCCTTTTCTCGCCATTTCCCTATCGGTCATCCCCAAGTCCGCCCCAGTGAAGTTCAAGCGACTCATTGTCCTATATACCTCGTTCATCCTGTCGGGCGTGATCCACGCCTCCGGTGCATACGCCGTATCTCAGAATCTCCATGCTGCCGTCATGACGATGGTCTTTTTCCTCGTCCTGCCGACCTGTATATCCTTGCAGCAGGCGGTTTCCGGCGAGATTCTCCCGCGCTTACTCCCCCGGAATGCCCTCTCGCGAGTCGTCGTCGGGATTCTGGATGTTGCGTTTCTCTGGTTCTGGGCGACCCTCACCTGCCCCTGGTTTATTGAGTACAGCATGCTACCGCAGGCTATGGCTTCGATTCCAATTCCCTTCAGTCTTTGGGGGTGGCTCGGTCGATGCTCTTTCGTAGCTGGATTTGCGCCGTGAGCGCCTCTATACCGTGAAGTAAATAACCGCTCTTGCCTCTGCATATCACACGCGAACCAGAGGTGGACTGATTGATTTTGTGAACATCCTGCATAAAGTAACCGAAGAATCATTACAGGATCTTCCCAGCCGTACAAACGGAACTGTGATAAAAATTGCCCATCCATAGATCGACTATATATCAGACTATGTCATCTGGAATAACGATGCCTATATACAGGTGTATGCCAACCCGACGCTTTTTCTACTCCCGGCACCAAAAAGGCTTCATCACGGACCGCAGATAAACAAGAAGATACACCATCAAATAATTGGAAAGTACAAACGCGGTGAAAATACAGAAATAGGGCCAAATCCTGGATGAATTCAGGCCAAGCCCGGAGAGGTACTGTGTAAATGGTTAATGGTCTTTCGCTCCATCCATGTACGCAAAGAGATATACTTACGTCGTCCCCGTAGCTAAACTCGCAATATCCACATTTCCCAAAATCATCGGGGTTCGATAGGTAACCTACGCCCTTATGCGCAAGCCACGTCCAAGCGTACTCACCACACGTCATGTTCGGAGGGCTTTGAAACATGGTCAATTCACCTCCCTGGCATCTGACAGGCATGCCGCGCAGAACCGACGTGAGGACTCCCCCGATCCAGTACGTAAATGGCGTTGCATAGTACATAGTATACTTCCAGAATACAGGCATATTCGCGTGAGGCTGCAGGATGCCGTTGAATAACTCGCACATAATGATGAAAAATGGCATCAGGGTAGCAGCTACTAATGAGTCGGCGCTGGTCATCGTCAGTTATATCCAATGGGAAAATCGTTTAGAAAGATGAAGAATAGTTCACCTCATTGCTGCAATCCACTGACCCCAAGACGTGGCAAATAGGAAGAATAAGAAAAACATCAAGAAGCTATATCCCGCCGCGAATCCTAGAGGAAGTCCAACAGTAAAGTAGTAAAGGACGAAAAAGATCACGGCGCTAACAATTGCGTATGGAATCTCACAGATAATCTGGGATGTGCAGAAGGCGACCCATCCGTATATACCGCTAGGGCCTTCCCGGGCTTTCCAGATGTCACGGTTCATGATAAAGCGCATAGAGATCGCGTTGATGAATTCCGGTACTAGCATCAGCACAAGGAAGCATGAAAACGCCTTGGACTGCAAATCAGTGGCGCTATTGCCAATTTGCAAGTACGTAAGGCCATTGACCAGGGCATGGAGAAACGAAGCATATAGCCTGGAGTAAGGATACTCTGGGCTCCTCCAATACTGCCGCAGCGTGCGCTTGGTCAGGAGAGTCGTCTGCCGCAGAAGCGATGGTGTAGGTAGCGGCTTCTGAGCAGTTAGGGAGTTGCTCACCACCTTTTCACCCTTGCCGCGGATTGCATAGATCTCTCTCTGGACATTCTTAGCCTCAACAGACCGATTCCAGACGTCAGGCCAATTGATACTATGCGCGGTATTTTTCATACTTCCCACGACAACGTCAATGAGGAAATCCGCTGCATTAGTAACATTTTCTGGACAATGGCCATGGTCGGCGAAATATTTAAAGACGGAACTGCCCGATTCTCCCACTTCTCCAAAATAATAAGTACTTCCACCGGGGCTGAGTGCCAAAACTCGATCAAACTACTCACAGTTAGCCCCTGCTGATAGTCATCAATAAGAAAGACCTACCTGTTCAAATTGTTGCTGGTTTGCCTGGTGAATAGTGCAAAGGATTGCTAGTCCCTGGTCAGCCAACCGCCGGAGCAAACCAACAATGCTGGAAGCTCCCTGGCTATCGAGGCCACTGGTAGGCTCATCCAAGAACAGCAGTAGCTCTGGTTTGGCGCACAACTCCACGCCAATAGTCACCCTTTTTTTCTTTTCAATGTCTAGGGATCCTATGATGGCATTCTGCAGGTCCATCAGCTCCAGGGTTTCAATAACTGTGGTCACATATGACAACTTTTCCTCCTCGGGTACGGAGACGTTCTGACGGAGAAGAGCGGAAAACTCAAATGCTTCTCGGATTGTGCTGGAATCGTCATGAATATCCATTTGCTGACAGTATCCAATCCGACGGTTGAATGTTTTATCAATAGCCTGTCCATCGATATACAAAGTACCGGTCAGTTCTCCTGAGCTGGGCCGTTGGGTAAGAGCAGTCAATACTAGGCAGTGATTAGCCTCTAGAATAGGATGAAGTGAAGGATCCTGACCTACAAGTAGATTTTCCAGCCCCGGAGGCTCCAACAAGAGCAGTCAATGTCCCTGGTTTGCAATAGCCGCAAACGCCATCAAGAAGCTTTCTTGACTCCTTCCCGATCTGAACGAAGAGCTCAAGGTTATCCCAACTGAACGTGGACTGCGTTCCAGCGATGGTTTGCCCCGACTTCCCAACATTAGTGCTAGGAGCACTCGCCGGCAGATGCCCTGGTACAGGATTGCTCTCTTCATCCTGCGTATGCTTGTGGGTTTTGGAAAACCATCTCCGGAGTTTCTTGTGCTGGATCAGCCCTGCATTGTCTGGTTCCCACTCCATAACCTCGCTCAGCAGGCAAGTAGCCGCAATGTATACGACAGTGAAGAGGCAAAGGATCCCAAAGTTACGCCAGACATGCTTAAAATAAAATCCATACTTAACAGCCAGATAGTCATCGCCTTTCACCACAGTGGTCCCAATCTGACTTCCTGCGTAGGCGCAAGTTTGGTAGGCGATATCGGTGTAGTTCGGGCCCGAAGGAACAATCGACTGGGGCGCACAGGTGAAATCAGTATTGTGGAACTCCGCAGCCATCACGGCTTCGTATGTATATAGCGCTGGGGTAGTGTACTAATCAGAGGTATCAGCAACGCAGATCGGACAGGGGCTTGATGCAACTTACGGCTATCCATCCGACCCAAGGAACATCTTTCATCAGCTTGTCCACTGAGAGAACGTATCCGCCAAAGACAATACAAAACAGAACGGAAACGCCGCAGTAGCGCAGTGCAACTTCAAAATTAGACGATGCAGCAGCAAACAACCGGAATTGGGCAGTTAAGCAGATGGTGCACAGGTAAATGAAGAGAAAATCGATCCAGAAAGGCCCGGCCTAGTCGTAAAATGTCAGCTCGCAAAGACAAATATTATTAGCCGCGACTTACATTTGACTTAAGACCAGAGAGGAAGTACACCACAACCAAATACAGAAACGTGATGACAGCCCCCACCACGATGTCTGCCATGACCCTGGCCAAGCATACCGCACTAGGTCGAACAAAGGCAAACTTCTTTTGGCGACTGAGGATATCTCGGCCCTGCATTGCGTCCTCCAGCTCAGACATTTGAAGCCAAGCGAGCAGAATAGAAGAGTAAAAAAGTACTCCTCCCCGAGAGTACATACCATCGGTATTTTGAGGTTGGTTGTAGAACATGGAGCCAACCAACAGACCGTAAACGACCGATGAGATGAGCTTGATATATAGAGGTGACAAATGGCCTCTGATCTGCCACATCTGACGCTTCGCGCACAAAGCCACCTGCCGGAAAAGTGAAATAGTGTACGGTGATTTGGAGGACACGAAGCGAGATTTATCTGTTTGTATGGACTTTTTTAATTCCTCCACACTTCCACACTCTGAATCAGCGTGTGATGCTCCAATATTTCTCCCACTGCATTGCTGATCTTCATAGTTATGTAGATCATATTCGATTTTATTGTAAGCCGAGCTCCTCCTAAATGCCTCTTCCAGTTCGATAGGTCCCTTGGGTGCACGCTGTTCCCATCCTTGTTTGAAACGTCGTATCTCAGGAACCGTGACACTGGTCAAGAAATCGGACACTGTCTGCATTTCTGCACACTCGTAACCTAATCCCTCGAAGTAGCCCTTCGCCTCGCAAGCAGGGCCTTGATAAATCATCCTCCCTTCGTCAATCAGCAACACTTTATCAACTAGGTCATAAATGGCATCTGATGCCTGGTACAGTGTCATCAGTGTCGCTTTGCCGCACGTGTCGGTCATGATTCGAAGGCTTCGTGCATAATCCAGAGCCGACGACGCGTCCAAACCCCGCGTGGAATTATCCCAGCACATGACAGATGAATCCGTCGCCAGGGACTCGATGATCGAGATCCGTTTACGCTCGCCACCAGAGACACCTCGGATGTACTCATCCCCAACTAGAGTATTCATGGTATGGGACATTCCAAATACTCGACCATAAATTTCAAGATACCTTGGAATCCTTTCCTGGTATCTCTTGGGTGTTTTACTTTCAAGTGCAAATTTCAGAGTCTGTTGCACGCTGAGGGTTGGGAAGTGCACATCATCCTCCGGGACATATGCTACTTGGCCACGGTAGTGCTTCTTGACCTCATGAACGCTAAGGCCCGAATAATCGATGGTACCGGTAACCCCGAGAAACGACGAGTGGTGACCAGCAATTGTACGAAGAAATGTGGAACAACCGGCTCCTGGCCTTCCCAACACACTGGTAATGCGCGTTCAGCTAAAGCTCAACAAATATACATGGCTGATTGAGAAACTTACAGCATGATCTCTCCACTTCTAACCACCCCGGAAAAATCGCGAATCAACTGACGTCCGTCCTGAGGCTTCTTACTAGAAAGCCAAGGCTTGATGGTCCATTCATAGACATCTTGGAAAGTAAATGTACGCCACAGTGCCGTCCCAAGAGTCTTGACATCCGCATGATCGTCCCCGTCACCCCATGTCGACATAGACTGGAAATAAACCCCAAGGTTGGACCTTTTTTTTCCAGCCTGGAGTTCTGCTTCAAGGAATTTATCAAATGACGAATGCGGCTCAGGATACTCTTGTTGATGATTGACCTCTGTCAGAGTGCGATGGATTTCAGCAATAGCATCGCCATCCTCGAACGACAGATGCACTCGAGGGGAGGCGATGATGTCGGCTTGACTCCCGGCCTCTTGATTAGAAGCATGAGAGGGAGCACCATGTAGGTGAGGATGGAGGTGGGCTGGCATTCCACTTGACCCTTAACCCTATAGAAGGGAAAGTTTATAGTGGTTATCTGATGGATGAAGCTACCGAGTATTCATCCATGGCACGAGGGGTCTCGACAGGATTTTATAGAGGGCCAGACAAGGTCTGAATCTACAGATCTAAAAGCCATAGATCGAAAAGGAAGCCAAGCTTCAGGTGGCAGGCTAATACCTATGAGTAATCTGAGAAAACACATGGAAAGCAATTGCGGTCCGCCTCTTTAACAGACAGAAGAAGAATGGTGATTGGCCAGCAATCAAAGATCTGCACTAATTTGGGCAGGAAAAGGTCAGGAGGCGCCTTATTTTCCGACTATGGCAGCTCGCTAGAGAAGAATGAATCATAGGACCCAGCAAAAAACTGAGCACAAGTGACCCATGATGAATTCGAACTTCCAGTCCGACATGCTTTGGCTCCGATACTTTTAAATCCTGGCCAGGAACTATTCCGAAAACGGCAGCCAAGACGGAAGTTCCCACTTTTTCATTCCGTAATTTTTGCCTTGATGCCTTTTGGTCCGTTGGATTCCTATCCTAACTAACATTGAATAACCATTCTTTCCAATTTCACTTCCGATGCCACCATTCATGGCCACTTAAAGAAAAAAGAAAAGAAAGAAAAACTATCTAGAAGCGCTCCAAAGCTTACTCAGACAGAGCTAAACAACTAAGTATTTACATATTAACAGTGGGTTTATTAGTCCCTCCTTCAACAGTTCAATTCAATCATTAGCCTATAATAATATTCTTCCAATTGTGCTCTCAACTGCGGAGTAATGTTCCGATATGTCCTCACTCCCAACTATACATGCTCTCCACACTCCACAGCCAGGTTAGCCCTGCCAGCGTATTGCACTATCTCTTTCCTGACCCCAAAATAAATCAGCATCGGGCCCTTTGGCTGCCGAAACGCGTTTTACGCCAACAACTCTATTCTCTCTACAAATAAGGATATCGCCGGACCCATTCCTTACAACGCGAACCGCGGTTTCGGCGGGTATATACGTGTATAAGCAGTTCTATGTACTACTACGTTACCTACCATCTACTAATAATTACTCCGAGTGTTCCTTTGGATATCATTGGGAAACTTGGTACAACGCGTGCGAGAGCCTTTTTACTTAATTGTATGAAGTACATCACAGGTCGTTTGTATCCTCTGCAAAGGACAATAACAACTTGTTTTTGAATGTCCCAATTCTACTGTTGCCTTGTTTTGCCTCATTCACGGGTTTAAGCCCGTGATTTCTAAAACTATGGAATTCTATGTTATTGGAAACATGACAATCTCGTGCGCAAAATCCCTGAGAACGACTACCAAACATGCTTTCTTCATAACCAACATGCGGCCTGCACTGACACGTCTCTCATCATATGATCATCCCATATTGCATTTTCCGCATCAAGTTCAAGTCGGGCTGAAAGTCTTTCTATAACTGCTAGAAGGTGTCGATCAAAGCCACACGATATGCGGAGTCGGTGTGCCTACCTACCTTCACCCAAGAAGACAGCCATTGCCATAAAGGAGATTCTGAAGCTCTATGGCAATTTCAAAGACTGCCGGCGACTTCTACAACATTCCTACGCGTCAGACTTTCATACTTCTATGGAGCTAGAACCTACATAAAACTACGAAAAAATCGTTCTTGTAACAATTTTTTACTCTAACATTTTTAGAAACTGCCGAGCAGAAATGTTAATGCTCACTCCAGGTCCAATAATGGATATCTATAGTAAGGCCCGTAACTAATTCGGTGGAAAATATTTTAAATGATACAAACGCAGGAAGGGGTTTAGATTTGTCATGGTACTATACTAGATTCGCCAAATATTTACGACGAGCTTTCCGATTGCGATGTAAATAGGAGATCAATCCCGTATGCCTCATATGCTTATAGAAAATCATAATTTCCTATAGTTAAGTTAGTTGAGGAATGAATTGTTACCTAATCAATTGGTATTCTCTTTCTCTTGCAACGCTTCTGATACTCCCACGTGGCTTTGGAATTCCCTGGACATGGCCACATGCTTCAGATGAAGTCACATTTAGATAGTCTGAGCAGTTCCTCTAAGCGCAGCTATTTTCCACAATATCTACTGGCTGGAACAAGTACCGAAATTGGTAATACATAGGTATTTGGGCAATGCAATTCATCTTGTCAATATGGCCATGTTTAAATCCATACCTGCAAGAAGGGTGTAGCATTAAAAGTTGACAGAAATTCCCATACTCTAGGCACGCTTAGAAAAGAGATATCTTGATCCTTTCCAGACAGAAGGAATAGCTCATATAGCGAAGGACTTCATATTCATAGGACAGGCTGAAACAAGAAAGCATGCTCGTTGATGTAGAACATATGGAAACCGGTACGTTTCAGAGCAACAAGAGGAGGTGAAGGAACTCAACATAAAATAGGATACTCTGGACAGTAACTGACTACCTACATTGCTGCCTTCCTTAACTTTCCAAACCTTACTGGCTTCTCTGTACAAATTAGATTTGTGGGGATGCGATTCATTTCATAGCACATCTATTTTTAATATTCTCCAATTATAAATCCAAGATTATAGCTATATTTTCTGTTTTTTCCTAAGCCATTACCATTATACATAATGCATGAACAAATTTAACACAATCAAGGGCTATAAATTCTGTTCTGTCTTGCTCCTAAATAGTCTAGATATTGTCTATTCTGGCCTTAAACATCATGATGACCTGGCAATAGGTCTTTCTTTCACCTACTAGTACGTGCCTCTACATAGATATTGGCTTGGCAAATACAATTCATTTATGTATTAAGCCATTGTTTCACAGTTATCTGAATACAAGTTGGAGACGAGGGTTCTCGCGGAAGGCCCTTGCAGACACACACAAATTACACCGGCGTCTGATCTGAAACAGAGTAGATCATTATAATTTATAACTAGCTGACAGAATTAAATATTAGTAATATATATGCATATGTCCCTGCTAACTAGCTCAAAATTGCTGCTTATCTGACCATAATTCTTCTAACAAGTTAATAAGATGACATAAATGTTCGCCATTCAGTAGACAGGGTAGAGACCTCTTCGCCTTCGTGGCAATAGCCAGTGCTGTGGGGAATGCTGGAATTCTTGGAACTTGCGTATATTTTATCCCTTACGTTGCCTGCAAAGTTAGTGTTAGTGTATCATAATCATAATGACTTTGTTATTAAGTTCTGGATAGAATATGCGGTCTAAACAGCTGCCAAATCTTTAATCAGCTAGCTCCCACTTTTTCTCCCTTGTTCCTTCAGGTTTTTTTTTTTTTTCCCCTCTTCTCTGTCTCTCTTTTATAGCTACTTTGACCCATTTAATAAGCAGTCATGAAGAGCCCGTGTTCCAGTCTCTCTCAGCTATGTCCATCATGCAAGGGGTGTATAGAGACACAGCAAGGCACAATGTATGGTATCTACAGACATTGTTACGAGGTGCACAATGCAGACTACTACTAGTGATATACGTACCTTTTCAACCTGCTATCAGTACCTATCCCACTGTTCCTCCAATCAGTATATCTTCTCGGGCAATTTACCTTTCTTAAGATTGTTAGAAGTGAAACGGCTGACGTGTTCTGCTTACAAGTCACTGGTATTAAAGTACCTACTTCAAGTTTTATTACGTCTATAGGTGGTCTGCTACTTGCTGTATACTGAAAATCATTCACGTATTCTTAGCAATCTTATTTATAAGAACAAGCTACTTCCCCTCTAGTTCTACTAGACTCCTTGTGAAAACAACCCATGATATGACTCAGATTTAATATCAATTATGAAGTTACGAAACCTTTTAGTGAACGCTACAACACTAGCTGTTTGTATGTATTATCATCTTCCCCCTCACGTTATTCCTTGAAGCTATTGCACTAAATAAAGCTCCCTGCTCCTACATCTGTGAAGTAGCTTCCTCTACGTTGTAGTTTATTAACCGAGTAGTAGGTCGGACTGCTTTGGCGAAAATTGCCACTTTTTCTCCAGATGGCCAGAGTGAAGCATTTTACAGTATTACCATTCCCAGTTCCACATCTTCCGATTCAACTCCTATTTTCTTCCAGATAAAGGCACCCAGCACCTTCGAATGGATTGCGCTAGGGCAGGGTGTGCAAATGGCTAGTTCAAACATGTTCCTTCTCTATTCATCTTCGTCAATAGATGTGACCCTCTCTCCCCGCTGGGGAGAAGGCCACATTGAACCGACGTTTAACCCTGACGCTCAAGTCACTCTACTCGAGGGTAGTGGCATTGAAAATGGAATAATGACTGCCAACGTGCGTTGTGACAACTGTATAAATCAAGAGAACGATCTAGCTTCTAGCAAGTGGATATGGGCCTACAAGGAAGGACAGCCTTTAAGTTCCTCCAATGTTTCGCAGAAAATAGGGTTTCATGACAACTTCGGCAGTGCCAATGTCGATCTTTCTCGGTCTCTGTCGAATTCTGACAATCCCTTTGTGGGATATGACCCGTCAACTAGTGCCATGAGTTCGAATAGGTCTGGAGGTAATAATAAGGCCGTCCTTGTCACACATGGCTTTCTCATGTCATTTGCATTTGTCCTCTTATTCCCTTCATTTGCGCTCTTGGTCCCAGCTCCCTTGTCGATACCAGTCCTAAAAGCCCATGCACCTCTTCAGGTAGTCACTCTAGCTATCGCGATTGCTGGAATGGGACTAGGGCTTCGACTTTGGGTTGGCGGAGGAGTGCCGCAGAATACAGATGTGCATCCTATTCTCGGGATTATAGTGATGGCACTTCTCATTCTGCTTCAGCCTCTAATGGGCTGGTTTCAGCACCTACAGTTCCGTCGAAACGGTGGGAAGAGTGTATTCGCGCACGCACACCGTTGGCTTGGCCGCACCATGATTATTCTTGGGATCATCAACGGCGGTCTGGGATTTCGCTTGGCAGGCATAGGCAAGCCCGGCACCTCACGAGGCGCAATGATTGCGTACTCGGTCATCGCCGGCGTTATGGGACTAGCGTACATCTCGGTGCATTTAATCGGGACAATGCGGCGGGGTGCAAAGCAGACGTCAGAGTCGGTGGGAGAGACGAAAGAAGTAAATGATGACGGTGAGGAGGTGGAAAAGTGAATCTATTGGTTCTAGCTGAGCTCGACGAGACATGGCCAGATGCGGATCATAAGAGCATTGAACCACAAAGATGCAGAGTATTAATTACTAGCTGATTTACTATCTTAGTTCCTTTCTATGGCCCCCATCTGCTCAGCTCTTTAATTATCTGTTTCGCTGTTGCTTTGGTAATCGGGATTTATACTTCACACTAAATCCTACTCAAACTTGCTTGCTAGATCAGAAATACATCGACCTGCCCTGTAGTAGTATTCAGACACTGAGTCCATTCTTCATTACAAGCATATCTCTCAGAGTCTAAAATTTCTCGTACGCGCCCTGGTCTCTGATTCCCCCGCGTTGAATGGCTGCGCTTACACGCTCCGCAGGAGCTCAATGACGTCAGACGCAAACCAAACAAACAGCAACGAGCCTGCAAACAATCGTCATTCCAATGTCGTAGAAGTGATCGCGAGCACCAGCGAGAATGTTTCACAACGCCCTCATACGCACCCACCATATCACATCTCGCAAAAAAGTCTCTGCCCTGAAACGAGCTGCTGACACGTACAACTGCTTCGTGCTTCTTCGATCCGGTGGCTGCCCAGGGATCATGTACGTTGAATCCAAGGAAAAGGTTGCAGTTGAATCCTGGGTCAGTACAGTACGCAACCTACGGTATAAGGATTTTCAGCTTGTGGCGAGGCCAGGTGTTTTGGCGGATGAGAACCAGACCTACGGCGAGAACTCAAAAAATCATCGGTACCAAGAGAGGCTGTCCCAGGAGATGAAAAGGGACCAAACTATCGGCTTGTTTGAGGTCGAGACTGTTAAAGATTTTGGAAGCATAATGCAGCAACGAGGCGTTTGGCACTGGTGGAGGAAAGGCATGGGTTATACATAAAGTTCTCGCCTCTATTGGTCCGCTGGCGCTTGAGATGTACCGTCGCCATTGAATACTCTGATGCTACCATATGCCCCCAAAGATCAAGTCGAGAGTTACCATTCTACTATAGTCGAGACACAGCCAAATCCAACAGAAGTGCCGTTATGTGAACATATGAAGTTACAGGCCCAGCATCTCAGTGTTTTAGATGCTACTCTCCAAGGGCTTAACGCATAGTTCTTCAAGAACCTAAGATTTACTTCATGCACAGCCAACAAAATATCGTTCCTCACAGCACTAGAACCAACCCGCTTATCTCAAGGCACCGGTGACTGGATTATTGCCCGGTAGTTTAGCAAGAGTACCGTGCTGTCCCAATTCCTCCTCGGGTTCCTGTACCTCTAAAGTCTGGATGAGCGGCGTTAATGACCGTTTCTGTGTCTTCGTGATCGAACAATTCGAATCCAAGAGGCCTTTTTGGGTGGTACACGTCTCCAAAGCCTTCTGCAGGGCTTCTTGGTCCGCCCAACCATTGACAAAGTCCCCGTGCAGACCGTATCCAGTCATGTCACCCATTGAATATACCCAATTTTCATAGTCAGGGAAAGGCTGTGTGTTGAAAAAGAACTCCAAGAAGATGGAATATATGGCCACTGGGTGTGTCTCTGGACAGACACCCTTGTTGTAGTCTCCAATCGCAGGATAAGCCATCTGGGTAAATTTGCCATCAGTCGGAGGCAACCCAATTGAATACTGTTTCAACTTACGTGGCTTTTGTGATCAATACTATCTAGATTTGCTCCATCCCAACAGGACGGCATGAACACCTGAGACCTCAACTTCGAGCACCCTTGCTTGGGAAGTTGTTTTGTCTCTGTTGAGCTTCCATCCTGCTTCATACACATGTGCGAAATGGCACGCTGTGCAAAGTCAGAAGGGTTATAGCTTCTATATGGGCTGTTAGCTTTTTGATTCTCAGCCATGTTTGACCGGACATAGTTGACCGAAGAAACGGGTCACCAGCAATCATGCGGAGCCCAGCAGGTGGTGCTAGTGGATAATGCTGGCTATTGCAAGATGTTGTGTGCAGAGAATAATTGCATGCTCGATTGAAATAATAGATTGCCTAATCAGTTAGTTCCTGCAAGGGAGCCGTGTGGCAGCAATGGCGATGACAAGATTCTAGAAACATACGCTACCTTCAAATTTGACCAGCTCAAAAAATCCATTGTGCATCCGGTGATAGAGCTGAGGGATCCAGTAATTACTTTTGTCAGCCTCCACCCCGCAGGTGGTTTCGCGAGCATTCTTAGCAGCGGTGATTGCCATGGTTCTCTGGAATGCTGTACCTCCAGCAACGGCATGTGCATGGGTTGAAGGCTCTCCGGGTGATACTATCGGGTCAGACCGCTGTATTGTCAGCGGAACGCAGCTGAAGGTGAATTCGTCGGTCTCCCGAGCTCTGCTCAACACTGAAGCACAGACTGCCACCAGCAGGGCTGGAACAAGGCCATATTGTCGATGCCGCCTCATGGCCCGTCGTTGAGCATGTGAACCTCCTAGGTTTTATCTGGAGATGGTGAATGAGACAAAGAATCAAAAGTATGCTAGGCTGGTCGATGATCATCCTCTCATTTTATATGCTTACTTGAGGCATGTTTACATGGCTAGCCTACATGCTCGACCACCAGATATGTATTCGTTGCCCCACCATACGCCATGTACAGGAGGACCATTACTATCTATCGACCAAAATGGGCCAATATTACTCATTATTCAGCAGCAGCTCGGTCCGACTTTATTCCTTTATTTTTCACCTTTTTATCCAGCTCCCCAGATAGATTCAGATAGTCAGAGACCTTAGAGGCCTTATCCTTTTCAATACAGATCCATATTATTATATGGTCGGTGATACTAGCTCATACGCGTATTCAGCTGACTGACACTATCCCAACATAACTACCTATCACCTGGAACCTCGTCACTTGCCAATTGGCGCGTTTTTGATTCTTGGCGGTCGAAGTTCACCACTAAAAGAGACTATATTCTCTGATTCGCTAGTTGGTTTACCGCCTGAACTCGTAAAATTCGTGAGATCTAAAGGTTATTTTGAATACCATATATCTCAATATGATAAACGAAGCAATAAATCAAAATATCTAAATATCATATATATGAAACTCCTTACTACATGAACGTGCGGTCCGGGAATGGTATAAAGGGATTTCGCAGTAAGAACAGTGCCATAAACATCATAATATCTTTCGGAGGGCAGAATCAAATATTTTGCCGGTAGCGGTGTAGTTCTGACCAACCAGAGCCTTTTTAATTCACGCTAATGGCAAGTTACGACGTTGCGTGGGGATACCGATGGTATTCTTGTTTATTCTTCACTATTAATAGAGCGGACTATCTCCATATACTGGACTTCCCTAACTTTCATTCGTCTGTAATATCCTGAAGGTCATGTTATCTAGTACTACATACTTCAGTGATAAAAACATATTCTTTCTCGTCTTAGATTCCATACAGAGACAACTCCAGCCCGAATGGGCAGACAATTTATATTTAGATAGTTTGTCCGGGCACCTCTTACGCGACTACCGTGCTTAAAACCAACTGAATCAATCGATTTTATAAAAATAAAGTTGGAAAGTTAATGCACAAAATCTTTCAAAAATGGATGCCCGAGTGGTTAGTAGAGAGAAATAGGAAATTCCAAGATCACCCTATTGAAACTCCTCCCCTGGACGCCAAAAAAAAAAATTCCTGGTCTATAGCAGAAAATGAATACGGACAGATCGTACTAACATCTGCTATCTTCAAGCCAATAGCATGCATGTACTATAAACTACAATAAACACCATTCCATGCGCCGTGAAGGAAAAATATAAAAGTTACTGGGAACGGGAATCGGTATCTATATCCGGAGCCGGGTAGCTAAGAAGTTTGCAGATATTCTGTTGCATTGTCAGACAAAGACGCAAATATAATATTATATTTCTGGCGAACCTTTCTTCTTCGACGAAAATCGTCATAGAAGGTCCTCCACAACTCCCGATTGCGACACCCACTCTCCTTCGGAGTACCGGGATTATTCTGGCATTTTGGTAACGTTTCTGCTAGCACTTTTTGCGGCCACATAACCCAAGGTTTAGGCAGTGGCCAGTCCGAAAAATGCACTAGTTTCGCCTCGGATAGCACCTTATCCGGGTCCCAGATTTCATATTCATTCCCCAGATAGTTCTTATGGTTCTCTGCTCGAAACTCCCCGGTGATCAAACCGTACTGCCGGTGGGGAAGTACTATAGCCGAATCACCATACTGATCATTCAACAATTCCATGTCGTATCTATTTGTGGAAGTTACATTTGTCAGTACTTGGTCATACAAATCCGGTCGTGCTGCATCCATCAGGGCCGAGAATTCGCGGTAGGAGGGTTCGATCACGATCAATAGAGATGACAACTGCTTTTCATCCGGAAGTCTCCAATACGCTCGAGGCATTGCAACTTTGGCCGAAGGAAGAAAGAATAGCTCATCCATGTTCTGTAAGACATTCACGTCTGAGTCTATATGGATAATACGGTCGTACTCTGTCTCCCCAAAGACAAGCAGTTTAGAGATACTTTTATCCCATGACTCGTCGGGCCCTATTATCAATTTAAATGAAAAGCAATTTATCAGTATATGGTACCATCCAACTCGTGCTGCCGCAGGAACCTATGGTCATTGACACACCTGCTCCAGCTTTGATCATTTTTACATCGATCGGGACCAATTGCACGTTATATTTCTCCCGGGCCAGGCTAAGCAACTGGCTATCTCTATCCCGATCGCTTTCAATATGCACATCCCAATCTTCGGGGTAGAACAAAACCCTTTGTGCGCGGCTGCCTAACCGCTGCAAAGCCTCAAAGACCATCAGGGCGTTGCAGAGATAGGCACTAGATGTCGCATATTGGCTGTAGGCGTAACGAGTCCAATCAACCAGATCATACTTAATATGAGGCAGTGGAGGCGGCGGCCGCCGTTCCCGTCGAAGATATATGATTAAAAGAATGAAAAGCGCAAGGAAAGCCCAGGTCCGAAAATGTCTCAGTTGCCGTTTAACTATGGCTAGGCATGGCTCGTCAGGTATGTCGAAAAAGTCGGCCTCGGAGTCTGTGGACTTTCTGCGATGAGGAAGGCCTGAAGGAAGATTCTTTCCCATGGCTAGTAGTAGATTTGAGAAGAATTGGAACCCATTTCTGGATCTAGTGTAAAATGACAAATGAATATATTTGGGAGTTATCGATATCTGGATAGTCTCACGTGACGTATGCTCACGTGATATAACCAGGCTGTTCGCGACCCGAGCCCAGGTTACAGCTCTAACTAGTTAGTTAATGTGATCGATCACCGAGCTGCGCGGTCCCCACCAAACTGCGCGCTTACCACGTAGATTTTCAAATTAAAGGTCTTAATAGACTCAAGTGCCCTAGCAAATAATGCTGTCTTAATTACATAATAAAATCGCTTTATTTCGTTGAGATATTAGTCAATTTATAAGGCTGCTTTGTGTGGGTGCGTAGCTCGGTGATCGATCACGTTAACTTATCTAGTTGGGTGACTAAGGGGCGTTGTTAAATACACAGGCAAAACTCCTAGTTTCACAGGTGACTATACCTAATTGGGCAGTGCTTAGTGACACAGGTTTGACTATACCTAATTGGGAAGTGCTTAGTGACACAGGTTTGACTATACCTAATATAGATATATCATGTGACTAATACACCTCGAGGGAGTCGAGGCGTTGCCATCCTTTTAATTTCCCATATAAAATTGGCTATAAGCAATTTGACTGAAAACCCACTATTAGACATTAAATACAATGTTTTTAAACCAGGTTTAACTCCCTAATCAGAATATAGTGATCCAAATTCCACTGACACCCATATTAGATCCCCTGATCGACTGCCTGCCTGACCTCTGCCTTGAGCCCCCTCTTGAGCCTGTCCCCGAGGCAATGCTTGAGGCATTACTTGCCTTGCTGCTTTGTTTAATACCTTATTTGATGTCTGAAGCGATGCCTTATTCGATGCTTCAAGTAACTGAGTTATTTTTTCCCCCTCCACTGTTTTATCACCTGCCTGCTTAGCCGCTGCTGCCTTTGCTGCCTCGCCCTCTTGAATAGTTTGGCCATACTGAGCTATGCGGACAGCACGGTCAACCTGCTCCCAATATAACAGCTCTCGCCCTGGGCGTTCCCGTTTTTGGCCACCGCGAGGCCGGATAATCGACGGTTCCAGCACTAAAAGCCGGGTGTCCAATGGTTCGATTTGACGACCTGCAATCCACCATTGACGGTGAAAGTGTTCCATCTGAAGCGGCCTGGAGTTCTCTGAATACCACTGTATTGTGTGAATACATGGGATTCCCAGTGTTTTGTTAACAACTCCAGTGCAAGAACTGATTGGTAACTTTCCAGGCCCTGGCGGGAGATATTTCTTGTAGATCTGGTGAACTTTTAGGACTGCATAGTGGGAAATTCTGTACTTCAAGTCCCGGTACAATAATCTATTTAGCGACATAGGCCATTTTACCTTGTCCTTATTAACCTGCTGTGTAATCTCTGCATCCCGATATGTAACTGTACGCCCCATAGATTGTGCCACAGTTAAAAGGTCTCCAGAAGCGCTATCCAGGTCACTTTTAATACCAACATGAGCGCCTTCATTCCGGGATGTAACTGTAGTCCCACCATGAAAGTAGCAATTAGTATAGCAGCTTAAACAACGCTTTGCAGTAATAAGCTGAAGCCATTCATACTCCAAATATTGTATAAGCTCTGGAAATTTGGTGTATTTCTTCTTAAATAACTCCCATTTCTGATCTTTTCCTTCCACAGTCCCTGCGTTGACAACCTCCATCCAATTGTCCTCAATTTCTTTAGTAATTATGTCAATTTCTTCGCTTCTCTCCTTCGGATCCGTTTTCACAATAATCCGTGGGATTAAAGGCTTGGCTTTTGCAATAATGTTCTTTTTTATATGCCAGATACAAAGAATAGGAGCTGATTCAGGGAATAGCTCTTCAATTAATCGAAAAAGTGCCTTTTCTTTATCTGTCACAATTACAGAAGGAAGTGGAAGCCGTAGAACTCGATAGCAGGACCGTAAACAAGATAAAATAAAAGAATATGTCTCTTCTTTTTCATCACACATAAAACCAAAAGCAACATAGAAAGTCTGCCCAGTTGAAGCTATACCAATGATATCAAGGAGCGGCATTCTAAAGCGATTAGTTTTATATGTGCAATCCATACATAAGATATAGGGATTTAATTGCAAGCGCTCCAGGCAGACTTTGTGTGTTAAAAATACTGCAGTTATCCGGCCGTTTTCCGTGTCATATTGCATTATCCAGGGGCCTTTATCCGGAAGAAGTGTAATAAGTGCTTGAATTGGACTTCTTCCCTTTAAAAATTGGGAGTATACCGTTTGCCGTAGGTTATATATGTCAGACGGTTGAAGAAGACTTTTCTTATTCTCTTGGCGAAGTATTCGAAGGATTTCCTTTGTTGATATCCCCTGGTTAATCAACGGTATAATCTGATTCTTTTTCTGGGCCACCTCATTCCTTCTGTATATTGGATGGGTACTGGGAGGAGAGGGTTCATGATTATGGCATCCATTTCGTACAGTAAGTGTCCATTTTGTTGTTTGCTTTGAATAGCTAATTAGGATACTAAAAGGACAGCTAATCCGCCGAGATTTGGCTTGTCTGACACCGTTGGATCGGGATAAACGCTTTCTACCTCTGTCACAGCAAAGATAAAGCGCTTTATCTTTATTTCTTCGCTTAATAACAACTGCATACCCATGTTGTATCCCATGGGATTTGGCAGCAATTTGTGCCTCATAATCAGTATTATATTGTACACCAGATTCAGGAGAAGGAATAGACTCAGAAGAGTTAAATTCAATGGGGTCTTCGTCAGGCAAATAGTCCATTTTAATGCGACTGTTGTGGTTGGGATTATCCCTGGATTTAACCTCTCAGACTGTCTATATATTTCCTATTTAGGATATGACTAAGGCACCTGTGTAAATATAAATGCCAAGCAATTTCATTTCTACGCTAGCCCTAATAAGGTATAGTCACCTGTGAAACTAGGAGTTTTGCCTGTGTATTTAACAACGCCCTGACTAAGAGATTCCACGTGACCATACCGAATAAGGTAGGTCTCTAACACGGCCTCATCAATATGAATCCACTTTATATTGTGAAAAGAAAAGAGATCTTTTACCAGTAAAATATGCGATTTTGAGCGTACTTTAGAGGGGCTTATTTTGCCCATATACGCGTTATTTAAATAGTTACAATAATTGTACAACTAAACAAACTGTATAACTATAGTCCAGAAGTCCAAACCATTAATACAGAATAATATCTATTCAAACCTACTTATAAAATTCTCATACACTGTCTCCGGTGGCGCGTTTGGATGTCGCTGCGGCCGCGCGCGTGTAGTTCCGATGCGACGGTGGAACGAGAAGAAGGGTGGCGTTTTGGGGAGGTCTCTGATTTGGTTTTTTTTAGAGTGATTTTCCTTTCAATTTCTATCTGGGATATATATATATATATATTAAAAAAAAAAAAAGGGGTACAAAACCTTTGGTTTACTTAGAGGGAGAATATACTGCACAATGCCTTCCTCGGCAAACAGAACCGACTGCACATGCGACGCTGATGCCACCATATACACGTAATATGGCTTGTCTTCTACTGACTCCCGTAGCGACAAGGCGGGGATGCCCCCGGCCGCGTGGAAGCGTTGTACAGAGGCTGGGAAGATGTCAAAGCCAGTGACGGAGTAGCCTTCGGAGACGAGGTGGGTGGCCATGCCGAAACCCATGGCACCGACGAAACCAACGGAGGGCTTAGACATGCTAGTTTTGATTATGGTAATTGACTCCTTCGTTTTTGTTTGACTCCGTAATTCGTTAACGAATACCATTAAGCCGCGCTTGAATCGTCTTTTCATCAAAGCAACCATTCTCACCGACATAATTCCGGAGAGCCTCCAGAGCCATTAGTCGACGCGGTGCTTTCCGTCCGGTCAATAACTCAAATTGGGCAATGGCTTGCTCAGAAACGTTGTCTAGTCCATCAACCAAAACCCATGGTCGTCCAGTTTCATTTCGAATGCGACGCATCTGGCGCAACAGCGGCGTATCCAGGGGTTTGTATGCGAACTACAATCCGGTGTCAGTCAAATCTAAGATTTCCCCAGATCTCCTTCTTGATAGAATGCTTACCTCTAAAACCACACCCCCAGTCGGACTTCCTAGCCACTGCATCGGCATTTCAAAGTTGGCTGGGGGCTCGTCCCTATCAGGGTCTGCAGGAACACAAGAGGCAATTAAACATGGAGGACAGACATCTGAGGGCCACTCATCCTGTATTGACTTTAATATGTGCACAACCTCTGTTGATCCTACTTGCGACGCAGCCCAAGAATTGAAGTGACGAGCTACGCTCTCCGCGTGTGACAAGGTTCGATTGTATATGAAAATTTTGCGGCACCCTAGCCGGAGCATAGCATATACGGCCGCCCGACCCATGCCGCCAGCTCCTATGACCAAGCCAGTCGTCTTCGACGGACTAATAGCATTGCGTGGGGAGAGGTTACGATTGATGCAGGTCATAATCCCCACCCAGTCCGTATTCTCCCCATACCACCCCAACACAGGGCCGGCCTGGTTGCGACGGCTGGCTTGTTCCTGCAGCGGGAGCATGGATCCATCGGCTCGCGCCCGAAGAGGCATGATTGTATTGATGGCTCCGATCGCTTCTGCATGTCGACTTTTCGAAGCGAGTTTTTGGGAAATCTGCACTCTCCATGGTTGAACAACACTGGCGCCTCCAAAATGTGGGTCCCTACCCAACTTATCCAACACCGCAAGAGAAGGAGACTCAGGGATACTATACACGTGGTTCATACCACAATAGTGAAAAGCAGCATTGTGCATAGCGGGGGAGAGGCTGTAGGCTACGCTAGCCCCAAGAATGTAGAACTGGAGGGGGTCGAGCACGTAACTTCGAAACAAAGCCTGAACTGCATCTCGCGAAGTGATCAAGGGATCTTTCCCATTATCTGTGGATCGTTTAATTGCTGGATGAGTTACAGAACTAAGGATAGAATTGAAGACTTGGGAAGTTCGTCCAAGCCGGCCTATGTTATAGGCGATGAGGGGTGGATGGGCACCAGTAAGTGACTGGACCTTATTGGTGAACTTTGCAACAGCTGCATTATCCTCACGCTCCACTGCCACCCGTAGAATGCGGACAAGCTGGCACCCAAGCTTTTCAGCCTCACCGTACAAAGAGAGACAGTCCTCGTCATCCCAAGCCACCCCGGAAGATAATTCATAAATGTGCTGACCAATTATCTTAGTCATTCCCCTGTTGCTGATCACACGATGAAGCAAAGAGCGGTCTTGGCCCAGATCAACAGCCAAGTATTCCACTCCAAGTCGCAAACCATGTTCTACGACCTCGGAATATATGCTCCTCATTCGCACTGAAGATAAATCGCTGCTGTAAATTCCTTTTGGTGAAGTGTCAATGGAGAAAATGATAGGAATGCGCGCGCTTCTCCGGAGCAACGAAACCTGCATGCTCACGGTACTCGCCATCACAGGGCTCCACCGATCAACACATATCTCAATAGCGTCTCCGCCAAATTCAAGTTCACACAAGTCAATAGCGCCATCCATAAGCTCAGAAGATCGAACAAAGATAGCGTGAGTAAAGGACCGAAGCTCCGGAGGTATTTCTAGGAGTACGAAAGGGGAATCATAGCCAGAATGGCCAACATCCATTCCTGTGATAAATCGCACAAAACGGGTGAAGTCCTCCTTGGCCTCTTTAAGTTTGAACGAGTAATCAACAGATCGGCGATCCGGAGTTTCTTCATCAGTATGAGTAGATTCGTTGGATCGTTCTTCGATGTTATAAAACTCGAAATTGGTGCATGTGCGGTGTAGAGGGTCTCCCTCACACAATAACTTGAACGACTGGTCCTCTAGACCAAGTGTACTCTGTATGCGGTCCATATCACGGACGATATGCACAACTGGGTTAGTCGCGGAATATCGGCGAAGATGCTCTTGGACGGGACGAGTAAGACTTGCAAGGCCACATTCGATAACGCAACATGAACGGTGATTGTCGAGCATTAACTTGATGACCTCAATATCGCGACGTTGGAATTCTTGGCTTCCATAATGCTGGAGGTATTCATGACGCGTGAGCCCGGTTACTTCCTTGAAATAATGATCTTCGGTGATAAACCGTCGTTTCAAGGCCGTCGCAGCGATAAACCCTAACGAACGCTTTCCACAGCCACGAACACCAACAAGCACTAGAGAGGCATCCAGATTAAATTTGGAATGAGCTTCAGGTTGCATGGTGCAATGAAGCAGTTGGGGGGTTCTTGTGCCTGGAGTGCAAGTACGTATTATTGGATATAGACAGCTGGTGGAGACTATATTATCCACAGGTAGTCATTGGAAACCCATATTTCAATCGGATGAGTGATTGGGAGATGAATCAAGTTATTATCCTTCTATATCTGGGTGTTGTTGGACACCCAGGACACAGCATATGGAAGAAGGAAACGCTTCATAGCGTAATTAAATGCCAGAAGAAAATGCAAGCCGGCGTAGGGTTTCAAGTAGGAGCATAACAGATAAAATTATGTCTAAAAGTTCATCGGACAATGCAATTCAATGAACATAATTGCCGTGCTCACTGGATGCAGGATCTGCCAAAGGGGCGGCAGAGATCTTATCCGGCTACGGTTCATTACTACATATTAGTAATAACGGCCCACTAAGTTATGCATGGGGTGGTACTATTATACTTAGTAGATCCTAGTGACATACTTTGTCAATATAGGTGTGCCACTTCTTTCCGGCAGGTGAATCTTAAAAATGCCATTCATATCTACCTAGTCGAAATATTGAGCGCCAACCAATTGCTGAGTCATGTCGCACGCAACGAACAAAGGAACTATATTCCGTCCTCAGCCATCGCCAAATTGGACCCTAGACGGAGTAGTCGTAGTACCTATTCTTATAGATTGTTATGATTTAGGGGTGGTATCCGCTCGCTCGAAGAAAGCTCAGTTCAAATCCCAGAGGAATTATGGGGAGCAATTTGCAATACGTACGAAGTAGTTAACTAATGTGGGGTCAGTCTGACTAATGCCACTGACTCCGATTTTGGCTCCGATCAATTGTGCTATGAAGCCACCCGTCCCTGCCTCGGATGGGTCTGACTAGTTTTGTTCTTCATCTAGCGTTGCCTGGCCCAGAGAGGAACGTTTCCATACCCTATGTCCTGGTGGTGGCAGCTATATTCGGCCCTTTAAGATTGCCGTCAGCTTCTTTTCTTGCGTATATCGGGCTCCTCAATAATTTACCTTTGTTTTGAGTGGAAGGATATGCAGCATAGTATAATCATTCCAACCGTCAAAGACCCGTCCGCTCGGTTGTAACAGCTTCATGGTTCAACCATTTGTTTCTCCTCTGCTTACCCTTGACCTATACGGCATGCCAATTCAGTAATTGACCCTCAATGGACGAGGGTTCCGATCCGAAGGCCACTCGACGCAAGAGGGTCTCCAGAGCTTGCGATAGATGTCGAAGCAAAAAGGTTCTTCCCCCCTCCTAAGAGTAGCTCGAAATAGAAAGTGTTAATTAACTCAATGCCAAATGATTTTAGGACAAATGCGATGGCTTACGCCCCGCTTGTTCCGCCTGCCAGGCTTCTGGCCATACATGTTCGTACGATCCTCAGACAAAGAAACGTGGACTACCCGAAGGATACGTACGGGGCCTGGAGAAGCTCTGGGCTTTGTCCATCTGCAACATTGATGGTTTTGAAGACACAATGTTAACCCTCCTGGGCACTACTGCAGAATCAGCTTGCCGGCGTGATAAACTTATGAATCTCTGGACGGATGATGTCGCGTCTGAGACTCTACATGATTCATGGAAAACAAGTCGCCTCTATAATGCCCTTGAAAAGATGCTATCGAACCCTGATTCTTCGCCGTCTCATCGTCCCGAAAAACGTTCTCGGGAGGATGTGAGCGATTTCTCACTTACTCCAGAAAGCGAATGGGGGTTTCGCGTAGACCGCAGATCGACCCCTTCATTGGATGCTGGGCTACGGGTGAAGCCTTCCGCTGTCTATTCTGACGCTAAAAGAGCTCGCCTGTCTCATCCGTTAGATAATCTGTCTTTACCTTTTGACAGCGGCACTAGAGTCTCACTAGAATTGCCCACTCAAACGTCGCAGCTCTTAGACATTTATTTTGCCGTCACCCATTCTTGGTTCCCAATTGTTGCTAAGCATAATATACTTCGAGCATCATACCTTTATGCAAATGCTCCTTTGTCCGTTACAAAAACAGCCCCAGGATCCGGTAACCATGCTACTCTCTGGGCTCTCCTTAGCTATACCATTTCTCAGTCTACAATGACCTCGCCAGGCAGATCATCCGAGTCGATTGCTAAAACAAGAGAGTACTATTCCGTCTCTCTATCCTTGATACCATCGGAAGCCGACCGATATGAGCTAGGACACGTGCAGGCATTGCTTCTGCTAACCTTAGTAAATATCGGCCTTGAAGACTGGACGACAGCCTTGCTGCTGAGTGGACAGGCAGTCCGTATGGCCATTTCTATGGGCCTAGGTGCCCCCACAGACTTCCGACTGTCTGAAGAACGGCGGCAAGGGAAAGTGGTCTTTCTCGGATGCTTTGTTATCGACTCTTTGTTATCTTTTCGTATGTCTCGCAGGCCGTGCATGCATCCACGGGATTTGGCGTCCGTAGGGTTGCTGGAAGAAGATGGCTTGGAAGAATGGAACTCTTGGACAGACATTTTACCGCCTGCGGGCACAAAGCTAGGGAATAATCCGCCCCGGAGAGGTCCCCTCCTAGCCTTGAGCTGCTTCAATCGGCTAGTTGAACTGGCCAGCGTGCTGAATAAAATTTCTCGCGATGCTATTACTGGGGTCAGTGCACATATATTTGCGCAGCAGCTGGTTCTGGAACTCAAGCAGTGGGATGAGCGTTTACCGCTAGGATGTCGGCTGATTAGCCCAGAAAGTATCTATCCTGAGCGACACTCTGCTTTACTTCCACATCAAACCTACCTGTGCCTAACTTATTTGGCTACGCTACTCTGGCTCTACCTGCGCATGGCTTCCTATGAGCTTGAGATGCATCGCTCTCAACGAGCTGCCATTGAAGGCGCAAAGAATCTCCTTTTCAGAGCGTTGCCGATGATATCACAACATATAGACAATTTCCGAGCTTGCGGCCTCCCGCCATTATTTGAATTTTCTTTGTGGACATTGACTGAACAGGCATTGACACTGCGCAGCAAAGTCAAATATAATATGTTTCCTTTTGGACGGTGGGTGGAAGCTCTTCTCCAACAGACAATGCAGCTCAAGCTAGCATGGCCTATTTACCGTACATTAGCTAGGAAGATTGATTACTGGTATCACTGCAAAGACTTGCCGGAGACATTATCTTACTTTCGCAGCTCGAAAGCAGAAAATACACCAAGAGTTGCACCTAGTTCACCAAACAACGACCCCTTCGTCGACACAATGCCTACGGCAGCGACATGCCACCGAGACTCGAACACAGAAGCTTCGGTAGCTCCACAGAACCCCCCTACAACATCTGATTCCAGTTATACGTCCGCTATCCTTGGCATCAGCGTACCCGTGGAGGAGCAATATATGACATCAAAAGATAGGATAATGGAGAATACAGACCTCTGTATGTTAGATTTGTCTTTTCAGCAGCAGCAAGAAGAACCGCCACTTCCAAGGGACAGGACAACAGTTCACGAAGACAAGTCTGATCTAGCACACGGGCTAGATGCAATGCTACCGCCTGAGCATCCCCTGTCGACACCTGACTCATCCGTTTCGAAAATTGCAATGACTGGGAAATCCACTAGCAATGACCGGCCTTTACTGTCTAATAATAGCGAATTTTTGGATCATGACAGTTCAAGCAAAGGAGATCTTTCAGCTCCCGGCACTGATATCGATTCCATCTTTAAAGATCTTGCATATCTTGATACCACTGAATGGGCTATCAGTCGTGAGGCAGGCTTGAAAGAATTTGGCTTCATAGATGACAGCACTTTCCATGCATTCTGTCATGACCCAGACCGTCTCGCCGAATCTCAATCTTTGGTCCATCCACCGTCATTCGAAGACATTTGGCCTCCCCCGGGTTTTTTCCCAGAAACCTTTCAAGACTCCGCTGAAGATGCAATGGAAGTATGACACTCAGTTATTGATATTGATTGACTCTACGCAATAGTTCAGTGGATCTCTGGTCGTTTTTATGTGGGCCTGGATACTCGAGTAGAGCACGTCAATGCAAATTTTAAAATGGCTCTGAGTCTACTGAAGTATATGTGTCTGTAATACTTTTTATGCACTTGGACGAAAATCGTCACTTTGTGAAATATAAATGTCAGCCCTTGGCCTTCTGGAGGCAGTTCACAATGTATCCATGTTTGCTAGTTCAATTATACGCTTGTGTGGCAATTACATTTGGACTAGAACACAGAGATGGAGCATCATTGGCGGTTTAGAATTATTATGCTAAATGTTAAGGATTATGTTAGAGTCAAAGTTATGCCTTGTGGCTTGACATCATTGACAAGATATAGGGGGACAGTTCCATCAACATCAATAATAAAAGAACAACACCTGTTAGAAGAATGATCAGGCAGCCACGCTTCCACCAACGTCAGTCATGTATAGCTGCCATATCTATACTCATTCCTACATCAAGTATGCAAACCCGTATCTCATTATCTAAAGTAAAAGACCAAGTCATTTAGCAATATAATTAACTTGTTCCCGAACAAGAACAGAGGTTCTCCAGTACGGCTGGGATGTATCCGTCCACCCAGCCTAATTGAAAAACTAACTGTTCCACTTCCCTCATAACGGCGGCAGGGGTCATGCATTTCGAATCCCCCAAAACTGCAGGTACCGGGTGTCTGGAACACATTTCCTCTGTACGGCCCTCGAAGAAAACCACTATGTCAATCGTCAGTTTGATCTCGTAGGGTGTGAGAGATTGGTAATGTTTTTCCAAGCAGGACATGCTAAACCGTTGGGAAGGCACAAGACCACCACTCATAATGCGAACCATTCTTGCTCAAAATGGTACATGGCTTTGATATCTCCAGAGTCATGTGATGGTAAGAGATAACAGGACTACAGTCATATTCCTCAGTAAGATTTCCAACTTCCCGCACGCAAGAGATTTATAGCTGTGACCAGAGTATTATATTATCCAGGTTATAGATGAGCTTTCCTGAGCCACCATAGGCGAAAACCATATCTCTGCACTGGGGCCTCAATATAATATAATTGCATACTATTCAGTCGATATAGCCTTATATCAGGCAACTATACACACAAATATAGCCCGATAAGTACAAAGCATTAGCATTGGGTTAGCTTTCCTTTTTTTTTTCGAGTTTATAGCCCGCAATTGTGTTTTCCAAATTACCTCTCACATCCTCATTCCAGTCCCCCTCTCGGCGGCTTGTCTTGGACATCCCCGAGTACACAGGCAGTTATAGACCCTGGAATCAGAGACTTGTGCTTTTGATCCTGTCATACTGCATAAAGAGTCATATGTGCTAACGCCTAGTATTACTTCTTCATGATCTGAGAATATAATACCGCAAGGCACGCATTGAAGAGTGGTTTGGATGTACATAGAAAATATCTGCGAAGGTTCTGTAGCGCCTGTCTTTAGAATCACAAAAGCAAAATATCTTCCACAGCATGGCAATTGGTTGCGGGAGAGTAGAAAGCCGCAGGACAGTTCTCTTTGGCTTCCATCCGCATCTTGAAATGGAGTATAGGAGGCAACATGTCTCTGATAAAGGACAGCTTAGGAAGTGCCCGGGAATTTTAAGGGTAGAAACCGTCCAGCGTTGGGAACGGCTATGGCAGAGACTTGAGTGTATAGTCGATAGATAAAGACCGCAATCCCACCGCCATCTAGGGTCTGCTGTGCATGCGGCCAAGGATAAAATGGCGAACGCGCAAGGCAACTAAGGAGAGAACTTCTAGTTAAGGAGTAAATAGCCTATTGTGTTGGAGGACTAAAGTGATTTGAACAAATATATTTATACAACAGAAGCAAGGCATACATATCTCGAGCTTATTGATAGAAACTTATTTCTTTAGTGGAGAGGTGTATAGTTTGATGAACCCATAGTTAACAATAGACATTCAGTGGAAAGTTCTTTGTGTTAGGACGAAATGTAAACCACAAGTAATAAATAAACGTATTTGATGATAGACTGGTGCTAGGCACGGAAAATGATTCCAATAATATAATCATCATTCATATACTGCATCAGCCCTGTTAATCTTATAGCCTATCATGGGCGATCACGACAATGTCGGTAAAAAGGGGGGAATATATATAATGTGTATATAAAATGGGGTTAGGGGAACTGTCCAAAAAGCCATACAACACCAAGGCCTTCAGTAGACAATCCCACCACGCTCTGAAAAATGCTCAAGTCGCAGCAAGAAAAAATGATGTGAAGAGCTTTATAAAATCATTCAATCCATAGTGTTGCATAAATTTGTCTTAATACCACACATCAAGCGTCCATGCATGTGAACTTTGTGCATGGCCATGTTTTGTAAAACTGTCATTCAATCAGCAAGTATGCCCAGCGGTCCTAAGCTCATCGGCGCCACCCGACATTCCATATGACATGGGCGATATCCCGGGCTGTGTTGACAGCATCAATTATCTTGTCAAACATATCGGGGTAAGACTGCCCGCCTTCGCCAGGAGACGTAGGTAATTCTGACTGCGAAAAACTAAGATTTTTGGCGAGCTCTTCTTCATCTTCAGTGTTCATAAACCAAGGATGATTTTGGTCTGCTGGGTTCCGTGAGCAATGTTTGCATTCCCACTTGGAATCCAGCCCAGTGCAAATATCTTCATGGTCCTCTTCAGAGAAAAAGTCGGCCGACTGGTCAGAATACCAGTATGCTTTTGTAGAGTCAGAGCTCAACGAAGGTGTCGAGAAATATTCGGTCCACCGATCCATTATAGAGCACACCGGGGATTCTGAGGTATCTTTGCGATACTTAAGCGTCGTAGAAGGAAGGGGTGCAATCGTCTTGTTATCCCCATTTGAACTGCTCCGTATTATATTCCCCCCACCAACTGATTCGTGTGGAGAGATCTGTTTCATCATGACAAGCCCATCGTCGTCATCCCCGGGTGTAGTTAGCCACTCCACATCTTCTTCGTCTCCCTTGGCTTCCACAGCGATGCACTGCACGACTTCATCGTTAAAATGAATATGCCGCCTATCACTTGGCGAGTCAGTTCCAGAGGATGTATTTGTTGAAGTATCAGTAAGTGAGCTCTGCGGAATCCCATCAGATGATCTGTTCAGTGCCCCAATTTTCGATGTATGTCGGCCTAAGGAGGGACGGGTACGACTTAGATCCGCTTCTTGTGCCTTCAATATAGCCCCTGCATGTTGTAATAGAGTATGCTGTGACAAAGACCGTTGTAGTATTGATTCAGATGCGGTCCTTTTCTTCAAAATAGGTTTCCTATCCATAGAAAATGTCGGCGTTTCGAGGCAGCTCGGAGGCGGCGAAGTAGTTGGCTTTTCTATGTTTGAGTGCGTTTTCAACGGCCCATACAGCCATGTCACATCACAATCCTTCAGCCTGTGGAGACTCGTTAAACGGCAACAGTCAGGAGTGAGAAATACTCGATAAACAGCTGAAGAGGATTAAACTTACCAATTGAGGGTATCTGGTGACACGGTGCTCAGGTTGAGTCTCATCTTCGCCCAAGTTCTCCACGACGCATTCTCCAATCTCAACCCATTCTCATATATGATCCTGCGGCTGACTACATAACGCCAAGAGGCCCAGATATCTTCTTCTCTCCATTCATGAGACAGGTAATCCACATGTCTTGAAGGCTCCTCCTCGATTGAATAATCGTCGACTGCTGGTGCCTGTGACCTCCAATGATGCACTTCTACTGGCAAATTAACGGATGTCTTGCTACAAGATTCTTCCTTGTGAACAAATGTAATTGTAGCATGTGAGGGAAGGACAGTATCTCGATCTTCTTGTTCATCATAAAGACTGAGGGATGGGCTGCTGAGTGTTGTGGGCGAAGAAGGTAAGCGTTGAATCGCCGATAGGGACAGATCGGGAGATGACGGGATGGAAGATGAGGCTGATGATATGATCGGACTGGGGGAACTGTCTCTTTGAGGATATTCCTGAATTGGAGATCTAGTCGAAGCTAAATCGGGGCCATCTAAGACGTATCTTTGGGCGATAGGACAACGTAGGTCGTCCGATGAAAACCGCGCATGCTGCTCTCGCGAGGTTGTGAGAACATCAGTCATTGTAGCTAGTGGTCGAGATCATTGATAGCACAGGGACCTCAGCTAGAGGGTATATATGTAGGGTGATGGCTGGAGGAATAAGAATCAAGGCGCATCAGAAATAGTATTCTTTCATGGGAAAAGGTCAAATAATAAGGGGATTCAAGGCAGACGTTTGATGGAGAAGGGGCATATAGTACTAACTTTGAAAAGGATATCCTTCTCTCTGTGGATTTCGTCCCACTATAAAAAAGCGTACGGTTATTTTTCTAGTTCATATATATTTTAATTATTTGCTTTTTTTTGTTTTGTTTTCTTTTTCCGACACGGGTCTAGAACAAATCCACTGTCAGGGAAGAGCAAAAGATGTTGGAGTGGCGCTATGAGAGATAATTGAAGGAAGCCGCAGGAAGCAAGGAATAAAATTAAACAGTTCAAGGTAATGGAGGTATTCAATGGATTTTGCGTTCAAAGCCAGCACCAGAAGACAAATGGCGGCAAGAGCTATAGCAAGGGCCACCTTAACAAAATCTCCAATCTAAGGTGCTGGTAGATTATGATTGGAAGATAGGATGGTCAAGAGTGAGATGAGGTACATCTGGAGACTAGATAAATAAAGGATAAAACTTAGTGAAGGCTAGACAATAAAAGAATAGACAATTAGGTGGGTACTAACATAGATATAACAGTGGTTGGAACGTCACTAGTTGGTAGGATCAATTTATATCAGTTATACCTACATGGACGCTCACACAAGAACAAAGAACAAGGTGGTCGGGTAGTTTGTTAGTCATGGACTCTGTAGCGGGTCGCCACCAGGGGCGGTGACTTGTTTATGACGCTAGCGCGCAATGGAGCAGTTAGAATATTAATGTACCTACTAAGTACCTACGTAACTGTAGTCCACCATTGGTGGTTGGCCGCTGCCAGTTACTGTAACTTTTGATGACTTCCGATTCCGTGCACACTGTAATGCATGATGGACTGGTGGAGTCAGTCGGCTAGACTTTTAACAGGCAGTTAATCAATCCATCCCCACAGACAAAATCTGCTAACCTTATCTAGTACCTCCTGTTCTCCTTCCAGGCTGTTTCTTGAAAAGTCAGACATATGAGACATAAGCTAGCTTCAGCATAGGCACTGCCTACAATAGTCCCTTCTAATGTACGGAGTACATACATGTACTTATGTAGTATATTCCTTTCCTCCTTCCTTTTTTTTTTGGTTTGGGGGGGGGGGGGAAGGGTTTGACTTGATCATTTAAATTATAGCTTCCCCACTCCCTTTTGACAACTAAATCATTACAGAGAACAATACCATTATGGGTCTCTTTTGAGTGACTGCTTTTACTCTTGCCAACTCAAGATATCCCCAGCGCTATTTGTGTTATTGATTGGGTCGGCTAGCAGTTACGATAAACTTTAGGTTTCTTCTTTTTGTTCCCATTTGTCCTCTCGAGTCGCTCCCCGCACGGCCATACTAGAGTCTAGATTCTCGGACTTTTCATGAACCAGTAGGAAACTCTTCCTTATATCTATGGAGATGTAAATCATTGCCCCTCAAAATACCTGGCTAGACACTGCCTAGTAATTACTGGTATGAGTTTCTCGAGGCTTGAATAATGCCAGAGGGCTAAAGGAGCTTGCAAAGTCATTACTCGGCAGTCTCTCTATTGCCTTGCCAAGGACTTGGAGGTCTAAGCGAGATTTTTTTTTTTTTTTTTTGCGGGTGGGGAAGGTTGATTACATGTCTCAGTAGCCGGCTACCTTGTATTTACCAAGTAGGTGCTGTAACATAAAGATCACGATAGGAGATTCAAATTGATCTCAAATTGGCTAAACGACCGACTAACTGGTTAATTATAAAGGAGAAAGTAATCGCTTGCATACAAAAAAGGGATCATTCTAATGCTAGGAGGTAGTGGGTGAGAACTTAAGATATTGACTGTTTTTAAAATGAAGGCACTCCCCTCCAAGTTCTGTCTTCTCCCACCTACTGCTCTACTCTAGTACTATGCACGAACGTTTTGACGCATATTGTTATCAAGGTTTACTACGTAAGACCTAAACAAATGCTATCTATGGACCTCCATTCCATTCTAGCTGCATATGCTGCAGAGTGCAGATCTCTAATAATGTAACAAACCAAGGACATATTTCCTTGATACTAACGCATATCATTCCGGAGGGGTAAAGGAAGGGAACGAGCTTAAACAGCAGACAACCAAAAAAAAAAAAAAACCCCTCAGTTACTTGCATTATTCCTTGCCAATTAATATGGAACCAGGGTCCGTGCTGACGCCACATTTACATTCAAATGCTAGTGACCAGTCTGAACTTGAAGCCTCTACGGAGTATTTTTTTTGACTAGTCTTAGTCTCTACAAAGCGACTCGAAGTACGTGGAAACATCTTACACTCCCCATATCCAAGATTGCCATAGACCAATTGATAAATCTGTCAGTGTGAGCTGGCATTAAGAACTATTGTATCTAAGTGCTTCATAATATGTATATCCCAGTATGGTAGGTAAAATTCCCCGTTTACTTCTGTAGAGTCCACCCTAGGTATATCCAGTACTTTCCTAAAATTTTATCCATTCAACTCGAAGGGACGGGACAACATGGACGGAGATAACTATCTTTGGTATTCCTTCTACATGCCCTTGTCGTCGGCCGTGCGTCTGCATCGAGCTTACAGCTTCTCCGTGGCAGTACCAAGCACTGATATGGGTGAAGACTATTTTATTGGTTGTTTACTAAACCCTACTTGTTTGTGGAAGGAGCTCAAGCGCGGGAATACACAGCCTGTAGAGAGAATTTGAAACTGGCCCGATTTCATTGTCTGATTTCAAAAAATGGGATCGATAGAGTTGTATCAGGAGTTGATTGCCGATAGAATCGCTACAAAAGCCTTCAAGGCAAGCCTACTGCTATGCAACAAGATGTAATATACTGCCTCTGTTTAGATTTCCTTCCTTTTCTTCCCCCCTACCCCATCACACGTACACCTACATAGGCACGTATACAATCTCTTTGGATTGTCAATGCTCTAAATCACGTGATAATACCAGAGTAGCTGGTGGGGCAAACTGCACTTTTCGACCCACGACAATATCAAAAGCAAGTACGCCCCTGAGCGCTCTGGAGGCTTTGCGGATTTATTACAGCTAGACGGAAGTAAAGAAAAACAGAAGCACAGAATATGGCAGAATCATCGCAATCCAATGCCACTGAGCCACAGGCCAGAAACGTCGAGTATTGTGGTGGTAAGTCTCATTTTTTGACATGATGCAGTGGTAGATACCCTTTGTCCTAGGGTTAAGATCATTTGTCAAGATATCATAGCTAAAATATCCCTTTATCAGTTTGTACTCTACCTCCAGAGGTATGATCCTTTTCCTGTTGGCCGCAGCCTGGACTACCTTGATAGACAAACCACTCCTGGGTAATTGAGGGAGTTTCAACGGCCAATCATATTACAATGACTCCCCATACTAACTTGCGATTCCCAGTATTGTGAATTTGGCGGAACAGCTAAAAAATGTGAAGAATGGTTGAAAGGAAATCATCCAGATATGTACCAACTGCTATACTCCGAAGGTATATTATTTCACCCCTGGTATAAGATGTGATAGGGGATTACTTAAATTCAACTAATTAATCTGGGTAGAAGCTCTCAGTTCTAACCTCTCAAGCCTTTCCGTATCTGTCCGGGAGCGTTCAGCAAAAGATGCCGCGAAGAAGGAGGCAAAAGCTGCTTTGGCAGAAGCACGCGATGCAGAGAGGAAGGCGGCCTCGAAGGTCCAGATTAAACGTGTTGAACGTAACAGACGAAAGCATGTCAGTGTAATCACGGGCCTAGAAGTATATGGTCTAGAAAACAAGAAGGTGGCCAAGGAGCTGGGTAAGAAATTTGCAACTGGCTCTTCGGTGACCAAGTCTGCTGCGGGGACCGAAGAAATTACAGTGCAGGGTGATGTGAGTGATGATGTCAAGGATTGGCTGTTAGAGATGTATGAGAAGGAAATTCCGGAGGCAAATATTGAGATTGTTGAAGACAAAAAAAAGAAGGGAGGAGGTTGATCACACACAACACAAGATGAATGATACTGACTGTGCATATGCACAGGTCCTATTCCTTGCATGTGGGGTATCATGTCGCTATATTGTACAGGAATATTGATAGCCACACCAATACTTAGGATCGGCGTTGAAGGACATACGGTAGTTTGGAGAACTTAGAATGGTAAAAGTCAAAGTTCATTAAGAATATTCAGAGGATCTTGTTCAGTAGGTTCCGCATTTAAGCCCAGTGCCGCAGATGTAGGTGGATCAGCTGGCTGGGAGAACTGTCGACTTTGAAAACTTGAATGCTTATTATCCAAGTTAGATGGATACAAAACCCGCGAATTGCTCTCCTTTTCATTATATGGTAAAATGTGTGAAGAGTTGTAAGCAAGCATTGTCACTTGTGCTAGGCTCTCAGGACCCGATGATTCGGCGCTTATATTTGGGATAATAAAAGCAACAAAGAGAGCTGTAATACCTGTCATAACCACAATCCAAAAGGCACGAAGGCGTCGATGAATTCGGATCTGGCATTCTGCCTCTCTTCTTTCCCACCAATCGATCTTGCTTCGCACAGCATCAAGCCTCTCATTAAGAGCATCAGCCCTTGTCTTCCCCGCCCTCATACGCCATTCCAGAGCGTCAATTTTTTGTACCTGTGGCTGGAATGCTTTCAACTCAGAAGTCTGCTTTCGTATCTCCTGTCCCAGGCTGGTGGTCTCCTTTTCAAAATCATCAAAAAGGGTCGATATAGAGTCATAGAGCTCTTGGAACGAAGCGGTCGTCGAACGAAGAGCAGCGATTTTCTCCAGCAGATTGTAGTAGGTATAATCCAGTCTACGAGTAATATCGGTTGCAAGGGTCCCAGCCAGTACCAGAGAGGATCGCAAGTATCTACAATTGGACAATCAGAATTATCGAACAAAACAGCAAGACGCACACATGACTTACTTTTCACCCCGTTTTCTCCTATCGGTAACATACTCCAAATCCTCCTTCGAATGAATCTCCCGTCTTTTAACTAGGCTAAGCTTGTTTATCTGATCAGTGTCATCAAATATATTTCCTTTCTTGCCACCATTATCTAAACCAGCAGTGGATTCTGAACCCCAGGGTGCTCTTTCCTGTGCTATAGGCCTGAGAAGACCATCATCCACGTCGCTCTTCTTCTCCTTACCACTGGGCCATGCTGGTAGCAGGCCTCTAGCACCGGTCGAAGAATTTATAGGGTTCATTATTTGAGAAATGGCCGACCGCGACTAGCTGTGTTTATGCTTAATAGTTTGTTTGCACTTTGTACGGTTTAAACTGCTGAAGCATGATAATGTTGTGGAGGCGTTTCAAAAAGTTGTCTTATGGGCTGACAAATCGGGGCTCCTCGCAAACATGATCGGATAGAGCAGTTTTTGGCCCGTTGTGGTGGGTATGGCCACAATCTTCATTTATCTCGAGTGATGAGGGACTGGCAATGACTTTCTGGCTCCAACCTGTCGAAGAATGGTGGCAAAGGGGCGCGCTAGTTGCTTGGCTTGATGACAGACCAGGAGAAGGGGATCAAACCAACGTTCCATTTCCACATGCTCCGCTCATCAGTTTTTAATATGTAATTATTTTTTCAATTCTTTAATGTTCAGGAAATGAAACGAAAAAATTTAGGGGAGAGGCCTTTTTTTCTCAAAAAAAAAAAAAAAGAAAGAAAGAAAGAAAGAAAAGAAAAGAAAAGAAAAGAAAAAAAGGAATACTGCGTCCTAAGCGACGAAAAAGCGGAAGATTGAGGCTGACGTATGACACCAAGGCTGATCGGTTACTTATCTTCACACCTTCAAGCAGCTCGGTTTTATCTACACAAATCAGGATGCCTATATACTACCTATCTTCTGGTCGATTATTTAATTTTAATATGAATAATACCATTCAGCCACTAAAACCCATGTGCTCTACGTGAGCCGTGATTTGGTTATGGATAGAAGGGAATTCCCAGAATTTAACAATATATAATCCATGGTATGCCTGTGTAGGTGTCAAAATAATAACTTGAAATAAAACCAATAATAGTAACCCAGTCCAAAAATACTAATCACACAAAACAGAAATAGTAAGCAAGAGGGACGACAGCTAATTAACTCCCATAATCGCCCGCACACCCAGTAATAATCTGACAAGTATTGCCTGCATGGATACTCTTACTCACCCCAGTCATTGTCTATTAGACTCGATAATACAATGCATCTGTGCTAGGGAGGGGTAGAAGAAGAGGAAATCTGAGTCACTATAGCTCTAGCAACCCAACCCTGTACAGTTATGAGTTAAGTAACTTGTTACGTTTCTCTCTTCGTTTCAGTCGTTCAACTCTTTTATGGTGCATCTTCTGCGCCATTTTCTCAAAGCGCTCTTTCTCCTCCTTTGCCGCCCTACGTTCTCTGATAGATTTAATGTGTGCCTATGAACATGGTCAGCAAAAACAGGATAATCCAATTATCATCTGGTACTAAGAAGGGTTCCTTACATTTCGTTCGGCCTCCCTCTCCTCCTTCAACTCCCTTTCATGCTCCTTGACGGCTTCTTGGTGTTTGCGTGCTTCCAGTCTTTTTGCATATGAGGATAGGCCACTAGTAGGACGGAACGGCTTTTTGATGTCATGCCAGTTTTTTCCTGCAGACCCGAGACAGGTGAAAAATTAGCAGTTGAAAAAGGTAAAAAGTGGGGGAGGGGGGTGTCAATAGGAAGGCATTCTCCAAACACGTACCATTTTTCCGCATGCCCTTAACGGGCTCAGAAGAAGCTGGCACCGGGGAAGGTGACATGCTTAGTTTGCATAAATGAACACGTCACGGAAAAAGTGAAGGGTTAAAGAAAGCCTAGGAAGTTTTCCTTCTGCGAAGTTTTTCTTGATGGAAAAAGTTATCTCAGACGGATCAGATAACCGGATCTCGGCAGAAGTAGCAACCCGTTCCCACCACATCCGAGTCAGCGGCATCGGCGTATTGAGGGATTTGCGAGCGATAATCCTGACGGGTCCTTCATTCAACTAAAATCTCGCAGCAACAACCACCAAATGAGGTGACCCGCCCATTACTCCTTTTGTTCCTGATTTCGGCTATTTAGCCTGCAAGCGATGCATGCTCATTATTGAGTTCACTGTGTGAAAATTGAGCACACCAAACGTACCCCTCATAGCACACCGCCCCCCTGGGAGAAGAGTCCTAAAAGGCTTCCTTGTCACCGACAACATACAGGACGATACAATGCTCAACCGATAGGCGTTGAAAACTTCCTCTAACCCTACTCCTTTTTTTTTTTTTTTTTTTTTTTTCCTTTGCCTCTCTCTTCTTCCCGACCTTCCACTCTCCTTCAGCTTGTCGAAGTCGAACCTTGACAGCCAGTTTTTGCCTCCATGGCGGCTTCCGAACATGCAATATCAATAAATAATGAAATGTCTATGGATCTCCCTGCGCTTCCCCCTAATCAGGGGATTGAAGCTTTAAAGGATATTATATTTGGTTCTGTAAGAAGCCCTGTGCTTTATGTGGAATTCGTTCTCCCCTTTCACCTATTAACAACTTGACCCAGACTGCAGGAATGGCGGGCAAGATCATAGAGTACCCTTTTGATACAGTAAAAGTGCGACTTCAATCACAACCAGATCATCTCCCACTCCGATACAAAGGCCCTTTAGATTGCTTCCGCCAGTCATTTCAGGCAGATGGATTTCGTGGACTCTACCGCGGTATCAGTGCCCCTATGGCAGGTGCTGCTATAGAAAATAGCTGCCTCTTCTGGAGTTACCGCTTAATTCAAGACGTGCTGAAGGCAACTTGTTATAGTTCAACAGATCCATTACCATTCACAGCTTTGTTGGTCAGTGGCGCTGCGTCAGGATCTGTCACCTCGCTTGCACTCACCCCTGTTGAGCTTATCAAGTGTAAGATGCAAGTCCCTCTTGAAGCTTCTTGTACACAAGCACCTAGATCTCTTACACTGGTTGCGTCTATATTCCGACAAGATGGTATTTTGGGATTTTGGAGGGGACAAATAGGGACACTCATTCGTGAGACTGGCGGGGGTGCCGCTTGGTTTGGTGGTTATGAAGGAGTTTCTGCCCTTTTCCGAGCATACTCTACATCACCTTCGGAAATAGAACCATCTGAGCTCCAACAGACAAGACTTCCTCTCTATCAACAGATGACTGCAGGGGCGGCCGCTGGTATCAGCTATAATTTTCTGTTTTATCCTGCCGACACAATTAAGTCTCGCATGCAAACCGAGGATATCACCCGTTCCACAGTCAGTGGGGAACGGCATACATTCTGGAGTACTAGCAAGGCTTTGTGGAAGCAGCAAGGACTAAGAGGATTATATCGTGGTTGCGGAATAACATGCGCACGATCTGCCCCGAGCTCAGCTTTTATCTTTACGGTCTATGAAGGATTACGAAATTATTTTGGATAACTTTTGCTTTTGCTCATATTTTTATCTCCTTTGTTTTTACTGTATAAGATACCAAGTGTCATGTTTTTAAATATAGATCTCTTGTTCTTTACCTGTACTATTGCGTTATCGAATGCGACATCACTGTAGATTCCTTCCCCTCCCCCGCATTAACCTCCCATATTGTGTTGTTTGGTACATGCATGTGGAAATTTTGACTGTTGATACCTGCAAGCCCTCGGCATGTCACGGGCGGGGAAAAGGTTTGGTGTTAGCTAATTTACTACATATATTAAGCGTACGAAAACCTGTGACAGGCTTTGATCCAAACCTATTTTCCTCAACTCATCTTCCCGTCTCCATCCATCAAATTAGCCAATTTTTCAGCACCAATGGCATCTTCTACCCCTGCCCTTTCTGCACAGGAATTGCAGACCCTATCATCGAAAGCCATTGCTGCCAAAGCCACAGCATATTGTACGTCATAGTACAATATTTTTACACTCCCTCCAATTGCAAAATGTCATTACGCCTGCTAACCTAGTATAGGTCCTTATTCCAAATTCCGAGTTGGAGCATGCATTCTCACCCAGTCGGGTGAGTACATCTCTGGTGCCAATGTTGAAAACGCCTCGTACCCTGTGGGCACATGTGCGGAAAGAGTAGCGTTTGGGACTGCAGTTGTAAGCTGTGGACATCTTAAGAGTGTGCTAATAGTTGAATTCATTTCCTCTAATTCAATCTATGTAGGTTGCTGGACACAGAAATTTTAAGGCTATTGCTGTTGCTACGGACGTTAAGCCGGGGGCATCGCCATGTGGCATGTGCAGACAATTGTATGTTTTAATCTGATCGTTTCTCTCATACTCCCCAACAATAAGAAGGGAAAAAACAGGGGTTAAGAGAAGCATGCATTTGATAATGATCCTTTGTGCAACTCAGAGGTTCTGTGTGACTGACGAAGTACTGAAATTATTTGTTTAGTATGAGCGAGTTCACAAGCCCTTCGTTCCTCATTTATATGTATGATGGGGAAGACAGCTATAGTATCACAACAATGCGTGAGGTATGAGCCCCACCCTCTATTCTGTTAGCCTTGCTATAGACAAACATCTGACAGACTTCTGTTTATTTGCTGCCTGTCTATTTTCAGCTCCTTCCAAGCTCCTTCGGACCAAACAATTTCTTATAAAAGGGGCCCCACTGTTCGACTGCAATAGCAATCAAAACCACGCCTAGAAAATGTATCAGGGGACAAGATTCTACTGGTTCCCTATCATATGGGCTATAGTAACATATGCATTCGTTCGAGAACAGAGGCAGAGGGTTGTTTATACTCAGAGGGAATGAAGTTAATTTGAGGATATTCTAGCTCTCATATACAATCTGTCCACACAAATAGTTACGATAGCTACAGAAGCCCCAGAAACTACTAGCTGAACACCAATCAATTTAGCTATAGATTCAAATTAAGCTAGTCCTAAAGTCGTTTGTGGCTACTAAATTGTTTCAGCAAGGAACGGTCACCCCCTCTCCCACTATCACACTGTTTCTGAACTATTGCAAGTTGATGGGCTCCTGTTCTAACCAAGTGCCACCCATATCACAAGCTAGATGCATGCATCGTTATACAAAACAGGATCTCCGCTATAATCGCATCTCAGCATCAAATCATAAAAAACAAGCTCAGAAGAGAAGGATTATAAAAACACATTAGTTTGCTAAGGCTCATCGCCTTCTTCGGCTTCAGCATCTTCAACGCCGAGAAGCTCATCCTCATCATCCACAACGCTGGTGTAGTCTCCTCGACGTGCTGCGAAAGAACCGCGAGATGCATATGGCCTTGAATAGTGTCTGTATCGTCCAAACCCTACGTATCCAGCCGCACTCCGCCACAAACTCGCAACAAGGAGCGGAAGGGCCCTTGAGACAGCCACCACCCCAGCGATTATTGCAATTGGCACTCTGACTATCAACGAATCTCGCGAAAGTAGCCCTTGGGATGTGTCGACGTTTTCCCCAAGGCGAATCTGACCGAACTTGCCATCCCATCGGGTATATATAAAATAACCAGCTGCTCCTGCCACAGCAACCGGGGTCACGATTGCGAAGAATAATCCGACCCCACTAATACCATGCCTTTTTTCATACTCTTCTTCTTTGCTAGGACAGGGCTTCGATATGACATGGTCTAAATTCTTACCCCCTTCGCAGGTAGTTTGGGGTATGCGTCGATACCCGGTCGGTTCCCAGTACTCAATTCTAGCAGGCTCCGCCTTACAGATAGCCATCGCGTCTGGTTTGGGGAGCCCTGGAACAAGTGCACAGCTGCCGTCAGCCTGCGGCTCATAGTTATAATCACTGTGCATCATTAGTCATCGTGGCTATTTGAAAACATACATAACGATACTCACCATTCGTAATCAGCTCTAGTGCATGAACAGTTCATGCCAATACTATGGATATGGGGCTCACGCCAATCATTCCAACATCGGGCGGACGGTTTTTTGCGATAATATCGTTCAACGTGCCCGAATAAACAGTTATCTTTCTGGAAAGGATGCTTAGGCTCCCAGATAGCATAGTCATCAGTCAAGTTGCACGACCTCGAGCGTAGCCCGCTGAAATCAATGTTCACAGTAATAAGTCCATGACGAGAACTTTCTTTCAAATCTCTGCCCCAAAGAAGAAAATTTTTCGAGGTATCTGATGGTACAGTTGAGATATCGTCAATCTGCACATCAACATCCGAAAACGAGAATTCCTCCCAACTGTCACCCTCGTCAACGCTGTAATAAAGGGACTTTGTTGGCCTAGACTCAGGGACAATGACAATCACTGAACCAGAGTCACCGTATTCCCACATAAATCTACCTTTCTTGGCAGATTTCCAGGTAATTCCCCCATCTTTTGTGATAAAGGTGTCTACTTCATCGCCACCTGCCAAATGATCACCAACGTTTCCTACTCCCATCATAAGACCTATGGCTGAGCCAGAAGAGAAAGTGTCTCGTTCGTCCTTGCGCTCAGTATAGCCATGAAGATGGAGTGAACAGTCATCAGTGCCTTTTCCATCTGTAACGGAACAATTAAACTCATTGCCATCAGCGTCTCTGGCTGGGGGAGGAAGGAACATCCATTGTGCTCCATCATTGTGAGTAATCATTGTTTTAAGCTTCTTCATAGCGGAACCCTTTGAAACCGCATCAGCATTGCTGACAACGTTTACAATTGCCACACCTTCCAATCCTTGCATTTTTTCAAAATCAGCAAAGCCTTTATCGTTCCGATTCACGGCATTTAGACTGAGTACAAAGGACGTGCCGTTGCTATTGCTCTTTATTATGGGGCCGTACTCAGCACCTTCCACGCTGCTCACTGTGACATGCAGAAACACTGCATGGGTGGAGCTTTCAAGTACGGTATAAGCGGTCTGAACTGGCACTTGAACGTTATGAGGAAATTGTGCCTCTGCAAAAACCTGTCCATCAATACTAGTACTTGCCACCAAAGATTCAGGGTTCTCTGGGCTGCGCGATGCTACGACGATGAATTCTGACATCGTGGCGTAGTTGATCACGTCTTCGAAATGAACTTTCCAATCCGAAAAGACTTTGTTGGTAGACAATAGCTGAAGACGGTTGTTCTTGTTCTCGTTTTCAAACTGCTCGCAGAATATAAGTTCTTCGCTCTCCGGCCGGTCTTCCCTATTTTCAAACTCGCATTTCTGGACATAGCGGAGGAGAAGCTGCCAGTCAGCTCCACGATTTCTGCTGATATAGGCATCAGAATGACAGTCTCCGTGGTCACAATCCACGGCGCCAGTCCAAATCAACCAATCGTTGTACCGAGGATGAAATGTGATAGGAGAGAGAAAGGGCTCTCGAGTTGGTAGGCTCGGTGCTTTGAAAGGGTTGAAAGTGTCACCACGATTCGAGGTCCAGAAGCCCTCTTTCCCATCACCAAGAAAGAAAGCCGCATCACTGTTATAGGGATGAAGAAATATCTTGGATATCTTCTCTCCCTTAAGGGCCCGCTCCCATGTTTTCCCATGATCATGCGAAACGTAAAGATCATTCTCAGTAGTAAGCACGAAGACAGTCTCATCATGTCCGGAGTTGCTTGACTGACGTTCCATATAGTAATAGGCAGCGAACTTTCTCGCATTGAAGTCCTTCCTAGTCGAGATAATATCACCAGTTGGCGTGTTGTGTGTTTCGTTGCAGGGTCTTTCGATCTCTTTGTCCAGATTTTCTCCGCCATCTCGGATACAAGCATTTCCAGGGATAAGTCTCCAGCCGGACCGGCCCAAAAATGTATCAGTCGGTTTCTTGCACTTCTCCTCAGGATTCCTTAAAGGTACGGAAAGTGAACAGCCCTTTCCATCCTCGCTAGGCTTGTATTCACACTCAAAATCCTTGGCCGTGCATTTGCAGGGTTTGAAAATGGGCTGGGGGTCTCTGAACTTCTCGTCCACAAAACAATCTGCATTAGCCTTTCTCCGTCTGAAAAACTGCTTGTGGCCCATAAGGCAATCAGGTTCACGATTCTCATCCAATCGTGCCGCCCACTCTTCAAAATCATTTTCTTCGCATTTTCGCTCGTGAAGTCCGCCAAAATCTACTGAATAAATAGCATGCCCATCTTTCTTGCCTTGCTTTGAAGAACAAACCAGGGTAAATTTTAAGCTTGTTGAATCCGGAGTTGTTGTGACCATTTCGGGGTAGAGTCCGTCTCCCAGGTAGGCTGATTCCCACACCTTTCCATGATCGACTGAGAATTTGATTTCACTGTTCCTCTCATCTTCGCTAACCGCCACAACAATGGCGCCTTGATCTCCAAACTCATACTTATGAGGACCTTTAAGAGCATAACGCCATGTCATGCCTGCATCATCCGATACATAAAGGTTACCCTCGGGGTACTTTCCGAGATGCTCGCCCGTGTTACCGACACCCATTACCAGTCCCGGGGCTGGACTTGAGAACACCCGTCCAATGTTCGCAGAGGCGGTAACAGAATGAAGGTGCAGGTCTTCGTCACCGACCTTGAGGGGCTGAAAAGTCCTCCCATCGTCAAAACTGATTTTGCTAATAAGTTTTTTATCGGAAGCAGATTTTATTTGTTCCGGATTCTTCACGATATTCACCAGTACAACACCCTGTATGTTAGCAATTTTTTCAAAATCGACTGTGCCCTCCACGTCACGGTTTGTATGCTCAATATTGCGGGTGAAATAGGTGCCCTCCGAGTTAGATGTGAAAAGCACGCCCATACCATGCATAGGACTAGGCAGAACGTCCACTTGAAGACTATAATTCGTACTTTCTAGTATGGTGTAGGCATCCTCCTGTATACGATGGCCTTCAAACTCTGCTCGATGCCAAAGCTTACTGTCAATCGTCACGTACAGAGCGAGCTCCTCTGTCCCTTGCGACTTTACTGCCGCCACGATAAACCTCTTGACAGCCGCTGTGCTGATGACGCCAGAAACCGGTCGTCCCTGCAGCATCACCTCTGACCCTTCAATATCACTGTTAAAGTAATCGTCCGAGTATATAAGTCTATTGGCATGTGGAAGGGGCACCTTCAAACCTGGTACCACACAAAGAGATCGATCTTCGATCTCCCGGGCTATATCCAAATTCTCGGCAAATTGAGGATGCCCTACTGCCCAAGCACATCCGCCAATACTTTCTCGTAGGGGCTTGACGGTGTTAAAATCGTCTGTCGTATAATGGGACTTGACTATACAATAGCGACCCGCGCATTCTTCAGTTTGAAAAATGACCTTGCTAGAATTCCGACCATGGAACACAAGAGGGTAATGCCTGACAGCAGGGACCCCCTGGACCTCAAATGAGGCCCAGGTCTTAGCCTGGTCTGTCGTAACCCAGTGGCGTTTATTTTGACTTATTGCGTATGCCTTGTTCTTATCAAATGGATGCTGCCAGATAAAAAGAACTTTATGCTCCATGCCACCATCTTCGCCTTTTACCACTTCCCAAGACTCGCCACCATCAAATGTCTGAAGTAAATTACCGTCTCGCGTGTTTAGGAGAGCTGTCTCTGCGTCCTCAAAATAAAATAATGATGTTGGTTGACTGTCAAGGTTGGTCGCAGTGATCTTGGGTTTTTTTGAGTTCTTCGCGGCGCTGGACTGGGTATAGAGCACCAAAATAAGGCAGCTCACCAGCAAGAGCCATCGCAGAATCATGGCCATAAGTTATGACATTTGAAGGGATTGGCAGACAGAGCTTAGGCTGTGGCAAAGAGTGCCGGGTATCAGCTCGGGGGGTTCAGGAAAATCGTTACACAAATGTCTCAAAAATTGCGTCTGCCATCCGAGGAAATCAATAGAATGGGATATTTCAATATTAATGTGGAAGCTGTAGATCGAGCGACCGTGGGCTGCTTTCTTGGTTCAATGGCTGCGTGGCCTCATGTTAACACTGCGTCACGTGTTTTTAGAAATGCTTGTCGAAACATGCGCCTTCTGAGAGCTATGGAATTTAGTACGCGTAGCCGAGGAGCTACGGTCTCTCTCTTCCTTCATATAATTAGCACTACGTTGGAATTCTAGCCTTTTTGCGTCCAAAGATTATTAGGCCATGTACCTATTGGATCTTTGTCACAATATGGATTTTTAATTGGAACTTTTTTTATGAGTGGTCCTGCTTGTTCTTCTTTTTCTCTTCCTACTAGGTAGGCGTAGATCCATCTACTTTCCCTGTAGGTATTCACGAAGCCTGATTTGTACAAACAGAAAATACATAGAACTGCATAGAGGACGACCTACAGTTGTAGTGTTTTTGAAATAGACTCTACAGCGTAGAAAAAACCTCAAGAGCTTCAGATTCCCAATTTTCTGGCATTATTACACGTAATACAGGCTACCACAATGATCAACTGAAGATACAACACCTAGCAATTACACTTAGGGACTCACAAAAAATTGAGCACATTTTGCATCGCGGGGGTGTTTGAGTCCTCTCTTCGAGACACATACGCACGAACTTCCTGGATGCTTAGACCAGCTTCAGTTGATCCAGTTACCCCAGGGTTACGTGTGGAGCCTGTGGTGTTGCTTCCAGATCTTGCGCCAGCAGCACTTGCTGTACCACCGCGTACTCTTTCTCGGAGAGCCTCAGACCCAATAACAAAAAGACTGCCAACTTCTAGCAAAACATCTAGCGCCCCGCCGGGAGCCTTGGCTTGCTCGTCTACATCCCAGCTTTTAAGAAGATTAGTATACTGTGTCATATCTTTGGTGACCATAAGGCCGCCAGGTCCATTGACCGAAAATCGTTTGAAGTGCTCAAGAAGTAGGCTTCGAAGTCCAAGAGCAACGTCAGTAAGCAGCTGGCGGAGATTTGTGCCACTAGATGAGAGTGACAGCACAATAGTGCTATGTACACGAGTCAAGAAGGTACATATTGAGGCACATGTCTAATGGCTAAATTAACAAGGTGTACTATACAAGACATTATGCTATGACTTACCGGAGTCTGCAGTTTTTCCAACCAAGAGGCATTGTCCCCTTCCTTTGGACGAAAATCGTTTTTCTTTTGACTGGAAAGAAGCCTACTCACCCACATCAACGTCGCGTCGATAGTTTTTCGCTCAACTGCGTTCACTTTCTCCTCAATGCGCACTGTTATTAGACTAGTCTTTTTTTCCATTTCCTTGCGCACAGTAATGCTTCCAGCCGCCAAGGGTATAAGTAATGTGTTTATGCACATTACCATCAGGTTGGTAATGCCTATAGCGCCCCGAACTGCGGCAAGATAGGCAAAGTCAGGTTCCATTTTTCCAGATTCTTGTGACGTCGCCGCTTCCAAAGCGGCATCAAGACAGACTTCGATATACCCCTCCCCCATCATGGAAAGAAGGAGACTCAATAGTGCCAGCATATCCTTCGGTGTCTCACTTGTAATGCTTAGCTCTAGGCTTCGCCCGACCCCTTCAGCGAGCCATTTGAGCATCCGCTTGGCGTAAGCTATGCTGGGAAGACCATCTTCCTCAACGAGTTTGACATCAGTTGGTCTCAAAACATCATTAGACTCCCTCAAGCCCGCTACTTGAAGTAGAATTCTCCGATGCGTGGCTGAGAATTCCGAAGATTCAAGGCGACTAATATATGTGTCTCGGGCAGAAGTAAGGAGTTCGGTGCCCGACTTGGAGAGTGATGCCATAAAAGTTGTCACTGCTTTCTTCCTACGGGAGTGAAATGTGGTAAATCTGAACAGAATAGACGTATATAACTCTTCCAATGTCTTTTTCTCTCTCTCGATATATGAAGATCCAACAAAATACGGCACGAATAAATCTTCCAGTTGCTGATCAAGAACCAGTGCCGTCTGCGCAGATATAGGATCTGGGTTTTCGGTCAAACCATGAGATTTTAAATCATCAACTAAAGCACTGATGTAATTGCGTGAGCTTTGAAGTGATCTCAAGAAAGCAAGAGGCGAAATATCATTCGCTTTCTCCAACGCCATCTCAAGTCTCTGTTGGATAGATTGTTGAAATACTCGTTGTAGAAACTTTCCAAGAACCTGCTCGTAATAAGGAAAGGCTCGTCTGATAATGGCAGATTCCTCCTGTACTACAACCTTCACCTCATCAATTAGTGACTGAAGGCTGGGTTCCACTTTGACGGGCTCCGCATCAGGATCTGCCAGCTTCTCCCAAGCCTCTGTATCTCCAGCCACTTCCTCGGTGACAAGCTGGCTTCGATCAATAAAAAACTGATGCTGGTTAACAAATAGTGCAATAACACTTGCACCGCCATTGAAATCTTGAAGCACGGTTGCACAGTCCTTCATTCCTTCGAAATTAGCCTTGCGGTAAAAATCATCAAACTGTTTCAGAAGATCCTTTTCTAGTGTTTCTGAAAACTTTTCAATGATCTCTCTTGTATTCCGTCTAGCACTGTCGCCTTCCCCATTTGCACTCTCCTCTGTAGGTCCATTTCCATATGATTTGCTACCTGCTCCTTTTGATTCGTTCCAGCTGTGAGGGTCGAGTCTTTGACTTATTCTCAATAATTGTCTTGCAATTTGCGCTGAACGCACTTTGGCTTCGCCAGTTCCAGACCTTCTTAAATTCTCCAAAAGCGTAATTTCTCCCCTGTTACTGACACCTTCCCAACATTGGAGTAGGAAGTAAGCATCAAGAGCTCGGCGTCGTTGCCTGTCAAGCTCTTCTAGCTTGCGCCCAGTTTCAACTGCCATATTTCCGGTTGCTCCAGTACGTTCACACCCAATTATATGTGTCCCCGCTCCATTGAGTGACGTGTCTAGCTGTTGAAAAGAGCTGATTGTCTGTTTCAGTTTTCTGCCTAAGGTATTGACATTTTGTGAGTGCTGCGCCTCTGCCCGGCGTGCAGCAGCAGATAGCTCATTCTCTCTAATTTCCAAATCACTGGATAATTCACTAAGCTGTTGCTGGGCATGCTCAAACGTACGTATCAGTGGTTTGGGATCAAACAGTTGATTTCCACCACTTGGGCCGAGAGCGGAGCGACGACTAAATGCAACACTGTCAGAGAGTGTCTCTATAAACTCCTTAACAATAAAGTCACGATTTGAAAAATCCTCCAAGGTGAAGCTGGGTCCTTTAGGAAAGATGGATCGAGACGCAGAGTTCGACTGAGAGGTCATGGACAAACTATCCGGCATCCTTGCAATAGTTGATAGCTATTCCAGGAGTCTTCATTGAGACATAAAGTAGAGAGAGTATAAAAATTTTGGAAGAAGCAAGCACATGCAGTTCACCTATTTAGGCAATGGTGGTTAACTGGCCACCTTTCAAAATGTGTTATTCATCTTCTAGGTAGGTAGGTTATACGGAGTAGCTGACCATTTAACGTAATCGGTAAGCGAGCGCCGCACCCTGTATTCCATATAAAATGACACTTTTTGAGAGTCTAATATCTCAACAATAAAGCACCTAGGGGACATAAAATTAAATATACAGTATAATATAATACTGTGTATATATATATTAAGCAGAGAAATTTCCGGAATGAATATTTCTCCAGGTAAGATAAATTACAGCTGTATTTTTTATACTTTCGTTGTCCTAGTATTTAAAGCCAAGAAAACTACCTAAAAACATAAAAATATAAAAACACCCTTTTAGAGTTCATATATATGTTATTATCTTATCAAGATGTTTCTATATCTACTGGTGGTTGAGATATTAAGGTTTCAAAGAGTGCCATTTTATATGGAGTACAGAAGTGCGGCGCTCGCCTTCAATGCGGGCGCTCGCTTGCCGATTACGTTAGCTTAAGAACCACTTTGTATTACCTAAGTATGGGATGGCTAACTAACTTAACCTAGTTAGGTTAGTTAATTACACCGTACGGAGTACAACTGCTTCCAAAGGTACCATAGAAAGGCCTGTCTTCTGTCTGTACTTTACCAGAGCAGTGGTTGTTGATACACTGCAGTGTACAGACATTCTGTACAAGCAATGCCTAAGCTATTATGTTAATAAAGTAGAAGTTACTCCTTCATTTTCTATTACTATACTCTATACAGAATAGGACTTGCACTTCTCTGCCTTCTTGGTTTTGTAACTCAGCAACGGTGCTGTACATACAGAGTAATTACCTTCCTAGGTGCATCGTTACCTCGGTTTTGTTAGGAAAGTACTAGTCTGAATAATATTACTCTTTGCTCTGCACTTGCCAGTACAGAGTGACTGGATGCCTAATGTCTGGGTAGTAGTCATCTTTAAGCCACCATTCATCAACTCAAGCCTCTGTGAGCTTTTCCTTTCCCTCGAGATTGATTGACTGTATAAAACGCTATGATTTCGAAACGTGATAGAGATATTTTCAGAGATGATATTCGTGCACGAGGAACAAAGCTGAGCGCTGCTGAGCGTGAGAGTATTCTGAAGCCTTATCTGCCGGAACCGTCAGAACTTCCACGTCGACCACCTCAACGAAAGAAAGTAGCAGCTCGAAAGACCCCTATCCGCACATTTTTTAAATCCCAGATACATCACTTTGCCTACACCGTCGTTCATATTTTTTTTGGGATCACTGTGCGTCTTATCCAGTGTTATCATGCTATTCTGGATCGGATTCTAGCTATTATCTACTACCATCATCGTACGCCAGAGTTGATTCGGAAGGATGTAAAAAATCTGGATCGCCTGCCTGAGCATCTAAGTGTGATATTATCACTACGGCTGGAGGATGATGCGCTGGCCATATTAATGGACGAAGTGGCAGAACTGGCTGCCTGGAGTGCTAGTGCCGGAATACCTGTGTTAAGTATATATGAAAGAAGGGGTATGTCAATTCTATGCTAGCCAATTCATAACCTACAAGCTAAAAACGCATTTCTTAGGTGTTTTAAAGTCCTGTATTCCTATTTTGCATCAGGTCGTTACGACCAAACTAGCTTCATATTATGGTGCCCCCTCCCAACAACCATCACTGCGACTCTTTGCTCCTCACCACCCTATCCATCAAAGCCAACATTCAACCTCAAGCACTAGTGCAGAAGCACTTACAATTCTTCTTCTATCTGCTACAGACGGTCAAGAGACCTTTGTGGACCTTACTAAAACTCTAGCAGAAATGTCCCAGAACGGTAAATTGTCTCCAGAGGATATCACCATGGAACTGGTCGATGCAGAAATTAGCGAGATAACCACGCAGCCTTCACAAGTAACAGCACAAACTCCTAGCAGAAGCAAAGCAGCTCCTGTTTCAGTTTCGCTAAAGCCTGAGCCCGACCTACTTTTAGTGTTTGGGCCCTTCTTGAAACTGGATGGCTATCCACCTTGGCATATTAGGCTCACGGAAATGTTTTGCACAGGCAGTAAAACCAGCAACGTGAATGGTTATGGGGAACCTGTTGAGTATCAGGGTTTTTGTAGGGGTTTATGGCATTATGCAGGTGCACAAATGAGGTTCGGTCGATAAGAAAAATTCAGAAGGCATATTTTGATGTACTCTTTGGCCCCAAATGTCTCTTGGAGTCTGGACGAGGCGGTGTGGTTATATTAAAAAGGATATGTTACAACGTACTGCAATTATTGCATATGTTTTTGCTATATTAGTACCCAAGACTAGTTTATCAGTGAAGTGATATAAATGTTGGATATTGCAGCTACAAATTTCCATTGTCTCTAATTTCATGTTTAAACAACTATGCTCCATCCCATTACAGTTCTTGATAGGCTGTCATTTTCTTACCGAAAGGGTGGTGTTTTTGGCCACACTACTCGAACATTTTCAAGTCATTATCCACATTGAACCAATGTTATATGTATGCAACATTATTTCTGCAGATCCTGCGTGGAAGCCTGCTGCTGAGATGAATGACCTCGCATACAATCAATGCACCTTACCACTTCCATTCCTGTCTCAGTAATGCCTTCTACTGTGCAGCAAGAGCAAATCCTCCTGGGCTCCCTAAAATATGATTCGCTACCAATTTCTTCCTGTCCCCTATCTGGAACACCTCGGTATATGCCACCCTCTCCAAGTCTATAGCCTAAACCAATGCAATAAGCGGAATCACACTGGCGGAGACATATATAACAACTCCTTCCACCACATATATCACAATCAGCGTATGCATCAAGTAACTCCCTTGTTGTGGGTCTCCTATGGCATATATGGCATGGACGTAAGGATGACGCAGGTGAGCACGAGTTCTGTGAACAGGGATAGGAGTTTGCGATCATAGTTTTCGGAGAAACAGGGGGCGAGTAATTATTTGAGGCTGCGGGGAAACAAATATTGGGAGACAAAAGCTTTGTTTGGGTCGCATTGGACTCTATTGATCGAGTAAATATGCCAGAAAAGGGCTGCGTTTGCTGAGAGTGAAAATAGGGTTGTTGAAGAACAAGTCGTTTTCGAGGAAGACACCATTGGTGAGCGTAGGACTCTCCATTTTCCTTCAACTTTTCCGGGTAGTTTCGGAAAAATAAGGGACCTAAAGTATGAAGGGGCTGCTGCATGTGCTTGATACTGTATACGTGTACATAATTCTCATGGGTCAGCCGCCTTGTGTTTATTTTGTTAAAAATTAACATAAGAGGAGTGAAGTAAGATAGAAGAGGAACTCCGTGCTCACTTATTTGTCAATGTAATCATATCAGGCGGTACCGGGTCTCTCTTCCTCTTTCTCAAGTTTGGGCTTGAAGTAAGAAAATTACTATGCTCTATCATGACGCTCGGCATGGAGTAGAACAGACAACAGTCAAAAGGTTATTAGGTGAGTTCACTAGAGGAGAGCCGGTTCTTAAAAGAGAGGGAAGAGCAGGAAGGCAGCAAGCCAACCTTGAAAATGAAGGCTTTCAATAAGAACTGGTTGGCATGTAGATCTATTACTAAAGAAAGTAACAAATGGACTAGGCCATACTAGGTAAATATCTTTGTCTTTTCAGGTGCTAGCAAGGGCCCTAAGGAAGCTCGTACCAGGTTCGTACAGTCTGTGGCCTGCATATCGTTAAATTCCGAAAACCACTATGTACAGTACTAGGAGATGAGGACATCACATCAAGCATCTTATATTTTATTGTTTTGCAGTCTTCATTACCACACAATTTGTGGTATAGAGTACAAGATAGGTATTGTGACACCCTTATTGCGCAATGCAGAATGTATAGTTAATAATTTGATTCTCAACCTGGAAATAAAAGCAGACCATTAAACAATGAAATACAAGATGATACTTACTTAGAAAAACAGGGGCGTGTTCAGTCAAACCAATACCCTCCTTTATCCAGTTCTTTCTCCGTAAAATCCGGGGATTTCTTAAGTACTGAGTACTCCAGACCGCAACAGCCTGCATGTAAAACTCTGTACAGAGTAGTATCTGATCTGTGGAAACCAGCGTCCTCTTGGAAGGCCCATTCCTATCATGGTTTTATAAGCAAATAGGTAAATACACTTCATGTCCATTCTATTTCTGTATGTACGTTTATCCATTCTATCCCGTCTTACTACTCCATACACAGGTAAGTACAAAATAGATTGGCTTACTCCGTAGAGCTCGGCGTATGTTAGACTTTTGGGCTGCATCCTGAGGCTGGATACAAAATAGAAATCGGGAATACCTATGGTGATCACCCCACATAGCCTCTTGGCGACCTGCTAACCAGGCATGTACAAGGCTAGGTACAAGCAAAATACGGGGGTATCATTTCCATGTCCTTACTCCCTTTTTCAACCAGCTGTTACGAGGGAGCATGGCTTTGTGCTTTTCTCCATATCTTTTAACCAGCACTAGTACCTATTGGTTATCCACTTTTCAGCCTTAAATTACTTTCATCTTGCAGTTAGACTGTGCAAGCCCATCTACTTCACTCGATTGGGGTCATCATAGCCAGTATATCTACTCCCAATAATGGACAACATTTTGGAAATAGTTGAGAGGCTAAGTAGTGATGAAGATGCTGTGCGGAAAATGGCAGTTTTTAAACTTCAAGGCGTCATTGGAGACCCTTCATTTGCAGACACCTTTATAATGGAAGGCGGATTAACCAGACTACGGTATCTAACCCTTCATGCCAGTGGGAATACCCTGGCATACAGTTTAACAAGCTTATCCAGGCTTCTGGAGGTGGATAAAGGGTGGGAATTCATAGACCAAGACGTTATTGAGAGAGTAAGTGGGCAAGAACATTACAAATCTTTTTGGTTAATGTATGCTCTGACAAATGTCCTGGTCCCTCCTAGATCGTTGAGCTTATCGTAACCCACCCCCTTGTTAACATCCTGCGCGGAGCAATGTCTATTTTAGTCTCCATTGTATCCCATCCCCATGCAGGTGGAAGTTCATCACAAAATGGAGCTTTTGGCTTTCGTGCTCTGAGCCCAGCGATTGCCATGTACCCGCAATTCTTGGAAATGCTGGTTAGTCGATTGTCATCTGCGGACCATGCACTGTGTGCCAATGCACTTCAATTGATTAATTCACTTATGCGTGATTCAATCACAAATGACTCTGAGCTACAATGGCCCAAATTTATCCAGAAGCTACAAGATTTAGGTGTTATTAGGGCAGTTTATGCACTTATGCAAGGCTCTGCATTGCAGGACCATGTGCATCCCTTAATCGAGTTTCAATCTCTCACGAAAGTTCTTCTAAGAAAGTGGCGGGATGTTCCCCTTGACTTGGAAAACCCGGAACATAGGAGAGCATTGAAGGGAATACACTTGGCTAGTCAAACTGAAAGGAACCAGGATAAAGGAGTTGAAAATATTAAGGAGGTAAGACGGTCTAAAAGGCATAGCCCAGACAAATGGAGGCGACTTGGGTTCGAATCAGAAAACCCAGTCATACAATTCGAAACAATGGGTTTTCTAGGCATGATGGATCTGGCAGACTATGTCAAGAACCACCAAGGTGAATTTCAAAACTTACTTCTTGAACAATCAGCAAAACCAGCACAAGAGCGCTGTCCGATTGCTCGAGCTTCTTTATCGGTGACCTCCATTTTATATGAACATTTCGAAGTCGATAAATCGGATACAGAAGATGCCAAAAGTTATTTGATCCTAGACTCTCGTTCCAATTTCGACAAATTATTTAACCCTTTACTATTGCATTGGACTCGACTGCACGTTGCTGGGCTCCGCACTTTTTTTCGACTGTGGAAGGCTACTGGCGCGGAGTTAGAAGCCTATGAAAAAATTGTCGAGCTTGTTCGCATTCTTGTCGAGTCAGTTGTCGGTGGAGCATCACGAACAAAAGATGTGCAAGACGTGGAGGAAGAACTAGTCGACTTTGAATACCATCGGCTCCGTTCGCTCCAGATGGAGCTATTGGAGCTTACTTATGAAGATGCTTGGGGTCAACATTTACGCCAGGTTCGGGAAGAATTGCATCAGGAAGTTCTGCAGTTTGTAAAGGAACAACGGATTCGATGCTTGTTGCAAGGCTGCTGGTTCCCTAACGAAGGCATACCCAAGCCAGAACTAATTACCTCTGGAGAGTCCTCTTGGAGGTTCGTTCGGCTCTCACATAACAGACGTTTCCTACATTTTGGGGATTTTGACTCTATAGGAAGCAAGTGTCCAGAGCTTGACTCACTTCCAGAGAAGAGTAAGATTATCTCTTATCCCTGAATATCCTTATTCATTAACTAACTCATGACTTTCTATTCCCATCAGTTGATTTGTCAATTGTATCGTCCGTGGTCTCCAATGTCTCGGTGTCACCAGATGGGTCATCATCTTCAACCATCAAAAGCATGCTTCATCATTCTTCTACAAAAATCTCGATCCACAGCTACATGCAACCTCCGTTAGCTATAGATGATGCCCAGAAGATAAACGGTCATAGCCGTTCTCCTAGCAAGTCTACACAACGAGAGATTTTGTTATTGAGCCTCCGGCCTCAGTCCCAAAGCATCGCTTCCGAGTGGCTTGATGGTTTGCTTATGCTTCTGAACCAACAACCTATCACGGCAGAGACAGGTAGATTAATCAAGTCCGTCAGTGACTATGGGCTCAGAATTCGTTTGTTGAATATCAGATTTGACGATACTATATTCTCAAGTGAAATTCCCCATGTTCCTTCTCGTGACGGTCTCGATGACGACTATTATTATGATCTTTTCGGGGGCAACTGAATTGCTACTCAGGTCTGTACAATATTTATACAGTTTTGAGTACATAGTTCTTTCGTTATTCCATATTATTTCACTTTTGGGAAGGTGCTTCTGTGGTTTAAGATCCAAGATATCAAAAGAACCCGGCTATATCAAATTTTGCCTGCCCATCTGCTTCTTAGTTTTGCAAGTAATATCAGTTGTTATAGGAAATTTAGATGAACGAGGCGGAAGCCTGTCCGGAGAATTCTCTGTGCTTCTTTGCTCGTTAATTGTGTATGCAAACCAGGTTGTTATAGACGCCTCGAGTGATGGAAAAAAATCTAAAAAAAAAAAAGATAGCTCTGCAGTATGCACTCTACCAAGTAGCAGATAGTAACCCTACAGAGAAACGTAAATTTGAATCGAGCGCACCACCTCCTATAGACTATTCAGCAGCAGTAGAGTAAAACAGCTCATGTAAAGTATAATAATTATCCATCCATCACATGAGTAATTTAATTCCTATTCTATTTACTCTTTTATTATTCAGGATTAGCTAACGTACACCGTACACGGCCATCCTGTCCATTTCCCACGCATTTTTCATGATTTCTCCAACAAACAGAATAAATTTAACTATCTAGAAGTAGAGACACATAGCTACTTACTAGCATAAACGCCTATAGTATGTGTAATAGTACCACAGCCTCTTGTGTATGGTGAAAGTGTGCTAGATAATGCTGTTGCTTCTATAAGTTCATCTACTCGCCCTGTCTACCTCCAATACTTAAGAAACTCACAGCTTCTCTACATATTTATAATAAATCATTATTATCTTATAGGATGTTATAATTTATTATTTATTTCTTAATCTGCTCCTTCTTCTATATAGTTAAATTTATTCTGTTTGTCGCAGAAATCATGACAAATATATGGAAAATGGACTGGACGGCTGTTGCGTTTGTTTCTGTATTTCTCTTGAGCTAAACGTGCTACATAGGGTACGTTAGTTAACTAGTTATATTAAATTAACTAATTATTAATATATTATATAAGCATTGGCTACTCTTTTCCACCTTCCTACCCAGGTATGGATCCCCTCACAATAATAATAATAATACGGAGTAGTATTATAGTAATTTGGGCAATGGACTGCAGAGATTTAGGCCGAGGCCCAGGCATCCAGGTAGCAAAGGTCCCCTATGTGCAGTAATTGCAATATTACTTCTATAATTCATTAAAATATCTTACTAAACAGTTCTACCGTTACTATTCTATAGAATATTTTATTTTTATGGGTGATTAAAGGCTTCAAATACTAACCAAATCCAGGAGGAGGTAGGCGGTGAAAAATTTTGCCGCTTGGTGTCGTTTGGTGTTCGGTATCTAGTTACGTTACCAGGAAATACACTTACTAATGCATGTACCACAATACCATTTTTACCATATGAGGAAGGCTATCCACTAGAAAAACCTAAGATATGTGCAAGTCTGGATATAGTAGCAGATACCGACTCATCTATAGTTAAGGTGATATGATGTACTCTATCGCCCTTTTGTACAATGTCATAGAACTATCTTGATTTCTCTCTGCAGTCATGACTGATCGTCCGACAAAACGGCAGCGTGCATTAAACGCCTTTTCGGTGGATAGTGAAGCCAAAGTCATTGAAGACAACTCGAGTCGTCACTCCACTTCAGAGCATAGTCTACCTATTGGTAATAAGGGAGTTGGCTCTCAATTGCATTTAAATGCATCTTCGCAACAACAAACGACTAGACCATCGGTTGCCGACTCACGGCTGCCCAGCCTCACCGAGTCTACTTTCCCCTCGCTTGAGAATACGGAGCATCAAATGCTACCAGTAAGCAGCACCACATCATGCAAAGTTGGCTCTGTGGGATCTGTTGATGCAAGGCAATCTTGCCAAAGTGTGGGCATGGTTCATAACTCCCTATCACCGGCTGGGAGTATCTCGGATGGTAGTGATGGTATAATTGACGATTATGATTCCTTCGACGAGTTGTTTAATGGGTATTTTTCTGAGGGGAACATCGCAACGCAGAATTCGAATTATAAACCGCATCGTCAGCCCCAACCTTCGCAGTCTACCCTGAGAAAGCATATGCATTATCAAGGGAAATTTGCAAAGACAACAAAGCGCTTCTTTGTTCCATCGAAACCTGATAGTGAGATCCTTGGCTCCAATTGTAAACATGAGGGGAATGGTGGTATACCATGGACGCAGCAGTATCAACCACTGAATCTGGAGGAACTGGCTGTCCATAAGAAAAAAGTATCTGATGTGCACAAGTGGCTGCATGATGCTTTTACCGGGAGTGACAATGTAGGTAATTTTAGTGGAAGTCACTTCTCTTTTTGTTGAGATTTTCCAGATTATACACTTAATTCATATGCTCTCAGCTGACAAGATTAGAAATTACTGGTCCTTCGGGGCCCTGCAGGCAGCGGCAAAACCACGACAATGTCATTATTATCAAGTACATTAGGATTTGACATCCTTGAATGGAAGAATCCTCCAGTTACCCGATCCCTTGCAAGGGGATTTGTACCAGCCGCCTTACATTTCGATGAGTTTTTAGGACGATGTCATAGCTTCAGAGGACTCGATTTAGATGAAGTTATTGATGCGCCCAGAGCAAAAGGTGTCAATTCCGGAGCTCGTCGGCGGCGTGTTATTCTTGTCGAAGAATTTCCAGCAGTATTGAAATCATATTCTTCTACCCTGAATGCTTTCAGAATATCGTTACATCGCTATCTTGCTATGACAACATCATCCACATCCAACGCTCTCGGCGAAAACAAGAGTAATGAGAACCCTGTTTCCCCTATTGTACTAATTGTGTCGGAAACACTCCTCAACTCAGGGCCCTCGTCCGAAGCCCTCACAGTTCACCGTTTACTCGGGCCTGAGCTCTATAATCATGCTAGCACAACCGTTATCGACTTTAATAGCATTGCACCAACATTTATTTACAAAGCCCTGGAGCATGTTCTGGAGAAAGAATCACACCATTCTAAACGTTATAAATTCCCAGGAGCCGCCGTGCTCCGAAGAATTTCCCAATCCGGGGATATTCGAAGTGCCATCTCTTCCTTAGAATTTCTCTGCGTCAAGGGTGAAGGCGTTAAAGAGCGGAAAGAAATTGCTACAAGAGTCCGGAAAAAGCCCCGGAATGTTGTGACTCTTACACCAAAAGAGGAAGAGTACTTGAAGTTAATTTCGCAAAGGGAATCTAGTTTGGGATTATTCCACGCTGTTGGAAAAATTGTGTACAACAAACGCGAGAACAAAGACATTGCAGATGAAGCCGACAGATTTTCCTCTCCTCCCGACCGTATGAGCCTCAGTGGTCGATTAATGGTGTCTCAAGTTCCTGTCAATGAGCTTGTGGATGGGACAGGAACTGATATACAAACATTTATTAGCGCCCTTCATGAAAATTATGTGCCGTCCTGTGACGGTCCATCTTTTACAGGATGCCTTGATGGGTGCATAGAGGCGCTATCAGACAGCGACATCATGTACACCGATCGTAAAAGGTCTTATAGATCCTGGACAGGTGTCAGAGTTGATGTTAACGGGACCGGCTCTGGAGTTGACGTGGTGCAACAGCAAGATATCAGCTATCAAGTTGCTGCTCGTGGTCTTTTATTTTCTCTTCCTCATCCTGTGAAAAGACGTGTGAATTGTGCTACCCGAACAAATGATGCACACAGGATATTTTTTCCAACTTCATTGCGTCTATGTCATTATGCGGAGGAAATAGAAGCCCTCGCAAGGTTTTGGATGAAGAGATTTCTAGACTCATTGGATAAGCAAACACGAGGTCTTTTTTTGGATCCCCCAAATCCTTCATGCTTGAAAAGGAACCAAGCAACTGTGCCGAGTGTTTGCGATAACTTGCAGCCACCAATTGTGACTATGACATCCCATAATGATATGTTACTCTATCAATTACCCTATATGGCTAGAATATCCGCGGACAAGGAGTGTGCCAGAGACCTTCAGAAGATTACCTGCATTCATGGAACCAGCTCACAGTGCGAGACTTTAGATGGCCATGATATTTACTTGAATTGTGGCACTGTCTTAAACTCCTCCTTTGCAAACAAGAGCTCGGTTGTGAGGGTTAGGGGAAATAGGACCAGAAACAATAAAAGATATGAACCCAGACTACCTTCTGCTTACGAGAATATGGGTGAGAGATTTGTTTTAAGCGATGACGATATACTTGATGATTAATATTGTATTCAAATTTGCCCATATTATTCGCCAATTCGATAGGTATTTGAGCAAAAACAACCAATGCATTGCTGGTGCTACTATGGGTTTACCGTGTTCAGTAGAAGCTAAGGACTTGATTGGACAATGTCTTTTACCAGACTTAGCTAGAGAATGAGACTATTGGATAAAAATTTTTCGGTGCCTTGCACATATTCTATTTGAAAATAGATACCCAGCATAAGATTAATTCGTTTATTTAATGTTCCCTTGCCTGTATGAAACTGCTGGCCCATCTTACCGTACGCAGTACTTACTGGTCCAATAGAATCCACTCCTAGACACTATGCTGAAGATAGTATAGCTCCAAGTACGTACTCTGTACTCCGTGCCTAAGCTACCGAGGGGGATGTCAATTCTGTTTAGACCTTAATACATCCCACCTACCATACTTTTTTATGCCTGTATAAAATACGATTGTTTCATCCCAACATCGGTTTCTCATGACAATGCTTAAGAATAATGATGTTACTTGGAGACAAAGAAGCAATAATTCAGGATACGCAGCCAACAATGAAGTGGCTGCCTTGCGTTATTACGCAAGCACAGTGACAAAAAAGCCTCCACACGAAACCGAATCAACAGTCAAAGATGGGGCAGATTCAGAATCTAATACTAGCTTGCTTAGTATAGCACACGCAATAACTCTTGCAAACCTTCCCAACTGGACTAATACAGTTCTCATGTTGTCATTGATCTTTGGCGGGTGTTGCGCCAACGTGAGTTGTAAACGAAACCTTATCATGATCGAATGCCACTGACATGGGAATTCAGGTATTTACACTTGAAGCCATAGTCAAGTAAGCCTAGCTTGCAAAGCCCAGTAGACAAGGAATGACCTACTGATTTATAATTTAGGGATCAACCAAGTTCAGGTAGTTCTTTCCTCATTATTTCTTTACTTCTTTCCCTCCTCCTATCTGACTTCAGCTTGAAGGGCCATTAATAACTTTTGCTCAATTTATCTTAACTGCATTGTTAACTTTGCCGGGATTTTTGTCGCTCTCTGCGGGCCCTCGATCATTGTTCCTTGGTCAACGAGCTGTCCCACTGAGGTCATGGTTGGTATACACGGCATTCTTTGTGACTGTGAACCTCTTGAATAACTGGGCCTTCGCATATAAAATTTCCGTGCCATTACACATTATTCTGAGGTCTGGCGGCCCAGTTGCGTCCATGCTTGTTGGTTATCTCTTTAACTCCAAAAAATACTCACAAGGCCAGGTCCTGGCAGTGGCAATGCTTACTTTAGGTGTTATTGCTGCAGCTTTAGCTGATGCGCACGAGAAAGGTCAATCTATTAAAATCGAGAGTGAGAGGAGCGATCAGACTTTGACTAATACCTTGATTGGTTTTACGATTCTTACACTTGCAATGGTACTTTCTGCATTTCAAGGAGTTTTCGCAGATCGCCTCTATGAGAAGTATGGCAGAAGTCATTGGAAGGAGGCCCTGTTTTACTCGCACACGCTCTCGTTACCACTCTTCATACCAACATATCCCCATCTTCAGGTTCAGTGGCGGGAATTATTTTCAGCGCCCTCGTTACTTCCTAGGATCACTGCAATTGCAAGAAGTGACGTCTTAGATTCTACACTGTCGCAGAAGCTTCGATCTATTGCTGCTGCAGAAACTTCACTTCCCGAGACTAGGTCTAGGCTGCTTGTAGCCCTTGAAGTCTCCAGTCTCGCTCAATCTACTGTTGACTTCATTCCAATGCCGGTGGTTTACCTTATAATGAACGCCTTCACACAGTACCTCTGCATTCGTGGGGTTCATTTTCTCTCTGCAAAATCGTCCTCCTTGACTGTTACAATAGTGTTGAACATTCGAAAACTGCTTTCGCTCATATTGTCTATTTACTTGTTTGGAAACCGACTTGCACCAGGTGTTCTTATTGGTGGTCTGTTCGTCTTCTCGGGAGGTGCATTGTATGGCTTCGAGGGTGCGCGCTTGAAAAGAAATGGTACAAAGACAAATTAATCTCCACTAGCTCTTACTTTATCCGAGCCCTCCCTTTCCACTCATGTATATTCCAAAGACCCATCGCTATCAGACCTCCAGTCCACTTCCTATGCCTCATGCAGGTAGGTCTTCGTAATACAACTCTTAGGAGCCTGTAAGCCATTTGATTGTGCCTATATGAACTGCTGGTGCTGTTTCTTATGCTTGATTTATTGAGCTACGAGAGAGTTCATTTCTACCAACAGGCTACGAAGTTGAATATATAGTATTCTAGCATATAGTTACAAACATACAGTTACATCCATAATCACGACTATGCCTTCTCTGTGCCTCGGCCTTTATGGCTCTTGCGGCCTACAAAACTTCACCCACGATCCTCGCTGCTTCCTTGTACGTGTCAAGGAGTCTTTCGCACTTCTCCCTTTCCGCTTTGATACCATCGTCTTCATAAAGCAGTTCTGCGAAGAGGTCTTCCTTGTAAAGTTCGCTGACGAGCCTATTCTGCACAACTTCTTTGCTATGGTTGACAAGTAGATGCATAATAGCTTTCGGAACCTGATCCGCAATGGTCTCCCTTACAATGTTGAAATACGAAGAGATCAATCGGCGGATCAACTCGGTCTCCAGCAGCTCACGGTCAGAAAGAGCCGGCTCGGAATTGTCCTTTCGTATCCAGTAAGCCATCAGTGCAGTAACAGTAACAGTAAACGGAAAATGAATTACACTACAATAAATAGAAAACAGCAATTTCGGACTTACAAATGAGGTAGCCTCGCCCCCATACTCCGGGAGAGGTATGTATTCTTCAGGCTGCAAAACAGGGGACCGCATTTCTGTACGTCGAAAACTTTGGCTAGCGTTAGAATCGTTGGGATGGGGTGGCTTGCCCTGGGTAGGAGGACGAGATATCGCATTCGGCGCCTGTGTGCCATCCTTGCCAAAGAAGTAGTTTAAAAATGAATCACGGGTAGGGTTAGTAGCGCCAAATACAGCGTGCGTGCTCGAGTTTGTTCCATTTAATGTTGCAGTGATACCGCCATCCTGCGATTTGTTAATGTGTGGAGATTGGTTCCTTCCTCCTTTCGCAGACTGGGTCCCAATAGGAAAGTTTTGCGTCTTGGGTTCCAAGTGTTGGTCCTCCTCATCGGGTGAGGCAGCGATGCTGCCATTAAGACCCCCAAGCTCCTTCAGACGTCTTTTGTCTCGTTTTCTTCTATCCTCGGCCAAAACTGCTTTCCTTTCCTCCTCCTGTTTACTCTGGATGATGGATGACATTGCTGCCGCTGCACCCAGGAAGTTTGGATGATTTGTATTGATATAAGCCCTTTGGATAGATATCAGGGATTCAACGTAAGCAGAGCAAGGTCCTAGGCGCTCGCGGAGAAGATCGGAAACAACTTCAATAAGCTTTGCCTGGAGACGTGGAAACCGTAAAAGTTCCTGTGAACCACAGGTATGACAAATTTTTATAAGCTCTTCATATACCAGCTCCACACATCTCTGACTAGGCGCCTCTAACATCTTGATCTGAGGCTTTACAAGCAAGTCAAACGCAAGCTCCGGGACGAAAAGGCTTGGTCGGGGACCAGTTGAGTTGCGGATCGCGGTTCTGATATCAGGAACAGATAAATTGTGTATGGGATCAATCGTTTCAAGAGAGTTCCCGAATACAGAATTGAAAATATAGTATATTCTGGCCCCTCCACAAAGCTCCTTAGTAGAAATCTCAGACGAGGTCCCATCAATTGAAGATATGAAAGATGAAGCAAAGCGAGTCATTAACTGGAGTATTAAGGACCCACGGTGTTCCTTTCCACTGAATTGTTTGTTGCCGTAGCTGGCTAGCTCTTGCTGAGTTTGGCCCATCAGCGTATTCAACCGAGCCTTGATATCTGGTAGACGATCTCGAATATGGGACATTAGCGTCCCATTCAGTGTCTTTGCAAGATACTGTGTTCCGCATCGATTCGCCATATTCCGATATGCTGGGTGATGTCGGAAGAATTCTACTTCCGCGTGGAGTGCCTCGGATAACGATTTTCCAGATTGAATATCTTGCTGAGATCGGTTAACAACCCCAATAAATCCAAGTTTCAATGGATAAACCCGGCCGGATAAGATATCCATAGCATTAGTCCCATGATCCATCAGATCTAATTTAGTGAGAACCCCAATAGTCCTCCGACCCATGGGATCAACCTGGCGAGCAAGTTTCAGTGCTTCAGAGTTCACAAGGTCAACATTTGCCGGAGAGACAGCTAGAATGATACTATTCGGCTTGGCGATGTATTCCAATATCAAAGCGCGGGTTTGCTTCTCAATGTCCGATGGCTGATCCCCAATGGGAACTTTAGTCAGCCCTGGAAGGTCGACCATTGTGAGGTTGAGCACATGGGGTGAAAATATTTTGAGATTGATTGGTTGTCTATTGATCCCTTTGTTGCTTCCAGCTATTCTTGCTGTCTCAGCTTCAATTTCCTGCTTCACCAAAGCGAAGTCGTTAAATTTCCGACCAGGGATGTGATGAAATTCTGCCCACTCATGATGTCCAGCAACACTGGCAGCCGTATGTGGTACATGGACTTCATCACTTTCAGGTTTACCATGGTGCTCGGAAGGAATATTTATGAGTTGCAAGATTAATGGCCGTCTTGTAACGATACCACTCCCTCTTGGTAAGAAATCCCTACCTACAATATTTTCCAGTACTGATGATTTCCCAGACGACTGGGAGCCTACCACAACCTAGACTATGAATTAGTACTGGCTAATTGGGTTATGTGTTTCGGAGAAGAGAAGAAACTTGCAATTTGCGGTAGGTCAAGGGAATCATTTCCAATCGTATTGAAAACAAGGTCTTGCAACTTGTTTACAGTTACAAGTAAATCTTCACTCAAAGATGCCATGTTGATCAACAAGCAGTAAGTAGGTTTGGGATATAAAAGATTCAAAGTTCCCAAGTCCAGAGTCCGTGAAAGAATAAACGTGAGCAGGATTTGGAGGGTAGAACGAAGAAATTAAACCTTGCTCAGAGGGGGGGAACATAGACGACAAAATCAATAAAAACTAAGAAAAACAAGGTGAATGAAACAACAACCTACTATCCTTAACCGTAAATGTGGTCATAGGACAGGCCACAAGAAGAACCGGTTACTCGAGGATCAGCTTGGCTCTGTATGCCGGTGGTAAATGGGATTCAAGCTACAGTATGTGATCATGTGATGTAATGGGGCAGGTCCTCAAGGAGATGCTGACACAAAACATGAAAACTAACTAACTAATTAACTAGTTAGCTAACCTACTAACCAACCTGACTAGTCAACTTTATGTACTCTGTTGCCCAGGAGTAACCTACGAATACGGACGAGCTGCGAATTTGTATTCCCATATAAAATGGCCCTTTTTTTAACTTGGGATAACTCAACCATTCTGCCTCTTTATTAATAGATAATTAATCTGAGGGATCTTTAGTTACTGAATAGAATTTACGATAATTTTTAGATGGCTATTAATGTTAATTACTTAGATATTATAAATTACCGTATATTTCAAGCCTGGCATATATATCTGGGATTAAAATAAATTTCCTTCATAAAATATCTACAATACCTATATACTCGTACAAATGAATTTGTCTAATAAATCATCATAATAGAAGAATAGTTGAAACATCCTAAGTTAAAATAGTGCTATTTTGTATGGGAATACAGATGCACAGCTCGCCCGTATTCGCAGGTTACCAGTGGAGTATGTTAACTAACAACTTAACACATCCATCTCAAGGTTGGCTAATAGGAAATTCTAAGACCCTAATCAGCAAGTAATCTTAAATTTAACTCTAGATAACAACCCTACTGGTAAACACATAAATGTTAGTCTCATGCTATGAACAGTAATGATTCATGCTTGGAGCATTTAATAGTTAAGCCCACGCCGTTGCCAACTGAACGATTCATCAAAATCCGGGGCAATCTATGAGTCTCGTCGTTATTTTATCTTTCCCCATGCTCTTACTCTGTACCCTCTGGGCTTAAATTCCACTCCGTATATAATGCGTAAAAACTTAAAATTTTCCGTACAACTACCTGGTACATCAACCTTGCGTAAACCTAACATAATGTATTACCCTGAAAGGCAAAATACCAATATCAATAGAGTGAAAGAAGGGGGAGGACCACAAAAATAACAATAACATTTAGCTATAACTAACAGCAAGCATGTACAGTAAGTGAACAACGCATTGATCCTGATATCCTGCAGGCCCTTCTTTCTGCTTCAGGCAAAAGCAACTTATCACTACCAGCTCCCAAAGCAGTCCAACTTCATACCGTGAACTTGGCTCTCATGTAATAAACTGTAGGACAAACGGACTTTCGCTTATTTCACAAGTTGCACGTAGTTAGCAGGGAAGAGTCCTTTTTTTCCATGATATTCACCAAGCCACCAATCATCATCAGGAAATTCCTGCAAAGCATCGATTAGATGTTTTATATCTGATAAACCAAAGCGCCCGGAGTGAAGAAATGGGGGGAAAATGCACTAAGGCTACCATATCCAGTATATGAAGGAACAAAGACAGAATTGAACTTACAATTCCAGTAATTTCAGCGCCTTCTGGGAAGCTAAGCTCGTTATCTTCCGCAGCTTCATAGTCATATAGCGCCATTGCACTAGGCTGAAGGTTCGAGACCAAACCTGAAGGCAGAGGTGCAGCGGACGCAGCATGAAGATCTGGAGTATCTACCTGTGATTCATGAGAATACAACGTTGGGCGACCTTGTTGTTTATGCTCAGCAACCTCGACATAGTTGCTAGGGAAAAGACCCCTTTCACCACGCATATTGGAGCCTAACCACCAGTCTTTATCAACCATCTCAATATCCGTCACATATTCCCCTTCTCTTAGTTCAATCTCGTTATCTTCCGCCTTTTCGTAATCATATTGCACAAGGGCCTGAACGCCGCCTCCCTGGGAATGGGCCAGCGTTGTTGTTCTGTCTGTTGCCCGGGCTGTATCCTGCGGATCAACTTGAAGATCCGTCTCGCTCGGTGCAATCTGTCGAGGCCTATTAGATGAGATGTTAGGTGAAGATACATGTTCTTCGTCCGTCAAATCTGCGGCTCCTCGTCCAACTGGCATGGCAACACGGATGGGTGATGCTTCACGTGCTGGAGATGGAGGAGTTGGGGGGCGGGAGTTGTGGGGTTGACTCGAAATCCTTTCCACAACCTCTGGCTCATGGGCTTCACGGGTTTGCTGTTCCGCAGACCCTGTTGGTGAGAAGTGGGAAGGTACGGCATGTTGTGCATCTGTTGTATCTGGCCCATCAGTGGGACTATCTACCGAAGATCCGCGTGCAAGTGTATCCTGGATAGCAGTAATATTTTGCTGGGGGGTGCGGGTCTCCGTTCCTAGATTCTCGCCTGAAACCGAATGTGAAGCTTGGTGAGCAATATTGTTGTCGCTAAATTTCTCAGTATGTACTGTCTGGACAGGATCCCAATTTTTGCCGCTGCATGAGCCTTTCCACTCCGCATCGCCACTGTTCTCTTTATTGGACTCCAGGCTAGGAAATGATGAGACAAAGGAAGAGTCTTCTCCACGTTCCCTAGCTTTCTTTTCTGCCCAAAGTTGAGCAGGAGTTTTTCCTCGCTCATCTGCAAATGTTCTGCTTGCACTACCAACATGTGCTGATCCTGGTTTTGTTTTTGGCATGGAATCGTTGGGAACAGCAGGCTTCGTTCCAGCAAATGTTGAGTGGATTCCAAACTTGTTGGAAACCTTCGGTTTTGGCAAACTTGTAAGCCTTTCAGAATGTGTGGATGTCGAGGGATGTTCAGGATATTTTGTTTGTCCGGTAATCGGGGCGTTGGCTGGTATATTGGTCTTATCATTAGTTGCAGAGGAGTCATCGCCTGACTTTTGCGCTTTGGAGCGAATTGCAGCAATATCAACCTTCCCAACTGGTTCATATACGCCTTTTACAGGCCCAGGCCGGTCATCTTTAAATTCGCCAGCTTCAAGGGCTTGTCTCCTTATAGCAGCAATGTCCACTCTGCCCACAGGTCGATAGCCACCTTTAATAATATCACTACGGTCTTCCGTGGCATTCTCAGTGCTCCCGCCAACAATTGGTGATTTATCTGACCTGAGTTCATTAATATTCACCTTTGTTGGCTTATAAGCTGGTTGGACCTTTTCAAGTTGCGTTCTTGTAATTGGTGGCGCATCAGGACCCCAGCCATCGTCAAGGCTGTTCCGTCCTGATATGTCCCGTTGGAGCACTGGTGGTGCTTTATTTGAAACAATACCACCAGATCGAGACGGCGTAAAAACAGGCTTGTTGGAGGCTGGTGGCGGGGGAGCAGGAGAGGAAGACGGTTCACTATGTAGCGTGTATTTGGCACCCGAAGCATCGCTAACTTTCTGCACAATTCCTTCAGCCGTCAAATCTGCATCGGAGCGTGCAGTTATCTGAACATGGTAGCCCTATACATATAGGATCAAAACAATCAGAGAATTGATGTTTCCAAAATAGATATTTAAGATCAGCTTACATGCAAGAACTTTGAAACAGCAGACAGGTGGCTTGTGAAATACCCCTTTGTCCGTTCAGGTACTCCCTCTCCACACCATGCAATAAGCACATTTTTGGGCAGTCCCGTGTTTGGATCAGTCACTTTAGCAAAGGCAAACTGTACTTTGCCCTCGGAAAACTCATCAATAAGATCGGTTAATTCGCCCTCTTGTAAATAATGAATCAGCCTAAAATATATATATATTGGGGGAGGACTGGCTTCTTTTTATAGATTTAATTTTGTGTAGTGAATATAACTCAACACGTACCTCCAGTGCTCTGGACTTTTAAGATACTCTCTTTGTTACCCGCATCTTGCTGGAATGCACTAATAAGGGGCGTAGAGACAGAAAACACAGCCCATTGGCAGTATGTAGGGGAGCTCGCTAGGGAGCCAGTTAGTAAAGCTGAGTTAACCACTGTTTCATAGCTCTTTGATATAGATGCCCCATTGGACGACAAATTAAGAGTTGCCATGTCTGGTACTTTTCAACCAAGTGCGGAAGTTCACAACGTGTAACCTAAATCAAAGTGGTGATCTAAAATAACAAGAATAGAAGCTGGATACAGATAAATATCAGCATGTATAAGTAGAGATGTTTTGTACTTGTTCACATCTATTTAGAGAGGACAGATCCTCTGTGCACTTTGTCGTTCTTACCTATAGGCTATAGCAAAGCACGAATAGTTTTTTATATGCCAAAGTGGACGCAACGGAGTATGCTGATTGCGTTAGTTTTATCTATTAGGAAAAATAATCAACAAGAGGAATGCACTTACAAGTTCAAAAGGATAAAATCACGGCTGGTTAGTTGAACCACTTGTGGTACAACACGGAATCACGGAGCTTCCAAGGCCACCATCTAAACTAAACGATTCCTGGCACCTATGCCTGGTTTGTAAATAACTGTACATACATAGACGTTCTAACTATACAGAGCAAAATACAACGCACTGTATACGTTATGTTTCTAAAACAATATTTATATTTTACTATTTCTATATAAACCAGAATGATGAATATCGAGCAAGTGGAAATAGAGAATAACAAGCGCTTGGATATAGAACCTAGGTAACATGATTCCTGGAGTATTGTACTACGTATGGAGTAACATACAACCAAACACAATACTTTGTATTATTCAACATATCATAAAACTTTAAGATAAGTCTCTGGATCTGTCCATCTAATGTAGAGAGAGTGTGTATACTATATTACTTAGTAAATTAAATTCTATATCTTTTCTATACTTAGTTAATAACATATCTGGTTCTAAATTGCTGTTTTTAAGCAATAGAGTGTTGCACTTGGTTGGATGTTGCCCTCGGCTAGGAAAACCAAGTATCGAATACCTAAGGTATACCAAGTCCGTACCTTCGTATCTGCAATTACAATGATACATCTTCGCTGCCAAGCCATCCTTGGATGGTTTCAGGCTCAATGCTAACACCAACACGCCTCATCATAGCACAACACAGCACCAGTTTTTTTTTTTATATCCTTATTCGAGTGTACCCATTATGGCCTTAGAGAGTGACAAACTTGAGCATACATCCAACAGCCCTAATCCTCCCGGGTTAGGGGATCATATGGGTCAAATTCTTCCAAGGGACAGGCAACTGAAGACTCCTACGTACGACTACGCAGATGAGAAGTCAATGAGTCACACAGAAGCAAAGCTTTTTTATCAGCAACATCAGTTTGCTTCACGAAGCACCGATAGTGACTCCTCCCAGATATTCGCACCTACAACAAGCTACATCTCGACCCTGCAAGCAGAAGACAAAGCATATGACGTGCCAGCGCTAAAGAACAAAAACTGCAGCTGCCAGATGGTTCACGCTACTTCCAGTGATGCCCTACGACAATCTGCAATCAGTTTGGATGGAAATTCTCATCTTGATGAGTGCAACTCTTACATCTCTACTGAACAGCATCATACCACTACCACACATGGTACCCAACACGGGCCCAAGCCACATGCAATGCCCTTCAGCATGCTAGATCAGCACGTTTCCAAATCAAATAGTCTAAATTTTACTGAAGATGGTCTGGATACTGTCCAAGGTATGATGAATATCGCACCAAACAGTCTCACTGTTACATCGGAGTTGAATGTGATTTGTCACAGAGTGCGCGACTTGCTTGACCGTCGATATAAATATATTGAACTATCATTGCAGTCGTCCGGAGATAATCCAAAAGATTATCCTTCGTGGGAAATATATCCTCCGCCCCCAGAGCCAGCCTGGGAAAATGGCAAAGACACTGGCAAATTCAATGACCACATCCATACAAGTCACAAAAGGAGAAAAATGGGCGAAGAAATTGGGGAGGATTTTGACATGGGTGAATATCTGCCTCTACCTGAAGAATCAGCTTGGGTTTTCAAGTTGGATGAAAACAGTGTTTATCAAGTGTATGAAAGTGATATCGCTGCGGAACCTGTTGTTCGAATTCCCTCATTGAGGGATTTCTACATGGATCTCGATGCAATCATAGATGTATCGACGGATGGCCCTGCGAAGAGCTTTGCGTTCAAAAGACTTTCTTATCTGGAGGGGAAGTTCCAGCTATATACGTTGTTGAATGAATATCAGGAGATAGCCGATAGCAAGAAGGTTCCTCACAGAGACTTCTATAATGTCCGAAAAGTGGATACACATGTTCACCATTCAGCATGCATGAATCAAAAACATCTTTTGCGTTTCATCAAAAGCAAGATGAAAAAGTCTCCTGATGAAGTTGTCTTATTCAGGGATGGGAAGCATTTAACATTAAAAGAGGTTTTTGAAAGTATCAACTTAACTGCATATGATTTAAGTATTGACACTCTTGACATGCATGTATGTTGTGAGTATCTTAATCAACCCATGATTTGTCACTGATAGTTTCACAGGCGCATACAGACTCCTTTCATCGTTTTGACAAATTCAACCTCAAGTATAACCCTGTGGGTGAGTCTCGATTACGTGAGATATTTCTAAAGACCGACAATTATATCAAAGGGAGATATCTTGCAGAGATAACAAAAGAAGTTATCTCCGACTTGGAATCGAGCAAGTATCAAATGGTGGAATGGCGCATCTCGATTTATGGAAGATCTATCCAGGAATGGGACAAGCTTGCAGCTTGGGTTGTGGACAATAAGTTATTCTCTCCTAATGTCCGTTGGCTTGTCCAGATACCTCGATTGTATGACGTGTACAAATCAAGTGGTATGATGGAAAACTTTGAGCAGGTGATAAACAATGTTTTCCAGCCTTTATTTGAAGTGACAAAGGACCCAAGCAGTCACCCGAAACTACACATTTTCTTACAACGCGTTGTTGGTTTTGATAGTGTCGACGATGAGAGCAAGGCGGAGCGTCGGCTATATAGGAAATATCCTATTCCAAAGGAATGGAATACAAAACAAAACCCACCATATAGCTATTGGATCTATTTCATGTTTGCGAATGTCGCATCACTGAATATATGGCGAAAAAACCGTGGATTTAACACATTCGTCCTAAGACCACATTGCGGAGAGGCTGGTGATCCTGACCATCTAGCTGTTGGATTTCTTTGCTGTCACAGCATAAGCCACGGTATTCTACTCAGGAAAGTTCCTCTGCTGCAGTACCTGTATTATCTAAACCAAATCGGAATCGCCATGTCGCCACTCAGCAATAACGCTCTATTTTTGACATATGACAAAAATCCATGCGCGAATTTCTTCAGGCGGGGCCTAAATGTCTCATTATCAACTGATGACCCCTTACAATTTGCCTTTACCAAGGAGCCCCTAATAGAGGAATACTCTGTTGCTGCACAGATATACAAATTCAGCGCAGTGGATATGTGTGAACTTGCCAAGCATTCAGTTGAGCAAAGTGGGTTCGAGCTGTCTTTAAAACAAAGATGGCTTGGCTCAAACTGCTCTCTACCAGGGGTTGCAGGGAACAATGTCGCAAAGAGCAATGTACCAGACATTCGTGAAGAATTCAGGCATGAAACATTGCTTGGTGAATTGGCACTGTAAGCGTACCCTTATATAGAGAGGTGGCCCGTATTTGGTCACCGGATTTGGCATCAAACGAACCTCAGCGCTAACAGAGCAATAGCATCGAAAAGTATTCTTGCACGCAAACCACTGACAAGATAGCTGGCCTTGCAAAAGGTCAGTTGCAGCCCATTGCAAATGCATCATCGACTACAGACCATACCGATCAACCAAACTATGGTGGGCCAAAGGCATGCGCCTCTGCGACAGCGAATGCTTTGGAAGCTGGTGAACTTTCAGCCAGCACACAAGGTCCTTCCAGCTCGGAAGCTCAAGCTCCTTCCACTAGTACCAGCGTCCAACCACAGCCTAGTAATAATATTGGAGAAACAATCACCGCAGATTCCAACTCTGAATATTCCAGGGCTCAGTCGGGCGAACCGAGTTTGTCGGCGATTGGAACTAGTCCTATAGCAGTCGCTCTAGCACGGCCAGAGACTTTACCAGAACCAAGAATTTTTCCTGGTATCGTCCATGAAAGGGCGCAACGAGGTAATGTGTTGACATGGACGTCAAAAGATAATTTAAGGACAAGTGACAGCGGTACAGATTAGAAGGCCGTCCAACTTCATCATAGAATGTGGATAATAGCATATCCATGCCACTGGGTTCTATGTAAAGGAAGAATTGGGGTTGCACGGCGACTTGGGGAGAGTGACACTACTCGTGATAATCTATCTATATTTCCATCCATATCAAATGAAATACAATAAGAGCCGGGTTCACATCCAAGAAACACATATGCGCGCGAAGACCAGGGACAGACCAGCTCTCTGATAGGATATTCGATACAGGCTGCGTGTTGTAGAAGCGCATTAAGACTGCTGAGAGGGGCTAATATCAAGCACTATGGTTATGGACATCTTGTTCCCTATCTCAATTGCAGCCCTAAAATACATCTGCACAGCAAACAAAATCCGGCTATATATAATGTTGATATAGTGGACAAGACCATATGGTGCTAATGTCCAGCTGACGATGTACATGATAACTGCGGAGCCCTTTGACAAGCAGGTTAGCCGGTAGGTATCCAGTTACGATGCTCCAGTTTCTGCATGTTTATTCAACCTGCCCAACTACCCTTTCGTTCAAGCACGCCCCATTCCTCACAATTGCCATCCTTTTCAGGTATATATGGGTATTGTTTACCCCACTCACGTATGTACAAGTGTAATGCATGCCAGCGAATGCAGCTCTCTCTTCTCTCTTCTTGTCCTGTTTTAATGCCTTCTTTGGCAGTGACATATCCTTTGGCATCAGTTACTAGGTCATCTCGCCTAAGTTCCAGTATAGGAATACCTGAGACCCTGCTAAGCTCATGATCAAAATAACGAGCAACACAAGGATAGCCTAATGATAAGTAGTTGTATATTTGAGTAACAAATTCATCACAAGCCTCGAGATTAGCATTGTCCATGGCACGATCCAAACATTTTGTATTATCAACCCCTTTTAAATTCGCGTACGGGTTGCCAGAAGCATTGGTTCCTGGGGTTGTTGTTGATGCCTTCTCCGGACATACCAAGGTATCAAGTTGAATATCATTCATTGATGTCAACACAGCAGCAGGTGGACGCGGTTGCGCTGCCTGAGAATGTTTATCAACCTTGCAAGTTCCCATCCAAAGGCCACCATCTGTGTTGTTGTCAAAGTGCTGTAAAGCATACCAAAGACCGGACTGTGGAGAGTTGTGGGTAGGTCGTGCTAAATTACCACTTTCACATATTGTGGTTTCTGGGGACAAGCTTTGAGGGAAAATAAGATCAGCTCCAAGCATAGGCGGGCTTCTAGTTTCTCTTTCTTGTATCAAGTTGCAGCATCCTTCAACATTAGATGAATATTTATAACCAGTTGGACTTTGAGAGTCTAACAGAGCCGGCTGAGGAAAAGGGTGGTCTTTAATACAAGCCATAGAGCGGTCTCTCATCTGTCCTTCCCCACCATGCAAACGCATGCACCCTACTCCCCAAGGGAGGTCCATCGATGAACCAGAGTGTGGGTTAAGTATAGTTTCACGCTCAGGAAGAAATGGCTCATTATTACTAGAGCACTCCTCTTCTTCCAGATCAACAGAAAAGTGATCTACGGGTTCGTAGACCTGTTCATTTGGAAATGCGGCCAATGCCTGTTCTTTCAGCTGCTTTTCCGCTGGGCGTGCAGCAAGAGACAGCAGATATCCCGAAAATTCCTCATCACAGCTCTCCCGATGGATTCGTCCAAGCTTCGGTAATGTTATGAGTTCTTGTGGAGCTGCTAACGAAGGAGCTGGCAATTGCGGACTTCGCGGTTCTGCCACATCAGATGATTCGCTATTGCTTGATGGAATAGCGGGGAGGTCTGGAACTTGAAACGAACGTTTTTGGCTCGCGTAACGTCGTTGGAGACTAGAATATGAGAAAGGTGATTCATGGGCTTCATAAACACCAGTACAACTAGAGGAATCACTGGTTATACTGATATATTCACCGCTTTTAGACTGCGCGCCCGATAAACAGACGCGAGTGTTGTGTGGAGCTGGCCTACCACGGACTGAGCGTTTGCCGGTTTCCATGAGTTGGGGCACGAATTTTCTTGGATGTGGGAGAATATTTGCTCCAGCTGATATCTCTGATTGGTATTTAGAATGACCCTGCCAGGTCTGCTCCTCTGTCAAGTCTAATGGAGGTATTTGCCCGACACCTTGTCCTTCAGCAAGGTGATGATTTCGGGGGCCATACGTCTGTTTAATATGATGTTTCGTCTTCGCTGCATCACTGGTGACGCTCGGGGCTTTTGACATCTTATGCTTTGGTTCGGTGGCAAAGCCTCTACCACTTCGAATTGGCTCACAGTTCGAGGACTTTCTTTTTGATTCAGAGACCAAGCGATTTTGATCCTTCGGGGCAAGCATATTTCCCTTGGTGGGCTCCAGCTGCCAACTGTTTGAGCTGCGGAAGGATATCTCAATAGTCAGGCATGTTTCACCGAAATAGCATCAACTATATAGTTCTGATTATTTTGCTTGCTACTATTCCTTGACTATTTTCCGTCATTGCTCTGATCCTTGGCCTTGAGTCGGTTTCCAAAGAAAATGTGAATGAAAACTAAAAAAATGAATGGGGATAAAATAGTGGGAGACCAAACGGGATTTCCTTTTTTGAACACTAGCAGCAGGATCAATTAGAGTTGTATATCTAAATTCCAACCAGCAAATTCCACCACGGCTTATAGCTCAGCATCGATGGAAAAAGCTTGGCGTAGGGTCCTGGCCGAGCTTGTCCGTTTGTATTATTTACCTCTGCTAAGCTTTTTGTAATTTACACTTTCTTACCCACACTAAGTATATAAAGCTTCCGTCTTTTATTTTTTATAATAAACTGTCACGCTTATTATAAAAGGTTCTGAGATCTTCTAATATAGTGTCTAGTGTTTACCATTTGCTGAATAGTTAAACCTTTTTGTGACGGCCATGCAAAATAGTGATTAGAATTCAACTACAAGGTACCTATTTGAACGAAATTCTAAGTGTCAGGGAAAGAGAGATGAAAATCGATGGATATCCCCGCTCAGTGCCCTCATTATGCCGCCTGCTATTTCCAACCAGTCAAACACGCCAATCCAAGCCGATGATCCAAGGCGGTCAAAGGGCCATTTAAGTTTCTCCGAAATACCACCTTTCTACCAGTGTTTTCCCCCTTTTTTTTTTTTTTTTTTTTTTTGGATATGTTTAGCTGATGGCTGCGCCATTTCCTATAAAAATATATAATATACACCTAAGAAAACATACTCAGGTTATTACTATATAAAAACCTTGGCCAGCGCTTTTGTTGCTCATCTTTACACCACGAGGTTAAAGTAAGCGCTCGTATGAACTTGGATATTTATTATTATAATCTTTAAATTTATCCTGATTTGCTGGACAAGCAAACTTACCAAGAAAGGCAGTTAAGGAGAGATGGGGGTAAGGTATCCCCTTATCTGTCCTCCTTGTTGATTTTTAGCGCCTTGGTAATTAAAGCCCTGGGAGCTAATTAATACACACTGCTTTATTATTCTGCTGGTAGAATTAACTTCGTGTCGCGTGCTTAGCAGCTTAATTTTGTAGAATATTTAATATATCTTTAAATATAGAGCTGCCAGCACCCCTAAAAACACCTGGATGCCCTATAAAGCAAAAATGCTCTTAGATTACCAGCAAGTCTGCTAGGAGAAATTAATTAATTGCGCAGATTTTAAATAAAAAAAGGTTTTATTTAATATATTTTTAATAGGTTTAAAAACACCTAAACTTTGCCTACTAATAAATATTAATATTAATAACCTATATAATTTTTATTCACGCTATTTTTTTCTACTAATTTTTAGTTTATAATAGCAGTAAATACTAATTAATACACTAAATTAAAAAGTGCATGTATAGTATATAATAATAATAAATACTATTAGTAAAATATAAATACTACAGAGATTAAGGTTTTTATTAGGATTCTTATATATATAGGTATATATCAAAGTCCTGCTATTAAATATTACTAGCAAGGTAAAAAGGATAATCTGGGACCTGTCCACTGTGTTTGTTAATATATAATATTAAAGCAATTCTAGTAAATTAAGTGCTATTTTTATATTTTATTTTTTTTAAATCCTATAAATCCTGCTCTAGTTTTTAAAATAATTTAATAAAAGCATGTTTAATCTAAAACTTTTTAGTTAAATCTAGTAGTATAAAATTAAGCTATTTACTAGTTAATTTTATATAATATATTATTAGTACTATACACTATTATTTATTATTATTTTTAATAAGCTTATAGTACACTATTTTGGCCGGTCCTATTATATATATAAAATACCAAACAAGCTAATATTACAAGGATATAAATTATATAGACTGACTAATTAAATCTATATTTAGTAGTTTGTATAGTCTAGCAGATAAGTATTATTAAGGTTAAAAAAATAAAAAATCTAATAATAACTAGCTTAATAGTTTTTTATACAATTTAACTTCCTACAAAGCCTAGATAATTTATAATTTATATAGATAACTACTTTACTAGTATCCTACTATTTAATAAGCTATAAAAGCTTAGTTATAGCACTTGCAGTATAACAAGACTTTATAATAATAAAAAAAAAAAAATAGCCTAAGCTTTTTTAGTAGCTAAATAAATTTAAAACAAACCTTCCCTGGGATATAATATATATAGTTAAAGTTAATAAGGTTTTATATTTTAAATAGCAAGATATTAGTCTTGTTAATATACTATTAACTGTTTATATAATTAATAAAGCAATTAATATAATTATATATAAAAAATAATAGCCTGCTAAGTTAAATACTAATACTACTATTATACACAAGATTTTTAGGGATTAGCTAGTTAAAAATCTTGTAATTCTATATATTATTAATAATTATAATTATTATATAAATGGCCTTAATATTACTAATTAATATTAAAATAATTATAAAATTTACCATGCTACTTTTCACACCTGGTTTTTATTATTTTACTAGCTTGTTAATACCAGCATTGTTAATGTATATTAAATTTAATATGTATAAAAATAGGCTAATTTATAACTAATAAAAAAATAAAGTTCTATAAATATTTATATAATTAGTTATTAATATTTAGCTATATCTATTACTAAAATAAACCTTTAATAAAATATTAACACCACTGGAGGAGTATATAGTTTAATAGGGAATAAAATATTTAAACTATATATAGTATTACTACTTTTATATAAAAAAATTTAGCAAGCCAGGTTTTTAAGATATACTTAAATTAATTAATTTAATATAATAATTATTTTAGTATAAAAAATATAATATACTATTTTATAGGCCTGGCTCTATATACTAGAAAAAGTACTATAATTAATTTTAATCTAACTAATTAGCTTGCAGTATATTTTTTATATTAATAATATTAAAAAGTTAATTTAACTATTATAATAAATTTAAATAATTAGTAAATAATTTAAAAATTTTGATATTATTTAGTATAGGCGCCGGGGCGGTGTGGTGGTCAGTGCCAAGGTGCTAAAAATTAACAAGGAGGACAGACAAGGGGATAGTGAATATTAGTGATATGTTTAGTATAATGTACTCCACGGCCGTCGTCCGCTCTGTTTTGCATATAAAAATAGCACATTCTAACCACTATATTTTCAACAACATCCTATCTATATTATTAGATTTATATTTAATTGCAGTAAAATTTGGTTTCAAGAAGTGCTGGTTATTTTTTCTAGAAAACTTTCAGCTTTAAAATACATTAATACATCCACACCCGGTAACAAATATTTTCTATAATAAAAAGAACCAGCCTAGATAAACACTTATGGTTATAATATATGGCTATATTATTCTTCTATTAATTTTCAGGTTCCCTGGATTTGTTGTTCTTGAGATATTAAGGTTCTAAAAGTGCTATTTTATATGCAACACGAAGCGGACTACTCGACCAGGCTTGGCAATTTTAGCCCTAACTTATGCTTAAATATAGTAAAAGTTTTATATGCTATAAATAACTATAAAAACTATATATTTTATAAGTATTATAAAACTTTTACTATATTTAAGCACAAGTTAGGGCTAAAATACAAATCTTACCCAAAATCACTGTACTCAAATCGATAATGTTCGGATTCATCATTGCCAAGCCTGGACTCGACTGTATGGACGAGTCGGCCGAGGAGTACGTTATTATTCCTGTTTTCTTATGTAATAATAATATATAAAGACTAAATAGATTAAATTGCTCTCGCTTTATTATTATAAAAAATTGTGTTTAAGGATTTGCTTTTATACTTATATTTTAATCACCATTTTAGATAATTAGACCTGCATTCAGGTCCGGATTAGACTTGCTTTAAAATTAATACGGTAGTTAGTTATGTAGCGAATTAATTTCTATAAAATTGTATAAAAATAATAATATTTTATAATTTATAAATCATTACCTTTTTCTTCAATAGTTTTACTAATATTTTATAATAATTAATATTTAACATATCCTACTCTTGTTTCTAATACAGCTCCCGCAGCTTTTAACGTATAATAAGTATATTAAAACTAATAAAGTAGGTATATTAAATAATCGTTTTATTTTTAAATAATTTTTAATAAATATTTTATATATTGTTGGAAATAGGAGCCGAATATATCAGGCACCAATTACTACTGCAAAATCGCAGAACCATGGAAAAACTGAGTCATAATTTATGAGTTACTGAAAACTGTTGAGAATCTCGGGGAAGAAGCTATGTCGTGAGGTGCTAGGATAGCGGTGACTGGATAGTATATTAAAACTATCGGTGTGATCTAGTATCGCATGGTGAGTATATTCTTCTATCTAGGAGAGAGAGCATAGATAAACGCTTCTTTATGTCTACGTGTCCTTTAGCCCCTTAGCCCCTTGCGTGTGATATGTCAGATGGCTTTAGGACTAGGATACATAAAGGTGCCTTAGGTATCCTGGTTTTTAACACTTCTCCTTAGACTAGTCCTGCGGGACATAGTTCATATGTCCCTATTTATTATAGTTATTTTTCCACCTTTTTTATTATCTCCCCCTGTTTACTAATCCTATCTTTCTGTGATGTTGCATTGGTGTCTGTGATTTATTTATACTTGTTAACCCGGGGAATAAGTTTATTATTAGCTAATATAAAACTTTTTATATAAGCTATATTAGGTACACATCTTTACTATTAAAGTTAAAATCGGAATCTGGGTCTAATTAAGATAGTTTAGGAACTAAACTAGATTTTTTTTTTTAAAGCTAG